CAAACGTAACACTTACAAATCCAACGAACCCAACGAAACGAACAACTCAGTGACAACAGCAACGATACCTTACATCAAAGGTAAATCTGAGACTATCTCGCGTATCTTACGACCATACAACATACGTGTCGCACATAAACCAATCACAACGTTACGACAAGTACTAACGAACACAAAGGACAAAGAACAACCCAACGAACGACAAGGTGCAGTTTACAAAATAAACTGCTCCGACTGCCACGCCTCCTATATCGGGGAAACTTGCAGGAACTTAAACATATGACTTACTGAACACAAACGAGCTACTAAAAAACAAGACAAAACTAATCACATTGCCGAACATCACCGAATTACAAAGCACAACATTGACTGAGACTCGGCAAAATACATTACTTACAGTACTGACTATAGACAACGGCTTACATTAGAAAGTTGGTATACCAACTTGGAACAAACCCCCCTGAACAGATCACAGCAATTACCGGCACCTTACAAACGACTTATTCACAATACAAACAAACGATCAACTAAAAACATTACACTTCACACTAATTCACAATGACAATACACAATTGACACCCACACATTACAACTAAAAACATCACACCTAAATCACACATCACAACTAAAAATAAAATATTTCACTTCACACTAATTCACATTGACAATACACCTTTCCTGTACACACAATACAATGACGTAAGAACCAGATAACAAATACGGCTAACCCATATCTATGGGCTAACCTGACGTTTACTCCTCATTTAACTCTGAAGATGACTACCGCTAAGGTCGTCGGAACGTCAGTCAAAACAACAAAAACAGTCCTTCTCAGGACTATACTAACCTGGACGATCGACATTTACAAACATATAGTCTTTGTGTGAAAAAAAATGTGAAAATTTGTGAAATTGGGTGAATTATAGTCTTTTAGTGAAAATCCAGTGAATTATAGTCTTTTAGTGAAAATGCAGTGAATTATAGTCTTTGTGTGACGCATTGGCTATATTGATTACATTGACTATATTTTAAATGATAACACTCAAGACATGGCCAGATTGTAAAATGACAAAGAGACTTGAATAGACTATGAATTAGTAAGTGGATACTGTTCTGTATGAACCATATGCTTTTGTAGAAACCATTACAATATTATCATGCATGATGGTAAAAAATATGTTATTTAACTTTGAACAGACAAGTTAGAAACACCCAGCGCCATTAAATTGACTACGAACATGCGCGTTGTTGTTTTGATTCACCACATGGCAAAGTCTGACATTGTGCATACTTTATTGTCTTCCTCCTTTCTGTTACAACATTTATTCTCCAACAATGTTAGAGTTGGACAGCTATAATGCGTAATCCGTCCCTTTCTTCACCTTTATAATGATGGTGACAAAGAACAAGTTAAACACAGTACAAAATATGAGCCTCAAGAGAAATGAAGTCAATAATGTTTTGTCAGAAGCACTTGACATGTTTTAACGGTTTTCCAATTCACCCTTCTATCCGAGTGGTTGAAATGCTGGTGCAGTGATCTCATCTTTTCGGGTTCAAGACCTTTTAAGGTTCAAGACCTTCACCTTTTCTTTAGGTTCACATTGAAAAAAATTTAATAAATACGCCGAAAAAGTTAGAGATTTCGATGATGAGCGCTTAGCTCAACTGGCCGATGTTGGGCGCTTAGTTCGACATCACTGACCTCCTGTGCACAAGATCCTTGGTTCGCCCCTCTGCTCACACACTTAGGTGTACGAGGCGGATGTGGAAGACAGAAAGTTGAACGGAGGAGCGAGTGTATGGAGGTAAGAAAAGGAATATTAGGGCGTTCTGTTTGCTCTTGGTTTCCTGACTTTTCAAAATTTAAAAAATTAACTCCCTGATCACAGAGAGTCAAAAAAATTTGAGCAAAGACTTAGTTTTTTTATGAGTAGTTTCTTGCATGGGATCTTATCTATTTTTTTCTTCGCTCTCCTCCTTCTTCCTTCTCATCGGAGAGCGAATTTTTCTGAATTTATACTAAGTGTCGCATTCCATTCTCTAAAAACTCAGTAATAGAAACGCCACTTTTGCACTGTTAACCAGCACTATTTTCTCATTTCTTAGCTCAACCTAGACCCAACTATACCTTATTCCAGACAGGGTTTGAACCTCCACTTTGCAACCTCGAAAGATTGTGTCTTGTAGTAGACCAGAGAGTTCGCTGGAGACTAATGCTCTATTTAATGTGCCATTCCTGCTTTGTAATAACTAATGCAAAAAAAATGACCGATACAGGTCTGGAACCAAGATTATAGAAGAGCTTCGAGCTAAAGAGAATCCAACAAACCAATCCTCATAATTATAATAATGGGTACAAAAATGTGTACAAAGAGTGTAAGCGTTGATATCAATTTCATTTTTAACATACAAGAGGAATATATATGACAGTAACAAGCTCACAATTAGTTTTATGAAAAAACACAGAACAAGTAGCTATGTTTGTATAAAAATGCTGATATTTTCAGCACATTTCCTTTCATGCAATAAAGATTTCTTTAAAAGATACTGCCAATAATATTTTGATCAATCCAATGGCACCAGTCGTAATCAAAGATTGGGATGACTCAATTATAAATCGACGTTTGTTAGCCAAACTGTTAACTTCTTCGAAAGAATTGAAGAATGGGCTACAAAGAGCTTATGATCTTCCAAATCATATCAACCATATTTATATGTTTTCATTTGACAACGAATTTGAAGACTCGGCAACATTCATCTCTGCATACGGTGAAGAGAAAATAGCTGTTAAACGAATCCAATGTGTAAAGTCTTGACGGCTTTCTGCAATACCTGGCCTGTAGCTTTACGAAGGTACACCATGTAATATTTTCTATAACAGCACCATTGCTAACATATGATACGATTCCTGAATTTTCAACTGATTTCACTTGTAGACGTCGTTGTAATTCTGCTTTGAAAGATCATGATTTGTGGGCAATCCTTGTCGAGAGTCCTTTTCAATCATCAGCTAATACTTCGTCAACATCAACGTTCGTTGACGTGGTTTTGCCTTCTACGTGGTGTTTTAGTTTAAAATCATTGCTCTTGATCGCGTTTATAACCAAGATGTCGTCGATAATTGCGTCTTTTTTGAATCTAATTCGTCCCTTGCACGTACATGCTGTTATTTTCAGCTCATTTTCATTCTTGGCTGTTTCAGATTTACTTTTCATGGTGCTTTCATGCTTTGTTATGTTTGCCTCTGTATCTGTCTTGCCTCTGTATTATGTTTGCCTCTGTATCTGTCTTGCCTCTGTATTATGTTTGCCTCTGATACTGTACCTGTATCTGCAATGTTGCAGCCTTGTCACACTGTGTCACGCTGATATCAGCGTTGCGGTTGCGTGAAGGGTACGAGTGATTGCAGTCTGGTCAGCTGCCTTCACTATAATTTCAGTAACCAGGATGTTCCACTTCGCGGAACCCTCATACGTCGAAATCGACGGAGTCCATTATTATTATTTCCATGTTTGCCTCGTAATTTATAAGTCCCAAAATCTTGATGTGATCAATACGTCTTTCGTTGATTGACAGAAAATTGGCGATTCTTGTCTTTATTTGCATTACTTAAATTCGTTATATTTGTCGTCCTTTGTGTGCAGTCTTGTTCGTCAACTTCGCACCGGCAATCAACAAGTGTTAACCATGACGTCTTGTAGTTCATAACTGCAAAGAACTTGAAGTGACTTAAATCTTTATGCATGGTGTTCTGTGATTCATGACGTGTTTGTTCCACGTGATTGTTTTAACATTCATTGTTCGTACTTTAACAAATTACAAGATATATATTAAATCTAATCCTACAAACAATAAGTAGTGTTGCTAGACAAAAGAACAATGTTCTCACTTCCCTTTCATTAAACATACGCAAAATGTCAATGACGACTGACCATTGTTTTGTGATATTAAACAATTAACAATAAAATACATCCAGCTTAATTTTTTTCTTTATTTTGCTTACTTTTTGTCTACCTTTTTGCCATCCTTTATGTTTACCTTTACGCCTCCTTTTGTGTCTCCAGTCGTGTCTAACTCGTGTCTAACTTAATAACTCTATGTCTAATTTTGTGTTGATCTTTGTGACTATATTTATGCCAACCTTTATGTCTACCTTTATGTCTACCTTTGTGTCTACCTTTATGTTTGCCTTTGTGTCTACCTTTGTGTCTACCTTTATGTCTACCTTTGTGTCTACCTTTATGTCTAACTTTGTATCTACCTTTGTGTCTACCTTTATGTCTACCTTTGTGTATACCTTTTAGTCTACCTTTGTGTCTACCTTTGTGTCTACCTTTATGTCTACCTTTGTGTCTACCTTTATGTTTACCTTTATGTCTACCTTTATGTCTTCCTTTATGTCTACCGTTATGTCTACCTTTATGTCTACCTTTATGTCTACCTCTGTGTCTACCTTTGTCTCTATCTTTGCCAACCCTTATGTCTACCATCATGTCTATCTTTGTCTACCTTTATGTCTTACCTTTGTGTCTACCTTTGTGTCTACTTTTGTGTCTACTTTTGTGTCTACCTTTGTGTTTACCTTTGTGTCTACCTTTGTGTCTGTCTTTGTGTCTACCTTCGTGTCTAACTTTGTGTCTACCTTTGTGTCTACCTTTATGTCTACCTTTGTGTCTACCTTTGTGTCTACCTTTGTGTCTATCTTTATGTCTACCTTAGCGTCGATCATTGTGTCTACATTCATGTTTACTTTTGTTATTTATCGGTTTTGTCGGTTATTTATGGTAATTATATGACCAACTACTACACCTTCACCATAGATATTGAATTTAACAAAGATGAAATAAACAACATTTCAGAAAGACGACATGATAGACATTTCAAAATAAAGACCACATTAACGACATTTCAAGACTACATCAACGACCCCGAATCACAAAGTTTTTAACTATGTGACGTAAATGACGTCATGTCATTGAAGATGTTGGAAACAAGTGCTTTTTGGTGGGTACAATCTTTCCAAGATGGCGACCTCTAAAACAGCGAATACTTACAACCGACAAAATTGGGAGGATGCGGTGAGTTTCTAAATTAAAATCAATGTTAAAATACTCTCCAGTTGAATTTGTTCACAATTTTCTATTTACGTGCGTACTTTGACGGAAATCTACCGGGTATTTTCAGTGAAAACGACTGGTTTCAATTTTCATTAATGAAAAATACATATCGTGTATTTTTTACATTGTACTCATTAAACAGTAAAACTATATAAAACTATAACTGTTTCTATAGGAATTTCCAATCTTATGTCAGACATGTTTGGGCGACAATCCATATTTAAGGATGGTAAGTCCGTGGTGATTTATTTAAGAAATGACTCATTGTAAGTCATGCCTAAAAGTTATGAATAGAATCACTAAACTAAGAAATAAAAAGGAATTAGGAAATGGAATTTGCAAAACATTATAGCCTGTAGTTTTGATTTTATTCATTTAGATGAAGGAGAAGTATGGTAGAGAATGTAAGGTAGGGCTTTTGTCCTATACCAGTTGAGACATCAAGTATCAAAATGTTGAAGAAATCCCATTTTGGGACTTTTAGATTTGTGCACGCCCATTCACCATTTTCCGGTGGTGCCCTGGAGCAAGAATGAGATTCAAAAAGACTGAGATCTGTCAGACTTGTGCTAAGATGAAGAATATCTGCCAGACTTGCTTGCTGGATCTTGAATATGGTAAGATGAAATTATGTAGGGATCCCTACTAACTTTATAAGCTGTTAGAGTCTAACAAGTCCATGACTGGATTCTGGTAATTTAGGTTTACCTGTTCAAGTTCGAGATCATGCTCTTGGTCTCAAAGATGAAATGCCAAAATCTGATGTGAATAAGGAATATTACACTCAGAATGCTGAAAGAGAGGTTTGTTTATCATATTAGATTATACCATATAGGATTTTACTTATCTCAATATATTTTGTTATCAGCTGGCAAATACAGACTCTACCAATCCTGGAGGAGCATTAGGGAAGGCAAATGCTCCAAGTGATTTGCTGCTAAAGTTGGCTCGAACGGCACCATATTACAAAAGAAATCGTCCACACATTTGCTCATTTTGGGTGAAAGGAGAATGTAAGCGTGGCGAGGAATGCCCCTATCGGTAATATGTCTTTTGATAATCTGGATTTTACTATAACAATTTGATTCAATACATAGTGTAAAGAGTATAATATCAAAATACTTATGAATTGGTTTTTAATATATTCACTTTTGTAGATGGTAACCACATTAAAGACACAACTCTTTTTTATAATTTATATTAGTTATGACCTATAACTTTTTTTACATTTTCTGTTACAATCAGACATGAAATGCCTACAGATCCCAATGACCCATTGGCAGACCAAAACATCAAAGATCGATTTTATGGTGTTAATGATCCAGTAGCCAACAAACTTCTCGACAGAGCATCAAAATTGCCAAGCCTAGAAGCACCACCTGACAAAGCTATCACCACACTATATGTTGGTGGATTAGATGGAAAGGTATTAGAACAAGATTTAAGGTATGGCAATTGCTCTCCTTTCCTGTACAGTTTTTGCTTATATTGTAGTTGCATGTCACCTTTTAATACTTTTTTCTAGAGACCATTTTTATCAGTTTGGTGAAATCCGTTTAATTACTATGGTACCAAAACAACAATGTGCTTTTGTATGCTTCACAAACCGTTACTCTGCTGAAACTGCAGCTGAAAGGTCTTTCAACAAGCTTATTGTAAAAGGACGAAGGTTAAAAATCCTGTGGGGGAAGTCACAAGGTGCAAAAGCGGCCCCTGGAAATGAAGGAGGGGCCAAGTTAACACCTGTACCTGGGTTACCTGAGGGTAAGTATTCTATTCAACTTAAAAAATGAATCTCTAGCATTTGTTTTTGACAAGAGATACCTTCAACTATAGCATTGCCTCCTCCTCCTGCAATCACCCAACCAGATGAAAACAACTTCTTTAATCTTCCACCTTCTGGGATTCCACTTCCCCCAATGAATAATTCTTCAGCACCTCGGCATCTCATGGGAATACCACCACCACCTTTGCCAAGTGGATCACACCTAATGCCACCAAGATTACCACCACCACCAGGGCAACAGCATCCACTACCTTATCGCACTGATGGACCCTTTCCTCCACCACCACAGAGGTTTATGCACCCACCTCCTTTGATGGGAGGTCCAGCCCCTCCACCAAATATGCCACCTCCAAATATAAGGCCACCTAATATGCCACCACCTAGCATACCTCGAGCACTGGCCAATAGAGGGCCACCTCCATCAATTCACTATCCATCACAAGATCCACACAGGATGGGTACAGCAGGAAAAGATCCTGCCATGAACCTTACACCACCAAATCCAGCATCTTGAACTCAGCAGCAATGTATTATATTGTTACATAGATACTTGCTATCTCAATCTATGTCATGGTTAACCTGGTTTACTATGGAGGGAGTTTGATGGAAACAATCTAAGCCAATGTTTTCAATAAAATTTTTTTTCCTACCTTCACTGTAATTCATTATATGGCAAAAATTACATGACTATCTGAATATCTCTGCATGCCTTGATGACAAAAAGATAATTTCAGAGTAATTAAAACCTTAATTTTTTATCAACAATATTCCTATTGCAACATAACATGCATTGTTTGGCTGCTCTATTCTACCTTTGTGATCTTGTTTTTTCCTCACAAGATATATAATTTCATCATTTGAAACAATAGCATATTGCCACTTGCGATGATCACTTGCCAAAAATTTGGTCTTTAGCAGTTTGCTTAGCACATTGGGCAACAGCACTCACAAGTTTACCAAATCCCGTGTCCCTAGGCTAAAAGATACAAGGTGAATGACCAATAAAGATCAACTGATAAAAATGTTTGTTATCAAACTACTACCTTATCCAAGCCGCGCATCAGGTTTGTCTTCATAACACTCACGAATTCCTTGGAACTCAATTCACCATCATCTGCAAAAAAATTTAATGTTAAGTACTTTCTTGGTAAATTGGCACCTTCACCTGCAAACCTTATAAACAAGACCAGGGGTGCACACCCCTCTACCTAATCCATCCCTGATATCATTTATTTCCTCACCGTTTTCATCAAACATTTTAAAAACAACATCAATAATGTGATCCCGCAATCTTACACCGGCAACAAGATGGGCAACGCGCTTGAAGATTTCTAGAAACAATGAATCCCAAGGTTGCTTTCAGCTGCACAAACAATGTTGCACCTTGTTTGAAATGAGAAATTGATATCTGTTGGATGAGAAAGACAAGAGTCAAAATACCTGGATTTAGATGGTACCCACAGGCAGTGTGGAAGCTTAAGGCTGTTTCAACATCCCCTATGTTTCTCAGGAACTGGAAGAAATCTTCATAATCTTTGAAAGTGACTCCCTGAATATATCATGAGAAAGTATGTCCTGGAATTTCAATCGTCATTAAATGATGCTGGGAAGACACGTTTTAAAATGTGGCAACAAAAAGATGATCTTGTGTGGAGAGGGTGGGGGTTAATCACAACAACAAATATCAAGTAAATCATAGTTAAATAGACTACAACTAAGGGGATGTAATGTGCAACAACATACAAACTATGTTTTTTGTCACCAATGGGTTTTATCAAGTTGAGAAAATGATTTTGCAATGTGTACCTTCAGTCATATACCTAAACTGTGATGATCTTATCTTAGTTATCTATTTAGTTAAACGTGAAGTGAACAATGAAAAATTGTAAAAATTTTAAAAAGAACGAGCGAATAAATTTTTGGAGTTCATTGGATATGTAAACACATGAGGCAACAACAGCCATAATTTCAACAAAAACTACCTGTGAACTCCTGGCAAAGGTCTTCTTGATTCTCTTTAAGGTTGTTTCCTTTTTCTTTGTTGTAAAACTTGAATATGTGAGCAACATGTTTGCAAACTCAACTTCAGTTATCTTCCCATTCACTGGTTTGTAAAACTGAAACTAAACGGTCATGCAAAGAATTATTTACAAGTAAAAGTTTAGTGAACAAATTTGATACATTTTGATACACCTACATTTAGTGAACAAATATTCGATAAACACTTCCATATTCATAACTATCAACCATGGAAATTAAAGATATGTGTCTTTCCAGAAATATACCCAACAGAGATGATAGAGAAATGTGGAAATAATAAAATCTGGTTGCATATATGTCACTAAAATTAACAATACCACCCATATTTTCTACATTTCACTGCTGATGTTTTTAATATTTCAAGTGGATGATAATTCAATCTTAAATGCTAACCTCCAAAAACAGCACCTCTTTTTGTAGCCGCTGTTGAAATTCAATAAAACTTCTAGTAGTTAGCTTCTCCGTACACTGAGAACCAAAAAAGTACTGTTTCAGGGATGAGTTTATCTTGGATCCCATTACATTTCCTGTTGTTTTTCGGTCACGATGTCTCATCCCCGCAGATGTCAAAGAGAGGAGGACAGATTGCATCTGAATGATAATAAAAAGGATGCTTCCTCTATAATCATGTTTAAATTCACCCAAATTTCTAACAGATAAGTAGGTAACAAACCTTATCAAATTCATCTGCTGAAACTTCACCATCACCGTTCAAATCAAACATCTTGAATGCAATGGATACATGACGAGGAGAAGCTATAATAAAGCAAAAACATTGTCAGTGGGTAAAGTCAGTATAACATAAAATTCTGACAAAATGTACAAAAGTACTTCACAATAATCTTACTTCCAAGGACGGTAAGAAGGAACAAATAATCAGAGAATGTTATCAAGCCATTTTGCCCAAAATGTCGCAGCACGCTATCCCCAGGTGTGCCATCTCTATAGGTGTAGCCTCTGTAGGCATCTTTCTAAAATAATACAGTATACAAATTAATTTCAAACTTCTTACACCACTATTCTTTCAAAGACAATAACCGAGGCATAGTTTTATATCCTGGCAAAATTGCTTTCCAGGATCCTATAGGATCTTAAACGATCCTGTAAGATCCTAAATAAAGACAAATTAAGATCCTTAATAAAGACAGATCCTAAATTAAGGCAATTCATAGGATCCTACAAAACACCCTATGAGCAATATCCTATTCTTAGTAAACAAGTTCCACAATGACAATCACACCGGATGATTTTAATGGAGGAATTGCCTAATGAACAATGTAAATGTCATCCAACATGGCAAAAATTCTATCATTCTTTCACTGTCAAAGGAGCAGCTGCATGCTGTTTATACAAAGCCATCATTAAGATAGCAATATCCACATGAGTGATATGTTTGTGTACTTCAATCAAATAAACTTTTCAATACTACACTCACCCATTCAAGCAACTTACAACACTTTCAGCACATACCTCTTTGTCAAACTGTTTAAATCTATCAAGACCAAGTCCTAAAATAAAATTAAGATGAAAAAATAGAAATGAGAGAAAAAATAGAAATAGATAAAAAACTTTAAATTATATCATAGACAGATTTTCTGGTGATGCAAGGGGGGTGCTACTCGCAAATATCAGATTTTGCCTCCTTCCCCAAAATAAATAGTTCACTGCTCTAAAAATATTTTACCCCCCTCTATCTTAGCAAAACAAATCAAAAGTACATTTGAACTGAATTTTTCTGTGCAATTTTTCAACTTTTTACACTACCTTTCAATTAAAAGTTGCAACACTACCAGACCACCCCTACAATTTGGTGCTAAAATCCAGACCCTTACTTTGTCTTACTTCACTTCCTTATCAGCCCACTACCCCAAAAACTTTTTGCACCACAACTACAGAGAATTGCTCTACCTTGTGGTTGTAAAATGCCTGGAGTAAGAGCACGCACAAAATCCTGAGGGGTCATGTAGATTTCACTCTTTTCTGTGCCCAAATGACCACTTTGGATTGTGGCAAAGTAGCGGAATATCTTGTCTGGAGTGCTATATGCTCGAATCCTGTCTTCATAGCCAATTATCTGGGAAATATTGGAGATTGAGTCAATCTACACATTTATACAACATATGAATGTGCATGTCACTGCGTCCAAGACATCAAACATACCCTGGTTTCTTTAAAACTTTTCCTTTTATTTCTTGTGTTATCAAACACCGCCCCTGCCTCAACAACTTCCAACTTGTTTTCATTATTGATGCACACTTCGTCGAAGTTCGCATCTTCCTCGCTTTTCGCATGGACTTGATTGCCAAAAGTCCGTCTTACCATCAAGTATCCGAAGCCAATGATACCGATAGAGGATATTATCAAAACATCAAGTAGTTTGGCACGTTTTACCTTCTCTGGGTCTCGACTGTTCGTGTTATGACTGCTTTCTTGAGAACTCGTATTTGAGAGTGCATTCGAAAGAGAAATTAGCCGCACATTTTTCACGCTTGAAAAAGACTTCAAACAACTTTCAACAAATCTATATCTTCTGCTTATGATTCCAAACATTGCACGTCATATATTCAGCATAAAACCAAGCAGATAAAATTGACAATTACAGAAAATTTAGCATTAAAATGCTAACTACATAATGTTTTTGTGTGATTTTGGGCATTTAAATTTCTTAAAATCATTGCCGCGGAAAGTGACGTTCACATCGCTCTGAGGTACATCGCGTTTTTGCGAGCAAGCCCGTGCAAATTTTATTCAAGAAAAGAATCAACTAAATGAAATCATAAGCTGCCTAAAACCAAGTCGAATGCTTAATACACGAAACAAACAAACTATTTCCGTATCGTAAGGTTATATAAATGCCTTCTTTTCAATAAAATAATATTTCAATTCTCACAGTTTGATTACGAGGTCATTCCGAGCTTCGCTCTTGTTAATGTGTGATTTGCTATTCGTATATTTAAAACTATCACTAGGGGTAGGGAGCCTTGCTTATTTTTCTTTTTCTCGCTTGTTTGATTATTTTATTATTTACAGCTTCTATTTTTTTAAATATGTTAATTTGGAAAGATTCCCATGTCCTTAAAAATTTGTGAGGTTTAACTAGACAATCTAAGGAACAATTATGACGCTGAAAAAGCATATTCTTCTCCCCCCTCCCCTCATATTCATAATGTATGCCAAATCAACAATATTGACACTTTATAATTGTAATTGCTGTTCGCTAGGTGTTGACCTCAAAATCGTATGGCAAAGATGCTCCCTGGAAAACTTGTACGAAAACTGCGTTTTGATAAACCAGCGACAAAAGTAAAACCATGGGCATTTGTGAGTTTACCTTTTTTTTAAATTCAAACATTAGACTTTGAAACCAGCGTTGTAGTCATGCTAATTGTCAACTTTCCTAAACGATGTTCTAGAAGGCCTGGCAAACTGGACGCTTGTGTTTTTCCACTACTACAAGCCGTCTTGGTGAGTAATTTTAAAGCTAAAATTTTACATACACATTACACGATAACATCGAGAGTTAAAAAGACCCTTATCGCAGTACATTATTTATCATTTACCAGCTGATTTGGATGTGGAATTGAAGCGAGGGCAGCCAGTTGTGTCGATTCCTTTACCTTCGACGAACCAGCCGTGTGAATTCACCCTGTATGAAACAAATTCTGTCAAGAATCTCCTTGAAAGCATCAAGGATGAAGATGAAGGTGTGAATGAGGCTCTTGTCCACTCCTTAGAAGGCATCCGTATTTCTCAAAACACGCGAATGAGTTCTTTGTTGAGCAATGGTTTCAAATTGAAGATTAATGATGAAATGCACACCATAACACCTTCAAGTGAAGGTAAACAAAAGCTTAAGTGTTCAAATATTTCACCTCATATTTCCATTCTAACCTATTTATCTTGCAGTGGGTGTTGCCATCGCAGAGGAGTCATTAGAAGATGTCAGAGAACTTGTGGAAAAGTTGTATATAGGCCTTGATGTTCAAAACAAAAAGGTTTGTTTAATTTCATTTTTTCCTTTGCATAGTTCAGCTCCTACTTATTTTGTCTATATTGAAGACGGAGACGGAGGAACAGCTGATTGAAGAATTAGAGAAAGTTCAATCAGAACTGGAACCTTTGGAACAGCAACGTATTGAGCTGGAGAAAGGCATAGAGAGTCGAACCAATATGTTGGTTTGGGGTGGTCTGGCATTCATGGCTGTTCAGTTTGGATTCCTTGCACGTCTCACCTGGTGGGAGTACTCATGGGACATCATGGAACCTGTTACATATTTTGTAACATATGGCACGAGCATGGCATTTTATGCATACTTCGTTTTGACCAGACAGGTTGTTAATGTTTTCACATATAAAGTAATAGTAATCCTCGAACTAAAAGCCCCGCCTGAATGTAAGCCTATCACCAGCACTAACACTGTCATCATTCCTATAAGAAGTAACCCCAATATGAGCCACTCACCCCCCTCAACCCCCAACAATTGCACTCAAACAATTACAAATAGCCACAATTATAGCATTTTCAATCTTTAATACATGGCAATCACACAGAGGATTGTCCTTGTATACCCCATAAAAGCCACCTTAATACTAAACCACCCAAAACTGCTTTGAAAAAAGTACACAGGCTTGTCATTGGATCTATCAATTTCTGAAACACAACAAATGAAAAATGCATCAAAGTTGGTTGACTTTACCCATTGGAAACCAACTATGATGTACGTCAATTGTTACAAATTTAATTATTTACTCATTGAGAATTTAATATCTACTCTTAGGAGTTCATGTACCCAGAAGCGCGCAACCGTCAATTCCTTATCTCCTTCCATAAGAAAGCAAAACGACGTGGCTTCGATGTGGAGAAATACAACCATCTTCGTGAGATGACCACTAAACTTGAAGCGCAGTTAGAAGAGCTTAGTAATCCGATCAAATCATCTAATGAATAAACGATGTAGTCAGGGGCGCACATTCCCCCCAAAATGGGGAGTTTTCTATGTCCTGGGACTAAAATTTGTTGTTCTCTATTGAGTAGTCCGAAGTTTTGGCCGGCCCATTTTCTTCGTACTCTGTTAGTGTCTGACCACTTTTTATACACATTTCACAAAAGCTGAGGTCCCAGACACCCCACAAATGTGCGCCCCCAAATGCAGTAGGTACAATATTTGAAATACGGAATCAGGGAATCGAAAATATGAATCATTAAAAAATATGACGAAAATTTGCACACGATCTCTGTTTAGGCAAAGGACGTCAACAAAACAGGATGTAAATATCTTTAGTTCTTTCGACATTTCAATGCTAGTACATAATGATGTCAAACTGGCAAACTAGTTAATCAATAGAAATACACACAAATCTTCACCTTCATCGGGAATCATTGTAGCTACATGCACCGATCACATCAGAAGTTCTCCTAGCACATTCAAGTTAACAATCAACCCCTGATACGTCGCCTCAGCTAATTGCATTAAAATCAAGGGCGGACCGACATCTTATTCTCCGCCATCACCCACCGTCGCAGATGTTTGTCTCTGACCTAACTATGGCTAGCGGCAAATAACACGTCAGCAATGGATCGTAGAGCCATGTTACTGTTAGGACGTTATGTCTAATCTCGACTCATTCCATCCAATTTTCTGCTCTTGTTCTTAAAGTGTTTGCGACAGGAAAATTTGCTGCCCACATTCTCATGCATCAAAAAGAAAATATAAGATAAACAACAATCACACGTTCCATTGAATTGTGTTAGTTCACTTCTTTCTGGAGATACTCACATTGGACACGAAATAAACATGTTTGTAGATGTAGATCGTCCAGGTTAGTAGAGTCCTGAGAATTGATGTTGATGTTGTCTGACGTTTCGACAACCTTAGCGGTAGTCATCTTTAGAGTCAAGTGTACGTCAGTCAAGATCAACAACAGCCCTTCTCAGGACTCTACTGACATTGACGATCTACGTCAACGAACATGTGACATACTCTCGGCTTCGAACTATTCCCTTAAATACTATGTAAGTATCCTTACAATTACATCACTAACATTATAACATTTCAGAGTGCATCACATTTCAGGATGGCCGAAAACGTTTCATTTGCCTACAAGAACTACAATTTCATGAATTCACGTGTTGATGAATATGCGCATGACGGTAAGGAAGCTAGCTGGTTATTTCACGAACAACTGTCGATAACAACTTTTATATTTACGCGTGTTGTCACAGTAAAGATCAAGTTACATGGTGAACAAAACAAAATATCCCTCGAAAAAAGTAAACTAACGCAATTTAACGAAAGAAGTTGTTTAATTTTCTTAGCATTGCTTAATAAATTTTCGTTTCATCAACACTTCAGTAAGTCAATTAGATTGCTTTCTGAATGTCTATCTCTCTCGCGCCGATGCAGATACAGTTGTGGAGATTTATGGAGCACGTGTAAAAAAGTTGCACACATAAAGCAAACTGCGAGAGTCCTCAGGCATTTTGTTGAAGAAAAGAATCTTGGAGAATGGTTTAATGCTTTGTTCCCCTTACTAAAGGGGCAACCACGGGTACAAGAAGGACAGGCAACACAACCAGCCAGCACGACATTAAGGGTAACCAAAGCTCAACAAACTATTCTCTTAAATTCTTTTGCTCAACCAAACGCTTTATGCCTCTTGTAGTCATCGGCATTTCATCCTAAGTCTTCAAAAATATACGGTCGTCACGAATATCCTAAGCAAAGAGTTGGTACATGTTCTCAAACACATATTAAGGAAGTATGTTAGTCCTACAAGATTCCTTAAATTGTCTAAGGTGGCAAGGTGTCGTATGTGTTCATTAATTTCTTTTCTGATGACAAGGAATTTTCGTAGTTAACCACCGCATAATCATTCAACTTTTCCAATTCAACCTTTTCATGATTCATTTGACGTTTCAATACACAAAAAGCAACAACAACAACAGCAAGAAATACGACACCAGCGATAGAAATACACACGAATATGAAGATTGTATCTTCTTCATCATGTTTGTTTTTTTTTATACTAAAGATGCGAAGTTCTTTGCTGAATATGCTACATCCCACGTGATTACAAACCTGGGCATTTATGATGTAGTTTAATGTACTGTTTAATCCTACAATCAACACGCTGTTCTTGCTGACATTCGGCACACTGATGGAGGTCCACGATGAATTAAATCGAAGAGCTGAGTATCTCACCTTCACCTCGGTCAATATTCCACCCCAGCTGTCATTGGTCGGTAACGCCCACGTGACTGTGACGTTACGAACGTTATTACCGTTACTTATGAGGCACGTCTTATTGGTACACGTAAACGTCGGTGGCAGACTTGGTACCTCAGCCCAAAGTCTTGTTGTGCCACACAAAGGTATCGAAAAGCCGCCACATTCGTATTCTTGTACTGACAAACAGAAAGTACATTGATCGTAGGGTCGGTAATTGTAGAGTTCTTTCTCCGAGAGGTAAAGTTTTCTAATACTGGTAACGTTATCGAACGTTCCGCTTGTTTCCGAACACGTAAAGCTAATTCGAACCGAAGCAGGTATCAAAAGCAACGTGTCATTCCATTTTATGACGAGTTTTCTATAGGGCAGCTTACGAAAGCGAATCGCCGTAGGGGGGTGGGGAGCGTACAGTAAAGTAGAAGGAGGCAGACTCCTCCCACAATGACTGAGCGTCAACTTGAACTTCCATTTGGCACTATCAATTGCACATAAACCAATGCGAGCTTTGATGAAAAATGAAAACGTTACTCCATGAACATTTTCCGTTCGAATACGTGTCGAGCAAAGATTGCCATCACAATTAGCAATGAAACTACCCCTCCCGCATGGTGGCCAATGGCAGTCGAAATGGTAAAATACTTCATGAATCTCGCTTGGATTGCCTCTTGACCAGGAAAGCGAAACGTGGTGAAGGTTATCTGTATCCCCCGTAAATCGTGGTGTTGCAACGAGCTCTGGTATATGCGCCGGTGATCGTTGAATCGTTATGGAAATATTTTCATACTGTAATATGTGTTGTGATTGCTCTAATGCGCACGAAAATGTACCAAAACTCTTCGCAAATACTTCCGCTACAACACCAACGTTAACACGGTATGTCAATGTCGAGTGGTTGACACGTTGATCATCTTTTAACCAATACATGGTGATATTGTCCGATGTATAACCATCGCCATTTGAGTAGGTACTCAGTATGCAATTCAGTTTGACATTCGGGCGTTCATCGCCGACGCACAAAGTTGATTTGTTTGGCCTCATATGCAAATGTTCGGATGAAGTTATTCGTATTGAAAAAATCAGAAATGTTACAGCAAAAAAGGTGGTCATCGTTTTCTTTAAATCATTCCATAACTCGCCATACCTTTGTTCGGTGTGTGTTTCTCGGCTGCCAATTACGAAAAATTTTTAATGCCAGGTAAAATTGGCAATTATACTGTGCCACGTATTTCAAAAAACTGTAGAATTTCAGCAATGCCGACGAATAAAACTTCCTATCGGCGAGTATATAGTCGCCATTTGGACAACCTGATTAAAACTGACTGATTAAAAGACCGACGAAAACATTAAAAATGCCGGGTTGAAACTTGACAGGGAATGCCACATCGCTCAAGGGTAAATTTGGAAAGATATATCGATGCCTGATCGAGTGAAAACTGACGCTATTTCGGTTTTAAGTATTTAATTGCGCAGCATTTAAATTATTTTCACAAAAGTCTTTTTTTCAGAAGGTCACCTATTTTGAATAAGTAAAGAAAGACGAAGTTTCTCTCGAAACAATGTCCATATAGGGTGCCTAATTAGCGGTTACACACTTCGGCGAATCTCAATTGGACTTTCATCACAAAAATATTGCGTGTTTATGACAGTGAAGTGCACGAACTTCAAAAATATGTCATGATCGCAGGAGAACTTCCTCGTTTAGACAAATATATCACATTTGCGAGGTTCGGTTGGGCCTAAAATGTGGCGTACGCAAAACTCGTTATTTAGGATCGCGGGAAAAATTCACTTCGTAACGATTTAAAACCCACCCTTAATTGTTTTATTATAGGTACATAAAGAAACACTCGAATCAACATGATTCATGTGGTCAAAAAAGCAACTTAGCGAAACATTCCTGGTACAAAATCGTGTCAAGTAAAATCAGATAATAAACGTCGAAGTATGCTACATTTTATTTCCTTGTGTAGACTACTGACATATTAATTTCCTCCTCCATACCTAGGGGCTGCCACCCATCCCCACCCCCACACATACATTACGCGCCCATTGCACAGAGATCATGTATTTGAAGATAACACTGTTCAATAAACAGCAGCTATGACAGCGCTGTAACAAAGACACGACTTGTAGTAATATATCACATACAACACTAGCCGTATTGTATTATAATTGTTGGAACTGTAAATTTGTACAATGACGCCTCTGACGTGCAATTATTGAGAGAAAAAAATCACTTTCAAACAAATTGGAAAATTATACAACGACCTATGATAACGTCTTTATACAAAACTATCTTTTAAAAAAAATAAGTACACAAAACCGAAACAAAATTGATTGTTATTCTTGAACACTATTTATGTTTCAAGTAAGAATTTTAATTAACTATTATACTCACACAAACACAATACGTATATCGTTACTGAAAAAGTTTTTCACAGACCCGATCACAGCATACTATAGTTAGACAGCATCATTCTCCTCGTTTTTAAATGAATCACGAAGTAAAAGCTGCCTAAAGACAAACTGCAATCATCGATTAGGTAGGGGACAATATAACGATGCGACGAATGCGGACATGCAAGCCAAACTTCTCGTTTAACTTCCTTATGCTTACATACAAAGTTTATAGTATCCAGAGCAAGTTCACTTCCTAGCTTAAACGCGGTATAAGATGCTCGAAACTTCAAAATGTCCAATAATCGAAATTTTCATCGGGCTGTATTCTTCAAGCGTTTTTCGCTTGCGATCGAGATAATTAAAAAAAGCTAAGGTAGCGGTTACTGTAGAAACTGTAAACAAACGGCTGCAGTTGTATATTCGTAAACACAGAAGCATCAAGTCATCCATTGATCGTTATTCATATGATTTATTCTTCGTCAATGATGGTGATGATTGGATCTCAATCTCAAGGTTCGCGGAAACTACGTACAGTTGCATGTCAATAGATAATATAATAATGCACAGTGATAAAATTGTATATGAATGCATGCGTGGCAGGTTAAGCGGGAGGTATACTCCGATTGTCTGAAAACATTTCAGATATTCATATATCGCCTGAACGCGGAGGAGATGAACAGAGCAATAAACTTCCAGCTACCTTGTATCGAATTTCACGGATTAGTTTCAATCACATCATGACAAATCTAATACTGATCGCTCTTCTGATATTCCCTATGCGAGTATTGCTATCTCACGGTTTGTACATGAAGCCAAATATATCCACTAAGTGCGTTAGTGATGTAAATCCTGGCGTTCGAATTCAATGCATTTTGAACACGTCTTCAAATGGCTATGGTTATATATCAGACAATATCACCATGTATTGGTTAAAAGATGGTCAACTCGTCAACCACTCGACATTGACATACCGTGACGAAGTTGGTGTTGTAACGGAAATCGTTGCGAAAAGTTTTGGTATGTTTGTGTGCGCAGTAGAGCAATCACAACACATATTACAGAATGAAAATATTTCCATAACGATTCAACGATCTCCGGCATCGATACGAAAACTCGTTGCAACTCCAAGATTTACGTGTGATATAGAAACATTTCCGTTCGTTTCGTTTTCCTGGTTGAGACATAATCCCAAGGAATTCCACGAAGTATTTTATAACTTTGATGGTACGAGCGATACTTTGATTGCCAATTGTAATGGCAATCTTTGCTCGTCGCGTATAGATACGCTCGGCTCTCATGGATTACCAATTTCATTTGTCATTAAAGCGCGTATAGGTTCATGTGAAGTTCATAGTACAAAATGGAAATTCGATTTGAAACTGACCGACTGCCATGGGACTCCATCTAATTCAACTTTACTTTATACACCTCATTCGCCAACGTCCATACGCATAGAAAAGCCAAGCCATCAGGTGATACTCATAGAATGGGAAGATGTTATAAGTTGGGTTCCAACGGCGGTTCGAATTAGCTTTACGTGTTCGGAAACAAGCGGAACGTTCGACAACGTTACCAGTATTAGAAAACTTTACCTCTCGGAGAAAGAACTCTACAATTACCGACCGTACGATGAATGTACATTTTGTTTGTCAGTACAAGAATACGAATGTGGCGGCTTTTCGCTACCTTTGTGTGGCACAACAAGACTTTGGGCTGAGGTACCAAGTCTGCCACCGACGTTTACGTGTACCAACAACACGTGCCTCATAAGTAACGGTAATAACGTTCGTAACATCACAGTCACGTGGGCGTTACCGACCAATGACAGCTGGAATGGAGTATTGACCGAGGTGAAGGTGAGATACTCGACAATTCAACTTAATTCATCGTGGACCTCCATCAGTGTGCCGAATGTCAGCAAGAACAGCGTGTTGATTGAAGGATTAAACAGTACATCGAACTACATCATAAATGCCCAGGTTTGTAATCACGTGGGATGTAGCATATTCAGCAAAGAACTTCGCATCTTTAGTATAAAAAAAAACAAACATGATAAAGAAGTTAGTGACTTCATATTCATGTGGATTTCTATCGCTGGTGTCGTATTTCTTGCTGTTGTTGTTGCTTTTTGTGTACTGAAACGTCGAATGAATAAGAAAAGCGGTCCACCGCCATTGGAATGTTTGATTGATCCGCTGGTCGACTACGAAAACTATTTCTCATCAGAAAAAAAGTCCGACGAGAAATTGGACACCTTAACGAATGAGCCTTGTAGGACTGACGAATCTGGTTCAGGTTAACATGTCTCATGTCGATGATATACAAAAAAACAAACTGGTCTGTGAAGGTAGAATTTATAATATATTGAAACGTCGATTGAATAATGAAATGTTCAATCGGAAAAACCGGAGAAACGATGGTTGACTACGAAAATTCCTCCTTCCTCGTCATCCAAAAAAAAAACCCATTCACGACACGATATGCAACGTCCTGCCGCTCACTTCGTCAATTGAGCCTCGTAGAACTAGTCGATTTCCTTAATATATCTCGTTGTACAGGGTCTCCCCGGTCCTCTATTGTTGTAAAGCCGCGTTGCAACCCCCCTGGAAATGTCGGCAAAAAAACACATCGAAAGAGAAAAAATTCACGAAGATGTGTGGGCGATTGAATATTAGTAATCCGGGTGTAATTATTAGAGTTTATAAAATAAATACGATACAAAGCGTGCGCTGATTGGTCTAAAGCTGTGTTTGCATTAGCCAGTGCAAAACACATCTGAGCTCAACAAATCAAATCAATCTAAACAATCAATCAGTCAAAGAGAATTTGCAAATCTATCATGAATACAATTTAAAGGAAAAATTAAAATGTTTGTCTTTTTCGCATTATTGTTTTTTATAAAAGAAATAAAAGATGTTTGTCATGTTTGCACTGGCTTATGCAAACCTCGGAGATGTTTGTGAGAACTCTTGAGCATGTGCAACCCTCGACCTTTGGTCACGGGCTTGCACTGATCTGCTCTCGAGTTCTCACAAAGGTCTCCTTGGTTTGCATAAGCCAGTGCAAACAGAGTAAACATCTTTTATTTCTTAAGTGAAGATTTCTCCGTATTAAAATTATTAGATTTAATTGCTCAATTCTATTTCCAAAGCAGTTACAGCGTAGTTTTACAACAAAAGATCTTATTCTAACGGAGGGTACTTTCAAGGGGCTACCCTGTACATGTTGATATGCTTGAGTTAAGCGCTGTGCAACTGTGAATACGGCATGAAACCATGTTGCAACATGTTGAAACCGCATGTAAGTTATAAAAACAACAGATTAACATTGTTTAAAGAAAATCTGTCGTTCTCTATTAGAACAAAGGTCAAGAACTCCAGAAAATATCTGACATCCTATTTATCTATTTATTTATTTATCTTTGCTATACAGCAGGAAAATTGCAAAACCTATCCTGGAGAACAGGAGAAGCTGTTTTCGTTTTTTACTTTTGGATTGTCCTTTTACAGGGGATTAACATGTACTCTTGCAATTTTTGCATGCTTGGTAAGGAGATTTTAATATGTAAATAAAAATGAGCTATGCGATCGTAGGAATTAAAGTTTAACTGTAGTACTAACTTTTCAAAAATTCCACAATCTAAATTGTCATTCTTATCACCTTCAAAACGAATGGTTCAAACAAATAGAGGAGTCTGATGATGAATTTGCAATAAATTTAAAATATTACTGCATTAAAAACTGTCTTGTTTGTTTGTCAAATATTAAAGTTAAACATGCACCTTTTATTCGGAGTATGTTTTAAAGATTTTTCAAAGTAAATTTTCTCCTTTATCAAGACTCATACTTATACACAAAATATCAGAAAAGCAGGTGGTTTATCTAAGACATTACGCAACATTCGGACAATTTTGAGCACCATCTTGGATCCTTACTAGGCACTTCTAGTCTCTTGTAAAGTTTACCCATGCATAAAGACGAAACTTTTTAAAATCATTTGCAAATGCTATCATGCTCAAAAGTAACTTTGGCAGTAATTTTTTAACGCTAGATATTTTGCGATAGCAAAAAGCCTGTAAATAATTTGGCGCGCTTTTCACAACACAGGTTCTACAGTATACCAGTTTTACCGTCAGTGAGTTTTCATTCTTCATTCTTCATTCACAGCTTCAACTGTTCAACGTTCACAGTGCCATCCAAATCTATCTCTTCAAAGTTCAGACCCAATACATTACACATCCTAGCAACTCCACTTTAATAGCCAGTTTTAATACCAGACGACTTTGTGAAGTGTCTACGGCGCCATGTTGCCATCGCTGCCTTTGTTTAATAAAGGAATTAAAACTCCTTTTCTTTTATTTATTTCGAGCACTCCGCGTAGTTTTCAACTTGAGAAAGCCTGGAATCTGACAAGGATAAAACTAAAACTCTAAGAAAGCATTTCTTTACACAGTAATCTCAAATTCCAACTTCATTAATTCGTTTGGACACGAGTCACGATAAAAAAAGAAAAGACCCCGCGACAAGCACGTTTTAGATCTCGTTGCCATGGCTTTCAGACTTGACCAATCAAAAGCAACCATCAATGAGAAATTATAAGCATTTTAGAACAAAGTTTATTTTCTTTTTTCTTTTTCACGACGATGAGCACATAACTTGAGTGTTTTACAGTGGGGTCTCGCCCTGTGCCATATTCAAAAATGCTCACAGACAATACACATATATAATGATAAGTTCTTCTTCTTCTATGACAACACCATATCTTTTACACGGTTGATAGTGATGATCCCTTTTCTCTACTTCATTCGGCCCCGGAGGATCTTTTTCTTTAAGTTTCCAGTCGCCCTCTACCTCTCCTTCATTCCTCCATTTAGTGGTTTCTTCGTTCTTTCTTCTTCACGCAAAAATTCGTTCTCAGTTTACTTTGTTGCACAACTTTTCCTACGCTATTTTTACCTTTGTTCTTCCTTATTCCTTTAACTGTCTTTTCAGGAAACACCGAATATCATTCTTAACATTTTGATTACTTTTGCGTCCAAACTTCCATCGTTTTTTGTTATTGATGTCAAACACTTGGAACCTTAAATTATACTTTCTGACGGTGTCTGAAACTTTGTAACCAAAAAGCAAACACCTCATCAGTAATGGTTGACTTTATTTCTAGGCAGAGGAAAGTTTCCAATAACTTAGTAAAATAAACACAGGAAAAAGGACCCTCGTCATAGTTTTTTGGGAGGGCTTTAAATTCAATCGAGAAATCACAACTTATATCTACATTCATTCTCATTTGCAAGTTTTAAATATCGTTCGCGAGTGTTTGGTCTAACGTATCCTATTTCGTTGCTTTCATTTCTTCTTCATGTTTGCGTACAGTGGAAGTTTTTCCAAGGAGTCCGTTGGATTGTTTAGAAAATCGACATTGAAGATCAAATCACTCAACGACTGCTCCATGAACAAGTCTTCTGGCTTTTCTGAAAGCTAGAGAAAGCAACAGAAAGATATATTGCTAACAAAGATTTTTCAAACCATTCAACAATTTGCAAAACAAAGTTATGACTGCAAAGTCTTGCTCTCGTCAAAAACATCTTCCTCCGACGAAAAATATCGTCAAATATGCAAAGAAAGTCTTATTTAACTAAAAACATCGGTGTGTATGCAACCATAGTCTTGCCTAGAAGCGGGGGGGACTGGGTAGGCCGCATCGTCGCTATTAATTTGCTGAAATTATACACAAAATTCAACATGCCCCATTTCTCCCCCGAGTCGCTAAAAACGTCGTAACATATTTGGATCACCCCCTCCCCCCACACACAAAAATCTTAATTTGCGTCCGATATAGTCGGTAAAAAAAAGCATGCAAACCATGAAAATACCACAGAATAGACATCTAACAGAAGGCCCACGCGGCTAAAATCGTGACGTAATTTTTCACTACGCATGCGTGAATTCCTAGCAAGATACTTTCAAAAAATCAATATGGAATAGTATTGCACGAGAATGCTACTTCACGAATAATTCACGTTTAAAGCAAAAGTTTGCCGAAATTTTTCACAAAATGTTACGAAGACGATAACGTTACAAGCTTTTGTAGTGCAAAACGATATATTTGTAAAAACATCTATATTTTCTATTGCAATCTAGCGGAAGTATCTTGCTGGAAGGCGTGTCTCCTAAGAATTTGCTTCACAAAATGGGGGACACGAACATCAAAGGTTCCGACACGAGTGGACCTTCTGTTAAGATATCTATTCTGTGAAAATACTCTGTCTCTTACCGATCTAAACTCCACGTCTTTGGGAGGAAACTTAAAATGCGGTCCGAAATTCACCGACACCTTTAACATGAAAAATGTCCCATCACGTTTTTTGACCGCATGATGAAATATGGGGAAACTTCAAATTAAACAAAACATACCGTAGCATTTTTATACAGCGATACCGCTGGGTAGTAAGTACCGGTGTAAACATTCTCAAAGGCGACACCCTGTGTATAAAGTCGATTCCACATTAGGAGGGTGTGCAGAGGAAAGGGTGCGGGGATGCGCACCCCACCATGCGCTCAGATATTTCAATAGCTAATTAATGAACATTTTATGATGCCCTCTCAACATAGAGAGGACTTTGCCGAAAAGTTATGCGTGGTTTGAACTTAGGAATGAAGTACTAAAAAAAATGGCAATTGGCCTTTTAGGCAATCTCTATCTTCTTTTTAGCAAATCACGTTGGCTCTGCGCGCGCAGTACACAGTAACATAGCCAGAAGGATTGGTACAACCCCCCTGGCAAAATTCTAGCCACCCCCAATAATACTTTACTTACATTACAATGCTCATAGGGTAGTCATGCTTCCCTTCCCTTTTTACCGCCCCCTCTCTTGATTGAAAAATTGGCTACGCCGCTAGCAGTACCAATGGAAAAAACGTCAATTTTCTCCTTCTCCAATAACAGTCTAATTCTTCGACCCCCGGTCAAAACCTTTTCTTAAGACTGGAAAAGTATTGAAAGAAAACGAACTTGCTAAAATTTAAAAGTCTATTGAATTTTATTGAAAGATCACATTAAACCATGTGTTGGAAACTATATTCAATTCTCCTGCAAAAGATGAATTTTAAACCCTTTCCACATTTTTCAGTGAGTGGCATGAGTTTGATTTGATTTAGCGATTGGTTTAGCGATTGTTGCGGATTTTCTACGGCATGAATGAAAGAGTTAAAACCTTCCCTGCAAAACCAGCTACGAACTTTTTAAACTTCTGTCGTAAGGAAGAATACTTGAACAAACCTTTGATTCGCCATTTTGATAGAATACAATCTGAAATGAAGAATTGATAAAATCAGACCGGCAAAGTACGTTAAAATGTGACTTAAAAAAGTTCACAATGCGTACAAAACGATTTGGGATTTTTTTCCAAGACAACATTTGCAGCAAGTGCAATTCAGTTGGTCAAAAAAGAAATTAATTAAACTCTTAGACTTCGAAAGACATGGCGTCACTCATTGTCGTTCCATTATAAATTACTTCTCATTTGCTCATACCACGGTATAATACATGGAAAAAGCACGAAATTTTATTACATTTGAACTCTTACATCATTCAGGTTAGTAAAGTCCCAAGAAGAACTGTTTGTGCAAGTATTTACTGACGTTCAGACATCTTTTGTAGTAATCATCCTCATCACCAGGGCCGTCGCTAGAATTTCAATTAAGGGGGGGGGGATTTATACATTCAGTTGTGCGCGACTGACTTCTTTTGAAAGTGATTTGTCTTTATGAATTTACCCCCAATCAACGTTCTAGCTAAGGCCATGCTCATCACTTGAATCAAAAGATGTCGAAACGTCGGTCAACACCAACACCAATGGTCCTTCTCAGGACTGCACTAATCTTCACATACAAGCACGTAACGATACTCCCGGGTTCAAACCATTTACTCAAGAAAATGTACAATCCGAACCTTGCTGCCTTCAAGCGGCGTGAGTTCCTAATGGAAAATAATAAAACGAGTTCAGCTACGAAAAGAAAGTCGATCATACTTCAAAGTGGTAGGCACGCAATCAAAAAATAACGCTCAAAAAATGCGATTGCGCGAATAATAACTCTGTAACATAATCACACCTTTTAATTTTGACTTACTTATCTATCTAAAAACCTTTCAGGAAGTGAACTCGCCTGAATCTTATCAAACATGCCACAAATATTTCCTTTCGAAAGAGATTGCACAAGTTTAAGCCTTCTTATCACCTCGCCTACTTCTGTGACGCACCTCGATCATGACCTCGATTGATCTTACAACCTATCCTAATTGATTTATCAATATCCTCAATGTCTAGCGCATTAAATGGCGTGAAAATAATCCCAACGACATATTTTTGACGCTAAGCACTCATGAGTTCCAGGCAACTTTATATTATTGTCGAATAAAAATCAAATATATATTCGCAAGAGGCTGTTAGTTTCAGTGTATTTTGCAACATGACTTTATGACGTCGCCAGTCTGCCCGTTTTAATTCTGCTATCGGTAAATTTCTGAATATTTTCGGATGTTATTCATTTTTTGAAAGAATATTTCTTCAGAAATATTGACTACATAAGCAAATTGGCCGCGCCATCGCACTTTACTCAAATCAGACATCGTAGATGAACATTTGCCCGAGCTAAAATATCAATAACAGTACATATTCGATGAGCAGTCCATCGATTTTAGTTCAATTCACAATCCGATTCAAAGACTCGTCAGCTATGCAAATCGCTTAGAGTGATTCGTGAAACTCGCTGTAATCGCCAACAAATTTTGCCACTTTGCCTTTGTAATTCAGTTTTAAAATTATAAAATTTGAGAACATTTGAAACAGTGCCACGAAAAGCGAACTAAAAACGACAGCAAGAACACACGTATTTGACTTCATAACGTGCTAAAATCTATCCCTTGCCTTTTCCGTCTGATCGACGCGATCCTTCTCTTCATAGTAAAGAAATCCTTTAAATTTAATCAGTGCCTAAGAAACGACAAAGCAAACGTGTTGACGTTTTTGAACCTTGAAAACCTGAAGGACAAGAAAAATACTTACGTTGGCTTTGTAAGTTGGAGGAAGAAACGAGGCTGTAGAAAGTGAAAAATACAAAAAGTAAGTTACGAGCTTGCTCTTCCTGTTCTAGGCATTTTTTATAGCATGCTTGAAAGGTAAAACTGCAAAAAGATTTTTTCCTCGCGGACTTTATATTCCCCGTATGAAAGAGGGGTTCGTATTTGCACCTTCAAGCTACTACAGCCATCATCCATTCATTATTCTTCGATGAGCATTGTGAAATTACCGTTGACAAATCTATGTTAAGCAGCTCATTCTCAAACACAGTTGTATTTCAAAACACTCGAGCACAATTCTCTTTGCGGTAATCTGTTATTTGCGTGGAAATTCCTCATACCAACATCATTGTTACATGTTTGTAAAAGTAGATCATCCAGGTTGGTATAGTCCTGAGAAGGACTGTTTTTGTTGTTGTGGTATAGTCCTGAGAAGGACTGTTTTGCTATTGTTGTTCAAACCATTTACTTTATTAACATCATTGTTCTCAAAGTATTTTTTTATAAACAAGCGAGTTGCAAAAACCTATCTCTTATGCAAGCTTACACAGCGAGCGAAACATGAGCCACATCGTTTACAGCAGCAGAAAATGAGTTTCTCGAAAACGTTACATCAATAACGAAACAATCACCTGCTAAACGGTTCTCCTCGGGTAAACTAATGAAAATTCCAATGACATCTCCCTTGGAATAACCATCGCTGAAACATCCACATGCAGTAAAATTAAGATAAAAGACAAACAAATTCAATATAAGTATATATATACTCAAGATAACACGGTATAGAAAACCTAAGAACGGTAGCAGCAGGAAACCTTGATAAAACCATCCAATGGATGTAGCGACTTTTTCAAACTTATGAAAAAAGGTGTTTATACTTTCTTTGAAACTATGGACGTATGTAACATTTTATTTTCATGATTGTCCATTTCATATATCCGTTGATCTTTCCCCCTGTAAGTATTTTTTATAAAACCTTTGAAAAATTGCCATCCATAGTTGAAAGCGCTATCCGAGCACGCAAAAGCAATGAAAGCATGGATTAAAAATGATTGTTTCTTTTTAACTAAATCCCCAAGCAGCCGTATGATTAACTTTATCCAGCCCTCGCAAACAAGTGATGTTTGTCGAGGTACGATTTAACTAACCCCAAATAACCCCCAACTGTCCCTTACGTTTCCCACCAAACTGATGAAAGACTTTTATAATTTCTTACTGAGGATAACAAAACTTTATCAGACTTTAACCATAGAATACCTTCGATTACTAAGGCACTAACTCAACTTCGCAAAACCACAACTATCCATAACTAACCCTCATGAATTGGAAAAGTTCCTTTTAATGTACATCGATTTATAATGCCGCACTCGCTATTCAGAATATCATGTTAATAAGTTGACTAAAAACATTACTCGCAATAAGCTTAGTCAACTTATTATCAACATAATGTACATCGATAATAACATATCACATTTTAACAATGACTAACCCTAAATAGCCCTCAAATACCTATAGTGCTTTCCTCGACTCTGATGAAAGACTGTCCCCTTTCTACTCCGAATGCTATAGCCAAATTTATCATAACCTAATGGAGCTTGAAGATTGCCTACAGAGAAACAGGAAGATTGATTAACACATCAATAAACTAACTTTCATGAAAAAAATGTGGCGCAAAAACTCAAAGGTTCGGGAATTCTTTTCAAGATGCAATATTTTTCGGAAACAATGATCAAATCTCGTTCGCATTCTAGTTCACATCAAACGAAAATGCTCGCACATTTGAGGTTGGTCGCGAAAAAATGTCTCAAAAGAGGACCTATCCCCCAGGATGGGGTAGATAACACCAGTTTAATGTCAAGAAGCCTGCACGAAGGCCAGGTACATAGATGGATGGCATGGAGCGATGGACATTAAACCAAGCTAAGTAACAAACTACGCACTGCCTCGTTCTGGTGTGAAAGCATAAAAGTTACGAAGCGCGGGTCTCATGGCTCAGATCGCGTCACATCTGTGGGTCTCCACGCATGCTAAATAGTTCAAGTGCATAGCACAGCCCAAACTTTACCGTAAAGTTGCGACCATCCAATCCTCGATGCAGAGCCTGCAGGCATATCCTCTACCGTCACCTACGAATGAACGAATAGAAGACTTTTTATAAATTTTTTCAAACTAGTTTGCTTTTTGTCGAAGGTTTCTAACCAAAGCTTTTAAAGCAAGAGCATTAACTAACATCATTAGACACGTTCGTGAAGACTCGAGCTGCTTCGTTTCGACCCATCGAAAAATCAACTAACTTTCTTTTCCGAAATATTTGAAAAAATAGAACACGTCAGAGTTGGCAAAAAGCAACTTATTTTACAACAAACTAAGCACAATGAGACACTTTAAGCGATAAAAATAATGTTTGAAAAGTCGAGTCGAAATTAAGCGATTGACAGATATCAACAATATTGACCTAAACTACTGTTTTGAGCTACGTAATCTACTATACCGAACTACTATACGGAATTACTTTATCAACAATATTAACTAAACTACTGTAATTTACTATACCGAGCTACTCTATCAACAGTTTTGAACTAAACTACTGTTTTGAGCTATGTAATCTACTATACGGAATTACTTTATCAACAATATTAAACTAAACTACAGTAATTTACTATACCGAGCTACTCTATCAACAGTTTTGAACTAAACTACTGTTTTGAGCTACGTAATCTACTATACGGAATTACTTTATCAACAATATTAAACTAAACTACAGTAATTTACTATACAGAACTACGTTATCAACAGTATTGAACTAAACTACTGTTTTGAGCTACGTATCAAATGTTGTTTAACCACGCAACCTACAGTGTTTCAAGTTCATCACTCACTTCAAAAAACCAATTTCCACGATTAACACCTACAACAAATAAAGTAGCGTCAAAGAAAAAATTCCATCTGTTTTCCCGTTTTCTATATAATAAATTCCACTCACCATGAGTTGCTCTCGCCATACTGTAACCTTTATCTCCGGTAACAGACAGTCGATCTTCAGACATCTTTACTTGAGGTGCTACACGTAAAAGGAGTAGAGCGATGTGTTCATTTTGTTGCTAATTACATAACACAACACGACGTTACATAACACAACACGACGTTACATAACACAACACGACGTTACATAACACAACACGACGTTACGTAACGCAACCCGACGTTACATAACACAACACGACGTTACATAACACAACACGACGTTACATAACACAACACGACGTTACATAACACAACACGACGTTACATAACACAACACGACGTTACATAACACAACACGACGTTACATAACACAACACGACGTTACATAACACAACACGACGTTACATAACACAACACGACGTTACATAACACAACACGACGTTACATAACACAACACGACGTTACATAACACAACACGACGTTACATAACACAACACGACGTTACATAACACAACACGACGTTACATAACACAACACGACGTTACACAACGCAACACGACGTTACATAACACAACACGACGTTACATAACACAACACGACGTTACGTAACGCAACAATATTTTCGTTTCATTTTCGCACGTAAGGGAAATCTTACCTCGGTCGTGCGAAGCAAGATAAACTTTGTGATGCAAAGCGACGCGGTATAACTCTCCAGGAATCGGTTTTCCCGCCCACGATTCCACGTCGAAGTTCGACTTGGGTGCGTTGGGGTCCTCCTCTGCTAATATGTAACGATAGCCATCCTGTGTGAAGAAGAAACATATCAACCGAGATGAATGCATGCGTTATTCGTTTTCTTCTCCATTAATACAACATTATGTTCGATGTATATCGTTGTCGAAAAACATGAACAGCACGATGCCTCAATCGAAGAACTTCTATAGTTTTTAAAGTTGCCTCAGATCAACGAGAAGAGAATAATTTTAATAAATTTTTGGGAAAAACGGTCCCTACATTTGGAAATTACAACCGACCTGACTTCGTACCAATGAACTAACTTTAGATAAACTGAACTAGCTTCGGAACCACTCGGAACTACCTTTACAACAACTGAAATTTATTGGAACAGCTGAACTTACTTCGAAGAAACTGAACTAAACTGTAACATCTGAACTTACTTCGAAGCAACTGAATTAAACTGTAACATCTGAACTTACTTTGAAGCAACTGAACTAAACTGTAACATCTGAACTTACTTTGAAGCAACTGAACTAAACTGTAACATCTGAACTTACTTCGAAGAAACTAAACTAAACTGTAACATCTGAACTTACTTCGAAGCAACTGAACTAAACAGTAACATCTGAACTTACTTTGAAGCAACTGAACTAAACTGTAACATCTGAACTTATTTTGAAGCAACTAAACTAAACTGTAACATCTGAACTTACTTCGAAGCAACTGAACTAAACTGTAACATCTGAACTTACTTTGAAGCAACTAAACTAAACTGTAACATCTGAACTTACTTTGAAGCAACTAAACTAAACTGTAACATCTGAACTTACTTTGAAGCAACTGAACTAAACTGTAATATCTGAACTTACTTTGAAGCAACTGAACTAAACTGTAACATCTGAACTTACTTTGAAGCAACTGAACTAAACTGTAACATCTGAACTTACTTTGAAGCAACTAAACTAAACTGTAACATCTGAACTTACTTTGAAGCAAATAAACTAAACTGTAACATCTGAACTTACTTTGAAGCAACTGAACTAAACTGTAACATCTGAACTTACTTTGAAGAAACTAAACTAAACTGTAACATCTGAACTTACTTCGAAGCAACTGAACTAAACTGTAACATCTGAACTTACTTTGAAGCAAATAAACTAAACTGTAACATCTGAACTTACTTTGAAGCAACTGAACTAAACTGTAACATCTGAACTTACTTTGAAGAAACTAAACTAAACTGTAACATCTGAACTTACTTCGAAGCAACTGAACTAAACTGTAACATCTGAACTTACTTCGAAGCAACTGAACTAAACTGTAACATCTGAACTTACTTTGAAGCAACTGAACTAAACTGTAAAATCTGAACTTACTTTGAAGCAACTAAACTAAACTGTAACATCTGAACTTACTTCGAAGCAACTGAACTAAACTGTAACATCTGAACTTACTTCGAAGCAACTGAACTAAACTGTAACATCTGAACTTACTTTGAAGCAACTGAACTAAACTGTAACATCTGAACTTACTTCGAAGCAACTGAACTAAACAGTAACATCTGAACTTACTTTGAAGCAACTGAACTAAATTGTAACATCTGAACTTACTTCGAAGCAACTGAACTAAACAGTAACATCTGAACTTACTTTGAAGCAACTGAACTAAACTGTAACATCTGAACTTACTTTGAAGTAACTGAACTAAACTGTAACATCTGAACTTACTTTGAAGCAACTGAACTAAACAGTAACATCTGAACTTACTTTGAAGCAACTGAACTAAACTGTAACATCTGAACTTACTTTGAAGTAACTGAACTAAACTGTAACATCTGAACTTACTTTGAAGCAACTGAACTAAACAGTAACATCTGAACTTACTTTGAAGCAACTGAACTAAACTGTCACATCTGAACTAATTTCAACGCAACTGCACTAAACTTGAACAACAAGCAGGGAAGCCAGAAGATCAGGGGGGAGGTAATATTCATATATGCACGCTCTACTTTATTAGTTTCGATTGAAATCAATTGTGATCAGTGATTTTAAAATAAGAATATATGAATATGAGCACACTCTTCAATTATCAATGTACCGGCATCCCTGACGAGAACAACTGAACTTCATTTAATCTTCCGAAGCTGGTGATTGTCTACTTTGTCTAGCCCCAGACTAACTTGTGAGAAAACACCCGAACAGAACTTCACTTGGACATGAATATCTTCTATTTCATTCCTCAATGGCCAATGCTATTTTCGCACTACATTATACATCTTGAGTTGTGGGATCTACTTGCCTTATTAAATGGATGTTCCAATGGATAACCGTGGATCGGTAGTCTTTGTTGGGCAGTTTCCCTGGTAATTGATAAAATCATGTGAATACAAACTATTTCAATAAATTTTAACTGATAAAGCACTAGGTGAGTTTCATACAATACAAATAAATTTTCAAATGCAATCCTTCCTAACAGTAGCACTATCCAACTCATGTCATTCAGCTCACCCGCACTTTCATTAGAGCAATAACATAAAATCTCAAAAAAATGTTCTTTGACAAATGTTCTTGAACATTTCTTTCAAATGTTCTTTGAAAGAAATAAGTGAATGGAAACATTTCATACTTGTGAGCGACATGTGGACATGACTTGCAGCGAAAACTGCTTAGGTGCCTTTATTTCTTATCATTGATTAAAACTTTTGTGTATATTCTCTATTTTATACATCAGCTATGGTTAGTTGAGGTGCTGAGAAAATTTTGCACCATGAAGGATTGTACTGTACAACAGTGGTGTGCTTGAAATGCAATTAGAGCTGATATTTCAATTCTTTGATGTTTCTAACACAAAATGAACTAGCCACTCCTATTTCCTCACCCTTTCGATTTCTTGGTTGCGGAAGCACCTTGGCTGGCATCAAACTTCCTTTTGCCTTTTCGTCCAAGTTTTGTGGTCTCGGTTCTACTTTTGCTTGTGTATGCAGGCGGGGCAGGACGTACCACACTTGATTGACTGCTGGTCACTCTCAGACCACTATTGGTGATGTGTGACTGTTGCTTGGTAACAAGCATTTGTTTATCAACATTGTTGACGGTTGGCTCTTGAGTTGTAGTTTCAATGTCTTCCATGACAATTTTTACTTCACTAGCATCTTCCACTTGGACAGTTTCTGTTTTGTCCGTGATCTCTGGCTGTTGGTCAAGCATCAAAGGATCACAGTTAATATTATGAATAACATTTGAATCCCTCAAAACACACAATCCAGAAAGATGTCAGACTTTACATTTAAGTTAGATTTTGCTATTAAACCAACATCGAAATGGTAAATTAAGCCAATTATCTCCGACACTGTTGCACAGAACCTCAAACATTTTTCGTTGCGTTTCTCTTGAAAACTATATCTGGTTTAAAACGGAGGTTTTCATTCAACAATACTATAGCATTTAAGAAAAAAACTCAACAATTTGATTTGTGGCTAAACGGACGATGAGGCATGCCATTAGGCCTATGCAGTTCGGTAAAACTTTTAATTGTATTTAATGTTTTGTTTACATTTTATAATTTGCAGAGACACGTGATGATAAATTTGGGTGTACAATTGCACAATAAAGCACAACATCACATAAATAATTTCAATGTTCAGAGCGATTATCCCTCTCGTCAAAAAACGACATGCTTCCCAGAATGGAAAGAAAGCAATTGTATTTATTTTTAACAAAATAACTAAAAATTTAAGGACTTTTAGAGAGTTTTCTCCTAAAAATCCATTACATGTACCTACCAATATTCTTTCTTCGTCTTTTGGCTGCTCATTAATGGCGTCAGTATCACTTTTTTGTGTAACTATTTCATTTTCCTCCAATGTCAAAATCTCCGCCATTTTGGACAGTGAAATTTAACGCTTCCAACATGAAGTATTTCATAAGATGAACTCACCATCGTGCAGGTGTACAAATTGGTTGCGCATTACAGTGTATTGGGAGTCCGCGTTTAGTTAGTTTTGGCAATTTTCAGCAATCTTGCTTTATCGGTTGTTCAAAATTGTAGTTTAAGGGTTAGGATAATGCCGCTCTCTAGCCACCCGTCTCATCAAAAGCCCTTTTCTTGTTGCTTTCTAAGTTTCTGACCTCTTGAAAAATAATCTTATTGTAGGTGCTTAAAAAAACTTATTGTAGGAGCTTGGAACGAGACTACAAGCTTCTTTCAATACTTTGAATTAACATGTTTGTGGATGAAGATCGTCCAGGCTAGTAGAGTCCTGAGAAGATTGTTGGTATTGATGTAGAGTTACGTTTCGACAATTCGACCCTCCTCACTTGACTCTGAAGATGACTATCGCTAAGGTTGTCGAAACGTCAGTCTACATTAATACCAGCAGTCCTTCTCAGGACTGTACTAACCCGGATGATCTTCATCCACAAACATGTTACGATACTCCCGGGTTCAAATCATTCACTCTACTTTGAATTAAATCGGTCACGTGCTTACAACCCAATGAGACCTTTGGTCGTCTAATGTTTTTCCATATTTTCGGTGGTCCATCATTTCCATCTTTCAGAGAAATTCAGATAAAATGCCTATATGGGAGTGTTAATTTGTTCAGGGGAAAAAATTAGTGATATTTTGATAAGAACAGTAAAGTTGCGGAAGTAACACGAGAACTTGGTAATTTTCGCTTCATGTGATATTTTTTTCCACTGATAGGGACTAAATATACCCTCGAAAAAACTGGCCACACTGCAGGTGTAGTGTTGAAAGCATTCAAATAAAGTAGAATACCTGCATTACCACCTGTCAGCGAAGCTGACAAATCTCTGAAGCAATTTACATGATAATACCATAATTATAGCAATATGAGTTATTGTATGATAATTTGTCAAATAAGCAGCAAAAAAGGCAACGTGTCAAATTACTCTACATGAAGAAATCAGTTCGTTGACAAATGAGTTCATAGCCACGAAATACTGATTACGTAACTTTACATCTATGGTGAAAATTCAGGCTGAGCATAAAATGTATCGAGCAAGCCAATATGTCGCTTGAGAGGCCATGTATATTGTTGACTGTCTAATAGTTTTACTGTTCCACGTAACCATGAATGAATTTACTGACATGATTGGGATCTTCGTTGCAGTAAAAATCTTTAACGTAGCAGAGAAACGTCACCAAATCGATCGTTTTGTTATTGTTTTCCGTCAAATGTTGATGGCAAACGCTTTTAATGCCACTCGTCACACCTGCAATGAAAGAAATGTTGTTTTGACACCAACGAAAGGCAAAACAACACCGATTAGCGCGGATTAGTGCCTTAGCCAGCAACAATTTTCTTGACTGCATTGCGGCATTTGCAATACTTCATCACTTTCACCTAGCGAAATCTTGGTTTCTGAAAAATGTGGGGATTTACTTCGAGTCAACATTGTCATCTAAAGTCTATAAACTATACTATAAACAAACACGCTCAATTCCCTTACTAAGTAGGAAAACGCTAACGTATCTATAAAAAACCGTTTGCAACGAGACTCCGGACAAAATATCCGGAATTATGTTTCGTTTACCTGGTAGGAGTTCCATGCTATCTTCTGTTAAAAGTCCCTTGTCGTTCGCCCAACATTTTTCGTACGACATACGTAATGAGTTCTCGAACCAAGGGGGAAGGACTCCATTCTCACGTATGTAGTCTCGTATCGACATCTTAAATTGCACAAACTCGTCCTCGGAGATAGCCTCGGGATTTTTGGAAAACTTTACCATCTCCGAGAAGTAGGCAAACGCTGGCCTAAGCCATCCTGCGTTAAATTCTTCCACGCGTTGCTCGACGAGGTCGTTTGACATGCCCCGACTTTGCAATTGTTTTCTCAAAATGTTGTCAAGCTGCTCGCCATGTATTTTAGCATCTTCCTGGATTACAACGCCAGGTCGCGTGTGTTGATAACTTTGAAACAAATGCAAAAACTTGCGACGCAAAAACTGCTCTCCTTCGACCTCCATAGTTGAGTACGTATACAAGAAAATAATTAGTGACTTCACTTTACCCAAACTTTTCACCTATTGTGCTCAAACAATACTCTCTTTCGATCAAACAAAACCCTTTTCATGTGAGCTCATTAATTTGCGTTTATCATTTCGCGTTGTGTCAGTTGGTGAACCGTGGTTCGTGTGGTTTACAAATTATAAGCCACCATACAATTGTATGTGTAAGGTGTTTCCACTTCCAGCGCTGTGTTTTTCACTTATTACACTTGGCTTTTGCCAGTTCTAGCCTTATTGCCTTATTTATACTTCACAGCAGCTTTTTCGATCTTTGCATTCCCATTTGTCTTTTGTATTGGCATTCAACAGATGTACACGACTCCTCGAAACACGAAAAACGCTACGCGTGAAAATAAAAAAAACGCTTTCAGCTTTAGTATATTTAACGCCTTCGCAGTTCATATTCGATCTAAACAATCCTTTTAAAGACAATACCAAATTGACATGCCCACGATTCTTTTAATTGTAGGCATAGCGGGAGGTGATGAATCATATAAACTATAAAACAACAAAGTGCATGGTGAAGGTTTCATGAAGATAACATAAAAACGCGCGATGAAGTGGAATTGACGTCGGAAGTTATAAATCATAAATGGACAAAGAATGAGAAGATCTCTTCACTACATAAGTATAGCTGCGACAACGTGTGCCTGCGTAGGCAACGATGAACGAACTACAGAGAAGTAAGACTGTCTTTATACAGTCTAAAATATGAGCTAAGAGATAACCTGAATCCGCTCAAATAGTGATAAACGAACAACAGTTTGCATGCAATTGCTCGGCAACTGAATCATTATGAAATAAGATAACTTCTGACAGTGCGGATGGTGATGAATGAGAAACAGAGACATTACCTATAAGCAGATAACGAGCGTTAGGGAAGGTGATGATGAATAAATAACAGAGAGCGAGAATAGTCTTTTAACTACCTAAAATACAAACTAAGATAACGTTGTAGTCAACCGTCAGTGTAGGTAGTTACGACATATGAATGAGCAACAGAGAAAGAGATTAATGAACTATCTTTACATTACCAAAATTAAAGACTAAGATAACGTGTGTCCGTGTAGTAGCCATGATTAAGCGACAAATAATGAGACCAGTCTTAACTCTTAACACTGTCCAAAATACAAACTAAGATAACGTTGGTCACAGTGTCAGTGAAGGTTGCGAGAATGGACAACAGAGAAAGAGAACTTGTCTTCACACAACCAAAATACAAACTAAAATAACGTGTATAATATGGTGACGATGGTGGTGAATAATAAGGAATAAAAAAGATTAACGACGGTTAAAATTTTTTGCCAGCTAATCATAGCTGGTAGTCCTTTTATTTTATTTACATTTCTTAATAAATACTAAATTTCGTACGAAATGCAAACATTTTAGAGAAACTGTTTTATCCAAAGTCAATATCGTTACTTGATACTTCAACAAAGCATTTTGAGTAAAATATAAAGATCTTATTTGCTTATTTAAATAAGGTTGTTTCGCTCTATTCTTAGTGTTTCAAGGAGCTGTACTGGATTGACAATTTATTAAATACAATGTTAATGTCATGTTGCTGAACAAATAGAACGCTTTCTTTCGCCTATCCAGCATCTTGCTTGTATAGTTTTCTATCAAAAGGATTGTAATTCGGATATATGTACAAATGTATTCAGAACTTTTCAAGAGCATGCGCAGCCTACCACCTTCACCTTATCCACGTGACGTAAAACCACGTGTTGCATGCGCTTGTCTTTTTGATCGTAGTACAGCACTGTAAGCTTTTCAAACTTGGAGGGTGCGCAACACGGCGAGTTTTTACTGCGCGGTAAGCTTTTTATGGTATTTGTTATGGCTACGGCCAATTGCTTCAACATTGCATCCGCGCCCGACAAAATGGTGGGCCTATGTCGCCCGCAAATCCCAGTTTTAAATGACTCGGGGAGAATAAATGTTGAATTCTTTGCATTCTTGAGATTCACTTTCACTCGCGTCATATCACATGTCGGTTTAGCACGCTTCCATCTTCGCATCAGACTCGTTGCGGAATCGAAAGAACTTTGGTGCACATACGGTAGGCGATCGTTATCAGCCACGGAAACGCTTCGTTCCACTCTCCTCACCAATTCGTCCGTGTTCGTCACCAAGTATACTTTGCCACTGAGAGCGTTGACTACCTTGGAGCAATGATCCCGATGATCAAGAAAGGTGATTTTTATTTTAACGCCGTCGATGAGGTGACGCGTGGTCAATTTCTTGATAGCTTCTGTCACACCAATCGTGTGGACACCAGAGTGACGCAACGATGTGGCGTAATCACCGAGAACTCGCCCGCTCTTTTTGTCCACGACACGAAAGTTTAAACGAGGACGTTTACAATGCAACAGTTGCGAGAAGTTGACGCGAAGTCTCGCGCGTTTCAAGTTCTCCGTCTGAAGAAATTCCAAATCTGTGAAGGTTGCTTCGAATGTCGAGTTGGATCGTTTTACCCCTAAAATTGATACGAAAAACAATGAAATAAAAGCATATCATTCGTATTTGAGGACATTCGTCTTCTCGATGAGACAAAATCCTCGATTTATGGAAGAGATGTGATAATGAATGGTGGAATACTAAAATTTTATAAGAAACTTTTCTAACATCCGAAGAAAATGTTTGAGCATTTATAAACACTGATAAATATCAAATTAAAAATGTTCAATAAGTTTCATTGTCACGAAGTCAAAGACGTTTTACGTAACTCTTCAATTATTGGAATAGTTTTTAGCGTATTGAGCAAGTTTCTTCTTCTTCTGTTTTTAAGTTTTTCTCGAATGTTACTCGAAAAAGACTACTTTTAATACTCACGTTCCAAACTCCAAACTTCGTGATCACAAACAGACCTTTCAATCGCATTGCATAAACTATGTTAAGAACACAGAACACAAAGAACTCGGAATCTACCAGAGACCACACACACACAGTGCACATAATTGTAAGTCTTTTTATGCTTGTATTCAGGAGGGGGGTGTCCATGTACTATGAAGATATTTCGCGTTACAGATCGATTAAGCTTTCACTAGCCAGTCGAATAAATGCAAAAAAGATCATTGGGTGAAGCCAACTAGAAGACAACGTCTGCGAACATCTTTATTGGACCAGAGAACTTTTTCAAAACTTTGGGCGCGCACGGCGTTTTTTTCAATCAGATCGTGAAGCGATCAAATGCTTTTTGAGACCGCTGATTGGCTTATTTCTCATGATGAAACAGACACGCCATAACAGCCGCGAGCTAATCACGACAATAATTAAAATTAACAACGCTTGTTCCGATAAACCATTAACAGCTGGGGGTGACACGCGTCAAGTTGAACAAGCAGACAATTAGAGAAAAAATTACAGACCACACAAAGATTGGGAAAGTTTTACAGTAAAAAAATCGCCAAGCTATTTCAAAATTCAAACACTATCCAGATTGTTGCAAAGTAGGGAGGTGTTTCAAGTAAAAATAAGATCGCATCGTTTGTATAAATAGATTAGAGGATAGTTTTATTTAAAAAATGATTAAGAAATTCTTTTTGCATGCTTGAAATATCGGTCAAAAACAGCGCAGAGTGCGCGTAATTTCATCCTTCTTAACCGGCTTTAAAAGTTATTCACCACGCGTAATCCAAAATAATCACGTAACGAGTTATATTTTCAAAAATATTTTCGTCAACTATTAAAAAGTTTAGCGATGAAATTCGAAAAATGCTCTCCCGCAAGCTACAACTTGGTTTATGAAGACTTTACACAATTTTTGTTTTCTAATACATTATTAGACCAACGCACTATGTAGCTATAGCGATAGACGGACATCTTATTTGTGTGCTTCGTTTGTCAAAAGAAAAACCCGAGTTTTTCCTGGTGCACACACCAACTTATGTTAATATAGTTATGAATTTTGTGCATATAACAATTACGATAATATGCCAAACAAGAACTCACCAATAGCTCTGTTGCTGTGGACGATTTTCGAGAATGGATGGCTGTTGCTGCGAAATTTTTCATACAAACGCCACATGAACTTCGGTGCTTGTGTGGGCTTTGCCACTTTCCTGCTCAACGGCACGCAATTGCACACGTTTTTAAAGATGGCGAACGCCAAAACAACCTGCAATTTCAAGGTGTACATTGTCTCTTTGATTCTTTATTATTCTCACTCAAATTCGGCAGGCTTGGAAAGGAATGCAGGGAAGAATTAAATGGCTATTCGCTTGTCCTGCTCTTGGGTTATGCCTTCAAGACGAGCGATCTTGTAAAGCCACAGGCTACAATTTTCGTAAACTTTTGCTTTCTCACAGCGATATCACACGAACTAGAGTTTGCCACCAGATGATGATCTTGCAATACAGGAGTAGCTAGTTCACTCAACTTTATATCGTTGTACACAACCCACCGCACACTCTCAAATTTCCGTATGTACACATACTTAATCTCCGCAAAGTACGTCTGCAGACCCACTGATTGTCAATTGAACAAATAAACGGGGTTCATTTTTTTATCAAAACAAAAGTTTCTAGGGCTTTTTGAAACGCTCCGAGAGTGTCACTTGACCACGTCGTGTTTCAGCCCTTAATCACTTTAGTCTAAATAAAAACGGGACGCGGACTTCCCATCGGGAGAATCGATCATCAAATAAGGAAATCCACTCCGTGTGAAAGTCCGTCCACACGTTAAAATCCATAGCATTTCGTCTTGATTCATGCGCAATATACTCTATAGCGCAGTATTTTGTCTGAGAAGTTGAGAGTTTAGGATTAGAGATTGGGCTGTAAGTGTTATAATCTACAGCCGACGCCCGCATACCACATTTCGCAAGCATGAATTTGATCAGTGAGGCATTCATCTAGTTCGAAACAATGCATTCTCACACCTGCTTCGGAATTTCACTATTATTATATAGAAACGCGTGAAAATGAGGCGCAAATATACGCAGGGGGTGGCCAAAAACAACAATATACAAACATAAATAAGTTACTTCCCCATCGTCATGGCCGTTTGGCAAGTTTGCTCTTGCTAAACAAACTTAAGAACATTACTATCATTAATCAATTTTTAAATATCTATTGTTTTTGCAATCCACAAACAAAGAAATAGTTGTACGGCAAAACTAAATGCGAGCGTTTGGTTACCCGACTGGATGACGAAACGGCACCACGCATTCGGTACTAAAGAGCACCATCATGTATGAGTTAGATAATTCCTTGACGGCGTACAATGATAATGAAAATTCTACAACAAAAAATTCGCTAGCAGATCTCTACCATATCTCAATTTCAATGAATAGAGTTCTCCCAGCCAGGCAACGAACATAAGAGTGAGATTTTTAGCCAAGTGTTCAAATACTCGCACGGCCGAAAAAATATGCATGGTTCAGATATATTGTGTAGTAAATAAAGGTTCTCCGTGCATGCCTTTCTAGAACAAGACGATCTTATGAGGGGAGAAATTTTTAATGTTCGTGATGTGCATTTGGAGTCTCTGTGATTTTATTTTTGAAGAACTTCATAAATTTTAATTCAAACTAAAGATCATTTCAAATCAGATTATGCATTGGTATGAGAGTAAACAACGACTTTCGAAATTTCAAACAAACTTGGCAAAAAGAAGCAGAAAGGTAAAATCGCCGAAATCGACCGTAGTAACTGCAAGCATAAGAAAATATAGCACACCAACCGCTGAAATCGACCGTCGTAACTACAAGCATGAGAAAAATACGTCACACACTATCTTATAGATTACTTCATACAAAACCGTCGAAACCTCATCTCGCGATTCAAGAACAAAATTATCACTACGTAAAACTCGCAAAAAAAACTAACCTAAGCAATAAGTTCTAACGATGACGACTAATGCATGGAAAACGTTTCTTTCCCTCCTATCGTATTACTGCAATAACGACACGCGTTAATCGTTTATACAAACAACAGAACAACTAAAGATCCACATTCCTAAACAGAATCAGACCCAAGAACAAATTAACAAATTTTTGATCGAAAGTGAATCTTTGTGTTTGCCCAATCAGGGCCATCGGAAGATCGTCACTTTGGGGACGGAGGAAGGGGGAATGTGTTCATTCATATATTAGATTGTGTAAAACTGACTTCTTTTTGAAAGCCAATACACTCAAGGAAAAATCAGTAAGGTGCAACTTAATAAATGAATAACCTCCCACTCTACAACACATTAACATTCCATCGACTTCTGTTTCTATACCGTGTAGCAATCTACGTTTATTACATCTATCCAAGATAAATAATGTAAGCTGACATTGGGCGCGTGGGCGAAGAAGATGATCTTTACAAGATTGCGCGAAGAACATGCAGTGACGTACTGAAAGGACAATCCAGTATAAACAAGGCGAATGCTTCCGGTTTTCAGCAGAAACAACATTGCGTCCATGAGAGATGATTCTGATTGCTTCCCTGGTAGGGGAAGTTGAGATTTGACTGAAAAGAGAAACTCGGCATTTGGCATGAGTTTTTGCCTTTCGTAAATCGAACACATTATTTTTAGGTTGTTCGTTGCAACTGAAACAAAGCAACAAACCAATGCTCGTTGCATTGCACTATTTCATTGTATTGTTTTCGAGCCGTAAAAAATCTGGCGTCGATTTATACAACCACACAACGGGAATTGCAATAACGACCTTGGTATTTCGCAACGCTTCCTTGGAATGCTCACACATGCAAGTTGTGCAAATCGAGCGTTGTTTTTCTAACCACAAAAACGTTTGAAAAAGGAAGAAACATTAGGGGATTTGAAGTGTTTTATAAACAAACTCGCTGATACAAGCAATCGCCTCCCATAGTTTAAAAATGTTGTTGTTATTCGCGCAATGTCTGCGATAGATGCTTGAAGAATTTGCGAGTGCACTTAAAGCATTCCTGTCGAGGCTGTTTTACTGTTGTGATTTGAGTGTTCGCATAAGGTCAAGTTCGTTTGCCACTAATCTTCTTTTGGTGGGTTTGTTTCGTAATAATAACATGATCATAATTGATTCTGGGGGCTGGGCTGCGGTGCTACAAGCAGGTTGCTTAAAACCACAGTCAACTCGGTCAGTCTCGTTTCGTTCGTTTAAATTAAAATGAAAAGCGAACAAGTAGCAATGGGTCAGCGGTGAGAAAATGTTCATGAAAGTGCGATATATGTAGCTGAGGGAGCTGAAATCACCAAAACGATTTTCAACAAGTTCGTTTGAGTATGCACTAATTGTAGGAGAGGTTAAATATGTAGTCTAAAAGCGAAATTCAATATGGCTCTGCAAAACGGGGGTAAGAAAAACCACATCTTTAGTGACTCAAGCCACAAGGAAGAAATCGGTTTTTTGTCCTTTTTGTTTGCACTTTTACAAGTAACATAGTTAACAGAAGTTAAAAAATCACTCGAAATACAACAGTCAGTGTTACCGAACAACAAGTTGGTCATGAGAAAGAAGTTTGAACACCATGCGAAATCAAGTTAATTAGCTTGAATGCAGTGCTACAAATGAGTCATGGCTTTTTCATATTCGCACGAAGCACAGACAATGAAAAAAAACGACAGTCTGCTTTAATTTTTGTAGAAAAACAATTTATTCTATCAACTCCACTGGACCAAATCCTACAAAGTCACAATCTAACTGTTCTTAATGAAAACGAAGATTGGCAAGGAGTTTCGTTGTCGACGTCTTCATCCTTTGCTTCCAGCCCCCTGTCTTGCACAGCCACATTTCGTCACGACTGCACCGGGAAATCTTTTCAAAACGATCGTACCGTTAAGGTCGTACAACACGACAAATGCCACTTTAACAAGCGGTACGCAACAATTTTCCTTCGTGACGTCACATGTAGTTGCAGATGACGTTTTGGGGGAACAAAGACCTTGGCAAACCTTTGTTGTTTTCGGTGAATACTGCAGCGGTTTCAAAAGTGACAAATTGAAGCGCGAGTATAAGTCCTCGTTAATGTAACTACACGAAGTAGCTGCCTTGCGTTTTTTACGACGACCAAGGCTAATGGTTGCGTCCGGTCCAGCGGTTGCAGTGTATCTTTGGTTTGTGTTCATTATACTGTTCATGGAACCTTGTGAGTTAACATCGCGATAATGAATCAACAAATACAGCATCAGCTGTTTGCCATCTTTGAAGTAATCCTGAAAATTGAAAGGGTTTCCGTCTTCTCGAAAAGCGCTCAGTTCCAAAGATGTTTTGGCCCGATGCTTCATTGCTCGGAGCAAGACGTTCAACGTAATTTTTTGCCAGCCAAAATTACGAACGGTTTTCTGACCAATTACCCGTCCAGCAAAGCGATCTTTCACCTGTACCACGTGGGTTCGGAGGTCGCCAAAATGAAGATAAACCGACTCACCCAAAATGATTTCGTCGGGTCGTCTCGTAGGAGAACGGAAGGTCAATTCGAGCGATGCATTTTTGGCGAGAACACCTGTAAGAAAAGTAATCAATGAAATGCATTTCGCGAGACGTCAATTATGCCACAGGGGGGAGTAAAAATACTTGAAATAGCCCAACGCAGTGTTGACAACTTAATGTTGTTTACGACAAGATGATTTATGATGACGTTTCAAGCGTGGGTTTTGAAAATATAATACAATTCTTCAGTCTGCATGGGCCCCATGAAATATCCCTTGTTTCAATGAAGTTCATTAGGAGCGCCCACCAGCAGTGACAGTAAATGCAAGGCCGTTTTACTAAAAACTTGTGTCCCAGTGTTACTAAGCTTAATCCGTACTTTGCCACAGCAGTTTACTACTACGGACATTGTTAATAACCTAAGTTGCAAACGGATTAAATCGTAGACAGACATCGCGTTGCTTTTTATTGTCAAGAAACGAAAAAAAACTGACGATAATGTGACAGCAAATGAAATCAACCGTTTTTGTTAAAAAAAGAAATAAATTCGATCACACCGAGAAGAAAAAATGTCTTACTTTTGGGTTTCAGAATACGCATTGTGTTCGAATTCGCTGGCATCGTTCTTTGAAGGATGTCGAAGCCTTTAGCAATTTCCACGTCGGACTCCTTCAATCTTGACGCCAAAACATCATTGCTACAAAGGACTTTGATCAACAGAACGCAACGTACGAAGAAACTTTTGCCCATTTCTGTATGCCTTTCTTCTCTTTTTCTTGCTTCACAAAACTCTTCAAGAGTGGGATGGACTCGAGTTTGACTTCAATTGGCTTGGAAATCCAGTTGTTTGTCGCGAGGTAGGTATATTTTAAAAGGAAAAATAGTAATTCTAGCACTCTAGCGCTTTCTGGTCTCTTCTGATTTTTCAACACTTCAACCTGTCTTATATATGAAGGACGCGTGCCTGCATTGTTTATGCATGTGAATTTTGATCTCTTGTTTACCTTAATAACGGATTAGCTCATTCTTTTTTCCGCATTTACTGAGCATATAGGGCAAACGCGCTGTGCTTTAGCGTGTGGGAAACTCCTTTCGATGGCTTTTTGAAGGTAGACCTTCAGACAAACTGCAGAAAACTCTTGGCTGCAGTAAAAACGACAAAATGTGTGGCAAAGAAGGATTCGCATGGGGTACATACGTCCACTCCTAGACATCTTACGTATCGTGCATGCATGCGCGAGAGCACAATTCGCTTCGACGAGATTACATGCTTTTAAGCTGTATAATCTTCTTCTTAAAACAAAAAAACTCGAAAACTAAACTCCCCCCCAGAGAAAAATGAGGTTAATCAAAAGAAAAGGCGAACTCGACGTGCTCAAACGCGGATTAGCATTTAACGATATTTCCGCACATCAGTTTTTGAGAGAAAAAAATTATTGCGTTGGACCATATTAGATAGAAAATGTTGTCAACACAAAGGAAGAAGATGTTTCGCTCCCGAACAAAGATAATTATAAAGTAAAATAAAGGAAAGCTGAAAATAACAAATAGGATTCTCTCTATAAAAACAGGAATGTCACCAACGGGATTAGAAAAATAAAAAAGGGCGAAAATCACTGAACATGATCGCCTTAAAGGAGACCGAGAAACCTGAATATTTTCAGACACGAAAACTCGATAACTGTATGGACGTATGTATGTGAGTACTTTGGGTAAACGAGAGCTTTATATCTAAGGAAATAAAGGGGTCGTAGAAAGAGGGAACTTTAAGAGCTCAGGAAAAAGAGAAGGAATACGGCGCTTTCTAGTAAAAACCGACGAACACTCCAGGAAATAAAAAATACTTTAAAAAATAGAGAAAAAACGAAAATCGTAGGGAACGAGAGAACAGGCTTAGCCAAAACGACGCTCTTTTCAAGGAAGGTCTTTGCAAAAGTCAATTCTCTAGTCATTGATTTTAGAATGCTTTTCAGAGTATAATGTGTGAGAGGGATGTTCTCGTTTTCTACCGTTCATACACGCCGGTTTAACTTAAAAATTCAACCAGACATTCAAATCATTTTGCCTTTCCCTTAATGTCGAAGCTGTGCACTTGCATTAATCCACGTAGACGGCATCCTTCAATATGAAGTATTTGAGACTTGCAAAAGCCCTGATGGTGTAGGAATAAATAATGAAAAGTTTTGAGATACAACGAAGAAATGATAAAGGCGGTGGTTATTGATGATTGGGGGAGACACTCATATTCGTGTATATGTCCATATCGTATTATTCGTGATCAAAACTGATTTCAACAGAAACTAAAAAAGTATAACATGCATTGGTGAACACAGCCACCCAATCAACATTTTACCGTCGTTCCTGGGTAGGAAGAAGCGGTCATGGAAGGTCAGCAAAGAAAACTGAATTAGACTTTTAATCCAAGAACCTTTCTCAAGAATGTACATGCATGCAGTGTCCTGATCCTCTTAGTGTGCTTTGAGGAGATGTACAAATGTGTACAATGTTGTATATGTGTGAAATTCAAAATATGCTATTAAGTATGCTTTATATTAGAGATTGCTCGAATTAGAGCTTGTTGGCAGGGTTGTTTTCTATGAGCAAAGTTTAAGAATGACGGCAGGCCATATTCACAATGGGCTCATTTTGGAACAATGAAGCGTTAGATATACACCTTTCCGAGTGCAAGTCGAAAACAGTCGACTTAATAGGTTAGCTTCAGAGAGCAAGGCACTTGCATGTAGTTCATTTTGGAAAGACCAATGAAGAAAGATGGACGGCAAAAGACCGCAGAAGAAAAAAATATGTGTAAGCTAACTCCACATGCAAGCAAAGATTTAAATTGGATAACGGCAAAAAGTTCTTGTAACAAAAGCAGCAACGTACATTTTTCTATTCCGGAAAAGCACGATAAAAAAAACAACTCCAAAAACTAACTATTCAAACACGTCCAAACTACATTCTCGGTCGCTTTCGAACAAGGATGAATGCACATTTAGTTCGAACAAAAGAAAGAATTTTCACATAAACAAAGAGCAAGATCCAATTTACAATATAATGAAGCATTAGCCTTAACCTAATCTTCAAGGAACACTAAATATCTCCCAAGTTGAATAACATACAATAGTAAGTTAGTGATGAAAAGAAAGGATAAGCCACTTATATGCAAAGGATAGAGAGCCCTCTTAGCGTTTTTTTACTTAGATACAAGATTCCTTTTTTTGAAAAAAAAAAGTGACAAAAGGAAGTCAAGGTCATCCATGACGAAATCGAAGTTCAAAGAATACTTTACAGCTTTATCAAAACTTAACCGTCAAACGAAGGAAACAATAACGAGGCTCGAGTTTAAACACAGTAGGAATTCAGCATTAACAAGATAAACGAAACTGCGGATGTACACGAAATTGCATTATTCTGTTTCTAATATCTGCATATTTTAAATCTTGAAATAAGCACTGCCCAAAAAAAGAACATAAATGAATCCCAGTCAGTCTCTAAAAGGCCAATTGTGATTTCCCTGTTTTGATACGATAATCTGGGCAATCTTTCAACTGCTTTACAAGATGACGGTTAAGAAGGAGTAATATTGTTGAATGGTGAGTGAAACTGATGATACAACTTTTTAATGCTAATTTTGAAATTGGGTGTTTTTGAAGAGACGATACCATAAGTCTACTTAGTGCTGTAGATTCAATTATCTGGTATTCATTCATATAGAATTTATAACAATACATCTCGGGACTGGGTGGGTGTGGACTTTCTGTTTCTGCGGGGTTTACACATCAAAGCACTAAACATGTCGCGTTCATTTAAACCATGAAACCATATTGAGGTGAAAATTCATATCGTTATTCTGACGTCGACTGTAACCTTTAAAGTAATATGTTAAAGCGCCGATAACAACATCAGGGTCGGGGAAGTAATTTCTTTAGATAGTCAAATAGATTTCACGAAAATTTGCAATGTATTTGACACGTCCAAAATTTCATCTTCATGCACTTTTCTGGCCTAGAAGTTTTGGGACACACGAAAAGCCCGAGCGGAAAAAAATTTTCGTCGTTTCAAACTTATTGCAACCGTGATATTTCGTTTGAGACTTCAGCTCCCGTACCGGCAGTGGAGAAACGGAGTACGGACTAACAGCAAGGATAGACTCTCGACATCCGAGGGGCCTTTGATAAAAGGACTATAGTATAAAACAGCGAGGATTAACTGATAAGGCTTCCTGTATAAATAATAGCTGCATTATAATAATTTTCTCCGAGGACGTATGTCAGAATTCTGTGGTTTCATCAAAATTCGCATCGTCGTATGGTAGTCAACAAACCGTTATCACCCGGATGTTTCGCGTCACGCAGTTATTTAACATCTCACGAATTTTTAATATAACATGAATATTTAAAATCCATCACACGGATCTTCGAATCACGCTGTATATGATAGAAGGTGTATACGTACATATGTACTTTATGAACTAACTTAAACAACATTTATCTCGAAATTCCGAAACAATTTAAATGAAATCATGTGCATCGGCTAGGTTATGATCAAAAGGGAAAAACAATCCGACTTCAACGAAAGGCTTCAATGGGAAAATAAATTATACACAATGAAACATGTGACAAATAAATAGATAGAGATGCGCAATTTAGCCGCTGTGACAAAAAATAAAATAATAAAATAATAATAAAAAAAAAATAATATGCACAAAAATAATATGTTACACGTTTGAAAATAACACGTTAGACACGTGTGAAAATTTTTTAGAAAACGTCAGCAATTTCACAATGGATCCAAAAACATACGTAATCTTACCATCATACACCGCAGCTACTTTTACGCATTATTTCGTTGATAAGCATTCTATATTTAGTGGCGTATAGCAAGCTCGATGATTGGAGGGGATATCAATATATGTGCACGCTGAAATCGGTTTCCCATGCACAAATGAATATTAAACCTCCCGATTGTCATCCTTGCTACGCCACTGATATTTTGACACCGAAGCGACATCTGGGCTCAGATCGCGGTGTGTTTGGTCAGCAGTCCGTGAACGTACGTAAAAGAAAATAGAGTATGAATCTAAGCAAGATTGACAACGACTCATTTTTTGAATGTGACAAAGTCATGGGCGTAGAAAGATCGATAATTGCAGGGGGGAAGGGCTCATATTCATATACGCATGTTATAATACGTACAAAACAATAGATTTCAAAGGAATTTAAGGTGGAATATCGTGCGTATATGAATACGGGCCATTAGTAGTCGATTTTCCTACGCCCTTGGATATCATACGTATAATTATAAATAACATGATATAAATATTAATATAAAACATAAATACAAATTGAAAATACGTTCGTGTGTGCCATCGAGATACCAATAAAATAACGCGAAAGCCCCGTCGTCAATTCGGACAATTGAACATTGGCTCTTTCGCGCTAAACTCGTAAACACGATCTTTTTGATGATGACCATAGTCAGTCGATACGGTAGTTTTGGACCGCTCTCGTAAGAATAAACTCGGTTTTTTAACTTTCAATAACCCAGAGTCGAATTCGGTGTGACCATATATGAAATATTTTTGCCAGATTTAGTCGGATGAGCTTGAACACTCCCCCCTGTCCCGAGCTTTGCATCTAAATAAAGCAGGTGGAAGAGGAGAGTCTAAGCTCTGACCACATCAAATCTAGTAAAAAATTTGCATGCATGACCGAGGTGGTCAACGCGCGGTTTTACCACGTGTCTTATTCCGCATGCATGGTTACAACTTTTAAAACAACTTCAATATATATTTTCATTCCACTGAAAGGTGAAAAGACCGTGTTTAAAAGTTGCAACAAGGAAATCAAAGCACCAAAAGGGAGCAAACCTCCTAAGGCTAAGAAAAGATCCCACTCCGTAAGCATGTGATGTCGCGATGAAGTGTTAGTTCTCTTAGACATCTACATGGCCCTAGACTATTAAAACGTTATCTACAGATCTAAAAAAATAGGGTCCAAACAATAGAAGAGATAGCCAAACCTCCTTCTCTCAGCAGTTGTATGATTGATCTTTTGGGTCTTTCACCGGCATTAGCTCCGAATATGGTTCCAACTGAGACAGTTCCCTAACATCTTTTAAGTCTTCAGCACAGTCTTTCTTTGGCTCAAGCTGTTAAAAAATCCCAGAAACTAAGTCAATCACTAGAAACATAGCATGATTATCTCGCAGTATTATACAGGCTAGCGTAATTTTGGACAAGATCGAGTACAAATGTCAAATATTTTTCAACCTTCTTCCTACATTTATTTACGATCATTGATGCATTCTTACCACTGAATGAAGCTTGCGCTGACTTCATTTATACTGGATAGCTCTATCCGGCTAACTATCTGTTCTTGATTCAATGATTGCTATTTTCGCTAGTGGCTTTGTCTTGGCTAAAAAAACCGGCTATTTACTGCTGCACCGAAAACTTTCGTTACTTTCAAACTGAAGCAAAAGTATTTTCCCGATCATCGGCGAATTTTCCCGGTCATCGTAAAAGCATGTGTCATATTAAAAACACACTGCCGAGACCCACTCATAAACCTATGTTGTTGATCTAGTGCCCCACCAAAGCAAACTTAAACTAATCTAACTTTGTGACAATTGATTTGGCGGGCGGAAAGCGAATTCTTAGTATAAATATAATTGCCCAACATAAAACTTTTAATGTGGATCACACAACCCAACACTGTCATCACTATATCTTGTAATTTAACACACTGTAAATAATGTATAACTAGTATATATGTTTTCTAACTTCCTACATGTATGTATTGTAATCTGAAGATGTCTTAAGCTAAAGACGAAACGTTATTGTTAATAAAATTATATACCCATGGCCATATTAAAAGTTTTATGTTGGGCAAGTATATTTAATCCAACTTTATTTATACAGGATATACCTATCTCTACACGAGATCCACTACAATTATTTCTAATAGCGATCCTGTGATCCCAATTAAGCAAACCCATTGAACTAAAATACATGGAACGCTACCTGTAATAGAAAAGACTTCAATTTTTTGAAGCCAAATCTCACACCCAGACACGCGAGATTACACCCTGACACGCGTGTGTAGTCAATCAATTTCACTCCGCGAGAGAATCTCGAAACACTACGCACGCGTGCTTGGGTGTAATCTCGCGTGTCTGGGTGTAAGATTTGGCTTCAATTATTTGCTTTATGTAGCGCTCCATGCAATTTAGTTCAATGAATAAACCTAAACTAAACTGACTTTATTTATACTGAATAGCTTTATCTCTCGAAGAGATTCGCTAGAACAATTTGCTATCGTAGTCCCGTGTTCCCACCAGTGAACTCGACATTTGAATAACTGGAATGATAACCGAAGCCAAAAATTGAAGCCAAAAAAATATTTGTCGTCATCATTCGTCATCACACGTCAGGTCTCTCGCGTGTTCATTTTAATTTTTTTAAATCATTTGTCCCTTGGTAATGGTAGAGTTCGGATCATGATCAGAGCGTAAAAATAACGAAATTTTTGGAATGAAAAGGTTCACGGGAAGTGAATCAAAGTGATAAATCGAGAAGCAAGATGAGGTGAATTTAGTCGATCTGCTCTTACGCTGCGGTTTTCCTTTAAAACATATCAAAGTCTTTAAGGATATTCAATTATTGATATCGAGATGACAACCATTTAGTATTTCAAGCACTATCAAAATCGATGAAAAATACAATCGCTCTGTAAAAAGTAAAAATGCGAGTTATAGACTCAATATTTTTTACGAAACTGGATATTCAAGTTTCTTTTTTCGTCGGAAAAACAGATCTTTAAATCCACTGAAATGATAACAAACGACGAACACTGTCTGACACCGTTTGAAAATTTACCTTCCGATGTAAGAAAAATTTTTGCTTGAATATTTTCTCGTCATGTTTCTTATTGTATTGTCTTTTTAGCTTTGAGTGTAATTTTCAGTTGGCTTTTCGTCGTTACAAGTTGTAAGTTACAACGAACTCACTGTAGTAAAGTTTCAGCTGCAAAAAATAACCTTTTGCGAAGAGTTGGCCTCGTGTGTTGTTTGTCGTGATGTTGTTTATATGTTTATGCTTTTGCAATTTGTATTCAAATTTATATTGGCCGTGTATGTTTGGCACTCAGGGGAATGAAACTGACGTACAAACCGCGTGAATATTCGACTTTGAAGGACTGAAACTGACGTACAAACCGCGCAAGAGACTAGGACTTTGGCTTCAATTTTATATCTATAAAATGTATTGTCGTTATCATTCCAGATATATATATATATATATATATATATATATATATATATATATATATATATATATATATATATGGAGTTCACTGGTTCCCACTGACGTTAACTTAAACAAAACTGACTTCATTTGTACTGGATAGATCAATCAAATTTGATTTCTTTTTCCAAGAGATCCAGTAAAGACTATAGCTAAGTGGTTCATGCAACGCAACAGCAAGCTATCAGTTGCAAACATGGGTGATTATAAGACAACCTAGTTGAATTCTATGATCACGTGCAAGAAGCATGCCGTCCAGGAGACAACCACGGGAATGTTATTATTTCACATTTTTTTGAAGTAGAGAGGAAAAAGTGATAGCTCGCGTTGCACGAAACGCATAAACTGCTTTTTCACTTGTCATTGATAAAAACGTCAACAAAAAAAAACATAACAAAACGAGCAGTAAAGTTCCTCTTACGTCGGGTAACTTTGGACGAGCTTCCTTTCTAAGCGAAATGAAAAAAAACCAATAATATCACGAACTATACGAACCTTGTCATAAGATGGTAAAAACGTCACAGTAAAAATTTTCATAACTTACTTCTTTCGTCGGTAGCAGCAATAAACAGCAATCGCACAAAAAATGACAAACAAAACAACGCAAATGGCGAGAATCGTAATCGTTTTGGCCTGCGAAGATGAGCTCACGATGCCAACGTTCGTTGCTGAAGAAAAATTAAGAAAAAAAACTAAGAGAACAACAACCATGCATATGTTATGACCAACTAGCAAAACCAGCTCAATTCTTTTTAGGCTATGACCAACTATGCATATGTTATGACCAACCAGTAAAACCAGCTCAAATCTTCGAGGAATGCACTTGTTGCACACTCCCCTCCCCCTTGACATTTACGTTACGCCATAGTAATTGACTATCAAGCAGACTAATCTTATTTCCTCTATTTAGCTTCCCCGGGGGATGGGTTATTATATTTTGCAACCTTTACGGAGAGAGACTATCAGAAAGCGATTTAAAAAGATGCTAGAGGCTGAATAAATTTCCACATAAAAATGCTGGCGCATATCAAGTCACATGCTTCATAATTGAGTTCTTTTAGAAAATACCCAATCCAGTATGAGTGAATATTGAAAAATGAGAAACTTAAACACACGCCTTTGATTTTGTTGGAGATTTTGACAAAAAGCAAGTAAAGCTCGCTTAGCATTCGTATTTTGTCATGATTTCATCGCGAGATCGACTTCCCGGTTATTTTTTAATTTACAGTAGGCAATAAGTAGATGTAGCGGTTTATCGTGTATTTGCTACCTTTGAAGTGGACGGAGTAAGAGAAGGGGAGGGCCAAAATGACGCCAGGGGCTGAACAGAGGATATTATGTTATACAGAGTTCTACAATTCAACATTAATTTCATGCTTGTAGATGGAGATCGTCCAGGTTCGTATAGTCCTGAGAAGGACTGTTTTTGTTGTTGTTGACTGACGTTTCGACAGCCTTAGCGGTAGTCATCTTCAGAGTCAAATTAGGAGTAAACGTCAGGTTAACCGTATTTGTTATCTGTCTAACATGACGTTTACTCCTCATTTCACTCTGAAGATTACTACCGCTAAGGTTGTCGAAACGTCAGTCAAAAACAGCAAAAACAGTCCTTTTTAGGACTATACCAACCTGAACGATCTGCATTTACAAACATGTAACGATACTCCCGGGTTCAAACCATTTACTTTATTAATTTCATGCTTTGCGGCTATATAAGATGAATGGCGCACATCTATCCCAAGGCATAACGGATTAATTTTCCCAAGTTGCAAAGCTAAGTTCTAATACATCAGGGAATCGGACAAATCAGATCACGCGTTATACAAGTTCCGTTATTGATGACGTCAACGTTGCCAAGTGCATCAAGTTGCTCTTCAACACTTCATTAAAATTAATAAAAACTTATCAACAAAAGGAAGAGCCAATACTCTCCACATACATACTTTGTTCAAAACATTCTTTTGCCTTCAGGCTTTGGGAGAAGCCACTACAGAGATTTGGAGCATTACAAATCTTCACTTTGAAATAAGCACAACGCTGAGTGGAGTTGACTGCCAACAATGTCGAGGTCCTATTATTACCATATCGAACATCGTTATAGACTATTTTGCCATCCTTCATTCCAATAATCCTCGTTATATTTGCTACGCCGTTTAAAGTAGATGGGTCGCGAATCTAATAATAAGGAATTAATATTGTTAAAGGTTTACCAGTTATATTAAAATAAAGTAAATACAAGTTTTAAAAATTACAATATCGTCACTTAAGTGCATAAGTAAGGTGGTGCTTGTGCACACAAAAATTGTACACACATTGAACACACTAATAAAATAATTTACACACACAAAAAAAAGAAAGTAAAACTGCGCATACATAAAAGCTTACACACATTTAAAACTTCCACACATTAAAACCCACGCACATTTAAAAACTTCCACACATTTTAAAACTTCCACACATTAAAACCACACACATTTAAAAACTTCCACACATTTTAAAACTTCCACACATTAAAACCACACACATTTAAAAACTTCCACACATTTAAAAACTTCCACACATTTAAAAACTTCCACACATTTAAAACTTCCACACATTAAAACCCACGCACATTTAAAAACCACACATTTAAAACTTCCACATTAAAACACACATTTAAAACTTCCACACATTTAAAAACTTCCACACATTTAAAAACTTCCACACATTTAAAAACTTCCACACATTTAAAACTTCCACACATTTAAAAAATTCCACACATTTAAAAACTTCCACACATTAAAACCCACACACATCAATACGTACAGACATCAAAACTTACAAACATCAAATCTTCCACACATCAAAACTTACACGCATTTAAACCTACACACTTAAAAACTTACACACATCAAATCTTCTACACATCAAAACTTACACACATCAAATCTTCCACACATCAAATCTTCCACACATCAAAACTTACACACATCAAAACTTACACGCATTTAAAACCTACACACTTCAAAACCTAAACGCATTAAAAAAAGAAAAACTGCAAAACTTTTAAAATGACAGTAGAATTTCTAAAAGGGTTCATGAACATCTCCTCTCATCTTTAAGGTATTGAGCAATACACAACGAGTCACAGCAAAGTTTCATATATCCATCAGTTTCCCGGCAAATTTCGAATGAAATGATCGTGTAGAATACGAAACCATTAACAATTCACAGCGAAGGAAACTCAGCTCGTCAAAAGTAATAAATCCGCAAACCGAATTTTAAAACAGTACTTACCTTTGGTAGCACGAGTAAAAAACAGAATTTTCCTTTAATTACCACATTAATAAACAACTGACATACCTCCCATGTTAACTGAATTAAGTCACCATGCACACCATCAACGTTTTTCAACACGGGTGGACTGCCAGGAGCTGCAAGTAACATAAAGGGATTCCACGGCATTATGCAAAAAAGTTACGCTCCCATATGATTTTCATGAACGTCGGTAACATACCTGATTGCTTAGTGGTGAAAGAGTAAATTGGACTTTCAGACGAATAACTTAAACGTTCGGTAAGGATTCGAACGGCGACTGTTTTGTACGGTAGAAGATTCGTGATTGTGAATGAATACTCGTTGATTACACCGTGTTCCGTCGTTACGTAATCAGATGCCTAGCACAGATGAAAGAAAGGTTAAATGAACGTGCTCATGGTCTTATAATTATATCTTTACAGTGCCTATGACATGACATTTTGTTAGGAATTTATTTGATTTGTTTTTTTTATCTATGCATGCCTTATGATAGTTTTTGATTTCCTTCAATCTGATTGTCTACGGAAGCGGGCAGCATAATAACACTTCCAAATTGCTACATCGTTTTATGCTCAAAAGTTATTGAGACATTTTCAATTGCCTTTACAAAGCAATCAGAAAACATCATCGTAAAATTTGGTGTTTTCTGGCTGCATGTGTGAAACATTTAAAGACTAGTTGTACGATGAGTTGTAAGATCAATGTCTTTTATATTGTATATTAGGATTGTTGGATGCAGTATTTCATATCTTTTGCACTACAATGTCAAATCAATGTTCACCAAGTGAGACACTGGTCAAAAAGGCCTAAGAAAACTTTACGATTTTCGTGGATCACACGCGAGACGAAGCGCGCCTTTACACATGCGCCTGGGAGGGTAAAATTTGACTTCTTCTAAGTACAGGCGAGTTAAACCTAAAGGTAGCCTTCAAGTTATATATTCACTTCAATTGCGTTCAATCAATCAAAACAGCCATATTGTTGGTTTACTGAAAGCTCCCACTTAAAACAGATTTACCAAGATGGCGGTAAGCGAAAATAACGTTAAACAAGTTTTACCGGATTTCTTTCGTCGCCGTTCACAAGAACATAAACCTCTGTTTGGTAGTATTCCACACCACATCGAGGCAATTTCCAAGAAATTGTAATCTCTTCGCTTTTTACTTCCGTAGCGTGGACGTCAAACGGTTTGGCTGGCTTAGCTAAGTAACATAAGAAAGATTTTCACCGCACCATGTTTGTTCAGCATAGAAATTTCGGGTGAGATCAAACAACACTAACTATGAAAGAATATATGTTGATGTGTCTTTACGATTAAAATTTCGTCGATATTTCAATGTACTATGCGACTTTAAAACATGTTATATAAAAACCTGTTACATCATAGGCGGCCCAGAAAATCATTTAGCGAGCTAAATAGTTTAAACTAACGATAACTCTCCCCATACCATCGTAACAGACCGCATGTATCTATATTATAGATATTATACAATCAATTAAAACAAAGTTTTGCGGCGCGCAATCTGTTACGATGGAATGGGGCGAGTTATCGTTTGTTTAAATTTTTAGCTCGCTAAGTGTTTTTTTGGGCCGCCAATGATAGAACCGAAGCACCTCCCTCTAAACGTACCCCTCTTTGAAAAAAAAACAACATAAAGAAGACTTCAAGCTGTTAGTTAGTGAAAGTGAAAAAAAAATTAAAACTATTCTCCAAGTTGGCATTGCTTTGTTGCTGAAACTATTCAGTCTGTGACGTAGTATGACGTAGCCAGCCCACATATTTGGTGGTCACTATGTAAATTTTTGCGTGTTCTTCTCATGGCTAGAGGGGTTGCAGAAGGCATGCCGATTTTCCGACAAAATGTTTATACACCAAACAATTAAGGAAAAGCAATTGGGATTAGCATTTAACGGAGCACACTTTCAATCATAATAACAAGGTGACAGAATTTAACAAAAAATGTCTGACTTGTCACGGTAACAAGTAGCCATCGAAATTTAATACGAACTAAAGCACAATCCCCCACCCCCTTCGACGAAACTATCGAGGATCCATCCTTAGTTCACTCACTGAAATAAAAATATATTTTTTAAGGAAACTGATTATAATATTGCTCTGAAGATTGAAATTTACATAGCACGACCAAAAAACTTGCGGGCTGGCTTAACTACCACTTTAATTTTTCCAGTAATTGAGAACACGAGAATCGGGAGAGAGACAAGAGGCCATAATGTTTTCCTTTCAAAACACACTAAACACTGAACAAACGTACAATGGCACATGCAAAAATTTGGTAACAAAAGTTGACAGTTAGAGTTCTAGAGAAAAAATTACGATTCAGTACAAAGTGCGCTATAGACTTTCAAACGTCGACGGAGAAATACACAATTTGCCTAAAAAACACGGATTTATGTTCAAAAAGATTACTTACTGAGTCCAAGCATCCCAGCTTGACAAATATCAAATTTGCTCGACGCAATGCCCACAACGGAAAAATATTGCTGATATACCAAGCATGTTCTCAGCAGAGAACAGGAAATAGTTTGAGTTTCAGGGGACCACGTGATCTGGTTCAGTGTAATAGTAGGTGGAAGCATTTTGCAAGAAGCTCCCCATGTATGGCAGAAACTTATAATGTCCTTTTGATAGGACCGTGTTTCTTTAAGCGTTCCATTAGCAAAAAAAGTTGCGCCACAGGCTGGAAAACAATGCGCTGGGCCATTGTCGTAATAATACGTATGAAAGCAAAACTGAGCTTGCTCAACAGAACCGTTTGGAGGTAAATTGAGAATACGAGGACGCCACGAAATATTGACTATTCCACCGACTACGCTGCACGTTGGTTCTGAAAAATACAATTGCAAAATGCTGATAAATATTGATTTGACTGCTAAATTAGATCTATAACACACTGGATGCTGAATTATTGACGCCTTTTTCCAGTGATGGATCCTGGATGATGCTTTGGTTTTTATAAGTTGTTACGCAGTTTGTTATGTTTGGACTAGATTTCGGTGGTTCCATTGTGGGTGTCGTTAAGTCATTCACACGTCAGACTTTTTGTGTGTTTGACTGCAGACCCTGCGAAATGGGTTGTTTCCTTTGCAGGTATAATACTACATAGTAGGGAAATTTGTACCCCTTCTAGCCAGGCTAGGGGGTGCTTAACCTCCGCACCCCTCCCCTAAATCCATCACTGTTTTTTTCTACACGGATGCTAATTGATTGATGGCATTGCCAAATTACATTCAACACTCATGTCATTTAACGCACTCGTTGCTGATATATTGATGTTGTTTCTAGCACTGGACGCTAATTTATCGATGCAATTGCCAAATATATTCAATACACCAGATGTCGATGTCGATACATAAATAATTATTATATACAGTTGATCTTTATATACTATATTGAATAAAAGCGCACTCTGCACATCACACTGGTCTTTATCGCGGAAAATGACTAACTCATTATATTAGGCCAGTTGCAATGATCTGATAGCCTCGTTTATCCATTGTCAAATCTTTCCCTTCCCTTCCCAGTCATGATTCCAACCAGTTTGAATAATCATTAAGTTCCCAATTCACTTTCTAAGAATGGACGATACCAGATTTTTCATGTCGATACTTTGTCAACATTATGGCACCCTTGCATGTTTGCAAATGTAGATCGTCCAGGTTGGTATAGTCCTGAGAAGGACTGTTTTTGTTGTTGTTGACTGACGTTTCGACAACCTTAGCGGTAGTCATCTTCAGAGTCAAAAGAAAAACCCTTCATATCTATATTAATATTTTTCTAACTCGAAAAAAATCTTACAAAATTATCAAAGTTAACAAGGGCAATCATGGTACGGAATGAGCGCAACTGATGAGCAAAATGGGTAAAAATTGCGCGATAGAAAACGTTGATCATTGATTCATTGAGAAGTGATAACACGGCTTCAGTTCATGGACATGTTTTAAGTTATAATTACGTAGCGGAACTTGATCATTTTCACGTTAGTAGAATAACAGATTTATTGGTGTGTTGACTGATATTTTGTGTACTTTCGTTTTGTGCTTTACTTTTGGGCAAATAAACAGTTAAATGACTGGTACGTTGAATTCTGAAAGCTTTTTTCGTAATAAAAGGCGTGTTTTAATAAAAGGTTTTAGTTCATAATGAAAATCCGCTTTCCGCCAGGCTAATCTCTGATAGGGACAGTTGATAGGACAATTTAAAAAAAACAAGATGGCGCACTCCCCTTAGCCAATCAAATTGCAGAAATTTTTTGCAATGTTTATAATAAACGAGGGTTAAACAACTAACAACTACGAACAACGGCAACAATCAACTAACAACTATGAACAACTAAAACAACTGCCGTTATCAACGTTTCAAATAGTTTAGAAAGTTTTACCAGAATCAAATTTTAAATAATAATTTTCAAGATCATGGATCCAAGTTCAAAAAGCAGACAGACACGTAGCTCCTTACATATTTTTCCCGACAGACACATTTCTTATTGTGATTAGGCGGACTTAAAAAGTAAAACTTTGCTGTTGCAGAAATATCAAAAGCACTTAATCACCATCCATACCTTTAGTCAACAATCTACATTCTAAATTCATGATATTGATACTATTGATGATGAAAATTACCTGTCTTCCATATCGGCAGGTTCATCCCTAGAACATTGATAAGGGGTGGGGTGTGTCTGTGGTTGGTGTTTTTTCATTTATTCTGTTGTGTCCGACGGATTTCTTTGAAAGCAATTCACTTAGCAAAAGAAATTAGTCTGGCACAACTGATTATACGAATAACTCCCTCTCCCCCCTGATTAGCATTGTTCAGATGGCTCTGGATATCATTCAATTCCTGTTATTTCATTTTAATAGTGCTTCAAATTTGGGTCACATTTGGAACCAACTTTCTCACACTTCCTTTTTATCAAACTCACTCATCTGTCAAATAAAGTATGTTTTTTTAAATTTGATAAGTTAAAAAAAACTTTTAGATAGAATGGCAACACCAAATTGATGGTAAATGGACAAGAATGCTTTCTGAAGGTGTTTTTCTGGGGGACTGTGTGCCTAAACACATATTTCATGACAATTTGAAAAATATCGATTTCATCTCACTTGATGTCACTATCCTTCATGTTATTCACAATATTCATTTGATGTTTTTCTCATAATTCATTATTGATTTGAAAAATGTTTTATCTTGCTCTTATTCCACATACTACATACATCCTTATTTGCTAGATTTAAAATTTAGAACAACTATGAACTAAATGGATCCCCTCAGCTATTTAGCAAATAACTTTAATATAGTTCAGGCGAAGAACATCTTGAGCATTGAGCACAAATATTGAAGTACAAAATTACAGGAAAATTACAGTAATATTATGATGATGCCTCAAGTCAACTAACTCTTCAGCTTGAGTACAAGATTTATCAGGCATTTATAGACACAAATTGTAGCTTACAACTTTAAATGCTGCATGAAAAATTGCTTTCACTAATCTTTTCCAAAAAAGAAATTTTCTTTAATACACACTCAATGTTGTCAATTAGTCCGTTTAAAATGCAGTTTGATTAAAGAGCACTTACAATCAAGCAGGCTTGTAAAACTTCCTGCCAAGCAATGAGGTGCTTTTGTCATATCGTTGTGAACACTGGCATATTGTTAATGTCTTCAAGTAAAACTGGTTTTAAAACATTATAAAGCCAAGCAAATGTCAAGAGTTGCTGCAGTAATAAAGAAAATGTACGTAAAACCATCTGGTTTGAAAACGAGAGTGACATCAGTTTTGTCAAAGTCATCCTTCCTCATGTTCACCAAGGGGAAGTATCAGTTACCAAACTTATTGACGTGCAATAATTGTATTTATTGAATTAACCTAACTGTTAATATTGCACTTCTTTCGCAATTTAAGACAGATTTAGTTGCGTGCAAATACTTCCTTGTTCGAATACTCCCTCACGTAATAAAAAATTGGATTAAAGCCAGGTTAATAAAACTGTAACGTTTACCATACATATTTCCGATAACTTCGCCAGTGCCTCGCACGAAATATGCAATGAAAAATAATGATCGAAATCACTTACTTCTACCAGTTTTCGACTCCTTTGAGAGGGTAAAGAAACACAAAACAAGCGCGTAAGCAGACAACGTCATCGGCGAAACACGAGTGAACATTTTAACGAACATGTCTCGATAGGATCGAGGGATTATTTTACGAACTTTTACCCCTAGCTTTAAAGTTCATAGAAACGTTGCTTCAACTCCTCTTTCTTGAAACAAGATGCCACTCATTGCCAAAAGTTTCGCTGGGTAAAATCTTTAAGATCCCTTTAAAAGAGCACCGTCAAACTCACAGTCGACTTAAACAACGCTAACATCGCCATCTTGCATTTCCGCTTCAATCAAATTTCAAAGAAAGTATTTAAATTTATCGACAAAGGAACCATTCACGAGCACTAAAAACAAAGAAAGGAAAGTTGAACATCACTCTTTAGCACTCCTTTTGTTCGCAATGCTCAATGGCTTTCTGAAACCGTATTAACTATCTTTATAAAATATAACAGTCGCGAATAAATTGTTGGTTGATTTAGTAAAATTTGTATTTTCGAAATATAAGATGCGAAAATGCACCCGAAATCTTTGAAAAGTAGTTCATTGAGAACCAAGGCGTTGAGCAAACCCAGTTGTTGAACTGAAACAATTCATCATACAGAGCAGGTCATCCGGATTTCAGGGATGTTTTTTTGTTTTCAGTCCTAAAACAACTGTTACCACCTACCCAAAAGGCTGCCAAGATATCTTTGTTTTCTAAGAACTCGTAAGATGAATTGTCTGAATACGCTTATACGCCAGAATTTCTATCATATAACCAGAACCTAGTCCATTAGTGTTTTGTTATATAGGAACAAAGACCAAAGACTTCGACAGCTTTTAAATAAACTGAACGTCTTTTGGGGGTGATTTGTGCGAAGAAACTCCGTTGCAGAATGCTTCGGGTAACGACAGCATTTCTGGTCGACTTCCGAGTGTTTTCTGGATCTTTTTTCTAATATTACTTGAAATTCGTCCCTTAATAAGCGTCCAATTCGTCTAGAATTGGTATTTTTAGATGCGGACAACAAATTTTCACTTGTTTCCCTGGGGGGAAACATTGCATTACTTTCAAGTCATGTGACTACGAAGGAACCAATTATACTTCACATACACAACATCTACATAACGAAAGACTGGTAAAGCGTCACACAAATGACTCACCCGTCAACGGAAGTTTCAGGTGCACAACATATAAATATTGTTTGCAGTCTGCCAGCAAAAATTTCGTTAGTACAAAGTATTGATGATAGTCAATAACATAAAGAATGACAAGGATGAAAAATGGGATGAAGATAGCAGCCATAGAGGATGACAAACCAGATGTTAAAAAACGAATAAATTATTTAGCATAATCATTACTTTAACATGGCGTTAGTTCAAGCAATCTGTATATCTTGAAACGTGATGTACATTGGAGAAGGCAAACCAACAAGCTAATAAATGCTAGCCCAGGAAGTTCAGACGAGATTGTATTTTAATTAAATATTGTCACAGGATTGTTATATCAAAAGAAAAAATCTCTTTTTCGATAAATTTATATATTCTAAAGTGTACATTAATTAAAATGTGAACAATGGCAAATGTAGAGAATGAATATTTGAGCCATTATTCGTGACCGGACCACATAAATGTATTTTACTGAAACTCAAAAAACATGCAACTGCTTATCTGGAATTGTCATTGTGGTGTATTTCCTTTCGTCTATGTTTTATTTGAGTAAAAATAATTTCAGTTAAAACGTATATAATCTTGGAGGAAGTCGTAGTGAAAAAATGCTTTTACTACTGCCATCTATCTCACGAGCATTTCTCGCACAAATACAGACTTGTATGGTTTGTCCACAACATTAACACCACACAAAAATGTAGTCTCTCTCCCCTCCCCCCCTCATTTAGCACTTATGATAAGTTATCTAGAAAGGGAACTTTCTTTTTGTGTGGTGTTTACTTCATAGGCAAGTTAAAAGTTGTTTACTTTAAGGGCATCTATTGTCAATTGGACAAAACCGAGGGCAGCTACGTAAATATATGCGCCCACGACACTCGCGACGGGTCAGCAGTTTCACATTGTTACAAATACGTCGTTACTTTGTTTCAAAACTTAATCATTGTAAAATAACACGACGTGGTTCAGTCACGAATATAAGCATACATAATCTTTACTAAAATACGTGCCAGCCAATATTTAAAGGTTGGAAAACAGGCTTGCTGCAAACGATGAAAAGACATGCGCAATGTTCCCATCATACGCAGCGAGATTGTTTTTCCCATTGTCCATTGTTGTGCATACATACTGAATGCAATCTCGATCGTGATTCACAAAAAACCTATGGCTAAACCTCACAGTTCGGGCCAGAGCTTAAAATTTTTGCCAATCTTCGAAAGGATAGCAAATCGTTATTGTCGTCAAATTCAGTTTTCGCATGCCTTTCATAATCATCAAGCCGTTCCCGTCGGCTTTGCTTCCAAAGATAACACTAATTTCGGCTTGATGAATTCCGACTGCATGCTCAAACTTATACAATCACGTGATGATGAAAAACTCGTTACCAGACTCAACAACGCGCTCAAACACTTAGGTTGAGCTTGCGAATCGTGAGATTATCATTGAACGAAATATATAACTGGAAGGCTCAGGTTACAGCTAGAGCATTCAATATCATAATTGTCAGTTTCAACCGATGAAAAACATCGGAAAGACTGCGTATGAAAAAAAAATTAACAAAACCGTGATATGCGTCACTGTAACTAAGAAAACCATTAATTTGGATGAACATTCGACAAGAGTAAAACAATCTTACTCCAAAACATTGAGTGGAGTTGCGACGTCAACTATAGATTAAAGTATGTGTGTCAACCAAGATGCATTGCGCGTTTTTGTTTATGTTTACATCGTTAGTTTTTTTAGCTTACGGCACACCGAATTCGATTTCGTCACTACCTCGTCTAATTTATCTGAGAGGTTGGCAAAAAAACATTGATTGAAAACTCTATTGTACATTAATTATTATCGTTTGTCTATGTTGCATGGACTACAATACGAAATCCGCCATTGCTGTGATCAACGCGCAATGCATCTTGGTCGACACGCTTTCTTTAGATGATCCAGATACAGCCTAGATATATTAATTCAATGCATGAGGCTTGAAGCGAAAAGCAACCATCGGGCATTTTACGTATGTGCAATGCTTACAACATTTAAAGCTGAAATGCTATACATATTATTTCAGAAAAAATATCTTCATTGTATTTTTTGCTGTTGAAAATGAGGGAAACGATGTCAGTAAAGAATTATATGATTGTAAATTGACGAAATTTTGGGTTTCGGCTAATTGACGTACTTTCCAACAAATTCAACACCTTGAAAGACGATGAAGATGCAGTTTTACCGTAGTAAAATACAAATGCTCTAAACATCACAAGAATGTAAAATGTTCAAATGGTTGCTCGTTGCAGTACACTTGTACAAAAGAAGATACATCCAAACCTCCCTGCCCTAACAGTCGGATGATTTTATTGATCTCTCTTTAGGTTCTTCATTAAGTGAGTGGTATTGACCGAGTTGAGATAGTTGTCCCACAGGTATGTAGCCGCCTGTACGCTCCTGTTCTTCTTTAAGCTGAAACAAAAATTCACAAAATATGTCGATTGCTGCTTGAACTTTGTAATGGCACGGTAAACTTACAACTGTAGAAAACTTTCACTTAGCATAGTTTACATCTTAATGCTAACATTCGCGGTTAATTTAGTAATGTATGGGAACTTGGACAGAGCAAAATTTATTTATTCTTGTCAGCCTAAATTGTCAATTCACTACAGTAGAAAACCTGGACTTAGCAAAATTTATATATTCGTGCTAACCTAGCTTACACAACACTATTTCCTCTATTTATCAACCCCCCGCCCACTTGGGGGTTATTATTTTATGCTACCCTCAAGAAGGATGGGTTAATAGAAGGGAGGAGAAGGGGGGTTAAAAAATGGCCGGAAACTAAATAACTTTTCACCCAACACATATCAATGATTTCCAAAAATTTTTTAGCAGAACTAATATTCATTTCTTTAAAAATTGAATTTCATTGATTATTTTTCTGGTGAATGAACACTAAAATATTTGGAAAGCAATTGGAGTGCAAACTTCAACATTGGAATGCTCTCGCTGACCTAGTTTGACTAAAGCAAAAAATCGAAACATTAAAGTTGAAATATATTTTCAACAGCTCTATCGGCTGTATACACCGAGAAGTATGGGTTTATGACGTAGATACGTAGTTTATGACGTAGCTACGTGATTTTATGACGTAGCTACATAGTTATATCTCATTCATTTACTTCACTGAACATTTTGCGAGATATTGTCACCCAAGTTAATATTTGCAGCAGGTAGTCATTAGAGGCCAATGTTTTTAAGACTACGAGTTTTACGTTGCTTCGATATTCGCGTAATATTTTACACTGTACTATTTACAAACGAAAGCCGCCAATTTCTGGGTACCCTAGAAGGGCCAACCAATCAAGCGCGCAAACCACGACACTTTGATGCTAATTCTTTAAGCTATAAGTTATCTGCTCATCTTACCTTGGGTAACTTTGGACGAGCTTTCATTCTACATGAAATAAAAAATCATTTTCTTTAAAGTGCAAAAACTGTACAAATACAGGGCACTTGAGGCACAGAATAAGAAATATACCGAAGCTCCACAAATTTATGTTCCATGTACATCTTATTACGCATGTGATTACATATACAGGGTGTCCCCTCCCCCTCTTCCTCCCCAAAAAAACGGAACCCACATAAATTGATTATGTATTTGTTGAAATTACTATCCACAATAATGTGATTGGTCAAATGAACTTGACAGTTCTCCCCCTCTGGGATTTCATAGGGTTTGCATTACAAGCGAATCAAGTGAAAAAGTACTGACATTCATTGATTTTCGTCTCAATTATATAGCGAAAAAGATTTGTAAAATCAAAGAGACATTAAACAAGTTATAACTGCCATACTAATGTAATCATATTTTCCATATATTGCAACGAACATGGACAAACTAGCGTGTAACCAAATTATTCAGGCGAAACAAATCAGTAGCTAATGAGGTCTTAATTATTTTGATCAGATTTTCTTTAAATGCATACGCAATAATTCGGGAAGGTTCCGTTTTTTGGGGGGACACCCTGAAGTGGCAGTCAGTGAATTGCCTTTTTTTGACCAATAGGAGTGATGAAATGGCAAACCGAAGCCAGGAATCTAATTAAACCGCATCGAGTGATAAAGTGAAGTTGCCCTTTTCTTCTTCAACGTATAAGAGCCATAAGATCATAGGGCATTTGAGGGCAAGGAGTTCTTTAAAGTACAAGAGCAATAAGATCACAGGGCATTTGAGGGCAAGGAGTTCTTTAACGTACAAGAGCAATATGATCACAGGGCATTTGAGGGCAAGGAGTTCTTTAACGTACAAGAGCAATTAGATCACAGGGCATTTGAGGGCAAGGAGTTCTTTAACGTACAAGAGCAATAAGATCGCAGGGCATTTGAGGGCAAGGAGTTCTTTAACGTACAAGAGCAATTAGATCACAGGGCATTTGAGGGCAAGGAGTTCTTTAACGAAAAAGAACAATAAGATCACAGAGCATTTGAAAGCCAAGAGTCTTTCAAAGTACAAGAGCAATAAGATCATATGGGGCATTTGAGGGCATGGAGTTTTTTAACGTACAAGAGCAATAAGATCACAGGGCATTTGAGGGCAAGGAGTTCTTTAACGTACAAGAGCAATTAGATCACAGGGCATTTGAGGGCAAGGAGTTCTTTAACGAAAAAGAACAATAAGATCACAGAGCATTTGAAAGCCAAGAGTCTTTCAAAGTACAAGAGCAATAAGATCATATGGGGCATTTGAGGGCATGGAGTTTTTTAACAAACAAGAGCAATAAGATCACAGGGCATTTGAAGGCCAAGAGTCTTTCAAAGTACAAGAGCAATAGATCACAAGGCATTTGAAGGCCATTTCTTTAAAGTACAAGAACTACAAGAAGGCAGGACATTTGAAGGCCATTTCTTTAAAGTACAAGAACTACACGAAAGCAGGACATTTGAAGGCCATTTCTTTAAAGTACAAGAACTACACGAAAGCAGGACATTTGAAGGCCATTTCTTTAAAGTACAAGAACTTCACGAAAGCGGGACATTTGAAGGCCATTTCTTTAAAGTACAAGAACTTCACGAAGGCAGGACATTTGAAGGCCATTTCTTTAAAGTACAAGAACTACACGAAAGCAGGACATTTGAAGGCCATTTCTTTAAAGTACAAGAACTTCCCGAAGGCAGGACATTTGAAGGCCATTTCTTTAAAGTACAAGAACTACACGAAGGCGGGACATTTGAAGGCCATTTCTTTAAAGTACAAGAACTTCACGAAGGCAGGACATTTGAAGGCCATTTCTTTAAAGTACAAGACCTTCACGAAAGCAGGACATTTGAAGGCCATTTCTTTAAAGTACAAGAACTACACGAAGGCAGGACATTTGAAGGCCATATCTTTAAAGTACAAGAACTACACGAAAGCGGGATATTTGAAGGCCATTTCTTTAAAGTACAAGAACTTCACGAAGGCAGGACATTTGAAGGCCATTTCTTTAAAGTACAAGAACTACACGAAAGCAGGACATTTGAAGGCCGTTTCTTTAAAGTACAAGAACTTCACGAAAGCAGGACATTTGAAGGCCATATCTTTAAAGTACAAGAACTACACGAAGGCGGGACATTTGAAGGCCATTTCTTTAAAGTACGAGAACTTCACGAAGGCAGGACATTTGAAGGCCATTTCTTTAAAGTACAACAACTACACGAAGGCGAGACATTTGAGGGGCACGGTTTATCAATGTAAACTACCTAGTGTAGTCCACACGAAATAAAGTCGTCATCATTATTTGTAGTAGTAGCAGCTCGAATCATCCATACGTCAACATTGAAATCGTCACAACTTACTTCTTTTGCTGATACCAAAAATAAACGATCACGGCACAAATGATAACGAGCAAAACAAGACAAACAGGTATTATCCACAACACGTGCGCATCACGGGGCGAGGTCGATGGCACGTCATTGGTTGGTGTTGTATTCGGATCTATAAAAAATTTAAATGACACGTATTTTCAATGGTATAATTTTTTTCATGTCTTTGTAACTTTGTTTGATTTTGGGGATTTTGGATTTCTTCATCAGTATTCAACTGTTCTAATCCTGCATGCTCTGACGACAGACGAAACCACACTTAAACACCATTATGATACAAAACATTGAAAAACTTACTTAACTAGTTAATGCATTTCACTTTAGCTAATGATTTCAAGGAATTGAAACGAGGCAAAACTACAGGGTTAAAAATTACAACTGTTTGCGAAGCACCATACATCACTCCGGTTGTAATTCTCAAATTAAGGCAAATTGGTTGTTTCAATTTTAAATGTTTTGAGAAGTTATTAAATCAGAATATTGTGAAATTGCTTGAGAAGATTTATCTGATGATAAGTATTGAATCGTTTCCATTTGCCAAAATTATTTAACGCTTGGCTGAATCCCGGCTACCGGGCTCATGTAATCAGCCCCTTATGTAAAATATCGTGCACATTACACCTTGCCTCATAGGCGTAACTGCTATAAATTCGGGGTGGGCAGAGCCACTAGTGCCCATGTAATCAGCTGTCAAATGGCCTCCTGAACGGTGTTATTTATGAGCAAAAAGATAAAAAAGTAGGTTTGTATTAGGAATAACTGAAGATAATTCTAATTGAAAAGTATTCGTGAATTCGTGTTCCAGAAAGTAAATTTAAAGTTCTAATTGGTATTTTTCGGTATATAAATTAAAAACCATTTATTATGTGTTCCATCAATGATTTTGAAGAGAATGGCTATGTAGTCATTTTATCTTTCCAATTAATCAAAGGTGGGTCTGGAAATGGCCAATATTTGATAAGAGTTGCCTCACTAATCCTTACTTCAAAACATGCTCATCTGTCCGCGCTTCTCCCACATGCACCCGCTTCCGCGTTTCCCGAAATCCGAACACAGGTCATTAAAATGTTACAGGTTCTTTGAAACTTTCATTAAAACACTTATGCAGAAATGGCGAGGCTGATACATACATTGATTGAGGCACTTATTTGCCCGCCTGCCATTCGAGAAGTTACTACAGAGATTTGGGGCATTGCATATCTTCACTTGAAAACGAGCACAACGCTGCGTGGGGTTTACTTTCAACAATGCTGAAGTCCTTTGTTTACCATATCGAACATCGTTATAGACTGTTTTGCCATCCTTCATTCCAACAATCCTAGTTTCGTTTGGTTCCCCATTTAAATCTAACGGATTGGGATTCTGAAAATACGATATTAAAACAGTTAAAAATACTGCCATACTGAGCGGTTCTAACAGGTTCTAACAGGTTGTAATTAATAGGTTCTAATAGGTTCTAACAGGTTGTAATTAATAGGTTCTAACATGTTCTAACAGGTTGTAATTAATAGGTTCTAACAGGTTGTAATTAATAGGTTCTAACAGGTTGTAATTAATAGGTTCTAACAGGTTGTAATTAATAGGTTCTAACAGGTTGTAATTAATAGGTTGTAACAGGTTGTAATTAATAGGTTCTAACAGGTTGTAATTAATAGGTTCTAACAGGTTGTAATTAATAGGTTCTAACAGGTTGTAATTAATAGGTTCTAACAGATTCTAACAGGTTCTATGCCTTGTAGTCGCTTTTGAGCCGCCATTTCCTTTCATTAAACACATGAAACATTAAAAATAGTAATCCCTGTTTTAAAAACTCCAACTGATCAGTCAAAACCTCAAAAGTTCAAAATAAACGGTTCTAATCCCCGGGAGTTTTTTACCGTGTGATAAAAAGATGAAAGAGGATAAGGAGGTATTCGCTACGCAGCGAAAATGCCTTGTGTACAGGATAACTAAAAAATAGATACACAGCGCGTACATGTAGGCAACCACGCTAAAGAAATGCATGTAAGCAAAATGAAGCGGAATGACGAACAGTTTTCCAATAATATTAAATATATAATGTCATAAACATCAGTAGTAGAATCATAGCTGTATTCTATTGTAAATGATTTAATTTCATTGGCTACATTCTCTAATTCTCAATAGACGGCGAGTAGCAAAGCAACAGATAACGAGTAGCGAAAAAGCAAGGCTTCCGTCTCGCGTTTTTCTCGCGTTTCCGACGATGAACTTGATTATTTACTAGAGAAAGGCAATTCCAGAGATGACTGAAGTTTCCAGTTAAGATATATAATAAATACGCTTAAGTTCAATTAGCTTGACATGCATTTAGCAAGAGCCGTTATCTTCAATGGGTAAAACAAACAAATTAAATAAAAGCAGATTACTCGTTCTCCGTTTTCACGAGGGAACAGTTGAACAGGTCATCGCCATCATCAACTATCACCTCATAGAAACCTCGAACTCGTAATCTAATTGTAAGGGAGAGTGGCGTCGACGTTACGTCTCGCTTTGATAATCTGCATGCGTTAATCGACAGTGCATCTCTTTAAGCATACCTTCCAATCTAACTTTAATTTGTCGCCGACATATCTGACATTTTTCAAATGAGGTTCTTTCCCTGGAGCTACAAGAAAAAACCCAACGAACGTTACTGCGTTGAACATAAACAACACAACAGATTTCATGTTTGTAGATGTAGATCGTCCAGGTTGGTATAGTCCTGAGAAGGACTGTTTTTGTTGTTGTTGACTGACGTTTCGGCAACCTTAGCGGTAGTCATCTTCAGAGTCAAACTACTACTAACTACTACATGACTACCGCAACAACAAAAACAGTCCTTCTCAGGACTATACCAACCTGGACGATCTACATTTACAAACATGTAACGATACTCCCGGGTTCAAACCATTTACTTTACAACAGATTTCCCCGTAGAATTGAAGACAACTGCATGACTACTTCCCGCTAAAATTCAAAGCAAGCAATTTAACTAGTCCCAGTCTTTACACGCACAGCCAGAAGAAGGTTCATTTACGACGATAAGCTAAAATGCGCGATTCGAGCCCCTGGGGGTAATTTGGCTTCATGAAAAGAGAGGCATGTTTCCCAGTAGTTTACCTAAAGACTAAACTTAGCCTTCCAGTTATATATTTAGTTCAATGGATTTCCCACGTGATTTTCCTTGAAATCTCTATGTTAAATACCTGAAGGACGAGTCGTGTAAGTGTAAACTGTAGTTTTTGATGTATATTTTTTCGAAAAAGAACTCGGATAACGTCGTTCAGTGGTGATTTGAACTTCCAAAGTTTGGTGAGGTTTAAGACGTCGCTTTGTGTACGAATATACGTTGTTTATTCCATTAACATCTCTTCGATAATCCACCACTTCCTAGGAGTAATGAAAGGCAAGAGGGACGTTAAAACATTAAAACTAGTCGATGATTGGTTGGTTTCGGTGCATTTCATTGGTCTATAGTGTTTGTTGTAAATTTATTTCAAGAAATATATCTACATAGCCCTTTTTAATAGCAAACAAAAAATATGACCGAAATATATGTACATAGTTTTTAAATTTTCAACGCATTGTCGTAATTCAAACATAACATGGTAAAAACAAACACTGCAAATTAAACGGTATCGACAAGTTAAAAGGAGAAAGGTTTAACCATAGCTCTTTTTGTTTCGTTCTTTGTATTCTTCAAATTGCCAGCGACAATTGAAGTGAGTTGGCTCATACCAAACAACGAAAGAAAAACAGCAAGTAATTAAGCCCTTCACCTTTCAACTCTGCCATACCTGTCCACAAGCCCAGGACTTGTAGCGTAAGGCTCTCAGCTTTTGAGCAACCTCGTCTCGTATGCAAGGAAGAAAGAGGAAGGCTTACGTAAACGTTCGTTTTACAAGGTCGCTATCGTTTATAGTTGTTGGTTAACCACGAGCTTTCTTTTTACAGGTTTTTATTCTAACTATCTCACCTTTAAACCAAAAAACCTTATGTGTGACAAGCCTCCCGTTTTCAGGTCAACCGCAGAGAGAAGTTAATAGGAAGCTTCAGAAAAGACTACGAGTACGACTACGAGTACGATTTACGTCATTTTGGCGCGAAAACATTGTTACGACAACAAAAACACGTGCCGTCATCAATCTGAGTACGATGTTTTGTAAAAAAATCGTAGTCGCCACTACAATCTTTTCAAGGGTATATTTCTTTATTCTGTAAGAAATTAGTTTACAGTACTATTTTCGAGCATCCAGGCTTTAATTTAGAACCTTTTTGAGCGCAGATGCACATTAAAAAGGAAAATATGACCAGCAAAACTTTCGTGTATTTCGTACGCAAAGTGAAAGGTGAACAAACAATAAAATAGTATATCGTACATAAAACTTAAAATAGTGAAGATTTTTCAGTCTAAAGAGTCCTATATTCTCGCAAAACCAGTATTACCGATTCGTTGATATCATTATTGACAAATAGAGCCGTAGCTGCTTGGCAAACGTCGGTGTTTTACACAATAAAAATACTCGTTCAGTTGTTTACAACTAAACAAAATTTTGACGAAGCGACAACGACAACAAACTTCCTCGTGCCATTCCCTTACACGGTCAAACTTCGTACTCGTTGTCGTAGTTGTGCTTTTGCTAAAGCTCCCTAATGAACATTGCAAGAACAACGCACAAAATTGGTTAATTACAAGTTAATATCATTGAAACGTATTCATACCGAAACTTTTACGCCGTTTACAAGAACATAAACGTCCGTTTCGAAAAGATCGGTGCCACATCGAGACAATTTCCACGAAAATGTAATTTCTTCGCTTTTCACATCGGTAACGTGGACATCAAACGGCGTGGCTGGTTTAACTATAGAATGCAAGATTCCTTGACTGTGGTGACGTCAAAATGCACTGACCGTGAAAGAATTAAGTGTCATTTCTAAGCCAAATTTCCTACCGACATTCTTGTCAAATTTTCTTCAACATATGATTACTTACATTTTTCATAATTCTGATAGGGACAAATAACAAAATCAGATTTCTTTCGATCATCTCTTCCCGTGGCACTCGATGCATAACCCATCACAGAAAAATGGCTTTTATAATACATGCATGTTCTGAACAGAGTGCAGGAGAGTGTTTGTGTTCGCGAAGACCACGTGACATGATTTAGAGTGACATTGGATGGCGCGATTCTACAGAATCCATGCGGTTTTTTACAATAGTCTATGATTTCCTTTTGACGTGACTGCATTCGTAGCGTTCCATTCGCAAAAAACTTCGCCTCACAAACCGTAAAACAATGATCTTTATCGTGGAAGCAAAATTTAGCTTGCTCGACCGAACCATTTGGAGACAGATTGTCGATATGCGGATGCCAGGCAATGTGAACGACGCCACCGATTAGACTGCATGTTGCACCTGAAAAAGAATTCCACGATGCTGATCGCATTTGTAAATAATTAGCTAATTAAAGTAAATGGTTTGCATTACTTACAGTGACTATAGACAACGGCTTACATTAGAAAGTTGGTACACCAACTTAGAAACCACCCCACCCCCCCTGAACAGATCACAGCAATTACCGGCACCTTACTAACGACTTATTCACAATACAAACAAACGATCAACTAAAAACATTGCACTTCACACTAATTCACAATGACAATACACAATTGACACCCTCACATTACAACTAAAAACATAACAACTAAATCACACACCACAACTAAAAACATTACACTTCACACTAATTCACAATGACAATACAAAATTGACACCCACACATTTCCTGTACACACAATACAATGACGTAAGAACCAGATAACAAATACGGCTAACCTAACGTTTACTCCTCATTTGACTCTGAAGATGACTGCCGCTAAGGTTGTCGAAACGTCAGTCAACAACAACAAAAACAGTCCTTCTCAGGACTATACCAGCCTGGACGATCTACATTTACAAACATGTAATTGGCTAGTTACCAATAGACTTTTTATGTGTACTTTCCCATTACAATAGGTTAAGTAGTTGACTTCTAATGTGTTCTGCTGATTAATTAACAGACTTCTAATGTGTACTAATAATGACATGTGTTGAACTTGGAACAGATAAAAAAACGTAAGTGCTGGTGTAACATTTTTCTTGTTTTACAAAAACAAACTCCAAACCAGTATTATACAAGGACTTAAAAATTGAGACCATCTTTTACTGTTGCTTGTCAAAAAACTGCAGAGAACTATGACAGTAAAAGTGTCATAAACGGATTAAATTGTAGTCACCTCAGGTCAGAATGCAATTTAGTTAAAATCTGGTGTTGCTGACAGTCGGCTACACCATATTTATTGCTTTGCAATACAATATTTTTGACAAAATATCAAAGTTCACTGACTTATTACCAGCCTTACAAGAGGAAAATAAGAAAGGCAATCAAAGGATGTTGTTTTCCCACCCATTTCCACTTTATCAAAGTTGGTCAATGGCAGATTAGTTTCCACCCCATCCTCTTCGACAATACATTAGCCTCCACTTCACTCTCCTCAATGATACATTAGCCTCCACCTCACTCTCCTCAATGATACATTAGCCTCCACCTCACTCTCCTCAATGATACATTAGCCTCCTCTCCTCAATGATACATTAGCCTCCACTTCACTCTCCTCAATGATACATTAGCCTCCACCTCACTCTCCTCAATGATTAGCCTCCACCTCACTCTCCTCAATGATACATTAGCCTCCACCTCACTCTCCTCATTATCACATTAGCCTCCACCTCCTCTCCTCAATGATACATTAGCCTCCACCTCACTCTCCTCAATGCATTAGCCTCCACCTCACTCTCCTCAATGTCATTAGCCTCCACCTCACTCTCCTGATGCATTTCACTTCACTCTCCTCTGATCCATTAGCCTCCACCTCTTTCTCCTCATATTCCATTCCTCACCCCTCCATTCCCTCCACTCCATGTCCTTCTTTCCCTCCACTTTCCTCCATCCATTACCTCCACTCTCCATCCTCCACCACTCTTCCATTGATCCACTCTCCTCCTTCACTTCTCACATTCCTCCCTCCATCTCCATCTCCATTTCCACCTCCTCTCAATGATCCATTATTCCATACTCTCCTCCATTCCTCCACCTCACTCTCTCCATTAGCCTCCACCTCACTCTCCTCAATGATCCTCATTAGCCTCCACCTCACTCTCCCTCAATGATATTTCCACCTCACTCTCCTCAATGATCATTAGCCTCCACCTCCTCCTCAATGATCATTAGCCTCCACCTCACTCTCCTCAATGATCCATTAGCCTCCACCTCCACTCCCCCATGTCCATTAGCCTCACTCCCTCACTGCATTTGTCCACTTCACCCTCCTCAATGATGCATTAGCCTCCACCTCACTCTCCTCCATTACCTCCTCTCCTCCATGATACATTAGCCTCCACTTCACTCTCCTCAATGATATTACTCCACTTCACTCTCCTCAATGATGCATTAGCCTCCTTCACTCTTCTCATGATCATTAGCCTCCACCTCCTCTCCTCAATGATATTAGCCTCCACTCACTCTCCTCTTCATTAGCCTCCACTTCACTCTCCTCATGATACATTAGCCTCCACTTCACTCTCCTCTGATGCATTAGCCTCCACCTCACTCTCCTCAATGATGCATTAGCCTCCACTTCACTCTCCTCAATGATACATTAGCCTCCACTTCACTCTCCTCAATGATACATTAGCCTCCACCTCACTCTCCTCAATGATGCATTAGCCTCCACCTCACTCTCCTCAATGATACATTAGCCTCCACTTCACTCTCCTCAATGATACATTAGCCTCCACTTCACTCTCCTCAATGATGCATTAGCCTCCACTTCACTCTCCTCAATGATACATTAGCCTCCACTTCACTCTCCTCAACAATACAAGCCTATAAGAGCTAATGAAAAAACAGTTTGAATACCAAGATATTGATTGATGTATTTTGATGACCGATTTATTGAATTATCCATGGCATAAAAAAACACTAACAGACACTTGCAATTTTGCATGGACAGCTCATGCAATAAGAAGTCGCGGGTCGAGTAAAGCAAACATTGAAAAAACTCAGTACATCTTGAGAATGAAGAGATGAGCACCAACAATTGAACGTCTGCTGCCATTAGTTCTCTGTCCAACAAAATATAATTTGAATATTGAAAATTTCCATTTCAGTTGGTACTTTGAAAAAGTAAAGTACATGCTAAATGAGTTATTGTGCATACAACCTCGTTTCATTTCCCTTGTGACAATACACAAATGTTTCACTCATGGTGCTAACTGCTAATATTTGCCCAATATTTCTTCACACAGTAAAACAGATCTCACTTCAGATATCATAACTGTTACAAATATAACTGCTTCAAAATCAAACAAGGAGCTTTCACTTACTACCTTATTACACAACTAAAACATCAGGATTGGTCAATGATTTTAGCTAGTAAGTAGCTACAACCTATAAACCTTATGATCCTGTTTATAATTCTTGCATGACAGATCCATTTTACAATATTTTAGCACAAATTTCACAAATTGTTGAAATTGACATGTATTTCATCAGATGACATGTTTGTTTACCTGTAGCGGGCAAGCAGATTTGGTCTAGTGCTTTTAGACAGCACTATAGCAACAATGCTTTAACTCCATTGGGATTTATCTGCCTGCCAGCAAAACGTAAGCGATGCAAGTCATCTGTACTATTGCAAAGCATAACACTCTGGCTGAGAAGTGCTTCGAAGGTAGGTTTCTGATTGTAACCAAACATACCACAAACAATCCTGATCTACATGGGTGTTAAAAACTGTGTATAATTTGTAATTGCGTCAATGAAGTTCGTCGAATGCGAGCTATGTCCGTACATTTTATTCTTGTCAAAGATTACTGACTTCAGTCGTTTAAAATACATCACAAACACTTCGGAGACGACATTCGTCGAACTAAAGCTGGCTGAACATCAAAAAACATCTAACCGCAAATTTTTGAGATATCTGAAACAGTTTAGAAAGAAACAGCAATGAAATCAACTTACTTCTGCTGGTTGAACCCTTTTCAATAGCAAACAAAAACAAAACAAGAACACATGATGAGAAAGTCGTGTGCCAAAGGCGATTTTCGTGTTTCATATACATTTCGTCATTGACGAAAAATTTTACAAAATATACATTTGAATTTTATGAACGATCGAAATTGTCCCACGTTAAGAGAGAATCTTCACTCCCAATGCTTCATGATGCAAAAATAACGGCCGAAATCCAAGCAAGATCACAGTTAGCAGTAAACATGTTATCGATCGCCATTTTTTATGTCGTTTTTTTTGAGCGTCACTCGCCCGCGGCATGGTCACGATACAACCTGTTTGCGGGTTGAAACATATGGGCAAGGGAATTCAGGGTTCAGGCACTGACATAATTGGAATCAATGGGTTCAGGGCATTGAAGTAAATATATCAATGGTTCAGGGCTAAACTGGGCTCAACTGAGCCAGCTGAACAACACAAGAGGTTATTAGTTCTATTTTAAGAAATAATTCCGGGATATTTTGTGCATTTTCGAGTTGGGATACTTCAAGCCAACTTTTTCTCTCAGCCTTTGTTTTAACCCTTTCTTTCATTTTTACCATCTTCTTTCGTGGAACGACAAAACATATGCGACACTCACAGGAATGGATGGAAAAAATCCGACGGAGCTTTGGACTGAAAATTCGGAAGCGATTTCTGATCAGCTTCTGGGGGCTTGGAAACATCTGTAAATGCCACTGATGACGAAATTTCTATGTTCTGACCACCACTACGACAGAATTGACCAAAACACTAGAACGCAATCGAAAATTATCAAACAAGACGTTTACCTTTGATTGAAAAAATTCGTATTGTTACAAATTTCTGGAGCAAAGCAATTTATAGCGAGAGATTCTTTCAAATGTACGACATTCGTTTCTAACGGTGGAATAAAGGTGGATTTTTTGCAAAGGTCACTTGTCATTTCCTAAGATTTGACTCCATTTTTTCACAATTGGTAAATTTTGTAGCTCTCATGAGATTATTACAGCCACCTAAAATCTCGCTCGCGGAGAAGATACGTGCCGATTCGACGTGGAAAGACTGATATTTGGACAGAAGAGGAAAGTGTTCACATGAGTATGTTATAACCCGTAAAAAACATGGTTTCCAAAGAAAAGAGCAACAACGGCTGTATTCTAAAAACTCCCTCATACTCACTGAGTGCCGTTCAGAAATCTCCCTCCCGCTAATAAACGGCAAACTCGTTCATCCTTCGATCGGATGGCAACATTTTTGCTGAAGCATTGTGAATCAGGCATTCAGCGGAATGAAAATACCGCCTTCATTCAAATAGAGAATCTCTCGTCCATACGTAGTTTTAAAGAGATTTGACTCGTCTCCAGTCCCTGTGGGCTTGGTAGCTCAACAGGTAGAGCGGCGGACAAGTATCCCGAAGGTGCGAGTTCAGATCTCGTTCAAGTCACATGTTTTTCATGTGCATATAAAAACCGTGTTAGGATTAATATTATGTATATTCAAATAGTTATGAGGTGATTTCGAGGCCCCACTCAGAGATGCGAGAGAGCTTGTACAACACAGTCAATATATTTAAAAAGCTTGTCAAAAAATTGGATTGGCTTCTCTACTTTTCGCGACAAGGAATAAAAAAAGTTTGACTGGAAAAAAACGATGAATCGAACTGAATTTCGACAGAAACAATCTTTCGCATCACAGAAGTACGAACTGCAACTGGATCGATCTACTTACGCGCACAAAGACTCTCTGCGGCCTCTCGTATTTGAAACGAGTCCCGAGGATCTGCAAATTGGCAAATGATTGTATAATTAGCCGACCAGGGAAAAAACTCGTGAAGATGGAACATACTTTAGCTTGAGGCTTCGCAAGATATCCAACATTCGCAAAAAGGATTTCAATATGTAGACCAAGGATCATGTTAGAACACACGCCTCCACTGCCGACGGGCTGAAAGGTAGAAATGCAACTGGAACTGAACGCTATTGGGAGCACATAAATTATGGCGGCGCTTAAAATATCGGCGTAAAATTAATCGCGACATGGTGAAATGGGAGGAGAACACGTCGGTTCGATAGAATTTCAAAAAAAAAGAAAAACGCGTCGCTCTTTCCGTTTGCTGGACTGACATGACTCCGGGATGTAACGTGGTGTAGTCGGTCCGCGAGTTTGTTCGCGCTATTTAAACATTTCGACATTGGCTTGTTGTAAAAACAACGGATTTCTAAAGAAACGAGTAATGATAATGATCTGAAATATTCTATAGCACGACCAAGCATGCAGGCTGGCTAGGCCACTGAAGGACGCTTTGCAAGTATTATATCTTCATCTGGTTGCATGTCCAAAAACCACCGCAGTCGTAAGTGACGACTTACGTCCGTATCTAATAGCTCGCTCCGAAAGCGACACGGATATGTGGCTCGTACCAATCAACAGCAAATATATTTCTCAATTGATGGCAGGATTTTTGCTAAAATATTTGAAATCAAGCAAAAAGTGGAGTGAAAATACCGTCTTCGTACGGTCTTTTGAAGACCCACTCGGTTACTCCGAGTGTGAGTAGGAATACAGAGGCCGGTTGCACAAAGCATGGATAGCGTTATCCATTTGATACCAAATTTTTTTTAAAGCGCACTTATCAGCAAAAACTTCTATTAGCGATATCAAAACTTGGTGTAATATTAAACGTACCGGCGAAAAAAAAAAATTTTCAATTTGGTCAAATTGTCTTCTTGTTATGGAGGTTTAAAGTTGCCTTTGCATTAACGGTCAAAAAACTTCTTGAAAAATGAAAATATAAGGTTTGAACTGGGCAATCAATGAAATAGAATATCGCCTCTAGGATTACAAAACTACTTTGTCGTAACGAAAATATAAACACCTTTTTCACAAGTTTAAAATATTTACTATCCAATGGAAAACGCTCTTCAAGCTTCGTGCAACCTGCCCCAGCCGTTTAATTTGTTGGCACGCCAGGATTTACCAACAATAATTTTCGTTGGCGAAAATTTGCTTTCGGATAACTGAACTTCACCAACCTTATTCGATGGTCGATCGTGAATAATTTTCACCCAGTCGGCGACATTTTGTACGTCGGAGTTCCCAAAGCTCGCGACGTACTCCGGGAGACTGGTACCGAGTAACGCGGAATAAACAAGATCTTGAAGCAAAGAACAATTTGATGTCTGATTCAGTCTAAAATCAACGTACAAGTTTAAAAAGGTCGTGTGTACCTTACAAAGAACGTTCACCATTTTTTTTAGTATTTTTTTCAAATTATAATCCCGCAAATCGTGCACATCTTTTTGAAGACGAGCAGACCACGTTAGTGCAACGTGTCCCTTCTTGGCACTTCATTTTGTTTGGAGATTTTTGCCAAATGGCAACCGTAGATATTTTCAGCGGGTATTTCTGAAAGTATCCACGTTTGATAGAAACTATGTTCATCTCGAAACCATCAATTATCAATCATTTGTTGCAAGTATTTACTGAAGGTGTTTCCACTAATTTTCAACGACAAAAATTTTCTATCGTCTCAAAAACTTTACTTGCCTTATCATGCAGCCAGATCTCATCTCTATATTAAACGTCACGGGCAATCTGTTATTGGCAGCAGAAGCGCATGAACCGTCCGGTGAGGCATTTGGAATTGTCAGCCATTCTCTGTTGTTGGTGCTCAGAATGATAGCCTTTCTGAAAAACAAGATTTATAACATCTGTCTCATGGTCACTACCACAGCTCCCATTGACACACGCAGTCAAATATGTTATATGCGATGCAAAGACTGCTCTTGTTCTCTGTTGTTCATTCATCACTATCTACTGACACACGTTATCTTAGTTTTAAGCCAGTTCTTGTTCTCTGCTGTTCATTCATCACGATCTACATTCATTGCTACCGGCAGGTTATCACAGCAATAAGTTAGTTGACATTGAGCCGACATTACCAAAAGTTATCTTATCATGTATTGTACAAAGCTATAAGGGTTTCTTTCGTTTTCATCTTTACTGTCGTACAATGTAGAGATCGTTCTCGTTCTCTCTGTGTTCAATCATTATAAATTTCACAACATCACGTTTCGCATCCTACTCCTAGCTACAAAAGAAAACTATTTCCTATCCAAGTCACTAGTTCATACTTATTTGTTGCCCGATTATTTTGAAGAATTCCAGCGAGGACTGGTTTGCCAACCAAATAACCAGGATTGCCCGACTTCACGAAAGCTTCTTCTTTTCCTTCCTATACAAAACACGGGAACCGATAAAAAGGAAGGCAAGCAAGCAGAACCAACAAAGCAAGGTCAGCACAGAGCTATGCACACACGCATGCACTCACCTTTAGAAATCGAATGGAAAATCGCTGCACGAAATTTTCACGGACGTTTCCGAGGAGGAGCGAGACGTTCATAGCTTTTAACGTCGAGGAATCGTTATTGTAAACGAGGAGATACGATACCTTAATAAATAAAATACAAAAACATCCATTCCATCAACGGTTTTGCAATGGTCATGCGTAGTTCCATTTAACACGTAATCAATACTGTGTTAATCTTACCTCGGTCACAACATTGTCACAGCGTTTTGTTGAGGTGTTATAGCTAGGTGTAGGCGGAGTTGTGAACCTACACTCACGTAGCACTCCGCTGACATCGCGACACAGCAAAGGCGCAGCTAATTGCGGAGCAAAGAATCGCGACTCGTTGTACGTGGAATGTAATACGGACGAATTTGAAGTAATGTTCGTTGCAGGGCTGTGCAGCTGTGGAGACTAGAAACAGAATGTTGATTTTTTAGTCAAATATAAATACAAACAACGATCAAATCAACTCACGGCAGAGACGTCGCCAGCTCAAATCTTGGGGGGGGGGGTGGTCAATATTCATACGGATGTTTTCTGTCTTGATTTCCTTTGAAATCAATCGTTTTTTAGGGATTACAACGAGCATATATGAAATATTGAGCTCCACTTAGCGAACTGGCGACAGCAATGAAAATCCCCAAAGGTACCCCGAATTGAATTGCATGCATGACAGACGTACTCGAAGACTTATTGACAAAATCATTTCAAACACCCATCGAAGAATACTGTTCCATATTGATCTACGAAAAAAAAACTTCACGACAAGAGCATCTTTTAGCGATGACACCCTCGTGTGATAAGGTATTGCAGTTGACGTTGCATGTGTCTTGATACAATGGTTGGATCTTAGAGCGAACAAAAACTTATTGATCGACATTGGGAGTTCAACGTCTCCAACTTTTTCAGGTTTTTCAAAGCGAATACCGGTCGGCATATGCGGTTTGGCGTTTTAACTTATTTTTTCGAAAATAAAAAATCTCAACTCAACCTTGGCAACCAGAAAATTGGAGTAGTAGCTTGAGGCTGACAATGGCGTCCAACGGGAGCATTCGGCTTTAATGTCAGCGAAATTTCTCGTGCATTGTGACTTTTGATCTTTGAAGTAACCTGCAGGTTGAAAAGAGTTTTATAAAGACAATAACTAGCAAAGATGAACGGCCAAAGTAAAAAACAAAACGATGTTTTTCTCAAATTATCTCCAGTTCAGCAAAACAGTTTTCTCATAAGGTGCCTCCACAAGAAAACTTTTACTGTATGTGATTTCTAACGTAATTTTTTCAATTTGGTCGAATCGTCTAGAAAAATTCTGACGTCATCAAAGGCAGTTGGTATGTATATTTTGTATTGACGAATCCCTTGTCACGAAAATTATCCAGACTTTTCTGACGACGAAAAAATCGATCGAAAAGGACATTTTTGCCACCTTTAAATCGCCATAAAAAATGGAACGATTCGACAAAATCAAAAACGTCTTTCATGGCTATGCTAGAAATCGCGATTGAAATTTAATGATGAGATTTTAGCAACGTCCACATTTTATATAAACACTATGTACATAATAATCAACACAATAAATATAAACACTTGTGCGCATAACTTTCAAAGTGCTAAAGTTGAATACAAGGGACCGCAGAACAGGGAGAAGATGCAGCCCCAACCACTAACCAACACCCCCACCTCAACACCAACCAACACCCTCACCCCAACAACCAACCAACACCCCCACCCCAACAACCAACCAACACCCTCACCCCAACAACCAACCAACACCCCACCCCAACACCAACAAACACCCCCACCCCAACAACCAAGCAACACCCCACCCCAACAACCAAGCAACACACCCCAACAATTTTGCCAACATTATGAATTTTTGAAATTGGTCCACAAAGTCCTACTTGCCCGCCTTTTACACAACTTTGGTTGGTCAATAGCCCACCCCTTCCCCCCACCATAGAAAATATGCATCCCCATCCTTGAAATGAATGTATAGCTCACCTGCTGCATTGAAATCATTACAAGACGAAGAGATGAGCGTGGTTGGAAGATTCAGAAAGCCACGGATTTTGTTGGGAAACAGAATAAGTATAGCATCACCAACCTAACAATATTTACACAAAAAAAAAACACTTTGAAAGTTGAAAATTACAGAAAATGTAACTAAGCAAACATAGATATTGATACAGGGATGGATCTACAATGGTTTTGTGTGTGGGGGGGGAGATTTTTGTAAATGTGGTCCATTAAACACTAATCACAACTCACTTGATATATATTAATTAGTATTAGTCCTGGGTGTAGGTGCACACCCCTCTCCACCCCTACCCCAAATCCACCCATGTACTTATACCCAAACATTACCTTGTACTGACTCCCCAAGCCTTGCTCCACATTATCGTTTGTCTGGTAAGAGAATAAATTTCTGGACTTGATGGCTTTGGTGAAATCATCATTTCCCTCAATGGTGCTGACACTGGAAAATTCTTCTTGCTTCTTGTCTGAAAAATGCAAGTAAGTTGAAGTGGATTAATTAAACGTCGCCATTTGAAGGTCTGGCCATCACGTGACACTTACTATTGTTGCGATAAATACATAGCAACCCGTCGCCTGTGTTTATCGTCCTGAACGGTACGTTGTGCACGTAAATAAGCTGATCAGAAACACAAACACGGTCATCGTACCTGCAATTGAACGAAATGAATTCATAAATCAAAATACCGAACAAAAAACCTTAGGAAAAAAGACCAAAACACTTATGTAAAACAATCTTGACATTTGTGTATTTTGTGTGTGTAGATGATACTCGGTGTGTGTAGACGATACTTACACTACGAATTTCGTTTCTGAGCATTCTGTGAATGTTTCCTTGTCGGAAGGCGAACAGTCCGGATCACAACAACAATTTGGATCACAACCGTTCACGATGAGATCGCAAATACATCCTGGATCGAAAAGCATCCAAATCTATCTGAATTCTGATGAATTTGGAGTTAGACTTACCGAACAAGTTTCGAGAATAACATTACGATATAACAGTTGGTAGAATTAAACATACCCGAAACACTTCCAGTGTTTGTCACACTTCCATTCAACTGTCCACTAGCAATGAATACAAAGCTAAGCAAAAGTAACGTACTGTAAACCTTATAAACGAACGCTTCTTCATTGTCGACAGCCATCTTGTTACATGTTGCTAGGTTTCTGCGCACGCTCAATGCGAACGAGTATTTTTAGAAAAACCCTAGAGCCAAAAAAGTGGATGAGTGGAAAACGAAAAATAAACCAAAAAATTATAGTCGTCGCAAAAAAATAACTTTGTCGTTATCTATAGCTGAACACCTGTAAAATGCAAAATGAACAAGTAAATCAAAGCCTGACGAACTTAAGTTCTTTGAACTCAGTCACAGCTGTACTTTAGTGTTACAAAATTATAAAACGAAGGATTTAACTTTACATTTCCAAAAGTCACCTCAAGTGAAAATTAATGATATGATGATTCTCTCATGAAATGACGAGCGTTTCTAAAATGAGGACTCCTAAAAAATGACGACCATTTGAAATGAAAGACGAAATCCTAATCAACTGTAAAAAGGCCGTTTCCAGCCGTCCAGATGATTTCAACTTGCAACATAGCTAGGGAAAGTTTTCTCAGAATCGAACTACTCTTCCAGACACTAAAGTCGAAGAGAAGAAACACAAGCCGGACAAACCACACTGACAGATCATCGACGCATATAATTTGGTGAGAAACACTATCTTGCCGGAGTACTGTATTGAATGAAAAAGAACGGGAAAAGAAATGAAAAAGATCCCATTTTTCTTCCACACACCCAAGCAGCTCTGATCCTAGGTGTATAAGTTAAAGGCAATTATACTGAATTGAACTACTAGCACATTAAGATAAATTACGTAAAAAAGTTTGATCAAAAATTTAGATTGCAAGTTTCAAGGTGTTATAAGCCAATATAAAATGGCATTTGACTTATGTGAAAATTCCAGCGTAAAAAATAGTAAATCCCTCAATGACATCGCCGTGAATAACAAGCTTATGGAAGTCTTTGCGTAATACGGCTCTCGTGCAACGATTCAAACAAGAACTATTCTTCAAGCAAGGCGTAATGATCGTGAACACAGCGACAGAACTTTTGACTTTGCTCTTTGCAGGTTTGTGACTCTATTCAGATAATAATCGATGTTGTATTGTGAACGCAATTCTTACGCGAGTGATAGAATTCGAAGTTGAAGGTTATTTCAATGACGCTGTGTTTAAAATAATGCAATGACGCTCGTCATCCTGGCCTGCTATGTAGATTATAGCGATATTAAGTCGTTCAGCTACATATTAGTCGCTGTGAAATCAATTTTTGATATAGTACGTTGAGGTTAACCGCACGCTATCAGTAAAAGACATCCCATTCACTTCTCTAAGAAAAACACTTAAGACATGACAGTTTCGAAACTATACCAGACAGTTAAATGGCAGAACAGCTCAGGATATACCACCATCCACCAAGAAATGACGTTTTCAAGTTTATCAAAAGGGGCAACATTTACAAAAATGCAGCTTTGGTATTTGAACATTTGCACTTCATTCTATGGAACTTTATGTTCAAAATGTGGATTTAAGGCTCCTACGACATTTTTTTAAAGGATTACCTTGATAATAGGAAATTCGGGCAAACATTATCTACGCTGTGCGCAAGCGGCCCCCGAACTGATAAATTCATTAAATCCAAAAAAAGTTCTCTTAGATATCTGGTTATTGCCGTTTGGTTTACTGTAAACAAGGAAAACGATTGCGATCTCACGAAGTTATGGAAACCATCTAATTTCGTAATTAGTTAATTAAAACAATTTTCTCGACGTTTACATGCACTGAGAAAACATGCTTGAAAATGGCTTGAACGTAATGTCTATTGCCACCTATTTACTTAGCGTCTTCAATTCTTGTGAGCTCGTGAGATTAACTCACAAATGCTCTCTACTTTTGGCAAAGTACTGTAGCGTATTCAGTGATTTAATCTAGAGACGTGTCCGGCAGGAGATTTTATCAGCGAATACCTCTTGCTGGAAACCAAGACATCTTAAAAAGATTCCTCTAAGGATGAAAAACTTTAGTTTAAAGGTTATCCAAAAACTACTTAGGATAAGGCGTGTAAAAACATCAGTAATATCGATACGTCGTCGAAGTGTTTTCTTCTACTTCGTCATCAGTGCCATCATTTAATCTACGTTTTGAGATTTCCGTTAAGGATTTTAGTAATAAGATTCATTAGAGCCAACAAGTGTAGCTTTCGTAAAAAATCATTCGAGTTTCACTGCCATATATGGTCTGTTAAGTTCCTTGATGCTAAATCGAGTTAAAAGTTGATCTTGTCGAGTCAATACTGTCAATACAATCTATTTGTTCAGCATTGAATAAAGAGGAAAAGGTTGTTGTTTTTGTGAACACAGTTCTCTCTTTCCCGACACTGCAAAATACGTTTTGTCATTATCACAATTTTTATTAAAGTGGCTTACTCGTTAGGACGATTTTCAACCGATCTTGGCGTTCGGTAAAACACCTCTCTCTGGAAGTCTATAAATCTTCCTGCGAACACTCTAACCTGACCTATACTTATCTATTATTGCAAGTGAAAGGAGTCTGAACTAAACCCACATTAGAAATTAACGAAAAACAAGCAATTGTTAAGACAGTTTGATCGCTATTTATAATCATGCCATTGGTCATAAATTTCTAAAGATTAAATGTTACTAATCAATGAGTTTCCTAAATCAATCTTACCAATGAAGCAAATTACAATTCCTAACGCTCGATCCGTCACTGGAGACTGGAAACCATAACATTAATTCAATTCAAAGTACCAAAGTCTCGATTAATTTACTCAAAAGTAACATATTGTATATACTGGGTAGCTTTATCGGGCGGAAGTGGATTGTTCTGAGGGAGATCAAGTAAAGACCATCTCTTGTTGATCCACTGCCACCACTTTAAGGAAGCCTAAACATATGCAGTGGGGATTGAATGCTCTTCCAGATGAAACAGCGACTTTTTTAAACAGATTTGACACATTCAGTTTTGAAGGAGACATTTCACTTCTGTCAGTCTTAAACAGACCCAGAATCATGTCGGACACATCGAAAAATAATGCAATACAATATATTTATTTCGCATTATATAGTATTTGCCTCGACATCAACTCTTCATGACATCCCATCGGAAATATCAAGTCGCAACTCCCTAAACCAGAAAAGACTCGGAGTTGTCCGGAGTGATTCGCTATCAATTCTAAGAAAAACTTTGAAAAAGTTTTCGCTAACTCGGCATCACGTGACCAACCCGAGTGGTAAAGAAAGTGCACGACATTACATTAAAAGAGCGCTAAAAAAGTCTGGACTGCATGTCTGGTCCGAGTACATCAAGACGGCACAGGTAAGACTCGTTGATCAGAGAGATGACGTGGGAATTCTACGCGTCTTTTGCTCAAGTCAAATCTGTTATGGGCATACATTTGTTTCATGTCGATCGAAATGCACTTATAATCATTTATTTATTTCAAGCACAAAATTTTGTGAATTTTATTTAATAAGATTGACTAACATCGCCATCAAATCTGAAGTATATTACAGAGCAGAAGTTAGGAAATTAACCTTGAACAACCCACAGTCAAGTACTATAGAGGTGGAAATGTTCTTTTCTGTAGTCTTTGAGGGGGGAGAACATTATTGGGATGCTGCGCGGGAGATACAGCAACACTGCTGATGACGAAATTGTGATCGTGGGCGCCCATTACGATACGACCAGCAGAACACGTGGTGTGGACGATAACGGTTCAGGAGTGACCGCTTTACTGCAGGCGGCAAAAAAAATCGGTAGAGTTTAGTTGTATGGCTAAGCTTAGCCTTTAGTAAACTTCGTTCGAATTTTATCCTCCTTTATCCTCTTAGCCCCAAATATTTTTTTAACCCCCCTTGGCGTCTATTACAGGAAAAATGGAATGTCGTTTCAAACACACCATTCTTTTCGTGGCCTTCGACTTCGAAGAAGATACCGCGAACTCCAAATTTCCCATTCCATCGGGCAGCGAACATTTCGTGGCAAATCTCACGAAGTATCTCAGGAAGTCGGGCGGCACGGTCAAAGGAGCTCTTGTACTTGAAATGATAGCAAATCACAACTCTTCCCGAGGTGATTTGACTCCATGCGTATTTTTGTCGTACTAGTTCAAGTTCAACACTACGTTCGGTCTTCCTCTTTATGCTTAGGATCTCAGGCATTACCGCCATCGCTCTCTTCGATATCACGTGACACATACTTGAGCGTCATTGATGGGGGGAGTCGTGGCGATTTTCTCGCTGTAGTAGGTCGAAAGAAGAGCGACTTGGAACTGATGAGATTGCTGGAGCGACGTTATGAAAAAGGTAAGAACTAAGACGCCATCAGCAAACATTTCCACGTTGTGGAAATTCTCGCTGAAGAATTGGCATTCAACTTTGACAAACGGATAGTATGCAGGTGTAGTCACATGATCGATTCTCTTGAAGATATGTCATTTAAAATTCGTCTGGTACCCCTGCCGATCTCCGGGAGACCTTCGAATTCGCCCTACTTCGAAAGCCTCAAACAGTTTTACCGCAGTGATCATTACAACTTCTGGGAGAACTCTGTTTCTTTTCCCGCTGTGATGATAACAGACACGTCGAACTTCCGAGCGCCGATGGACAAATGCTATCACAAACGATGCGACAGCATGCGTCTTATCGATAAAAAGGATTTGCAATTCTTGCGAAGGAACATAAATGCCGTTATAAGCACAGCAATCGACCTTGGAGAAATAGGTTAGTCGAGACATGATGTCATCCAATTGTTGCCACCCGGTGACGTAATAAGCTTAAAAGTATAGTCGTGCTATGTAAATTTAGAACATGTGAAAACACGGTCTGCTACGCCACCTTTTTGAGTTTTTCCCAGTATAGCTGCGGCGGTGATTGTTTGTAGGTGGTAGAGGCCATTGATTTGTCCCTGCCAACGCAATTGCCCACTGGATAACTTCTGAAGGGGCAGGCAAGACATTTTAACGAGAAACTACCCAGGGGGGGAATTGCGTCGAGCGCTAAACAGCGGAAACGTCATCTAGTGGAGAGATTGTCTTTCCTATAAAATTTACAACCAGTGGTGAAGCTAGCCTGCAACTTTATTTTTAGATTCGTGCAGGACACACGATGCCGATGAATCAAACTCAAATTTAGATTCAAAAGCACACGAGAAGAACTTGATTGAGAATGCATCAGAGTCGAAAACGCTCAATGTGCCAATACTGCTAATTCCACACAAGCAACTGCGACCAACAAGCTCATCCGCAATAACCTCTTTATCATTAGCATTTTACATGACGATAACTTTGTACTTGTTGTAAATAGGATCATGTGAATAAATTACGTCTTGTTAACAATCGGCCCAACGCCATACACCACACATATGACATCATCAATGACCTCCGTGACGCGGAAAACATTTCACTCACATAATGAAAAACAGATACGCAGTGCGGGCGTTATAAAAACTCCCCAAATTACTTGGAGTTGATGCCTAATTTTGTATATTCGACATGTTACTGATCAACAACTTGCGCAAATTGCACAGAAATGAAATGTTTACGTAATTCTTGCGAGTACAATTACCGATAAACATGCACGAGTGACTTTTTTAAAGACTTCAAAAAAACTCACAATTGCAGATGAACCGCACTGCGATCAACCAATCACAGTCGAGAAATATCTCAAAGTATATTATTAGTATAGGTAATTGCTTTGCGTGCCGCAAAATAATCGAAGAACAAACAATTGCGATGGCATTTGCATAAATTAGCAAAAGACAAGTGCAACTCCCACCGCCTTTGACTGCTAAAGTTTAAGCCATTGTAGATTTTGCCGGTCACCTGCTCAAGACGTTTTACAAGAACCTGTCTCGATGGGACGAGATTGCAAACGAAGGAAGACAAATTTCGTTTCATTGTTCACGATAAAAATGTGAATGCAGTCAATAAGTTTGCTGCCTCGGGGTACAAGTTTTTTGTTAAAATAATACCATCAATTTTTACATCAACGGCGAGTACGTAATACAGGCTCAATATAGCTCATTGCTAAAGAAAAAAAGCCGTTTATAATTGAATACAAGCGAAGACAATTAGTGCAAGGCATTAATATTTAATTGATAGTCGAAGTTATGATCAATGTCATCGTTGAATAAGTTTTAAAATTTGAGGGAAGGAGCTTTGGAATCTTCGGCACTATTTTGCAGGTACGACAATTAATACATGCGCTCTTTTGCCTAACGAGTTATAGCTAATTTCACCTAGATTAGTCAGTTTGGAAAAATTTCAAATACTATAGAAGAAACATCTTAAATATACATAGCAAACTAAGGAAAGCAAATTTTTACGAAGACGCTCATTTCCGACTTGTTTTGCGCAGCGTGAGATGAAGAAAGTCTTTTGTATCAAGCCGTGCTCATTTTCGCAAGAATGGACGTTTTGAACTCGTTTGAACAGGCTTCAAATTTTAACTAGAAATGAAAGGAATCCTGACACAATTATCGCACGAAAGAGATCATATGTCGTCAGATAAATTAGCACAATCATGGAACGGATTTTCGAACATGGAAAACAAAGAATCTTCAATGAATTTTATCAGAATCGTGAAAGACGAGGAAATGAATGAACCCGATGACGATATCACAAAAACGTTTCATTTTGACCCAAAAAATCCAGCATTACAAAACAATAACCTTTTCCCAACGCATGCCTTTAACGAAAAGAAGAAAATTAAGATGCCTAAAGTGTTTCCTGCTGTTAAAATGTCCGAGATAATTGCCTCCAAGGAACTAACCGAAGAAGAGAACAAACTGGAAAAGAATTTAACCATGGACGACATGGAGAGAGTTCTGTCACTCCGTAAGAACAAAAAGAGCGGTATGAGTCACAATAAAGATAAATTACCAAAGATTAACGTTACAAGAGATGATAAAGAAACTAAACAGGCCCACTCCTCCAGCCCGCAAGCTCCTTCACACGCCTTCAACTGTGCAAGAATGCTAACGGAGCTCGATGAAGTTTGCAGCCTCAAATCAACGAGACTTGCGCACAAGGAGGAATTCGAGCCGGCAGTCAACATGGACAATCTACTGCGGTTGAAGATTGTCCAAGAAGCCAAGAGACACAGTGTGTTCACTCCACGCAAACGTACTGAATCACTCGAGCACAGCCGTTGCAATAGTCTCCCAGATTTAGGCTTCCGGGCGTCTCCGAAAAGATACTTCGTAAAACTTGATCCCCAAAGGGCAATCGCAAAGCAAGTAAATCTCAACGGGTGGAATGAGACCTCACAACGTTGCCGAGTGTTGTTGGAAAACCTTCGGAAACAGGACAAACAAGACATTGAATTAACCAAACATGAAAAGAACGTCCTCGTTGGACGGTGGATAGAAGAGACGTGTCATACAAAGCTCGATGGAAGTTTTACCAAAGCTACGTAAGTTGAATCGAAATACCCACAATGCCATGCAAGTTCGGCAGAAATTGGGCTAGTTGATTTTCGAACAAAGAATTAGCATTGGAATTTTAAGAAAAGTGAAAGAGTAATGAAAAATACATTCATAGTGAAGCTTATACATCAAGAAATATTGGAGTGAAGAAATAAAAGCCGACAGCAATAACGTACCACCTCATGAATATAAGCTGTTTAAAGCAGTATAGCTTATACCTCATGTTAAAAACATGACTGTAAAAGTTAGTTATTTTAGAACTAGTCCCAGTTTTAGCTACTTGTTCAAAAATAGTAACTAGTTACCAGGTAAAGGCACGGTAAAAAATTGTAACTCGTTGCCGCTACGAAACATTTGCAACTATAGTTACGAAGTTACTTTGCATGCGTTACACAAACAACATTATAAATTGCAGTCGTGCTGAATTTCATTCAATAAAAGTCTCGTTCTTTGGAAAAGTCGGTCCGTTTTTCTTTCTTTCTTTCAGCAATCAGTGGAAAAATAACGCAAAAAGATTCACACGTTTTTAGAAAAATTGTACCTAGTTTCCCATAGTCACCATTAAAAGGAACAATTACTAGTAACTTTGTTACTCGTAGAGTATTCAGCACAGACTGCACTAAGACATGCTTGGAATGTTCAGATTATCATGATTCACAATTCAGTAAACACAGCGCGTTAATCCTACCCAACAAACCTAGGTCTGAACAACATAAACACTCTACTTCAAAGGTATCAAATACAATAAAAAAATACAGGTGTTTTCCTGAAATTCTATTCTTCGGTTGCAAGCTACGTCATAACCGCCATGTTGGATGATTTTAACAAAGGTTTATTTACAATGCAAATTTCATCCAACATGGCGAGCATTCCATTGTTCTCTTACTCCCAGGGGGATGGTTGCAACCCACCAATATACTTCATCGGTATGTCATTCAGAGCTATTTGTATAACAATTTCACAGGCTCTCCTGTAAAGTCTTTGCACTCCTTCTAAACGCCAATCCAAGTTCCAAAGTCTTGGACACATCTATATGAAGGGAAAGACGTGCTCACTTCGAACGGTCAAGCGTGTTTCGGCGTCCGTATTGTTGTCAATTTAAGATACACCCCACGATCCATTGATCAGGCAAAGTTGTCGATGGAGAAAATTTTTCAATTTATGTATACTTAGTCGTTTCCTTTCAATTGTAACACGAGTAGATTAACAAAGATCGAGCCTACTTTTGAAATGCAAATTCTAAGTAGAGACATTTCATCAGTAAACAGAACCAGAAACAAATGCATCTGCAAACGATACGTCGAGTTGCAAGAATAGCCATTTATCATCTCGGCAAGAGATCAAGCGCAGCGTGTCTCAAAGAACTTTTCTTCAAACACTTTCAACAATTCTGAAGATCACAGCGCATTGAAAAAAGATAGCTGTTGCTCAGATTTTGTGATATAGCCGCAGTGTCGTGTTTTTGTTTTGTTCGTAAGGATTACAATTTAATCTCGAGAGCAACAAGCTGTGTCGCTAAAGTGACTGACTTCGTTCTATCTTCGATTGTACGGGCGATAGACAAACACGATTAAAAATTCATGCTGCTAAAAATGTAAAATTAATGTCTTTTAATCGACGGTCATCAAAACTTTTAACATAAAAATGAGAATACTAACGTCATGCTATATTTAAATAAGATAACAGATATATTTTGAACGAGAAAATAAACACGATAAAATGCGTTAATTCAACCAACAAACCCTAGCATCGGTGGTTCAATAATCTCAACATTCATGGATGATACATTCAACTATTGATCTTCGTAATGTCTTATGCTTTAGACGGTATTTTACTCGTAAAATCTTATTTCGGAAAGGAAAATTCAACTTCGTAATTCCTTTCTTTCAATCCCGTCTGCAGTCTTCGTCTTCATCAACGCTGCAACGTTGAAACCATTTGTTGATCTTATGCAAATTCCTGCCAACTCGATCCAAGTTCTCGTTCGAGTACATGCGGTTCGCTAACGACTTCGCGAGATTCATCTCCGTCAGCTCGCTGCTCTGCGATTCACGCCAGCATTTGAGGGAACCGTCCAACTCCGCCCGGGTGGAGTTCGATTCGATGTCGGATCGTTCCGAGAACGAGGCGTTCATTACATCCGTAAAATCTTTACTGAAATACAGATCACACGTGGAGTATTCCAGTTTATCATCGTCTTGCATGATGCCATCTTCTGACTCACAACGATAAAACATAAAGTCCATCGATTTCGAGCGTTCCAGGCTGCTCCATGGCACCAAAGTGTCAGCGCGTTTAAGAAACAACGCACGCTTTTCGATGCAATTCATCTCCTCGCTATGAGAAAGCAAATTTGGCAAACTCTTCCATTGGTTTAAAACTTTGATCGAGAAGCTCTTGGAAAATTGCGTGTGGCACGAGCAATCAAACATTTTGCCATGCGTCACAACTATCGCAAAAATGAATGACGAAGTCGTCAATTATTTCTCTTTTTGTTGTTGTTGCAGTTGCTCTCGACGAACTCCACTAACAGCGTGAGCACTGGGACAAAATCAACCGTATCCCGTTAGTATACGGATACTGACGCATCGAAAAGATGAAATTTTCACACTAAAATCTCGAGCGCTGCTTTTAACGTTTCTGGCTGAAGAAACAAAGTTAACATAACAAAGAGTAATCGAACAGACTGATGAAATAATAAATATGACCACTTATCACACGTATGCTCAATACGGTCATTTGGCCAACCGCGACAGCATTAAATGGTTTAATTAAAAATAGCCGCCGTCACCATATCTGATCGTGTGCATTGTTAAAGACGTCGATCACACAACGAGCAATATCCACGTTTCACCACAGGCTCGAGACGAAAATCGCCACGATTCTCAAAATCGCAGCCGTAAAACTTGACTGTCAGGCGCCGTTGCTACTTTAATAAAAAATTACCCAAGTTTCTAGCTTACGTTACGCGTTACGGTGACGAAAAATCTAGCGCGCAAGCATGCAATAAACTGTTAAAGCACGTGGGCAAGACATTCGCGGAACCCAGCTTTAAAATTCCCGTGTCTGAGAATGTGAAACGCGTAAAAACGCAGAAATATTATTCATTGACGACGTGCATTTTGAACAACACGCGAGAGAATACACTGGAAGCGAAGCGACTAATGTAATGCAATCAGTCAATTGGTCGTTAGTTGCGGCACATTTAGCCCAATTTTCGTCAATCTCCGCAGGTCAATTAGCTAGGTCTATTCAAGTTAGTATTTGCATATTTTATTTATAAGAGCAATGCTGTTTATGTACTAGTGTATTAATTCCGCAGAGCAAAGCAATTTCAGCAAAGCATTCACGTTCACTTAAATTAGTCTGTCTCCGGACAGAGAAACAACTGGGACGAGTGGGTAGAAAAAAAAGCGAAAGTGCACACAGCAGGTGTTCAATCTCTTGAAGCTCAAGCACAGCAGTCAGGCTCAACAAAATATACGAATTCTTGTGTGCAAGTTACGTAATGGCCGCCATGTTGATGTTAACAAAGCATTTCCTCATTCACAACGCGAAAAACATTAAACATGGCGAAAATTCTATTGTTCTTTCACTCCAAGGGGATTGGTTGGACACCACATGTATGTCACCCCCACCGTCGTGAAGCAATTCATTTCGGTAATGGTCTTTTCTTTCCCATCCGTGTGAACATTCGACTCTCCTTCCCGAGGGTCCTTTTTTCTGCTTGATTTTTTTTTGAACATCATACAGTCGAACCTCTTGAAAGCAGACACAGTTGGCACCACAATCTGGTGTCCACTTTCGGAAGGTGTCGCCTTCGGAAGATGTCCGCAAGTAGAGGTCCCACTGTGTTGTTGTTTAACGTTTGTAGATGTAGGTCGTCCCAGATGGTCAAAGTTAATGGAGTCCCAAAAAGGACTGCTCATGTTGATGTCGACTATTTCACAACCTTACCGATAGTCATTTTCCGAGTCAACAATTGAAGACTCTGAAGACGAGTACCGTTATGGTTGTCGAAACACCAGTCAACGTCAACAATCCTTCTCGGAACTCTACTAACCAGGACGATCTACATCTACAAAGATATATCGATACCCGGGCTCAAACATTCACTGTATTGACTATAATTCATGATCAATTTACAGGGTGCCCCCCCCTTCCCGAAATAAAGAACCCGCACGAATAATTATGCATACATTAAAATGAAATCTGCAAGAAGATAATGAAGTCTGGAATAGCTATTTGATCGGCCCGGTTACTTTGGTTACACGTTTGTCTGCGTTTCTTGCAACTTATGGAAAATATGATTACGTTTTTATGGCTGTTAAAATTCAAATAATGTTTTCTTTAACTAATTCTGCACAGACGCTACGAAATCCCAGAGGCGCAGAACAGTCAAGTTCATCAAACTGTTGTGAATGATAATTACGTAATTGTGCATAAAAACTTCAACGAATACATAATTAATTTATGTGGGTTCCGTTTCTCGGGGACAATCTGTATAATCATACGAAAGTTTGATAACTGGATTCGACAACAAAAATTATTTTTAATGCATGAGTTGCAAATCAACACTCACATTATAATACAAGTGAAAATATTTATTGTACAATTCATCACTCGTTTTCCTCGCTACGCAAGCGTGCATTAAAGTTGGTCACCTTAATCGCCAACTGTTGCGCACGCTCCACGATCTGTTTACGCTTTCTGCTCGATACGTTGTGTGCAATTTCAGCAGCAAAACGTCGATTGGACATCAACAAAACTTCAAGCTCCTAAATCAAGAGAACAATAAGAGGAAGATTAATTCCCTTGCCATAAAAGCGTATCTTATCTTGACAAAACGCAGGACGTGGCCGGGGGAGAATAGGTATGAGCTAATATTGTTAGGAAGTCATGTGACACAAAGAATTATCAAACAAAGACAATGCATTATCTACATTCATTGTCTTCAGTAACGAAGGCAGCCCGTTTATACTTCTGTCTTATAAACACGAGTCAAATGCTTTTTTTGGGGTAATGTCGCGATATTGCGCGAATCACGAATGAATGACACTAACTCCTTGAACCAATCAAAATATTTCTTGGACCGTTTCACGTGGAAAATTAATGACACGTAAAATAAAACAGGATTGACATATAATATATTGCCACATGTGAGATTGCATTGCGGTGAATTGCGATGTGCTATTTGCCAATTGTGGCCAATACACATATATAGCTAAACAAACACTGTTCTTGAATAGCTTGAGTGAACGCCTGATAGACAGCCTACGTCATAGCCCCTAAACTTCTCGTAGGAGACGTTAAAGGTCTACGACATAGGCTTCTGATAGGCGTCTACTCTACTTTCACAATGCAAATATCATTATTGTGTTTATTCACTGGAAAAGCGACGAATAAAATTAATTTTCTAGAGAAATGGAACAAAAAATTTTCTAAAAAATTGAGATTGTATGAGTTGAAAGATTGGGCTTGCTGTGCCACTTGTTGTGCGAAGCTCACTGGAGAAGAGTAATGAGAATAAAAAATGAACAAACTAACAAAAAGTGGCTAAAGTCTCAACATATGAATGTGATACAACTAAATTGATTAGTCTATCTATTAAGCTGGCAAATACACAACAAATGGCAAAAGACAGGAATTGCACATGGAAACCTGATGCCTGACCCGAAACCTAACTTCATATTATCGTTGCATACTACGAGATTAAATTGATTTCGACAGGAAAAAAATTGATTACAAAAAATTGTCCGGACCAAGATTCGAGCCCCTAAACCCTTGGTATGAGCTTCGCAGTGATCGGACAAACATAACTTTAATTTAACCATTGCTGAAAGCTGGCAAATTCACCATGGCAACCAATGTGATATTCCTGTCCTAAGCTGCTTGTATACTATGAGTGATTAAACAACAGAAAATGATGTAGCAAGCCTGATTGAAGTAGAATGTCCTAGGTGTTAGCTTCATACACTTCACCCGAAGGTCTTGCATTATTCTACTTCCCTTCAACGGCCATGATTGCAACATAACAAAATGCAACATGGTGCTTTTGAGAAGATTGATTGGTCTATATCCGAGTTTGCATTGGCCCGAGCACACCGAGTAGAGCACATTAATTAAACGAACAAAGAGAGTTTGCAAATTAAACATGAATCAATGTTGATGGAAACATCAAAACATTTGTTTAAATTTATCTGTTCTACATTACTGGCATTTCATAAAAGAAATAAAAGACAGTTTTGTGTGTTTGCACCAGCTTATGGAAACCTCGGACATGTTGCAAAACTGTTGGGCTTGCAATGATCAGCTCTCAACTCCCACAAATCAATGTTGACATTTTTAGCAGAAGCAACATTCAAACTTTTTTACTTACAGCAACATTGTGGACAAGAAATTTTCTGAAGCCATCTGGCATCATGTGTCTGGTCTTTTTATTCGATCCATATCCAATACTGGGCATTAATCTAGTTCCACGAAACCGACGACGTACGCAGTTGTCAATTCCTTTTGGCTTGCGCCAGCTTGGCTGTCATAAAAACCAAACAACATGCATGTTAGGTCGTAGAAGACAAGAAAGAAAAATGTTTTGATATATCACAAAAAAGATGGTTGAAAATGTGGAGATAAGCAATAAATGATATTTATAGCTTGAAAATTATCAACAAATTGAGCAAGTTTTATATTACTAACAAGTTTACTTAATACACTATCATCACGATCATGTGCGGTCGGTGCTGATGGTCATCACAAGATGGCCAAAAAGTTCAGCCAAGCCACCCTCCAGCTTCACTTTATTTGATAATCAGTTGGGCCTTATCAAAGCTGCAACATCAAACCTTAGTCAAATGTCAGCATTTCCATAAAGTTTTGATAAACCTTTCGAGTCTGATTAAGACATGCAAAATGAGCTTGTGGCTTTGTTCACAAGCAGGGAAAGCCTCAATAGACATTAAGAAAGCGGCCTTTGGCATCCTACTTGTCAAAGCACTTCTTTAATCTTCCTTCTATATGAATCAAAACTATCTTATCCAGTATAATGCAGTACTGACAAACCTTGACCATCGAAACAGTCAAGCTTATGTCGTACAAATCACTACCTTTAGATCAAGCTTGATACAGTTCATAGAAGGATGCAAACGAGAAAGTAATCAAGACAACGACAAGTTTTTAACATTAGTAAAAATCTAAAGGAATCGCAGCTTTATCAGACAAAGTATATATTGGTAGTCATATAGAACCGTTGTTTTCCCATACACTTGACCATTAAATACTTACAGCAACACGTTTGAAACGATCGGATTGATGGCGTATGAACCTCTTTCGCCTCTTCTTCACAATATTGGGTTTTAGCACGGGGCTCACCATTTTCGCTAGATGAACAAGTCTTAAATCAATTCATCTTATAAACTAGTTCTCATTCCTCAACAATGAAACGATTGCTGAAATTAATTCAGCAAAGAAATAAAAAACTTTTTTTGCACCAGTATGCCTCGGTCGGCGAGGATTGCTAAAAAAATTGAAGGATTTGAAATAGTTCTACCTTCCCCTATGAAAGAGCCAAAAGAAAAGAACTAGCCAGGGAAGGTCGCAAAGAATCTTGGATGATCGTCACGGTCAGCGGTTACACGATGAAGTCAAAACAATCCGGTTAGCACTATTTTCCAGAGCCCTCTATAGTATAAGAGTTGGGACATCTATTGTTATCCGTTTAGCTTACGTTGATTGGGCAATATTGATCACCTGATCAATTTCCGCCATTTTGGTTCCTAGTTTTGAAATTTTAGCTTGTGTTTATATAACAATTGCTGCTAGTAATACAGTATTTTGAGATAATATTGCGTTTTTTTATGGATAAGTGTGTAATAACTGATTGTTGAAGGCTACTAAATGTCATTACATATCGCATAAATCGAGGATTACGAAAAAAATGAAAGAAATGCCTTTACGTCGAACTTACGAAATTTGATTGCGTATGGTGATTGTTGTGCTGAACTGCTTTTGATATAAGGTTCAATTAACTGACTCAAGTAGAGAAACATTTTGGGCCAAATAACATTGCAAAGTTCGTGCTGATGCAGTTTCAATAGTTTTCTTACTCCAAAGCTTGTTTTTTAATCGAAGATGATTTCTCATTATGTTCTGAAATTGGTCAATCTACAAACCTCTCAATTCTCAGCCACTTCCATACTAAAACAACTACACCAAATCACAGAAACTCTTATGATTTTCCATGTTGTATTTTGTATTTTTAGTTCATCATTTAAAAATGAAGTAATTATAATTAGGATATTCAATGAAACAGCTGAGTACAATATATTTTGTTATTGAATTGTACAAATGTACCCTACTTCTGTAGCTCAAAGTAGAACATTACTTCTCTTCTAGACTTGTTGATGATATTTTAATTGTAGGTTTTGGTTTATAAGATCACAGAGGCATATCTCCATAATTTCAGCTATTTGGGCTTTTTAATGTATATTACAACTGTTGCTGCCTTTCTCATATATATTAAAATATTGCTGGCTTTCTGATATATATTTAGGTGCTGCTAGCTTTTTGATATATATATTTCACTGACAATACAAGGCATAGAATTTGAACAAACGGTTCAAATTCTATGCCTTGTATTGCCAGTGAAATATAAACAGTTCAACGGTTCTTTAAACGGTTCAAATTCTATGCCTTGTATTGCCAGCGAATTTGAACAAACGGTTTAAAGAAATGCTTCACCAAAATTTTCAGCAGAATCCCTAATAAACTTTATTAGAAATAAACTTTAATACTTTATAAAGTGATAAAGGCGAAATAACTTCATATACAGGAATAAAACGTTTAAGGTCAAATTCATCTTGGTCAAATCATTGCATATTTCAATAACTAAAAAGTAAAAAAGTCTGTCATTTTCTGCTGAGCAAGAAAATTTTGTGATCTTTCAGAATAAAAAATATCATGCTTGGATTAAATTGGGGGGGCATAAATCACTCACTACCATTAAATTGTTACAAATCTTGAACACAAATCTCTCCGGACCAAATCTGCATGATTACTATGATTCAAAGTTTCGAACAAAGTCTTGTCCAAGTATTTGATAACACTGATGCCAGGATAACATTGCCGCTTGCCACCAAGCTTAAAGATCTTGAAAACTTGTTACAGAGTCGGAACATAAGCCGAGAAAACACGTTCACGTACGAAAAATACTTCTTACAATGGGTCACGATCAATTTGAAGCACGAACTAGTAAACCGCAAACGAAGCTCAAACCAATGAAATTAAATCAGGTCTGCCGCAAATCGTTAAAAAAAATGCAAAGAGCTTGCTATTATTCCTAATATATTTGATACTACCATGGAATAAGCTTAAATTGCTTTCTTCTTTTGCATATAAACCCAATTTCTAATAGTATTATTATAGTTTCACTTTGCAAGTAGGAACCAAAATGGCGGCTCCGCGCTCGCCCCAGACCGTTTGTCCCAACTCTTATAATATAGAGGGCTCTGCTTTTTTTCCACCCAGCAAACCGCCCTTTACTTTACACAATCGGAAATAAATTTAAGATGGCGGCTAATGGGAAAGAACCAAAAGCTAAAAGGAAACCATGCATGCACTGGTGCTAGGTCGTTTTGAGATGGCGAGTAATTTTATATCTTTATAATACAGTTTTTAATATCAACATATGAAAATATTTACAGATAAATGTTACAGTATAAATTTTCATGCAACCACCTTAAGTTATAAACTTATAATCCAGGCTGGAAAATATGTCGTTTTTCGACGATTGTGTAAAATATTAGATTGTGTAAAATATTATATTGTGTAAAATATTATATTTCAAAGTAAAGGGCGGTTTGCTGGGTGGAAAATAGTGCTAACCAAACAATCCAGAGCCAGCCACCCTCCCACAGTGAGGACCACAGATTTTGGAAGGAGACACACAGTATCGAGCACATTTTACAGAAGTAAACCAATTTTCACCAATGCATTGACAAGTTTGTACCATCTTTTTACTTTTGTATTAAAAATTACATCAAGATAGCTAATATAACATAACATATTTTCATACTTCGATACTACAAAAACGTACATTAGTGGTTTGTGGAGAGCAGTAAACTCGATGTATATTTTTATTCATATATATTTGAATATTGAGATTAGTGGTGGAAAAAAAAGCGCTAAAATTTCAAAATGGATGCGTTTTTCGGTTGGCGTTCACGAAAAATAAGAAATGATAAAAATACAACTACTCAAAGCAGGTTTTCTCCGCTTCACCAGAGTCGTTAACTCGTAAAAGAAACATTTGTTTTCTCATCATCAGAAAGAGCAAGAGAAAATATAATAACGATAGGCTGGGATGCGATAGAAAACCGACTTGAACTAACAAGATGTCAAAAAAAAACGACGAAACGTGCATTTTAACGATCTCGATTTACTCGCCCCGTCTAACTAAAAATCAGAAATTTGGTTCAGTCAATTGAAGTGTCAACAGTCAATTATGTCGCTGTTGTCTGTGCCGATGCACCTGAATTTTCTGCAAATTTAATATCATAATATAATCAACGCTATATTTACTTATGAGTGCAATAATTCTAGACCCACGAATCATTAACGCCTTCTCCATCTCCCTCTGGACGACGATTCTTGTTAACTTTAGCGTACAGCGGAGAACCGTCCAAGTTGGCAGCCTCCGGTTGAGGTTCTTGTGGGGGAACTGGGGACGGTTCTCGTTCGATGCTGGGAGACGAACGGGAAGTATTGCCGTTGGGAACAGCGTAGCCACGCCTCTCGAGATCACGCGTTTCATCCGCGGGTTGAGAAAGGAAGAATGGTTGACTCACTTGTCTGTCGTACGACTTGTAACCACTTCGGGGTAAAGTGACGTCATCGAAAGCTCTCGGACGGGGGGATTGGCCATATTCATCAGATACGGTCTTGGTAAACTGCCAGCCCTGCTTGTCGATGACTGAACGCGTCTCCTTGAAATTCCACATGGATATGAGAACCTTCACAAAAAATAGATAAAGAAGAGGATATTAATGGTTCTAGCAATTCAAAGTAGTCGGGGCTGTAGTGCAATAGATTTTCGCGGGGGTTCATATTAATGAATGCATGACATGCCGTGTTACGTTCCTTTGACACCCATTGTTTTCAAGGATTATAGAATGTATATATGAATACGAGCCCACAATTATCGATAGTACTACAGCCCTGTGAGCAATACTACACAAGACTCAATTTACATTTTTCTAACACAACACAAGGCTCTTTTTTACACGGCTCTAATACTACACAAGACTCTAACTTTGCATGGCTCTAATAGTACAAAAGACTCTATTTTTACACGGCTCTAATACTACACAAGACTCTATTTTTACATGGCTCTAATAGTACACAAGACTCTATTTTTACATGGCTCTAACACAACACAAGACTCTATTTTTACATGGCTCTAACACAACACAAGACTCTATTTTTACATGGCTCGAACACAACACAAGACTCGATTTTTACATGGCTCTAACACAACACAAGACTCGATTTTTTCATGGCGCTAATACTAACACAAGACTCGATTTTTACATGGCTCTAATACTACACAAGACTATTTAAATGGCTCCAATATTACACAAAGCTCTAATACTCTAATACTACACAAGACTCTATTTTTACATGGCTCTAACACCACACAACACTCTAATTTTAAATGGCTCCAATACTACACAAAGCTCTAATTTTGCATGGTTTTGATACCACACAGGGTTCTATTTAAATGGCTCCAACACAACACAAGGCTCTAATAACAGGCTCTAACACTACACAAGACTTTGTTTAAAAAGGCATATTTTACCTGGTTAGCTGTTTTCACGACTTTTGGATCAAAATTCCCTTTCGCTATCTTCACAAGTTTCACGACACCGCCAACGTCACGAACCGCTCTGAAAATCAAAGCTTGATATAACTAGGAGCGTTGGATAGACAATAAAAGTGGTGCGGGGGATACTACAAATGTTCAGTACATCTCAATTTAAAGTAGATATCATGTATTCTGCATATTGTATTACGTATTACATACAATGGAAAAATCAAAGTATAAACATTGTACAACGCGAAACAAAACGTGTCTCATTTTTACATAGATTTTTATACGTGAATGTTAATAGAAAACATAACACAAGAATCTGTCATAAAGCAAACGGTGCCATCACTGTCATGTTCGGAAAATAAAAATGGATTCTCTTCAAATCTTTTTCTGTGTCGGCAAGTAATGTCAATGAGAATTTAGGCTAATAAAGTTTTATGGCCAAAGATTCGTGCGGTATTGTGTTGAAAGTTATTCGGCAGACAAGTATGTCTTGTCGTCAAAATAGACATGAAGTCCTGAAGTAAACAATTTTTTTATTGTAGTCTCCCTATTATGAAGAAGGATGATGCCACTCTTTAAAAATAAGTGAAAGGGCATGGACTACCCCCCCCCCGCGCGCCGCCAATACCCCACGTCTCCGATGCCTCTGAATCAAACTATTTAAAACCGAACTCATTCGTTTTAGTGTCCTTTTGCAGATGAAAACTGAATCAAAGGTAGAACTATCTCTACGAAAATTAACGTACATCGAAATATTGCATAAAATGTCCACGTCTGATTATAACCGAGACTCGCTGGCGTAGCGAGCCCGCAAATATGGTCCTGTTATGTTAATTTTTTCGTGTTCACTCACTGTAAAAACAATACATTTCTAAAGAAATTAATTATGCTAATTATCTAAAATTTACATACTTAGGACCAACACTTGCGGGATGGCTACGTCACTGCCGAGACTTACTTCGCATTTTGTGAGTCTTGATCTACCAGTTGATGAATGGTACAGATGATCGCACCGTAAGTTGGTTCCGTGATGCCTTGACTACCTTCACCGGAAGGCAACCGATACACAAGGTCCTTCATCGCGTATTTCCCTTGATGAAAAAGATTAACAATCAACGTCATGACGGCGGACAGATTCATCCTAAAGTTTTATCAAATATCATTTCGAAAGCGTTAACTGCATAATGTGGCTGCCTCAATTCCTGTTGTTCTAGTAAGACGAGCGAATAACGTGTTTGCCTAGTCAGAATTCACATATTGTTAATCAAAAGTCGTATAAAAGGGAATACGACCTTGCGCGTCCTCTGTACTGGTAGCATAACTAAAAATTCCGAATTTTGAGCTTTAAACAATAAAAATCACCACAAAGTATCCCAAAAAAAAACACATTCAATTTATCCCATCGTTGACAGCGTGTGAAGCACTGACTGAAACATTTCAGCAATTATAGTATTACAAAGTAAAACCAAGGTAGTTTGGTTCCTTACTGACGAAATGTACTCGTCGAAAGCTGAGGAAGGTTAGCAATAGTCCCCAGACCCCCTCGGATTTCGAATACATTTCATCACTAAGTAACCTCACTACCATGGTTTTACTTATAATAATAAATGATAAACGAGTAACCGTACTAGAAAAATTATTTTCTACTTTATACTCACCGATAACGACTTTATTTCTGGCATCAAGCGCGAGATTCCGAAGTGCAGTGGCGTCCGCACGAATGACGCCATCGTCATTCACTCGGAGAAGCTCGACTAGAATCGGAAGACCTTTCTCTCTTCTTAACGTCGAACGCAAAAGGGCAGACCACTGAAAAATATAAGAGAAACGGATGTGACAGAGTTTATCATTTTTAAACTTAGCTACGATCCCAGACTTGAAGTGGAGATGATTTCTGATAACGAATACAATAAGCAACAATGTTTTAGAACCCAATCCCCTAAATGTCTAACTTGGTCTCAACTACTGTATGAAGATGTGACAAGGGCGTCATCTTGAAAGGTGGCAAAAATCAAAACTCGCCATTAAAAATAAGTTAAAAGAAAGTTTAAAAAAACAATCCAATCAAACTTTCTAAAAACCAGACCTAAATTCCCCAACAGTCAGTATATTAAGGGAGAAGCATATTTTAGTCGTAAATATCATCAGTTTTTTCCACCTTTCGAGATGGCGGATGGCCTCACTCATAACTACAGAATTTAGTAGAGTCGAGCATCTAGTAGACTGGGTTCGAGATAATTGTTAAACACTCACCCTCCATGAACACGCAGTCAGGTTGTGGATCATGCCGACGGCTGCCTCTAGCGTCTCTGCAATGGTAGACTCAGCCAGGAGAACAAGCAGAGGACTCAAGACCTCAGGCTGCCAAAGCAAGGCGACGCCTTCCTTGATATTTCTTGCGTGACGGTCGATGGTGCTCTGGTCGCCTTGTCCCTTCTTTTTAGATTTCCTACTGAAGAAACTCGAGCTGCTTTTCTCGGGGCCGCCATATATACTCCTGTCTGGACGATCAGGATCCACATCCGTGTCGTGGTATTTGTTTCGATCGACCTCTTCTTCCAGACGATAGGAAAGATTGCGCAATATGCAAACACAGTTCTCTACGGTCTTAATGAACAAAACACGTCAATCTGTAATGGACTTTCATTTCAAAATTTATTTTGGCATGCTTACTAACAAGACTTATTGAAAGGCTGATCGTTCGTTTACATACAAACGTATTTCAAAATCACATATATTTTCGTTGTTACGCTGTAAACTTGCCTGTGTCTATTCTAAAAGTTTTTATTGTCATTCGACTCGATACCAAAGAAGACATAGAGCAAAGTTTTTCAATGTACACAAGAGTAAATGAAAGTCAAAGAATCTGGAAACGACCGACATCAAACGCGCGAATTCGAAATAAATTGGAAATATTGCTACATGAAAATGGTCTCGAATTAGGTAGAGATGGGCCTTTTTTCGGAGTGTATTCCCTTTCACACCTCACAAAAGCTTCAATAGCTCAAGAGCAAGCATGCAAAACGTGAAAGTTGTGATTTATCTTTCAAATAAAGTTGACTTTATCACGTCGTATTAAGAAGTATTACGTCGTATTACGTCCGCCTACATTACAAGAACATTTCGTCACCTTAGGATCAATTCCTGATTTCCCGAGCGATAGTCTGATGACGTATAGTAAAGAGTCGATCAAACCATAGACGTCACGCAGCCTTGTTCTGGCTTCGACACCCGCAGACGATAAATTCCTCAAGACACCTGCAAAAAGGTTCCGTCAGACCTAATATAACCATATTAGAAATAACGGCTCATACCCGGGGGTGCACATTACCTGGGGGGGTGAAGTTGTGCTCCCCCCCGCAGCTTTGTGAAATACCATAAAACCCCAAATACATAAGAGCCCAGATTTTTTAAGTTCGCCAAAACAGGCTCTTTGAAGAAATAAAAGATGTTTACTGTGTTTGCACAGGCTTATGCAAGCCGAGGAGACCTTTGGAAGAACTCGAGAGCAGATCAGTGCAAGCCCGTGACCGAAGGTCGAGAGTTGCACCTGTTCGAGAGTTCTCACAAACGTTTCACAGGCAAACACAGCTATAGACCAATCACCGCACGCGTTTTATTGCGTATATTTTATACAAATATAAATGATGCTCATCGCAATACCACAGGCCAAACAGGCTCATATTTTGTGAAGAAAAAGTGACTCATTCGCGTCTGGTTTTGAAAAAATATTTACACAGATTATGCCCATGCTGTTCTCTTGACTTACAGTATATGCCCTTATATACCAACGCTATACTACGGTATTTGCCTCGTCTAGAAGTCAGAAGACATTTTTAATACTTTGTGAATAATGAATTTATTTATTTTTAGTTGAAGTTTTCAGTTTCTAAGTAAGGGTGATAAAAATAAAATAAGAACCGATCCGAAATTTTAGCCTCGACACGTACTTTTACAAACAGTGCGTAAATAAGAAATTCTAACAAACTAACAGGTTCTTAAATACCAGATTCTCGTACGCTGGGTTTTACTGCACGAAAAAACGTCGGGTCCAGAAAGTAATAGAGGACGAAAAAAGTCGGTCCGGCTAAAATTTTGGGCTTTTCTATCAAATACCGAACACTGCCAAAGTCGGTCAAACAAAGTGATACACCCCCCCCCCCACATTTGATATTGGCGCCCATGTTTAATGTCCAATCTCTATTTCGTTACCTGTGGCATTTCTAAAAGAAAACGTCCATCTCACAGGCTCGATGTCGCGCTTATCCCAACCAGAATCAGGTATTACATATGATGTGACGATGAAGACAAGGCACTCGTCAAGTATTTGCCTTTTCAGCGCCTACAACCATAATCGCTTACGTCAACAATCAAACTGAGGATTGTAAGGGATCTTACAGAACTTTGACCTAATTATCCCAGAATGAACTAATCATCCATACGCGGGAACGAATCAAAACCGAGAAAAGTTGATCACAAGATCATCTCACCTCGCAAGATGACAAGTTCCAGATTATTGACAACAGCAGGTCCTTGACCTAGGAGAAATAAAGGAAACGTCAAACAATTTTAGCCGATTTTTCAAACAAAACCCGACCATCGCCCGTTCTCTTTTACGCGACGATATAACTACCTCGACTCTTTCCGTCCGCTGAAGTAGACGCATCATCGCCTTCATACCATCGTAACGACATATTTCAATCTGAGAAAACATGCACGACATATTTGTTATTTCCTCATTAGAAAATCGATTACAACATACACCCGCGTCCCTGAACGCACCTTACTCTCGTCGCTCTGTTTACTGAAAGAAAGGTTCCTCAAAGTCCCCGCTGCTCCTTTGTGTATGTCTTCGTTCCTGCTGTCCAACAGACGAACCAATGGCGGAATGCCTTTCAAGGCCCTGGAAAAAAATAGGTGATTTTCACCGATTTCAGCGTTGCGTTCAGTAATATTGTTATCGTTATAAAGTAAATGGTTTGAACCCGGGAGTATCGTTACATGTTTATAAATGTAGATCGTCCAGGTTGGTATAGTCCTCAGAAGGACTGTTTTTGTTGTTGTTGACTGACGTTTCGACAACCTTAGCGGTAGTCATCTTCATGTGACTCCGCTAAGGTTGTCTACCGCTAAGGTTGTCGAAACGTCAGTCAACAACAACAAAAACAGTCCTTCTCAGGACTATACCAACCTGGACGATCTACATTTACAATCATATTGTTATCGTTCCCGGATCTCAGGGACGTTCAGTAAAAAACAGATGGAATAGATTCAAAGTATGCACAGTTTCTCGCTAGAAAAACCCGCATGTTTAATGTTAAAAAGGCAAATCATTTTTACAACTGATAACCCGTAACCAAATTCAAGTTCATATTCAACACAAGCTCAGTTGAAAACCTCACCGAAACTTATTCTTGGTTTCTTCGTCTTTAAAGAACAAATGCTGTAGATAGGCTTCGGCATTAACGATGAGAACAACATCGTCACTGCGAAGATACTCGATCAGATCTTCGAGTTCAGGTTCCTCGGCGAAGGTCTTCATCTCTGGGAACAGAATGCGCTCTGTATCGCATTCGCGCACCTCGTCCAGCCAATCATGACAGGGCAGTACCCAGCATTCCTCGCGAAGAATGATCATGACCTCGTCGAGATACCACGAAGGGTCGCGTCCACTGTTGTCATGACCAATACGAACTTTCTCCAACTGACGGGAGAAGGAAGAAATACAATTTACAAAAGAAAAAGAAACATCTCTTCGACATCGACAGAAGGTGGATATGGAATAAAATAAACGACGATTTTATAAAATATACGAACCATGCCGACGTCCACGGTGTCCATCTCAAATTTGCATTCATTTCCGGCGGAAAATTGACCTCTTGTCGACGTCATCACCTGCTTTAAATCGATAATTCCCGTATCACCAAGATCCCCAAATATCTGCATGTATACACTGGCGTCCGTGCCGGAATTCAGCCGATTGCCGGTTCGTATGAAGACCTTGTACGTGGCAACTGTGGAAACAAGAAGACGAGAGTCAACCCCCCACTCGTTCAGGTCGGGAAAGTACACAATACGATTTGTTTTCGCGATAACGAATGCTGCAAAAACGAACGATCTTGGGGAAAAGAAGTGAAAATCGACTGGAAAGGCTTACGATGAAAAATTGTCGCGGGCGCGTCATTTTTGAAAGGAACGCATACTGAAACGTGGAAATGTGATTACCTTTATAAGCTCATGCGCGTACATCGTTAGTCGGTATCGAGCAACTTTTGCTATCGGTCATCAAATATAAATAAAAGATGTTTGAAGGATATCGGCCAAACGCTTTTCTTTTAATACCATCAAGGTAAACTATGCCGACCGGCTGAAGGTATGAACATTTCTTGTCACAGCTTTGCATTGTCCACTAATGTAAAATTTGACGAGCGCGCGAAATCACTAATCTGTCGTTTCGCGATTTACGTTAAACGTAAAAATATAAATTTCGAAATGATCATCAATCGGTCTAAAACACACAATTCAGTGAAGTTGAAAACATTTGAAAGTCAGAGAAGGTAGACGTAGCTACAGGTGTGCGCGTTATCTATTCAAGCCATAAAAACTTCATTGATATTTATACTGTGAAAATGAGAAGACGTAGCTAAAGCTTTACGCGTTTCCATGCAGTTCAAGCCATAAAAACTTCATTGATATTTTCAATGTGAGAAAGGAGTAGCAATTTCGGGCGAGCGTATAACCATTGCCTCACTTAACATGGGTTCCACCAATGTAAGGGAAGCCATTGGGACCTTATCATTCGGACATTGACGCGTAACGTCATTAAATGGTTATATGCCTACACTTCAAACATACACCCTACACTACAAGCGTACACCCAACACCTACACTACAAACCTACACTACACCAGTTCCTTTTTTCTACAGGTAACTATAAAAACACTCAGAACATAGACGATTAACGATAACTCGTTTGCCATATTTCATAACTTATTACCATACCTGGCTCGGGATAAAACTCCCTTTCTGTCTTTTGGTCGGACTCGACATCGGAAAGCCAGATATGAGCGGGAAATATGAGATGTTCGCCATGCTGGGGACAGTCTAAAACTACTTCTTCCAAAAACCATCCGCTTTCGTAGCCCTGTCCATTATGTCCAACGCGAATCTTCTGGATCTGAACAAAATGTATAAAGAGTACTACGATTAGAGTCAAACACGATTCAATACGAAATCACTGACGTAGTTTAGTTCATGCTGGTCATTGGATGAGGTTGAGCATGATATCAAGAATAATTGAGACCGGGGTCTATGTTATCTGCCGAGACGCAGAGCATGGTAACAGTGAAGATAGTTGTTTTATTATAAACTATAAATTCAGAAGCCTTTAAACTATTCTACGGGGAAGCCATGAAGTTTTCCGCGCTTAGACATAAAATAATCTAAACGGTTCGCTTTCGCGTTTCCCCCGTTAAACTTGTTTAAAACTGCCTTCACTGACGGTGTGGCTCTTTTTGTATACATTTGCCCCTTCGTTGCCCATAATTCGAGTCAAATCTGTACGCGAAACGCTTGCAAATCTCGACCGAGTAAAATTCCACCATTATACTTTTTGTGTTAACAGTTGTCACTTGAGGAATTACGTCACCTACAGATAATTTTCAATGTTTTGTGGGTGGCATTGAGAATGTAGGCTCATAGCAAATCACAATCGAGATTACATGAACATTGTACATAATAGGACGTAATGGTACCAGTGGTAATAGTAGCCTACTCCTGTTTAGTCTTACTATAAACCATTTCCTGCCGACAATTTAAATCGTAATGTAAAAAGCAAATTCTGAAAAAAAGACATCTTGAAAACACTGAATACAATTCAACCGAAGTCGAAAATTTACAGTTTCTACAGGCGTCTGTTTTCAATTCTATTCTGTCATCTTACTTTAGTCTTACAACGCACTAGGTCCACTAAAAGCAAAAACAATGAACTTCTGAAAAATGTTTTGAAGATCATGTGGCTTGCTGCGCCAGAGTGAGTTGAAGACCAAATTAACTAAGGACACGAAATTACAAACTGAGCACCGGGCGTCAACAAAAATATCCATCAAACGTTTGCAAAAGCCATTGCTTACCGCCCCGATGTCCACCGCATCTACGTTGAAAAAATCTGTTTTGCCGCGCACGAAACCGGAGCTTGCTTCTTTCCGCAATTCGATGATTCCCGTGTCGCCGCGTTCACCAAAAATTTGCACGTAAGGGACAGCTTCGGTACCACCGTTATCAACGTCACCAGTTGCCAGAGCAAGATGGTAAGTCGCTGGAAATGAAGAAGAAGAAAATTCCGATAAATATGAGGACTAAAGGACGATTGTCTATTTATCTGTCTCAATTTCGTGATCTTAACTTTAAGAGGTTCTATAAAAGCTACTTCTCCACAAAAAACAACCTTGATGAATGTACAGTAACTAGAGTTGTATCTCACACTCGAGAATAAATTAACAGGGACCGCAGAGCATATTTTAATTGGAGGATGGGAAGGGAGGAAGTGAAATTGACTGTCAAAGCTGCAGAAGTTGGTTCGCAAGTTTGAGATCCGGCGATAAATTTCAAAAATCAAAGTGAAGGCAAAATTATTGAGGGGGACTAGTAAGTTATTAGCCACCGAGCCCACCTGCTCCGCGCTCCACTGATAAATTACCTAGCGTTGATGATAATTCTCGTTCCAGTCTTCCATCATCCTTGTCCTCTGCAAGCCAGCAGTGGCATGAAAACACAATCTCCTCATCACGTGACGGTACGTAAACGCTTATTTCATCGAGATACCAGCCGACACCAGGGCCACGGGCATCATGACCAACGCAAACTCTCTCGACCTGATGGATGAAAAACAGGATAATGGAATTTAAAGTGCGAGTGCGAAAAAAATTTGGCTCATTTAAATTATATCTTCATTGAAGAGAACTGATAAAGAACGTGTATCAACCGAGATTCATTGTGCGCTTTTGTTTGTGTTTACATCGTTAGTTTTTGAACTTCCGACACACCGAATTTCATGAATTTCATCAAAACGTCGTGTGAAAAGTTAGCAAAATAACCATTGATTAAAAGCTCTATTTTACATTGATCATTATCGTTCGTCTAAGTAGCAGGGACTACAATAACAAAATCCGCCATTTTCTCGACCCGCAAAAATGGCCGTCACGCTGTGACTGACGCGCAATGCATCTTGGTCCACAAACACTCTTTAAAATGACTGTGGGCTTTCCAGCACATTTCAGCCATGTCTGTGTTTAGTCTGAAGATAGTGCAACTGAAGGATGTTTACGAATTGGCGGCGACTCATTACGCAGTGTGACGTCACTGGTTGTAAGCATCTGACATAACATGTCAGATATTCAACTTTGATATGTGTTAAGAATGAAAAGACACATGAATAAATTGTTTCAGAAAGTCCACTGTCATTTTAAGAGTTTTCCTTAATGAAAATATGATTTAGCAAAATTATTTGTTACACTGGTCCTTCAACACGTCACATCAAGATCGAAGGGCTGATTTTCTTGAGGGTGCTGGGGGGGGTGCACACCGCTTATAAATTCTCTAGCACATCCCTTCCTTGGAAAAGATCTAAAATGTTCCTACGTACTGTATATGATTGATGTACCAGTATTAGAGCTATGAAATTGTACAATAAGACTGAGTAAAAAGTTAAACTTATCGTTTTAAAAGCAGTTACATATTTTACACAACCACCATTAACGATTTTGCCATTTCATTTTCATTAAAATTGAAATAAATTACTTAAATAAATAAACACACGTAAATTTTTTCTAAAAAGCCAACAACACTTTCAATACGCAAGGTTCTCACTCATCCGTGAGCATATAAATTTTTAATAGCGCGAGGTCCTCGCAACTTTGGCTAGGATGACGATGCGCCCCCCCTTGGAAAATTCGTGCCCCCTCTGGTCGAATAAGCATTGATCCCCCCCTTATCAAAACTGAAATTTTCAAAAACACCCACCAGTCCAATATCGGCTGTTTCAATGGTGAACTTATAACTCTTTCCTTTCGCGAATTTTATTCTCGAATCATCAGATTCTCGGAGAATGATTCTCTCCGTGTTCCCGATGCTTCCGATCAATTCCACAAAGACAGAGCCTTCAGTCCCCGTGCCTTGCACATCGCCCATCTTCAGGCAAAGCTCGTAAGTCACAGCTAGACAAAAAAAAAACCAACTCAGTTATCATTTCTGAGCACGACAACTCGCGAAAAAACACTTCAAACGACAACAGCAAACGTACTAGCTGCTTTGCCTTCTGCTTCGTCCGAAACCGAAGATTTGTCGGACGTTCCTTCTTTCAAATTAGGTGCTTTATCCGGGGATAAACTTCGTGGAGGAGAACTCGGCATCCCATAATCTGTCGAAGCTTCAAGTTTGCCCATATCGGTTTGTTGAATAACTTCCTCAACAGCCGCCTCCGGTCCGTCTACCAGATCGTTGTCTTTCATGTCAGGAGGATCTGGAAATTCTTCGTCAGCGTACGATGGCTCATCGTCGCCCACATCTTGCTCACCGTACGACTGCTTCGGTGCAACTGTGGATTGGGACAAGGGCGGAGCCCCAGCACCCAAGGGAACTTTGTAGATTTCTACGGAAAAGCAACGTCGAAAGGTTTTCAAAAATCAAAATATCTCCTGTTAAAGCACTCTACGCACCTCCGTACAACTCCGTTTCGGTTCTGCCATCACCTCGGTCAGCGGCTAACCACGCATGATGGGGATACACATAATGTTCATTACGTGTAGGGATATCAACAATAACTTCATCCAGGTACCAATTTGAGTCAGGGTCACGTCCCAAGTGACCAATACGAATTCTTTCAGGCTAATACGGAACATATGAAGCTTAAGTCATTCATCCTTCTATGATACCGTATTTTCTCTACTCCCTCCCCCCACTGGGAGTTTATTATATAACGCAGCCCTTTAAGTGGGGGATTGTTAGAAGTGGGGGAGGGGGGCTAGAAAAAGGCTGGAGGCTGAATAAATTTTCACGAAAGTGAAATATTAGCGCTTAATATCTAGTTCTATTTGATAAATACCCAATCCAGTATGTATACAAGTGCATTTTGAAAAATAAAAAACCTTAACACTTCACTTTGATTTTGACTTAAATTTCGACACAAAGCAAGTGACCATTTCCACTTTTATTACATTCGTAACTTTCACACAAATTTCAAAGCTTGTATCAAAAACAAAAGCTTAATTGGCATTCACGAGAGGGATTTATGACAAGTGAGAGCAAAACGAGGCCTGGGGGCAAATGGAGGAAATACGGTGTGAAGCAATCACCCATGCACAATACGAACAGTGACTAATCCTTACATGTTCGTTGATGCAGATCCTCCATTTTAGTAGAGTCCCGAGAAGGACTGTTGTTGTTGTTGTTGTTGTTGTTGACTGACGTTTCGACAACTTTAGCGGTAGTCATCTTCTTCAGAGTCAAGTGAGGAATGGACGTCAGGTTTGCCGTATTGGTTTCTTGGTTTCATATACGGCAACCAATACGGCAAGCCAGACGCTTACTCCTCACTTGATTTCGAAAAAGTTGACTGCCTCTAAGGTTGTCAAAACATCAGTCGACATCAACACCAACAGACCTTCTCGAGATTTTACTAAAATGGACGATCTACATCCACCAACATGTAACGATACTCCGGGTTCAAACCATTCACTTTATTAACTAATCCTTTCAGGGCGATTTTCCCCTCACTCGTGTGACATTAACACTGTAATATTGTAGTTGTTCTTCACTCCAAGCGCAAACGGCAATAAAGACCTTACAAAGTATGGGATATTTATTGTCGCTCGAGTTGCCTGCTGTTGTAGTTTACCACTATCCTTCTAAGAAACAGGAATGGCAAACGTGCTACGTCAAGCGTGCGACTCACAAAAATGGACATTTGCCAAGTCCTTAAAACAGCTGTGTGATCTTCGATAAGGCAATGTAATCAAAAATACATGCAATACTACAGCCAACAATTCCAATTGGACATTATAAACATTGCGGAACAAATCATACAAGTAGTTTCGAAATGTTTGGGCTATAACACAAACAATCCCCCAACAAATGTTTACATTAAATCAACTTACCTTGCCAACGTCAATTGTGCCGATGACAAATTTATCGGTCCTTCCCTCACCGAAGCGATTGTCGCCAGTCCCCCCAGGACTCAATTCGATCCGCTCGGTCTCGCCTTCATCTCCTATGAGCTGTATAAAGACAGGAGCATTCGTCCCTGCGTCCTTTATATCGCCAGTGCGAATGATAAGATGATAGTCAACGTCTGTGAAAAAACGCAGAAACAGAAATACATGAAATTCATGGAAGGGGGGGGGGGCATTATATCTTACAAAAGAAACTTACTATCTTTCTGGTCAACTTGGGGTTCGGGGAATATATCCTGTTGTGTGTGATCATCTTCGTCGGACCAAGCTTGACATGGAAACAAAACACTCTCTCCTCCCTCCGGATCGATCTCGATAGTCTCGACATATAGACCACGACCCCCCGTCTTACTGTCTTGACCCATACGTAACCTCATGACCTAAGTTACAAAGCTTTTCATCTCAAAATTTGTAATTACTTTAAGTTTAAAACAACATCGCGTTCAGGATAAACAACAGCGAATACGTACCTTTCCGATGTCGACAGTTTCGACGATGAATTTATAAGTTCTTCCCGGTTCGAACTTGGACAACGACGGTCCAGCTGGTCGCAACATAATCTTGCTGGTGTCGGCGTTTTCGCCGAATAGTTGAATATAAAGGGTCGTTTGTGAGTTGATCACTTCACCAACACGAACAGACACCGTGTAAACTTTGCCTGTATAAAATCATACATGTAAAATCATCGACTGAGCGAATGACTCCCGTCTATATATTTACAAACAAACAACAAGTGTTCATTACCCTTACCCTAATCTTGACTCTGTCATTACTTCAAATCCTAATTCGAACTATTAAGCTAATGACGAATATTTATCGCAGAATTTTCCTCTTATTTAAACATCGAGAAGACTAAAACAACCTGAACTGTCAAGTTAGAGGAACAACGACCGGAAGACTAGCATCGTTTTTGAGAAACAGCGACATGTTTCAAACTTTCAACTGTGTTTACAGGGTTGTTACCAGAAAGCATAAGGGGGACGGGGTTTCACATTTGAGAAAAACGGACTCGTAGTGATTATTTTATTGCCATTTTAACAGACGCTAATCTATTAGGGAGCTTTAGCAAGAGTACGACTACGACAACGAGTACGAAGTTTGACCGTGTAAGAGACTGGCACGAGGAAGTTTGTTGTCGTTATCGCTTCGTCAAAATTTTGCTTCAGTTGTAAACAACAGAACGAGCCTTTTTATTGTGTAAAACACCGATGTTTGCGAAGCAGATACGGCTTTATTTGTCAATAATGATATCAATGAATCGGTAATACTGGTTTTGCGAGAATATAGGACTGAAAAATCTTCATTATTTTAAGTTTTATGTACGATATATTTGTACTATTTTATTGTTTGTTTACCTTTCACTTTGCGTACGAAATACATGAAAGTTTTGCAGGTCATATGTTCCTTTTTAATGAACATCTGCGTTCAAAAAAGGTTCTAAATTAAAGCCTGGATGCTCGAAAATAGTACTGTAAACTAATTTCTTACAGAATGAAAAAATATACCTACTTTCTTTGCTTAAAAAGACATCGTAGTCGCGACTACGAATTTTTTACAAAACATCGTACTCAGATTGATGACGCTACGTATTTTTGTTGTCGCAACAATGTTTTTGCGCCAAAATGACGTAAATCGTACTCGTAGTCTTTGCTGAAGCTCCCTATTATGTGCTACAAATACCCTTAGTTAAGCATGGCTTAACTTGGCGCATGCACTTTAAATGAAACGACAGAAAAACAAACACATGATTGGAGTTAAATAATATGGTGAACTTTTTATTTTTTCAATTCAACCACACAATTTCAATTGTTCATCAATACTTGTTCCGTTGATTTTTTTAAAAATTAACCTCATGCGCACGCGCCCACCCCCCGCCCCCCTCATCCACAGGTAAAACACCTTCGGCAAAACATCAGTAGCAGAACTAGGCAAGATGCATAACATCGTTTTCTTTAAAATTCATTCCTAATGACATAGCAATAAAGGTATTTTAAATCGAAATTGGCTGTCATAATATATTTTGCTCAGCCGTGAACTCGCAACTGAAAAACAACACATGCCAGTAAAAACAACACATGCCAGTAAAAATGAAACATGCCAGTAAAAACAACACATGCCAGTAAAAATTAAAACATGCCAGTAAAAACAACACATGCCAGTAAAAACAACACATGCCAGTAAAAACAACACATGCCAGTAAAATAAAACATGCCAGTAAAACAACACATGCCAGTAAAAACATTACATGCCAGTAAAAACAACACATGCCAGTAAAAACAACACATGCCAGTAAAAATAAAAACATGCCAGTAAAAACAACACATGCCAGTAAAAATTAAAACATGCCAGTAAAAACAACAAATGCGAATAAAAACAACACATGCCAGTAAAACAACACATGCCAGTAAAACAACACATGCCAGTAAAACAAACATGCCAGTAAAACAACACATGCCAGTAAAAACAACACATGCCAGTAAAATAAAAATAAAACAACATGCCAGTAAAACAACACATGCCAGTAAAACAACACATGCCAGTAAAACAACACATGCCAGTAAAACAACATGCCAGTAAAACACCACATGCCAGTAAAACAACACATGCCAGTAAAACAACACATGCCAGTAAAACAACACATGCCAGTAAAATAAAACATGCCAGTAAAACAACACATGCCAGTAAAACAACACATGCCAGTAAAACAACACATGCCAGTAAAATAAAACATGCCAGTAAAACAACACATGCCAGTAAAACAACACATGCCAGTAAAATAAAACATGCCAGTAAAACAACACATGCCAGTAAAACAACGCATGCCAGTAAAACAACACATGCCAGTAAAACAACACATGCCAGTAAAACACCACATGCCAGTAAAACAACACATGCCAGTAAAACAACACATGCCAGTAAAAACAACACATGCCAGTAAAAACAACACATGCCAGTAAAAACAACACATGCCAGTAAAAAAACAACACATGCCAGTAAAAACAACACATGCCAGTAAAAACAACACATGCCAGTAAAACTCACTTGGGAGAGATGGTTTGGAAGGTTGTGTTGCAACCATATCTCTTTCGTTGGCACCGCCGTCCAGGTCTTGTGCGAGCCAGCAATTACATGGGAAGGTCACGCGGTCGTTTTTCGAAGGAACTTCCACTTCGACCTCGTCGACAAAGAAGCCCGAACCGTAGCCTCGGTGATCGTGACTTAACTTTATACGTTCAAGCTATAAAATATGAACAATGTAAATTGAAGGTGATATCGATGAACGAACAACAAGCAAAAAGTCCTCCCCCCGTCTTCCTAGATGTACTATTATAATTGCTAAACGAACGAATCCCAGCCAGTCTCTATGTGAAGGCCAGTTGCGATGGCTCTGTTTTGATACGATAATCTGGGCATTCTTCAAATCTGCTTTACAAGATGTTGGTTTCAAACGAATAATGCCGCTGAATGGTAAGTGAATCTGATCATGTCACTTTTCAATGCTAATTTTTAAATTGCACGGGTGTTTTTGTGGCAATACGCCCTGTTTTAAGGCACGAGTTTTTTGTGGCAATACGCCCTGTTTTAAGGCACGAGTTTTTTGTGGCAATACGCCCTGTTTTAAGGCACGATTTAGAACCCAATCCCCTAAATATCTAACTACCATTTGTAGGTGAGGTAAGGACGCCATCTTGAAAGGTGGCAAAAAGCAAAACTCAAAATGAAATACAAACTAAAAGACGGTTTAAAAACCCAATCCCATCAAACATTTTAAAAATTGAACATAGACTATCAACTTTGCCACTGTATATAAACTCAGGAAAAACAGATATTAGTCGTAAATATTGTCAGTTTTGCCACCTTTCAAGATGGCGGCTCTTTTCACTCGTAACTATAGAATTTCGGCGGAGTCAGAAATCTAGTAGATTGAGTTCTAAGTCATTGGGTCTTCTATAAACGAACGATCCTTGAAGAGATGCAAACTAGATGAAATTATCTCATTTGATTCTCCGGAAGGAAACATTTCCATCGCAAAATCCATCAGTTTCGATCAATTCAAATCTTCACGTTTGCAGCGATCGCCGTTTCACTCACTTGTCCAATGTCGACCGTATCTACGGTAAATTTATACGTTTTTCCCTTCTCAAATTTATTTCTAGTGTCGCCAGCTTGTCGTAATTGAATCTTTGCAGTCTTTCCTTCGGTTCCAAACAGTTGAATGTAGACGTTTCCATCGGCACCAGAACCGCGAACATCGCCGACTTTCATGCTGAGATTGTACGTGACTGTAATGAGAAACACACGCTAACATAAAGAGGAAACTTGCACGTTGAGAGCAACAATACAATCGGAGCGTGAGCTTACATACGAGGGGGATCTTTTTGTGGTTCTTCAACTCGTTTCCAAAAACAAAATGTTTGAAAATAACAAAGAAAAAATACGTTTCAACTATCGCATAATGGTGCAATGGCACGACAAGTACGCATAGGTTGAAAGACCAGGATAAGTCTCTAAAATAGAGCCTTCGTGGAAACATTTTGAAACTACAAGTACGATGTGCTAAATATAATGCTCGCGCATGTTTTTTTTTCAAATTGCACGAGAAACCACGCTGAAATCAGGAAGATTCCACGTTGCACTTCATGTATTTTTCGTTAATTTGTCGAATCAAAGTTCACAGAGTTTTACATTTGTTAAAACAACATAGGAAACAGCAATTTTGCGAGTCACACACTTGGCGTAGCAGCCGTGCCTTTGCTTGTACTTCTGAAAAGATAGTGAAAATCATTACAGCATATGTTTTCAGATGGAGCTACCCCAAGTCACATTAAATATTCCATACTTCGCATGGTCTTAATTATTACCTACGCTCGTGCAACCGGCCCAAAAATTACAACGTGAATGTCACACAGGTGACGAGAGAATTGCCTTTCGCTTGAAATACTTACTGTTTTCCCTTTGTTTCTGAGACTGTCTTGGCAAGGTGGACGACCCCCCTTGTGGAATTTCCTCCGTATCATTTTGACCAAAGCTCCGTGGTAGAGTTTGGGACTGGTAAGGATAGTCCACACCACGTGACAAACCAGATGCCGATCCAGGTCTTTCGTCGACAGGAGGTGGAAAGGATTCCTCGTATGAGTTTGTTTGTCGCTGAAGACCTTCACTAGATCCTTGGGGACTGGGACTATTCCTCGCATTGGGAGGATAGTGAGCTCCACTTCGATACTCCGGTCCCGGGTAACCATAACGACCATCGCCATATCCGTTTTGTGTGGTGTAGGTGTACCTCTGTACTTCTTCACGGCGATCAACATTTCCGTATGGCACCTCGTCATGATCAATATTTTCACCGTTAACAGTGCGGTAGGTATATTGTGAGGTCGTTGTTCTTGCACTTCGCGAATGCTGTGTGTACTCTATTAAAATACAACCGCAATTATTACGCTAATACAAATATTTGCTACATACAGAGAACTGCCGCGTGAACCTAACCAAATTTCAAACATTGAGCCTACGTATCATCAGATAGCGGCAACAGTAGACATAAAACACAAAGCATCCACAAAATCCAACAACAACAACAGAACGCCACTTAAAACGACAGACTGAACGAAAAAAATTTGTAAATCTTTCTTACATTTTTGGCTGTGTCATTTTGTTAATTTCAATATTTTCCGTTAAGTTTTTTTTTAGCGTAGGAAGATATACTGTAAAAAGGTGAATGAGCTGAATGCTAACTGACGGGCGCTTTGCCTGGAGTGTCTGAGTGTCCGGATAGCCACAGTTTTTAAAGTGTTGGCGTCCCTTATATGAAGTACAAACACAAATTTAGCCTCTTGCTGTAGCTATATCGAATACAAGGTTTTTACGACATCGAATGCAAGGTTTTTACAGATGTGACAAATTTTCAAATCGAACACGCTTTTCACTTTGCCTTGATGCAGTTAAAAGATAACCCAATTGAAAAATCTAAAAGCTAGCAGTTTGAACATCAGTTTGACTTTCGTGAGTTACGTCAGAAGGCGAACGCAGAACGTCAACAATATTTAAATGCTTCCACCAAAGACACCGGATAACTGAAACCGTTGACGTGTGGATTTCATATTAACATAAAACTTTGCAAACATACCTGTCCTTTGAATACTTAAATAGGCTTGTTATTCAACATAATGCTATATCTCTCGTAATTTTGTAAATAGTGTAACATTCTTTTCTGTATGTGTTTCGTAGCCACCTCCCCGCCTTTCATCAAACGTGGGAATGCTTTCGGTTATCAAGGTGAGCATGTTTCAACTAAGTTTTTATAACATCATCAATATGTGGGAAATAGCGTTGCGTGGCCAGGCCTTAAATTCTTCTAGAGGTCTCGCACCTTTGCTTTTCACGTCGTCCCACCCAGTCTTAAAAACCTGAACACGGCACTTGTTGTCGTGATGGCGATACAAAGTTTAAAATAGTTAAAAATAGCAATGAATTAAACGAGTTAAAACATGCTTTGCCTCCTACAGCTTTGTCATGTTCCTGTTTATTTTTTATGGACAAACAAGATGAATGAAAGTTTCACTCGTTTAAAGGAACAAAAGCTGTAGAACATTTTAATGACACGATTTGAGCAACTCTGTGTGATCAATATTGCAACAATACTTCCATTACCATAAAAATAAGGAAAGTCTGATAAACCTAAAAATATCATTGGTACGAACTGAAAGATAAATGTGCTTCGGTTTGTTTTGAAAGTCGAAAAGGTTTATGATTTTTGACAAATCAAAATATCAAAAGCATGAAATATTTTGCAAAGCAAATCGTACTCCACAAAGCAAAACATCCTTGCATTAATATGTAGCAAAGAAGCGTGGATACCTTGTGAGTAAGTTCGTGTGTCAAATGTACTCATTTTGTTTCTGCTGTCTTCTTCAGATATCTTAATGTTTCCGTTTGCACTGCAAAAGTTCAACATAAGTCGATCAAATCTCTACTGTGGCTTACATACTGCTCTCTATCTTTTGACTACTGTGGCTTACATACTACTCTCTATCTTTTGACTACTGTGGCTTACATACTACTCTCTATCTTTTGACTACTGTAGCTTACATACTACTCTCTATCTTTTGACTACTGTAGCTTACATACTACTCTCTACCTTTTGACTACTGTAGCTTACATACTACTCTCTATCTTTTGACTACTGTGGCTTACATACTACTCTCTATCTTTTGACTACTGTAGCTTACATACTACTCTCTACCTTTTGACTACTGTAGCTTACATACTACTCTCTATCTTTTGACTACTCCCAATGCCAAAAAACTAACATCAAATTAATGGAGAGAAAATTGGCATTTTTTGCCTTTTTCGATGCAAGACACAATCACATGCTCCAAAATTGTAGAGTTCTCCACTTTCAAATCTACATTCTAAATTGTACGTTCAATCAAAATTGGATGATGGATGGATGATTTTAGTATGGTTACAAGTATAAAAAATAGGTTTTTATCCAGCTGCAAAAATGCATCAAATTGTGAACCTGTGTTTACATATTTTGCATTCCTTCAATAGTCAATACACACTTGAATAATTTGAATAAATAAACACTGTAAACTCTGGAGTGTTTTTGAGCTATTTACAAAAAAACTTACAAATTGTAATCTGTAATGTTGGCTTGTCTTTCTTCTCTTCTTACATTGCTATTGTCACCCCTCCAAATAATCGATTCATCCGTGGAGCTTAGAAGTTGAATGTGAGATTATTAGAAAAATTTCAAACAGGATTTGACACATGATTTAAACTACCTATATGTTTCAAGATTGTCCAGGTTAGTGAAGTAGTGCAAAGGATTGTTGGTGTTGGATTTGCCAATATTCAAGAAGACTAATGTTCAAGTTGTCAAGACATCAGTCAGCACCAACGCCAACAGTCCTTTTCAAGACTCCAATAGCCCAAATGATCTACATCTACAAACATGTAATGACACTCTTTGATTGAAACCATTCTCTCTATAAAAGTGTTACAAAATCAAGGTCAACAAAAGGCAAGTCTTTTCACGTACAATCGAAACAAGAGGGAGTTGCAATGATTGCATTTTCTCCATCCAACAAGTTAAAAAGAGGTCAAACATTTCATTAGTTAGAATCAAGCTTAGATCATTAGGTGTAGGCAGAGCTAAGTATTGTACTAAATTTTCCACGTAAGGAATTTGTCGACGTTAGGAATTGGGATAAATGTGATGAATTTTATGATGATTTTAATGAAAAATACAAATGAATTGGACGATAAAATGGTTCGTACTTAAATGGACAACATGACCAAAAGTCTCTTTGGAGCCAATATTCAATACCATTTCGGACAAGCATCTTTGAGATGCTTCGCGATTTAGCATGTATTAGATCATATTTACACCTCAAAAGCGGCAATGTGTAGCTTGAATGTTCGTACATAACATGTACAAAGTTCACTAGCTCAAATTCGGAAAATATAGTTCTGAACAATCAGAGTAGAATGAAGACAGGACCGCAAATGTATCGTATTTTTATGGTTTGCGATATCCTTCATTATTCAATGTCCGAGCTCTTGATATTCAAATGTTCGAGAATAATTGACCTACCTCGAGTAACTACTGATGCTTGTTGTTTCTGATACGTTACACTACAAAAGCAACAAATTGAAAAATTAACGATAGCATCGAAAGGTATGTTATGAAGCCAGACGGACGCGTTCTCAAAGGCGATCAAATTACAAAAGGAATGTATGCATATCTCATGATTGGCAACGGCTCCTTCATCTTGGTAACACAATATCGCTTGAATTGCGTATATATACCTTTTCAAGTTTTCGCGCGATGCGCCGACGTTCGTTCTCAATACTTCGATTCAAATTTTCAAAATGCTCTTCCTGAAATTTGTAAAGAATAGTTCGGTACTATGATACGGCTTTGAATGCCGCTTTATAATGAGATATTCATTTCAGTTTAGTGATTGGGTTCGAAATTGTACGAAGAAGCCAGGATTTAACGCGAGAGACAACCGAAGTGGTAGACTGATAGCCACGACCAGTCTCAAAACAAAGTGTAAAACAATGCTAGGATAGCGTTTTTTCCAACCTGAGCAGAAGTGCTATCAAATTTTTCGGCTCTTCCTCTTGAAACCGAGTTGAAACCACTCTCAAACGACATCCAAAATTGTAGTCACTCACTGCTTTGGCAGAACACGATTTGCATTTGATAAAGAGAAATCGCCACGGTTCGGCAAGATTTTTACTTAACCATATGTTTTAATGGCCTGTTTTGGAGTTACGAGATTAGATAGAATAGTTTAATAGTTTGTTTTGACGTACGAGTAACGCTTCACTGACGGTTTTATGCATAATTATCATCAGAAATAATACACGGTGTATAGCAGGGATTTAATAATAAAGCAACTTTTTTAACTGGGAGCAATAAATTTGCATACGAAAGACTTTGTTTATGGAAAGTCGTCTTCGGTACATAGTACTGTCAGTAAAAATAACGAATTCAAATCACAGAATCTCATCGATAGCACTTTCTTTTGATTGGAAAAAATATTTCTCACTCCTAAACATTCTAACTCGTAAATGCCACATCACCACAAGTCTCAAACACGAAAAATAGACAAAAAATACGCGTAGAAAGTGTCGTTGAGTCCCTATGCCGGACATGACACTTGATCACAACATCACAACAAGTTACTCGTTACAACAAGTTACTCGTTACAACAAAACATGTTGTAAAATGTTTGAATTCTTCGCACCAGGTTATAATCGTGGTTATAATCATCTCCACTGCAACATTTTCCCTCCCAAGTCCCAGGCCCCACAACCCATATTATGGACATGACAATGTACAGAAGTATTGAGTAAAACTTTGAAATATATTTTTGTTGGTACCAAATTTTAGACAATGGATAGTTTGGATGTTTGGGAAAACTTGAAACAATAAAATCATCCCCGAGTTCGACGGACAAAAACCATTTTCAAACAGTCTTTCCTTTCAGAATTTACAAATATTTAAACCCAAATACGCTGGGCAATAGTATATAACATTATTTCATACACAAAAAGTGGAACGAAACAGGTGGATTTCCGTAAAAGAGTGTTATCTGAGTCACACGGCATTCTTCGTTAAAAAATTCATACAGCCCTACTACAGTATAAATATACTTACATAAAATATATTTCGTTAGGATTAGAGTAATCGAAGATTCTTGGTCGTCAATATCTTCGCTAAATAAGCGTAGGTCAAGTAAATTTCACATGAATACAAGAGGATTTGGTTGTCCACTGAACTTCTACGGCATTTATACGTTGAAGGTTGTATTTATGTCGTGTTGCTTCACGGCAAAATATGCAGGGAAAATATTTCACGAATTCAAAGCGTATAATTAACGTATAAGGATGCTCATACATTATACATTGTATTTTAAGGACTCTTTCATTTGAAAAGTCAGCGGTAATTAATATTGCACTTGCCGTCAATAAGCACCGTCGATTATTTTGCAATGCACCGTCGATTGATATTGATAGTTGAAATAAAAAAAGTTATTAAAAAGTAAAAGAAAGTCGAAGCATTGAGCGAAACGGGCGGCACAATTACAACTGTCTGAAAAGGGGAGAAGATTGGTATTTGTGGAATGGAATTTTTTACGGATTTCTGATTTACTATACGAAATGAGTTTATATCGTCCAAGTTAGATGCCAACTAAAGGCTTTGATTCTTTTCGTCCAGATTGCGCTGACACCAAACCCGAACTGGACCCGATAAGACGAAGTTCTCCCGAACATGATCGTTTAATTTCAACGAGAGCGGCTTTGGATTTGGAGACGTTCGACGCCGAGCCCGCGCTTCCATTTCGTGATGTTGATGATTCGGCAGTGCGGGGGCGGCCTTGCGTGTTGGAACCATCCGACTTGTTGCTTGTCTTAAAATACAAATCACTGTTAATTTGCAAGATGTTGCATAACCGTTTGCTTACATCATTAACACAAACATGCGAAGCTTTGATTTTTTGGCAAAACAAAGTTTCAAAATAAAGGGCGTCTTTTAGAAAAGCAAATGACGACGGTTGAAACATGTTGACTGGCGGAACAATTTCTATGTTGAAATATGGATGGGAAATGAATTAAAACAATTCCCTTGCTTTTAGATTGATAGATCTCTTCGTTGTCGTAGTACTGTACCCGTGACCGAATAACTCTTGTGCCGCGGTATTCAAAAAGTTCGCTCACACTTTCAATGACAGAGTAAGGCATAAAAATTGCTATGGCAAAATCTTTTCTCCAGTGACGGCAGGATTTTCTGCTAAAATATTTGAAATAAAGCCAACCGCCGAGAAAAATGCAACAGGCCCACCGAAAGCGGGAAGGAGATAACATTTGACAAATCCCTTAAAACCCTTCCACGTATTCAGACATTTAGCTCCACCTGGCAATTGTACTTTGCTTCCCATGTCCCTGCAATATTAAGAATCGGCAAGTGGCAGGTTGCACGAAGCCTGGATAGCGTTATCCATTGCATAGCAAAAATATTCAAACTTGTAAAAAAGGTGTTTATATTTTTCTTACGACAAAGAAATTTCGTAGTCTTCGAAACAATATTTCATTTCAGCGATTGTTCATTTCGAATCTCATACTTTTGTTTTTTAAAAGGTTTTTTAAAAGTTTAAAAAACTTGCTATCCAATGGATAACGATATCCAGGCTTCGTGCAACCGGCCCGGATCAATATGATCGAGGTAGTCAGGAGTTTTGTAATTTCGGTTATCTGGTAGTCCTATACCAGGTAGGCTTCGACTCTTTTCTAACTCATCCAAGAGATATTTTGGAAAGCTGTCAATACTAAACCTTTCACGCGAAATCTGCGACTGAAATAAGAGGTCTTTTAGTTCGTTTAAATTCAGGGATGGATTTTATGGGAGAAGCGGGGAGGTATGTGTACACTTCCTGGCCTTGGTTGATGGAGAGCAGGAGGCGTGCAAATTTTTTCTTTTTAAGTAGAGAGAGTTTTTCCTTTCTTGTTCTAATAGCGGGGGGGGGCAGTGAAACGCGTAATTTGTTATCAGGTAACTTACAAGCCGTTGACAGTAGGGGGGGGGGGAGATACACAATGCCCCACTTTCCAAATCAGTCACAAATTCGGATTTTCAACGCCCTCCCCTCAATCGAGCTTTGCTTTCCACGACCCCGCAAAGAGCGAAGGGTTTTAAGATTCGGCTGATTCAGTATGATTGGCTCGTCCAGAGCATTGTTTTTTTCAGTAATCATGCAACTATACAGTACATACTGGGCGGGCTTCGACGCTTATCGGAAGGGTGTACACATGTGAAAATGGCCGAAACAGAAATAAAAAGTACCGTATTTACCTTGGAAGCACGAGAATTAACTGGAGGTAAAAACTTGACGGAGGATGTTGGCGAAGAAACCCAGCCGTGCGAAGAATTTGAAGTCATTTTTAAAATTTCCATGGAAGCGGTGGGTGACATCTCCGTCGCCGAGCCGTTCGACCCGCTTGATTTACCAGACCCGTCGCTGCGTCTGCGCGAAAGAATTCGCGAGATGCGCGGCGACACAATGTCGGGTTTGGACCCATTTGGAGGCGAAGGCACGTGGTTAAGAGGTGGTGATCCGCCATTCTTTGCGACATCGATGTTTTCCAGGCTATTTCGTATGCTTTGTGACATCGAGAGGTCCTTGTTTAGCAATGGTGTTCCTTGCGGGAGAAAAATTATTTCAGCGTATTTTTCTAACACAATTTTTTTTGGAAGCTCTCATCAAATGCTTTATGTAGTGGAAGCACGGTTTACATGACCGAGCATAATTTAACAAATTCAACTAATTTTATCGATTTCGCATATTATCAATCCAATGCTGCTGAATGAATTTGCAATCGCGAATCCCTTTCTGAGCGCCAATTGGTTAAAATCTTATCGCAAGATAACCTGGATACAATATACCATGTAGACCATCAAAATGTACGAGCCACATTTCAAAACTAAATTTTCCACATAACCGCGAAACCAAACTTGAAATTGATAATTGAAAAAGCACTTGTTAAACAAATTAATTCCAAAGATACCACAATGTTCGTATATTTTTATTTTCACACTGTTCGGCTGGAAATAAAATTCATCTACAAGCCAGCGCTAACAAAGGGAACAATATTCACCCTAGCGTGTATTATCTGTTCAATACATAACGATCCTTACACAATCTCCAACCAAAACACTTAAAACATGACAGGAATCTCCTTTAGAAACAAAGCTGGCTAAATTGTTTAGCTTCTTACGCCAAATTGAAATTAGTAAGACCCCGTACACACGATACCGATAGAATTTGAAAACGATGCAAAACTCTTACGGTTTGAGGTAATGTTCACATTCATATGAAAAAGTATGAAACCGTAAACACCAACCGTAATAGTTTGAAAACAACTTTTTGCCTGCTAAAAATGACGCAATAAAATATTCGAACACACAGCACCAAAACGGAGCAAAACTCTGACTGTATCGTGTGAACAGTTCGAAACGATATGAAACTATACCAGTAGCATTTCGTACCGGTATCGTGTGAACTTAGTCAAAATCAAAAATGAATTCAAAAAGGAATTCAACAACGGCTCGAAACGTTGCATAAAAAATAACTTTTTGAATATTCATGTTTTCAACTGAATTACAATACACGGTATAATCAAAGATTCTGAAAAAATTCCCGCTGAAAACTCTTACCCTGCACGACCTCGGAAAACTTCGTCTGCTTTATCGGGTTTACGGCGGAATACGAGGATTTCCTCCTAACTGACGGCAGAGATGCTGTTTTGACTGGCTCTAATTTTTCATAGTTCTCTTCGACCTGTAAATTGAAAAGATCAAGTTAATACAACCAGTAGAAAATCCATGGTCGATCAGACCACGCTACTATAAACATATTTCAATTTCAGAAAACTTTACAGCAAATCTTATTGGTAATAATTTCGTTCTCAGATATTTTTTAGAAGTTTCCAATGAGCAACTATAAAATATCTATGATGTATTCCAACCTTCCCTAGACGCGCAACAGTAGTACACCCGCGCTTTTCATACACCTCAATCACGATCATATACCTTTAAGATTATAAGGTTTGAACGCAAATATAAGACAACAATGGCGTGAAAAGATATGAAACAGGGATTCTCTGTTTTGAGAAGGAGTATAAACGGGATCTTTGGTTTGAAAGTTGGTGAAAAAAGCTTCGCTCGCTTGAGAGGAATGGAATGCGACTATTTAACTGCATATGACGTCACGCCGGCCATGACGTCACCAAAAAGTTAATTTTGGCGAATCTGAAGCAAGATGGCCGCAACAAATTTATTTTCGGTATAAAACAAAATGAGTGTAACTCAGGAACAAAACTATTTGCTTGTGAAATAAGAGCATATTCGTGTCCAGCATACTAGACAAGTGTACTATAAGCAATAAAAATATCCGTTGCCAATGTCCTCTAAGAAGAAACGAGACACAAACATTCTTTGATTTAAAATTATACTTATTCCGGCTGCATTTGCACATTTTTCACATGAACAGCGAGGGATGAAACAGGATTTCACCAAAGGAGGGGTGCGTCATTTGGAAAAGCCGTAATGCAATACATTTTAATAGAAAAGCAACTAAACTATACGAGCTAAGGGGGGGATATGCACTCCCCCTGGATACGTCCTTGAAACACGCTCATCTGATCATCTAGACATCTTATATTTTTACAACCCATTAAAACTTCATTACCTTTTTAGTCTCTGCCTTTCCGTCGTTCTTCTCTATTTCCTCTTTGGAGATATCGGACTTTTCCATTCCCCAAACTTTTCCCGTTTTCCCTCCTGCTTTAGCGATGTTCATTGGACTTTTAACGTTTTCCCACTCTTTTGACACGCTCATGGATCGGTGCGTTTCTAACGCGGATCCTTCCTCGACCTTTTCTAAGATTTTTGATCCGTGGCGTTGATTTTGGTTTTGGACTTTAGCATGTCCGCCGGATTTTGACCCGCTCTTTCCGATGTTCGACATTTCGAAGTTCGATACTTGCACGATCTTGCTATCCGTGATGGAACGACGACCCGTGCGAAGACCGGACCTCGTATTCTGTGGGCTGCGATTATTAGCGTTCGTTTTCGAATGCGAGGACTTGCTGGAGTTCGTTTTCGAATTTGTTGGAAATGCAATTTGGTAACCTTTGATTACATCCAGGGAATTTCTTGGCAGGGCATTTTTCTCCGAAACATCGCAATCGATCGATCGCTTTGAAGCACCTGGAACTATTTTATCGGGAGGCAAGTCACCAGAATAGGGTAGGCTGTCCATCCTACTCGCCCTAGATTTATCCTGACTCTCGTCCCCAGCAAAAGGTACGAGATCTATCTTAGGTAGCTTTGAAATGTCTTGACTTTCAACCTCGCCTTCCTCTTCAACCTCGCCTTCCTCTTTAACATCGCCTTCCTCTTTAACATCGCCTTCCTCTTCAACATCGCCTTCCTCTTCAACATCGACTTCCTCTTGAACCTCGTCTTCCTCTTGAGCATCGCCTTCCTCTTCAACCTTGTCGTCCTTTTCAACCTTGTCGTCCTTTTCAACGTCGCCTTCGTTTTCAACCTCGCCTTCCTTTCTAATCTCTTGTGACGTGGACTCGGCTTCGTTTATCTTTCCTTCGTCGGGAACATGGACTTGAACAACGACTTCCATATCCGAGTCACGTGGGAGCATGTCACTCAAATTCGTTTCCATGGAATTATCTAAGCTTATTTCTAGCGCGTCCTTTCCAGATGATTCGTCTAGAGCGTTTAACGGCTGACCTTCGCGATTGCTTTCTTTTGGGTCATCCTCGCTTGTCTCTCGCGTGGATACAGCTATCTTTGCTTCAGTGACCTGCGCATGCGTCCCTTCATAAACGGCTTTTGCGGTAGGATTCATTTTCTTTACAAGATCTTTCGATGATTTTCTCTGCGTTTTGGATTGGGATTTTACATGACCGACACTAGATTTTCTTTTCGATTCACTTTTCGTTGTTCCCCCTTCAGTGCTTGATTGCGGGACAGATTTTTGATGGCCAGTTGTCTGAGAAGAACGCCTTTTTTTAAAATCTTTGCTGCTTGATTTTTTCACGGTTTTTACACTGATTCTGCGTCCGTCCACAACGCGTTCGACACTCTGTTTCCGGTCATTCTCGTTGCGAAGCGTAGATGACAAAGACGTGGATCTACGAAGCGAGAAGATGGGACCATTACATTTTCTGCCTCGGCGTAAATTTTATCACGCTTTCTGCCGGCATGTCGGCTTTTCCATAAAAATCGATGTTTTTCAGAACACAAAAAGAGAGTCTCTTCACCCCGGGAGATATATTATCATATATTTCAAATGAACGAGTCCCTGATACTTAAACACAGCACTAATTTGACGGTAGTAAACAGCACTGTAAAGAACGTGTCGAAAGCCAAGTGAAGAAAGGGATCACCTGTGCATTGAAAAAGGACACGTAATATCAAAATAAGTATTAGGTGGTATAAATATCAGGTTGCAGCTCATTCAATGTTGGTCAACTTAATTTTCAACGCCGGATCCGCCGCATTCTTCACACGTATCACAAACTGGGACTTACTCATTCAGAACTTATAATAATACATGCGGTGGGGAACTTTCTGAACTTATAATAACGAATGCGGTGGGGAACTTTCTCTTTGTGTTTATATTGTAAGAAGGCTGTAGATGCGCAAACCTGCTTGCTCTTCTTGTTTTCATCACGTGACTATCTGGACCGGTGGCATTCGTGATGGACTGGGTCGAACCCACTTTATTACTTGTAATACAGCTCAGCTTTCGCTTCTATCGAAGAACTGTTTGCAGCTTTAGACCTTGACTTGGTTCGTGAAGTTCAAGTTATCAGAGGTGATTTTGAGAATGACGTCCCCAGTCGTCCATTTTTGTTCGAGCACTCTTGACTTGGTGTTGTTTGAAGTTACAATGCTAGTATTCAGCGTCCTCTTCGTGGTGTTTGACGTTGATATCATAAGTCATCTTTCAATCTTCTATCGTACTGTTTTAGCTCTTCCTGCATCTTTATGATTGAGTCGTCCGCCATATTTTTGTTCGAGCACTCTCTTTCGGAGTTTTGGCGTTGTTTGATTTGTTTACAATGCTAGTATTCAGCGTCCTCTTCGTGGTGTTTGGCGAAGCTCCCTCCAAGTTGATATCGTTAAATAAGTCATCTTTCAATCTTCTATCGTACTGTTTTAGCTCTTCCTGCATCTTTATGTAGAAATCCGCATCACTCCCTGTATTCTCGAGTGGAGAAGAGCTCGACAAGTTGTTGTTTTCTCTCAAACTATGATCTCTTAACAGATCTTGAATATTGGGAGACGCCAATGGATCCCCGACAAGCGACCTCCGTTTCGAACTCTGCTCACTCCTTTGGGTGACTTGTGCTACAGAATCTCTGGAGGAAGTATTCGACGGAACTTTTGCTACAATTTTTCTTTTCTCAGTAGTGCTCTTCGTCATGACATCGCTATTTCTTGCACCTTTCGAGGTAGATCTTTCGCGCGAAGATCGCTCAGCTGTAACGACACTTTCTTTTCTATCATCGCGACCGGTTGCATTCCCGGACACAGAAGATCTGGAGTCACTCTCATCTAACGCCTTCTCTTCGAACATTTGCGTGGACGTCTCCTGAGACTCTTGAGAGTCTTTCACGCGAGATTTCTTTGAAGTCTTCAGATTTTCTTCAGGCTTGTCGTGACCAGGAAGTGACGAAACTTCAGATGTCAGATTGTTCCATGTCCCAAAATTCTTTTGAACGTTTGGGTCCTCGTGATTTGGCGAGATTTTCTTATTTGAAGTGTTTTTGATCGTTGTTTTTTTATTTGTGACTTTCTTATCGGTGTTCGATTGTTTGGATGACTCGTTCGTTTTAGTCGTTAATAAGTTCCCCTCTGACGACACGGAATTCTTTCTACCTTTAGCAAGTGTATTCCGTCTCGAGGCAGCAACCACTGCTTCGCCCGTTGACCTTGATTTTGAAAATCTAAAACGCAAAATGCATATTTTGAAAATATGTTTCAGTATTATTGATATTTCATGTTTGTAGATGTAGACCGTCCGGGTTTGTGCAGTGGAAGGAATGTTGATGTAAGAGTTGATCAACGTTTCGACGCTCTTCAAGGAATTTTTCACAGGTGTTTTTCACCGGGGTTTTCGCAAGGGGTGCTCTGTTTTGGATGAGATGTCGGTGGAAAATTGTTGCATAACATGTTAGACTATTTTTATGGAATTTCGTCACTTTTTAGTATCAATAGATTTTTGGATGTGTGCTCCATTAAACGCTAGTCACAATTGCTTTTGCTAAACTGTTTTCCATATGGGTATTTCGTAGGGAAATAAGCAGCCCCGCTGTACCACATCCAGCCACGGCACATCCATCAACAGCCCTCCGCACCATTCTCCTAAGTATATCACCGATCAACACCAACACCAACACTTGTTCTCACCGACTACACTAAACTACAGGTATACATCTCAAAAGATGAAATAATTTTCCAGGATTCGAGCCATTCACTTATCTACTATACTGATGAACAAAGAACAGAAAATGTTCTTTCACTACCGAAAAGAATGGCAACTGATGGCAGCATCTTGATAGTGATGGACAAGCAACAATAGAGTAAGAGAGTAAACTGATTCAATCAAGGGCGGATCTATGATTTCATCCCGAGGGAGTGTATCATTTGGAAACGTTGTTACACAATATAATTTTCATCGACTATTTATCGAATTACCTAAGCTCAGGGAGGGGGGGGTGCAAAATGTACAACGCTCCCTTACCTCAGATAATTTGATAGGCAGTTGATGAAATGCTGACCCCGTGTACACCCCCCGGATCCGCAATAAAAATAAAGAGTGTTAGACTTTTTTAGAATAACGGAGTACGACCTGCATGGAAAGAAAGGCATCGTACCTCCCACTTTTGGCAACGACAAGTGAATTCTTTTTGCTAGATGATTTATCCAATAATTTTTTTGCCGAACGTGCTACGTCGCCGCCATGGTTGTTCTTCGTCCCATCAACAACATGGCCAGTTTTGGTTTCGTCCGTCCTTTGGGAGGGCTTTGTTGAGTCAGCACCGGGCGAAATCTTTCTTGAATCAACGCTGGGCGAAGTCTTTCTTGAATCAACGCTGGGCGAAGTCTTTCTTGAATCAATGCTGGGCGAAGTCCTCCTTGAATCAACACTGGGCGAAGTCTTTCCTGAATCAACGCTGGGCGAAGTCTTTCTTGAATCAACGCTGGGCGAAGTCTTTCTTGAATCGGCGCTGTGAGTGTCCTTCTTGTCTTTAGCACAAACGACAGTTTGGGATGTTTTTGTAACGTCAGGGCTTGAAAAAGTCTTCGTTGGGTCATCGCTATGGGAAGCTTCCGTAACATGAGTTTCGCGAGATGTCTTCGTCTCGTCAGTATTATATGAAGTTTTTTGATCACCAGAACCATGAAACGTTTCCTTTGCTTCAGCACCATGATGGATCGTCGTAGCGTCAGCATCTTCGGTTATAGTACTTTGGGATGTTTTAGCAGCATCACCACTAAGAACGGTTTCTGTTGTTTCACCTTTATTGGAGATAACATCATGAGTGACATGTGCCTTGTCAGCACTATGCTCGGTCTTCATATTATCATCACTGTCGGAGGTTTTCGTAGCTTCGCTGTTGTCTACGGTCTCCACTGCTTCAACCTCACTGGAGGGCTCTTCTAGGTCAGCACTATGGGAAGTTTTCGTTGCATTAGCATCTTGAGTGATATTTGCCTCGTTCGCACTATGGTCGCTCCTCATATTATCAGCACTATGGGAGGTTTTCGTGACGTCACCATCATGAGCGATCTCAACTGCTTCAGCACTGTGAGAGGTCTTTGCTGCGATAGGATCATGAGAGACCTTTGCCTCGTCAGCAACATGATCTGCCATCATAGCATCAACACTATGGGAAGTTTCTGTAGCGTCACCACTGTCAAAGGTCTCCCCGGCTTTAGAACTGTGCGACATCTCGGCTGCGTTAGCATCATGGGAAGTTTCTGTAGCGTCACCACTGTCAACGGTCTCCACGGCTTTAGAACTGTGCAACATCTCTGCTGCGTTAGCATCATCATAGATCGTCAACTCGTTAGCACTATGACCAGTCCTCATAGCATCAACATTACGGGAAGTTTTCGTGGCTTCCCCGTTGTGAACGGTTTCAACTTCTTCGGCACTGTGGGAGATTTTTGTTGCGTTAGTAACATGAGCTGACGTTGTTATCTCGGCACAACCGGAGGTTTTTTCACCATTTCTACCGTGTGAAGTCTTCATTGTGTCTGCACTGCTCGAGGTCTTTGCTGGAACAATCGAAGAAGTGGATTTTTTCTCCTCTCCACTTAGTAAGTTTAAATTGGAGTTTCTTGAGTCGGAGATCATCTTTCGTTCCCCGGTCGTCGTTTTCTTTTCTTTCGCGTCTTTTGTCATGTTTTTGGATGCGTCCAACGCGCACGGATCGTCCATTTCATGCGCATTTTGTTTCGCTTCGTTGTGACCAACAAAAGACGCACTTGAGCCGTCTGAAAAGACATTCAATAAATTAACGGGTGCAGACAGCAAAAAAACATGCTGCCATTTTGATATCATCCAAATCCTGGTTTGCTTCGATCAACGTCTTTGCATGCATAGACGTGACACTTTTTGTCAAAAACTACGAGTTCTACCTCCACATGTGCTGTACAGCGCGTAGCCGGTAGCCAACTCAATATTTTTTTTTGGGGGGGGGTAGTCATATATTCATGTTCTGCCGTTTTAAGTTTCTCAGTTTAAGTCAAGTGTTTTCTGCGGATTATAATAGACATATATGAATATTCAACCGCAAAGACTACTAGCGAACATTGTTTTCGTAATACAGGCATATCATTCTTAAAGAATGTGCGTCGACCAAGATGTATTGCGGCCATTTTGTGGGTCGAGAAAATGGCGGATTTCGTATTGTAGTCGATGCAACTTAGACAAGCGATAATACTTCATAAAAAGTAGAGTTTTCAATTAACGTTTTTCGGCTAACTTTTTATATAAATTAGACGACGTAGTGACGGAATTTGAAATCAGTGCACCGCAAGCTCAAAAAGTATCGATGAGAACATAAACAAAAGCGCGCAATGCATCTTGGTTGACACGCATTCTTTAAGCTCGATTTACAACGTTCGTTTGCACTGCATATTCAAGGAATCGTATGAAATCAACCTGGTGCCATCGGTGGTAACATCTCGAATTACTTCCATTTTTTTAATTGCCGCCATCTTTTTGATAATTCGCGCTTCAAGAACGGAAGAAAATCGTTTCCAATACTTACTGATCAGTGGCAAAAACTCTTTCTGCGACAACCTCGACAAAGACCTGACCGGTGATGGCGACCTCGATAGACACAATTCCACAGATGTGACAGTTGGTAGTTTAACAGGTGCGGACTCATTGCTTTTCTGAGAAGCGGCAGCCCTCGTCACGTGCATCTCTTTAGGAGAGAGAGGATCAAGCACCGGTAAACTGGGCTCGGCGCTTTTCGACTCTTTGATGTCATCGTCATGAAATTGCGTCATCCGTGCGTTGATCAAGGCGTCTTCAGAGAGAGACAACGTAGGCAGTATGATGTATGAAGATGATGTAGGGGAGAGTTCACAAGCTGCACTTGTCTCGCGTGCAGAAATTTTACGAATCACAAGTGACGAAGGCGACTGCGATAAAGGTCTTATAGACGATATTACTCCGGTTTCATTATCTGTTGCCTTATCATTTCCTTGATCTACACAGAATGCTTTCGACTTTACATCGTTGCCGTTGCTATTATGTTGATCCGAACTTGACTCGGCAACTCTTGACCAAATGGTAGAGTGTTCGTCAACGTTTCTCACACCTTCCGACTGCTCTCCAGTCTCCTCACAAACATCATCGGTTTCCTCGTCAATGGATCCCTTCTCATCTCGAGCGCACTTCACCCCAGACCCCATATACGTTTTTCCCGATTTTTCAGGCTCGACACCAGTCCCTGCGCGTTCAACGTGAAGTGTTTGACAGTCGGCAATCTCTCCACCGTTTGCAGGAACGTCATTGAAACTATCGGTCACAATGCGTTTTGTGACGTTACTCAAAAAATCAACTTCGCGAGGCACAGCAGGCTGACTACTCGACAACTGCTGTCTCTCTTTCGTCCGTTGCTCTTTCAAAATGACAGCTTGCTCTCTTATAGCGGGTTCGTGGACGTCTTTCATATACACATTGGGCAAGCCAGTCTGGAAAAAATCCGAGTTTCTGAAATGATAAAATTCAACATTGTCTAAGAAGCTGACCAGCAAGTTTGCTCGCGCGGTTTGAATTTCAGAGCATAAGCATTACTCATTTCTCAAGAAATCTTATGGTAAGTGGCAGGACCGCTGTCACATCGGCAATTGAAGGGGGGGGGGCTTATATTCATATATACATAAGATTCCGTATTATGATGATAGATTAGAGATGATAAAACGATTGATATAAACGGAATTTATACAAGGAGCACACGACGATCGACGTAAAGTTGAAGATGTAACCATCCAGTACTTGTATGTATAGTGAAACAACACGAGGATGGCATGCGCTAACACTAGTTATAAAATAACAACAACGAAATGAGCCTGGCAAACCGATGTGAGCTCAATCAATTAATTGAAACAAAAAGAATTTGCAAATCGATCATGAATACATCTTGGAGGAAAAATCAAAACGTTTGTTATAAATTCATCTGTTTCGCATTATTGTTATTATATAAAAGAAATAAAAGATGTTTTTCGTGTTTGCACTAGATTATGCAAACCTCAGAGACGTTTGCGAGAACTCTCGAGCAGCTCTCGAGTTCTCTCGAAAGTCTCCTCGGTTTGCATAAGCTTGTGCAAACACGGTAAATGAATGACAAACAAACATACCGCTTATGAGCTAGCACAGTCGTAACTGCGTCGCTCATAGCTTCAACTACAGCTCTTGCCGCCAACATAAGGATGTTTTCGTTGAACAATCGTTGACCACGTGTTCTCTTGTGTTTATCTGGCAATAGAGAAAATGACGATTTACGAAAATTAACCAAATATAGCTCGAGAAAAATGTGCCCTAAAGGACCTCTGGGTTTATTTAGGGATTTAGGGACCCGTCATGGACACGAAATAAACCTTTTTGTAGATGTAGATCGTTCGGGTTAGTAAAGTCCCGAGAAAGACTATTGGTGTTGATGTTTGCTAAAGTTTTCGAAACGTCAGTTAACATCAACACCAACAGTCCTTCTCAGGACGTAGTCAATGTAATGTATGTAAAATGTAATCTCAATTGTAGTAAATTTCAACAATGTCATGTCCCAAAATAGTACTTTTTATGCGCAATGTTTCGTAAAAGTTCACAGTTGTGCACTTCAACTGTGTAGTAAATTTGTATTTCATATGCTCCTCGTGGAAATTAGCGTAAATTGACGGGGTCAGCGTGTTTTCATAAAATTATCTGTCTATTATTTTAACATTACTTGAAATATAGCTAACGGCCGAGTCCAAACATTCCACTTCGCTTGCTAAAGACTCACAGCTTGTTCGTCTCTCCGCTAACTCGAGTACCTTGGTACCGCCGGCTATTGCTCTGAAGACAACCTCGTCTCGATTTTTGGCGGGGACGTTTTTTCTCGAAGGGTATTTCTTCCGAGGTCTTTCAAGTCTATCACTGAATGAGCGATACTGCGGGGGGAAAGTGGCGTTCACCTGAAGTATAGAAATAAAGGGAAGAAGATGAATTACACGAATGAACTATAGATCGGAAATTTTCGAAAAACAGAAAAACTGTTACTATCTGAAGATCTACACCAAAACCAAGCACAAAAAAAAACAACAATATAATATATAATAAATTATGCCAGCTACAGACATAACACAAACCTTTGTGACCAGTTTATATATATATACATGCATCTTTACAAGCGTCTAGCGACATGGCGCATAGCAGAACTGACGTCATTGCGAATAAAACGGAAGTGTAGCTTGATGGCGCGTTTGCTTATTGCCGCGTCGCGTGCAGTCAGAACTTTTGTAACGACGCAGACAAGTTGCCGCGTTGTCGCGCATTGTGATTGGTTTAAAGGCTTCCTTCAGGATGAAGTTCTGTAGTATTTTATTAATACTGCATTATCCAACTAACACAAGACGCTCATATTTCTGTTGAAGACGCGTCGGTACGGCGCGTTAACTATAAACAGTGCTTAGCGCGCACACAGATGTGTTGCACAACTAAAAAGTACGCACGACACTTGTCGCGCGAAGCATAAATCGTCCTTAATTATCAGATGCGGCGATCCTAGATAGCCCTTGCAAGTGCTCGAACTGAAGTAACTCTATTTTGAACTACTCTAAACTTCCCGGAGATGAAGATAAATGAAGAAACTTTATTTTGAAGTACTCTAAAGCACCTTAACGAATGTCTATCCAACGCTATCACCATCTATCCCCCGATGTTCCGGGTCACAATGAACTCACCTCACATTTTTGAGCCGCATCTTCTACGACCTTGCAACAGTACATCCGTATAACATTTCGTTTATTGCGATAATGCAGTTGGCTGTCGATGAGTTCGACTGGCAATACTTCATGCGGCAATTCCCTCGCGGTCTTTTCTACTCCTCGAAGATAGTTTTCTGGACGTTTAATGACCACTTGCATTTTGCTTTCGATTCGGTCCAAGATACTCCAGATGTATTCGCGAACCTTTTCTTGTAAACTTCCCCCAGCTCCCTCTCTATTCTGAAGATTAGCTGCAAATGCGAACGAAGGTCATTTGAAAGTGATCGAAGCGGGGTGTTTTTTCTTCTGGGGTCTCGAGGCTGCTCATCGCTTGTGACACGAGCAAAAGCGTAAGCACAAGATTATCAAAACCTACGGTTTTTCTCGTGTTTATTCATGCTCATGCTCGTGCACATAGCAGTGCATTACACAAAAGTTTATGCTTGTGAGCATGCCTGCTTTCATCTCGCATTTGACAACCGGGCATCAAAACTAGCCAATCTACAAAGGCTTCAAAGAACTATCAATTGACCTCAAAAAAATGGTTTGTTTTCAACGACGACAATCGCAAGGGCACTATTCTCCTAGTATATAATCTGGAGTGAAAAAACTCTGTGCGGCAGTTATCATGAACTTACGCGTCCTTGAGTTGTCCATCAACGCTTCCCTTTCATCCCTTGGAGTTGGCGGCGGTACCACCAAGTTCACGTTAAGTACGTCAGCCGAACGATTTAGTATTCCTCTAACATAATCCGATACAAGGCCTTTCAAATCTTGTTCTTTGATATGTCCGTTGGGCTTTGCCCCGTGATCATCGAGCACCGCCATGTAACCAGCGGTGATCGGCTCCAAGTGATGATCTCTTTTCATGTGGGTTATTTGTGGAGGTGGTGTAGGTGGATAGTCACTGCCTGATTCGCTACTTGCTGAAGACCAGTCCTGTATGAATTAAGGTACACTGATGTGAAGAAGGGGTGGACAAAAAGTACCCAACCAACCCCACCCCCCCCCTAGAAAATTACGTCAAACTTGGACATCTGAGTAGAAATAAAATAAAGTTTACAGCTGTCAGTTCAAGAATAAAGAAAACAAGTTGCTAATATCGCCTCGTAGCAAACTCCAGCTCGAAATGTGTAAAAGTTAATTATCAGTGTTTAGGAATCATAAATGCATAGATAGACAGGACATGTAGGTATTACTGATGTTTAACAGGTACACGTTTTGTTCACGTCACTAACCCTTAAGGACGCCAGGCTTTCGCGAATCGTAGGAATCGGAAAAAAGGGAAACTTCGCACTGGGTACCAGGTTCCCTGTTTTTTCGTTACCGCGCGAAATAATCCCGGCTGAACGATACATATTTTCCTTGATTTCTTGCTCATTCATGCCAAGTTCCTTGAGAAGGCTCAACTCTGAATCGAATACAAAACGCTTGACAGTGACAACAATCGGAAAAGACGAGATTGTTCACCGTGAACAAGCAAAACAGATTAATTCACTTATACAGCATGTATCGAAAAACTGCGTCGAACTTTAAAAGGCAATCGCACAATATGGTGTTATCTCTTTAACTTTTCAAAGGCATGTTTATCGTCCCATAACAATTAGAAATGAACGAGTACACCTAAAGAGCTTATCGTTTTAGCTATATAAAAACATAAGCGTGAAACACAACATGAAATGCTGCACTAGAGCATATTTAAGGTCGATGCACTTTTTTTCAAACACACTGTAGAGGTGATAGGTCATAGTAGAAATTTTAATTATATGATAAAAGAAGGTATAGGTCACGGTACCAATGTCAATTCTATGATAAAAGAAGGTATAGGTCACGGTACCAATGTCAATTCTATGATAAAAGAAGGTCATAGGTCATGGTACCAATGTCAATTCTATGATAAAAGAAGGTATAGGTCACGGTACCAATGTCAATTCTGTGATAAAAGAAGGTATAGGTCATGGTACCAATGTCAATTCTATGATAAAAGAAGGTATAGGTCACGGTACCAATGTCAATTCTGTGATAAAAGAAGGTATAGGTCATGGTACCAATGTCAATTCTATGATAAAAGAAGGTATAGGTCATGGTACCAATGTCAATTCTATGATAAAAGAAGGTATAGGTCATGGTACCAATGTCAATTCTATGATAAAAGAAGGTATAGGTCACGGTACCAATGTCAATTCTGTGATAAAAGAAGGTCATAGGTCACGGTACCAATGTCAATTCTATGATAAAAGAAGGTATAGGTCATGGTATCAACGTCAATTCTACGAAAAAAGGTCATATGTCATGGTACCAATGTCAATTCTATGATAAAAGAAGGTATAGGTCATGGTACCAATGTCAATTCTATGATAAAAGGTCATACGTAATGGTACCAATGCCAATTCTATGATAAAAGAAGGTCATAGGTCATGGTACCACTGTCAATTATTCGATAAAAGAAGGTCATAGGTCATGGTACAAATATTAATGATATGATAAAAGAATAGTCAAATTACAAATTACCAAGGTTCCAGGAACTTATTCGTCTGTTGCCTTTCTTTGAATTCTCTAACTGAAAGGAGCTGTTAGACCTAGTGCTCAAAACGGAAGACCTTTTCACTGCGTTGAACTTTTTCCTCCACTCGTTCAGTTCCTCCGCCTTCTTCTCGCTCAGTTTGCTCAAAAGCACTTCGGCATCCCTCAACTGTTTCTCGAACACCTTGCGGTTCTCTTTAACAATGTCATTGTAGCAAACTGAAGGGCGAATGAAAAATTAAGTTAAACTAAGTGCTTCAAACTATCTTTTTACTGAATAGACATAAGAACAGGACGGTTTCACGGTGTGCACACGGCAGAAGAACCCAAGGAGCCTCGGGGCAGCCACCTCCGAACAATAATCATCTTGGATTGACCTTTTTATAGCTCAACAAATTACTTTGACGACATATTACAGCTCCATAAGGAGAAATAATATATTTTTCGGGAACTCTTTGAGTGCTAATTTGTTTCGTAGTGAACGCTCGACGCGTTCTTGATATTTGTATGATTAAGTTAGGGACATTCTGTAGCCGGTAGTAGAAAAAAGGAAGAAATTGTTAACTGCAGATACCGCGAGCTACCGTAGCTAACTCTTTAACTGGAATTACTTAACGACTCATAAAAATAACGAAACAGATAATTAAACAAACAGACCGCTTTTTTAACACTATCGACTAAACCAGAGCAATACCAATGTAGGTGGAGTATTTTTCAACCAAGTTATAAACCAATCATAACCTTCACTCCAACGACGCTGTCGGGCTACTTTGGCTTTCCTCTCTTCGACAAGTTGTTGAAATTCCTGAGCTTCCACTTCCTTTCTTCTCTTTTCCTTTTCATGATGCTTTACAGACCAACTCTCACGTCTCATCCATTGTTCCTTAAGCTTAACGCAAAAAGATGACGAATTCGAACACAAAGTTATATGACAAAACAGCTAAACATTTACAAGAACTTAACTCACACCTAGTTAGTGTTTATCTAGTTCATATCTCGTACATGTGTAGTACACAACTCATACATAGCTAGTACATATCTAGTACACAACTCGTACATAGCTAGTACATAACTCGTACATAGCTAGAACATAACTCGTGCATAGCTAGTACATAACTCGTACATATCAAGTACATAACTCGTACATAGCTAGTATATAAGTCGTACATAGCTAGTACATAATTCGTACATAGCAAGTACGTAACTCATATATATCTAGCACATAACTCGTACATAACTAGTACATAACTCGTACATAGCTAGTACATAACTCGTACATATCTAGTACATAACTCGTACATAATTCGCACATACTTTAGTCATTTTGAGATCCCTTGCTGCTTTTTTCCTTTCTTCGAGACATTTCAACTTTCTCTCGATTTCCATATCCATCTTCTTCATCATGCTAAGTCGAAATTCGCTTTCCTATAGATAAAACAATAGCTGCCAAAGTTCAACACTTTTAATAAAGATCGTAAGCACACGAATAGTTCATATGTACCCTCTCTTCTTGCGCGCATTTCTTTTTTTTCACGCGCTCTCGTTCCAGACCTCTTTTAATCTTTAAAAGATCACGTGTCTTCAGGCGCTCGGCCAAGATTTTCTCGCGTCTTTGACGATCGATTTCGTCCAACTTCTTCAGACGAGCTCTCTCTTTTTCCATACGTTCTTGAGTGAGTTTCGCCTCTTCGCATCGTTTCTCTCTTCTGGTAGGGAAAGAAGACAAAAAAATTGTAAGAAAGGGGAGAATTCTTCCAAGATCGTCGCTGAATCCCAACTATGATCCACGAGTTCGTTCGTACCTCCACTTCATGAGCTCTAATAGTTCAGCATCTCGTTCCATGGCGATTTTTTGCAACCTCTCATTCTTCGCTTGTTCCATCTTCTGTTGATCCAGTCTCATCTCGCGGTGAAGCTCGTCCAACTTAATTTTCCTAATCCATTGCCTGTACTCGTTAAACTCCTTCAGCGTGCATTTCACGTAACCGTGGTCTGTTAGTAAACCTGAGCAGAGAATGATATTCACGTTAACCGCGGAGGCAAACTCAATATTTTTGTTGTATAAAGCGTGCACATCACGTGACCGTGGTCTGTTAGTAAACCTGAGCAGAGAATGACATTCACGTTAACCGCGGAGGCAAACTCAATATTTTTGTTGTATAAAGCGTGCATATCACGTGACCGTGGTCTGTTGGTAAACCTCAGTAGTAAACCTGACCAGGGAATGAATTCACGTAAACCGCTGACGCAAACTCAGTGACGTAGCAAACTCGATAATTGGGAAGGGGGCACACACTCGCATGTTCATTTTCTGCCGTATAAAGGTTCTTCGAAATCTCAATTCTTTTCTACGGATGAAGAAATGCATTCAAGAATTCGTGCGCCGCCCCTCTCCCTGCCAATGAACGAGTCTGTTACGCCTCCGCCCAACTCGACATTTAACCTTCTTCATGTAGACGTCTGTGCATGTCATTCTCTTTGAAGAAGACCCGCAAATGTTCATCGTGGAGACAGTTGTAGGATAAACTGGGACGAAGAGGATCCTTGAGGTCGAAGTCGCGATTCTTAGGCAAGTGATGAAGCTACAAAGCAAAAATGGGAAAAAAAACCTTTCGACTGAGCACACCTTTTGAATGTTCAAACACAATTACGGCGTGAGCCAGAAACATTTGCACGCATCAATTTCGAGGTGGAAGTATTTTAGATGAACAGTGGTTGAACAAAGAAATGATTATCTGAATTATTTATAAATCGGGTATCACCTCAAACTTTAAAAGCGCATAGTTTTGTAAAGTTAAACGTTATCTCGTGTAATCACCCGTATGACAAGAAGACAGAGTGTTGTAACCGGGGGGTTGGTGGAAAAGTAAGATTGAGGGGCCCAAGTAAGTGACTACTTTTCAAGAGATATTGGGACATCGTGAAATGTCTAAAATTTTAGTAAACTATTGGGAAGCGGGGGAGGGGAGGGGGGCGACAACGACAACGAGTTGAAGACGAACAACAATATTTTTGTCTTTCTGCGAACATTCCTTGTCTCGTTTTCTTTAAAAATCTTCCGTAAGAAAAATAAGATGAGAAGCATTTCACACAAGTCATCGTCAAAAATGTCACAGCACTTTTAAAAAGATCGAGAAAGGACGTTCGAGCCCACCCCACACACACACAACACCCTCCCTCCCCAGACGAATACACCGAATCCCAAACAATCAAATGAGGTGGCTAAATTCATACATGCGTACCTTTTTCCCCAGTGGCGTCGTGTAAAACACGATAGATCCCTCGGCTCCTGGAGCCATGGGAAATTTCTTGTCTAAACTTTTGATGCTCTCGTTCTTGAGCCAAGCCGGTCTGACCCAAGGAATCGCGAAATGAAAGCTTTCTTCATCGCGAACGTAATTGGGAGGCAGCAAATCGCTGACTGAAAGTGGCTTTGTAAGCAAGGTATTTGACATTTCATACAATTATACGATTTTTAACAATGAAATTTTTCTCGTTTTTTTTACGTCCCTTTGTTGACATAGCGAATGCTAATTAGGTAATGACGTCATCAATTAGAGCACTAATAGAAATCGATGCACGCGCGCACAAGCTTACAAACTGTCCCGGGCAACGACAACGCCTTCGTGTATTGGAAACGCGTGGTTCTACAAATTTGCATAGACCGGTGCGCTGTCGGGTTTTTTATTGATGCAATCATTTCGCATTTTCGAAAAATAAAATTTGCTAACAAGTATTGATAGCGTTGAAATAAAATACGATATGATCAAGATATACTATTATCAAGCGTCTTCTGCTAGCTCATCAGTCATATTTTTACATCAAATGCCTCGATCGTAATTCGTTTTCCCTTCACTTTTAAACTACGATATTACCGTGATAAAATATGAAAACAAACAAGGCCATAAGGCTTCTGTTCCAAAACCCACAAAGAATCAAAGCTTTAACCATTATTTTTCAAAAAATTTTTCAAACAGAAGTTTCAGGGCACATTTGCATTCAGATTTTATCACAAAATCAAAATACGCGAGATGGAAACATTCTAAGTCCAATGTTCGTAAGCCGTGTAAAGACTGTCTTACCTCAAGGAAAAGACTTTTGACAATATAGAAATGGCTTTACCGGGGGGGTGTCAGTATTACGGTGCCAACAAAGAAACCGACCCGACCGAGGTTGAACATACATTTCTACTTCGCATTACATAAAAGTTGGATGAATAAATAAACGTTTGAAAACTTAGCTCTGCAGTTGCAACATCTTACTCTCCTGTATGCTTGAAATAAGCGAACTCGTCCTTCGCGTCGTCGCAGGGGAGAAGAGGCTACAAACAACAACGGTTAAGATTCTGTTAGCATAACAACTCAAAACACAATTTCACTCATATTAGGTAAATTTCCATTCAAGTAAAAATTAGCAAGAAACGCAATGCAATAGCACATCATAGAGGCTGAACACAGAAACAGTCGAATCTGTATTAAGCAGAGCCCTGTGTTTGTAAGAGTTGGGACACGTATTGTTTTCTGCATTATGCATTATGATCAAGGTGATTGGGTAGATATGGTCACATGGGCATCTAGCCGCCATTTTCGTTCCAAAAACGCAAATTATAAACACTTTTTACATAAGAGATAAATTATAAAAAAATGTTTGCAATGATTTTATGTTGCGTTGTAATTGTACCAGTAAAAGCGATGAAGAATAGAAAGATACACGCTCCCTTGTGGCAAAAACAATATTAACGGCGTATAAATTACATCCACTGCATTAAATAAATGCTTTCCTATTATTATGACATCTATAAACAACTCAATTCTAAAGGTAGGGATCGCTGTCTATTTATGAATAAGAAAACACAACAGAAAATTTGTCTTTCCATCATTTAATGCTTTGTATTTGTTGGCTTTTGGAACAGAAATGGCGAACGCTAAGGCAATTTTTCTTCCGGTGTATCAAACTCTCTCAATACAGGGCTCTGGTATTTAGCGGTCAGTCTCGGGGATTTCTTGTGTGACCGTTTAATACGGATTGGACGCTTGATACAGATATTGTGGAAAATCCCCACATTTAATTAATATGACATTTCAAACAAATTAATTTGAAATAAAAAACAACATACTTCAATACATTCACCAAATAACCAAAAAGTCGACCGCGTCGGCCTAATAGAGGTGGCCGTTCAACGAAGGTCGCTTAGCTAAATAGTATCTAAATCATGGAATTTTCTGGACATTAGTGTAAATGGAAAAATCTCAAAATGACCGACGCAAACAAAAATAACAGGAAAGATATAAATCACATTAAAGCACGCTGTTTACAAAAAAGAAAAGAACAATTGTAAAACTAATTACCCGACATCCAGCTCTTTCCACCATTGAGGACACTTTCTTCAAATACTCCCGACTTTGCTCCTCTTTAAGGTCGAGCATGTATCTGCATGGAAAAAGTATCATTTCGGGTCAACCGGAAGGTCATGTTTCGTATCATTTCGGATCAACCGGAAGTTCATCTTTCGTATCATTTCGGGTGAACCGGAAGTTCATGTTTCGTAATTGGATACGAGAAGTAGCTTGTTGTAAAGATCTTACTTTGTCGTCTCGATGATCAACATCGCATTCTTGGAAAGAAGATGTCTTGTATCCGGGGTACAAAAATGCACCATACTACAAAAGAAAATGAAACGAGGTATCTTGGTTTCTGCATAATTTGACAATTTCACCATTTCACAATTTCACCGACCTTACCTGTTGGAAAAATATACTAAATCGAACAGCTCCTTAAATCGGTTCTTCTTCTGCAACTCGTGAACGCCATTCGACGGCAGGAAGAACACTTTCACATTATCGCCATGCAACAAAACATCATCTTCTATCTTGCTGCTTCCCGATGTCACTTGCAACTCATCGACCTCCTCGATGATCTCTTTTATCCTCGAATGTCCTTCATCGTCCTCTATATGAGCCTGCTTTGAAGGCTCGTATTTTTTATGATTCGCGATTTCGAACATAAACGACGTCACGTTGTGTACAGACACATCGCGGGCGCTCTGACGAAAAACAGGTGAGATAACGTCACGTCAGGATTAGGACAGGGATCCGTGGTGAAAGAAAGTTTTGAATTTCCTCACCTTAACATGGACGTCATTTTTCTTTTCGAACAAACGCTTTTCGTCACTTTCAATACCGAAAGCGAAAAATGGACTGTTTATGATGTCGCCCCAATAACCACGACTTAAAAACTTCTCCCCTCCCTAGTTAGGAATTACCGTGGAAATATATCTTAGATAACGATGCATCGTCCATAACAATGATTTAGAACCCAATCCCCTGGACGTTTAACTACCGTGTCAAGGACCTTTTCTTGAAACGTGAAAAAAATAAAACTCCCAATCAAAATAACTTAAAAGAAAGTTAAAAAAAGTAATCCTATAATACATTTCAAAAGCCAAACCTAGACTGTCGACTTAGCAACTGTATATCAACGCAGATGAAACAAATTTCAGTGCAGTTTTGCAACCTTTCAAGGTGGCGGCTTGTCTCGCTAGCAACTATAGAATTTCAGCTGAGTTAGTTATTCAGAAGATTGGGTTCTAGGTCATTGTTCCATACACATCCAATAAAGAGTTCTGCAGATATACACATCTGACAAAAACTATTAGCAATAAATAAATGATCGTCGCACAAACCTGCTGACATTAATGCAAAATCGACTATAAAACATACAAGCTGGGTGTACAATTTGACCTTAAAAAATTATTAGGGTTTTCTATTACAGGTAATGTTCCATGTATTTTAGCTCAATGAGTTACACAGTGACGGATCTAGGTTGCGGCAAAATAAATTACCGCAGCACATTTTGGAATATATTTACATCTTTAAGCCCTTTAGGGGGGGAGGCAAGTGTATTTACCAATAGTGCATTTCTGAAAGTATTTTCATTATAAAATCAAGGAGTTATAATTTATTTTGACGAGCGCTGGATCCGCTACTGCAGTCACTATAAAGAAAATGGTTTGAACACGGGACTATCGTTACATGTTTGTAGATGAAGATCGTCCAGGTTGGTATAGTCCTGAAAAGGACTGTCTTTTGACTCTTAAGATGACTACCGCTAAGGTTGTCGAAACGTCAGTCAACAACAACAAAAACAGTCCTTCTCAAGACTCGACTAACCTGGATGATCTACATTTACAAACATATACTGTAGTCACTGATGGATGAAGAGGTGTGCATTTCCCCGAAGCCTTGACCTATGCGGACTGGTGAATCTCCCTCCCAACAAAAATCATCCTGGATTCCTCCCTGCTTTAAATTTAACGAAAAATTGTAATTTTACTTGGTCACATGAAGAACCAAACTGGTAGACAGTGGAAATGAACAAAAATTGCCTTGCTCTGAATAAGATCTTAAAAATTTCAATTTGAGAAAATTGCAAAGATAATTGCGAAAGTGCGATCGTGCTCGATACTTACGGAGGACGAGGCTGTTGACGAAAACCCTCCCTCCGGAAATGTCACCTATTACAATAAAATCAGGGGGACCCATAACTCGTTTCTAAGCACATGGAAAACGAGTGCATTCACTCAGCAAATGCGCGATTATAAAAGAAAGACTTAAATACTTAAATACAGCTTTAAAGAGCGTATTTGCCATCGTAAATGAAAGCTGGTAGACTGACTTCGATTTTCAAAAGTTCTTTTTAGAACTAGCAAGGTGACATTTGTCATTCCCCATGACAAAAATACGCTCTTCAGTATTCGAGCGAGAATTCACGAGAGTTGGTGAAAAAGATTCGTCGACTTGCATTACCTTAGTAACAACGAGACCAGAAGCTAAGGTACGATTCGCTACTGCATACGAGGCATCTTCGCGCATTTCGAATGCCACACCTTGATCACGCCACGTCTTGTACTCGTGAAACTTTATTATAGGAGCCTGGAAACCAATAAAAAGAACCTGACCAATAGCAGTGCACTGTTTCAGGCAAAGAAAACATTCCGACGAGTGAAGACACTTTCACTGCAGATATTTCAGGTCAAAATATTTTAACGGGCCTCCCCACCCCCCAATGGTTTTTCCCTCTATAATCAGACCCGGAAGAACGATATGGCATCAGCTTGGAAGTCCAAAATTTTCAGAAATCGAAATTCCTATTGACTCAAGATTCAACATTCATACTAAAAAGTCGTTAAAGTTCAAATAATAAACTATCAAATCATGCTTGTTTGGGACAGCATATATCAATGTAACATCAAGTATCGTAAATCGTGCTATATTAAAAGACATGTTGCAGGGCCCTCCTCTAGTTAGTAACATGCTTATGATAAAATTGTTGTGTGTAAGTAGTAGATCAACGATTGCATTTACATCAAAATTTAATGCATCTTCTTTATTATTAGTGTATATACTTGATGATAAATGATAACAATGTACGATATGTTTTTGGTCTGCTTAAGCGGACCTTCTTTAGCACGGGAGCCCAAGTCTTTGACCGAGCTGACCAACACCCCCGCCCCCATCACCACCACCACCACCGTCTCGCGGGAATTGCAGAGATAAACGTTTTTTTAAAATACTCATTCGTGAAACAGCGAGCGTTAAGTCAATTTTGAAATGTTTAAAAGCATCAAAACAATGCTTCTGGACATGAGTTGAGCAAAATACACCGACGAGAATAAGAGACGTACTTTCCTATGAAGCGCCATATTGTAATCCCAGTCGTAAACATTGTTTCGGTGATCGTATCTGACTTCCAAATGGCTCCGTAGCCTTGAGTCCCTTTGAAGAAGAGGATGTTAACTCTGAATACAAGCAAAGTTTGTAAAATCATAAAACATGTATTCTGATGCAAATGCCGTAACTTGATTGGCTACTCCGTCGTCGCGATCTGCGATCTGTTATATGGATGACAATACACAAGGCAAAACCCGAGGCTTAAATATATAATTTGATATTCTATAGAAAATGCTGTTATTAAACTACGGCGCATTCCACTACATCTTATTGTAAAATGGCTTCCCACTTTTAGTTTTTTCAGAGAAATCTCATTTAGACATTACGTCATCGACAGTAACAAATCAAAGTATGCCAGAGTAGCTTCCATAGATTAAAAACTGAATTTCATCATTTTAGAGTTTTATAAATCTCTGACAGCAAGCAAATTCCTAGAGTGATATGAAAACACTATTCAAGCATTACATGTATGAAACAAGCAATATATAGTTGCCATCATTTGACATTGAATTATATTATTAGATATTCTCACCAACACTTGGTAATATCGAAGAGTTTAACATCTCGACTCCGCCAAAACTTGAAAATTCCTTCGAGCATGTCTCGCTCCTTGAACTAAAACAATTTGATAAATAAAATTTTACATGGCCTTCATATTTATGGCAACCTGAACCAACACCTTTAATAATGACATGTCAATCAATGGAAACTCTCGTCCGAGACACTCCAAATCTGTTACCATTCTAGACATAAGAGAAAGAGCACAATACTTTAAATGTCATCAACCGTTATTCAAGGTAGTTGGTCTACAAAAGACTAAAGCTATTGCAATGGAAGAAGCAAAGAGCAAAATTTTCTGGCTCCTAAAATCAGAAAGAAGCAAAACTTGAACTACAATTACCGAATGAAATGGGTTGCTTTGTCTTGTATATATTCACTGGTTTGAGGTCGAATAAGACTATTTCCAAACAACTCCAAAAAAAGTTCACACTTTTCTAAAAGTTATACAAGTTTCAATTCTTTTACTAAGATACCATATTTAAAGAGAAGTCCGAACAACAAAAACACAACCAAACAATCATTTAGTCATGTTAAATTGCAATTTCTATTCGTACTTTGGGCCCTTCTTACTCAACAGACAGAGGTCTTCAAGCAATGAACATTTATGACCTAAAATCTGCTTTTTTCCATGTAATTTGAGAGTCTATGCACATACAAAAATCATCATATCATATTTTATACAATTCACACTTAGAATTTACCTTGTAATCCAAGATTTTCCTTTGATTCCTTTGCAATGCCCAGAAGTAGCAAATGTCTTGCAAGCAATTCCAGATTACTTTCAACTACATAAATCTAAGCAATCAGAACATTACAAAAATCAAGAGCAATACTATTTTTCACATTCAAAACTCAGACTGCCTTTCCTTTCTTTTCTCACTGAAATCGCTTCTGTGTCATGCAAATTTTGTAAAATTTGGCAAAACAAGTTTTCAAAGTTTCCAAGCCTTATCTTTATACTCTATTGAGCTGATTATTGATGTGATGATTAAATTGTATAAATTATAACATACAAAATAAAGCAAATTGACTAAATGGGTTCAACTGTATGGCATGTTATTGCAAAAACATTCTTGGGTGTCCTGTGGATGAGAAATGCAGTCAGATTTATAACATTGTTATTTTTATCATCCCTACATGCAATTGGTAATCCTTCTTCCATTTATAAGTTTTTGCAAGGGTTTTTAGAACGTGTCTGCAATCTCCACAGCCGACCAGAAGGATGTTCAAATGGCCTTGAGAATAAAAACAAAAAACAATCTTAGCCAAAAAGCCATGAAAAACATGCAATTTTAAAATCAACTCAAAAAAAATGCTTTGAAAATTTTTAAGTGAATAATTTTAGAGGTTGCCAAGACCTTCATCCCGAGAACTATCGCCAAGTTTCTGATCTGGAAATGTAGGTCAATGTATAGTCAAACATATAGATTTTTGGGACTCTCTAAAATACAAACAAATTCTCACATTCTTCTCGCAGGTCCAGAGCTGGGCTGAAGCCCCACCAAGTGACTGCACCGTATGGACCGACCATAGTTTAAATCATCAATACATTTTAATACCAAATGGCCAAAACTTATCGAAAATATTCACCAGTTTATCAAAAATGTCCCAAACAAGAATAGGTCCACATCTTCGTTTCCACATATTGCACACCCCCCTGTTTATTAATCAAATTAATAGAAAATATATTTAAAGTGCAGAACACCGGGGTTGCAAACTGAACAGTTTGCAAACAATGGCTATTTTCCGATTCAAGATGGCTGCCGTTTCAGTAATGCAGAATATTCGACAAAGAACCAGAGTTCTTGCCACACAGGTTCGAGATTCTTCGTGTATTTTTTGCTAAAGAATTCTATAAAGAAGTTTACAGCAAGAATTTCATTCGCTGTCATCAATTTCATTCATTGTGCTTTTCACTAACGTACTTTTCTCGATGAGAAAAATTTCATATTCTCTTAATATTTAGCCGTTTAAAGTTCGCACCATCTTGCAAATGAGATATCTATCAGACAGCAGCTCAGAAGAAACAGGTAATGATATTTATATACAGGTATAACATTTCGTTATACTATTATAACGACTTCCGTCTACGTCTTTACAATTTCTACATACAGACACGCTCGTCATACGTATAAGATCACTTTTTTCCATGTTGGAGTCTTAAATTTCAAACGCCTTGATTTGAGGTTAATCAAATAACTTTAAAACATCCATGATGCATCTTGTTTATAGATCTTGTTGAATCTTTTAACTTTTTGTCTTTTTGTTTCACGTTACCGTACATTATATATAAACACAAGTAGGTTTTATGACCTTTAATCATGCCTCCTTTCACTCCATATCAGATCAATGTTCAACAGCAAAGCAGTTTCCGGTGGCACCAAAGGAACCCGCTTACGGGGCTGCCGATTATTATTCCCACAATGAAGACACATTTGCAGATATGGAGATAGAGATGGCTAGTTACAGACAATCTCAACCTGACCCTCGTGTACCCTACTACCATCACTACCCCTGGGAAAAGAAATCTTAAGGCATTAATGGACGAGTGCACATAGATTGATGAAATGTACTACTAATTGGTTTCACAGTGTTTTGTTTGAATATATAAGTAAATGTTAACTGGTTTGCTGAATGAATATATATTGTTTCAAGATCACAAGCTTTTTTCTTATCACATGCTTTATATATTACAACCCATACTTTACAAATGATACATAATAAACATCTTGGCCAAGGTCAACAGTAATATATTTTTATTTAAAGTGAGTTGTTTTGACACTGGGGTATTGTTACACGTTGGTACACGTAGATGGTCCATGTCAGAGCAGTCCTGGGAATGACTGTTGGTGTTGGTATTGACAGACGGCAACAAATACGGCGAACTTGACGTCACTAGACTCAACTCTATCACCAAAAGTGTATCCTTCACAGAACTGCATTAACCAGGACGATATACATCTACAAACATGCGGTAATTAAGAATGACTCACAAAACCTTTTGAAACTCTGGGTAAGACTGTCATAAAATAAGATTCATCGTGTTTTTGACGTAAATAGAAAAAAGGAAGTAGTTATAGAATACCGTGCTACATGCTTAACTACTTGCAAGCCTGATGTTAACCCTAATCTTCCTAAATACAACTTAACCTGATTATCTTTAGCAGTCTTTTTTGCAGACTACTCTATAACTGTGTGCAGAAATACATCGAAAACACGGAAACTCTTATGTAAAAACTCTATTTTTCATTGATTCTCTTCTAATTTTTGGACATTTGCTGCCGTTAAAATTTTTTATTTAATATGTACATATAAATCGAAACCTCTAAAACTAGTATAAATAACCACGGGGCAACACCGGGTTCTCGGCGCTTTTGAATTTCGACGACGCGTGACTACGAAACTTCTTCTGCCAGTATCTGCGATATTGGAAAGTTGATATTCCGACTTTAAACGTTTCCGAAAAACATCAACATGGTGGCAATTCGATGATCGCAGTCGTTCTTGCGCTCGTAATTTCGAGTCTAAAGTTCATTGATATATACTCAACTTTCGTATTATAAATTATAATGCAATAGTCACATCTAAATTTCGTTCCTCCACCACACCGGTCGATCTTTCCAAAAACTCTTCTAATGAAACTTTTCGTTCATTTTGTCAGGTTTTTTGAAAATAATTTCGAATACGAAGTGGTCAAATCGAGTCAGTTTTTCCTTCCTCGCTATAGGTGACCACTCCGACCAGTTCGATTGTGTTTCTCTTTAGTTTCATCATTTTGTGCTTTGCTTTACGATTTCTCCTGAACGTATAGATGGAGAGGGGTGATACTTATTGTAGTGAAGAGCGTAAAGGAAAAAGCATCGATAAACTTACCTCGAGTAACAGTAAAAGCCAACAGCCAAAACGAGGAAGAAAACGAGAGCGCCAATACCGATGCCGATCCATTTCCAAAATTCTAGAAGATTTCAAGCGAAATTATATGAAGTCATTCAACTGGTTTCTGCAATAATCAGGGTAATCTACATCACTCCCGAAAAGGAAACTGGACAGAAAGGCTTATAAAGTCTCGGATGTTAACATCAGGTCATTTCCATTGGGCACTGTCCTGGCGTAAAGAAGCATGCGCAGTCTTATCATCGGGGTACTACTGGTATAGGTACCCGAAGGCTGTAATATATAAAGACTCGAGTTTCAACATAACATTCCCCGAGGAATATCTAAAGACTCGAGTTTCAACATAACATTCCCAGAGGAATATCTAAAGACTCGAGTTTCAACATAACATTCCCAGAGGAATATCTAAAGACTCGAGTTTCAACATAACATTCCCAGAGGAATATCTAAAGACGACTCGAGTCTCAACATAACATTCCCAAAAAACTACCCTAGATTCGGCGTAAGGACTCGAGTCTCAACTGCTGTACAGTTGTGATGAAGAGACGAGGAGAATTTTCGAAGACTCCAATTTAAATAGCAACCTGAATCTCTACGATCATAGTCAGACTATAGTATGTAACGACTTAAGTTTCAAAATTTTTTTAACTCTCGATAAAGGCGTTACATGAAGTACAAAAAGCCTCCACATACCATTTGTAATTCCATCGTCAGAATCATATATTGCCTTCTTGTCGGGATTCTCCGTGCTCGGACTGTTCAACATTTCTTGAGTTACGATGACGGAAATATTTTTCGTTGCTTTAGTAGTACTCGTGATTGTGGACTTCTTAGAGGACGGTGCGCTGGAACTTCTTTCATTTGTCGCGTCAATTTGTGGCGAAGCTGTGGTGGACAACATCACGTCCGTTTCAATTTCCGTTGTCGTTTCGGTAGTTTCCGTTTTTCCCATGGTGGCAAGCGTTTTCGTTGTCATAGTTACCGTTTTTTCATTTATGCTCAATAATTTGCACGAAGAAGAAGAGGCATTCCAAGCGAAGCCATCCGCACACGAACATTTTTCACTCTTGCAAACTTGGTGCTTCAAAACGCAGTGAGTATCGCGAAGACAGCCATTGACAGGAATACATTCACCATTGAAGAGTTCGTAGTACAATTTACAAACACATACGCCATTCTCGCATTGGGAATTTGAATCTACAAGAAAGAAAAACAGTTTCCCTGTTGATTTGAACTTGTCGCCAAAGCTCCAAAGTTTTAGAAAAAGAAGAACGGTTTACAAAGGAAAAGGTTTACAAAAGAAGATTTCAACAAAAAAGAAGACAAAATCAAACATGAAATTCGTGGATTTTAATTTTGTGTCTGAAGACCTAAGAACAAACAACTAAAAATACCCTAATTACTGCAAATAATCAAAGCCTTTAAATTTTTTGAGTTTGTTTTACAGATAAACAAGATGGTAAATCTTGAATGTATTTGACGTTTTCACGTTTAGGGGTTCAAATTATATTTGCTAAAAAATTGAGCTTTTAGAACCCATTTTAGATTTAAGAACCACCAATTTTCCAATTAGAACTGTCTGTTTCAGATTTTAGAACTACCAATTTTCAAACCCATACTGCCCATTTTAGATTTTAGAAGTTAGAACTATCAATTTCCCAACTCATACTGCCCATGCATTTAAAAAATGTGAGGCTTTGGGATGACCCTGCTATACGATGCAAAATAACTAAAACGCCCAAAAGAGCCTTTAAATATTACCTGAACAAGAAGGCGTACATATTTTTACCTGAACAAGAAGGCGTACATATTTTTCTGACCGATGGTTTGTTAAGCATTGCGCATCCACCAGTTACATTTATTCCATTTGAAGTCTCACACCAAACCGTCCGTGTGCCATTTGTGTACCACGGTGAAGTCTTCCATAGCGTACCAATACACGGGGAGCCCAACTTTTGTGTCTGACATTTTTGTGTTTGTAGAAGATCAGAGGAACAAGCTTTCCCTCCCGCATCTGCCTTAAATATAACGACTCGTGTTCGAGTTTGTTGATCTAAAAAAATACATTGAATATATTAGCCTGACATAACAAGTGATTGTGCAGTACATCGTAGGATATATGTATACTAAACAGCATAAAACAATTTTACCACATTTAACACTTACGTTCAGTTGTGTTTGAAAAACAGCTTCTTCCACATTCGCTCCATTCGCTCCACTCAGACATTACGCAATCACCGGGACATGCTACGTCACAATTACGGGATGACGTAATTGAGAGCTGAGAACTGTTGTTGATGATATTGCGAAGAACATTGAGTCTCAAGTGAACATCTGAGGATCTGCGTGGAGAGAACAAATAATCAAAAAGGCACAAAGGCAACAAAGTTTTGCGGAATAAGAGTTTAAATTTTCTAATTTGAAGCAATATGTTCTTTACAAAAATCGTGTATATGTATATCCAGGAAAGTCAAGTTGATTTTGCTTACTTTATCACTGAACCAAAGCAAAAATGAAGACCGACAACTTCCCCATCGCTTCTAACGCACGTCGTCTCCTTTTCTTGCAACCCCCGACCACACCCGCGACCATCGACATAGCACTTTCCCCATTTTCCATTGTTCAAACGGTAGGTAAAGCAAGGTGGCACGTGGCACGGCCGAGTTTGCATTTCGACAGGGCACTTTCTCCCGCCATTCTGTCCGGATACTATTGTTCTTCGAAAGCGTCGAGTTTGAGCGTCGAGACCACAACTCTTGGTGCAGTGCGACCACTCGCCCCAGTTTCCCATAAAGCAATCAACGGGGCACGAGACTTTGCATGGGCGGGTTTTCGCATTCTTTTCAATGGTTGAGCAATATTTGTCATCCAGGACTTTTTCGTTGTCACCTTCACATATCACTGATCTGTGCTGGACACCTAATGGAAAAATGGCAAAAATTTTATGCAGCTCGAAAAATTAAATAGTGTTGAAAATGTAGGAATCTTGGCCATGTATGTTTGTGAAAACGTCTCGAGAGATACCTCATACATTAACTAGGATATAAAAATTGTCTAAAAAACTCCCATATACCGCGGTGAATGTTTGAAAATATTAATCTAATAGCAATAGTTCCTATTCCTAAAAGAACTGTTTGAACCGTACGTTCGACCTGACCATACATTCGAACTGAAGGAAAATAGGAAAATTCCGTAGGGAGGGGGGCGGGCGGAATTATATAATGCTATAACGTTACGTCGAAGAATGGTGATCTAATGTTCTGATGTTTTGATGGTTTTAAATGCACGTGTACTCTTTCTTTCTTTTCAAATCACGTGTACACTGACTTTCAAAGCGTTTTGAATGTACGTATGGTGGTATGGGGCAGTGGCACACTTAAGGGTTTTTTGTGCCACGGAGCAAAAGAGCCAGACTTTGCTATTGTCATGGGGACATTTCCGTAAGCCAATCAACAAACGTTGACGAGCTTTATGCAAACAATTCTTAACGCATAACAGTATGAGGGCTTTTCTTCAGTCCCTGGGGATAGTGACAAAATCTTCTCAACTTTATGTCGACTTCAAGATAAACCGACAAAAAAGATTAACTATGCTTAGCTCATAATGATGGTTCAAATCTCACCTTCCCCACAATCAGGTCCAGTTTTGTTATGCAATAAGCAGCTCGTCCAATTGCTGATCACAATCACCCCTTCGCTCTGGCATTTACAATTTGCTGTTTCTTCCGTTGCATTTCGGTAACATTTCACCGCGGACGTCGCGTGTTCTTTCCGCAAAATCTGTCGTCTACGCATCGTCACACAACCGTGTTTTCCCTTGGCGCAGTTGGACCACGAAGACCATTCACTCATGACGCAATCACCTGGTCGATAATCATAAGTATATTAACTATATATAAAAGAATTCATGTTTTTCATTGGCAAAACCACATCGGCAAGCTTAAAAGAGGGGGGGGGAGCAAGTAAGGCATTTTGCCTCAAAGTTATTTTGATATTTAAGACGCATCGCACATCATGACGTCATAGGGCTCTGGAACAAAATTTTCTCCCGGTTGCCATATTTTTCTCTCAGCGGCTTTAACACCAGTTACATCGATTTGCAATTGACAAGAATAAATCGTTGACGAGAGAAAAGGTGCCGGAATTAGAAGGAAAAGTTGATGAATTAAGAAAAATGTGCTTTTATTTGTTGATTATTCATGAAAGGAAACGAACTCCGAAGAAAATTTTGAATACGATATTTGAGAAAACAGAGGCAAGACAATCTTTCAAAAGGCTATACTTGAATTTGAAGAACTACACGTGCAGATGAAAACATTATAAAATTGACAATGATTATTCTACAAATTTTCTTTCACTTCGAAAGTAAAGTCTTACAGCGACGACGATTGAATCGGTTAGAAAAATCTTACAGTGACGACGATTGAATCGATTAGAAAAGTCTTACAGTGACGACGATTGAATCGATTAGAAAAGTCTTACAGTGACGACGATTGAATCGATTAGAAAAGTTTTACAGTGACGACGATTGAATCGATTAGAAAAGTCTTACAGTGACGACGATTGAATTGATTAGAAAAGTTTTACAGTGACGACGGTTGAATCGATTAGAAAAGTTTTACAGTGACGACGATTGAATTGATCAGAAAAGTTTTACAGTGACGACGGTTGAATCGATTAGAAAAGTCATACAGTGACTAGAATTCAAAGAAGTTCTAGTTGAGCGTGTTTCAATTGTACATTACTCAACTGCAGTGTCTTTAAACCCATATGACTACCATTCACGCGTTTTGAACAATATTCCAATTTATCTGAAATATCTAGTTCAAAATGGACCTTTTCTTCCGAGTATTTTTCCTTAGATGTCGACTGGTCATAAATATTTGTTCGTACAAATCCTCGAGCATTTGGAAGAAACAGCTCTAGTTCGAGGAGTTTGTTTTTTGAACCCTGAAAATGGCAGACATCCTTTGGCTTCGTGTTATTTTGCATCTTGAAAAATTTCAATTGTGTACTATAGTATTAACGATATTTTTTATATTAGTAATTAAGTAATAGCTATAGATTCCACGAATCATTTTGTAATGCCTTTACGACACTGAATGAACACGTGCTAAAACTCACCTGGACAGGGAAGAGAGCATGTTTTCGTTGAAAGAGGTTTGGGAGCCTGTCTCGAACACAACCAATCGCGATCGGGGTCGGGGGAGCACGTGACTTGCCGAGTTTGAGTGCCATTACCACAACGTGATTTGACGGCACAGGTCTTCCAAATTCCCACTTTCCATTTGAAGGACGAGCACGGTTCTTCACGACAAAGCTGCTTATCAAAGAGACTGGGACAAATTCGACCGAGACCAATGTTTTTCTTCACGACGCTGCGATTTCTAGAGTGCACGGTTTCCCCACAAGTACTCGAACATTGTCGGTCCCAATTTCCCCACGGGCTCACAATACAATCTTGGTCGCACTCCACAACACAACGTTGGTAAAACGTCGGTTTATTTGCCTTGTCACAAAAAGAATCCGCAACCAAACTTAAGTCATTCCTATTGCGACAAAACACGTGTCGTTCTCGGCTACCTTCGCCACAACTCGTAACTCTGTCGTGAGGAATGCAACTCCCAAAGGACGAAACAGACCATTTGTAGCTACAATGGCAGACGTTCAAAAGAATACAAGTGATTCGCAAAAAATTCTTTTTAATACCATCTTTTTAAAGAGCAGAAATAAGTCATTCAGAAGCAGAGGCGGGGGAAAGTACATAAAAGCGGGTGGCACATCATAGAAATCACGAGTACCAATCTACAACATTTTGCTAAGTAAATGTCGTTTTGAATTTTGACAACGCCGGTCGCGCAATCGTTAACGTTATAAACTAATGAAATAAAAAATTGCAAAAAATTCCTGCGAGATTCTTTAGAAGTCCACTCAGCTGCATTATCGTAGATACGTAAGTCAAAATAGTTCACAAACTATTAGTAAACAATCTCATTCATAGTAATTTTCCTAGCTATTTTAATTCAAAAGAGGAGGGCACTGTCTCTTACTTCTGACATCCCTGTTCAGAAGTATCATTCAGAAAATTTCAGACCATTTTTAAAGGCTTGTCATTATCGATGAAGAACAGAAAGATATTTGACTAGTTACCTTTTACACGGCATCTTAGGACAGGGTTCTTTCTCTTCAAAATCGAGCGAAGAAAGCTTTGGGCAGGTGGCACTGAATCCCCCGCGTGCGGGACTTAAATTGACTACTTGACGCATTCTATATCGCACGGGTGCATCTCGCGTGCAGGTTGATGGACATGCGTACCACTTTGACCAACCGCTTCGAACGCAATGATCACTGCATGGTTGCCAACAGCTCCTCATTGCTCTAGAAAAAAATACGTTTCGCTAGGCTTTCATCATGGTCCAAGAGCATCCTTCTTTAGTTCTTTCTTTCATTAATCGTGAATAAAAAAGAGCGCTCAACAACAAAAGTAGAGGGAATTTTAAGGTGCCTGTATCAGGGTAGAGGAAATAGCTTGTTTAGACAGTTAAATCGCAACTTAAACTTGATACGACGAAAATTTTTATCTTCATGAGTTTTTATGGCCTAGAAGTGGGTGACTCAGCACCGGATGTAACGTGCATTGAAGATATCCCTTTTATGACCCTGAATGAAGCTGTTATTGCAAATCTTCTTAAAAAACCGCACTGCAACTTTATGATGTCGTCTAGGTGTATAGTCTGACGACATTATTTGAGCGAATAACCAAGGAAAACGTAGTAAAAAGTAGAACTGCGTCGTCTCCTTTTTACGTCACTTCAGGCGTAAAGCCAAATACCCAAAAAGCCCATGATGATAAACTTTTCGACCTATCAAATATGTCGCAAATGTTCTTAAAATCAATTTAAGTACATCAAAATAAGTTGTTTACCCGACCCTGATGTTAAAGGCACTTTAACGTTAAGGAGATTTGCAACACTTTGAATAAATGTAAAAATACTGTAATAATACATGTATATAGACCCTGGTGGCGGTCACATGGGGTTAGGGGGGTGGGGATTTGGGACAAGCCACCCCCACCACCAAAGAAATTTAATAAAGTGTCCGCCAGTGCAAAATAATTGACTTACATAGGTGGCATCTGAAGTCGAAACTGCAGGCAATAAAAATTATCCACAAGCTCTCCGTCAGATCTCACGCAAGATATCACCCTGGTCTGATAGCCGTTGCCACAATTGGTCTGCGTCAACTTGGCTTGAGGTAGCATCTGACAATGTGTCCAATCACTACTGCTCCATGAGTACTCGTAACAAGCTTCGGCCGCTGTCGTACACGCTCGAGTTTTCGTTTCCATGCCATGGATCATTTGCGGAGGACATGGCAAACCGCCATTCAATGGAAGTTGCACCGCGAACCGAGTACAAATTTCAATGCCTGAAAATGTAAAACGGTAAGTTCGTCATTTGAGGAGGAAGATTGAAAATTGGAACCGGGGGGGGGGTCATATTATTATAAAAACGGAGTGAATAAGCGGGCAGTCGACGCCACTGCAAACAGGACTAATAGTTCTAAGCACTTTAGAAAATTTTTTCTGAAACGAATTTCTGGTTGATTTCAGCTGTGATTCAAACAAAATGAGCTTACCTTTCGAGCTGCAAGTCGCGTTACACTTCGACCACTTACTCCATCTGCTGACCTCACAATTTTGCGGGCACAGCACGTCGCATTTCTTTACAATAGCTGGCATCGGCAGATTACCGCATCTCGTATTATTCGCGAAATTCTTCACTCCATTCCCACAATGAAGAATCCGCTTTCGTTCACCCATTTCCAAACCACAGCTTCCGTTCACGTGTTTCGTGCATGTTCCCCATTCAGACATTTTCCACATGTACGACATTTCGCCTTGGCATGCACTGTTCATATTGCATCTTCGTCTTTGTTTGAGCACAGTTGGACAGGCACGACGTGTTTTAGACGCGTTTGCCAAGATGCTCCGTTCTCGGATCTGCACGCCCCCCGTCTTGCCACAAGATTTTGAGCACTCCCCCCAGTTACTCCACTCGCTTATCACACAGTCCTTGGGACAGGGCACCATACAGTCGTACACGACAGGAGGTTTGAAGGAGGTGCATTTGCTGTCATCTACCCATTGACCCCCACTTACACAGAAGACTGTCCGATGAAGCTTACCTGCGCCACATCTTCCGGTGCCCATGCAACCACTCCACATCTTCTTTGTCCATGACGTACACGGAACTGAAAAGCAAGGCGCCATTTCTATAAGGCTCGGGCATTCATGCCCCCCGTGACTTGCAGGTCGAACAATACGACGTACCCGACTCTTCATCCCCCCACTTCCACATGAAATAGAGCACGGTCTCCAATCACTCCAACTGCTAACTACACAGTCTTGAGAGCAAGGAATTTGACATAGTTGCCAAGCAACAGGTTTTTTTGTGTCATCACATTGACTATTGCCCACAGGCACGAGCTCGCTAGAGTTTAAGTTGGTATTTGCTACAATACAAAAGACCATGCGCTGCTGCAGTCCATTGCCACATCGAGTGGATTTACCGCTGCCCGATATGTTACCCGTGCTCTCAAACGTACTAGCACCGTCCCCAAGTGCATCGCATTGCCCCCAGGCCGTTGTAAACCATTTGTACTCGGGGCATTTCGTGCTGCAAGATCGTGTTTCAACCAAGGCGCCGCAAGCTCTTCCACCTAGTCGTGGTGGGTACAAAACTTTGCGCGTACGAGTTTCGTTCCCGAAAGAACAGTTGCCGGGACATTTGCTCCAAGAGCTCCATGTCGACATGTGACAATCACACGGCAAATGGCAAACCATGCTCTGTTCGGGTTCCTGTGTTATTCGCCCATCTTTATCTTTAGCGTTCATACAAAGACTTTTTTTTTTCTCGACGCCATTCGTATCGATGCATTTTACCGTTCGCGTCACTTGACCAATTTTCAATTCCGGTCCACATAAACCACCATCGTTAGCACGCGAGGGTCGCTTATTGTTAGCTGTATAAATCTTCTTTTTCGTAAAAACATGACAACTTCCCCATTCGCCTACCCTCCAAAAATAGAAACTTTGAGCACTTCCTGCGCATTCGGGACACGGCGATGTCTCCAGTAGCGTGGGGCACGTCGCCGAATCGACGTCTTTCCACAAAACACTGCGCGTCCGGAAACGGAACGTGCGCGCGCACGCCACGTCACAGGGTTGCCATGATGACCACATGCTGGTAACACAACGTCCGGGACAATTGCCGCATTTTAAATGCCCTAAGGGTTTTGAAGTCAAGTTAGCACAGTAATAATCAGGTATGATTCGCTCACTTTCTTTTACGACGCACTGAATTGTTCTTTTGCTTGCACATAGTCCAGAAATCGTATCATTTAGAGAGCAGCGGCCCGCTGACGACACTACCCAATGGACGTCCGTGGCGAAAGCTTTGCAATTTGTAGAAAGTGCGAAGATAATCATAAAAAATGTCGACAACATGTTTGGTTTTAATTCGAAAGGATTCAACAAGGAGACGAAAGCCATTCAACGCGGGTATTGTGTTTTCACGATTTCGTCAACGTCTCATCGACGTAAAGGAAATCTTGCAATTCAAAGGATAATCTAGACCACTGTACAAGGATTTTAATGGATATTGTGTTTCCACGATTTCGTCAATGTCTCATCGACGCAAAGGAAATCTTGCAGTGCAAAGGATAATCTAGACCACTGTACAAGGATTTTACTTAAACTTCAAACTTCAACATTCTAACGTTCCTCTCTCGAGAAGCCAACAAAACTAGTTTCGCGCGAAAATCTCTATCTTGTCAACACCCAACTGCGTCCAACAGAAAACAATCAGTCCTTCGACTTTACAACGTTCCGTCAACGTAGACGATCGGTGCTTACGAACTTATCAAGCTCCTTTGCTGATTGAACACTAACAGTACTTTCCGAAGCGGAGTGCTACGTACGTGCACATAAAGTTGAAAATAATCAGCCTTGAACCGTGGCGAGGGAGAGCTTCAAACCGTCCTTTCTCGCCAGTGTAAGCCTAAATTGAATGAAAAGAATGATAACGATTTTAATCGATGATAGACAACATGAACAGCGGTGGGGATTCGGATTTAATCATAAAAAAAGTTTTAAAAATAGGAGTGCCGGTTGGTCGATTGATGCTTGAAAAACGCGTGTTTCTGTAAGTGGAGATATAAGCAGGGGAATTTTCGCGCTGGTTTCGCTATTGCGCATGAAATTTAAACAAAACGCAATTAAAATCGATAAATTTATCTTTTCATTACTGTTTTTGAAAGACTGTTTACTATAAAGGCTATGTTCTTCTAGGGTTATAGAAACACCAGCGAAAGTTTGTGCTCTTGTTCCCATGCTATTTTTCTCGTTTCTTCCAACTTTCATGAGTGTTTCTATATAACTACATAGAAACACCAAGAAATATTTTCTATTTCTCGTTTGGTACTCATTTTTTTAAATTCAAAATACTTTTAAAGAGCAAAACTTTTGGCCATGGATTTCTAAACAATGAAATTTTACCGAATGAGCTGTCCTTATGAGGCATTTGGTGATTGAGCAAATACGAGGAAAATCGAGCTTTAGTAATGTATTTAGGCGTCCCCTAGATCCTCGACTGAATACGAGAGATTCTTGAAACTTTGAAACTATTTATCTCGTGGTGTTTATGAATTGTCCCTTAAGATATTTTACAAACAAGACAACATTGCCGATTCAAAACACAAGCCAACACTGTAGAAATTCTAAGTTTGACTTCTTCATTTCATGTACGTTGTTGCCTTGGAAGATCTTATCTGGAACAATTATCTGTCAAACCTTAATATGAAAATTGACTAATACAAAGTTTGCCTTATGTCTCGTGTCTATTTCTTAATCGAAAGAATTCCTAAGCTTGACATGTGTCAAGTGACTTTTTTCGAAGATTGCCCATGCTTCATTAAAATTTAAGTCCGATGTTACGATTATTGGACAATTTAACAGAATTCAACTTAATCCATAAATGTCAGGCCGAGTTTGATCATTTGATTAAGCCTTGGCTCTCGCTCAATCATCCCCGTCGTCTTAATTTAGTCTTTTGTCTTTTCGGTCATCTGCACAGAACTCTGTTACAACAGGCTGCGTTCTAGGGGAGACTGGAACGACCCGGACACTATTTGAAAACCAGGCTTTATTGTGGCCTCATGACCACAGTGGCCATGAGAAAAAATGTAATTTTCAATATCCTGGTGAGATAAGGGAGTCCTTATTTGAATACCTAGCATATATCACAAATCATGTCAACAGCAATTAGGAAATAATGGATGAGGAAATTTATAAGCGTTCCCACGATTTAAAAGATAAAAATATCTTGACGTGTGCACGGGCTGTAAAAAGAATGCTTACGATTTTAAACTAGGCAAATCCTGTAAGACGATTAGTCATAGCGGAGTATTTTTATTTTATTTAAAACCAGCAAAGGTTCGAAAGCGTGTGCATCGAAAAAAAAATTTCAAGCGCCTATTATTTCTACTTTCACGTCAGTTGTAAGAAGACTCGTTGCTGCGCGTCCCACTTTTCTGCATTTCAGAAAAAATTACATTTAAATAGCTTGACGTGGCAATGAATGGAAAAATGAAGCAAAGCCTTAACCCCTACAAAGTGTGGTATGAATAAGTCCCTTCCTTTGGCAAAATCAACGAAATATTTAGCTCACACATTTCGACAACTGTGGCCAGGAAGCTCAGCTCGAAGCGCAATCTCTATTTATAGCAATGTCAAACTACGTACGGGTAAATCGATCATAAGCACTGGAGATTGTAAATTATTTCCTTTCTTACAAGGAATGTGTGGATCCTGGCTAAGATTTCGTGGGACGAAACCACCAACCAAGACACCTTAAAAGGCGACCACAAACGGCTTATTTTTGAAGTTATATCAAGCTTTGTGGATTGGATCTATCATCAAAGGATGTTCGAAAATTCATTACGTAAGCAATTTCTGGGGAACATTTTTATCCTAATAACTACACAGCTATGTGACCTGCAATATTCATCAGTTTGCTCGCAGTAGCTTGATCCATCAATATTTTACAATCAATGATGCATTTCTTGCATGCGTTTATTAAAAATGAATTTCCCGGATTTACTTGGTCAACAAATTGTTGTAAGAAAATTTCAACTCCCGACTAAAACATTTGATGCACTGAGCAGAGAGAAAAATAATATGGTTTCTCGGGTATTCACTCACTCATTTACGTTGATTTCATCAATACCTTATCAAATCAAGAAAAAAAGCCACAATCGTATGATCCATGTGGATCAATTACTTCATGTTTGCCTATAATGAACGTCGTCACGAACGACAAACGGGCTATCTTCAAGCAGGGAAAGGCGTGATTGAAAGTTATTATATATGATAAATTGTTGAAAGACGAAAATCGTTCATTCATTTTCTTTTTTGTCACCGAAAACTAGAAATGCAAGCGCAAAAAATGCACCAATCTATATCGTTTCATCAACGAACGCGCGTCCTCGCAGTGAAGGTGAACATGCACTCCAAGTGCTCTTAATGCACAAAAATCATCTGGAACGTATAACGGTATACAGTCATGTTTTCAGTTTTCACAACATTGAGGCGAGTGCGGACCGAATAAAGAGCTGCTATTTTGATAGAGAGCCAAGCTTCAAGTGCAGCGGAATGTGTTAATATTTTCAAACAACATTACATGAAATGAGTATTGTTGTCAAAAGACACACATTGTTTACGTAAGGCAGCTTATGGTCGACTTTATCCATGCCTTGAATTTTTCACAGGTTTATCGACTGAGAGTGATAACAAAGCCAGCAGCGCGTCACTGCAGCAGTTTTATTTTATGTATCAATATTCACCGTTATATCACCGCTTTCTCTATTTAACGACTAAATACACGTAAATAAAATTGGAAATAGGTAGGTGTAATCAGACGACTGCGCTATGGCATTCTATGATACATAGACAAAGTAGATATTTCTCAAAAAAATGAAAATCGTTGGAAATCGTTGGAAATCCACTCAACAGACTAAAGCTAAAGTGCGCACTTCCATCACTAAAGTGTATCTATCATTTTGTGTAGAAAAGCATTCTGCAGTAAGGCCGTTCCTTTCCTAGCACTTTTTTCACTTTTAGTGTTTACACAAAGCCATGCGGCAGAATAAGTGAGCAAACACACACATCCTTCCTGTTCGTTGTACTTTTAAGACGTAATATTGCCGAAACATTTAGGGACCAATATCAACCTTTTTCTCGTTATTTAATACATATTAAATATACTAAATAAAAAATAATAATATATTTAATATATTCGTATGCGCATCCGAAAAATCTAAATCTCTAATACAGCAATTATATTTAACGCATAATGGCAATACTGAAAATCAAAACAAAACCCAGCATTGCAAGTCGGACTTCGAGAAAACTAACACCTGTAGTTTCGTTGTTGAGGATTTACCGATGTTTTGGTTGAACTAGCAAAAAGTATGCAAACATTACGAAGGTCGGTCACAACAATCTAGGACTCCTATCACGAATAACGCTTAAAGCAAAATGGAATGAAATTCGCTGACATGTCAAGACTCAAGAGGGTCTTACATTTCAATGTATAGTTACGCGCATCGATAAAGGTCGTTGTCACAAGCGAGAGAGCTTAAAAATGCATGGATAATGTCATTATCTATCCGTGGCAGATACCAAATTGTAAACGGTTTGGGAATTACAGTAATTACACGCACTCCAAGGATTCATAATTGGACGCCTCATGACCACAGTGGTCATGACAAAAAGTGAACTGAATGGCCTGCAGTTGTAGCTACAGTGCCTTCGCTTGGTTACATATCTATACGCGGAAAATGACTTGTGTTTAAATTACACCAGCACAAGTTCGAATGCTCGTAGCATGGCAAAAAAATCCACTAAATTAAACTCTTTCAACGAAAGACGAGACATTTGAGAAATACCAAAAAAGTCCACGGCGAGAGTTCGAAACGTTGACTAAACTAAAGAGATGCGAGTGTCAAAAGTCAGGAACCCGAACAGACGACTTTTTGTATGTACGGCATGTACATGCTGTTTGAACCTCGTCGTAAGTGAATGGGATCTTTATTGAATAAAGTATATTGCAACGAGCTATGTAAATGACATCGACACGACAATTCCATTTTCATACGCAAAAGGAAATAAACAGAAATCGCGTGCGCAGAATCGAGTTTTAGGCGAATGTAGTATTCAAACCTTAACGATCCTTCTCAAGTGCTTTTTCCCCCAGCAACGTTGAATGCTTTCTTTGATATCGTGAAGAGCAGAAGTTGTCCTTCCTGGTCGTCTAGAAGCAGATTCTGTACCGTACACATGAAGCGGAATGTGCTTTGGGAGCTGCATACCGGACCATCATTTGATCGTTAGACATCATAATGAGAGATTAGACAGCGGGAAGCATTTCCGTTCTTCACATCATTGTTATTTTGGTTGAAACAATCAAAAAGCGTGTATGAAAGTCGACAAAGATCGAAGAACAAAAGGCAAGCAAACATCGCCATGCTGTTCGGCTAATTTAGTGAAGCACATCCATATTGCGAGAACAAAGCTTTCGATGGTCACAGTAATCGTTCAAGAAAACCCCATTTTCTAGACATATTAGAGCATCTATTTTTCATGTGGAATATAAGCTGAAATTATGGAACATCTTTGCTTTCTCATATTCTATCGAAGTCGAAATTCGAGAAATCTTCATTCAGTACATCGTATAGTTAAAGAAATGCAACTTATTTAAAACATTATGCCAGTTTTATTAAGACTGACGAGCGCGCGACTTCATTTTGTATAACATAATGTAAATAAATAAATTAATTATTCGGAGCACGGATGGTCGGTTCACGGTATCTTAAATTGCCTCGGTACTTAAAATTGTGGGACGCGGCAACACAGGGACTCTTTTGACTCGAGACACGGTGCATGCATATCTTGTAGGCGTCACGGTCAAGATAACTATTGTGAATTTTGCTTGAAGCCAAATTGTTTTGTGTTAACGGGAAGATAATATTAATTAGAATTTTATCTTCGGCTTGAAGATAAACATATGTCCATGTACAATGATAGATGGAATTTTTGCAGCGTATGAATTCTGGTAGAGAAACCAAAGAGCTTAAAGCTTAACACGATTAAAATAGCAACTTATCCCTCACACGCCCTTAAAAGAGCGCTCCGAGCCATAAACATTCCCACCGCATTAAACATCCTGCTATTGCTGCTATTTACACCTCGACACATAGATGAAATTTTTCATTTCAAAACGATGGGCTTGGTCTACGCCTTTGTGCCAAAAATGTGCCGCATTATATGTGGCGCGTCTAGCTGTTTAAACTACTGCTCGATGTATCCATTGTTGATTTAAGGACAAAGCAAACAGTCAGTCATAATGTCCTATTTCAATACAAGGAGTGGCGTATTCTTCTTCACCCCAACGTTAATTTCACTAGATATTCACGCTTCCTACATTTTGCGTATTCAAAATTACCCCTCAACTCCATAAATTGCTTGTATCTTTGCACGCGAAAGTTTTTATGCTTTGTATTTGGATCAGCCAACACTCGGACACAAATTGGTCCCGAGTCCGATCACCACCATCGTCCCGTTTAAATGCTTTGCTTTGAATGAAAGTTAGTTCGGGCATAAGATCTTTCCCTCGATCTTAAACACCTTCAACAGGTAACAGCGAAATGATGGTAATTATTAAAATATTTCATATTTTGGTCCTTGCGTTTTTATTGTACCCGTAATTGAAGAGTGCTGTCGTCAATCGTCATCGAGTTCGAATAAGAACGACTGCCTCAACACTAACGTATAACATAAACCTAGGTAACTCTGTAACATAAACCTAGGTAACACTGTAACATAAACCTAGGTAACTCTGTAAAATAACCTTGGCAACTCTGTAACATAAACCTAGGTAACTCTGTAACATAAACCTAGGTAACTCTGTAACATAAACCTAGGTAACTCTGTAACATAACCTTGGTAACCCTGTAACATAAACCTAGGTAACTCTGTAGCATAAACCTAGGTAACTCTGTAACATAAACCAGGGTAACTCTGTAACATAACCTTGGTAACTCTGCAACATAAACCTAGGTAACTCTGAAACATAAACCTAGGTAACTCTGTAACATAACCTTGGTAACTCAGTAACATAAACCTAGGCAACTCTGTAACATAAACCTAGGTAACCCTGTAACATAAACCTAGGTAACTCTGTAGCATAAACCTAGGTAACTCTGTAACATAGCCTAGGTAACTCTGTAACATAACCTTGGTAACTCTGTAACATAAACCTAGGTAACTCTGTAACATAAACCTAGGTAACTCTGTAACATAAACCTAGGTAACTCTGTAACATAATCTTGGTAACTCTGTAACATAAACCTAGGTAACTCTGTAGCAAAACCTGCGGTAACTCTGCAGTATAACCCTTGAAAATGGTTATACTGTAGAGTGCGTAGGAAGACCGATAATTAGGGTGGGGGGGCTCATATTCATTAATGCAGGAGATGCAGTGCTAAGCTCCATTGAAATTCATTGTTCTCGACGGTTTGTAGTATGCATATATGGATATCAACTCCCCTAAGTATCGATATTCCTACGCCATTGTAAATATAACCCTGAATAACTCTGTAACATAACCCTAAGTAATTCTGTAACATAACCCTGAATAACTCCGTGACCTAACCTTATGTAATTCTGTAACATAGCCATCAGTAACTCTGTAACATAGCCCCAATTAATTCTGTAACATAACCCTGAATAACTCTGTAACATAACCCTAAGTGATTCTGTAACATAGCCATCAGTAACTCTGTAACATAACCCCAATCAATTCTGTAACATAACCCTGAATAACTCTGTAACATAACCCTAAGTGATTCTGTAACATAGCCATCAGTAACTCATCAGTAACACAATTATTAATCTTCCAACGCCCACGAATGTTTCACTGTTCTTTGAGATTTTTTATGCATTACCGCTTTATGTATTAGCACCGTCAACGGCCAGGAGTTACAAGCGCATGCTCTTATTGGTACACAAACATGGCGACATCGACGTCAACCATATGAATTTGATGGTCAATATGCACAAGCACGCATGCGCCATGTTACGTTTTGCTACGATACGTTACGATACGTGGCTAGTGGAAAACAGGCTTTATTCACGTTGATTGTCAAGTCACGGTAAGTTGGCTTCAAAAATAAAGAGATAAAGGAGGTCGTTGCTCGTGAAATGTTTATAAAAAATAATTTTCCAAAAACTGACCGAAGACAAAAAAGTTATTGGGGATATGCGTCTTTGATCCAGTCTGCACAAACATACCACCACCACCATCACCATCATCATTAATCTTTGTCATCATACGCAGCCAAATATTTATCCGACCCAGTCTTCCTCGACCTTTATTCTTTCAGTGGGATGGTGCACACTTGGCAAAAAGACGTCGTTAAAAATATTTATGTGAAGAAATCTTAAGCGAAATCCTTTTCCAGCCGACAACTTCAAAAAATAAATGATAAAACACACTTCGAGAAACATCATCTTGTAAACTCAACATTCGAGTTATGACAGCAAGGGACAAGATTTAAAACAGTATTATCGACTATATTTCGAAGTCATTATAAATCTTGTTTCTTGCTGTTATAACTCGAATGCCGAGTTTACAAGATGATGTTTTTTGGAGTGTGTTTCATCATTTAATCTTAAGCGAGCATTCTTGCTTTTATTTGCAAGGCGAACCTTTGCATTGCTCATCATTTTTATCGACTGAATTTTTAATTAACCTGTATGGCCATGGTGCATGTTACAATTTGGAATCTCGCACGTGATTGGCCAGTTATGTAATGACCAAACTAAAACGCCGTTTACGTGGGCGTAATAATTGACAAAAAGGACAAGAAATCTTTTTACAATATTGTCAAGATTTTGAAATCATGCGAATACTGCATGATAGTTTGTGACTTCGACATTCGGATGGTTCAATACCAAGATCTAAAATCCACCAGATTCATGAAGTAGAACTCGCTCGAATTATATGGTACGTAAAATAATCTATTTTTTCTCCAATAAAACGACTAAAACTTTCAGACAATAATGTCTCATTGCCGAGCCTTTGGTCGAGTCGTGAACGCGATAAACAATATCTAGCTCTATCAGCACTTGCATGTAATATTTCTATATATCTTGCATTGTAATATTTCTGTTCGCCGGCTGTGCGCTATGGGGGTAGTCGAAGGCACCCGCTTATGATTTCCAGTTTTGAAAACCATGGCGTATCGTATTTCATAAACACCCTGTTCTCCTCAGTTGTCCTGTTAGTCCTGTGTTTAATGTAAGGAGAAATTCGATTCTTTCACGGGTGGAATATAGCAACAAAGATAAATGTAAGTTTTATTGCTGATTATCATCAGTCGATATTACGTTTCTTCGTTTTATTTATCGATTCTGCTTTTCTGCAGACACCTATACATTTTAGATAATTGATTTTCCATAAGCAATGTTGTATATACGCCTATCAACTTCGCGTGTTTGAAATTCATTGTGTGTCTTGTTTGAACAGGATTTAAGCCTTTTGAATTGGAATTCTTCTATGTATTTCTCTGTGAAAGACGGCCTTTGCGTTTGATTTTGATTACAATCCACATAGTACCTACTATGTGTTAATTCATCGCGAAGCTAAAGTGGAATAAGATAACGACGAACGATCTTCTCATCGCTCCTATCCCGCAATGAAATTTCATTGTTTTGATGTTTTCATTAATGAAATGGAATTTTAATGTCGCCATTACACTTGAGTTAATTCGAGTGTGATAGCGAGTCAAAATTTTTTCAGATGAACACTCTTTTGAGTGGAATTGTCGATCGGGTCGCGAAATCGCTTTGTCTACATGGAAATAATTTCGTCATGGTTTCAAAGAACGGGGCGAACATTTTGCAATTAATAGCCTTTGTCAAATTGAAATTTGTCAATGATTTCACATTCCTTGCTCTTTTTAACAACTGTGGTAACGTTCTTTGTCGTCTCGAAAATTTGATTTCTCGTAATTTATTAGTCCAAATTTCTTACGAACAAATTAGTGACAATGTTTGTGCAATTTGCGACATTATTACGGCATCCAGATCGATTAACCTTGATATACATAACGTTCAAATGTCATATAACATCAAATAAACCTGCTCTCGCTGTTATTTCACAGTACAGCAAAATCCTTTCTAAGTTTTAGAAATGCTAAATTTTCGAGGGAATATTCGTCATTGTCGATTGTTCTTCATCAACTTCTTGGCGAGTTTGTGAATGAATAATATAAATTTGTACAGTGTTTCAATGGAACTGATGTGACTTTCGCTTCGGTGATTATAATGAATGAAGTGGGACAAGCTCAATGGAAATGCGTTGCTTATTTCTGATTCTCCCTCCCTATTTTTCAGGGAAAGGAGAAAGAGATAGTCGGCGACACTTGCCGAAGCACAACTGCAACAAGAATGGCATCAAGTTTGTCACAAGAGCGGTTTAACCGCACACCGCGCCGTTCGCAGTCGATGTACATAGCCAGAGAAGGGTTAGACGAACCTGACATACTAAAGAGAAGAGCTCATTCAACAAGAGCTGGTAGGAAACGTCGCAGATCATCGTTGTTCACTGGCAAGTCCATGCCAAAGATTCCACAAATAGAGAACACAGTAAATATGTTTGAAAGAGTTATCAAAGCTCTGAGGTATGTGCATAATTATGGCAATTGATATGTCTGGAAATGAAAACATGGAATGGGGAATTCTGTTGTCAAAGCTAGACAGGGTCATTGACCTCATATTTCATCTTAATATGATCTTTCATTGAATTTACCTGTCTTGTTTGATGATTGCTTGTAAAGTTGTTTATGTACAAGGTGATCACCTCAGGTATATGTAAACAATAGGCAATCATTGGTTAAATGTTTTGATGCTGTTTCACCACCACTGCTTGGCCTGGAACCCCGCAGAAGTTGTGTAAGGGATGGCAGTTATTTAGCAAGCATGCTCATAAAAATTGACATTTGATTCTATAAAGATTACTTTGCAATGAAGCTTGAGTTCCCTCAATGATATCAACCAAATAACACAGTTTATCAAGATGTGAAATTTGCATTGACACTTCATTCAAAAATACCTTTTGCCAGAGTGTCTTTGCCAATCCGACAATATAGCAACTATACCAAGAGTATAACATTGGATCCATCATTACAAGCATTTGTCTTAGTCTTGAATTTTGTGGTAGTATGCCAGTTAGATCAGTTTTCAATGTGGTGGAAGCACTGAAAAGGGTTTTTCTTGGGCATCCTGTGATTTAACTAATCCTTGTCGGTTCTGTTTGATCAATTCTCTTCATATTTGCAACTGTGTTAGTTGGTGCATCATTTCAATGCCTTTTCTGTAATTTTAATACATTGATCGTATCAGACAATTATTCCAGGTATTAATAACATCTTTGTAGGGATTGTGCTGAAAATGTCAAAGACAGAATCAATAAATCACCTGTAACGGTATAGTCATGCAACAGTTTTTTTTGGTGCAACATCCCATTCATCTTAGCTTTATTTTATCCAGGCAAGGAGAGCATTGGAGCAAAAGTTGAGGTAAGTTACCAAAAAAGGTTGATATGTTCGTTTCCCTTCCTTGTGTAGCACAGTCGATGCTTTTTCCTTCAACTTTCTCCTTATTAGATGGTGTGAAGAGAGATTGGATCAAGTATGTATATATTCCATTTTATTACAAATTTTTTTATTTCATTGTAACCTCGTCATAAAATGCCATTGATATTCACAATATATAACTCTGATATTACTGATAGATGATAGGTCATCAGTCTTTAAGTCACGAACCCCTAAAGACTTATATTCACTGCCCTACATACTTGACTAGATTAAGAGTTTAAAAACTTGCGTTTAACAAAATATCAATTTTTAAAGCAGAAGGGGGGCTCATCGTCTGGAGCTTGAAGAAGGGCGGGTGGTTCGCCCCCAAGCGTAACCCCCCTCTAAAGCCCTTGTTATACATGATTTCTAGAAAGTTAATGTCATTTCAAAATTAGGTCGACGGCCTGTGCGAGTTCTACCAACACGAAATTAAAATGAGACAAGGTATTTACGAGTGTCTTTCGAGAGCGAATTAGGATTATGTCACTTATGAAGAACATCAGAGTTTATCTTTAATGTTTCCTTATTTGCCAGGTGCAAGAAACCTTGAAACAGCTTTGCAGTCGTATGGTGTAAAACATGGTCACGATAAGTGCAAGTCAAACTATCGCGAGTCAACTCAGGTAAAATCAGAAATCAGTTCTGCATCATCGTAGCTCACCAAACAGTGGCGGACATTTAATGAAATATTGGTGCAAGGGGGGTTAGGGGCTTGCTCCTCAAGGCGCGAGATTTCCCAGAACATCCAACCAGAACATCCTACCTAGAACGTGTATAGACCAGAAGTATATATCAAATAGTCATTGTTTAATGTGGCAGTTATGTTACACAGGTGTGATTTGTGGAATTCAGTACAAGATTTTCATTCTTTCAATTTTATTGGAAGAGGGGTCAGCACCCTGTCCCCCCTCCTTTATTGTCCGCCACTGTTGCCTACGACTATTCGCAATTTCCCCTCTCGTTTTCAGCGAATATTTTAGAAAGTATTTCAGTATTGATTGACTGTACAAACAATAGATTTTGCCTTTTTTTTTGTATGTTTATCTTCGTGTTGCTTGTAGAATATGTGTGAGATTGAGGAAGAATTCGAACGGCGGATTGGAAGATTCAAAGTCCACGTTGACGGTAAATTTTATGCGTTGTTTCTCGACTAAAAAACATGTCTTCAAATAATTCCTCTTTCGATCTTATATTTTCTTCAGCACTTGATGGTTTTGCGCGGCTCTGTCCCGGAGATAATTTTGAGGTCAGATCGTTTGCGGTCGTCGTTTTTTTCCGGCTGTTTCAAATTTGCCAAGCTCGAGTGTTTTTATTACCTCTCAGCATATGTATGTCATCTCTTAGTTCGTGTTTGTTTTTGCGTTCCATGGTAGGTTTTTGTACGGAATGCGATTGGTCGAAAGTGGAAGGCAAAATGCAAAATAGAACGAGATGGTCAGAAATGGACAGAGAATCATGTAAGTACTTATCCAACAAGGACTGTTAACGAGTCAAATCTGCTATTGAGCGACATATTCTGACTAACGAGCGCGATCTTGGTCGCACCGTCTTACGTCTTTATTCCAAAGCCGTCGCCAGAGAATGAGAGATTACTTGGAGATTTCAGATATGAGATTTGACTCGTCTCCTTGTTCTTTTGGTATATTAACAGGTAGAGAGGCGAGGAGAAGGGAGTCTGAGCCACGTGTTTTTCATGTGCGCATAACCGTATCAAAAGTCAGTTAATGATTCTCTGATTATGGTTTTGGAAACACGGTGCCATCAACACTGCCAACCTCTGTAGTGTTGGGGCAAAAATACATCGCTCGCCCACTTGCAGTCACTAAGACATTTTTAAAATGGCTGTCGTAGTGTCATCATTTGTTCTTAATTTATTTCAGATTGAAGTTAAAGGATCACTCAAGGATACCCTCTTTCTAAGGGTGAGATTGCGTTGTTGAGTTCACAAAGATGACACCGTTCACAAATTCCATAACCCAAAATATTTTGTCCGAATTCTAGATTTTCGAAATCAAAAAGATCCAATCAAACACGCAGCTTGGAAGTTTCTCTCTTCGATTACGTAATTACATCGCCTCCTGTCCAATCGTACGTACTTACTAGTAATAGCAATAAAACGCGTGCGCTGATTGGTCTAGAGCTGAGTGTGCATTAGCGTGTGCTAACTATGGTGCGAACCGATCTTAGCTAAATGAATTAGATCAATCTAAGGGAATTTGTAATTAAATCATGAATACGTGTGAAAGAAAAAATGGAAACGTTTGTTTTAAATTTCTTTGTTTCGCACAATTGTTCTTTCATAAAAAGATAAAAGATAGTTTTCGTGTTTGCACTGGCTTATGCAAACATCGGAGACGTTTGTGAGAACTCTCCACCTTCCGTCTAGGGCTTGCACTGATCAGCTCTCGAGTTCTTCGAAAGGTTTCATCGGTACGCATGAGTAAACATCTTTTAGTTCTTAAATCTTAAGAGTGTGCCATCTTGAGTGTTGTCAACTTTGACAATTTTTTGAACTACACAACTGCTCTTGTAGTCAACGTAGGGATGTATCCACAATGATTTTGTTGGCGGGGAAGGTTTAGGGTTGAGAGTGATCCACGTATTGAATTAGATTGTAGTGGTTACTTTGGAGTGTGGCCGTGTCTTGTGACTTGTGTTGTAGAATTCAGTTTTTTTGTACAACGATCGAGAGATATTTTTTGGAAGTGTTCTCCTTGAAATACAAACAACAATTTGCTTTTGCTTGGGATATTAGAATTTGTAGGGAAATTGGCTGCCTTCTTGCAGGTCTTATGTATTGGTCATTTTCAATGATATTATCATTTCTTTTCAGAGTCTTTCAATACCAGTGAACAAGTCCGGAAATCTTAAACTGAGAGTAACTTTTCATTGGCAGTAAGTGTCCAGAAGGGCATTGTCGAATCGTGTCGATTTACTGGCAAATGAGTTATTTTGTCGTTTTATTCTTGTGTCAGACCTCTCTCGACGAAGGAAGAAAGCAAGTTGAAGAAATCAAATCGCGATTATCCTCTATCAGACGTCTACTTCGGCTCTGTTTTGAATGTCAGTCATAGCCCCGAGATCTCCTTTAATGTACCCGATAAAGATAAACCCTCATCACCCTCTGCCGACCCGGAAAGTATCGTACTTGGGTATGAATCAACGAAATACATGGATCGTTTAGAAAGTCTTACTCAGTGAGTAGAAAACGCATTTTATCATCCAATGCTTGGCATTCTTGTGTTACGTAGAACTGAAAATTGGCTTATTGAAATTTTAGGTCTCTCTCGGAAGAAAGCGACTCGAGAACCTTTTTGGATTCATCATCTTCCGTACGTTCTCCGCTTATCTGCCTATCTCGTTCCATGGATGGGTAGGATAGGGTATGATAGAATAGGGCAGGATAAGATAGGATACGACTGGATAGAATAGGGTATGATAGCATAGGTGAGGATCAGGATAACCTTTGCTAAGAACGTAAGTCGCAACGTAGACTTGTATATGTAAATAAACATATGGCGGCGAGTCCGTCGTGAATTGTTGAGTAATAACTTAAAGCGAGTACCGTAAAACCTGTGGAATAGTTTGAAGTTTCTTTGATGTATTCTTTGAGACGGTATTCCTTCTCTTTCTATCTTGTTGATTAATAGTGTTCTGTTTCTTGTTAGAAAGACGACGTTGTTACCTCAGACGATAGCGATGAGGCGAAAGTTTCGCCCACTTTCGATAAAATCATTCGAAGACTTTTTGCCGTCCTGGAGAAACATTTAGGTACATATGATACGATTCAACAACATAGGGGGACATATGGTGAGATGTAGATACAACATAGGGGTGCATATGGTACGATTTAGGTGCAACGTATGTACACATACCGTTACTCCCTATAACAAAGTGGTTTGCTCGATTCATACTTCGCTGATATGTATTTAAATCTTCCTCTTGTAGCTCAACATCCTCAACTGCAAGGTTTATATGAAAAACTTGAAAAGCTCGATGAGATTTTACAGGTGCGTAAATTACGACGTGAATACGAATGCGAACCGTATAGAAAGACAAAAAATTTGCAATTACTGACGGATAATGTCTTTGTGATTGAAAGATCCATAGATGCCCATAGAAATCGTCCATGTTTCAAGTTTGAGTCTTGTAATGTGATTCATCGGAGAGATATCATGGCATTATCGTAGGCCTTGTTTCATTAGGATTGCTTTTTGAATTATGGAGCATCAAGTAAACGTAGTGTGTTTTTTTGGTATTATGGAACATATCTGAGAATGGGCTTATGAAATGCTTTGACACCAATGAAACACTTTAGTTGACGATTTGTTTTTTGTGTTATGCATAATGTTGTCTTTTGCCTGCAACTCATTACGTTGTTTGGTATCGTTGACTAGTGAGTTTGACTTGATCCACAATCATTCATCGATTGGGTTTACAAATTGTAATTTTTACAGAACATTTGCGCATGCTCGTTATATATCTATCTAGTATTTCCGTAAGGTCCGCGATGCCGCTCATGTGAGTCTGCTGGTCGTGACCTGCAATCTCGCAGGAAACTTAGTGAACATCGCAGATATGAATGCTGATCATGTCATTTTGACATTATTGACGTGTAGGTTGGTAAATTAGGAAAGACAAATTTCTCCGGCTCGGTGGAAAGTGCGTTAGATAGTTTCAGCTTTCTCGATCTGACTGATGTCGGAACGAAACTCGGTGATGACGTTCGAGCTTCTGATACGGGATACTTCAGCAGCACAAATGACGATCTGCCCAAGCCGCTCACATCGCCCGAGGTCTGTACAAAATACCATTCGAGATTTTACGTTTTCCGGACGAATCTTATTGGTCGTCATGTTCAATTAATTGTCAGGTCAATCATTCCATGTACATCAAAACAACGCGTTCTCATCTGGATGATGCTTTGGGAACCGATAAGAACGAAGACAGCAAATCCCAATCTTTCCTTTCTTCATATGATAATGTAGCCGGTACGCATACGTTGAACGCCATTGCAGGCATGTCTGATGGAATTTTAATCGATGGACGTCGCTTCTTATGAATAAAATCGTAATTTCTGATTGACATCTTGCTCACTTTTTACAATATAGAGGGCGAGCCAGATGCTTGTTCGTACAATTTTGATCTCGCTTCGACCGGAATCACGATCATAGATAAGGTGTGATAGTAATATGTCCGATTTGAGGAGGAAGACAAGGGCGAGGAGTCTTTTCGAACAAACTTCAAATATCATTACAAAAGAAAAATGTTCTTTTTTACAACCCCATATCTTCAGTAGGTTCCCCTCTAAGAACTCAAAATCAAATTAAGTGAAAAAAGTGTCGAGGATATTGTTGATTTTGTTGATGTCAGAACTCCTCGAAGTTGTTTTCTATGCCAAACTCAACTCTTGCAGCAAATAATTCATTTGGAAACATTTCTTGAATAGGTTTTGCTACAACACTTGGAATTTTGTCTACAACTAACGAAGGTGAGTTTTGATATGAGGAAGCTTTAATGATGATGTTCGGTGAGAAGGAACCGCATTAAAGTTTATAAAATATCCTCCCGTGTAACCGTTTCAGGATTTCGGGTCTGTCGGTCCGCTGAAGTGTAAGGTAATTCATAATATCGACGACTTTACGTGATGATGTTAACGTTCTGTGAGCTCTCTGATCTTGTATTTGTTTAGGAAACATCTGCGGTGATCAAATTAGAATGGCAATGCGGTATATTGCATAAGTTGATTCAGTTGGCAAACGACGGGACGACTCCCCACACCATATCGCAAGGTACTTTAAACAAGTTAATTATCGCTATTTTAGGTCATCTCAAATGCTGTAAGCTTTCCAAAATTGATTGGGCCAGAAACGAGAATTAGGGTTATTCCAAAACTTTTTCTACGACAGCAAAGATTTAGGCAGTTTTTTATGTGGGAATTTCAAGTAGTTCTAATTGAATTGTGTTAGTTCAGGATTCTGTAAATTTCACGTGGAAACAAGATTACTGTATCAGATGATTCTCAACTAGTATGGGTTTTTTTTAATAGCAAACGAAATGATAACGCTTCCTCCCTCAATTTCAGCTTATCCACCATTGGCTGCTAGCGGTCATGACGAAATGCTATTGTTTTGGGCGGGCCATTGTGGCAACAACGTAAGATTTCATAAGTTCATTGTTTTCTTGATTTTACGGGCGTCGAGAAAATGTTCAATTCATCAAAATTTATATGCTCGTTCTCCTTGTATATTTAGCCTTTGTTTATGGAATATGAACAATTCATACAAGCTCTTCGAGATCAGTTTACAGCATCAATCGATGAAAGGTTCCACTCCGTCTTGGACACTGGTACGAAGAAGTTCTGTTGCCATTTAATATCTTGCGGATTTTGTCAAATTTGTTGCAATTTAGCTGATGCCCGGAGGTTGTTATCTCAATTTTTTTCTTTTCAGTTTATCCCGTTATATGCGTGAGAGTCTTGCAAGAAAACGACAGTCTTATGACGCCGATCATTCCTCCCAGATCTGTGGTTTCCATTTATCAATTTACTGATTACTTCCTCATCGATAACAGGTTTGCGTGACTAAGTCACGTGACTCATTTAGCCGCACGAATTTTCTCATGGAGATTCTTTTAGGTGGAATCTTATTCAATTTGTGGAAAGTATCGCCAAAGAAGGTGGGTGTTCGCTTCGTCTCAACTTAGTTTATGTAGTTTGTGTCCACGACCAAGAAATATTGTACTCTTGATGATATACTGAAGTAATCGATCGGCTTAGGAGAAGCCGGACCGAGAGTATTTTGTTGATTGTTTTTTCAGTGGTAGTGTGGTTGAGCCTTTGCTAACTGTGAACAAAACAGTACAAATTGAACGATCTTCGTTCTTTTTGGTTGTTCAGAATCTCTAAGATTTCGTGATTGCTAAGTACTTAACTTTTCTGTTTTCTGTAGTGTTGACGTATGGTCATTTGATTAGCGATAAAAAGTCGGTTGTTTTGACACAGGTAGTGTGAACTTCATCGAAGTGTACTGTTTTATCACTTTTACAAACTTGGAAAGTGAAATGTTTGACAGAAAAACGAAGACAATATAAAAGCGCCATTTTTGGCTGTGGTAGATTGCAAATTAGATGGCAGACGTACACTTCACACGGCCGAAGGAAGATCGATAATGAGGATATAGCCCATATTCATACAATATACGTACATGTTATAATTTGTAGAAAATAATGTAATTTCGAAGACATAATTATAGTAATCTATATATAATAATAGATAATTTCGACACGAAGATATGAATGAGCCCCCCCGTCCCAAATATCAATGCTAGCTATGCCACTGCATGGTTCTTTCTTTGAAATTATCTTTCCTTACACAGCTTCAAATGTACAACAAAATTCCGTTCGAAAAAAGTTGCTGCGTCTGCACATCGAGGCTGCTTGTTGATCCTGACTCGGCACTATCGGCTGCAGCGGGTACGTATAATGCTGCATCCTGGTACATTTTCAGAAATGCGTTAAATAATTTCCATGCGTTTTTATATCGAAGGAGTCTACTTCGAAGCACTTTTGAAGGATGAAAAGAAACGAGCTCAGGTATACAAGAGTCGAACATAATCTATCATGAACAAACTAGCCCATTGCGTAAAATTATTTTTTAGGGGAGGGAAGGGGAATAGCTACCGCTTGCAACAGGGTTTCGAAATATACAGCATGTTTGGTTGTGGCTTAACGTTTCAATCAATTTAAAAATTTTATTTCCTTTGCATGTGTATACACACTTATTCGTGAATTATACTTTTGTAAGTAGTCGCATACCTTGTGTATTTTGTGCGAACAGGCAATATCGTATTGTATTGAGGCTTTAGAAGACAATGAAGAAGACCTTAGAATAGCTGTTTGCCATGCATTGAAGAAACTACAGGTTGGAACACATCAAACTTCACATTGGATGTCAATGATTTGATTTCAGTAGACTTGTAGTAATACCTTCTTCTATACTATAGGGAAAGGAAGCCATTGAACATTTGTCGTTCCTGGTTAAATGCGATACAGATCGAGTAAAAAAAGCATCGCAAATAGCCTTGGCTAGTTTGGGTACGTTTCCGAGATGATAACATGTCCGCATCAATGATCTAGAACCCAATCCTCTAGATACAGTACGACTTTATGAGTGAGGAGAGGCGCCATATTGAAAGGTGGTAAAACTGGGGATGTTTACGACTAAAGTCTGCTTCTTTTGCGATGTAGAGTTGCAGAGTTGAATGTCTAGGTTTTGTTTTTTAAAATGCGTGATATGATTGATTTAAACTTATTTTTAGCTTATTTCTGATTGAGAGTTTTGCTTTTTTGCCACCTTTGAAGATCGTGTCCTTGCTTCATCTCGACAAGATAGTTAGACATCTAGGGAAATGGTTTCTAAATCGTTGGTCTGCACGTGTTCGTCATTCGGTGATTTTAGGTGCAGTTTTTGGCCCATGTATGATATGCTTGTGCTGTGTTCGTTTGCTTAGGGAACTCAGAGGAAAGTGATGTTTCGAGTAAGGTAAAGAATGGAGATATTTGGAATCAAACTATTGCTATGTCTGACCTCTCAAAAAGCTCGGAATTTTAATCATGTGCAGATTGAACGAACGAATTTATAATGCATGTGCTGTTTCAGATCTAATGAATGAATTCTACCTGTGCTGGTTCATTCAAAGAATCGCATGTGCTGAGCTAGTTGATGAGTATAATTGATTCCTTTTATGGATTACATATGCTAATCTGATGAATATACATGTGGTGATTCATTTGATGGATCAGATTAGCCTCAAATAAATTTAAATGCGATGTAAACTGTTCAAACTGTTTTACGTCGCGTACGAGTAAATGTACGAAAATGATATAAAGATTTACGTTGCTAATATGAGTTCGATTATTCAAATATGGATAATATATGCATGTTTAAATTATCCAAAAATTGTATTATTTACTGTTGAAGTTATAAATATATAAAGCGATTTTAAGAAAAAGCCCTCAATAAAGTAATGTTAAATATATTTAAAATTACAATCTTTCAAATACATTGCAATTTTCATCGTCTTAATGCAGACGTTTGAATTTGTCTTCTTTGTACCAGGCGATGAACTGAGGAGAGGATCAACATCAATTATTCTGTATTAATCAACAATACCATAAATCTCCGCTTCAAACTTGATAGACAAGCTCACAATTTTAAGCCGAAGTGACTATTTCCATCCGCTTTCAATTTCTCGATCGATTTTTGAACATATTTCACAATCCACACCGACGCCCACAGCACTCCAGCCCCTGTTTCTAATGTGTGCAACCCGGCCATGACTGCAATTTATTCCGATTTCCGTGTGATGCTTTTGGTGAAAAGGTATGTACAGGTTATCTGCTCTATATTCTATAAGGTTGAATTATTGCTGATGATTTTGACATCACAAAATCGGATTTTCCCAAAATTTCTTCACGAGAACAAGCCAGCATTGTCCGAAGACGTTTTCCAACGACGAATCAGCCGACAACCTTGAATTGCAAAATCTGCAATATTATACTTTCAACAGCGTTGACAATTGCCAGAGGTGTAGGTGTGAGACACTTGAGATTTTTCATATTCCGTCTGGCAATTGAAATTTGATGCGTTATATGGGTTGCACGTGCCGCGAGTTTCCGAAAAGCGCTCTTGGTATTCACAATGAGTTCAGCCGATCTTTGGAACTATTTTGTAACGTTAGCATTCGATATTAGCCAATATTTCGGCGAAAGTAAGAAGTGAACATGGTGGAAGGCTTCGCGGAATATGATTCCAAACGGAGTTGGTTGGTTTGCCTCGGAGCAATGTTCGTGTTTGGCGTGTCAATGGGCATCAGTAATTGTTTTGGAGTCTTGTTCAATAGTTGGACTCACGAGTTTCGAGAAAGCCGTACCAAAATAGGTGGGAAACAAAATAATCGATGCCATTTGATATACTTCATAAAACCGATTTAACAAATGAATAATGATGCATGCTCTTTCACCACATTCATTGAAAAGTGACTTGTTGCAAAGCAGGTAGCAATGACTGAATAACAAAGAAGCCAGAAGAGAAGTCTATCAGTAAGGAATAACTATTTTTACATTTCGTTGGCAGCTTGGGTTGGTTCATTTCATTTCATATGGTACATGCTTTTGAGTCCAGTCTGTGGTATCCTTACTCGTCGCTATTCGTTCCGTCTTGTCACGTTTTCAGGCAGCATTGTGCTATGCCTTGGCTTACTTGTAGCTTCCTTCGTGAATGATGTGGCAATGTTCTACCTCACCTACAGCCTCATTTTTGCCAGTGGAACATGCCTCTTGTTTGCATCAGCAATCATCGTGATCGGGTTCTGTTTCAAGAAACATTTTGCCTTAGCATCAGGACTTGTTTTGGCGGCGAACGGTGGATTCGTTATGTGGTGCGGGCCTGTCTACGAATACCTCATACGAAATCACGGTTGGAGATCAACACTAAGGATATTCGTCCTTCTATTGATACCACTTGTAATGGCCTGTCTCCTCTTTCCAGGCAAGAGGGAAATAACTGGAAATCGAGATGCGGGGCAGGTCAATGAGCCCGCGGTAGCTCCAGCAAGATTGTTGCGAAATAAAGGATTTATGACGTGGTTACTGATCATGTTTCTTGTTTATATTGGACTATTTATTCCGCAAGTTCATCTGGTAAGGATGAAGAATATGCGAGTGACAGTGGCGTAGCCAGGATTTTCAGTCAAGGGGGGAGGCAGTCTAAAGGGAAGGGGGGCCATGACTGTCATTTAAACAAAATTGCATATGTAAAACATATTATTTTAGGGGGGCAAAGAATTTTGCTAGGGGCCTGCCCCGGGCCCCCCTCCAGCTACGAGGGGGGCCCGGGGGCAGGCGAGTGACTTTCTATCTTTCTTTATGGCAATGTGTGCTTATCAAAAAACACCTACTGTTATGGAATAAGGTTTCAGAGGAGGGGGAGGACTTTAACACTTTATGTGCCACCAACTCACCACCATGATTACATTGTAATTTTGTGTTTCTAGATATCTTTCTGCGAAGACCTTGGGATTCCTTCCTTTGTGAGTGTCTATAATATCACTATAATGTGTGCCACCGAGACAGCTTGCAAAATAATCGGTGGAAAGATGATCGATGCATTGAGTTGGAATGTTCACACTTTCAACGTCTTTTCCATACTCGCACTTGCTGTATCCATAACCCTTCTACCTCTTGCCAGTGCCAAGATTCATGTATTTTTGTTTTCTGGTTTCTATGGTTGCGGTTTGGGAATTCAAAGCGTGTGTGTTATCAACATCACGCCTCAATTGACACACCCAAATGATGCTAAGCATGCTGTAACATACCTCTTTGGAGCGCTCAGCATACCTGGAGGATTGGGGCCCGTTTTTGCAGGTAAGCTTTTCTTGTACGTGTCTAACATTTACACATCGACACAGCAGCAAAAGTACGCTAACTCGGACTCTCAATGAAAACTGGTATTTTTTTTGTGCACCTGCGAGAATGGTGATGAATTCCATTTGACTGGCCAGTGATCGATGACATTAATGACAGAGAAGTTTCAACAGTAAGCCGGAGAAAATTGCTGAATGAAATCCAGGGGGTGGACTTGGATTCAGGTCAACTTAGGGGAAGGGGCGTCGCTTCTTCATGGGAGTTCTGCTGTATACATGCTATGTTTATACGGATAAAACTTTAAACTACAGTAGAGCTTGGTGTGATCAAAACTGTCCGTTTTACTTTCCAGCTTGGATATTTGATGTAACGCGCTCTTATGATATGGCGTTTTTCATTGCTGGAGGTTTGTTCGCATTGGCAGCATGTCTTGCTGTCTTCATTCAATCGATAGCTTTGGAAAACACTCGTGTCGCTCAAATACTTTTGCAAGACGAAGAACAACCCTGATTTGAATAACGATGGCCGGCTAAATGTCTGTTTCTTGTGGTCGTTTGCGAACAAATCGTGAACAAACCATTTGCAACATGCACACGTTGCATTTTTGCGGCCAAAAACCGTCATCATAAATGGGACGGTTTCGGAATATCACTCCACGGCTGGTTGGATTGTTGCATTTTAAACGAGCCTTCAACTGAGTCGAAATACAATAAGTCCAATCTTTAAATGCCAAAATTTTCTTCAAACCATCAAATCATTTAGATGACGTATGCATCCAAATAAATGTATTGTTGCTAGAAAAGTTTACTGTTGAAGCTCAAACTGAAGTCTACAGTTTGTTTACCAAATGTCGATGATTATTAGTAATTAGTCCGCATGCGCCGTAGAGACACCGGAGGTACAATGGGCAAGGCTTTTTAGGCTTCGGCAGTTGGCAGCACAGCATATAAAAACGTGCAATAGCGATTGTAATAACATAGCCTTTATTTCTTGTGTGTGAACATTTTTGATCGAAACACCACCACTCGATACAGAATTAAAAGTTCGCAACTGAAATAAAATTCTTTGTGAACAAAACTCTTAGATATAATATAAAACAAATTCCGAAGAAACAAGACATCTTGAGATTGCAAAATATGAATCAAAACAAGACGAGAAGTAAACTGTAAATTTTCGACTTTATTTCAAAGTCATCCTCAGAAAGAATGATATTTAAAACCAAACATACACATATATATTTACAACGCATGAAATAAGTAAACGGAAATAAGCAATAGAAATTAAATAGTGTGATATTTACAATGAGTTGGAAGAGGTGTAGTATTACAAAAGGATGAATTGAAACTGCCGACCCGACTGGTAGAATGAGTGTGTTATAAATTAAGAAAAGAGTTGTAATTCTTTGCTAGCTTTAAGTCCCGTGTTTAGAAAAGGTTTGTTATGTTTAATGAGTAGTGCTTCAAGAAAAGCAAGAATGTGGTAGTTGTTAGATTTGGTTGAGTGAAGTATTTTATAGTTGTTGAATACAAGGTTTTCTATAGGAGAGGGAGTTCTGGGAGGTGGAGGGAGATCATTGAGTTGTGAGAACTGGTTTTGTAGAGTCGCCAGGAATTGAGCGTTTTCGCACTCAGAGAAATGCTGGCCAACTGCACTAGAAGAGAGTCTGGTTGCATGTTCTCTGAGCCGTACAGACAGGCATCTTTGTGTCATGCCAATGTAGGTTTTACCACAGCCAGGGCAAGTTATTTCGTATATAAGATTACTGCGAGAAAGTGAAGGAAGTTTGTCCTTGTTAGAGACAAAAAAGGACAGTTTTTAACTCTTAGAAGCACATTAGCAAAACAAACATTCATTGGGGGAGGGAGTGTGAATATTCACATACTCAGCTCTGTCAGGCTAAATTCTTATGACAGTGAATTGTCATACAAAAGAAATTAATCGGGTACAACTGATGTATGAATATTTACAGCCACCCCCTCTCCAACCAACGCTGCAACGTGGCTTAATATCGTATTTTGTTACATAGATTACATAGCCGAAAGTTTCTGTATGTGAATTGTATGTGAAATGAAGGCCTGAGTAGGCACTAAGGCCACTGAGGGTGTGAGGATATGGGGTGGGGGTTGAGCGGGGTTAATGTGGTAAAGGGAATATATGACATCAAAAAGATCGAATAATGACCATTGTTTTTTTTTCTCAGGTGCATATTTCAATTGTCGCATCATAGTAGCCCAGAAAATTTGCTACGGATTTTTCATAAGATTCTACATAAATACGATGCTTTTAACACTGAATACGAGCGATTCCCTTCATTGAGATAGTTCTACAAGTTTCAAAATAAACAAAGATATTCTTGAGCAGTGAACACAAGTTCGCACTCAAAATCTACTTTGAATCACGAGACGCGTTTCTGGTGTGCTGTCAACCATATTTTGCCAAGCTCCCATTTTAAGCTATTCGGCTGTCATGGTAAACCTCTTACTGAACATGTTGAAAACTCAAAACCTCAAACAAAATGAAATGAAATTCGACTTATTTTGTAATTGCGTGGTTGCAGTGTAAGTGCATTGTGGAATATCTAGATATTCATTTATGGCTTGTACCTTTCAGCAGCTCGGTAATGAATGGTAGAATGCCCTGATATTGTAACTGTTCAGTTACCTTGTTGATTTTCGACAGACTGGAGATTTTCGCGGTCGTTTTTAAAGCGTGTTTTTTCAACGGTCTTTTTTTGATTCTTTTAAATATTAAGATGACATGTTGCCATGTTGCTGCGTTCATTTTTGGTAAAGGCGCGAAATTCAAAATTATAACTGGTTATAACCGGTTTACTAACCGGTCTACTAACGAGTGCCACACTGACACTGATCAGTAAATATATTACCAAACAAGCTCCTTGAATAAGAAATTTTTCATGTATGATTTTTAACACAAAGCATGAAATATGACGTTTTTGACGACGAAAATTGTCGAAAACCCTAGTACAAATAAGAATACCTTTGAAATCAAAAATGAAAATTGTAGAGAATCGAACGGAAACACCAGATAGATCAAGTCACGTGACATTACATGTGAAGACGGAAGATTTACCAAACCAACAAAAGATCGTTTCAGCTAAATAACAGAAAACTTGCAATCGATTCGTTTGAAATGCCCAAGTAAGCATTGCTTAGAGAGATCAAATTATTTTATATTTAATGTTGTTTTTATTACAAAACTATTTTGTTTATTTTTGCAGATACTATTGTGATTATTGTGACACCTATCTGACTCATGACTCAGTAAGTAAGATTCAGTAAGTTTTTATAGGCTAGAAAATGAAGTTGAGGATGAGCAACAATGTTGCAATTGTTAACATCACCTGCTTTACCAATTCATATCATCAACCTGCATAGTCTCTTTCGGATAATGCAATAACAATGAGTAAAGAAAAGGTCAAATATACATTTCTGCCATAAAGATGTCAATGTGATGTCTGCGAGGGTTGGGAGGAGGGAGATTTACAGGCATGACATCTTTTGAAATACACGCTTCAAAGTACTGAGTATTGGAATGGTGTATGACCAGTATGATAGCAAGGTCAAACATGACAAAATATAAGATTGAATGCCTTAAAACATACAGTGATAATAAACAATTATTGTAGGAGGTTGAGCTTGATATCAAGAAGTATTCAGAACAAGATCAATGTTATCTGCCGAAGCAAAGCTGAGGTCAATAACATTGAGGTCTGAATGATTCTTGATATCATTCGAAAGACAAATTCAATAATTGTTTTATTCGTCTCAACTAACTGAAATATTATTGAAACTAATCAATGTAACGCATTTACAAACCTTTGCTACCATGTGCTTGTCAAACTGTTTTTTCAAGTTCTTCACATTTAAATTGCAGTAAATATGCTCAAAACCAGCTTTGTCACTTTTTAGTATTTTCTGCATTGTTTTTTGGTTCAAACGATTTTGCATATTGTTTTTAGAAACTGTTTTTAAACATTGCTGTTATTTGATTTTTTCCAAAACCGGCACTTAATGGCATCAATAATTGTAGGAACTATTATTTGTAGATATGATGTCATACCTACAGATAACAAGAAATATTTGTAAATATGACATCATAATTACAGATATTGAGAATTTGAGGTAGTAGACTAATCACAGCCGACATTGTTTGCCTAGTGTATAATAATGCACATGAGCAAACTATCCACAATTGGAGCCCAACATCTTCCGAAGGGCTGGAGAGGGTTTGTTAAATATGTCATATTGACATCTTTTTGGAAAAATGCATATTTGTTATATGTGCTCCAACTTATATTTGAACCTCTGTAATCTATGCATGTTTCTTGAAAAAGAAAACTTCTCCATATGATGAAATAAGTACACAATATATTATAAACTGAATTATATATCTTAGTAAATCTTTTCAGCCTTCTGTCAGAAAGACCCACAATTCCGGGCGAAAACACAAAGATAATGTGAAGTTTTACTATCAAAAATGGATGGAAGAACAAGCACAGTCACTTATTGATCAAACAAGTAAGATCCTTTTAGTTTATTTTTCCATATTGAACATGCAGTTTGCATTAAATGAAATGCATAATCATTTCAACTGATTTTGTCGATTCTCTTGGTGGTTTCTAAAACAATTTACTTGTTATTTTGTAGCCAAAGCATTTGAACGTGGTGCCAAGAAAGGCCAATTTGCAAGCATCCCTCCACCGGGAATGTTACCACCGGGTATGCTGCCACCTCCGGGAGCCATGCCTCCACCTGGCGCGATGCCATTTGGTATGCCTCCACCGGGAGGTATACCCCCACCTCGAGGGATGGCACCACCTCCAAGAATGGGTGGCCTACCAAACATGCCTCCGAACATGAGACCCCCAAATAGCATGCCAGGACAAATGAACAATGCACCTGGTCAACGCAACATGGGTGGGCGAGGCATGCCTCCTCCTCATGGGGGAAGCCCGATGGGCATGCCTCCACGTGGTGGGCCTATGATGAGGGCTAGGTAGAATCATTTTTAACCTTTTGATGTGTGACGCACACAACAGTTGAATCTACTCAGATTCGACCGAACTGCAAAGAACTCAAAAAATGCCTTCCTGAAATATTTTCTTGACTGAAATAGTCATTATGAAATTGCGAGATTGACACGTGCTAGAGAAAAGCCAAAATAGACTTCTTGTATTTCTTGCCTAGGCAATGATTTTGTATTGCGTAAATGTTAAAAGTTATTCGCGTAGTAGCGCTCATCTATATTGTATCATGGTTTTTTCCGAGATGGATTTCAAATGTTTTCAAATAACGTAATAATTAAATGAGATTAGTGAGCTATTTTTATCAAAAGAAACTTTTGTTTCTTATTGTTATCATTCGATTGCCATTCTCTCTCCCAAATTAATCAAAGTCAACAACGCTTTTCAACTTCTCTTGTCTTTAGCTAGTATCGTAGCCGCACGCCAAGTATAATTTTAATAAGTTTGGTCGTGCCGTGCGATTTTTTCGATGTTCACTCATCTCTAAAACTAAAGATTTCTAAAGAAATAAGCGATGCTATTGATCCGACATTCATACAGCGCGATCAAATTTGTAGCCTTTTTGGAGAAAAAGCAGGTTGTTTTTAGTGGCACGAGTTTCGTGCGCTATATTTTGATGGCATATACGTCTTGGTAGAGTAGGCTCCAGGTAGGTCACAACTAGGAAATTTTGTCAATCTTTCAGTGTGCTTTTTCATCGCGTGAATATTTCGTTGAACGGTTAGCATCGCAGGTTCGGTCAATTGTATCTTTCAAGTGATGAAAACTGGAAGAAAATACTTTCCATATTTATATATTGGTTGGGAATCTATGCCTATTTGAAATTGCTAGCTATTTTCATAAGCGAAATCCTGACATATAGAATTCACTCTCGTCTTCAACAATAATCACTTCATCGATTCCACCTTCTACATTTTCACTGGCTGCATCATCATATCCTTCTTTATCCTTCGTATTACCTGGCAGTCCATTTGTGGTCATTTCACTTTCATTTTTCTCCTTTTTCATTCCTCTGCCTCCGTTATTCATCGTGCATTCCTTACAATTGTTTTCGTTATACACGGTTTTCACGCTGAATTCCACGCGAGTTTTTGGGTTTGAAAAATTTTCATCGTTGTTGCCGTCTGTCTTTTTCAATGCAGATTTTGGCTTTTCAAAATATTCCCTGTTACTGTAATCGGTCTCTGAAGCGTTTTCACTAATAACATTGTTCGAAATGAGCTTGTCATTTTCGGCAGTTCTCTCGTTTTTATTGTATACTCTTTGATTTTGATTAAAAGCCTCGTTATTACCACAAACCACATTGCCACGCTGCTTTACATCCTCATATTCATCAAAGAGTCGGTTTTCGTCTTTTTTCTCTTGCTCATTTTGCTCCGAGTTCGTTGAACTCAGTTTTGTTTGGGATAAATTGCAGTTGTTGCGCGATGCATCTCTCTTCGTTTGAGTATTCGTGCGTTTTCGCACAGAATTTTTCCGTGGATGTATTTCGTTTGTGTTAGTTGCAGCTGCTCTCGCGGTTTCCTTGTCTCTCATACTGCTTATGATTTTCTTTTCCGAGTCTTCGCTCTTGATAGGAATATGGCTTTCTTCCGTACCTCTAAAATTTCCTTTGCCCTCTGCGTTTACCTTGTTTGTCTCTTGTGTTCTTGAGATAAGGCCGCGACAGAAGTCACCTTCAGTGATAGCTCGAGTTCGACGCAATAGAAGGGAAAAGACCACTAATGATGCAAAGATAAATCCTAATGAATTAATTACGATTGGCGGAAACGACACCAAACAGTCCTCGACGCAGTAAAAATCCTTATCACATTTTGATGGTGGCTCTTTTTTGAGCCAATTAAATCCATAGTCGAATTCTTTAGGACATTTGAACACGGTGTCTTCCATTATTGGCGCAACACAAGTAAAATCGATGTAAATCTCATCCAAACGAAACTGACTGGTAAAAACCCAGCTTGAAGTTCTCGCGATTGCTCTCAGAACAACCCTCCCCACTCCCAAAAGTGGTGATGTCGATACCTCTGTCAATATATTCCTCTCCCAAGGATGGGTTTTATCGTAATAAAACGCCGAAGGGAGGATAAAAAATGAACATACATACACTCCAGTGATGATTGCAGTCAGAGCCACACATCCGTTCAAAATTCGAATATGAAAACATGTAAGTCTTATCGGATTATAGTATATATAAACAGCCACTGAATACACAGCAAACACGTAGATGATACTCAAACACATCGAAAGACGTAGCCATGGCAAACCCCCGAGCGTATTACATCTATTTTCTAATTCTTCCGCTGTAAAAGTGTATTCTAACCCTTTAGTACTGTCAACATGGCGTAAACAATATGTCTTCGGATGTTGGCAATATACTTTCAAAAATGACTTGTTCTCCAGTTGATACAGCATGCCGATCCCCGAAAGTAGCATATATATTAGGTACAGAAGATCACTGGCCATAGTTTTCATTCTTTGTCGACATTACTGTATGGAAATTATTTTTATGCAAATTATCGTGCAAAATATATGCAAGAAAGTGCGCATGCCTGAGCCACTTTTTGAAAACAGCTGCCATCATCTTGTCTAGATCTCTGTGTCTGGGTGGGGCTTATTGTGATTGTGGCGGCTTGTGATATTAAAAACTCGTTCTCTTTTCAGACTGTAACTGTTAATCCTATATTATGGCAATATTTTGGCTGTTAAAAGCAACGCATAAATCTTTGAATGCGGTGTTTAATCGAAGCACAGACCATCACAACGTTGGTAAGAAAATACACTACTAAGGCGCACTAAAATACACCACAAAGGGGCATCTTTTAGAACTAGTGAAGAAATGCTTCGGTATGTGCAACGTTACACATGATCCAGACAGGAACCGTTTCAATGCAATAAATTAACGTGTTCTGGTGTGGAGGGAGTTAGTCCTTCGTCGGTTGCCATACGACAGTCGAAAACGGATGGTCAAGACAACGATGGCACTGACTTTTTTTAAAAATTTGGTTAAACACGCTCGACATGCGGAAGTTATAGCAGCAACATAGTTAAAACATATTCATGCTATTGTAGACATTAAGCTTCAAATTTTTCCACGTACATACTGCAATTACCTTGACAAAAGGCCTTTTGATCAAAGCGAGAAGAAAACACTTTCCGTTTAGTCTGTGACGTGCAACCATGAAAGAAAACACTTTCCGTTTAGTCTGTGACGTGCAACCATGTGCAAAAGTAGATGAATAGAGGAGCAATAACCGTAATCCTAACCCCAATCAAAATCTAACCTAATTGTCGTTGGCAATTTTGATGAACGGCTATTCTAAAAGTCTAAAACTGTGCATACGAATGAACGGCTGCCGTGCAAAAATGATTTCGTTAAACACTGTGAAAATACTTTATTTTGAACAATTCGATTTAAGTCTGCAAATTGAATGGCTTCGGATCAAAGAATGTCGAAAATACGGTGGCTCACAAGTACGGTGGCTCACAAGGGCCACCACACAAAATAAAAATATTAATACACACACAAAATAAAAATACACACACAAAACACATTATACACACACAAAATAAAAATACACACACAAAATAAAAATACACACGCAAAATACATGATACACACACAAAATAAAAATACACACACAAAATATGATTGCGGGCGCTTGCAGTGTCGGATTGTCGGACTATCAGATTATCAGTTTGTAATTGTTGTAAATTGTCATGTTATGTTGTGTAGTGTGTGAATATACCGTATGATAAATTGTAAAATGTTTGTCATATATTACTAGACAAATAGGAAAATACGTATATAGTAATTAAACTGTGGTTTCAGTGGAAATCCTGTACGTAAATTCAAAATACTTAGGAGCACTTTTTCTACCCAATGTGGCATTACGTACAGGATTTCCACTGAAACCACAGTTTAATAACTATATACATATTTTCCTATTTGTCTAGTAATATATGACATTTTACAATTTATCATACGGTATATTCACACACCACACAACATAACATGACAATTTACAACAATTACAAACTGATAATATGATAGTCCGACAATCCGACACTGCAAGCGCCCGCAATCATATTTTGTGTGTATTTTATTTTGTGTGTGTATAATGTATTTTGTGTGTATTTTATTTTGTATGTATAATGTATTTGTGTGTGTATTTTTATTTTGTGTGTGTATTTTTATTTTGTGTATAATGTATTTTGCGTGTGTATTTTTATTTTGTGTGTGTATCATGTATTTTGTGTATTTTATTTTGTGTGTGTATTTTTATTTTGTGTGTATAATGTATTTTGTGTGTGTATTTTTATTTTGTGTGTGTATCATGTATTTTGCGTGTGTATTTTTATTTTGCGTGTGTATTTTTATTTTGTGTGTGTATAATGTATTTTGTGTGTGTATTAATATTTTTATTTTGTGTGGTGGCCCTTGTGAGCCACCGTAGTTTCGAAATTTTTATCGACTAAAATCAATAAACCGAACACATTTTAAAAACTTTCCGAAGATTTCACTTCGCCGTCGCCGTTATAGATAATTTGAATCTTGCTATCAAAAGAAAAACTGATTTCATTCACCGAGTAAAGTAAGTTTGAACTTATGTTAATGTACTCATATTATTTGATAACGGCTTTCAACCATGTGTTACATTTGTTCCCGGTCTCATCGGGGAAATCATCTTCAGAAACTCTTGATAATTTATCTTGCCCTGCATTTTATCGTCCAGCATGGTAAGCAGATCAAGAACCTCGTCTTCGCTTACCACAACGTTACACAGCAGTAAGACTGACCGAAACTCGGAAATATTCAGGTAGCCTTCATTGAGTTTGTCCAACTTCTTGAACGCCCGCCTTAAAGCCATCCACTCGTCAGACAACTAGAACATTAGAAGTAATTTTGATCAAGATGGGGATGTGTGGTGAGATACATAGTCATGCACGCTCGGATAACTGTACAGACATAGAAAAATTCATGAGAAAAGTAATTTTGATCATGGTATATAAGATACATCGTCAATGCATTACAGTGTATACTTTGCATGATAGCTTATAAAGAGGACTAAAGCCAAAGAGGAAAGTATGTAAACATTTCAAAACTGAGCAAAATGCACGGTTTTTCACCTTTTCTTTAAGTCTCACAGTCAGTTTTTTTTCCTTTCTTGTATCTTGAAGCTACACGCAAGATATAATGTTAATGATATGGTATGGTACGCTACGCTATGGTATGCTATGGTATGGTATGCTATGATATGCTATGGTATGCTATGGTATGCTATGGTATGCTATGATATGCTAGGGTATGCTATGGTATGCTATAATATGCTATAGTATGCTATGATATGCTATGGTATGCTATGATATGCTATGATATGCTATGGTATGGTATGATATGCTATGGTATGCTATGATATGCTATAGCATGCTATGATATGCTATGGTATGATATGATATGCTATGGTATGCTATGATATGCTATGGTATGCTATGGTATGCTATGATATGCTATAGTATGCTATGATATGCTATGGTATGATATCCTATCGTAAGACAATCTCTAAATAACAAACGTATAAGTTACTTTTTTCTGCACGTCCTCATATGTACGTTGATGGATAGCGTGAAGCAACGTTGAGTATTTCTGTACCTGATAGTCTCGCTGTGTCATTATTCCCTGCATGTTGTCGTCACGGCGATGACGTCGTCGCGAAAACTGGTCCAGAAGAGAGTTGTAGTTGACTCTAACGCATTAAAAGATCGTAATACGTAGTTGCATGAAAAAAAGTATTTCCAAATACAAAATTGATAACTCAAACGGTATTTCAAATTTTGGAGGGAAAACATATCATTCTCTTACTTCTCTCTTATTTTCAGGAAATTAAAAATTGGCCAATGGTTAAAATTTCAATGTCTGCTAACTTTGCTGACCACACCGGTGCATTGTGCATGTTTCGCTGTTGGGAAGTTATGTTACCAAAAATCTAAGTACATGTTTCGCTGTTGAGAAGTTATGTAGCCAAAAATCTAAGTACATGTTTCGCTGTTGGGAAGTTATGTTGCCAAAAATCTAAGTACATGTTTCGCTGTTGGGAAGTTATGTTGCCATAAATCTAAGTACATGTTTCGCTGTTGGGAAGTTATGTTGCCAAAAATCTAAGTACATGTTTCGCTGTTGGGAAGTTATGTTGCCAAAATCTAAGTACATGTTTCGCTGTTGGGAAGTTATGTTGCCAAAATCTAAGTACATGTTTCGCTGTTGGGAAGTTATGTTGCCAAAATCTAAGTACATGTTTCGCTGTTGGGAAGTTATGTTGCCAAAAATCTAAGTACATGTTTCGCTGTTGGGAAGTTATGTTGCCATAAATCTAAGTACATGTTTCGCTGTTGGGAAGTTATGTTGCCAAAAATCTAAGTACATGTTTCGCTGTTGGGAAGTTATGTTACCAAAAATCTAAGTACATGTTTCGCTGTTGAGAAGTTATGTAGCCAAAATCTAAGTACATGTTTCGCTGTTGGGAAGTTATGTTGCCAAAAATCTAAGTACATGTTTCGCTGTTGGGAAGTTATGTTGCCATAAATCTAAGTACATGTTTCGCTGTTGGGAAGTTATGTTGCCAAAAATCTAAGTACATGTTTCGCTGTTAAGAAGTTATGTAGCCAAAATCTAAGTACATGTTTCGCTGTTGGGAAGTTATGTTGCCATAAATCTAAGTACATGTTTCGCTGTTGAGAAGCTATGTAGCCAAAAATCTAAGTACATGTTTCGCTGTTGGGAAGTTATGTTGCCAAAAATCTAAGTACATGTTTTGCTGTTGAGAAGTTATGTAGCCAAAAATCTAAGTACATGTTTCGCTGTTGGGAAGTTATGTTGCCATAAATCTAAGTACATGTTTCGCTGTTGAGAAGTTATGTAGCCAAAAATCTAAGTACATGTTTCGCTGTTGGGAAGTTATGTTGCCATAAATCTAAGTACATGTTTCGCTGTTGAGAAGTTATGTAGCCAAAAATCTAAGTACATGTTTCGCTGTTTGGAAGTTATGTAGCCAAAAATCTAAGTACATGTTTCGCTGTTGAGAAGTTATGTAGCCAAAATCTAAGTACATGTTTCGCTGTTGGGAAGTTATGTTGCCAAAAATCTAAGTACATGTTTCGCTGTTGGGAAGTTATGTAGCCAAAATCTAAGTACATGTTTCGCTGTTGAGAAGTTATGTAGCCAAAAATCTAAGTACATGTTTCGCTGTTGGGAAGTTATGTTGCCAAAAATCTAAGTACATGTTTCGCTGTTGGGAAGTTATGTTGCCATAAATCTAAGTACATGTTTCGCTGTTGGGAAGTTATGTTGCCATAAATCTAAGTACATGTTTCGCTGTTGGGAAGTTATGTTGACAAAAATCTAAGTACTTAAGATCTCCTTTTTTATGCACCTTGTACAACACTAAGTACAAATACATGTTACTTTTAAAGTACTTGCAGGTATGAATCATTTCCACCAAATTGTTATTACTTTTGAAGTAATCGCGTGGCTTCGTTGCCACGTGACGGTTTTTCCTCAGAGCAAATCAAACAGTAATTTTTTTGTTTTTGGCGCGAAAATTTGTAGCGTTTGTAGGGGAAATCGTCAAATGTCAATACTCCGTTTGATCATTTATATTCTTACCTTTCCTCGGCGACCTCAAACTTCCTAACTATCATCTCTGCTTCGTGATCGTTGATTTGCACGCAAAACCTTTGAATGATTTCCTGCGTTAACAAACAGGAAGACGAAATGGTTCATACGTCAAACTTAAGCGTTCAACCAAATATACGTGTTTTTAAAGATGTAATTGATTTCTGTAGAGAGACACTCTCTGTCATTTCGATTTTAAAATTCGTTGCATAACAGTACCACATACGTCAGCCGTGACCCCCATCAATTTACTACCGTGTGCTGCCCTTAGTTACACCCACTTTACCTTCAAGTCGTCCTTGCTGACGTAACCAGTCCCTCCCGGATCCAATGACTTCAGATCAGCTTGCAATTTCTCCCAATTTAAGCCAAAATTTGATCGCAGTTGACCGTATAACATGTCAACGTCGCTGTTCAATTTGTTCGATCGCATCATAAAATCGCTGTCGCCTTTTCTGGGAGGCGAATTTTTAGCATTGGGATAAGCTAACGAGAAAAATAGTACAAATTACGTCTGTGTAAAACAGCTGGAGTATTCAACCGTCTCAAGCTTCAAATTCTCTTTAGTGAACATTCTGAAGGGGGTCTAAATCGACTCAAGCGGGGCACATCAGGGGAGAGGGGGGAGGAGACGTCACACTTTCAATCTTTTTTTGGGATGTGATCACTTCCACGGCTTCAAAAGCTAACGATCACTCTGAGCTACGTTCTAATTTTATACCTTGATCAGATAAACTGCCACCGAAATGACGTATGAACTGTGAAAATTCCAACATTCGTTTCTGATCGGTCAGCAGCGTGCCCCATAATTGCCGTATATCTTTCTTCTCGAACTCCACTCCGAATCTACGAAAAACAAAAAATTAACTGACCGCTCCTTTCTTCAAGCCTTTTTCTTCCGTATATAATTCTCTCATGGCGAACTTACCGTCTCAACAATTTCGCAAACATATCCTGCGTGAAGCGTTTCGTATTAAATTCGTCAATTTCGTAGAAAACCTACAAGAACAACGATCAAAAGACACAAGCAACCATTCACCGTGATGTGATTAAAACAGTTGGGGGTATGTGTGACACTCTTGCATAATATGTCAAAAAAGTCTGTACATGAACTAATGAACAACAAAAAGTCGGTCCAATTGTTAGCTAAAAGTCAGCCCCAGCTCCCAGAACGTAAAACCATCCCCCGGTTGGATGAGCAACAACCGACCAGGTTTTGGAAAATACGTGTGAAAGTCGGTTCAGAAAGTGATAGAGCTTTAAAATTGTACGTTTTTCAAATAAAATACAGCCACTGTAAATGTTAGACCCAGCCCAATAACGTTTTTGGAATGTGCGCAAAACTGTACATGGAAAGATTTGATTTTCAAGCAGTTTTATGTGGTTATTTCGAACGGAAAATTTTCTTTCATACCTCTTGAACTTTACGGAGATCTTCGTTCAATATTTTTCGTATCGTTATCTTCATTTCCTCCAACGTTTTCCCTCTATTATTCGTAACTGGAGTTTCGGGCGTCGTGGCTGCTTGAAGAGCATGGGATTTCGACGACGATTCCCTTGTGTGGCTATCCTTTCCATCGTGAGATGCAGAATTCTCGTCGAAAAGCGACAGTTGCTCTCTGGGTGAAAACAACAAAACTGTCAGAGCAGGTCCGGAGCTACGAGGGCGTGTAGGGCGAGGAAGAATGGGAATAGTGGTAGTATTGGCAAATTGTTCAGATAAGTCGGCAATCAATGCAAAGTTGTGAATAGTCGTGTTTAGTCATTCAAATGCAGCTAAGTTAGCGCTCTCCTCAAAGATTTTCGGCTGATCGCTCTACGATAAGAATGACTTCAATCAAAACCCACAAGCAAACTGATTTGAAATGCTTGGATAACATAACCTTTGATAATCATCCATAGTATCGGGGGTGAGTTTCAACTCTAAACAACCTACATATTATATGAGAGTACTATCTTCGCTCATACTTCGCATCGAAGTTGGACATAAACTGTACGTAATGAACCATGCCATCTTCATCTAATGGAACAGCATTTAGAAATTTTTTCCAGTCGTCATCGGACATTCCCAAACTAAAGCGACTTTCTATGGCAGCTCGAAACTGCTCCTGAGTGACCAGTCCTTCGCCTTTACGATCTATTTTGCTAAAGAAATAGGAAGCAATTTCACCAAGATCTCTTGGAAGCACAGACTGCAGGTCATAGGGTTGTAGAGGTATAGTTAGTTTGATGCACAAACACTAGATACACTTTTAAATTTCGAGCAACAATGTTCGTTAGTGGCAGAGATTTAAGCTAAGCCATTGATTGTGAATTTCAAAAAGCCCAGAGTATCGCCGATAGACTTGTGTTCATGGTAAATACATCCATGAAGAGGCTGTTGAAACATGTTTTGACTAAGCCTAAATCTTCAAACAATGTGTCCTCAATTTGCCAAACTTTTACAATTGAGAAATAAAGCCTGGTCTAACTTACTGTAGTGTTCCTAGAAGGCTTAAGAATTCTCTTTGAAACAAATCAATTAGCTTTGCTTCCACAACTGACGTAGTCGAATCTTTGCTTTCCACATCTGTTTTATGGTATCTGTAAGAAACGATGCCATCGCGAATTTGCGGTACGTCAATTTTATAGCGTTTTTCATCGAGGGTAATGGGTTACCTGTGGAGAGGATTCATCAGTATTTTATGTGCCACACCAGTTTCGCTCCGATCTTGAAAACGCCGCAAAAACTCTTTGTAGGGCACTTTCGAGTCTTCGAACTGCACGCCACATCTGTAAACACATTTCATTGCATTTCTTATCAAATAACGAAGTGATGTGTACACGACGTAAAACGGAAACAAAAGACTAGAAGAAAGAACTCTTGCTGCTAAATTCGTACAAGTAGATTTAGTCTTAACAGTCGGCAGACGTTGACAAGTGATGAGTTGTCTGCCGAAATGAATCGTGTCTCAAATTTTTAAGACAGTTCTTTTCAGAACTTTCGAGTTAATTGATGTTTTAATTCTAAAACAGTTCTTCTCAGACGGTTTTTCTTCGTTTGCTCTTGATTTTTCTTGCTTCGCTCTTGGGTTTCGCAGTTTTCAAAACTATCGGGAACTCTAAAAATTTTTGGCCATTCACCATATGGCAATTGCGCTTTCCAAGGCAATATTTATATTTATCGCCATGGCAAATCCTCCTTTTTTAAATTCGCAGAACTCGAACGCCCGGGCACTAAGTATACATAATAATACTGACCATACCTTACAAGGAAGTCCTCGGCTTGTTTTTCCGAGCTCAAATTCAACTCGAATTCTTTGAGAACCTTGATAAAGTCATTTAAACCGACTCGTCCAGTTCTATCCAAATCCAATTCCCGAAAAGCGTGCTTCATATCCGAGCAACCTTCTCGGAACTTCCTTTTCAGCCACCGCTCGATATCCAGCGAGTGCTGACGCTCCGTTTCAAGTTTTCTAGGCGATCTTTCACGGGAAGCCCTTTCTCCATCTTCAACGTTCGTTTTCAGACTTATACCAAGCTTAAGCAATAACTGTTCACCTACAAATATTAATGCATAACGGTGCACAAGAAATTACGCACAACTGCTGTCGAGTTTTGCAACAACGCAGGATGGAGAACACAAAATTCTTTACTCGATTTAGTTGGAATAGGGGTGGTCCATTTAGTTAGTTTGCAAAGAAGGGGCATGTGGTGCATGCGTAGATTTGTGTGCAGTCGGTATAAAACTATTGTTTTGTATGAATATAATTTTGCTTTCGCATGCCATTTGTACATATTTAAAAGCATTGCGCGTGTCAATAGATTACCTAAACTTGCTAAGATAACAGATATCAGTAAACATAGCAAGAATGGACATTTGCCCTAAGTTCGAGAGTCTAATTTGAAGTAGCAAAGCACGTTTGCGTACGAAAAGGGAGAGGGCTAGACAATATTGTACATTTGTGTACAAAGGGGAGAGGGGTGTTTAAGTTTGAAAGAAAATTGAGTATGTTCAGAATGGACTACCCCACAATGTATATTTCTAGTTTCTGTTGTACGATAATTTACGATCAGTCGGGGTCACCTTTAACAACACCGATGTTTTCGGTGTCATATTTTTGCCACAGTTTCTCGAATTCGACGTCGTCCATTGGGAAACCATGTTTATTGAGTGCGTTTCGAAACTCCAGTTTCAAAAGTCTTCCGTTTCCACCTGGATTGACTTGTGGAATGAGATCCGCCAGGTCCAGAAATCTCCAAAAGAAAGTGTAAAATATCAGCTTTGATTTCCTGTTTCTCGAAAACAGACATCTCGTTTTCTTGACACTCAAGATAAAGCAAGAGTTTAGAGACTGACAGAGTAGGTGATGTTTCGTCTTTATTCCAAATTGGTCTGACGTCGTCCTCGCGTGGAATAAAGATGATCTATCACATACTCTGACTCTGAACTCGTGCTTTATCTTTAATATCAACAAAACGAGATGTCTGCACTCGGAATCTGTTTTATTTTGTTTTAACCGAAGTCTTCGGCTTGTTCTATTAATATCTGTATAAAATGATTTCATTTACTTAAACAAATTTGAAACATTCTCATATTCGCCGATTGTAAAGCCATCGTATAATTACATGGTTTCAATCGTGTTATTTTTTTGTTATATACACGTTTCTGGAAGAAAAGTCGATACCTTTGCCTGGCTTTTTCCTTTAATTGTACGTGTACTTGAGAGGCTGTCATGTTATGAACTGTTCTCGACTGCAGTTCCAACCATTCGGGCAGTTCACTTGCTTTCTTTTTCTTAAAATGCAACCCGAAAATATTGTCGTGAAAACGAAAATTTTTTTCATTTCCCACTGTCGAACAGATTAACCTTCCTGACCTTCGCTTGTGCGGTGAAAGCTGCATAGAATTCATCTATTGACATCGACTTTCTCATGTCTAAGTCCAGCCTTTCATATAAGATGAAAAGACATAAAGAGAAACGATAACAAAATACATAACTTATACAATGCACAAGCTGCACACCATGGGCGTAACTACCGAGGGCTCAGACAGGGCGAATTCAGGGGCCACGTGACCCGAAGGGGTTCATAAGCTCGAACATACCGAAGTGGAAGAAACGTTTGCGCAGAAATCGTCTGCATAAAAAATGAAATTTGAACACTAGAGAGAATAGTCAGCTGCCTCTAAAAATATTTTAACCAAGGGCCTCCATATGCACAAATGCCAAAACAATTAATTTCCTACTTAGGTGTATGGAGAATAAATACCTGACCATCAAACGATTGAATTGACTCAAAGTGAGATTTCTACCGATGAGTCGGCTCACGATTCGCGCGAGATTGTCCCTGTTTAAAGAGCATTCGGCGACAGTGTGAAAGATTTGAACGATACGTTAGAAACTAGAATCACGTTGAAGCAATACCTCGTCACGATTCCTCTACCCTCGGTATCATATTGCCTGAACGTCTGTTTTATTTGATGGTAACTCGAGGTCAGTTTTTCTCTGATTTGAGATTCGATCTGTAAATTTGACATAAACGTGTCACCCACGGTACGAGGAAAGATTCACGGTCGAGAAAGTTTGTCCCAATGCTAAGGTGCTTTCTGTATTACCTCATCAATTGTCAAATTTTCCTTCAATGCAGCGGTACTAATATGGGAATGCTGACTTTCCGATCGACTTGCAAGCGCCGCGCGGTTACCTAAACAAAAGCATACATATTATATCAACTTCTACGTCTTTTTCATAGATCTGTGCACAAAGCTCTCGTCACCAAATATTGGAATGGCCGGTTTAGAGTGGTCGTTTGCGTTTTTAACCATGGCTGTTTTTTCGGAAGCAGTTCGTAGTTCGGGTAAGTTGGTGCCGTTCTCATTAGCTCGCGAGCCCCGAGAAGATTTTGTGAGACGCCATGGGATTTCATCAGCAGTTATGGGACGTAGTCGACAAACTTTTTCAAGTTCGCAGCGCACTTGAGAGCTAGCACCTTCTCCACGAGAAAAGTCTCTAACTGCGATTTTCTCCGGACTATTCAAACGCGACAATGGATGGCCAATCGCTGGGAGGTTGGTTGTCGCCATGTTTGACTTGACCAAGAATGAGCTGTACTGGTAAGCTGCTTCAGTGTTTGAGAAAGAAATGCAGCATGAGCTTTCGGCAGGTCATCTGTTTGTCGTAGGGATTTTGTATACAAAAGACCGTATCGCTTGGCAACCAATTGGGAGCTCAATTAGCTGCTCACTAAATAATCGGCTTATGTTTCAATCTTTTAATGCATGTAAATGCGCAAATTTTACGAATCAAGAGAACAATTTTATTTTCAATTAAGTAAGTTTAATTATAAACTATAAAGTACAGATGACAAGTGTCGGAAGGCTGTAGCCTTTATATTATATAAATACACAGAATCGAAGAAATAGCTGGGTCAGTGAAGTCGGGAATTAATGAGCAGATGACAGAAAATAAAGTGAAAGTTTAAATGTGCACACTACAACATTCATATTATATAGGTTGTCAATACTTCCGTTAATGGGACAAGGAAAAAACAGAAAGAAGCAACAAAGTAGTTATGATTTTATCATCTATGGTGAATAAATTGAGACCGGCATTTCTCGACTGCATTTACGATGTCGTAGGTAGAGATGGCTCGTATGTTCTCCTCGTTCAAGCTTAACAAGTCCTCGTAATTTTGATCGTCGCTACGTAACAAGAAACACGAAATATAGCAGTCATTCGCTAGACGGAGTAGGGTGCATGATATTTTTTACATGTTCGCTTTATCATCGAACCGTATACATCGACACAAAAACTTACCAATCAATGCTGTTAAAGCATTCTCGAAGACACGACATGGCTGCGCAGCGACCTATGTGAAATGCGTTTAATTAAGACTTAAGAACCTGAAGCTTGTGTAAGGGGTCATTATTAAAACCTTCCTTTTACAAAAATGGGCATTTCTATTGGGAAAATGGGTGGTTCTAAAACCTAAAATGGGAATTTCTATTGGGAAAATGGGTGGTTCTAAAACCTAAAATGGGCATTTCTATAGGGAAAATGGGTGAATCTAAAACCTAAAATGGGCATTTCTATTGGGAAAATGGGTGAATCTAAAACCTAAAATGGGCCATTTTATTGGGAAAATGGGTGGTTCTAAAACCTAAAATGGGCATTTCTATTGGGAAAATGGGTGGTTCTAAAACCTAAAATGGGCATTTCTATAGGGAAAATGGGTGAATCTAAAACCTAAAATGGGCATTTCTATTGGGAAAATGGGTGAATCTAAAACCTAAAATGGGCCATTTTATTGGGAAAATGGGTGGTTCTAAAACCTAAAATGGGCATTTCTATTGGGAAAATGGGTGGTTCTAAAACCTAAAATGGGCATTTCTATTGGGAAAATGGGTGAATCTAAAACCTAAAATGGGCCATTTTATTGGGAAAATGGGTGGTTCTAAAACCTAAAATGGGCATTTCTATTGGGAAAATGGGTGAATCTAAAACCTAAAATGGGCCGTTCTATTGGGAAAATGGGTGAATCTAAAACCTAACATGGGCATTTCTATTGGGAAAATGAGTGGTTCTAAAACCTAAAATGGGCATTTCTATTGGGAAAATGGGTGGTTCTAAAACCTAAAATGGCCATTCTATTGGGAAAATGGGTGGTTCTAAAACCTAAAATGGGCATTATTATTGGGAAAATGGGTGAATCTAAAACCTAAAATGGGCATTTCTAACATGAAATTTACGACAAAAATATTTTGGATTTTCCAAAAATGAAAATGACAAAACATTCAACATCTATCATCTTGTAAAACGGTTCAACTCAGGAGCTAATGTATGACACTGAACAGTAAAATTTTCCTAAAATCAAACACGCAAACTCACATATTTCTTTTAAGTCACTTCCGGAGCATCCTTCCGTCAGGGAAGCAACGTGTTTAAAATCTAAGTCGTTTTCCACCTGTTAAGAAAAGCATGCATCGAAATGCAACTTTATTTTCTTTTAGTCGGCTAACCAGACATCAATTGTGTAATTGAAGGAACGTAATGATTTTGCAATAGACCTTCTCGTTCTTCAGTACGATTCCTAAAATCTCTTCTCTTTGTCGTTCGTTCTGCATAAACAAAAAACATCGAAACATAAAGTTCTCTATACATACCGTAAACTACCTGTATACCCTGTTTATAACTTCCAATGATTTAAACCCAATCCCTTAGATGTCTAACTACCGTGTCAAGGTGAGGCAAGAACGCCCCCTTGAAAGGTGGCAAGAAGCAAAACTCAAAATGAAAAATAAGGTAAAAGAAGATTTAAAAACCCAATCCCATCAAACATTTTAAAAACTGAACTTAGACTATCAACTTTGCCACTGTATATAAACTCGGGAAAAGCAGATATTAGTCGTAAATATTGTCAGTTTTGCCACCTTTCAAGATGGCGGCTTCTCTCACACCGCATGTAACTATAGAATTTTGGCGGAGTCAGATATCGAGTAGATTGAGTTCTAGGTCATTGATACGTTCATAAGCCCTTTTTCACGAGGTTTTACACGGGGGAGGGGAAGGGGGTAATGCATGAACTATATATTACAGCAGTGATCTGTGAACATTACACTATTAAATATATAGGCTATAAGTTGGGCTTCTCTGTGGAAAGATTTAAGTGTATTTGAATGATCGTGGTCGGCTCACTCACACGAGGGATGTGCATGGAGGGGCTTATAGACGGAGGTTTACGAAAGTCTAAATGTCGCAAAAAGAAACGGGCATACAGGGAGAGAGAAACCTCTTTCAATCGATTTCTCGAACAACCTTCACTTATGGTATAGATTACACAGATTTCGAAGTATATACGAGATGATTTCAAATTGCATTTCAAATTCCAGGTTTCTACTAACGGGTAATCCGATGTGAAATGTTGCTACCATTCGACGTAAGATTGCCGTATCGACATCTTCTGGTCTGTTGCTTGCTCCCATTACCATGACTTGACTTTCACCATCAGTAACAAGGCCTGAAATAAACGAAAAATCCTTTCAATCAGACCGACATTTAAAATTGTCAAAAAATATATGGTGAGAACAGGTCAGTGTAACATAGCTTAGCTGGCAACGGGCGGAATTTCACGGGCTACTTTACGTTCCACGGCCTGATTCATATAATAGAACCAACAAAGAGAAGAATCAACAGAGAAAGGACCAACAGAGGAAGAACCAACTGAGAAAAACCAACGGAGGAAAGACCAACAGAGGAAGAACCAACAAAGAAAGGACCAACTGAGGAAAGACCAAAACGGAACAACCAACAGAGGAAGCACCATTAGAGAAAGGACCCACAGACAAAGAACCAACAGAGAAAGAACCAACAGAGGAAGGACCAACAAGGAACAACCAACCGAGGAAGCACCATTAGAGAAACGACCAACAAAGAAAGAACCAAGAACGGAAGAACCAACATAGAAAGAACCAACATAGAAAGAACCAACAGAGAAAGGACCGACAGAGAAACGACCAACAGAGAACAAACAGAGAAGGAAAAAAGAACTAATTTCTTTCCTTTATCAGCATAATTCAAATCATTTTCAAAACCATTTTGCAACAAAGATTCTATTGAAAGACTCATAGTAACTTTTTTATGTAACAAACAAAAAAAACAACATATAAATTTGTGTTTCGACTCAAGTATTTTTAATTCAGCTAACGGTATACTACGCATGCGTCTTGCTGAAGTTCATTAAAATTTGAAATGGAACATTCCAATCGTTGATCCACACACAATCAATCTTTCTGGAATAAACTTAGTAATATACTTGCTGAAATTTTCAGCTCGACAAGGAATGATTGCAAAAATGAACCCAATCCATTTGATCATTTATCGCACGAAGTACCATCGTATATAAAATCAATAGTGAACCTACCATCCCATAAGTTCATGAACTGCGCTTTCACCATGGCTGTCACCTCGTGGTCGCTGATATTCCGACTTCGTAGAAACGAATCTAGCGAACACGAACATGGAATAAGATGTAAAATTTTCAAACTACCCACAAAGAATCAATAGTTTGCTGAATGACAGAAGTCAAACAGTTTTGACAAATTCGAATTCCAAAGGTTTGCATGCCAGGTTGAACGGACAAACCTATCTCATCAATGAATATGATACAGGGGGCCAATTTCTTCGCCTGGTAACATAAAATGAAATCATAAAAAAATCCATTGCGAGTCGCCTCTTTCCACCAAATTCAAATCATACTTACAAGAGAAAACAGTGCGGCCGTCAATTTTTGCGATTCTCCATACCATTTATCGGTCAGAGTTGCCACTTGCACGTTGATGAAACGACATCCTGATGCAGAACACCAAAATATGCATAGTTCAATGTATTATATGATCAATATTTACAAACACAGACTCACAAAACTTCTTTGTAAAGTAATCTAGACGTGCGAAGAAATTTTATCAATTTCGGTTATGTTTTTTGTTGAAGAAACCTTGGTTAGGTTAGGTTTCTATACTTCTTTTGGATAAGGAAAAACAAAACAAATATTCAGCACAAGCCAAGGTATGCTAGTAGTTTTGAATGCATAGCCAGATTTTCTATCAAGGGGAGGATGGGGTGGGCAGTTACAAGGCATGGCTGCATATTGGACAATGTAATGTAAGTAAAATATCAAAAGTGTAATATTTTATTGGGGATAGGGGGCAAAATTCTTGAGGGCCTGACCCCTGACCCTCCTCTGGCTACAAAACTCTGCTGATTGCTTTGAATCACAGGAAGCACTGAAGTGCTTTATTCTCTGGACATTTTATTTTTTTGAAACACGTCTGTTTGCAGAAGGATGGGCATTTGGCAGCCCTTAAACGAAAAATAAAAATGAAACTCTCGGTTCTTTGGCCGTGAACTTTTTTTGGTGCATAAAAAGAATCGGAAGAACTTATTTTTCAGTGAACCTTGCATTGCTCTAAAGTAATTGTTTGCAATTTTGACAACATTGGGTCATCACCTGCTGTTTTTGCCGTTGCTTTGGCTATCATAGTCTTGCCACATCCTGGAGGGCCATACAGCAGCACACCTGTAATAACAACAACAACTTTAGATTCCAAATGCTTATGATTCAACTTCTCCTACTCAAATTTCCATACCTTTCGGCGACGACAGAAGAGACGACTTAGCAAACAGAGACTTTTGCCGCATTGGAAAAATAACTGTTTCCTAAAATGAAACTAAAGATGACCCTTGAAAATGAACTGAATCTTGTCTGTTTACATCAAATATGAAAAATACACAAAAGTACTCAAACATGTTGCTGGCAGACAGTAAACATATAACATGCAAATGGCAACAAATGGTTGCGTAAATAACTGATGATTTATGGTTTGTTCATGATTAACAATTGTAAGCACATTAGAAGAATCAATTGAAGGCAAATTAGGATCACCCAACCTTCAAATCTTTGATGAGACCATCCAGGCCACCAATGTCAGCCCAAGTAATTGACATATTCAATGGGTCAACCAGAGTAGATGCAAGTGCAAGTTCATGGTCTGTTAACTAATTTAAAAACATTGTTAACAGAATACTTCAATTTTTTTGACGAAGGATTCAATTTCACAATGGCAAAGCCAGGTTTATTTAGTCCTGCTGTGTAAATTTTTGTGTGTTAACTCACTGGAAAATATTACATTTATAAAGAAATGAATATGATGATGATCTAAAGTTTATATATGCGCTGGCTTCATCACTGCAATGTCAGTATGCTTTGTGTCTTATGTACATAAATAAAGAAACATGTGTTTATACATGGAACTCTTTCAACTAGAAAGGTTATTTTTTTCAATCTGATTTGCTCCATGAGAAGCCTATTAGAGGCAGTATGTGCAACCACCTTAGATTTCTAATTAGCAGAGTAATTATAGATTAATAAGAATTAACAAAAGGACTATGAAAAATGAATAAACGGTCCACAGATTTGATCAGGCTGTGTGAGGAGGAAATACTGACATCTCAAAAATGTCCCTTAAGTCTTTGGTGAAGAATGTTTTTTAAACTTCAGGAAGTATTTCCTTATATGGACATCCAAGTTAGTAAATGACATTAGTATATATAATAATATATTTATTCAAAATGTGCTTGTTTTCTGCCAATTCCCACACTTAATGAGGTCAAGAACGCATCACTTTTACTCATCTTACTTTGATGCCTTCTAATCCAATCTTTATCAGTAACTGCTCAGCCTGCAACAAAGGAAAAAGACAAAATTCAAACTCTTATCTCAAGCTCGTTGTCCATAAGTTGGAGCCGTTGTTATATACAACAGAAAATAACAAAAGCGTTGTCTCAGAAACGTTTGCCAACGTTGGCCAGCTGACCTCTTCATGGGTTAACTGCCCAGGTTTCTTTTTCGTTGGATCCAAACTGTCAAATATGAACTTCATGCCGTAATACACCATCGCAGACAGCAAGCCTAACGTTACGAATGCTGTGATTTGCTTGATGTGCATTGCTAAACATATGATTCAAGGAGGATTATTGACTAAACTCGGTCTGTTTCCATGTTGTAAACGCTCTAGCTTTCAAGATACTTTTGCTTTCAGTTCTCTGATTATTTGTGATATATTGAGTGGAATCTGTACACTGGGGAAATATTGAAGTTGCGCAATCTTTGTATTGGATAATTGCATAATCTTGAAATTTGCGGATGTTCAACTTTCATCCACACAACATTGTACACCGTTTTTCGTGAAATTGTAAAATCTATGCGCTTTTTAATTGAGCAAGGTGAAAATAAATCTCTCATTCAATAATATTACCACATAAGAAAATCAAAATCTACATAAATAGTCATAAATACTGAATGATATTCTAGCTTTTTTCAAGATCAAGTTTTATTTCTATTTTCTATTCTATATTTGTATATATGGAAACACAATTTAGTTTCCAGTCCTTATTCCACTTGTAAACACCGAGTCGTTCTTTTCGTATTTCATTTCTCATTTGTCATTTTTTAAATTTAAGGTATCTTTAAAATCCATGTAATCCCTGTCTTGTTTTTTTTCTGTTCAGACGAGCGGCTCGTATTTAGAAAATAAGGTTAATGCTCTTTCTCTCAGCGTATTTATTCTTTTTTATGCTTGTGTTAATAATGAGTAAAACGACATTATATTACACGCATTTTAGCATGCCTAAAGGTAAAAGCAAGACTCCAAAAGAAGAGGTACAAATTACCCTTGGCCCCCAGGTTGCTGAAGGGGAAGATGTGTTCGGTGTTGCACATATTTTTGCTTCCTTTAACGATACATTCGTTCATGTAACAGATCTTTCTGGAAAGTAAGCTTCATATAATAAAGTCATTTTGCAAAAGGACAAAGTACTGTTCCCAGAACAACTTCCCTCACTTCTATTAATTATTTTATAGAGAAACAATTGTGCGTGTCACAGGAGGCATGAAGGTGAAGGCAGATCGTGATGAGGTGAATGATGATGTAATGTCTCAACTGATTGCAAGATTTTATTAAAACAATTTCTTTATTTGGTCATTATAGGCTTCTCCCTATGCTGCAATGTTGGCCGCACAAGATGTTGCTGTAAGATGTAAGGAAATCGGTATCACTGCCCTTCATATCAAACTCAGAGCAACCGGAGGAAACAGGTTTGGCAATGATTATTGTTCGGTTATTGATAGATGTGTTACACAGACTGTGAAAAGTAGGCACTCCAGACTGGAAAGTTTGTACTGCACTCCCAAGATCTTGGCTTGAGAAAACTAGGCTTTTATGCTTGCAAATTTTGAATCTCGGTTATGCAATTTACAGGTATTACATGGTTACAGGTATGCACTTATGTGTGCAAAATTTAAAATCTCAGGTGTTCAATTATTAAGCTTTACTGTCTGGTGTCTAGTAGACTGTTGCAGAATTAAAAAAAATGATATCGATATATCAAAAAAAATATTGATATTTTTTCGGATATTTTTTCCCCGTTATTTATAGTGTTGCTTGCAATGACTCATAGATCAAGCGTTCCAACAATTGCCATGCACTGGTTATGACTCATTGATCAAATTGTTGAAACTTGGCCAATAATTCCTCCACATGTGTGATTGGGTCAAGAGTTTCTAATAGTATACAAAGCCATTTAAAAACTGTTGTAAAGCCATTAAAAAACCATTAAAAACTATCTATAATGACTAAATATATATTACATGTTTGTAGATGTAGATCGTCCAGGTTAGTACAGTCCTGAGAAGGACTGTTTTTGTTGTTGTTGATTGACATCAGAAGATGACTACCGCTAAGGTTGTGGAAACGTCAGTCAACAACACCAAAAACAGTCCTCAGGACTATACTAACCTGGACGATCTACATTTATAAACATGTAATAATACTACCGGGTTCAAACAATTTACTCTAAATATATATTGTAACACCGAATATTTCGGTATTTTTTTTTTATATTTTCGATATTTCGATATACTGCAACAGCCTAGTGTCTAGCTCTTGCACATTAAAGAGGTACAGTTGTGTAAAAGCTAGTCAACTGCTCTCTGGAGTTCAAATGCATTCAAAGTTTCTGCTAATCAGTGTGAGCCTCTTGCGTCTTATTTTTAAATAAAAAGCAACAGCAAAGGGCTTTAAAATACCATATTTAAAAGGGTATAGAAGAATGTGATCATTTATAAAATTATGAGATATTGTACATTTTAAAGATATTTTTGAGAGAGTTTTCTAATCAAGGGGCTTTTGCTATAGGCTGTCATTATCAACAAGTTCAAATAAATAAGGCTATGTTATATAAATGCAGTCATTTGATTTCTCATTACTATTCTACTTAGAACAAAAACTCCTGGACCTGGTGCCCAGTCTGCCTTAAGAGCCTTGGCTCGCTCTGGAATGAAAATTGGGCGAATTGAGGATGTAACGCCCATACCCTCGGACAGTACTCGTCGTAAGGGTGGTCGTCGTGGGCGACGTCTGTAAATCTATATTGATAATTCTTAAATAAAGAGTTGCCAAGAAATGCAGATGTGTAATTTGTTGATTTATTTGCACTACCTATCGGTAAAACCAGCAGATACATAAAAAGTCTTTAAAAAGGAAAAACTTATGGCAAATACCATTCATGTAATACCACTCCAAATTCCATGATACCAATATATTGTACCGAATACCTTGTAAGTACCAATTTTATTGACATAACGATGCCAACGTACTTCCACCGGAAAAAGAACTTTTTTGATTTACAAAATAAATTGTTTTCTTGTTCAATCTCACGGCAAGGTGGATGATTCTTGCTTGCCACATATTGTATGCAGATCAGAGGCGTGAAAAGTCTTTGATAGACATTTGTAAGGTTTGTTATTAAACGGAAATGGCAAATATTTTAGAGGCACAGGCATTCCTCGTCCCCTGTAAGATTCTGATCTGAATTTTTATACATGTTTATAAATGAGCTGGGGTTGTCATACCCCCTCACCTTGCTTTTACGTGTGCCCCTGCCTCGCACTACAATTACTGGCCTATTTCACAGAAAATAACGTTTAAATGAAATTTATAATTGGAATAAACCTAAGAAACTAAGTCTGTGTCATTTACTTTTCAATCTTTTCATCATTTTTTGGGCAAAATACTGCTTCCAACTGGATTCCTGTTTTGCGAAATGATGCGAATTTATTGACGAAATCTTGTTGTTGCGATGTCGCGAGGTACGAATTGACCAATGAACAATCTCGCTTTTTGGCGGGTAACAGATACACATTTGCCGCCATTGTAGTCTGACAAGCATATCGATCACAAGGTAAGTTTTAGTTTAATATTTCTTGTGAAATTTCCTCAGTTTTACTGAAAACAACGGTAATTTTATAAATAAAATGGTCGTGTCTCTTAGGAAAGAAGTTATAACTTGTCATCAAAGCTCAATAACTTTATATTTTTCGTTTTTGTACAATGATACAAATGGCGCCGCGGCGTGCTAATGATGGACTCTGTGGTGTAATGTTTTTCTTCTTGATAAGCTTTTGTGGGTTATTAGACATGAGTGCGTTCTGTACAATTGCTACTAATCAGTGATGATTTTAAAGTCTTCAGTATTTGTAAAAACTGACCACTTGCTATCCTCTTTCAGAAATGATTATAAACGCAAGGTTTATTACCTCATTCCTTTCTTCTATTCTTAGGAAATCAGCACTGTCTACTTTTCTAATCAATCGAAATGTTTGAAGCACGTCTTGTACAAGGTAGTCTCTTCAAGAAAGTCTTGGATGCCATCAAGGACTTGGTGACCGAAGCAAACTGGGATTGCTCCGCCAATGGCATGTCGATGCAAGCCATGGACAGTGCTCATGTTAGCTTGTGCTTTATCGACCTCAATGCTGATGGTTTTGATCCATACAGATGCGACAGAAACTTGACATTAGGACTGAACATCAGCAAGTATGTGTTAGAGACACACATGATAATGATATATTAAGACCATAGTAGGTCACAGACAATCTTTAGCAGAATCTTATGCCATAGTTACGCTTCCACTCCCCTCACATCAAACATACTAGAGTCTGAAAAATAGCATCCTCGGCTGCTTTTAAAATTAGTGGCCTTGAGGGGTGACTTCTTTTTTTTGGGGGGGTGGGGTTAGCCCCAAAGGGTGCTTGTATTCGAGTTGTTGTTTTAATCCATGTATAAATGGTATTTTTCAATGCATTTAAAGTTGTGTAAGGTTCCGGTAGTTGACAAAAACGTACATGAACATTTTATTTGTGGCCTCTTTTGAGAGAGTGGTTACTTTTAGTTAGAGCTACTTTAAGACTCTACGTTACGCACGCCTCATCTTATGTAACTTGTGACATAAACATAGACAATTCATTAGCAGACTACATACGTATGAGCAAGATTGGTATAGTTGATGGTCCTGGTAAAGAAACATAAGATTACTATATGTTGGATTTGGCTGCATACAAGAATTGCAGAAAAATGAATAGCTGGCTCATTGGTCAAGTTTTTTTTTCAGTTATTTGTGGTCATTACACATTTTCCACACCAAGCACTAAGGAGTTAATTAAGAATGTGCTTGCTCTGGGCGTTGTGTGTGTTATCTGGCATTCCTCGCCCCAAAGTTTTTACCAAACTCGTAAGGACCAGGTTTCATGTCAATTAGGTTGTGATCTTTAAACATTTTTTGCTCAAGGCATCAAAAAGGTTAATGTATGTAATATGCATACATAAATCAATATACACTCATTTGACTAACTATAATCTGAAACTTACATCTTTGCTTGACTTTGTTTTTTAGTCTCTCCAAGATAATGAAATGTGCTGCAAACGACGATGTTGTTACAATAAGAGCTGAAGATAATGCTGATGCTGTCAACCTGATATTCGAAACTCCGAGTAAGCACTGCTATTGCATTTATTTTATGATTTGACGAAAGCAATTTATTGACAAGGATCATTTTCTTAAATGCTTGTGCACATAGACCAAGAGAAAGTTTCTGAATACAGTCTGTTATTGATGAACATCGACAGCGAACATCTTGGTATTCCTGTAAGTTTTTCGCTCGTTTTTGATGAATCCATGCATTCGTTGATCGAGAGGCCGTTTTTGAGGGTTGCTGTTCGCTTTTCAGGAAACGGATTACTCGGCCACAATAAAGATGCCTTCATCCGAGCTGCAGAGAATCTGCCGTGATTTGAGCCAGATTGGCGACTCAAGTAAATGAAGTTGAAATTTTAATGTAGTCTTTATGAGTGAAAGCCATGTTATAGCTGTCGGTTTATAACATTCATATTGATTTTTCAGTTGGCATTGCGTGCACTAAGGAAGGAGTCCAATTCTCGACAAGTGGTGACTTGGGCAGCGGGAACATCAGCCTGAGGCAAAATGCCTGTGTGGATAACGAAGAGGATCAGGTATGTGGTTGTCTGGTCGACGTTTGAAAACAATTTTTGACGTACCACCGCGGAATCCTGACAAAGAAGTCTCGCAAGTCGAATCCGAACTGGAGCCCCTTCCCTACCAATTCATCATGGACCCATCCCTGTTTAATTGACATTTAAAAGTGCATCTTAGTGAAGATGTTATTCATATCAAATGTTCATAACTGGTGTTTAGGTGTCCATTCAACTAAACGAACCTTGTAACCTGACGTTCGCATCTCGTTATCTTAATTTCTTCACGAAAGCGACACCGTTATCGAATATAGTCACTCTATCGCTTAAAGCCGATGTTCCTTTGGGTAAGAAAGACGATTTCTACCTCACGCGTGTATTATAAATTGTTCCAAACCATCTCTAAAAAATAATACAACTCTCATTTTTTAGTCGTTGAATACAAAGTTGGCGACATTGGTTCAATAAAGTGAGCTTGTTTTTCTCGAGGCATGAAGACTACAGTAATTCATTCATTAATCCTCGAAATTCATTTGAACATTTTCAGGTTCTATTTGGCGCCTAAAATTGATGACGAAGAGGCCGAAAACACTCAATGACAAGAAACACCCTGCGCCGTCTCGTGGAAGATCATTATTGTTGCTGCGAGATTGGGAATTCCTTAACTCGCTTTTTTTTCGATTTCATCCTCTCCCATCATTTTAACTTTAACTCATCTTACTAAGGACGTTTTATTCCGTTCACTTTCACGCGATAAACGATTTGCTCGAGGGTATATGGGGGTACATATGATAAGGATAAGTATGTATAGCATGGGCAAAGTTGGATTAGCTGATTTTTTGCAGGCGAACGATGTTACGTGAGTTAGAATTGCAATAATTATTTCTTATTACGTTGCTGTAAATTACATTTGATTGAAATTCCTATCGTGGTGCTAAGTATTTTGTTTTGTTTTGTTTCACTTCGACGGCCGTTCGTCGTGCCTTTTTCATCTTGAGCGACATGCAAGCATTCTACCATCATAAGTCTTAAACGTGAAATTATTTTACATATAAAATTAAACAAACGAGCTTGTTCTCGATTGCCTATTCTATGAATTGGAGAACCGTAATTAAAAGAAAGATGAAAGACGAAAAATTTGTTTCTTTCGAGACGATTATTCTTGTCTCAAAAATGACCATTTAGTGCGCTGCTTTTTCGACAGTTGCATTTGTGAAAATAGACGATGGCCACGTGATCAGAAATACTGCGTGCGTTAATGGTCCAGCAGTTTGGCTTGCGAAAGTTGTTCTTTTAATTTTTTGTACACCAATAGTTGCTGTTCCGGAGCTAAGGACATGATGAGACGAAAAATCTTGAGCGGATTGGGTGCCCTAGGAAGGATTGATGAAAAGAAATTAACAAGTGGCCGACATGATGGTAGTACAGTCAGCTGTACCTGATCAACGTGAAGTGATAAACGTATGTGAACGTGCCCATCAGCAGCTGACAATCAAATCTGTCCATTAAACCACCATGACCTGGAATCGTGTCTCCAAAGTCCTTATCGAAATAGTGACAACTGTTAAGATCTTTCACCTTTTTCACAACTCAAAACCTCTTATTCCCAATATAGCTACTGGCCTGTTTTTTTCCAACTACCATCTCGTGATGATCTATAGTTACCACATACAGTGGGGCGAAATTCGGGGGAGGGGTTCCCCCTATACTTTGCCACATACTTTTACAGGTAGTAAAAGATAAGGCTTTCTTATATTAACTATAGTTGTTGCCCTCTACGACCATTGATGCCGGGTTGTGCCCACTCAAAAATTACTTATTCCCTACACCACTGACATATGTACTCAACTTGCTTACCCAACAAACATGTTTAAATAGTTTTATCATTCTTACTATATTTTACCTAGCGATCCGCATTCCTAACTATTTGACTTATTCGTACGACAAGAGACCCTGGCAAACCATATTTACAAATACCAAATAGCCATTATATAGCTAAACTACATTCTCTTTCGTTTACCAAAGGTCGCTCAACGCAGAACGACGTAAGTTCGAAGGAATTTAAATTCTCACCTTCACTTTAAAGGCTCGTTTGAATCCACTTGCGAAGAATCCACCGAACGGAGCAATCAGTGAAGAAAACAAAGCGAGAAAGAAAGAATGAATTTGCATCGGATACATCCAAACTTCAAGCTTCTCGAAGCCAAGCTACATGGAAAACGGGAGAAGACGTTTAACACGAACAGACTATAACTACTCACATCGTTACGGTGAAAGGTACTTATGATATGATATGCTTTACCTCGATTCAAAACGATAAGAAATAAGCTATGAAATATCAGACGGGGCTCAAAATAACGGCCAGTCAGCAGAGTGAACAGACAATGACTGATCAAAAAAAGCTTGTTAACAGGCCAACTTTTTACATCTACGGTAGTTTGACAAACTACGTTTTACGTCGCGCGCGATGCGTGGTAACATCTCGAGAGCTTGAAACGTCAAATACGAGAATTTGTTGTCTCAAAAAATTATCTTTTCACGTTCTTTGGTGCAATATATGCACGAAGTGAATGGTTTGAACGCGGGAGTATCTTTACACGTATGTTTATGGAGGTAGATCATCCGGGTTCGTGGATCTTGACAAAGACTGTTGGGTTGATGTTGACGGATGTTTCGAGAACCTTAGCGGTATTTATCTTCTGAGTACTTTATACTTCTCACTTAACTCTGAAGATGACTGCCGTCGAAGTTGTCGAAAAGTCAATCAACACCAACACCAACAGTCCTTCTTACTCCACCAACCTGGACGATCTATATTTCAGAAAATAGTACTAAATATCGCAAATACCATAGTGAATGGTAAAAGTAATATAATAAATTGATAGTTCTTAAAAGAACTGTTTTAAGAGCAGGTAGATTGTAAATTTTCATTTAGCAGACGTTGACACCTGAGGAGTAGTCTGCCGAAATGCATCGTGTCGTTTAGTTTAGAACTATTGGGTTAGTGCTCTTTACTTAAAACAGTTCTTTTAAGAACTATCAACTTATTATATTACTTTTACCATTCACTATGGTATTTGCGATATTTAGAACTATTTTCAGATTTGTCACCACGACAAAGTCTCTATTTTATTATCTACATTTCAATTCGTGTGTGTTAGTGATCGGTCAAAAACCGACTTTGACCGAACTCAAACGAAGTCATCACGAAGTCATCCGTCGGACACATTTCGGTCGTTTTTTTGAGCCCCGAAAAAATGTCCTCGTGGACAACTAAACTCACGTACCAATTTTGCAGGATAATGAAAGACAGATGGTATCGAATAAGCTGTCATCTGGTACAGAGGTGCTGGAGAGCAGGATGTAAGGAACGTCTTTGATTCGCTATTGTACTATGAGAAAAAAAGAATATTGCTACATATTCCTGGAAACATGACCAATGTTATCGCAGAACTTTCCCTGTAAAGTATTGCGACAACCTGATTATTCCTTTAAAAATTAAGGCAAAGGCCACGTTTATAATTGTTTTGTACATGTCTGTTTGATTAAGATAACTAACGCCGTTCTCCGCCGACAAAAGGATTATGTTTTTAATTCATCACTTTTTGGGCGTCATCTCTCCCGGTTGAAGATGACGTACATTGTTTCTAGACATCTTTGCAAATTCTCTTTGACTGATTGATTGTTATGATTGATTTGATTGGTTGAGCTCGGATGTGTTTTGCACAGGCTAATGCAAACACAGCTCTAGACCAATCAGCGCACGCGTTTCATTGTGTTTATTTTATAAAATAGTTATAAAACACTGAGTTCTCCATGCGTTACCTCGATTGGGCAAGTGAAGTACTCGAACTGACACATGATGTAGACGCCCTAAAAACGATCGAAACTCTTCAAAGTTTTCTGTTAGACGACGAAATAAACACGATAACGAACTCACAACGAAGGAATAGACTATTGTCATCACTCCACCACCTATAAATCCCTCCCAAGTTTTTTTCGGAGAAAGCTAAGAAAGAGAGAAAAAATCTACGGTATTCATTGCAATCGTAAAACGTGATATGCATGTGCCGGCATGTACCTTTATAAGTGGCGTTTTGCCAAAGAAAAATCCTTAAAATCAAAATATTTCATCATCAGTTAACAACGGTCAATTAAGGTTGCCCATGCACGTACCCTGGTGAAAATCCTACATCCGGGATCCCATAGATCTTGTGAGATCCTACGGGATCCCACAAAGGAATCCTTTCACAGTCCCACACAGATCCCATAGGATTTTGTGCACGGTCATTCATACTCGGGAATTTCACCAAGGTATTTACACAGACCGCGGTCAAAGTGGTCGAAAAAATTCACCAAGGCACACAGACCGTGGTCAAAGTGGTGGAAAAAATTGTTTTTACCAAAAACATAAGCCCAAATGTCGTTGCATACAACCAAAGAAACGGGAAGGAAGAACCTAGAAATAATTTTGCGTTTTGATAAAACTCTTAAGAAACTATCACAGTCATTGGCATTTTTATATTTTTACCACATCATTCCTTGAAACAGTGTCTGCATGATGAGATGAGATTGGGTCACGATAAGCAGCAATGTAATGTGCGTCCAACCAAACTAAACGGTAAAAGATAGCAGACTTGTGCTCGACAAAGCACGTACGCAAATTTGACAAATAAATTCTCAACCGGAAGCAAAAGCTTCGGATTTCGAGCTGACGTTTCGGTTACGAGTTTGATGACTTACTAGAGAGAACTGTTTTTTGTAGAAATCTTTTTTCAGGCTGTAGACAAATAACATGATACCTATGAAAATTAAAGTTTGAAAATCTTAAAAACTTTTTCGACATGGAGGTCAAAACATTCCATTTGCAAAGGTTTTTGCCTACTTGCCAACTACAGTGTATTTAGAAAAAAACTTACAATCCAAGCAATTTGAAATCGATTAAAGATATTGAAAGTGAAGTAATGAAGCATATGTGACAAGTCTCCCGGTCCAGAAGTCCCGGAGATGCCACCTTTCAGACATAGTCTTAGCCGAGTTTAGTTTGACAAATTACTCATTGTATGTAGCGTGATAAAATGCATCAAAAGTGATCCAGGATAGCTTTTACAATTTTCCGGGGGAGTGCCCCTAGGTAAAAGTTCTTGCTCAAATCATTGTGCCTTTGGCAATTGCTCGGATTAGTCACTGAGTCAAATCTCTGGTGAGCCTCTCCCAACTACTTGGCATTTATGATAATAGTCTAACAAAGGATGATAGTCTCCTTTCTGTTTGCAGTTAAACTCAATAACTACTTCCTCAATTGAAAAATTGATTTACAAATTATACACTCTTACCAAAACAATACATTCCATACGATATAAGACGGTGATATCGAATCAGATATTGCAAAACTATGTGCTATGGGAAAAGGAAACAGCATTTAGTGCATTTCTTTAACTTCGACAAACTATTATTTCGACTAACTATTCACTTACTTCTTGCGAAAGCAATCCTTGAAAATATTCTGATATGCTTTCTCCATAGAAGAAATAATTACTGCAGAGCAAAAAGTACCTGAAATGGTAATACTGGACATAAGAAATAACATTGAAAAATATTTTAGGAAATTAGCACCTACTTTCTTCTGCAAATGTTTTTACATAAACGCATGACTGAATTACCAACTCAATATCCTAAACCATGGTAAACTTAAACTTTGATACTTCTTATGGCCAATTGAGATGATTTCATGGAAGCACTTGATCTGAATGCATTGAATCTAGGAATGAACAGCAATGAATGAATGGTGTTGCATAAGTTGCAGTTCAAAATGAGAGAGACTAGTTATTATTTACAAAGTCTGCTTATGAAAGGTGTCTGCTAGCAAGAGGTTGGGAAAGATCAATTGTATGTTGTCAAAAGACCCAAATTAATGTCTGCTAATGGTAGATATTAGCTTCCAAAAGTCTTTGATTAAGAAGGGTTTGATTGTACTTTACAAATAAAGCATTTTTGATGACCAATGTCAGTTTCTGGGCCAAGTAATAGCAAAAATTTCTCAAATCACAAATCAGTGATGAGCTCATGATGCATGTGTATATGTAGGGGTAAGCTTTCTTATGAATAAACAACAGAGAAAACAGTTATTTTTTTTCCTAAAATAACACACGTCAAAAGAAAAAAATTACTTCAAATTAAACATACCAGTAGAATAAGGGCAAGAGGTCCAAGATATAGAATGAAAAAAAATGAGAAGATCATTGCCCAAGTAAAAAATAACCTGATCCACCAGTTCCGCCATCTATAACATATATAGAAAGCACTCCTGTTGAACAATCTACTCAAAGGGCATCTCAAATGAGTCTTTGTTGTTTGCAAGCTCTAACTTCTTTACCTTGGATTGAGGTTTGCCAAGAAATCGGCCTTGTTGCCATTCTAAGAATCAAAGACATGCTGAGATGCTTTAATTCATTCATCGAAAATATTGGCGGCACACACTATTTGTGACTTCATGACATTTTGAATATTGGTTATGTTACTAATGCTCTTGCAAATACAACACTTAAAGGTTGCATATAGCCTTGCAACTTTGTGTGCCGACCCAAAAAGATTATCGTAGACGCAATTAGCTTTCAAAAGTGATGCCTGTCGTACGTTTTACGCTTCGTCGCCCAATTAGGGCAGAGCATCGTCGATGACTGCAAAACAGACTGAAAAAACACTTCGAGCACTTTTCTTTCAATCACATATTTAAAATACAAGCGAGCAAAGGTCACACATACGGTTGAACATTTGTGAGTCAAGCAAGAGAAATAGCATACCACGACAGGCTTGGCTTCTTCTGTTATATTTAGAGTAGACTGATCTCCTTTCGTATCCACGGTTTCGGTGTCTTGAACGTTCTCCTTTTGCCGTCTTCTGGCCGTTTGCAGACTTTCCGCACTTGACATGAGTCAGATAGGAATCTCCTCCAGCTAACACATAAAACAAAAAAGGCAACAACCCGGATTTGTCGAATCTATATCGGCTGTTTTTGTCCTCACACAACGCAATTATTCAAAGTTTACAGCAAAATAAATCTGCATAATGTTGAGTTTGTTGACGACTTTTGGAACCAGCCGAACAGCTGGTCTGATTGGATCACTGGATAAAGTCCACCGTCCGGGGGGAGGAAGAAACCACGTAGTTCAATGCTTGAACATATATCATTTACTCTCAAATGATTCGAACCCAATTAGCTGCTAACGATCAAAACATCGTTTATTGTTTAAAAGATTTTAGTAAAATTTTTCATTAATCGGAATTTTTACATATTGCTTATAAACTGGGATTGAACTTGTCATTATCATTTATCATATCGCTTATTCATTATATATGTTCACCAATAAGCTATTCCTTTACCCCCTGAACGTCTTAGCTTCATCGCTGTGCCAAAACGTGTTAGACCAAAGATGGCAGCTTAGTAGGAGTGAAAATAGACAACAACTTAATTTAGGCTCATTTATATTTGAATTTGAGCGGAAAAGAATTGATAGGTATGCTCAAATAAGCACGCCATTTGTTTATGTTTCAATTAAATGGCTGAAAAGACACCTAACATGAAGGTGTTGAGCCAAACAGAACCAGGTAAATATGTTAAATATCACCGACTGCAGTGTGACTTCGTGGAAACTTGTGCATTCGACTACATTTTTACCTTAATACGCTAACTTTTTCGGTTAAGGTTTACAGATAAAAAGAGGAGGCATCTCATCCCGGTACATATCCTGTCGTGAATCGCACAGTTAGAATGATGTTATTTATAAAGACTCATTTCTTTCAGTGGTCGACTCCAGTCATTTCGGTCACCCAGAGACCTGACCCTTGGTGGAACTTCCAAGGTATTTATTTTCACTTGTGAAACGTTTTTTTGGGCTTTAAATCATTGTTATTTGATGGTTTTTAGAGGACTTATGCACCAACAATACCTGTACGAAGAATCAAAGAAGAGTGAGTGACATATTGATGAATCAATTACAGTTTTCTAATTTTTAGTCTTGATCTTAGTTTGTTTATTGGTATATTTCAGACCCAAGGATGCACCTTCCGAGGTACATGATAAAAATTATGAAAATGAGCAAGAAAATACCTTTTCTGTTCAACTATAAAATCATCTTTCAAGATTCTATTTTTGATATTTCTTAATAAAAAAGCAAAAGTCACGACGTGATCCTGGGCAAACAAGACCTCAAGGAAGAGGTCGTGCTAGAGGTCAAGGTCGTGGTCGTGGTCAACCAAACCTAATCCAGTCAAAATCGATCTTCTCTGAAGGACTGGTTGCCAAAACAGGTAAATCTTATCCATGAAGAGCTTTTCCAGTTCTTTCATCAATTTTAAGTGGTCAATACTTTGTTTCAGTTACATCTTTGCAGATAATTTAACCTGAAATTCGTTATGACATTGAAATATGAAATGTTCATACGTACCCTGAAAGCTAAACATAGAGTTCTGCATGTGTTTATTTCCTCTCGAACTTGTCTTGCTCATAGTTTGATGGTTCAAAAACTTTCTTGGTCATTGCTAGATATGTAGTGATTTTGCTGTGCATGCTTTTACTTGAAACTCGAACTCACTAATATTGCATTCACTTTTCAAATCCAGTTTCAAGTCAGCCTCGTGCTCCAAGCTATGGTAATGATGTAGGCGGTGGCTCGGTTAGTGGTGAAAGATCAAAAATGACCACCGTCAAGTAAGTTGTTGAAGGGTTTGATTTTGTCTCCCAACCTGGAGTTGGAGTTGGGTTACAACTGTTTGTCGCTTTTCTTCAACCTCCCTTTTTTTTTTCATCTGAAATGCAGGTCTGAAAAAGGTTTCGAAGAGTCTCAAAAAATCTTGAAGATGCTCGATGAAGATGTATGTTGATGTCAATTTTGTAGTTTTAACTTTACAGAGTATCTTGCTGTCTCGCATTCTGTAATGTTCTTGAAATTGCTTTGAAAGACACTCGCACTTCCGAAGTCTTCGTGCTTTTGCTTGCCGTGCTTTTGCTTGCCGTGCTTTTGCTTGCCGTGTTTTGCTTGCTTTTTATTTTGTTTGTTTGAGATGCTTTTGTTTTATGCTTTTGTTTTGTTTTTTTTTGCCCTGTTTTTTTGTTTTTTTTTTGTTTGTTTTTATTTTTGCTTTTTTTTTGCTTTTGTTTGTTTCTTTTTTATTTTGTTGTCTTTTGTTTGTCCTTTTGTTTTTGTGGCTTTGTTTTTGTTTTTGTTTTGTTTTGCTTTGTTTTTGTTTTGTTTTTTTGTTTTGTTTTTGTCTTGTTTTGTTTGTCCTGTTTTATTTTGTTGTTTTGTTTTTTGTTTTTATTTTGCTGTTTTGTTTTGTCTTATTTTTGTTTTATTGTCTGTTTTGTTTGTCGGTTTTGTTTGATTTGTTTTTTTTTGTTCTTTTTGTTTGTTTTGTTTCAGAGCTTTTATTTATATGCTTTTGTTTGTGTTTTGTTTTGGCTTTTGTTTGTCTTTTGTTTGTCAGGCTTTTATTTCGTTTTGTTTTGTTTTGCTTTGTTTTGATTTTTTGTTTTTGTTTTGTTTATTGTTTTTGTCTTTTTTTATTTTGTTGTTTTTGTTTGTCGTGGTTTTTTTATTTTGTTTGCGTTTTTGTTTTGTCGTGTTTTTCCGTGTTTTTGTTTGTCTTTGTTTGTTGTTTTGTTTTGTTTTTTTGTTATTCGTGGCTTTATTTGTCGGTTTTTGTTTGTCGTGTTTTTTGTTTCATTTTTGTTTTATGCGTTTTGTTTATTGCTTTTGTTTGCTTGCTTTTTTTTGTTGTTGTATTTGTTTTTTTGTTGTTTTTGTTGTGTTTTTGTTTGTTGCTTTTTTTTGTTTGTTTGTTGTTTGTTTTTGCTTTTATTTGTTCTGTTTTCGCTGTTTTTTTGTTTGTTTTGTTTGTCCCTTTTTGTTTGCCGTTTTTGTTTGTCCTGTTTTGTTTGCCGTGTTTTGTTTGTCCTTTTTGTTTGCGTGCTTTGTTTGTCCTGTTTTTTGTTTGGTGCTTTTTTGTTTTGCGCCGTGCTTTTGCTTGCCGTGTTTTTGCTTGCCTTGCTTTTGCTTGGCATGCTTTTGCTTGCCGTGCTTTTGCTTGCCGTGCTTCTCCGTATATTTCCCCATGTTTCCATAACTCCATGTAGGTGACACTATTCCTTTAATTGAAACAAAAGTGTAGAAGTCAGGACCAACACTGGAGTTTTAGCCTGCGTAAATAGTCATGTTTGCCCTATTTAGTTCCATTAAAATCAATTGTTATGCATATGTGAATATTGGCGCTTACCATTAATCGAGTTAGCTATGCCATTAGCTGTAGTCATTGCACTGAATTCTCAACACTATTCAAAGTAGAAATAAAATAGAAAATGAGATGGGAAAGGTAGTAGCCTAGTTATATTTACTCTATTGCCGTCACCCATGATGTGCTTGAGAGTCAGTGTTGGCTTGCTCAGTGACGTAGCTAGAGGAGTGTGCTGGGGTCAGCTCCCCAACAGGAAAAATTCTAACCCCCTTGATATATTATATTTTGCTTACATTAAATTGTTTTAAGTCATTGCCCCCCTTCCCGTTTACTGCCCTCCCCCCTTTTGACAGAAAATCTTTGGCTTGCTGCTTAAAGTGCCCATGGCTGCAAAAATTTTTATATGCGATATTAATCTTTTTGATGCACCTTCTCCGTCGTCCGAAAAGTCCGGAACGACTTACTTTTGTGATGTCATGCAGGGGGCTCCTCTATACAAAACATGTATATACCAACTACCTTGGATGACGTCATAATTTGGCTAGACCCGGACGCCATGTTACGACGGACAAGGTCGATTGAAAGGCGACTATAAACCACCATAAAAGTAGAACGATTGAACCAAAGAAAAAACTTTCTTCACCGAAGTGTTAGAAATCACACCTAGATTTGATGTCGCAAATAAAAATTTTTGCCGACTGGGGCACCGTTTAAACTTTATTTACTTCATAATCAAAACCAATGCAAGGATAAATTTGTGCGGTAAACTGCATTTACAGGGCGTCATGGAAGTCGATGAGAAAGGCGGTGTTCTACCCATGCACATACCACTTGCTCTGCACGACCGTTTCTCCATGGAGGTGAAAGATGGCGAAGAAATATCGACCGTTGCATGTACGTAAGGCGGGTGTAATTGAATTTTCAGAGCATCATTATTATTCAATTAGAAATCTGTTGTTTCACAGCAAGCGAACTTATGAACATCTACATGTTTGTAGATGAAGATCTTGTTTACATGTTAGTAGAGTCCTTTGAAGGACTACTGTTGTTGGTGTCGAGTGTTGCGTCGACAGCTTTTGCGGTAGTCATATTTATATTCAAGTGAGGGGTAAACTTCAGGCTGACCACGAAGACGACTACCGCTAAGGTTGTCGAAACGTCAGTCAACATCAACACCAACAGTCCTTCTCAGGACTCTACTAACCCGGACGATCTACATCTACGAACATGTAACGATACTCCTTGGTTCAAACCATTCACCTAAAAAATGGCAGGAGAGAATAATCGGGCTGGCCTCTCCACCGGGCAGGCGTATTTGTGTGACGACAATTGCCTTGCCAGCCCGACTTTCTACTCCCGCTATGAGAGTAATAGATTTCTAAAGAAATGAATGACGGTAACCTTAAATATTTACTTAGCTCACCGGGAGTATATCTGCAGGCTGACTACGCCATTGCATGTGTGTGTCTTGTACATGAATTGTCTTGATTTGCGAATGAATGATGTTACTGAATATGTCAATTTTTTCAGTCGAGGAGATGGATACAACGGACAAAATACCATTTTCGAAACCGCCTGGCACATCTCAATACAGGGCGACCACCTCACAACGAATGACATGCGGAGAGCTGCTGACCAGTGACGAGTCGGTAGGAATCGCGTTGAACTGTATGCTTGTACATGTCAAGTGTTCAATTCAAAACTCGAAATGTTGCCATCTGAAAGGGATGACCCTAGGACGGGGCGGGTGGCTGAATGGTTAATTGCATGAGCTGTAAGCCAGACGGCGCGGGTTCAATCCCGGCTCGTGGCACATTTGGCAATGTGTCTGTAAACCTATCCTGGGTTGACCAAAGCCATGTGAGGGAAATTTGGTAGAGGAAACTATGTCCTCAGATGGACTGTATCTGCATCTGCAATGTTGCAGCCTTGTCACACTGTGTCACGCTGATATCAGCGTTGTGGTTGCGTGAAGGATACGAGTGATTGTAGTCTGGTCAGCTGCTTTCACTATAAGTGACCAGGATGTTCCACTTTGTGGAACCCTCATACGTCGAAATCGACGGAGTCCATTATTACCCTTTTTCAGACACGGCTAAAACAGGGTCACCGAGATAGAAATTGTAGGACCTGGGGCAAAGTTTCACCAGGGCTATGACGTCATGATATTAAAAACTTCCACTGCGCTTGGACAAGATAGCACACTTAAGCGAAAGAAAAAACTTGAACCAATTACAATGTATACCAGACCCGTAGAAAGCTTTTTTGATTGGGGAGGGGGGAGGTGTTGAGACTGGTAGCTAATGGCTTAAGGGGATCCGGAGGCATGCACTCCGGAAAATGTTAAAAGCAAAGTCTCTGAAATGCTATTTTGGCGAGAGCGCTTGACGGACATTGACATTAATATATTTGGCAAAATACTATACATATCTCTACGATAATTGATGAGTAAATCGTTGGCGTAACTGTTAGCAATACGAATTCATCAATTTGAATCATTAAGTGTGCCTAGTTAGAAAACAAATCATAGCTTAGTAGCAAATTATTGCTACGGTATTTCGATGCATCCATTATGATCTTACATACTAACCTTAAAGCTAAACCGCACATCCTGTGCTCTAGTTCAATAGTCGCCAAAAGGCCATTGTGGTGCCTCGAGGGCCACGTTGCTTTTGCATGTATCGTAGGTACATATATATATATATATATCAAATTGTATCGAAAATTGTAGCTATATATATACGTATGGAAATTTACCCAATGTTTCACAGGAATAGGTGGTGAGGTTCATTTTTAGCCGTTATTGTTATTTTTAGTGGAGAAAACAACAGATGTTGTTCTTTCAACTACCGGATTCTCTTTCGAAGAAAATGTTTGATGACAACCTGAAAAGCATGAAGAAAAAGGTGACCATTTTTTTTGCTTCTCTTTTGCTGACGAACGTATAACATACAATCTCTACGACTGACTGACTACAGTGTAGCATACAATCTCTATGACTAACTACAGTATAGCATACACTCTCTGACTGACTACAGTATAACATACAATCTCTATGACTGACTACAGTATAACATACACTTTCTATGACTGACTACAGTACAGCATACAATCTCTATGACAGACTACAGTATAGCATACAATCTCTATGACTGACTACGGTATAACATACAATCTCTATGACTGACTACAGTATAACATACAATCTCTATGACTGACTACAGTACAGCATACAATCTCTATGACTGTCTACAGTATAACATACAATCTCTATGACTGACTACAATATAGCATACAATCTCTATGACTAACTACAGTATAACATACACTTTCTATGACTGACTACAGTACAGCATACAATCTCTATGACAGACTACAGTATAGCATACAATCTCTATGACTGACTACAGTATAACATACAATCTCTATGACTGACTACAGTATAACATACAATCTCTATGACTGACTACAGTACAGCATACAATCTCAATGACTGACTACAGTACAACATACAATCTCTATGACTGACTACAGTATAGCATACAATCTCTATGACTGACTACAGTATAACATACAATCTCTATGATTGACTACAGTATAACATACAATCTCTATGATTGACCACAGTATAACATACAATCTTTATGATTGACTACAATATAACATACAATCTCTATGATTGACTACAGTATAGCATACAATCTCTATGACTGACTACAGTATAACATACTATCTCCATGACTGACTACAGTATAACATACAATCTCTATGATTGACTACAGTATAACATACAATCTCTATGACTGACTACAGTACAGCATACAACCTCTAACACTGACTACAGAAAAGCGCACAATCTCTTTTGGACATGTTGCCGATTTTTCTTTTAATCATTTCAATAGAATGAAGAAAAAGCTTTAAGGCTGGAAGACATTCCCGAGGGCTATATTGGAAAGATTCGCGTTCACAAATCTGGACGAGTGCGGTATCAAATAACGCGGAATTTTTTTTCAAACATATAGAATTTTTAAGACCGATTTTTCTTAATTTCCAGTTTCGTCATGGACAATATTAGTTTGGACGTGTCGGTGGGAACGCCATGCAATTTCCTACAGGTAGTGAATTGATCTGTCTCTCATTCTCTGATGGCGATTGATGTCGAGCTTGATAATGACCTAATAATGATAAGTTGTCAATCTTTTTGCTTGTCGAATAAAGCTGTTTGGACGTCAGTTTTCGAGAGTTAGTTTATTTTTTTTAGAAAGCTGGATAAGCTGCAAACCCAATCCCCCTTCCATAATAATTTACTAAAACTGTTTCGATGATTGTTAAAACATGTCTCAAATTCTTCTCGATTTCCGTAAAACCTGGTAACGTATTTGGATTTCTAGACATTCCCTCCCCACCCCACCCTCCCCTCCCCACTCATAAACTGAAGGATTATCACAAACGGTCAAATTATAAGGAATTAGTTCTTTATTCAGGCCGAAACTGTTTGCTTGGAAGCAGTTTGTTTGATGTACATGTAATTAATCGTGTGTAAATACATAACCGATGACTTGTCGTAGCTTAAAGTCGGTGGAGAATTTTCAAGCGAATAGTTTAGTCGCGTGATTTTGATGCTCAATTAATCTAGTCAAACGTGAGACTAGCATGAGTTTTGTTCTCTGTGTTTTTGATTTGTAATCGGATTCACTCTCCGACAAATTTAATTTATCTTAGGTTTTTAAACTTGCCCAAGGATCAAGTATGCCGAGTACTCAATCACAAAACCGCCTATATCCTATTGTTTATAAACTCTATTTTTTTTTGCCCAAGGATCAAGTGTGCCGAGTACACAATCGCAAAACCGCCTTAATCCTATTGTTTAGCAGCTTGTTTCTCTTCGTCCTGGAAGGGGAACCATTTTTTGCTTGCCTGCACACACAATTAGGCATGCCAAGAATATTCAACAACAAAAATAATCTAATTCTTATTGTTTAGAAACTTGTTTCCGTTCGTCCTGAAAAGGGAACAATGACGACACTTCATCGAATCAAACAACGTCTCGTATGCACTCCAGATTTTGAAGATTTGTTGACACGCGAGGACACGTGACTGCCTCTAAACGACCAATCAATGACGGGGACGTGCTTCCTAAAAAGGCACGTCAATCAACCAAACGATGGAATTAGTACGAGGCTTTTCGTTCGGCCACAATGTTATTTTTGTGGCTCGTAAATTTTTAAGAAATCGTGTTCAGGGAAAAAAGAAAAGATTTTTTTATGCCCGTGAAACATGGCAAGGAAAGTATGCATTGGAGAAAATTCACGACGGAGATTGTGTCTATTTTTTGTAAACGGATCGTTGTGTAAACTTATTAATTTGTGTACATTGAAAGTTCGGCAAAACTTTCCCTTTCGATTGCGATGATTTGATAATTTGCTATGCACTAGTTTTGTTAGAAGTCCATTCTTGCTAAACATGGGAGGCTTTTTTGTTTCTTTTTTTCTACTCGAGTAAGTTATCTGACGTGACCCACCAATTTAAATGCACTTTTTATTTAATCGGAGGGCAGTAGTTTTGCCATGTAGCTATATGATGATGAATGCCTTATTATTTTAATTGAAAATGTTTATGAAACAAAATTTTTTAGCTATTCAAATTATGTTTTCATTGAACAGAACTTTTGAAAATGACAGTGGACCTCCATAAACAATTACTTATTATCTCTGTTCATTTTGAGGTGTTGAGGTTTTAATGTGTAAAATTCCCACCTTCGGTTCACTCTTTCCCATCATCTTAGTCTCCTTGCCGCATGTGCACTATAAGTGTATCTTCGAGGGCGTTAACAGGAATTGTCTCTTCAGGGATCGCGCAGCAGGGGACTGGACATAAACAAACAATTAATTGAGTAAAATTTAGTGTCCTGCATAATTATATTGCATGTTCTCGTGCTAATCTGCCCGCGCTACTTTTAAACAGGCTCCGCTTTCCCCTGTTCCTTTTGAATTCTTAGAATTGTGAACCTTCTCCTAGAAATGTTTGGTAGTTTCGTCGATTTGATCTTTTTCTCTTTCTGTCAGCTATATCTAACCTTTTCTCGCCAGTTTTCGGCAGCGCAGAACCGATGTCTGCATTGTGTTTGCTCCCAGTTCGATAAGGCTTCGTGATGCAATCTTCAAACCTTCCTCCACCAATTTCTCCCACGATGACGGCAAACTTGTCGTCCTTGCTTTGACATTCATGTACGAGACCCGCACGAACCTGAACATCCTCCATTTTCCCCGCGTGTTAATGATTATTCTGTGGTGCAATTCTATAGCCGAACTTGGCTCATAATTCCCGACATTCGTTTTCAACCCGGTTACGATTGGCAAATCCCAGAAAATTGGAGCCCTTGCAAAGTTGTGTCATTCTGGTGTGGTCCCCCACTGTAATGTCATCATTCAACCTTTGAGAAATGAAAAAGAGTGGGTCCAATCTTTCCAACATGGCGGCATAACTGTCGTGGAAATTGTACATTTTTTTCTATTTTCGCTGCATTTACTTAACTGTATGTCGTGAAGAAGCATGGCGCTCTCATCGAAAGAGCTCTCGTTGCTTTTAAGGTACATTCAGTGTCATAAAAATGTGTTTATCGTTGTTTGTAAATTCGAACAAACTAGTGAAACTACGGTCTCACCGAGTCTCCTCTCTTTCATTTAGTATCCTTTCCGAAGACAACCTTTTCCAGTCGTCATTCGAAGGAATAGCGTCAACCTTTCACCACACCTTTCAAAGACAAGATCACTTTCGTATCGGTTGTGCTCTGGTTTGTATAAGTCATTTTATCTTATTGTATTTACTATACATTTAAATAGCATTCCCTGACCTAACACTAATATCGACGATACTGTTTCTTTACTCTTCTTTAGATGATGTTTCTTGAACAACCGGATCTCTTACCGGCTGCTATCCAACGCGTGTCCATGTTGTTTCTTCTTTACGAAATGTACAAGACTGGCCTTCCGCAAAACAATTCCTTTTACGCTTTCTTTTTACAATTACTGGTGAGCTCGTAGATTTGTCTTGAAAAGATTACTTTTTTCTTTCAAAAATACACGAAAGAATTAAATATTTGTGAACTATGAATTATAACAACAAGAAAACATTTTCAACACATATCTGTCAAGTGAATGGTTTGGACATCTTGAGTAATCGTTACATGTTTGTAGATGTAGATCTTTCAGGTTAATGCAACCCTAAGATGCGCTATTAGTGTTGAATGTAGTTATCTTTAGAGTCAGTACTTAAACAGAACCCTAACACTTCAATCAACACTATGTTACGAGTAGCATGACCTTCAACTGAAGATGAATAAGATTTCCTTTGAGTTGTACATTTGTGAAGTCCTTTGATGACGGACAATGAATTTTTGTGAAGTAAGCTCCGATTTAAAAAAGAGTAATATGTTTTGAAGTATGTTCACATGTACCAGACTGCACAGTATATGTCCTGAGATCTTGGGGCAAAAATCTATGAAATATCAACACAGGGGTGGACGCAGGGGTGCAAACGTTTTAAATATGTTGCATTTTTTGTTTTCTGCTTAACAACTCCAACTAAAAACTTGTCATTTGACAAATCTTGTGGGTGCCATTGCCCTTCACTGTAGTCTGGCAGGTGTAGGTATTGAAAAATGACAAAAATATTAGTAACTCTTATATCATTCCTGAGAAACTGATGAAATGTGGACATATAGCACTAACAATATGTGTTCTAAAAACCTTAGCATATTCCACTTTGTATTATGTTTGTCCATATTATTTCTTGTGGATGCGTAGTTAATGTTCTTCATCTCATTTCAGAGTCACGAAGCCAATGAAGACAACCGTTATCCCTTGAGCAGTCTCTCGCTTTTGTCAGCTTCGGAAAAGGTCTTCATCTCCCAGCTACTGACGTCACATACGAAAGATGTAAGGATATTTTGACAATTATTTCATGTTGTCAATCAATTTTTATCAAAGCCTTCATTTTCATTGTCTGGTTTTTATCACATATGGCATATTCACACATAATTCTCTGAACAGTTCTCATCAAAAGAGGGAATTGAATACATTGGTTCCCATTCCGTAATTTGATGGCATTGTGATGTTTTTAAAAAATATTTCATTGATAAGCAGATTTGAAAGTTTTTTTTATCATCTACATGCTGTGACATGCTTATGTGAAGTACTTGATAGTAAAATGATGGCCTGCATAGCCAACCCTTGCCTGAAATTTCTTAGAGAAAATGTTAAGCGGGAATGGTAAGCTTGCTTACCCTACTAGGAATTTCAAGCAAGCATGTGTGATGTAGTTTAGTAAAACAACAGACATCTCGTTTTCTTGATATTCAAGATGATACAGAGTTTAAAAAATGTGTATACTCAAGATGATAGAGAGTTCAAAAAATGTGTATACTCAAGATGATACAGAGTTTAAAAAATGTGTATACTCAAGATGATACAGAGTTTAAAAAATGTGTATACTCAAGATGATACACAGTTTAAAAAATGTGTATACTCAAGATGATACACAGTTTAAAAAATGTGTATACTCAAGATGGTACACAGTTTAAAAAATGTGTATACTCAAGATGATACACAGTTTAAAAAATGTGTATACTCAAGATGATACACAGTTTAAAAAATGTGTATACTCAAGATGATACAGAGTTTAAAAAATGTGTATACTCAAGATGATACACAGTTTAAAAAATGTGTATACTCAAGATGATACACAGTTTAAAAAATGTGTATACTCAAGATGATACACAGTTTAAAAAATGTGTATACTCAAGATGATACACAGTTTAAAAAATGTGTATACTCAAGATGATACACAGTTTAAAAAATGTGTATACTCAAGATGATACACAGTTTAAAAAATGTGTATACTCAAGATGATACACAGTTTAAAAAATGTGTATACTCAAGATGATACACAGTTTAAAAAATGTGTATACTCAAGATGATATATATTTTGAAATATGTTATAAATTTAGATGTTTATTGTTGTACTATTGAATGACACATGGTGGGTTTAATTTTAATGTCATTCTTCTTAATAAGTTGATATATAATAGCTGCATAGTGTTCATGACTAATGTTTTGTGATTAAATTGGACATGTTTGTAGATGTAGATTGTTCAGGTTAATAGAATCCTGAGAAGAACGGTTGGTATGAATGTTTACTAATATTTCGGCAACCTCGGCGATGGTCATCTTCAGAGTCAAGTGTTGTTGTTGAAGGGTCAGTCAAATGAGGTTGTTGAAAGGTCAGACTGGTCAGTCAATACCAACACCAGTAATCCTTCTAAGGAGTCTACAATCTACATCTTCAAACATGTGACCATTCACTTAATTAATGAAGTCATTTTTGTCATTATCAAAATCCTTTAGCTTCTCAAGAAGACGCCCAGACAGATTTTGGTTGCAGATGTTTCAGCATCTCAGGTGAGACCTTACGACAGTGCCTTTTCACATAATTACAAACAACATCAAGTTTTTACAATTGATGTAATTGAAGAATACGATTAGTTTTTTCGTGCCGACATTTGCTCTCTTAAATTGGGAGAGAAAATAAATTTGCGGCTAGATTGTAGGATGCCCGTTCACTCACTGTCCACTGCTATAATATGCCTCGTTCTTTCTACTTCGTTCATTACATTGACCACTAAATGATTCTAGATAAATAATTGAGAACTAAATGATACTTTAGTTTAACTTTACTATTATGTTTTAATACGTATGCTGTATGTTCGAATTTGTAAGAGTGTCTTTAAAAATGGGAGGGTATTTTATGATATGTCCCCAAGGATTTTAGCACTATGAAACAGTGCTAGGTTTTCTCCGGTTATCGTTACGCGGTCAAACACGCGCTTTGTCGTAAGTTGTTTTACTTATTGCAATGACTATTGACTCCTGCGAACGTGTCGTTTATATTTTAGCTTAACGACATCAATGCCATAAAAAACAGCCCTGCCCAACAGCACGATTTACTGTCTAATATGGTGAAATCTGGTTTGCCCACCATCATTGCAGATCCAGACCATGATAACAGGTATGGTTTTCTCATGTGATTACGTATTGAAGTAAATGGGTTGAACCCGGGAGTATTGTTAAAAGTTTGTGGATGTAGCTCGTCCAGGTTAGTAGAGTCCTGAGAAGGACTGTTGTTGTTGTTGATTACACATAGCAAACAAGGTTATTTTCATAGAAACAGCGCGTGCGGAGTGGGGACGAGAAACAACAGGGCTCGAAGTAACGGACCGACAAAAAATGCCTATTTATTTCACGGGTCAATTTTCTACTCTGCCGGTCCTTTTCACATCTAACATTTCCTGGTCTTCCGCAACGATTGTAAATCAGTTTTCCTTTCAATGTTCTTTTGATATGTTGAACGTCAATTTTTGTACAGAAAAAACAATATTTGTCCTCGTAATTATGTGCCGTGTGAACTTGGATCGAAGGTTTCAATTTCATTTTACACAAAGTGTTCTGATTAGATCGTTTGACTCCACCTTCACCGAAATTTTTATTCGTGTGTAGGCAAGAACGTCAAACAGTAGAATCGGTGGATTGGAAAGAAATTTGTTTTTTCACGTTTTCGTTGTATTATTGACCGGTCAAAAATCAATTTTAACCCAGCTAGAACGAAGTTGACCGCGGGAACCTTGGGAAAATACATCACTTGCTAGTAGTGACGTATCGACAGGTTCCATTTGAGAACAGAACAAAATGTTTTTTGCTCTTCGACCAAATTAAACTCGGTGTGGTAAAGTGCAGAAAGATCGGGTCAGACTCTCAATGATTGGGATCACTTTATAAACCAATGCTTCAAGGTAATCATGTAAGAATCGGGCTCGCCCCCCTCCCCCCCCAACCCTCAATATGCCCCTTAGCATCCACACGGGTATGTATAAATGATTGTGGATATCAAACCCAAAGTCCAAACTACCATGGATTTATTTTTATTGCGTCGAAGGGGATGTGTAGGACTGGAGACATATGGCTCAATGACCTAGAACCCAATCTACTAGATATCTGACTCCGCCAAAATTCAAAACTGACGATATTTACGACTAATATCTGCTTTTGCTGAGTTGATAAAGAGGTGCAAAGGTGATAGTCTAGGTTTATATATTAAAATGTTTGATAAGATGAGTTTTTCAAACTTTGTTTTAACTTACTTTTCATTTTAAGTTTTGCTTTTTGCCACCTTTCAAGATGGCGTCCTCGGCTCACCTTGACACGGTAGTTAGACATCTAGAGGATTGGGTTCTAAATCATTGATATGGCTACTTACTTTATCGAGGCAATTTGATGTTAAGCTGTCTTATTTTACGTATTTTTAAAAGCCCAGGCTTCGAGAGATGTTCTACGATGCAGATTGCCGAAACACTCACAACAGGTTTGGTCATGTTGCTTTTGAACTTCGAGGTCTTTTCCGATCATTATTTAAAAGTTTGATGTGCGGAGTTTGTTGATGAGCTTTTTATCTGTATTCAAGGCGATACTCCGCCCAGCGAGAGTTCGTTTAAGCCACAGTTTATCAGAGTTGCTCCCCCCCTGTATCAATGTGAAGATGAGGTATGTATCAGTTTAACTATTATTTAAAGAGCGAAGGCATTGCGCGCGTTTGCTTACTTTCATATGAAAGTCTTCCTGTATTTCAACCATCATGCATTGCGCGCGTTTGCTTACTTTCATATGAGTCTTTCTGTATTTCAACCATCATCCATTGCGCGCGTTTGCTTACTTTCGTATGTGAGTCTTCTTGTATTTCAAGCGAATTTGGATAATTTCTGTACTATTCCTCTTTTACAATAAATATCAGAATAATTATACAATCACTTAGAGGAAATACCGTGGAACCCTTACTAAAGGATCGCGAAAGTAACGGCCCTCTCGAACGCACCGCTCTCTTTATAGAGCTTTTAAGAGTTTTACAACATTTATACTTTAAAAGTAAATGGTTTTGAACACGGGAGTATCGTTACCTGTTTGTCAATGTAGATCGTCCAGGTTATTATAGTCACCTTCATTCATACCTGTTTTGTTTTGGACTGCAGTTCGTCTGGATGAATCCACAGCAAGAAAAGCCCAAGATTGAATGGGATTCGACCATGTGTGTTTCTAGCAACACCACAGGTAGCTATTTTGTGTAGCTGGTACTGCTGCGTGAGATGTGATTTCATCACAGGGAAAGTGAAAAAAAAATCGTGAATTGCGTCGTCTGACTTAAAGCGGGTTCTCGTAATGTCATCGATGTTGTCTCAATTGTGTCGTTTTAGTCGTTCGTACAGAGCTTTTGCTCTTTCCCCACAGCTTTCGTTCTAGAGTCAAGTATAACTCAAAATAACATTAGACAGCGTTTCATGTCGGAATATCCCAAGCAAACATTTTTCTAATACTAGATTATTTATCATTTCAAAGACCTTATACTCACTATAGTCCTTATTTGTCCATCTAATATGAACGGCTTCTCCGAACGGGTCAATTAGAGATGGACACGAAGGGACAGTTCTTTAAATTTATCATTTCAAAGACCTTATACTCACTATAGTCCTTATTTGTCCATCTAATATGAACGGCTTCTCCGAACGGGTCAATTAGAGATGGACACGAAGGGACAGTTCTTTAAATTTATCATTTCAAAGACCTTATACTGACTATAGTCCTTAATTGTCCATGTAATGTGAATGGCTTCTCCGAACGGGTCAATCAGAGATGGACACGAAGGGACAGTTATTTAAGTTTATCATTTCAAAGACCTTATACTGACTATAGTCCTTAATTGTCCATCTAATGTGAATGGCTTCTCCGAACGGGTCAATCAGAGATGGACACGAAGGACAGTTCTTTAAATTTATCATTTCAAAGACCTTATACTGACTATAGTCCTTAATTGTCCATCTAATGTGAATGGCTTCTCCGAACGGGTCAATCAGAGATGGACACGAAGGACAGTTCTTTAAATTTATCATTTCAAAGACCTTATACTGACTATAGTCCTTAATTGTCCATGTAATGTGAATGGCTTCTCCGAACGGGTCAATCAGAGATGGACACGAGGGACAGTTATTTAAGTTTATCATTTCAAAGACCTTATACTGACTATAGTCCTTAATTGTCCATCTAATGTGAATGGCTTCTCCGAACGGGTCAATCAGAGATGGACACGAAGGGACAGTTCTTTAAATTTATCATTTCAAAGACCTTATACTGACTATAGTCCTTAATTGTCCATCTAATGTGAATGGCTTCTCCGAACGGGTCAATCAGAGATGGACACGAAGGGACAGTTCTTTAAATTTATCATTTCAAAGACCTTATACTGACTATAGTCCTTAATTGTCCATCTAATGTGTATGGCTTCTCCGAACGGGTCAATCAGAGATGGACACGAAGGGACAGTTCTTTAAATTTATCATTTCAAAGACCTTATACTGACTATAGTCCTTAATTGTCCATCTAATATGAATGGCTTCTCCGAATGGGTCAATCAGAGATGGACACGAAGGGACAGTTCTTTAAATTTATCATTTCAAAGACCTTATACTGACTATAGTCCTTAATTGTCCATCTAATATGAATGGCTTCTCCGAATGGGTCAATCAGAGATGGACACGAAGGGACAGTTCTTTAAATTTATCATTTCTAAAGCGTAGTTTATTTCGTTTTACATCGAACCAATCACCAACCCTGTTTATTTTCAACCGAACCTCAATAGTTGAATACATGTTCGGAGGGACTTCCCTGCATTGTGTTTGTGCGATGTTTCAATAAAGTTTCTATGTTTTATGTTTTTTTCGATGCGTATATGGCAGCCGAACATGAAACTTTCAATATGGCCATTGCTAAGAATTGCAGTCGGCGAGTTTTTTTTATCGACGACGTTTCGTCTTTAAGTTCCCGTGAACGTTGCCGTTGACTTTTGAAGTCAACATCAACGCACACAAGACGCTAAAAACGAAATGTCATCAACAAGAAAAAGCCTTTCACTGCAATTCTTTGCTGGAGCGTAGCCAGCGGGGGATGTGAAAGGGCAATTTCTCCCCCTCCCCTCACACTGCAATTTCAAATTGCTATAAGTTATATATGTCTAAAGTGAGTTGCCTCCCTCCCCTTGTCATAATTCTTACCTGCGCTCTTGCTTTGTAATTGCTCTTACGTAATGGACTTTAAAAGTTGTATGTTGTGCTGTCAAATTAATATCGATAATTTGCTTCCCGCCTGGCAATCTCTGTCCACGATTTTGCATAAACGTGTAGTTTAAAAAAACGTGAGTTGGTTGATAAGTTATGCATCACCAGCTTTATTTCATCGTAGATTCTGAAGTGCACCAGCTGATGGCGAAGGCGTTCAAAACCGGTCTCACTTTACCACAGCAACAGGAAGTGCTTGCCGAACTGGAAAACGATCCAAGTTTCGTTTATAATATTGGATTATCGCCTAGCAAGGTGATTTTTTATTTTATTACTAGTAAAACATTTTCAAAATATGATTATATAAATTTCGTCAAAGAGTTCGGAACATACAAAAGACTATCTCCAGTGAGTTTAATGTTAGCGCTATATGCGATTTATTCACCACGCAGCCAGTGTTTTTAATAGAGGCAACCCCTATTTCATTGGCTTCATTCAGAATGGTGATTGGTGAACAGGGGATTTTGACAAAAACATTTTCTGGTTGCAATCGACTTCGTTTTTTGGGACGAATAGATGGCGTGTACATAGTGTTTAAACATTTCTGTTGTATTGTTTCTTACAGTAATCTGAAATGATTTTACAAAATTCCGACGCGGTTTGACGCGCACGAAAAACATTGTGAACTCTCAACTTCGGCATACTGGTCGTGGATAGTAGTCCACTAGACTAGTCGGGAAAATAGTCATCAATGTCGCCTTTTACTACTCTCTGATTTCATGTTTATTGCTTTAAGTTGCCGCTGTTAGTCGAGAGCAATCCACTGGTGGCCATTGAAGTATTGCTGAAACTCATGCAGTCCAATCAAATAACCGAGTAAGAAAATTTCAATTTACATACCAATGTATTAATTCTAACTTTAAACTTCGACGTCGTTACTTACTTCGATAATGGCTGCCTGTTGGCCGTTATAACTGACCGGTCACTTATTTCGATGGAGAAATCCAGTTGGGCTTACGAAATGGGCAATCTTGGCATGATTATGTAAATGACGTGACGTTTTTGCTGATGAAACGTATCTTCAGTCTTGCATAATCACACCCTTTGTATGTAAACCCACCGCTCTACCACTTTGGAGTTTTAACGCGTTCGTCTTAAAAATTTAAAAATGATAAAATAACAACAATAATAATGACAATACAATGCGTGAACTGACTGGTCTATAGTTGAGTTTGCATTAACCTGTGCAAACCGATCCGATCAGTGAAAGAGAATTTGCAAATCGATAATGAATACTTGTTAGAGGAAAAATTAAAACATTTGTGTTAAATTTATCTGTTTTGCAGTACTGCTACTTTGTAAAAGAAATAAAAGAAGTTTACACTCGAGCAGGTGCAACCCTCCACCTTCGGTCCCGGGCTTGCACTGATCAGCTCTCAAGTTCTCCCAAAGGTCTCCTCGCTCGTATACGCCCTTGCAAACACTGTAAACATCTTATATTTCTTATGTTGTCACTGTTTAATTACGCATCGTTATCAATGACGCCATTGTTTGCGTTTTTAAGGTATTTTTCAGTACTTGTAAACATGGAAATATCTTTACACTCAATGGAGGTCGTCAACAGATTAACCACGGTATGATTCTTCCAACCCTTAACATTAGGATTGAGCTTAGAGTAGGATTGAGTGTAGATTAGGATTGAGTTTGGATCAAATTGCTCTATACGAATGGGAAGGTAGAATCCAGCAAAATTGAAATCTGAATTTCTGCACGGTTGCATTCTGTGATAGCTCTTTGAATCCAGCAAAACGTCTTTTGGAATCCAGAGCGTGGAATCTGAATTCTATTTTCAGACGAGACAAACTGGCAAAAAACGTTTATTTCACTGCACGGTGTCGAAACATGCATACTTTATAAGAAAGATATTGTTTTCTTTCAATTTTACCATTAGTACTGCATTCACAAATACTCCGCAACGATTTTTATAGGCATGAACTAGTTTTTTTATTCGTTAGACGTGGATGAAGGGTGTGTGGGGAGGAGGGGGGTAGGTTATAAAGAGTGAGGTCGTTAGACTTGGTGCCCTACTCATTAAATCATTTTACCGTAAGAACGAAGGCTGTGTAACACCGTTTAATGGAAATGTGCATTCATTACATTTGTCTGGAATAAATTATGCCGTCATTAATTTATTTATGAACGATTTATAGGCCGTGGAGCTTCCTCAGGAGTTCATCCACCTTTATGTATCGAATTGCATCACATCATGTGAAAACATGAAGGATAAATACATGCAAAATAGATTGATCCGCTTGGTGAGTAGTGAGGAGATGATTTCGATGGATGTTTTTTCGGTAGTAATTCTCTTTTCTGCAAATATGCGAAATGGAATTATCTGTTTTAAAAACTTTGCGCTTGTCTTGGGTATTTAGTTTATGTACTTTAGAAACGCCTTGTATGACGTGTTACAATGTTTGCAATTTGATTTGTCGATCGTATCTAATGCATACAACGTGCAGAATGACGTAATACCACTACAAAGTTTGGTCATAGAATAGATATCTTAATAGAAGGTCCACTTTTGATGTTCGTGACCCCCACTTTTCTGAAGCAAATTCTTAGCCGACGCGCATTCCAGCAAATTACTTCAGTAAGATTGCAATAGAAAATATAGATGTTTTTACAAATATATCGTTTTGCACAACAAAAGCTTGGTACCTTATCTCCTTCCCAATATGATAACTCTTGGCAAAAATTTCGGCAAACCTTTGCTTTAAACGTGAATTATAAGTAAAATAACATTCTTGTGCAATACTATTCCATATTTATTTTGTGAAAGTATATTGCTGGGAAGTCACGCACGCGTAGTGAAAAAATACGCCGCGATTTCAGCCGAGTGGGTCTTCTATTAGATATCTATTCTGGGGTTTAAAGTAAATGGTTTGAACCCGGGAGTATCGTTACATGTTTCTAAATGTAGATCGTCCAGGTTGGTATAGTACTGAGAAGGACTGTTTTTGTTGTTGTTGACTGACGTTTCGACAACCGTAGTCAAAATGACTCTGAAGATGACTACCGCTTTTGACTCTGAAGATGACTTTTGACTCTAAGGTTGTCGAAACGTCAGTCAACAACAACGAAAACAGTCCTTCTCAGGACTATACTAACCTGGACGATCTACATCTACAAACATGTATTCTGTGGTTTGGTACTCATGATTTCTTGGGTGCGCCCCCACCCCCTCCTACCGCCTTTATTGTCCGCAATTGTACCAACCCATTCATGCCGATCGACTTTATTTTGAATATTTTCCACTTTAGGTCTGCGTTTTTCTCCAATCTCTTATTCGCAACAAAATCATTGATGTTAAGGTACGAGGCAACTCTGTTGAAAAGTTCCCAAATGAAATATAATTGCCGACAAACGAAGTGGGAAATGATGGCGACTTGCAGTTTGTGTCTTTTCATTCGATGGCATTTGTTGTTTTAGGACATCTTCATCGAGGTGCAAGCATTCTGTATCGATTTCAGTCGTATTCGAGAGGCTGCCGCTCTGTTTCGCCTTTTGAAAAACGTCGAAAAAGGAGAGGGGACTGAACCCGAAGGAAGCGGAGGAATGGTGACCAGTACACATTCCAAGTGAATAACCACAAGAATTCACTGTTTGCAAACATACAGGAGATTGTATCGTGAGGGGTAGGGGCGGGGTAGTGAAGTGAACAGTGAGTAGGTTGAGGACTGGGGAGAGATTATTTTAGCTTCTACAGTCTAAACCTTACTCGGATAATGCTTGGCACGCACAACACGACTTTTGTCTGCCCCATTAAAAACGTTTCGACTCAAAGTAATACAGTCGTTGTGTGTGCGGTACTGTTTTTAATCGATTAGTACTGTCCGATTAAATCCGATTTTTGGCGGCATTTTTTCAACAAAATTTGAATTAATACAGTCGTTGTATGCGCGGTGGTGTTTTTAGCCGATTAGTGTTGTCCGATTAAACTCCGATGCTAACGGTCAATTTCGATGTATCCAGCAATTGCTTTTGTCGCCAGTCTAGAATTGTCCTGCCTTACGTGAAGTATTTCATGGTGAAGCTAGCAGACAGGCAAGGCGTACAGACGAGTCCATGTTTGTTTATTTTAGTTGATATTTTTTTCGTCTGACCTATTTTATGGAATTATGGGATTAGACAGTCGAAGTGTTTCCGGTCATCAACATCGTGAGTTAAGAATTTGATCGAGTTTTCTGGAGCATTCTGAGAGAGTGAAGCGAACTTTTTACATAGTTTTGCTTATCTTGAATTTACCCGTCTAGCGATGGCAACAAATACTCGAGGGATGTTCAGCAGGGCCGAAGTGCCGAAGGGGGTATTGAGAGATCGTGCTCACATTGTTTTGTCATACCTATTCAAAAGCTTATAGCTTTGTGCACGATTAATATAATTTTCATCGAGCAAATTCATAACTTTTTTCAAAATAGAAGTAACCAAGTGTCGATCCTTATAGTGTAACAAATAGGAGTGATAAAATACTGCAATAAACAGTTTTCTTTGAGTTAGTGTTGAGAGACTATTTGGATTTTATTTTTCATTCGGAGCCCTGCACCCCCATCCGTGTTAGTCTCGGTACGGCCCTGATGTTCAAGCAGGAATGGATCCATGATGATCTTGTAGGGAGCTGCTCTAGTTTTTATTACACTTCGCTTTGGTTTTGATTTCTGTGGTTCGTTTGTGAGTGTTTTTATGTGATTCTAGCCGAAGCTTGTTTGGTTGGGGGGGAGGTGTGCATTCCCCTTCCCCCCTCTAAGTCCCTCACTGCTTTTACGATTTCTCTTCGTCTTCTGCCAATCATAAAAAATATCAGCGTCGGTAAATCGGTCCCTTGCGCTGCGAATTTCGGACATGGTTTATCTTGGCAGTAATATTTCTACCCTCAAATTCACATTTCCACGATAAATAATGAGATTTACTTTGAGAACGTGCAGTCTTTTTCACTTGCGGCTGGAAACGAGTGCTCGGACTTTGAGAGTGCTTACCTTGGGGAAATGCTTCAGCTGGTAATTCGGTCGAGGTTGGAACATTGCCTACTTTACATGTAATCTTTTACCGAAAATCTCATTATTGAAGAAGAAACATTTGTAAACGGTTTTAGTTTCACAAGGAGTTCACTTTATAAATTTCGATACATTTATCGTCTGAGCGGGATGTATGTTCTCACAGACGTTGACCTAGTGATGATGTAGAATAACCACGTGTTTTGAATTCCATTCTTAATTGACTTATGTCGTGTTCCTCTGACTGCTCAATACACACGAAACAGATGGTGTAAACCACTTAGGAAGCGCATTTATTCCTTAAATCCAGACAACGTGCGAAGAGCAAAGATTCCCAGTCAATTTTCATTAACTCGCAGCAATTTGAACATTGCATCGTTCTTCCATATGCACGGCGAACGTTCGTTCGTGATGTCGTTGTAATGCTCATGTGTCGCGAACACATCGATAACATCTTCGTTCCCGAGGTCCTTAAGACGGTCGAGAACTTAAACGTTCGTCAATCATTCGAAGATCAGTTTTTGGTGGCTGTTGGTTATCTAATCATGAAAAGTTTAGAGAGGCGTCTGCAGCCGAAAGACGGCAACATGAGTGTAGCACCTTTTAAAGGAAAAACTAAGTTAATTTACTTATTTATTCTTGGTGGCAGGTTTTTTGGAATCGATTCGGTATGAAGCACCCGACATGATCTTTGAAGGATCCTTCCCATACCGATCACTTGGTCGAACAAAAGCTGATCGCTCGAATTATTAACTTTCGATTGTGATCTTTCGAGTCGATTAAGTATATTTGTATCGCTACCGATTTTTATGACATTTATAATCCACTAAAAATCCACTCGTTGCGCAGGTTACAATGCAAATCAATTACCCAAATGACGCTCACCTAAAGTCATAATGGGATTATTTCTTACCTTTTGTCAATAGATGGGCATAAAGTAGTTTAATTACGTGTGGCTATTAGCAAGATAATGTTGATTTACGTCCTGCTTGGCCAACTGCTTATATATAGTTGTGCAAATAAGCGCAATTCTTCGGTCGAGTGCTGTTCTTTGGCGACGTGTCTTTGTTGAGAACAGAGAGAGATTATCACTAAAAAAGGTGAGTCGAAGTTATTGTACTGGTCATATGGTCGAGAAAAAAGCTGTTTCTCGTTAAGTTGGGAGTTTTGCTCGATCAGCGTATACCTGCCCAGAAACACAAACTTAAAACTCATGTCGAAGATCTACTTGTGAGTGCAAAGGTATTGATCGATTTTCATGGCCTTTTTTTTCTAAGGTATTCACGTGGCGAAGATGAGGATTGTTGCTGTCTTCGGAATATTGTTTTCGTCGATTGTTGTCATTCGTTGCTCGTTTCTTACTCTTCGTCGCGACAAATGCACGAAACTGCCGCCAATGTGCTACCAACTCATCAATTCCGAGTACACGCGCATGTATCTGCCGAACATTTTGAATCAGTCCCGCTACGAAGACGTCGTAAAAGAACTGAAAGTGTGGAAACCACTTCTCAACACGACCGTATGCAACGCTCGCCATCAGCTGAAGTATTTCTTGTGCTTCACGTACGCCCCCGTATGCGTCGCCGACCATTTCATATACACTTGCCAATCTTTTTGTCGGAGGTTGCGCGACTCGTGTGATCCCATTATGCGATCCCTCAACTACAGTTGGCCGCCGTTCTTCGATTGCAACGACGAGAAAAAGTTCAGAAATAATTCCACAACGATGTGTATAAGCGACGCGATGCTTGGACTCAAGCGTAAGTTTATTACGTTTTGGACTTTGAGTTGTTTTGTGTCTTCATTGATGTCATTTACCTAGTTTATCTGTCGCAAACACTTTCACATACGTGCTAATTCATGCGAGCGGATTGGTAGGTGTTAATTTTGAACGTGAGTTCGTGGCGTAGTTCTGAGAACGTCAGGCATGTGTTGTCTTAATCTGAATTACACGAAGGACGTTTTCTAATCTTTAATCCCAGTTGCTATAATCCGGATTTAACGAAGAATTTTCCGACTTTTTAATTCCTGGTTTCTGTAATTTTTCGTTCGTTTGTTAACAGAGGAGGAGTGCTCGTGCCGTAGAAGTTATACGAGAAGAGCTTTAAAATCACACATTTGCAAGAGCGATTTTGGTAAGTTTTGTAACTCTTTGTTATCAAGTATTGAATTTTCAACCTTAAAATTTTTATTTTACAAAACCTTTCTTCGAGCTATCGTAATTCAGATCATCTACGCTTGGGCCACGACAGTTGGATCATTCGTATTATCTATCCACTCTCCTTTTTTCTGTACTAGCTACTATTATCTTGATTAGAGCAAATGTACTACCATCTATATCAATTAGAGCACTTTTATGACCATCTTTTTCAGTTAGAACAATTTTAACACCACCTGTCTCAATTAGAGCAGTTATACTATCATCTATCTCAAATAGAACAATTGGAGTACCATGTACATCAATTAGAACAATTGTACTACCATCTATCTCAATTAGAGCAATGGTACTACTATCCATCTCAATTAGAGAAATTGTACTACCATCCATCTCAATCAGAGCGATTGTACTACCATACCTATCTCAATTAGAGCGAACGATTTGTTCTTTTCAACATGATTGAAAGTTGATGTAGTCAACAGCTTCCCCAAGCGAATTTTCTTTCGATTGCCTTAACGTATAAAATTTTTAATTTTTGATTTAATTCCCTGTTTAGTCATAAGTGCCTGGGTGCCGAGACATAACAGAAAAGGAAGGTACATTCATGTGAAGATTTCCCGCGTCTTTCGACAAAGCAGTGCGTATGTCCGAAACGTATTACAATCCCCATCCACAACACTCGCTCTTTTTACGGCGCCCAAAGGTTGTCGGTGTCGAAGGCGTCTGAAACAAAGGAGTGGACGCTTTCTCATTATCGGCCGCATGGAAAGCGGTAGAGTTCTGTGGGTCACGGCGCTCAAGAAGATGCAGGATCGACGCATGATCAGAAAAATTATCAATAAATGTTGAGCCCCTTCAAATCCTTCGAAAAGGAAACTTTGTTGTTTGTAGAATATTTGTGATAGTTAATGCGATAGCTGATATGCTGTATTTTGTATTAAAGAGTATTTTATCAGAAACGTAAATTGCAACTCGGAATGACTAGTCGAACATTTCAAAATAGCTAGCTCTCGAAAAGACGAATTGTGTAATGTGTTGTAAGAGATGTTTTTTATATAAAAGATATATTTTGTCGTTCTTCCTCTTTGTTGATGTTTTACAAAAAAAAAATGCTGAAATTGTCAAACATTTCTACAATTGCAACAATTTTCTGTAAGTATATAAAGGCAGCAGAAAAAAATATAAAATTCAGTGGTGTCGACGGATGGTTTTAATTCTATCGTTTTATAAAGCCATTAGCTACCTGTCGGCTCGGGATATAACAGCCTTAGATTCAAAGCTCCTAATGTCTGACACCGACTTGCGTTTCATGAAAAATCGCAAAATATGGTAATTCAGACGATGATTGGGTATTTTAGTTATTTCAGTCAAACCTGTACAGGTCTTGACCGAGTACAGGTTTATACCCCCCGGGGGGGGATCACCCCGTGAGTTGAATGAAGTATGAATTACACAGACCAAGAGATTTCGTGTGAAAACATGAAAATGACTTACCGAAAAGTAGTTAGATGAACGTTGTTTTTATTTGTTGCTCAATCAAAAAGATTTTGACAAGTTCCCGTAAAGAAATTAACTGCTGATATTATTATGTACTATGTATGGTTAAGTTAAGTTACTGTACCCGACAGCTTAATACAGTTTCAAAACAATGAGTTTGTGACCTTGAAAGGGTGACTGCTTTCGCTTGAGGTGAACGAGTAATGAAGGTAACTTGAATAGTTTAAATTTTTTTATGAAATTTGGGACACTGAACAGCAAGTGTTATATGATTGTAGGTGTAGATCGTTCATCTTAGTATAGTCCAGGGACTGTTTTTGTTGTTGTAGGCTGACATCTGAAGATGATTACCGCTAAGGTTGTCGAAACGTCAGTCAACAACTACAAAAACAGTCCTTCTCAGGACTATACTAATCTGGACGATCTACATCTACAAGCATGTAACGAAACTCCCGGGCTCAAACCATTTACTTTAAGTGTTATATGAAGTAATTGCTAAAAATTCAAAATGGACGACGACAAATGCCCACTGCAATACCATGAATTCAAGGTTTTAGATCATAGCAAAATGTGCCCGTCGTATACGAACGTCTTGAAAAAGAGTTTAGATCAAGGTATTGGGATAGAGGATCTTTCTATGCTTCAGAGTGACCTAGAAACGTTACTGGCTGCCGTGAATCGACGATCTCGGCTTCTTGAATCTGAAAATAAAGTTTTAGTTGATTGGCTTGATAGAAAAGACAAGAAAGGCACGAGACAGAAAGAGATAGAGATTCTGAACTCTTTAAAAAGATGCAAACCTTCTTCTCTGGACGATAGAAGCAAGGCAAGGACATCAATTTTCAAATTCTGTATTTACTTCATACTTTGATGATCTGTCGAGAACATTATCACTCGACATTTACTTTTTTTCACAAAGGTCTTTCACAAATTTCGTCTGTTTTGCATTGTAGAAGCAGAAAATAGACGACAAAGCCTTTGGTCAAAAGGCCAAGGGTTATAAAAAATCTTCTGGGACCAGAACTGATTATTTCGAGGCGGAAGATGACACAACTATGGTCAAATCAAAGGCTGCTGATGCACCGAATAGATTTTGGGCAATGGTTGAGCCGTATTGTGCAGACATTACAATGGATGATATCAGATATCTGGAAGAATCAATAAAAGCATCTGAAGATCTTGATGAATATTTTAAGGTGAGGGTTTCCAAGACCGAACCATTGATTCTACATGTATTGCCACAAAGAAAAATTATCTTGCATGTATGAAAACTCCTAGTGAATTTTTCAAGCACAAAATATGGAAAAATGATTTGAATAACCAGTTTGAATAACCGTTTAAATTTACTTTTAAAGTAAAATCAGCCAATATGTCTTGCAAGGGTACTCTATGAGACAATATGTCTTAAAGAAATTTACTCATAAACATGAAATTAAAGCTACGCGTTTATTTTAATAATAAATGTTCTTTCAAGACACTTGGTGCAATATGTCAAAACTAAAAATTTGGTTTGGGACCAAATTTGGTTTCAGTTATTTAACCAACCCTTAAATGGTAATAATTATGTAAGCTGTCCAAAATTTTAGTTGCAAAATGTTTATTACCGTGTCATTGCAGCGAAGGTAAACATGCAGTAACCTTACATGGTTTCTCACAAAAAATTTTATAGTAACTTCAGCTTACTAGAGCAGTAAAAAACATTCTAGTGAATCAGTGATCATCCATTCAAGTCAGTAATGAAGAGGTGCAATTGTGCAGTGCTTTCATTGAGATTCATAATTGCAGGCTGTGATACAAAAATAGGCGTCTCAGGTTCAAAAATTATCTAAAAGTCAAATTTCATATTTTATATTTTCATAACACTTGTGACATTTGTAGTCTTTAACTTTATTTGGGCACTTGAATTTCTACCTTTTTGACCGTACCATAAATAAGCGTCGCAGCACTGAATTTTTACAGAATTAAGTTACAATTACAATTCAGTCTAATGTGTTGTATTGTTTAAGTTTTAATACAAAATAGATAAATATGATAGTTTATTACAGATATACTATACTTTTTTCTATTTTTTTTCTGGCTTTCTGGTAAATAAACGGCTGTTCTTCGCTAAATCCGGAAATAGGCGGCGACAGACCACTAGAAACGGCGTCTTAATGAAAACACTGATTATGAGATAATTATGAATCGGGTGCAACGTCCTTAATGATGACCTAAAATCTACTGATAATTGTAAATAAAAAAAAGAAAGAATGACATCACCTTCGAACGGGGAGGTGACGCTTATAACAGGGAGAAGTTAAAGACATGATCCTTTTGTCGGCAAATTGCGAGATTAGTTTACTTAATATGGATTGCATGACGCGTAACTGGAATCACGAACAAGATTTTTTGCAATTCGAAAAATGTCACCCGAAAACAAATCAGCACAGCGCGAGTGTTACTCAAAAGATGTTTCCCAATCGCACTGTTCGCACAGTCACTGGAAATAAGATTGTTGTTGTTGCAATCACGCTTGGGTTGTTCTCGTGTTGAAACAGTTTTATTTCCGAAATTGCGAAGGAAGATGGTACATGCTGTTTGAATCACTCAACCTTCGAGAAGTTCCACATTCATAGCAGGCCTCGCCCACAAATTTAAACTCGTAAACAAAATTACCAGACATTTTGGCTGGTAGAGGACTAGAAGCTCTTCGGAGGTTGTTCGCAGAATAGTTTTTTTCAAAAATGTAAGGATGACATTGCTTGCGAAAAACAAATTCTCGGATGTTAGTGTTCTCTTAGTTTGCATCTTGATATCATTTAATGCTGCCTCATCCAGGGAAGTTGAATGAAAGAAAAGCAATTGGTATGTCCAAAAGACCTCTTTCTTTTGTGGAATCTGTTTTAATTAAGTTGACTAATCTCCTTGCTTTGCCGACAAGAGGATTATGTCTTTAACTTATTCCTGTTTTAAACGTCCGCTTCCCGTTTTGGGATGATGTCATCTTGCGCCGTCTTTACTATAAATGTCATTATAATCTTTAGTTTTCATCAAAGCAGACGTGGTGCCTAATGAGAAGTCTGCCGTGATGTCTTGTGTCATTTAATTAATCTTAATGTTTTGTTTTAGAACACTCCTTTTTAGAACCACTAAAGTTTTAGATGTTGTTTACTATAGCAAATACGCTCGTCATTGAAAGCAGCATTTTGAAGTTCTTTGTTTTGGCCACATTAAAAATCTCCAATATCTTGACCGACGAACAAGCGGCGTGCGTAAGCTGTTCAAGAAAGTCTTCCGTCATTATAAAAGTTCTATTCAATAAAATAATCGCACCAATCAATTAGATATTAGATTTTCGAGTCAGGATGATTTCTTGTTCAATTCAACTTCCTTCCGGCTTTTCCTTTTCCAGTGACGTTAGAAGAAAACCTCCCTCGGTTTTCTTTAAAGCGGGCAAGTCCCTTATTCACTTTGCATTAAAGTATCAAAATTACAATCGGGAGAATGTTTACCATTTTCCATGTTCACCATTTTCCATGTTTACCATTTTCCATGTTCACCATTTTCCATGTTCACCATTTTCCATGTTCACCATTTTCCATGTTCACCATTTTCTATGTTCACCATTTTCCATGTTCACCATTTTCCATGTTCACCATTTTCCATGTTCACCATGTTCACCATTTTCCATGTTCACCATTTTCCATGTTCACCATTTTCCATGTTTACCATTTTCCATGTCCACCATTTTCCATGTTCAACAAGTTCATTAGGTCTATTTTTACGCCATAACATACGTATCTATACATTGCAATCCAGTGGGCTTCTAAAGAATTGCGTGTGAACTTTCTGCAATTTTTCTTTATTAGGCAAAATTTGTTGTTATACATAACTTGCTAAGATGGAAAGAGTTTCTTAGGAAACCTATTTTTGTTTTCCTGCATGACAGTAATGGCATAATTTGCTTCACGACAGATTCTCGTGTTACGTTTTCTATTAACATTAATGTATAAAGACATGTGTAAAAATGAGACACGTTTTTGCATCACGTTGTACAATGTTCATACTTTGATTTTTCAATTGTATCTAATGCATGATACAATATGCATAAAATATAATTTTACTGCCAAATTGTAACTCATACATTACTAGATGCGAACTTCCTCCCCCATCGGTCTCCCTTCTTCTTTTGCTTTTCGATGTTGTTCTTGCTCATAATGTTTGCAATCGATCGTCGTGCGATGCTGTAATCACACGTCTAACGAAAAGCAAAGGTTTGAAATTGATATGAACAAGAAATCGCCCAAATTGAAACTCTGACGTCATGAATGTGCACGTGGCTGCTCCGGAAATAGCAGTCGGGAGGAGTCGTCTTTATCATTGAAGGCCCGTTTTGAGTTTGAATAATGTGTACTGTTTTTATATCTTTTTTCTTCATTTTCCTCCAGGTGCCTCCACTTGGAAAACACTACAGTGAAAAATGGGCGATAGAAGATTTGATGGAAGAGCAGGAATCGGGAAAGAAGGTTCGAGATGAAAAGAAGCCGAGCACGTTGAAATCAAGTAATGTGGAAAATTTCGAGGAAAATTCCGTCGAGGATATTCTGAAGAAAGGCTCTACGGACATCAGTTTGCCTGCCGACGATGCCTGCCCCTTTGGACCTCTTACGCAACGACTTCTGTCGGCATTCGTCGAGGAGAACATCATTGCTCCGGTTTCCGAGGATGTGACCGACCCCGGAAAGACCGTTACCGAGTCCGTCGTCATACCGCATGCGCAGGCGGGAAAATCGGTGCACGTTCCTCATGCTCGGAATTTGGAAACTCGACTCAAACAGGAACTTGTGGATCAGGGTATCATCGAGAAGCTTGAAGGTGATTCCGGCGATAAGGTGGACAGTGGCGATGAAGTCTTGTGTGAATTGAAGAAAAAACAAGCGGAGCTGCAAGTTATGGTCAGCTTGAATTTACAGATGAAGCGAGACCTCCTGGAGGCCGCACAGACGGAAGTTCGCAAACAGGAATTACGTCATAGGGTGCAGTCTGCCGACTCCGATGTAATGGAGTGGTTTCGGAAGTTCACAGTTTACCGACAGAACAAAAAGAGTCCGACGCGAAAGGAAAGAGAGATGGCGAACAATGCACTCCGTGTACGAGAGACCTTCGTGAGAGTGCTCAATTCCGAGGAAATATAGCTTGGAAATTTTCCACCATGTTCATATTTGCAACATGTTATGGATTTGCGCATTCTAATTTATCATGTGATTAGGTTTCTGGTATCACGTGACCGTGTAGTGAATCGGAATCAATCATCTTATCGAAGAATGCTTGCTTTCAGGGTACTCGGGGATAGGCTGGTAGGTGGTACAGTTAGTACAAATGAGTTAAGAGGGAATTTCACGACAAACGCTGTCCGTGCACGGGCTCTTTTAATCATCCAAATCTTTGATCATCTGAGTGGCAATAAAATGCATTAGTTTCTGGTTTGTCTTTATAAGCTTACCGGGATCAACCGATGTGATGTATTCTCCGTTTGTTCGCGGTGAGGTCTGGGAACGGTTTCACGAAACACGTAAAGATCTGTGACCCTGTTTGGAATGTTTGGAAGCCTCCAAAAAGTTAATGCTTGGATTGGATTTTTCAGTTGATGGAACGTTGGATCTATGATTGCTCTCATGTTCTAAAACCACCATTTTAATAAGCTTATAAAAGTCGCTCTGCATACAACAATCAATGACGTCATTCGATGCTCCTGCACGCGACCCCAGGAGACTGGAGTGGAAAAACCTTATTGTCGTGTGATAGGGGAAGAAAATAGTCACACGCAATGGGTACACGTTGATGTAGCCGTAGATGCTGAAAACCGTAAACATTCGCGTTAAAGTTCATAGGTCCTTTTTCATAGGCTTATACGTGAAAGGACTTATTTACGAAGAGGTGATACATGTATTATACTTACCAGTGGGTACAACTTGTAGGCCTCTTGTGCCCGGTAGGCGGTAGGACAAATGTGACCAATAAATGGGAATTGAGAAAAAGCTCCGGGCTCTTTAGGGTAAATGTTTGCCTGATAAATGATATGATGTTAAATTTTAAGACCCGTTACCCCACACTAGAGTCAGTCGAAATTGCATCCCCAGGGTTGAAATCATCTCACTCTGAGTCCTGGCTTCTCATTCTATCACGATCGGTGTGGGAACATTCCCCGGGGAGGGAGGTGCTAATTGGCGGGAGGCGTATGGTATTATAGCTTCTTCTTACATAAAGTATTTGTGTGGAGTCTTTACTTTCGTTGAATATTTACTATTTCTTATCTTTCTGTTCCTTGTTGCTAAATTACTACATGTTTTGAGTGTTTGTGAACAATAGTAAGTACTATTTTGGAGTTTGCTTTTGATGTACTCTTACTATGTCCTCAAATGACGAGAAAATGCAACCGTCGAAACATGGTAGTGACTGTCGTGTCGACATGTATTTAAAACTTGAAGCCGTTTACAACAGCAGCGAATCCAGTAGTGGGGACGATGCGTCGAATGAACAACTTTACAGCAGGTATAGTGAAGTGTCTGTTGAAAATGATCGTCTAACGACGGTTTATCGCGATCGGAAGTACGGAGCCAATACAACATATCCCAGTGGAGCTCAGAACTTGAGCAATCGACCACGGCCACCTTCGTTGGATTTGTACAAGTCTTTAATCGAGAAATCTCAGCATCCGATCAAACCAGTACAGCATTCAACTGGGGTGTATAACATGTCTAAACCTGGAGAAAGAACGAAGCCAACCATGTTGCAACGTTCTCTAAATGCTATATCAGGAGTTGGGGATCAGCTGGGAACACGAGATGACAACTTAGGAAAATATGATGTAAGTCACTTGAAACCAAATATTTCTTTTGCTCAAGAGCAATTAAACATGACAAAAGGTTTTCGTATGTACAACCAAGAAGCTAGCCCTACAAGTCCAAGGCCGTCTTTTCCAGTTGCCCCTCATAATCATATCTTATCCTCGTCACCTTATAAACGACCTCCTCCACCTTCAGCATCATTTATGTCCCAAGGACCATCAGTGGCAGGTTTGAAAAATCAACAGAAACATCACAGATGGCATCCAGAATCACAATCCCTTCAGAAAAATGCAACATTTCCAAACAACATGCATCGTAATGTTGAAAGCACAAATTCAACCTGGTCTTCAGGGAAATCCTTCTTCAAAGCAAGTGCAAATGAAGCAACTTTTGAATCTAAAATCATCGCTTTCCTCACATTTCAAGGTCATCCATGCAACACAAATAGCATTCGACTTTCAGTTGGGGCTAACACAAAAAAGGAAATAAATCCTACACTTTACCAATTGCAGAAGAAAGGTATCATAAACAAGGTTAATGACATTCCTCCTACATGGAAACTTTCTCCCAATGTTCAAAATGTTTCAGTCCCCAGCACTCAAACTCAAACCCTTCAACCACCTTCCTCGTCATTTCATCATGACTCATTCCAAAGTAAACATCAACCTATTCGAGCTTCCGAACGAGCAGCCGAAACAAAGTATTTTGGAAATGCTGATGGTAGCAGCAAGGAATTTTTCGAAGACTGTTTCACTTCCATCAACAAAAACCCTGTGAGTGCTTTGAATAACTTTGGTCAAAAACACAAGTGTGTGGTCACATTCGAGACCATTTCCCAAAAGACTTTCGGCAAGCCTTCATTTACTATCGCTGCCAAAGTTGGCGAGAGGAGATTCACTGCTGTGACTGCTAGCAATATTAAAGAAGCCAAGCGACAGGCTGCTGATGTTGCTTTGCGTGAGCTTTCCCAAGGCTCTACAAGGCATGGAGATTCTGCTGATGGTAATCTGTCAGATTTTTCACCTATTCCAAAAAAAAACACATGGACACACTTTGATCACATGGCTGCTTTAAGTCATCAGTTGTTCTCGAGACTTGCCTCGATGGTTTCTGTTTCATTTGCCGGAAGAAAAGTGATTGCATGCATTATTATGAAGACAAGTGCAGAAGACTGTGGACGAGTTGTCAGCCTTGGCGTTGGCAACAGGTGCATTACCGGGGAGAGAATGAGTTTGGAAGGGAAGAAAGTGAATGATTCTCATGCAGAAATCATTGCAAGACGAGGTTTGCTTCGTGTGTTTTATAAAGAAATCAGTAACTATCTTTCCCAAAGGCCATCTATTTTTAGAAAGGTTGATGGTGAAAAAAAGCTTCATCTTGTGGAGGGTGTGACCTTTCACCTGTACATCAGCGTGGCTCCCTGTGGGGATGGGGCACTTTTCTCCTCCAGGCAGATGGTAAGTGTTGCGAGAAATAATGAACCAATCAGCAATCAACACACTCCCACCTTTAGCTCGAAACAACAGGGAATACTTCGTACTAAGATTGAAGATGGCGAGGGGACTCTCCCAATCGACCCAGATGCTCCACCTCAAACATGGGATGGACTGTTGCAAGGGGGAAGGCTACGCACTATGTCTTGCAGCGATAAGATTTGTCGTTGGAATGTACTAGGTTTGCAGGGTGCTTTGCTGACACATTTCATCAAACCTGTTTACTTGGAGAGCTTAACACTTGGCTATCTATATGATCATGGACATCTGTCGCGTGCAGTCTGTTGTCGTCTTGTGCACAAGGATGACCTTAACGGACGTCTGGCATCAGGCTACCATGTGAATCACCCATATATTGGGCGTGTCACTGCCTATGAACCACCTCGGGAAACAGAGAAGACAAACAACATCAGCATAAACTGGGTTCTAGGAGACAAGAATGTTGAAGTAACAGATGGTCGGGATGGTGCTTGCCAGACAAGGACAGCAAATGCACCAACACCTTCTCGACTATGCAAGGCAGCCTTGTTTGGTAACTTTTTGGAGTTGATGAAGAGAGCCCCTGAATATGGTTATACAGTCAATGTGGATTCTTACCAAAGTGCCAAGCTATCAGCTAAAGATTTTTCCCATTGCAAACAGGAAATGAAAAGTCAATTTAGAAAGTCCAAATATGGTCAATGGGTTTCCAAGCCTCCTGAGCAAGATATGTTCAATGAGCCTTTGCCTGCTCTGGATGTATAGGTGTTTGTAAGATTTGAGGTAGAGATTTTTTAGAGTTTAAATAGTAAATATTAAATATATTTACCGTAATAAAAGTACGTCACCAAATTTTATTTTTCGTTTTGTGCATTTCTCAATGAAAGTCAAGGAGGAAAATGTGTCTGTCAATAACTTAACATTAAAACATAATGATATCGTATTCTTTTTGTAATAAGTATACCAGCATGGCGGCCATGAAAACCGCCAAATTTTTTTGCCAATATTTGCTGGCTTTTCATGTTTCGCGCAAAAGTATTTGTGTTGGAATTTGCGAAACGAACGTTCGGATTTTTTAAAGCTATATTGACACAGTTTTGATTAAATGCCCATCCATTCATCGACACCACAGATGAGTTACGGTTGAGTGCACTAAACCTTAAAGGTTTTTAAATTTCCCAACCGCTGCTTGATGTGACAACTGGCGCGATCTTACCAAATTAGGTTTGGCCCAGTTTGACCTTTAAATTGACTAACCAATCAGAATCTCGAAAATGAAATACGTGGCTAGCGTTTGTATTTGAATTTTATTAAGTTTAAACTGAACCTTGCAGTGGTGTTCGATTAAGAGCAAACTGCAATAAATTGTGTATTATTTTCATTTTATGCCGTTACGTTAACCCGAAGTTAATAGAAATTTTTTTTCTGACTATTTTCCTAGTCAAAACGGCATCTGATAAAATTTGAAGCTATTGTATATCATCAAACTATCGCCATGAAGAAGGGACCATTGATGGCAAGGCACATCAAGCAAGAGGACTGTTTATCTCGGGGCTCTAGTCCGAAAGAAATCTCTTTAGAAATACTGGATCCAAAAACAAGAAAGAGATACATTCGAGGGAAATTTCTTGGCAAGGTACAAATGTCGAAAGCTTCATGGAAGCTCGATGCAGTGGCCGTCAATTATACCCCAACTATAACATAAAACTTAGTTCATCTCTTCTACAGTTCTACTTTTATATTAAATAGTCAATTCTTTGCCAAATTTTTAGGGTGGTTTTGCTAAATGTTACGAGCTACAAGATAAAGACACAAACAATGTGTATGCGGGGAAAATTGTACCGAAATCCATGCTGACAAAACCGCATCAAAAGGAGAAGGTACTGCAAATGATTGATCATTATTTCTTCAAAAAAATCAAAACTCGTTTTACTCAAATTTATTTAGACAAACTTGACGAAAACCTATCCAGGCTAAAATTATCTTTTTTCCCTTTACAGATGGCGATGGAAATCGACATTCATCGCAAGCTAAATCACAAACATGTCGTTGGTTTTCATTGCTTCTTCGAAGACGAAAACTTCATATATATTTTACTGGAAATTTGTCGAAAAAGGGTAAGGTCTTTTGTAGAGTTCTTTTGTTTTTTATGCTGCCTGCTTTCTCTTAATCTGTGCGGTCTTACATCACTCCATAGGATAATAGGCACGGGTAACGTAACGGTTTTTGAATTCAAAAATTGTTTTATTTGGCATTCATTGTTTTCGATTTGTAACGTTATTTGACTCATAAATGCGATCAATTTGCTTTAATCTGCTCAGATTTCCCCCCTCATTCGAGAATTCGGCTACAGATTCATGAAATTTTTGTCAAACAACTGTGAAAATGTAGCTTAGCTTAAATACAATTGATACGTTTTATAAAGTCTTTGATGGAGTTGCACAAGAGGCGAAAGGCGTTGACAGAACCCGAGGCTCGATATTACATGAGCCAAATTCTCGTAGGATGCATGTATCTTCACGATGCAAAAATCATCCATCGAGATTTGAAGCTTGGAAACTTGTTCCTTGACGACGACATGAACATAAAGATAGGGGACTTTGGTCTTGCCACAGTTGTGCAAAGCGAAAAAGACAGGAAGAGGTTTGTTGATGTTTGGAACCTCTTTGACAATTTTCATTGTAGCATGTTGTTGAATATTTTCTTCTTTGATTACCAGAACTTTGTGTGGTACGCCCAACTACATTGCTCCTGAGGTGTTAAGCAAGAAAGGTCACAGTTTTGAAGTAGATGTGTGGTCATTGGGCTGTATAATGTGAGTAATGTTCTCATGGTCGTGGGTTATTTTTGAAAGTTATTTGAATTTTTTAAAAAAATCTAATTGAATGCTTAAGGTATACACTGTTGGTTGGCAAACCACCTTTTGAAACTTCTTCACTCAAGGAAACATACAGTCGTATAAAACGAAATGAATATTACATTCCCTCCAAAGTCAGCCCTGTTGCTCAGAAACTAATTGTAAAAATGTTGAGACCTGATCCCTCATGTCGACCAACTATGCATGAAATACGTCAAGATGAGTTTTTCCGTTCTGGGTATCTTCCTTCAACTCTCCCAGCGAGTGCTCTTTCCATGGCTCCACGCTTTAATCCCTCTGCATCAATTTTGGAATCTAAAGCAATCACAGCAAAGGATGCACATTGCATTGACTCCAAGACAGGAGGGCAGAGGCGACCTCTATTTGAACTGAACCATCTGCAGCCTGCTACATCAAAACCAGGCCAGGTGGAAAATCGTAGACGATCACATGCAATGCACGTGATCAATGGTGAAAGCCACGTTATGACAAACGAAGAGGCCAAGAAGCACGGCTTGGGCGACGACGAGGGTGAACAAATACCCAGTGATTTTTATCTCTCTGATTTGCTGAAGCAATTGGTGACGTGTCTTACGTCAAAACCTACGCAAGTTACCAGTGCCAGGCCCACCATCAACCCAGGTGATAATTAGAAATTTAGATAAGAATTTTCTACTCTTTGAAAATTTTGCCAGCTGCATAGTTTTCCCTAAGAAGTAACTAGCGCAATGTTCTGTTTTAGACGATGCAGAAGATCCCGCAAGTAATCCAATATTTTGGATCAGTAAGTGGGTGGATTACTCGGACAAATATGGTCTCGGTTACCAACTCTGTGATGGAAGTTTCGGTGTCCTGTTCAATGATGGCTCGCGACTTTTACTGAAAGAGGATGGAGAGTAAGTACGAATGTTCGTTCGTGCATCATTGTAAAGATTTACTTTAGTCACCCGGGACTTAGAAAAGGAAGTATCAAAAGCAGTTGTGGCTAGCTCATATAGTCATGATTGTCTTGATGCAAAAGGGGACGTACCCCGCCCTACGTAAAAAACTGGAGGGGACTAGAAGTTCTGATGACGACTTTATTAATGTCTTCATTTGATCGATAAACCCTCGGAAAAACCAAGAATTTTAGCCAGACCGATTTCTTCCGTCCTCTATCGATTTCTGGACGTATTTTTTATACAAATTTCATAAAGGCTGGGCAGTGTTACGCTCGCAGACTCCCCTAATGTGCGCTCTTGATTTTATCTGAAGTGCTAAGGCAACTGTTACCCATTTAAATCGTTAAATTGAAAGGAAATTTCATCTAGAGAAAATTATGTTTTTCACTTTATTTAGTACAAACGTTTGACCACCAACATTTTTGCTCTTAAAATGACATCGGTCTGCGATCTAGTCGTCCTATACTTGTTCAAATGTTATGCTTTTTGTCATCTTGTTTACAGGAATTTGCAATACGTCACCCGAGAGGGACAAGAGGAGCATTGTGGTACACTCAACCATTATCCTGAGCAACACAAGAAGAAAGTGACTCTTCTTCAGTATTTCAGGAACTACATGAGCGAGCACCTCCTGCAGGCGGGAGGACCACGTGGCACCGCTGTAGAAGCCAATCAGATGTCGAGATTGCCTTATTTGCGCACTTGGTTTAGAACGCGCAAGGCAATTGTACTTCATTTAAGCAATGGAATATTACAGGTAATTATTGCCAGAGCCTTCCCTAGAACGTTAATATGGGGTGGGGTGTTGTGCCCAACTGTTTTCTTTCGGGAGTGAATTGTTTTAATCCTTAAAGTGCACCTTCTAACCTCAATATTTTTTTTGAACGAATTTGATAAACTGTGGACGTAGGACAATATTTGTGAAAGAATTTTGTGAATTGGATGAAAAATCCTGACGCTACGCATTGTGTAACACAGTTAATATTTGGTAAACAACTGCGTGAGAACTCGTGGCAACACTTGCCAAATAACATTGCAATATTTCACCGAATTATTCTAATGCTACTGCAACCATATACCACGCTCCTTTCGGGCATGTTTTTCAACTTGGAGTAGTAAAAAAATAGCGGCAGATGGATAGAGTTTTATTTTTGTCCGGAATGTACGTCATATTTTAGGTACCAGACTCCAAATGCCAGTACTCCGTTCTTCACAAAAATTGCAGCATTTTGACAAGGCCTAGCGTCAAGATTTTATAGCCTTCTCAAACAATGCTTTCACTGTTATTATTACAAGTTTACATTTTACCGCATGCGTTAGAAAAAGGTTAGGTGCAGTGCTGTAGAACTAAATTTATCAGATGGGGGGCTCTCTTGACGTTAGGGTCAATAGTGCCCTTTTAAAATTACCCATTTCAAAGGTAGAAGGGGACTCCTCCCCAAGCGCCCCTCCCACTTCTACAGCACTGGTTAGATGCACTTAACGTTCAAGGGGCGGCTCTGGTTGTCATATCATTGAAACAATTCACAAGATTATGATATTTATCTATTCTCGCTTGTTTTCTGTTGTTTGTTTTTTTTATGCGAGGCACACGTTTTTCAGGTCACATTTTGTTCATTTTTTGTTTTTTTCATTGTTATTCGAACTGATTTGTCATTAACTTAGTTAATATATCTCAAATGATATTTCATTGTAAAAATTTTGTTTAAGGTATGTTGTCACTGTCCTTTTTTCAAGACAAGTGAGGGAGGCTAACCCCCCCTGCACTATTCCCCGCTTCCGATGCCCCCGTGTGACGTCTTTCTTATTGCATTGATTCTTCACAGGTGAATTTCTTTCAAGATCACACGAAAGTGATATTGTCGCCATGTATGGCGGCCATCACGTACATCGATAAAACCCGCAACGCCCGAACATTCACCTTCAAGGGCATAAAGGAAAACGGGTGTTCTTCGGAACTCGCCGATAGGATGCGCTTTGCGATGGAACGAGTTGAAGAGCTCAAACTATCGCTGAGAAATTACCATCCCACGTCGAGAGATGTTGCAAAGTCGAAGGCCGAAAAGCTTCAGGCCATCGTGAAAAAAGTGTAGTTTGAATATGAAATCCTTCGTGAAGTCCTTTTCTTTTCTTCGTTTTTTTCTCATCGCTTGAAACGTGTTTGGTGAATATCGAATCAAAGAAAATGTTCACGTGTTATGTCAATGTTGAATCTCTACATGCAGGTCCTTCGTTGCTTTCGATTTACATGTGTACACATTTCATGCAATGGATGATGTCTTCATTTCTGTAAATAGACAAGTACGATTTAATTGAAATTATATTCGTCGAGGATTGGTAGTTGAGATTCGTTCAAATCAATTTATTTCACGAGTAGGTTTCTCCCAACATGCTACAGATACTGTTTTCTGAGATACGTGTGTTCACGCACGAGATTTCTGAAACTGATAAGGAAGGTGTTCGTTGCATTCGATTTCAAGCACGAGTGTTTGGATCCTAGGTAGCTCTAGCAGCTCTGCCCGTAAGAAAGCCATAAATTTTAAATTTTTCCCATGATATTTTGCAGCATTTACACACCAGAACGAGTAAATGGTTTTGAATAAATAAGACTTAAATAAGACTATAGACAGCGCATCAGGGCTAACTGCAAGAAATTTTTCCCGGTTTGAAATGTTGGTCAGCCAACATTTCTACTTGACAGGACTGTAAAGTAATCGTATAATCTAATCTCGAGTGAACAATTATCATAAAACATAATGAGTCTGTCGTAAGTGGATAATACACTCAAAATGAACCGGAGATTATGCATTTTAAACAAAGAATGCGTGCAGCTACTGGCGTCATGTCGGTGATTAAACTGCCTTATGAGCGACGTTAATTTTAGCAAATGTCGAACAATGGGAAGGGAAAATAACAAATGAACAGTTTTATGGAAGAAAAGCAGTCTATTTTCGAAGCTTGCGTAGCACATTTTAATACCAGTCTTCGATGACCGACTCGAAGTTAGGGATGTGCATGTATCAGTGGTTGTGCCCCATTTGATTTCTTTCGAAAGCCAATTCACTTTTAAAGAAATCAGTCCGGTACAATTTAATATATGTGAATACCCTTCTCCCCCGACCGCCACCACCAATTAACAGTCCATTGACACCCCCCGGGTATGGATATAAGTCTTTCGTAACAAGTTGTTTTGAATAAATGTTTATTTAATACGGTATACTTTACGTTATTGTGTATTTTACGTGCCTTTCATTGATTTATCACGTTTATTTACGCTTATAAATTAAAGTGTTTCATATAGTGTCATTACTGATTCGATTATTTTCCCCCGAACTCGTGCGAGGACGCACAACATTTTCAGTTCTATATGTATATGATGAAATACGGAGGTTCCGCGTTCGATCGAGTGTCGATGTGTGGAAGTTTGATCGGCACGGCGTCGGAGTAGGTCGGCGTAATGCTGACTCGAACGCCAGCGTTTGTTGAAGGCGATGCGATCCATTTTTTGACCACTGACGTTACCCTCAAGACTAGGTCGGTCGTTTTGGAGCAGCTTATCTGTTTCGATGTGATTTTTTTTCCTGAAAAAATGTCATGAAGTGCCAAATTGCAATTACTTTTGTCTTCGTTTCTCGTTGCCATCACTGTCAAATGTAGGTTGACCAAGAACACATTATACAGTGAAAGATTCGTTCCATTAATAGAACATGTCAGGTCGTAGACTTTTTCGTTTGACGTTGATTGACGCTCTAAAACAAACGAACGCATGTTTCAAACCTAACAACAAAGTTTCGTGCATCACGAAAAGACCTAAACGATAACACGGCGAACCAGGCCTTAGGGAAAAAGATTGACCACCATGACAATGAAGTCAAATCCTGCTTAAGCTATGTCCACTACACAACTGGACAAGTTTATGGATTCGGAAACTTCTTAAGTAGAGAGAATGCGTTCAGAAAATTCATTTGTAAACATTGTTCCCTCGTGTGCGGGTATATTTCAAAAGAATATGAAAGTAACAATCGTCTATCGTCCCGTTCAGAACGAAGAAAGTTGTCTGGTGTAAACATTCGTTAAAGATCCCCTTATAGTTTACAGTGTTAAAACATAAGAAATCTCCAAGTAAACGAAACTATTTTCCCTACGAAGCCGACACGAAAAACTAACGAATGCTCTTTTTTACTCACGTTTTACGGTGTTGAAAATGCCGTGGATTCGAGATGCTCCCAACATGGACAGTGAAACTTTGTTATTTGTGAGCTGCTTGTATAACGAAAGCAAGAAACTAGGAGCTTTTTTCGACCATTTGCTGCCGCCCAATGGTGCACCAATAGTCAACGAGAGGCATACAATTGCACAGACTGACGTTATTTGAATTTTCTTCATTTCGATATCTTTGGTAAGGCGTTGTAAATTGTGATACCTGCAAATAACTCAAAGCATACTCAACGAAATTAGTCAAGTGCTTTTACTCGTCTAAATACCGACAAGAAATAATATTATTAATGATTATAACTGGCTTTTATATCAAGAGAGCGTCCTGTACGTGCAGTTTCCTTAATCAATTGCAAGTTGTGTTTACAAGCTATGAAGGTGTCGTAATCCTTCGCAAATCGAATGACGAACTTTCAAAAATCAGCACAGCAGCTCTTTTACCTGGGGTTGCTGACGATAGTCTTTAGTCGACTTCCTACTGGTTGTTGACAACGATGCAGGATGCACTGCTTCTGCGATCACGGATGTAACCGTCTTTCTTATACTTTCCGTGTCACGTGTTTGCAATCTATTTCGTGATAGCGAATTGAAGCCGAAGGCAAAAATTTTATCTAAACACAATGGAAAAAATACTCTTTTTTTAACACGTAATGAACAGTAATCATTATGACAAGGACACAAGCTGTTTCGTTTTCGGGCAAAAGACGAGTTTAAGCCAATTCGAAAAGCAAGAAAATTTTCGTGCGTCCGAATAATGGCAAATACAAACCACGCCTTTTGAAACAACTGCTTGCCTATGCAATTACATGAGACATATGGTGGTGCCCACTTTAGATGCGAGCTGAACTCGAGATTCGTGCAATCTTATCTTGCTTTTCAAAAACACTACCATTTATAGTAAATATCTTCTGTAAAATCGTTTACTATCAGTCATCGCAGGACGAACGTCTCTCGGTTTTATGATATTTTGTCTTTCATAGAATAACGCCCACGGATTCTCTTCTCGTACGACCAAAAAACACGAATTAAAATTTGCGTCGCATCATCGTTGTATCGAAAATTCCATTTCCCTCCCGTGAACGAAAACATCTTCTCGGAAGGTTCTGCTGCACGTACGTTGTGGGTTCGTGCTTCGAAGTTAAACAAGGTCAGCACAGATTATCCAAATTCAGTAACTTAAAATGGACTGATAATGACCTGCTAATTGGGCTGTCCTTCCATCGCCCACGTCGATTGCCATCGATTATTCCATGTGTTTTAAACAAATCATTTACAATATCTGCGTGAGTCATCGCGAGGCATAAATATTTGAAATGAAATCAAGCATCTTTGTTTGAGGTGATTCGATTCCAAGAGATTTAGAATATTCTGCTCACGACAGCACACTGTTTTGCGGTGCTCCGACAACTCAAACGATTTTAGTGTTCATGTATCAACAACGAATGAACTTAAATTTCTAAAGAAATTAATTATAATTCCACCAAAAATTTTCCTTTTGCCTAGTATGAGTAAAAATTGCATCGGCAGGGGTTAAAAACCCCAAACAAGGCGGTTGTAGCAAACCGAACGTGGTGCTTGTACCCAGTAATGTTGGGTGAATTTGATCTTTTCACGAGAACTTGATTAGGGCCGAAACTTAATCGGCAATATGGAGGGAAGGGGTGCGAATTTTCATGTACTTTGCTTTATATTTTCGAAAGACAACAATCGAACGAAACTGAATGGATAAACACTCCCCCCTTCCAACCCACCCACCAAACAAAGAAACAACATAATGGCGTTCTAGCTTCGGCTCTAAAGTTGGTATGTCAACGTTAGCGCCATAAGCCAAGTTAAAACCTCCCAAGAAACGTTTGATCGTATATTATATCCGGAGTCCTATTTTTTGCCTAACGTTGTTTCTGCTTTCCCGAACAATAACTTTGTGATGAAATTTACGGAGTATAGAATCAATAAAGTCAAGTGATTAATACCTCAAACATAATTTTATTCATCTCTATGGAATATGTATCAATCATGAATGAATTCGAAAGTGTTGTCTCTTGTCCAATAGAAATTTCCATTCGATTGCGTTTCATGTCTTGGGAAATGACTGAACTGATTCTCCGATTGCCAAAACAACTGCAATCTCTTATCGCAATAAATTTCCCATCCACAAGTGTGCGAATTGGCAATAACCCAACTTGATAGAAACTGCTTAAATTTGTTTGCCAGCAGTGAGAAACAGCTGCGGTTGACAACAGTTCATTGAAGCTCACAATAGTTAATTGCCAGCCTCGTTTTCGTGTTTTTGTTTTGTGTTCAATGAAGGAAGCAGAAAGAAACGCTTGATGCTAAACTTAAATCACCAACCAGTTTCAGTTCAACATCATTTTCGTCTTAATTTTTGTACGTGCACTCCACATATTTATTGCCCCTTTTGAGAAATAATTTGGAGCTTCTTTTAACAGTTACTATTTCAAATACTTCATTTTAAGCTATGTATTTTGGACATCTGACTTGGACATTCGTTTGGGAAAGTCAAAGATTTCCGGTTTTTGTTCAAAAGTTATATTGAAATTAAACATGCTAATTTGATTTTTTAGGATTTTCTAAATGAGTTTCCCGCTTTACGGAATTATACCTGCAAGTCTGGTATTATATGGGATAATCTTATCATATGATCCTAATAATGATCTTACTATCCTAAGGATGATCTTATTATCCTAAGGATAATCGTATGGTCCTAAGATGATCTTATGATATTAGAAAATATTATATGGAAAATGCATGTTTTAGTTAAAGAACTGAAACGGCTGTTTTTCCGTTACTTACATGGATCTTTTTCAGCATTGCTTCTAATACCACACCCGGTGATAGCTAATGGCCGCATATGAGTCTAGAACATTTTTTCGCATTCATTTGCTCGGGAATGTAAGGAATTTCAGTGATAACGATCAATACCATGTATAAATAAGAACGTTTTGCAAACCGAATATGACAATTCCTCCAATTGCAAATAGCCTACATTACCCTTCGACAATCTTTCATCCTCATTCATGCTCCCCCCCACCCCCCCACCCTGTGGATTTCGTACGATACCAGTCGTCCGTCTGGCGTGTATTTCGCTCTATTAAAAGCTAACAGACAAGGCAACCAATTTCCTCTAGTCCGATTAGCTTATATTACCCTCCAACAATCTCTTTAGTCATCACGCTCCCCTTGTGAATTGCTTACAATCATTGAGTTCTATAAGTTTCTGCAGCTATTTGAATGGCCTTATGAAGCCCATGCGCCGCGATTGCGAAAAAAACCAAAAGAAAAAACATAGCCATTATTATGAATAATGCATGTTTTAGTTAAACAACTGAAACGGCTGTTTGTCCATTACCTGTTTACATGGATCTTTTTCAATATTGCTTCTAACACCTTACCAGGTGATAGCTAATGGCTGCATATGGGTCTAGAACATTTTTTATAGAACTCAATGCTCACAATGCCGGTGGTCCTTTTGACGAGTGTTTTTCGCCCCTGAAAACCGGATGCAGCAAATCTCTGAAATTGCTTTTAATCAATGAAAATAACAAAATATCGCGATGAAAGTTTTGCTGCAATAATGGCGATGTTCTTCTTTTGTTTTTTGTTCACAATCGCCGCGCAAGGTCTTCATTGGCCATTCAAATAGCGGCAGCAACTTTTTACTCATAATGGATGTAAATGGAGCCCGTAGAAGAAGGAACTTTCCATTTCAAGACTGATAGAATGAAGCAAGCAAAAGGCTAAAAACTATGTTTAGTTTTTCAATGCCAACAATTGCACATTTTTATCCTTTTAAGTAATTTTCTCATAATAAGCATTATGTATTTTTCTTGAGAAATCTGGTTTTTTTACGGTGAGTGAACATCGAATTATATTAACATAACACGACGAAACTTGCGCATTGGAGAGTACTAGAAACGAGTGCATTTTTTTGAAAGCAGTTCGGAAAAATTTTTTATTGAACCGTAATTCGATCAGTTTTCTATGGTTAAATGTCCTGTGCAAAGATTTTAATATGAAAAGTACAGCAAGCCTGATGTTCTATCTTGTTTTTTTTTCTGCTATTGGTAAAAAATAACACCGTTCTGCAAAAATGTTACCAACGATGACCGTCTATACCTGACTAGAATATCGTCCTTTCATTTAAAGCTGACGTTCTCCATATCTTCATAGCATGGAGGCTGTTTTATATTGATATCTTTACTGTCGCCCTTTTTTTCGTTTTAAATGCGAACATTTTCTTTCTTATTTATAAATCAAATATCACTATCGTATCAATTCCGCATCTTCTCCATTTCAAGCCGAAACATTTCAAATTCATCAGCGAACGATTTGATCTTGCACAAGCGAGGCAAATGTGAAGTGAATAACAAAAGATAGACTTTATGGTGAATGATGCAAAGATCAAGCTGGGACCTTTCTTGATGCACACGAAGTGTACTGAACATCGAAAATGAAAACACCCCACACTGTCAATTACAAACATCTACTTGCTATGATTAATAGACATCTCTCAAATGTAAAATGTGCTGTTTTCTTTGGTCGCGTGACGTACCAATATTAAGAAGCTTCTTCAGATGAGCAAATGTCATAGAGGTAATCGTGGAACTTTGTGAAGAAACTTGAAATAATAGTTTCTTTTTGACGTTTTCTTTGAGAAAAAGAGGAGTTGCCGACTTTAGCATAGCCGTGATAACGTTATTTAGACGTCATGGAAATTGCTCTAACGCGGTCTTTCATTAACGCTTGTTTCTTCTGGTCGTTTGCTCGACAAATGACGTCATTCCTTTTACAATTTTTCGAAAGTCAAATTTGCAAAGAAATGACTATCGGATTTTTTAAATCAAAAGACTTGATAAAACAAGAGCAAAATCATGCAAAAACTCAATCAAAGACATTTAGCTGATGGAAAAGTAAAATAGTCGAAAAGGAACGAAACGAGTAAATTTCGGAGTAATCAACTAAACTCTCTGAAACGTACCAATTTTAACATTATTGACGAAAGAATTGTTTTCACAGGACATGTTCTACAATCGATGTAGCTATTCAAAGTTATTTAATAAAAACATCAACCAACAATTTTCCATTGTTCGGATGAGAAAACTGATTTGCACTCATTTTGTTACCCGACGAAGCAGTATAGCGATAGTTGCAAGCTTATGTGATTAATACCAATCTATGGTTTTGGCATTAGTTTGTTTTAATGAAAGACGTAAAAATTCACATTAGATTTAGCAGCTATTGACAGAAACGGCAGTAAAAAATGCGCTTTGATCCCTTATATTAAATATTTATCCATCTAAGACAATACATTCCACACACACAAAGCCACAATACATATGTCAACAACATTTTTACGCAAAATACAACCTCTACATGAACAACTCGTTCGAAATACCCCATTATATACGCACAAAAACAATGCGAAAGTCCTAACTTACCCGAGTTTTTACGCCATATCGAATGCTCTAAGTCACTGCGCAACTTATTATGGCACAATGGCCCTATCGATGCTGAAAATGACTCTATATGTACGACAAGGATATAATACAAATTAAATTATGATAATTGGTTTGCATTCGGTCGGGCGTAATTCATCTGATCGCGATCATGAAATATTTTGCGACAAGATTCATTTTCGGGTCAGCACAATGCTAGATGTTATGAATAATCTAACTAACCAGGGGGAATCTATGTTAGGTATGGTTAAAAAATTTCCCCTCCCCACATTTTTTCTCGAAGGTTTGTTTGACACTGTGGCCCAGTTTAAGTGTAGAAAAAAATATGAAATTCCATCTTCCTTTCTGATGGTCAATTATCGGATTTTCTTCGTCAAATATGGACGCTTTATTTCTCGTCGTCATCCTCAAGGATGTGTTGACATCGTATGGATTTAAAATGCGTTAATGAGTCGAAATTCTCCATAATCACATTTGAGAAAAAATTTGAGTAATTCGGATTATATACTTATTTTCAAACGAAGTGGTCTGGTTTCTCGCCAGCGCTAAGTTGTGAAACGTCTCGTTCACACTTGATGTTGTTTACATGACGTTGTGAACGTCCAAGTCTCGAGCTTTCACGTATGCCACTGGCCGGTACATGTTTTCGTCTTTAGATACGAACGACAAAACCCAAGACATCGTCACATGAAGGACCTCCTACCTCATCCCGGTGGCTGCTGATTTTGTTCCGAATTCCGCTGACTGGTAGAGTTCGTATATTATATGGTGATCGAAAAATGCAACTCGTTATCTTGTAGAATGCATGCAGTCAAATATCTCTGAGCCACAAAGATTTTTCTAAAAAAAACTGATTTAATTTGGTCAAGGGCGTCGTCATTCAACTGACATTGTGTGGGCCAAAGTTCAGTGTTGAGAGAAATGAAAATTTAATGCGCTGCTCTGAGCCTATCAGACGTAAAAAAACTTCTTAAGAAAGAGAAAGATTATTTCACAAAAAGCATTAATTGTGCCATGATTGTTTTTGTGACGTACTAAATTATACTGCTGACCGAAACCGTACCCAAACGGATTTTATTAACTTTTATACAATTCTTCCTTTCCACTGTAAGAGTGTATGATATATGCCAACAATGGGCTTCAAGTTTTGTTATACGAATTTGCTTCCCACCTGTTATGTTCTACGCTCTTAAAAAAGATACAAATTTTAAGTCATGTTTCGACCATTCAATAAATTTAATTTTTTAATTTTATTTACATACCAAGCAACCAAAAACAATGGTTCGAGAATATTCTTAACGTTGGCATCGAATAGCGCCTGCCAGTCAACACACGACAAAATATACTTTTAGCAAACAGGGGGGGGGGGCTTTTTACATCCACTCCTTGTGAAGTCGATAAGTCCTGCTTCGTCTCAATAAATATTCTTCTGACCTTCTTCTAGTAACGTGTGGTGCATGGTATTGTCGGGTAATTTTTCGGTACTATATCGTATTTCAACCAGTTTTGGCCATGAAGAAAATTGAGCTTTGATCGTTCAACGATGATGATTATGAACTCCAGAAAAATTGAACCGTTCTCTTTTGAAACCAACATGAATTGTATCTAAGTGCTTTTTTTTGTGAACAAATCTATCTGATTTCGGTCTTGTAAATCTAAATCACCAATTCTTTTTAGATAAAAAATGTGGGCGAAGCCTGTTTCAAGATATGTTTGCAACAGAACATTCAATCGATATTACCTAAATCAAAAGTTGTCTTTAAAGCTAGCTAGTTCAGTTATACTGTACACGACGATACTTCATGTCATTCATCCTAAATTCTTTCCTATTTTTGAAAACCGACCCTATAAAACAACGTCATCTTAAGACCTAAGTCTCTGTTGGTCACGGTCTGTTTATCAAGTTTATGAATAAGATTATAACTGTCCTGATCCGAAACAGCTCAGTACACCCGATTTGAGCCCGTTCGTGCAACAGTTTATGTCATTTTGTCCAGCAACCGCATTCCGTTATTTGGACATTCCTCAGTCGAGAAACCTGAATGTTACCGTTGACAAAATTAACAAAAGACCGAGGGGCCACCTTCGTCGCCTGACAGCATTTTGGATTTCTCAAAACACTAGCGCCTTTTGGCACTGGGTTGTGATGTAATGCTCGACGAAAAGCCATACCAACATCGAAGACACTGGAAACGTCGAATGGAAAAGTGACGTCATCTGGTGGGGAGCAGATCTTCGTTTGGAAACTGTCTAAGGCCAAGATAGACTGGAATTTAATCGTGACGTCATACGAGTCACACGTGACCGCTTTCGAAAGATTCAGGAGCGCCTCCGTGGAGTATACATACACGACAAAATATGCTTTTGCACCAATGATTTTTTTCAGGGATTTCTTCGTTTTTTTGGCACTTTTCATCTTCAAGCGCAAACCCCTCGAGTTTCGCAAGTTGTTCATCCACTTCAACGAGACGCCTCTCATTTTGACAGCGCGATAGCCAATCTTATTCGTTGACTGCACGGGTACTCTGGCTAAAAGATTTTGTTCGCTGCTTTCGATCCAGATTTCGTCTGCCTTAGTAAGCGTTTGATCTTTTCGAACATTTATGAAAATTTCATCTTGAATGAACGTGCTGTTCAAACGATGAGGGGGCGAATGAATATTCATGCTGATGTTGTAGTGTCTTCCTGTCCAAATGGCTAGAACGATATTATATGAGAAGGTCAATTTATGATTCTCGTGAACATATGAACAGCAAAACTCCGGGGGGAGAAAACCTAAGAAAATTAGCTTCATTGAAGGGGGATGATATTCATTATAAGCGTATTTTGCCACAGTAAGTTTCCTTGAAAGTTTTAGTTTTTTAGGGATTATAGCATCTTAATATCATCCCCATTACTTATCAATTTGGCGACGCCATTGTCGTCTGATTGATGATTATTGATCTGTGGTCTTTACACAGTTTAGCTCAAGCCAAGACAACCCAAAAACCCCAAACTTTTCATCCAATTCTCCTCCCATTCAACACACGATGTCTTTATATTTTCAATTGAAGCAAGTTTACCGTTTACTTAAGCGATTGAAACACACTTCTTTCGTTCAAATACAATTTCATTTGATTTAAAGTTAAATTACGCAATAAAAACCGGTTCTTGAAACACCTAAAGATAGTTGTCACGGACCAAATACCCTAGGAGAACAGGCAGACAGAAAAAGTTGACTGATGAATTCACTCACTTACCTGTAATTGGAAATACGTGTGCCTCGCCTCCCATCATCTTGCGCGTCTCAATTATTCTCTTGTAAACGCTTTTCGGTAGCTTTGCGGATTCGTGAATTTTAATACCAGCTCGACCATGAACGGATTGCAACAAATTAAAAAAAATGCCAGCAAAAATGACCAATGTAGGTCTTGTTACTGCCGATTGCAACATCATTTCGACAATCTTCGTGTATGATTCGAATTTCTCCTCGAAGAGCGTTGAAGAGAGCTAAAAATGTGTTGGAAACGCGGACTTCTTCGCTAACCGCAACGTTTGCGCTGAAGCATTTTGACAGAGCCGCGATGGCAGACGAGCTTTTTTATATCTCGGTGGCCGTGGTGTTAAAAACAATTTTTTGTCGCACTAGACACGACGCGATGACATTGAATTAACCCTATAACGATTGAGGCAATTTAAAACAATGAAAAGGTTAACCAAAGTTGACGAAAAAATTTTTGTAATGCGCATATAATGATATCTCAGAAGCTCAATGAACAACATCTGGATTTTAATTTCTCTTCTTCGTGGTAAACAAGTTCGGGAGATTTGGTTTTGAACTTTTTGCAGGAACGCGTGAAAAATATTTTTAAAGAGGGGATTCTATCTCTATAGAGTGAAGATTTCTAACAATTTTAATTACCCTCTTATATAGATTTCGTCGTCGATTTTTTAAATAAAACGCAGACCTTAAACGTTTGAATTTCGTCCTTAAACATCTCGTCTTTGCAACAGTATAACGATACTTGGTATATGACCGTTTTAACTGTTTTCATCCAGTCAGAGTGTAAAAAATTAACTGAAAAATTTTTTCAAAAAAGATTACCATCAGCAAGGATCTTGTCTTTGAAAGACTTAGTCCAAAATGTGGGGCTTTTACGCCAACACATATCAAATTCGTTTGCGTGGACAACCAAACAATTCTCAAGTCATGTCACACATGTTGCAGTTTCCTGTAAAATTTACTATCATGCATTATACTATCATATTAATGTAAGCAAATTGCGTCACACTAAAATTGTAAATTAGTTGTGAAGTGCCCGTAAGATAACTCAGAAAGTTATGGGTATTTTCGTATATTTGAAAAAAAAGAACTGATCGACATAAGGACCAGTTGTACCACTTACGGACATCGCTGTCCACAGTGCTGGGACAAGCCTGCGAATAGGATGGCTGGACGAGTGTACTTTCTTTTCGAGATTGAAACATTGGTTTGAATCGCAGCTTTTTGCTTTAGAAGAGACGTTCGAAACGAGCCCCCCTCAGATGTTTATTAATCAACTCAACATCAAACAAACGTTTGCGCTTTGATCAATGAAACCGGCCGCTTTGTATGATCGAAAAAACAACTCGATAAGGAAGTATTTGGCACACAGATAATTTGACGCGGTTCGTTTTATGCCTTGTTGTCGAGAATATTATTAACTCCCACTCGTTTCTTCAAACGCAAAATTCATTCGAAACATGTATTCTCACCACCAGAATGTATGAAGTTTGACAGGAAAGTGTATTAGGCGAAAGGGGGCAAATAGACTTAGTTTAATTTTTCTGTTAAATGTACTGGGAATTATAACAGAATCTAACCATTGCCTAAAATATAATTTTCAATGTACAACGTTTTTCCCTACGTCACAGCTTACGTCATTCTTGTTATTACCAATGGTTATATCCAACGCCCTCACACCAAAATCAAGTCTTGCGGAGGTGGTGTTAATTTTTGTCAACATTGCTGTTTACAACAATCTCAGAGCGGGCAAAATGCTTAACATACGAGCACTGGTAGCTTTGTAATGAAAACAAGTACGAGAAATTGCTAAGAAATGTTCATTCTCCTTTCATATTTTTCAACCTTTTCCTTTTCTTACGTTGACCTTTATCCTCGACATCAATGTTAGCATGAGTAACTTTTGAGTGAAAAGTACCTTCGCTTTTGTTTCTCTCTGAATTCGCTCCTAAAAGATTGCTTCCATTGCATGGGAACACTTTCCCTTTCGATTCATTCACTAACGAGATCATACGTTCATTTTGATCGATTTCTCCTTCGCGCCTGGCTTTTTTCTTCTTGTGCTTTTTGACTGACTTTTTCTGAGTAGAGTCATCATTGCCATTTATGATTTGCTCATCAGAGATTTCATGATTCTTCATTAAGTCTTTTTCCTTCTTCTTCTTTCGCTTCTTTGTCATTTTGGGCAAAACGTCTTCCACAGATTCCTCAAGTTTTTTTTCACGACAAACCTTATCAATCTCGTTGTGTTCAACCGATGTTCCCGCATTGTCATTGAGCTCTTCTTCGACAGCCATATTAGCAGCCTTTAAATTCCTCATACGCTGAGCAAAATACTCCTGAATGTTTTGCTTACTGGTGTAAGTAACAATGCCAGAATCTGATTCGAGATTAGTGTTGGAAATGGAAGGGTTCCTCTCTGGCATGTGGCCTTCTTCTTTTTCACATGTGGTGAGAGCAACAGAGAGTGCGCTATCTTGTACAGACCCTAAGATACAGGCCATATCATTTTGTGAATATTGTGAAGTATCCTTGCTTCGAATGAACCTTTTGTAACTGGGAAAAAAGCACTTAAATATATAAATGCATGGAAAACAAACAGCATTTCCTGATAAGCCACAAATTATGAGATTGTTCTTGGTTTCAACTTACAAAACACGTTTCTTTGACGCTTTTGCTACTTCAGACATGGCTTTTCGATTTTCTTCCACAGTTCGCAATTCTAAAATGGACAGAAAAAAAATAAGATTTTGATTCTAAAGGAATTATCTAGAAGTCTAAATAATCTGGAAGGTTGAAAAGTATATGATGAAATTAAATACCTGTGTTGCCACCGTGTTGCTGTAAAGCAGACAACAAATTATTGAAATCAACTTGCTGTGCCATCCAGTCATTGTCATGGCTTTCTTTAGCTCCAAGACCTTTAAAAATGTAACATTCTTACATCATGTTAAAACCAGAGTTTTACTGATGGTGTTTGAAACAATTACCCAAGTTAGTTTTCCGTTTCTTGACCTTTACATGAAATGTGGTGCCCGCCTTGTCCTTTCCAAGCCCTTTTCCCTTTGACCATCCCATCTTCTCTAGCATTTGGTAGCCATAGCGTTTTTTATCTATGGATATGGTCATTACTTGTGACAGTGATTACATATGAGTTGGGTTATCTAAACGTTGACTGCAATAATGTCTTGAGGTGTGAGGGTGGGGGTTGGTGGGGAGATCAATCATGGACATTATGTAATGATTCACACGTGGTCAAAGAAAAAGGCAATATTGAATGCCTACACTAACATAATAAGACGATTTGAAAAATAAAATAAAAAATCCAGTACAAACCCCTGCTCCACTTGGTATTTCGAGGATCGTCACTCCATTTTTGTTTAGATTTCACCTCTGCCAGCATCGCCATTATAAGAAATCGACTTAAATATTTTATTTACGAGTTAAAATATTTAATAGAAACATTACAGATCCTCGAACCAATTAAGAAACTTCTTTTATGCAGAGATTAACCAATCATAAGGTTCCATCTATTTTACTGCGATGTGTTGTTGTTGACGACCATTTGACGACGCGGCCGCATCAAAGATGGCGGCGAAATTTGAAAAAAATTGTTTGAATTTGAAATTGAAATATCTGATTTGAACTACTGAAACTCAAAGTTCCGTGTAGAAATATTCAGTACATTCATGTATTTTTCGCTCCATAATGCTGGAAATACGAATTTCGTGATATTTTCAGCGCGAATTCTCCATAATGGAGGAGGTTCCTGTGCGAGTGGCTGTCCGAGTAAGTCATTAACTCTTACGTTGTGTTTTGTGGTGGCTTGTCAAAACTTAAAACCGAACATGACTTGGGTGTATTAAATAGAGCTATTATTTTTTAAGATTAAGAGTCAATATATTTATTAATATCAAACATGGTTATTTGAAATGGTTTGGAAGGACAAACTCCCTGAAGTTCTGAACACTATCAAAATAAGCAACGGATCGTACGATGTTAAATATTAATCAAATTAAATGCTTGTTTCGTTTGATGATGATATTTCACATGGTGTCTTGGAAAATAGTAAATAATTCTTGGAAAATAGTGCAACTATTTCATATCCAAATTTTGAAATTGCCACAGTTATAAGAACGCTTTCGTTAAAATTGGGTTAGGGCATTACCTCTGCCGATAGTGATTGTTTAAGCTAGAGTATGGCAATATTCAACCGGCGGAATTCCTTTTTAGTTATACGACTTAATCGTAAATTCTAGGTAAGACCGCTGGTTGGTCAAGAAAGGACGCATAATGTTCCGAAATGTATCACATTTGTTCAAGACAAACAACAGTTGATCCTTGGTAAAGACAAAGCGTTCACATTTGATTTTGTGTTTCAACCCAGTGTCACTCAGGTAATAAGCTCAATGATATTTTTTCTCCATCTGTTTTAGTTGCAACTATTGGCTATTTCACTCAAAGTTCCTATACCACCCTCAGAGTAATTACCTCTCGAGACAGAGTTGACTATTTTAAGAACATTTGCAATATATTTTATAAGACAAAAATTTGATCTTCCTTGACTTTTTGGGTGTTAAAGTTGGCTTTTTTTGTGTTTGACGGTGAGTTGCTGTGACTGGGTCTAGTTCACTGGACGCGAGGTACATTGGAGAACATGCTGATTTTCAACGCTGCAGAACTACAGTGTGATTCAATAACAAAGTGCACAACATAACTTAAGTTTAATAAAAAATAAATTTCTAGACTTTGCTACAAATTTCAATCTAACCTACAGTATTAAAAAGCAGCGTGTTTTCCAATGTACGTCACACATCGAGTGAACAAGACCCGGTCACAGCACCTCACTGTCAATTAATAAAAAAAGCCAACTTTGAGGCTCAAAAAGTGTAGGACGATGAAACTTTAGTTTTGTAAAACAAATTTCAAATGTTCTTAAAATTGTCAACTTTATCAAAACAGATTATTTTCCTGACGGTGATATAGGCACTTTAATGATCATATCTTTTGAACATGGAATAATGAAATGCTGCAGTCTAAATGTTGCCATGTGGACCTGTTGTCCAATTGAACATATTCTTTTATAGGATGGCATGTGATGCATTGTTGACAGACAAATACATAAACAATAAAATTTGATAATAAACACTGTGACCAGGGCCGTAGCCAGAGCAATAATTAATCATATATTCAGTTGTGCTTGAATGAGTTCTTCGAAAAGCCTAATCACTTTCAAGTTTCTAAAGAAATCAGTCGGGTCAACTGAATATATGAATAAACACCCCCTCCAATTAATGTTCTAACTACTGTGCCAACTATGACACACCCATATTAACTAGGGATCAGTGTGAACATACATGAATAATTAATTATCTAAAACGAGTTGATCGGTGAAGAATGCTTCCCCCTGTTCCAAATGTTGGAATTATTTAATCAGGTGAGGCTGTCTAAAAATTACCAAGTCTGGTCACATTGCTATGGATTCTGGTTAGGAATGTGCCAGATGCCAATTTTGGGATATGTTGCACCCAAATAGCGGCATTTGATATCTGGTAATATATGTTTACCAACTGTGTTTGATATCTGTAATTTTTGCCAGGTATTGAACAAACTTTTATTTTGCTTACAAGAATGCAAAATGATTTTTTCGCCTGAAAGAGAAATTTGTACAAGAGCTGCTAGCAAATTAATACAGCTATAAATATGCATTTACTACCAAAATTATCTCTAAAGAACCAAATGTCTTGGGATGATGAATACATGTTGCCACAACAATATACAAGCACAGTGGTAAAGATGTGAACATATTTTCTTTACCACTTATGTTCAGAGCTATGTCAGTCAATAAACTTAATACGCACTATCCACTTACAATTTTTTTTACCGGTGTCCAATAGACTGCCATCCAGTATTATTCGGTGTCCTGCATATCTGGGATGGATTTGTGTATTTTTAATAAGAATTTTAGGGGGGGGGGTGAGCTTGTAATGAAGTGAGGTGCGACAAAGTAAGAGTCTAGAATTTAGAGTGGTCTGGTGGTGCAGCTATTGAAAGTGGTGTAGAAAGTTGAAATATTACCCTGAAAAACTCAGTTCAACTGTAGAACTTATTTGTTTAGTTAAAATTGGGGGGGTTAAATGTTACTTAATGGGGTGAAAAATTTATTTAGGGGGGTGAAATCTGAAGTTTTGGGAGGTGACACCCCCTCCCCCCAGGTAAATTCATCCATGCTGAATATTGGTATCTGGCACATCCCTATGTACGACTTCCTCTGTGTTTTTATGTTGCTGAATAGTGGTATCCGTTCCCAATATATCCCTAATATCGACATTAATTTTAGGAAGAGGTGTACGAGACGTGTGTTGAACCTCTGGTCAAAGGATGCTTTAATGGTTATAATGCTACGGTATTTGCTTATGGTCAAACTGTAAGTGAATGCAACAACCCGCTCGAGGTTGCGTTGCAACAAGTTCGTCAATTATTCAGCGTGCTTATTCTTCATAGGGCTCGGGAAAGACTTATACTATTGGCAGTTCAAATACTGCCGATGTTTTGGACGAGGAATATGGAATGATTCCACGAGCTTTGGATCAGATGTTTCACATCATACAAGTAAAATTATGTTTTAAATTTTAAAATGACGAAAGACATGGGGGTTAAATGATTTGCGTCTCAATATTTTGTTTTTTAGTAATGGTCTTGGTAATGTATTTTCTGTAAATTTTCTAATAAATTCCTCCCTTTAAGCATGATTTTCTATTAAGTGCCTCTTTACTAAACGCCTCATCTCTGATAGACGCCCAACACCATGTTACCGTTATGATAACATCATCATGGGTTGTCCAATGGGAAAAGCATGTATTTTGTCTTCATTTCGTTTTCATTTGCTCATACGAAGATGATAGAAATGACATAAACCCCTCTCTCTAGTTAGTGCCCCTCCCTAGAACCGTTAGAATTTATTTAACGCCCCCCCGGCGCTTATTGGATCATATGTGATGTAGTAAGATTTTGAGGTATTGATGGGAATATGGAAAGCTCCATTTGGGAAAACCTGACTTAAGTTGTTGGGTGTAATAATTTACAGGAGAAAAAAGGCAGCGTCGATCTCGTCGTAAGTGCCTCGTACATCGAGATCTATATGGAAGAAGTTCGAGATCTTTTAGATTTAGAAACAGCTGCTAAAGACATTCACATCAGGGAGGACGAGAATGGAAATACAGGTTACCTAAGAGAATTTGTTTCGATCCACGTAGTTGTGAACGGATGGAGTTTTGACGCTTTTCTTTTCTTCAGTAATCATGGGGGCAACAGAGCAAGTTGTCACAAGTGTGGACGAGGCAATGAGCTGCTTGGATACTGGTGCTGCTGGTCGCCATGTTGGTAGCACTAACATGAACGAACACTCGAGCAGATCACATGCAATATTCACACTTTATATTGGTGAGTTAAAGCGGTTGAGATAATCTGCGACTATAGCCTACGCTATAGACCATACTGCGTAGGGTCTACGTGTGCTAAGCTTGCCTCCACTTACGTTTCTTCCATGTGAGCTTTTTGATGAATTATGCTTTAAACAACATTTATTTAACTACTTTGTACTTTCAAGATGGCTAGCCAACACAAGGAATATGACGTATGCGGGTGCAAATTTTTTTCAATATTGTGTAGACCCTATGTGGCATGGTATACAACATAGGCTACGGCGACCATAAATTGCTTGTTCACTTATTGCTTGGCATTTATTGTTCTTAAAAAGAAGTCACGATCAATTATTACGAAAAAATCCAGTCTCGTAGATTCACCTGGAAGATATTGTATACTTGCTCTCAAAAAGTTAAAAGGCACGCAGATTTTTTCGAAAAGGTGGAACTTTTGAGTTAAAAATTACATGTTTTAGTTGCCAATAGATGGAAATAGATTCCACATTGCATTTTATTCAGTATTAATTCATTGTAACGATGAATCATGTGTTGTATAGGTAAAATTTGTAAATAAATAAGTGAAATAATAGGTAAAAAATAGGTAAAATTTCCGTGAGTTGATGACGTAAAATAATAGGTAAAAAATAGGTAAAATTTCCGTGAGTTGATGACGTAAAATAATAGGTAAAAAATAGGTAAAATTTCCGTGAGTTGATGACGTAAAATAATAGGTAAAAAATAGGTAAAATTTCCGTGAGTTGATGACGTAAAATAATAGGTAAAAAATAGGTAAAATTTCCGTGAGTTGATGACGTAAAATAATAGGTAAAAAATAGGTAAAATTTCCGTGAGTTGATGACGTAAAATAATAGGTAAAAGATAGGTAAAATTTCCGTGAGTTGATGATGTAAAATAATAGGTAAAAAATAGGTAAAATTTCCGTGAGTTGATGATGTAAAATAATAGGTAAAAAATAGGTAAAATTTCCTTGAGTTGATGACGTAAATATTGCTTTCGACTTTCTCGTATGTCTTTAGTGCCTGTCGTCATATGTTCCACCCATCAAAATTTTGCTTTGTCCTCCTTGCTTGGTCTTACTGATAAAAACGCTGTCGATTGCGAAGTGAAGCCACCTTCCAACATCATCTAATACGCAAAAGTATCTAGTTCGTTATGTTCTACATTCGAGTAGTTTGCCATATTCACTCTTCTATCTGGCATTGGATTTTTGTATTTCAGAACAACACATGATTCAATAGTATCTAGTTCGTTATGTTCTACATTCGAGTAGTTTGCCATATTCACTCTTCTATCTGGCTATGGATTTTTGTATTTCAGAACAACACATGATTCAAAAGTATCTAGTTCGTTATGTTCTACATTCGAGTAGTTTGCCATATTCACTCTTCTATCTGGCATTGGATTTTTGTGTTTCAGAACAACACATGATTCAGAAAGAGGAACGAGCAACGGCCAACGATTATACTTCCGCATCAGGTACGCTCTATTTGGATAACATTGTGCCTTCCCAAGAATATTGTAACGCGTATTGAAAAAGTAACTCGACAATCGACGATTATAGAATTATTTCGAAGTCGTAAAGTCATGCCATGATTTCTGATTTTTTCGTAGATTTTCTCCTAACTGCTAAGACGAGGTTTCATTTTCTTCATCTTCTGTGATTTTCTATGAGCGAACCATGCAATATGTAGCTTAGCGCGTTTCAAATGATCTTAATAGTCGACATCTTTCGCTTTACTTCTTTTCGAAAACATGCATTATTGCACGTCAAAAAATGTTGCAGTCAATAATTACAAGATTTTATGACCGCAAAGTTTCGTTTCGTGAGTCTCCAAGATGCACTGCTTGTATTATAAAAGAAATAACTTACTTCAACTTGATATAAAAGCTGGTCGTCTAAAAGTATATAACTTTGTAAAATTTGAATATATCTATAAAGTACTACCTCTAACAGAGATCGCTCTTCTATATCTAAAGGCACGTTCACGCGATCCGATTTTGTTGGATCCTAAAGAAAGGATCGTGTGACAGATATAGAGTGAGCTTCTGACAGTCGGATCCGTCAGTCTAAAAAATATGATGGAAATAGAACTTGCTCTATTTTCATAGGACAAAGGAAGCCGACTAGACCCAGACCTCTCCCTTTGCATACTTCCCAAATTTGATTTGTCGCAAAAATTAGATTTGAAAAAGACTTGGAAACATGAACAAGAATACGTAAAATATAGCCATAAATGTACTGGATAACACAAATGGCTGCTCTCAGCCTCCCACGACGACAAATATCTCCTAAAACATCCCGCCAACAAATTATCCGTCCGTCGAACAAGCAACCAAAAGTCGGAACCGAATTAATCGAATCGTGTGAACGTGCCATAAGACCTAACAGCTACGCGTACATAATACATCATTAGAGATGAAAAAATGTTCTAGTTGATATTTACTAGATTTCATGTCGGCAAAGTTTCATTTTGTGGACCTCGCCGGCTCAGAGCGCGCTCATCGTACCGGTAACGTCGGCGAAAGATTCAAAGAGTCGGTACACATAAACAGCGGTCTTCTGGCGTTAGGTAACGTCATCAGCGCTCTCTCGGATGCCAAGAAAAAGACGGGACACATTCCGTATAGAGATAGTAAGATTACACGAATCCTGAAAGATTCCTTGGGAGGGAACGCGAGGACGGTGATGTTGACGTGCGTCAGTCCGGCTGCCGCCAATCTTGCGGAGAATTTGAATTCGTTAAAATACGCCAGCAGGGTAAGCTATGTAATGTTGAGGGAAATTTATACCCGTGTATTCTAAACGCTTACCCACATTGAAACTCAAGGAGTGCGATAAAAAAATAAGCTCTCTCTAAGTCATTTCTACAGTGACGATGATTTTGGATAAAATATTTCAAATCAAGCGATCGTCGAAGGAAAAATCATTCACTGAAGTGAAAATGCCTTCTTCCGACAAACGTGATTTTCAAGCCTTGTGATTTCCAAGTGTGTGTGACTGTTTAGCTCTCAGAATAGTATTGTTGGTGCCAGAAGAAGAGTTTCTTTAGTGAAATCTTATCTATAACCGTATCGTATCAGAAGAACAGTTTCTTTAGTGAAATATTATCTATAACCTTATCGTATCAGAAGAACAGTTTCTTTAGTGAAATCTTATCTACAACCGTATCGTATCAGAAGAAGAGTTTCTTTAGTGAAATCTTATCTATAACCTTATTGTATCAGAAGAAGAGTTTCTTTAGTGAAATCTTATCTATAACCGTATCGTATCAGAAGAAGAGTTTCTTCAGTGAAATCTTATCTATAACTGTATCGTATCAGAAGAAGAGTTTCTTTAGTGAAATCTTATCTATAACCGTATCGTATCAGAAGAAGAGTTTCTTTAGTGAAATCTTATCTATAACCTTATCGTATCAGAAGAAGAGTTTCTTTAGTGAAATCTTATCTATAACCGTATCGTATCAGAAGAAGAATTTCTTCAGTGAAATCTTATCTATTACTGTATCGTATCAGAAGAACAGTTTCTTTAGTGAAATCTTATCTATAACCGTATCGTATCAGAAGAAGAGTTTCTTCAGTGAAATCTTATCTATAACTGTATCGTATCAGAAGAAGAGTTTCTTTAGTGAAATCTTATCTATAACCTTATCGTATCAGAAGAAGAGTTTCTTCAGTGAAATCTTATCTATAACTGTATCGTATCAGAAGAAGAGTTACTTTAGTGAAATCTTATCTATAACTGTATCGTATCAGAAGAAGAGTTTCTCTAGTGAAATCTTATCTATAACTGTATCGTATCAGAAGAAGAGTTTCTTTAGTGAAATCTTATCTATAACTGTATCGTATCAGAAGAAGAGTTTCTTTAGTGAAATCTTATCTATAACTGTATCGTATCAGAAGAAGAGTTTCTTTAGTGAAATCTTATCTATAACTGTATCGTATCAGAAGAAGAGTTACTTTAGTGAAATCTTATCTATAACTGTATCGTATCAGAAGAAGAGTTTCTCTAGTGAAATCTTATCTATAACTGTATCGTATCAGAAGAAGAGTTTCTTTAGTGAAATCTTATCTATAACTGTATCGTATCAGAAGAAGAGTTTCTTTAGTGAAATCTTATCTATAACTGTATCGTATCAGAAGAAGAGTTTCTTTAGTGAAATCTTATCTATAACCGTATCGTATGTCTTCATGTTCAAATACATTAGCATTGCATACGTAGGCAAGAGATAATGCACTATAACTGCATGCATTGAAGATATGGAGAGATAAAGCTCTTTCTCAGCATTTCGTCACAGCCATATGCCACTTAGCCATGCCGAGCCTGTCCCATTTTCAGATATAGAGAAAAAGACTGAAAATATTGCTATCTGATTAAGTATTAAGATGAAACTGATGTCGTTTTAACTCCGCTTATTCATATGAGCAGCAATTCCTTTGTATACGTTCACAGGCGAGGTACATAAAGAACAAACCGGTTGTCAATCGAGATCCTCAAGCAGCAAAAATGGCTGAAATGCAGGATGAAATCCAGGTATAATGCGAATGATAATACTGTGATTAGGGATCGTAACATGCGAGTATCTGAATGTGAATATCAATGTACCGGCGTCCCGTGAAGTACAAGGACGCCGGTAGTGATGTGAATGGAACAAGAACCTGTTTGTAATCTTAGCCCAAACTGGTTCATATGTAAGAAATAGAAAATTTCATTCTAAACTAGTTCATAAAATCTATGTTCTCATACGTGGGGGCTATGCTGTAGTGCTATAACTTATGTCATGACACAAGCCAGTTTACACCTCAAAAATACCTCCTATTTAAAGCATCGAATCTTTTTAGCCAATTAGTTGAAAATTCGACATTCGTCTCTTGTAGCTATATCTGCTTACTTAATCTTCATGATCGGTAATGTACTTTTGAACAAATGTATGAAGGAGATGAAATTTTGTTTTAGCAAATTTATGAAGGAGATAAAATTTTGTTTTAGCAAATGTATGAAGGAGATGAAATTTTGTTTAAGCAAATTTATGAAGGAGATGAAATTTTGTTTAAGCAAATTTATGAAGGAGTTAAAATTTCGTTTTAGCTATGACAATAGAGTCCGATGATCTATTTTTTCGTATTTTTACCAACCAAGCATTACGGGACGAATCTCAACGCCCGGGTGTCATGACAATAGATTCCGATGATCTATTTGTTCGTATTTTTACCCACCAGGCATTGCGGGAGGAACTTCAACGCACGCGTGCTATGACAATAGAATCCGTGAGCGATGTCAGCGAAGGATTAAGGATGAAAGAGTTTCACGTGGAATTAGAGCGGTCAGCTTCTACTTCTTCATAATTTTTCATCCTTTTTTATTTTTGTATCTCTGTTTTTCATCATTTGTTTTCTACTCACAGCAAAATCAATGATATCTTGCATGGTTTGTCCTTTGAATAATGAAAAGACTTCTGCGTCCTCTGCTATTTATGCACGTATGATGTTGTTCAACTGTTCTTTGTTCTATGTTATTCATTCATCACTACCTACACTCACACACGTTATCTTATAGTTTGTATTCTAGGTAGTGTAAAGATTGTTCTCGTTCTTTCTTGTTCATTAAATTCATCACTAACTACACCGACACACGTTATCTTACTTTATATTTTATGTAGTTTGAAAACTGTTTTTGTTCTCTGTTGTTTTTTCATCACTAGCTACACTGATACACGTTGTATTCGTTAACATTTTAGGCAGTGAAAAAAATTTTTCTCATTCTCTGTTGTTCATTCATCACTACCTAAATTGACACACGTTATCTTAGTTTATATATGTTAAGTTAGTTTATATGTTGCGTCGTGTAAAAGCTGTTCTTGTTCTCTGTTGTACCTTCATCACCACTTACACAGACATGCGTCATCTTTGTTTATATTTTATGTGGTGTAATAACCGTTCTCGCTCTCTACTTTACCATCAACATACCGAGACGCTTCATTATAGCTTGTATTTGAGATACTGTGGTGTTGAAATCATTGAAAATTAACACCACTTTGGCATTGAGTAATCCATCACGTTCTCTCTTATAAACATTTCTTATAATTACAGCGCTCAGCAGGAACTAGAAACAGTTCGCGGTCTATTAGATGAAGCGACTGCTCTCCTCGATGATGTGCGAAAGGGAAACGGAATGAACAAAACTCAGATGAACCAATACGAACGACTTAGAAAAGGTCTGGAGAGCTTGAAAAAGCAGCGAAATGTCGCGCATCAAAGCTCTTTTGGAAAACAATCTGAAGAAATCATCCAACAGCTTAAGAAACAACTAGAAAAGGTGTGTCCTCGTTTTTTAAAATGTTGCACCTCCATTTGTAATCGTCAATCATAAAGCTCTCACTCTTATTGCACGACTGTGATGAGCACGTAAATAGTCTCTCCGCCTAAAATTGCGGGCTTTTTATTTAAAAAAATACACAACCAGTCTTTCTCAAGGCGTAGAGCCCCCCGGGTTTTTTTCGGGGGGTGTTACCCTCAAGGTTATTTTCCTTGTGATAGGGGATGATCAATGCTCATTTGACAGGAGGGGTTCAGATTTTCCTTAGGTGGGGTGCACCGTTATCCTTGCGTAATGAAAGTGTTATTCGCTCCCTTTTAAAAAATTTTCATGTGTTTATTTTTTCATAAAAGCGTGTTTAGTAATTTATTTCAATTTTAATGTTTTAATGAAAACGTTCATAGTAATACTCAATTGTAAATGGTGGTAATATAAAATATGTAATTCCCTTTGAAAAATGACAAGTTCTACTTTTACTTTGTCTTGTTGTACAATTTCATTGCACCAATACTGTTATATTAATCATCCGCAGTACGTAATACCATTTTAGAATTTATCATGAGGGGATGCTAAAAATTTTTTCAAAATAAAAAAAATTTCAAAATATCCGCTCCTGCCTTATGATGTCAACTTCAGGGAGGTTTTCTCCAAAGTCAACCGGCTATCTGCTTATATTTCTTTAGTGCAAGAATGATCTGGCTGCAGACAACGAGATTTTTGCTAAGAGAAGTACGGAGAACGATAGTTTAAGGACTCGCATCAAGGAACTTGAACTGGAGAATTTTAATCTCGATCAGCAACTGCGAGAAGTCATGGAAAAATTAAGGCGATACGATGAACAGTTGTTGAAGCAGCAAGTGCAGTTGAACACACGACTCGCGACCCCCGAGCATGATGGGATCGATGAAGTGCACGAGCAGAAAGTGGAAGGTCATGTCAGCAAATCTCCGGATGATAATGACGAAATGGATAGAATGATGAGAAACTTCCGAGCCCGCAATGATCTTCTCGTTAGGCAATATGAAGACGAGGATGTAGTCCGACATTCCATCTCCGATTCGTCGGACAGCGAACAAGAGGAAAAGTCCGCTGTTCGGCCTTCGAAGTATGTCCTTTTGTCATATCAAACTTCTAGTAACCAAACTTAGCCTTGTTGTAGTGCAACTTACAACTTCCGTTTTCTCCCAGGACTCTGGAAAGGCGAAGAACTTACAACTTCCGTTTTCTCCCAGGACTCTGGGAAAGGCGAAGAACTTACAACTTCCGTTTTCTCCCAGGACTCTGGGAAAGGCGAAGAACTTACAACTTCCGTTTTCTCCCAGGACTCTGGGAAAGGCGAAGAACTTACAACTTCCGTTTTCTCCCAGGACTCTGGGAAAGTCAAAGAACTTACAACTTCCGTTTTCTCCCAGGACTCTGGGAAAGGCGAAGAACTTACAACTTCCGTTTTCTCCCAGGACTCTGGGAAAGGCGAAGAACTTACAACTTCCGTTTTCTCCCAGGACTCTGGGAAAGGCGAAGAACTTACAACTTCCGTTTTCTTCCAGGACTCTGGGAAAGGCGAAGAACTTACAACTTCCGTTCTCTCCCAGGACTCTGGGAAAGGCGAAGAACTTGCAACTTCCGTTTTTTCCCAGGACTCTGGGAAAGTCAAAGAACTTACAACTTCCGTTTTTTCCCCAGGACTCTGAGAAAGGCGAAAAACAAAGAGAAGTCCGAAAACGGGGTACACAAACGACACGTCAAAAGCCGTCAGTTGGCTTCGAATTTTCGTGCTCCCAGAACAGCACAATCGACTGTCAAGGTATGACAGGTCCACTGTTTGAAGTCGCTACCATAGCTGACTACGTCACTGTTCGGTGTGCAACTGCTTTTTAGTGTTCTTATCTTTATCTTCCTTTTTTCATCGTAGAGAAGATCTGAACTTGCTAAGGAAACAAAGACGATTGTGAAAGGAACGACGGAAAACGAAGAAATTCAAAACCTTCGTCTGAGCGTGCAGACCATTCAAAGCGAGGTTCACGACTCCGATATCAGATTACGTGAAGCTCATATTCAACTTCGAGATCTCAATATCAATATAAAGTATGTTAAATCATGAACCTTCTATGTCTAATGACTTTTTTGTGGACATGTCGTAGCATTCAACTGCGATTAAGCAGTTATTACTACAAAAGGAAAGATAAACCATAAATAAAGCTCATTAGCATTGATCGTTCTACATAAAAATCCTGTGGTGCTCATGACTTACCGTAAATGATCTGATCCGCGACCTCCATCAAATAAGCGCCTCGTATCAAATAAGCGCCTCCTCTCTCTAATAGTCACCCCCTCACATTGCTATTATGATATTACAATCATGGTGGGTTGTCGGTTGGGCTCAGAAACTCTGTATTTATCCTTAGTTTTGTGTTCGTTTGTTGACACTGAGGTAATTAAAGTGATATAAACGACTCTCTCTATTATACGCCCTTCCCGTAGAACCGCTAGAATTTATCTATGGTGCGCTCCTGCGTTGACAAGATCATTTACGGTATTTGTCACTTATACTGCTGTATGGAAAACGCCTAAAGCAATGTCCATAAGTCTTTTTGTTTTGCCCATTGCATTACTTTATCGGCATCAAACTGTGTCCCTAAAAACTCAGTTGAACCTGTCTTCAGATGTTGTGTCTATTGGCAGACTCAAGGAAGAGCTGATCAAGGAACTAGTGCGCAATGACAAGGAAGCGAATCACATGAAGGAAACATTCGCGGAGAAAGTCGAACTCATGGTGAAAGAAGTCGATAGACGGAAGAAAGATTTGGATGCGATGAAAAAGACGTTAACTCATTACGAAGTGAAGTCACAGCAAGAGCAACAAGAGAAACAGAAGATGGAACAGGAGTACAAAAAGAAGCTCGAAGGACTCGAGGAACAGCTGAACGAGTTGAAGAGAAAACAGAAGGTTTGTGAATGATTACGTTGATGTGCGTGTATACTGTTCTGAAAAAATGATACCTATATGCTGAAATCGTAATTAGCCACGTCGAAATGTGTAGCCAAACAAAAACCAATCGAATGTACTTACGTATGGGAAAATCGTCATAAGGAAAATTGGCAAACACAAAAATAAAAATTTAGGTTAATTACAAGAGCAAATACGGTTTTTCTTTACAAATTCGACGTTCAATATTTCAAAAGACCATTGAAAGGAAAACAGATTCATAATTGTTGGGAAAGACCTGGAAGTGTGAGCGTGAAAATAAACCGGCAGGCAGGGGCGGATTATCCAACAGGCTAAGTAGGCTAAAGCCTCAGGCCCGGGCTTTTAAGAGGCCCGTTGTATCTTCATATAATTAGGATTTGCACGTTTTTGCTGTTCTGGGCTAACTAAATGTGCTTAACTTAGGTCATTTATGCTGTTGAAAACCTTACGAACAATCGAATGCAGAGGGAAAATGGCTTTGTATTATCTACTGTTGAAATACGCAATGCTCAGAACTCATGAAGTGGTGGGTTTATCCCAGTTTCCCTGACCATGTCCTCATTTTTTACCCAATGGGGTTACAAGCAGGAAATACAAAAACAAAGGAAACTTAATGGGAGGAATGTATATCACTTAGAGGCCCAAAACTTTGTTTTAGCCTACAGGCTCCATAATTAGTAATCCGCCCCTGCCGGCAGGGAAAAAATTGACCGGTCAATTTGGTATTTTTTGCCTGTTAATTATTATTACGAGCTCTGCGTATACATCAGACACCATCTCTCATGATTACGGCAAATGTCTTTTCTATTGACTGTAATCAAGTTTTCTATTGTATCTTTATGGATACGTAGGACAACGAGCGAGTGTCGGCACTTTACGATGAACGCGAGAAGAAATTGTCGGATCTCGAGCATCATGTGGAAAGAATGAGACAACAACAGGGAAACCTTCACAAGAGGTTGAAAGAGGAGATGGACAAGAAAACGAAGATGGAACGGGAATTTCAGAAAGATCAACAGCGCATTAAGGAGTTGGAAGACAAAAATATTCAGAACGAGAAGATTTTGAAGAGAAAGACGGAAGAAGTCGTCGCTGCGAACAGAAAATTGAGGCGGAAAACTTCCAAAGAGGAGAGGTATGTTGCTTTTTTGATTTGAGAAGAAAATTATATCATCCAGTCTGGATAGCTATACGTATATAACCTGCATCTTCTGCCTTTTTTGTATAATTTACCACTTGTACAGTCAAACCTGTATCAAGCGGACACTTCGTTAAATTCCAAATTTAATCCCATATTCGTAAATATGAAACTTCCATCAAGTGGACACTTCCCAAGGATCTCCGCTTAATGCAGATTGGACTGCATCTATCTGTCTGTATCAACACCACACAAAATTCCTCCCTATTTGAATAAGTTATTATAAGTGCTACATGAATGAATCCCAGTCAGTCTGTAAAAGCCCGATTGCGATGGCCCCGTTTTTGATACGATAATCTGGGAAATCTTTCAACTGCTTTACAAGATGACGGTTACCGACGAATAATGTTGCCGAATAGCGAATTAATTAGATAAGTTATTCAATGCTGACTTTAAAATGTGGTATTTTTGAATGCTTCGAATTCCTTTTTTTAAGGAAGAGTGACCTCACTCTTTACATGGCATTTATCAATTTACCCATAAGTCTAAGTAGTGCTGTGCTGAATTATCCGGGATTCATTCACACAGAATTTATAGCAACATATCTCGTGAGGGGAGGACTTTCTTCTTGTGTAGTGTTATTTTGACTTTCTTTGTATCACGAGCTTTTTCTAGTGGATGCTTTGATCTGTATATCTTTGGTTCCGTTTTGTACAATTCATTTGTTTACCGTTGCGTCTTATACACGAGGAAAAATTTCATTATTGAGGTTTTTAATCAAAAAGTTAAGGATTAAGCTTAAATAGCAATTGCTTTATTGTAGATTTTTGTCATTTGATGAACTTCATTTACTCCGTTATGGTTTAATTGCATTTCAACAGCAATGTTTTTCACTGTAGTTGTAGTTTTCATCAATTTCGCTGTAACGCTTCATTTTCAGTGAAGAAGCTGGCAGACTCGACCAACGTCGTCAATGGCTGGACACCGAGCTCGAGAATGTCCTCGCAAAGAAACAAGCGATGGATGCTTTGCAAGAAGAACTTGATAAACGAGAAGCCATTTTGAAGGAACGCGAGCAGATGATAAAAGAGAAAAGTTCGCTAGAAATGAAGAAGCTACGATCAAGTCAAGTCTTGTCTAAGGTGGGTATTGGGTAGCTTTATGGATATGTGTGGATTGGTCGAAAGATGTATCCGTGATCAATTGATGTATTATTTGTGCATCATGTGATGTATCTATAATGAACTGATATATTTGTAGTATGGAATGGGATATATCAATTTCGAACTAGTATAGTATGGGATATATCAATTTCGAACTATTGAGTATATCAATGACTAACTCATATGTTTGTGGTATATCATCAGCGATGAACTGATATACTTGTAGTATATCGTAAGGTGTATCAATGATCAACTAATATATTTGTGATATATCGTAAGGTGCATCAATGATCAACTAATATATTTGTGGTATATCGTAAGGTGTATCAATGATCAACTAATATATTTGTGGTATATCGTAAGGTGTATCAATGATCAACTAATATATTTGTGGTATATCGTAAGGTGCATCAATGATCAACTAATATATTTGTGGTATATCGTAAGGTGTATCAATGATCAACTAATATATTTGTGGTAGATCGTAAGGTGCATCAATGATCAACTAATATATTTGTGATATATCGTAAGGTGCATCAATGATCAACTAATATATTTGTGGTAGATCGTAAGGTGCATCAATGATCAACTAATATATTTGTGATATATCGTAAGGTGCATCAATGATCAACTAATATATTTGTGATATATCGTAAGGTGTATCAATGATCAACTAATATATTTGTGGTATATCAAATGGTGAATCAATGATCAACTAATATATTTGTGGTATATCAAAGGGTGTATCAATGATCAACTAATATATTTGTGGTATATCGTAAGGTGTATCAATGATCAACTAATATATTTGTGGTATATCAAATGGTGAATCAATGATCAACTAATATATTTGTGGTATATCGTAAGGTGTATCAATGATCAACTAATATATTTGTGATATATCGTAAGTTGTATCAATGATCAACTAATATATTTGTGATATATCGTAAGTTGTATCAATGATCAACTAATATATTTGTGATATATCGTAAGGTGTATCAATGATCAACTAATATATTTGTGATATATCGTAAGGTGTATCAATGATCAACTAATATATTTGTGGTATATCGTAAGGTGTATCGATGATCAACTAATATATTTGTGATATATCGTAAGTTGTATCAATGATCAACTAATATATTTGTGGTATATCATGGGGTGAATCAATGATCAATTGATATATTTGTGGTACATCATGGGATCTATGCATGATCAACTGATATATTTGTGGTATATCTTGGTATGTCGTTGGATATATCAATGTTCAACTGATGTATTTTGTAGTGTATGTCTTAGGATATATCAATAACCAAATGTATATGTAGGTGAGAAAATTGATGCAAAACATATCTCATTTTCTAGGACGTATTGCGAATGTCGACACAGCTTGAAAACGTGGAAAAAAGCATTCGCGAGATAGATATTGAATTGAAAGGTGCGTTATTGATAAAACTGTGAAAAATCGCAGTTGTCCCACTGTGAAAAGTTGGGAGAGCGAAAGGTTTATTTCTAATCCACTCTCCGGGGACATTTGTTTTGCAGAAAGTGATGATGAAACAACTCGCGAAGAACTTCGCAAGAACATTGACGTTTTGAAAAGCGAGAGGTCCGAGTTGATCACGCTGAGAAAAGATCTTGATTCTATGTTGAGAGAAGGGAGCCTTTTGAGTGTGGAAGATGAACGAAGGTATGTGGATTTCGTGGGAAGGAAATCTATAAGTTATAAGATTCAGTTATTGCGTTTTGAAAAGAGAGAGGCCTGAGTTAATCATGCTGAGAGAAGATGTTGATGCTTAGTTGAAGGAAGATAGCCTTTTGAGTAATAATAATTTATAATATTTAGTTATTAACACATTTTGCATATTAACGTTACAATAGAAAAAAAACGGAAGTAAAATTTAATTACTTTATTTAAGTCACTTCCTCTTTCCATACACCAACAACATGCGAACACAACGGACACCAGTTTCAACTTGAAGAAATCTGACATTTCTAACTCTTCTTTATCACAGTTTGTCGATGCAAGAAAAACTGTAATAAGACTTGTGCTATCTTTATTGCTTCATCACCCTTACTTTCTAAAATGCTTCATAACATTTAATGTTTTTTCAAGAGATCTTGCATGAATAATATTTTCATCCACAGTTATCATCCACTGAGATTGACACATTTTCATCCACTGAGATTAACACATTTTCATCCACTGAGATTAACTTTAACATGTACATATTGTAGATATCTCTATTAGATCTAGCCATCCTACAATAGCATTATTTATCCAGTCTTATCCATTATTTATAATGACGTCCACCGTTCGATTACAGACTATTAGAGTACAACGAGGGCATTGAAGCGCTGGACGCTGCCATCGAGTTCAAAACGGACTTCATTGACAAGCAAAGAAAAGTACTGAATGCTGAAATGGCAGAGAATGGCTTCATGACAAAGCTGAATAGTTTAGGCCGAGAGGATGCCATTTTTCTTCTGTCGAAATATTTTCAAAAGGTGATCGGTCATCGCGAGATCGAGCGAAAGCAACGCTTAGAGCACGAAGACTTAATTCTTCGTGTGAACGAGCAAGATCGCGTGATCAGAGAACTTGAGCGAGGATTTCAACAGGCCGATTTGCGGGCTGAGCGCAGGCTAACTGATCAGGCCAAAGAATTTGAGCATAAAGCGCAGTTTTATATGAAACAAGTCAATGAATTAGAGCAACATGGCAGGTAAGTCTTAATGATTTAGTGAAAGACGACTGGAATATAGGTCACAGTCGATATCAGAGCCGCCGAGAGAAACTGTGGGGCCTGGTGCAAATTTGTTTTCTCAGTCCCCTGTGACTTCATGTTCTCAACCCTTTGCGACTTCATGAAATATAGGCAACGTGTGATGAAAGTCAACACTACCACGAGTGTTTTCATTTTCGTCTTTTTTCCAAGTCGGCTCCCTTTGGCAGGTTAGGGTCCCAGACATTGAAATAAATAGATAGTATAATATAGTCTATTATAATTCAATGAACCCAGAGCAAAACGCCCCCTCGCCTCCCCCCTGGGCGTGCTCGGTCGGATCCGTAGGATCACAGTATAGGAATATACAGTAGGGCTACTTCGCTGTGCAACTGGCTGCTGTATATTTAATTAGTTTGCTGGCTGCCGTTTGCCATATCGTCAATCTTATTGGTCACCAAATGCAATTTACTGCCTGCCAATATGGTAATCACATGCGTAATAATGCGGATTATGGGTGATAAATAATTATTCTTGCGACCGTGTGTGAGCAAACTCTCATATTGTATTTTTAGTAAGAAGGAAAGTCGCATAAGCGAGCTGGAAAAAGATTTGTACTATTACAAGAAAATCAGTCGAGATTTAAAGCGAAAACTGCGAGAGTTGACTGGTAACGATGGAGGATTGGACTCGATTCAGTTTTGCAGTGCACAAAGCGAGGCTCCTTCCCAAAGCGAGTTGAAACAACCTGTCGAGTCCGCTGGGCAAGAGCAAAATTCGACCGTACGAAACTCTAAGGTGTTAAATATTATGTAGAGTCTCCGATCAACCGCATCGGTCCCTGTTGTCAAAACGTTTCCCCGCCATCATTTCAATTCAGTTAAATGAATGTCGAACCAAAATCCAAAACATTGTTTATCGTGTGCTACCAGTAAACGTGTATGTTAGAGATTTAAATTGAAACATATTTTAGAACGTAATGCGAAATGATAATGGACATCCATCAAGTACGACTCCTGTGCGTGTATCTCGTAAAGATCTTAGACAATTGAGGTAAAACTCCCTTTAAAAAGCCTTTCACAAGAGTTTTCGTCCAAGAGAACTCTTAAAATAACAGTAGACTTTCTAAAAAAGTTAAGTCATGTCTTTTTTCGTCACGGATGGATCCTGGATGATATTGTACGGGGGTGTGTGCTCTAGTTTTTACAAGATGTCGTTCGGTTAGTCTAGTTTCGATTACTTTTGTGATTCCTTTTTGGGTGTCGTTGTGTCATTCACATGTCGTACTTTTTGTGGGTTTGAGTTGTGACGCTGGGAAAAGGGCAGCTTGACAGTTGTTTTAGCTTTTGTTGGTATATTAATATTTTGTATGGAATTTGCTCCCCTTCTGTACCGCTTCTAGCCAAGGCTAGTGGGTTGCGCACCCCCTCGTCTCCTAAATCCATCCCTGCTTTTTCATTCTCAAGATTTTGAAGTTTTGTTATGCCCGATTTATACAGGCAGTGACGTCATATTGCATAATGAGAATTTAAACTATTGCGAATATTTGCTGACATGTCACATCCACAGAACAGAGTTCCTGTCATTGTGAAGTGTTATTGATACGAAATTCCGCATAGCTATTTCATGCAAAAGAGGGTTGGAAACAAAAGGATATTGTAAATTTGAAGTGAATCCATTATGAAATTTGATGTCACTTCCTTTTTATAAAACTTCCATAACTTTTAAGAACTGAAACAGATACGACTAAACCGTTTTAGAAACTCCACTTTTCTGTTCGATGAAACAGTAATTTTAACAGCAAACTTTTCGTTTTGCTTGCTCCTTAACGTGTGAAACGTTTCTCTTTGCAACACAAGATTTGTTGACTTGGGGCTTCTTTGCAATATTTGTAGCGAAAAAGAACTATCCGTCCGTCGCGTCGTACCCTTGACGAAGTCCGATGTTACCTCTTCAAACGCGACACGAAAATCGTCCGTCGATCGGGTATCTGTCGTTCGATCGTCGGTAAAAAATTCACCTCGTCAGAAAAAATCTGTCGAAGTGATTTCGCTGCAAGGTAATTGCCATATACACGTTGAGTTTAGATAAGCTATCCGTGGCTATTTTGTGGATTTTGCCATGCAAAGTCTTTTCTGATTTATAGTTTTAATTATGTCGGGTATTTTTTGAAAATGAACCTTGTTGGGCCCAGTTCAAACGTCGAACTTTACATGAGCCGAACTCATTAAAAACAAAAGATAATGCGGTAGTTTATCTCATTTTCTTTTGTCTTTAATGCATTCGGTTCATGTAAAGTTCGACGTTTGAAACAGGCCTTAAACAAAAAAATCACATTTGGTTTTGCTTCGTTGATATTTCATAAGGAAATTGACACCCCTCTGGACCACCTGTAGCCAAGACTAGTAGGGTTTGGCCGTCCAGCGCGACCATCTCTCCCTCCCCCGCTCCCCAAGTAAATCTATCCTTGCTCAGGATCAATTTATCAATATTATTTATACCGCATGCCCTTCCTAGTTTCGAGGTGCATCGAAAAAATAAAATTGAAGACCTCTAGAAGTAGACGTACTGTGATCATTGCAATGCACGATCACTATGTCAAGCTCACGGTGCATAAAGTATTGTCAGCTACGTGTTTATCTTAGGGGCTGATTCATGAGCCCTGCAGCCGGGATTCAGCCAAGCGTTAAATAATTTTGGCAAATGGAAACGATTCGATACTTATCATCAGATAAATCTTCTCAAGCAATTTCACAATATTCTGATTTAATAACTTCTCAAAACTTTTAAAATTGAAACCAATTTGCCCTCAATTGAGAATTACAACCGGAATGACGTGTGGTGCTTCGCAAACAGTTGTAATTTTTACCCTTGAAGTTTTGGCTCCTTTCAATTCCTTGAAATCATCGGGCTAGCTCGCTATCCGCGCCAGCTCGCCTCCATATGATCAGGCCCTAACTAACTCTTTTCTTGTTTTCAACACAGATTCAATTGAACAAAGCGGAAATCCATGGACTTGAGTGATCATCTATAGCTTCAATTCTTTTTATTTAACATATAAGTTGTACAAATGTATCCTTTAACGCGATCTGTTTTATAAATAGAACACAATACGTAGATTATATTTATTCACATCAACTATTTCTATACTACACGCATTGTTAAAACTGTCACTCTGTATTGAGCTGTATACAGTGTTATTTCCTTCTAGCCTGCGCTACAGGGTCAGCCGTTTCAGAATCCATAAGATTTCGCTGCATCTCTTCCTCTGTTTCCTCCAGGCAGTCGGCGAATAGGTCGGCTGAAATTGGTATTCTTTGGCCTGTGGTAGATAATGTAGCCGTAAAAATGAAAGCGATAAGTTAAAAACCGGCAACATGAAGTGTGCACAATGCGCTACGGACGCCGGCAGACGAAGACTTGAGATAAGCCCTAAAATCAGGCTAAATATAGCGCGGGAAAAACAAATTCTTCGAGATAATTTAATTTATGCATGCAGCAAGTTATAGGCGAAGGAAAGTAAAACATACACGAGGAGGAACTTTCAGCGACTACATATGGCTCGTATAAAAAGCAAAAAAAGTACAACATATACAGGAAGTACGTACTCAAAGCTTTATCTATCAAGTCTCGGTTGATTTTTTCTTCCCTCTTGAATTTTTTCTGCGGAAGAAAGCAAAGGTATGTTGGTTTAAAATGTTAAACGCTTCTCTGACTGGTTTGCATTTTAATCGCACAAATATGTTTTTAAACCAAAACTATTTCGAAAGGATGTCACTTCAAATTTTGCTTTATTCGAAAGCAAGGTATGTAGTAAATTGCTACCATGCCTTTTGTTCATATATATTAGTGGGGAAGCCTTAAAATCCGTTGAAATTGTACATATTTTCTTCCCGTACTTTAAGCTCGGTTCGGTTTCTTTTCGGGAAGAGCTTCGCCATTAAACTGAAATCCGTGCCAACTTGAGTTAATACTTCGTAGAAATACAAAGTTTCTAAAAGAAAATCAAACCCAACCCGTTGATTCACAATAGCAACCACACTGTCGTTCGAACGAAACGGTGTCTATTAATATATTTTTACACCTTTTTTTGTCCATCGTTCAATGTTCTTTCTCCTCTTCAACGCGTTGTATTGCTGATCCGCGTTTTCAAAAACAACCTCTCTAAAAAAAACAGTTTCGTCGAAAGGTTATTACACAAATGAGAAACGAACTCTTTCAAGTACAATAATAACAGCACACGATAAAAGTTTACATTATTGTGTGGTACAGAAGTAGCGACATGAGCGTTCACTGATAAGAAGAAGCAGATTCCGATGAATATAGTCATCTTGAAAGTTGAAATTCGATATTTGAATTAAAACAAGAGACGTAAAATTGAGAGTAGACTTCAGACTTCATTTCAAAGCTTTCAATGCCCACGTTGTAAGGCAAATACATAACTCGTGCGTTGCCGAGACAATCATTTGAAAATTAAAAATGTTTGTCTCCTCTGCATGTTGGAAGAAATGATCATTCCAACTTTCGCATTTTCTCGGTTTACATAAGCACAAAACCATATTTGAGATTTCTGTAACAACACGAGGTATAGTTCAACACAACAGTATTAGAACCTCATGGTTACTTCGTGTGCATTCGAATATAATTGAAAATTCCCATATTTTCAAATACTGCTATGCTGGTCTTGTGTACTTCATTAAAACAACTACATTAATATATTCAAGCAAGTGATTTAGAATAATTCCCCCCCCCTACGGCCTTCCGATTAAAAGTCTGCTGCACACGTTTTTTGGAAAAATTCGTAAATTTTTGCTCGAAATGCGTATGCGCCGCGTTTTTGGTTCATGCAATGGATTCTTTTATAAAGGAATTGAATTTACCCTTGCAAATTGTCCTGAACGGGCGTCGAATCGATGACCATGCTAAAGATAACACAAGTGGAAATTCACAAATGGAAATTAAAATAAGTAAAATTAAACCCTACGTACTGTATGACAACCGACGCTGTACCCAAGAGCAAAATTATTCTGCAGTGTACGCGAACTTCTCACCTTTCTTCGTCTAATACGATGTTACCGTCAGCGTCAATCCTTACTTGAGGAGCACAAACAGTGGCTTTGCTCGCTTCTCCTCGATTTTCATTAGAATCCGTTTCGACCGCGGGCAAAACAGTCTCAGACTGTCTACTTTCTGCACTGTTAAATTAATAAGTTTCCATTTAGATACTACGAAAATTTCACATTTCATGGCATCTATGCGAAAGCATGCTTGACAATATTTTATAAATAAGCACCTGGCACCACCGGCAAAAAACGACGTCGGCGTTTCATTTTCATCAGCGAAACTAAAAGGGAATAACGCACAGTGAAACTATCTTGTCAAAATTGTAATGGACGTCTTGGAAAAATTTTACTTCATTGGATTCGTAAGAGGATTATAATAGATCATGTCGCTTATTTTCATCTTCGCGACGTCAACTTCTCCATCTTCTCGAACTTCATATTGCTCCTTCCTTTTCTACAATACAATGGGATTTAAAACAGGAGATAACTCAATCTGTTCTGAAAGTTGATGCTTAGTGATTACTAACTCTCTTTCGAGGTCTCCCGACAGTTGGAGCAGTGTTGTTCTGCAAGTTCGGATTGGGTGTTTTATTGGAGCTTCTCGGTCGCCCCCTCGGCCTCTTTTGAGAAGCAGTTGTTCCATGTCGATTGTCAACAGTGGGCGTAGTAGCTGTTCCGCTCGTGCCTGACTGTTAAAGGAAAAAATCGAACAGTGACCTAAAAGTATGTCTCAGTGAACTCGACATTTGAATAACTGGAATGATAACCGAAGCCAAAAAATATTTGTTGTCATCATTCGTCATCACACGTCAGGCTCTAGTCTCTCGCGTGTTCATTTTATTTTTTTTAAATCATTTGTCCCTTGGTAATGGTAGAGTTCGGATCTTGATCTGAGGGTAAAAATAACGAAATTTTTGGAATGAAAAGGTTCACGGAAAGTGAATCAAAGTGATAAATCGAGAAGCAAGATGAGGTGAATTTAGTCGATCTGCTCTTAGGCTGCGGTTTTCCTTTAAAACATATCAAAGTCTTTAAGGATATTCAATTATTGATATCGAGATGACAACCATTTAGTATTTCAAGTTTCAAGCACTATCAAAATCGATGAAAAATACAATCGCTCTGTAAAAAGTAAAAATGCGAGTTATAGACTCAATATTTTTTATGAAACTGGATATTCAAGTTTCTTTTTTAATTCGGAAAAACAGATCTTTAAATCCACTTAAATGACAAAAAAGACAAACACTGTCTGAAAGTTTACCTTCCGACGAAAGAAAAATTTATGCTTGAATATTTTCTCATCATATTTTCTATTGTATTGTCTTTTTAGCAAACAGTGTAATTTTCAGTTGGCTTTTCCTCGTTACAAGTTGTAAGTTACAACGAACTCCCTGTAGTAAAGTTTCAGCTGTAAAAAATAACCTTTTGCGAGGAGTTGGCCTCGTGTGTTGTTTGTCGTGATGTTGTTTATATGTTTATGCTTTTGAAATTTGTATTCAAATTTATATTGGCCGTGTATGTTTGGCACTCAGGGGAATGAAACTGACGTACAAACCGCGTGAATATTCGACTTTGAAGGACTGGAACTGACGTACAAACCGCGCAAGAGACTAGGACTAGGACTTTGGCTTTAATTTTATATCTATAAAATGTATTGTCGTTATCATTCCAAATATATATATATATATATGGAGTTCACTGGTATGTCTCGCTGTTATTGGTCGAGTAGCAATAATTCAGGAAACATCGAAGTCAGGTGTGGGTGAAACTTGCCTATTGGTCCTGCACGTATTTACTTCGCACAATAACATTGTTTGAAATGTTGCAAAAAAAAAAACAGCCGTTTGATTGGTTTATCATTTGCTGTACATTTTTACTGCATAAAAAATACATTCTAGATGATTAAACATTACTTACTTCACGCGTTTCCTCATTGTCTCACTGTCTCTCTCAGTACAAAAACATCGTTTGAAATGTTGTAAAAAAAATAGCCTTTTGATTCGTTTATCATTTGCTGTACATTTTTTACCACGTAAAAAATTACATTCTAAATGATTAAACATTACTTACTTCACGCGTTTCCTCATTGTCTCACTGTCTCTCTCAGCACAAAAACATCGTTTGAAATGTAAAAAAATAGCCTTTTGATTGGTTTATCATTTGCTGTACATTTTTACCGCATAAAAAAATACATTCTAGATGATTAAACATTACTTACTTCACGCGTTTCCTCGTTGTTTCCCTGATCTGTTTGATTGCAGCTTTCGTTATCTTTAGCATTTGCAGGCTTTCGCCCTCGTTTCCTGGGAACTTTCGGTTTGGGAGTCTTACCTTTACCTTTCTTGGACTTAGACGTCGAGGTCTCTTGAGTGGATACGTCTGGATCATAGTTACTTACTATTTCGTGTGTTATAACGGTACTTTCCTGCGTCATAAGACTGTTCTCGATCAAACTATTACGCAATATGGTGTCCGCAACCGAAGTATCCAGTTGCACACAACTGTTGCTCGGGCAACCACTTTCTACCCATTCCTCCACGTTGTCCTGCGGAACAAAATTATTTTGTAATGTGTTCTCCGATAGACATGAAGTCTGTATCTGTCCGCATGTATTCGGCACTGGCTCATTCATACACGTACTGCTGTCCTGCAATGTCCTGTTTAGATCATTGACATCATCGGATGTCCCATTTTGAACAAGAGAACTATCCCCCACTACCTTACCAGCATTAATAGACTCCCTGTCCTTTCCTTGACATTTCTGCTTCCTTTGTAAAGTAGGTTTTGGTTTTAATTTAGATCTCGGCGTATTCGACTTCTTTAGTTCTTTATTTGAACTAGCTTGCTCTTTTCGTCGTTTACCCGAAGCAACGCGTGACGAGAAGGTTTCATCGTTTTCTCCGTCATTTCCAATGCCCGCTGTTCGATCATCCTCTGGCAACGTTTGCGGTGAACCCTCTATCAAAGCTTCTTGTGATAAGCGTCTTACTGTTCTAGCAACATTATCTTCCAAAGTACCAGGTTGCGTTAGCGATGTGCCAACTCTTTGTTGCAGCATATTATCACCAACAGTCTTAAGACTGGGCACTAAATCTGGGCATTCTTGACATTCGTTCGTATTTGGTAACGACTCCAACGTGCTTCGTATGGAATCTTCAATGGTGGATTCTGAAATGCCAAGGGACAACCCTAGTATTGGTGATTGTAATGTCACCACGCCGGATACGGGAGGCTCATCCGTGGTTTCATGTCTCATAGATTTCTCCCCACTTGTATGGTCGTTTCCAAAAGAAAGGACAGAGGCAACATTGTGCGATTCATTAGAAGGACCACCATTTTCGTCGATGCCACTTAACATTTCAAAGCTCTTTTCTTCCGCATTCACAACAGCACCACTGAAGGGACTCGGACATTTTGAGTTCGTAGCAGAAGAAGAAACCGCGCTGTTATCATTAGTTGTACCATTACTTACGCGAAACGGCGATAATGCCTTTGTTGTTTGCGCGGGAATTTCATTGTTCCAGTTTAAATCGGTAGAGGCTCCCCTTACATCCGCATTCAATACGGCACTGGCTGTTCCACTGAGATCGCTGTCAGCCTGTCCAGTCTCAACATTCAAAGTTCCATCTGGAATTGTATTTGTGGTGAAAGAATCATGATCAGTCCTGTCACTATGAGCAACGGCAGCATTTTGAGCTTTTTGGTTCTTCGATACCTTTGATTTTCTACCAATTTGAATCCTTGGCACGACTCGTGTTCGCCTTCTTAAATTTTGACAACTTGAGTTATCAACTGTTGCATTATTTTGAGGTTCACTAACACAGATCGCACGTGACGAGGTACAACCACGATCCCCTGATGATGCCATTTCACAGTTCTCCCTAGCTGATGTTATATCATTATTTCCTAGTGTGGGTATGGTTTTTGTAGTCATCCTTAAATCATCCATACCATCTTCGAGATTGCCAATTGATTCAACTGAAGTGATTTCTTCTAAACGAACCGCATCACTGCTAACGCTGCCACTTGAATGAATCGAAGTTTTTTGTCCTAAACGAACCGCATCGTCTTTACCACATGATACGGTAGCCTCAACTAAACGGGATGCCTGATTTTTGTTTCTTGATAAAACAACTTTTCGTGTATCGGTGTATCTCTTTCGTGCTCGCTGTTTCAGTGTTGACGAGGTCCCTGACGATTCTCTGGAATTTTTCGAACAATTTCCAGTATCTTCTTTAATCAAGTCTTCCGGAAGTTCCAACAACGGATGATCAAGTTGACCGGTGAGTTCAGGCTCTACCTCGATGTTGGTCGCTATGGGTAGACTAGATATATCAAATACGACAGTTTCCTCGGCAAAAGTCGGTGGTTTTTTCCTCTTTCCAGCACGCCGACGTTTAATTACAAGTCCCGATTGTGAGACACTTTGTTTTGAGCAGCTTGCCCGCGTATCGACATTACGGGATTCATCAACAAAATTAGACATTTGGTCAGAAGTTTCATTTAAAGTACCTTCCACTGTACTCTGATACGATTTCATCCCGGTGGATACGATATCATCCCGGTGGACTACTGCTGCAGAGATATCCATAGATCCATCCTCTAACGTGTTCGAAGACTGATCGACGGAATGAATGGTCACTTCATTCAATATTGTATTCAATAAATCATCAGCATTAACAAGGTAGCATAAGTTAGAGTCATCGTTCGCTTCTTTGCCATCTTCCTCGGTGTCCATTGGTTGAAAAACAATTGTTCTATCCTCAACAAGTGGTGGACAGTTTAATGGTGTCGAATCTATACTCTGTGACGTCACTGGACTTTCAGCGGACGTATTGCTGTCGTCAATACGATGAACTGTGTCAGTTGATGGAAAATTGTTTCGACGAAGTCCAACCAGCTTTTGACTAACCTTTTCCGTAGCAGCATTTGAAGTCACCTTTGGAACTCCTACTTTTGGTTTAAAACGTGCCCTTCTAACAAGAGGGCTAGCAACCTTAACATGACTTTCAGCTTCAAGTCTCGAGGACTTACAGTTGATCGATAGGGACTCACAACGGGTAGATTTATTTCCAGAAAAACTTGAAATGCCATTTGCCGCTTCAAATGATTGAATCGCTCGATTCGTGTCATCCTGTGTCGCTCTGATTTCCAAATCGTCTTGAAATTTCTTTGAAGAAACCCTGCTAGAAGACTGAAGTGAAGATGGATTGATTGATGGTGGAGGTGTGGGAGAAATGCTTCTTGATAAAAGTGCAGCAGTGTTGCTAGAAGACTCAAATGCAGATTGACTGTTGGATGAGGGAATAATGGGGGCAATTTTGGATAATGGAAGTGCACTAGTATTACTAGGTGATGGAAGTGTGGATGGATCTTTGGATGATGGATGTGTGCGAGAAATGTTAGATGATAAAAGTGTAGCAGTATCACTTAAAGACTGAACTGTAGATTGACTGTTCGATGAAGAAGGTGGTGTATTACTGTCCAATACTGAAAGAGAAACAGTATTATTGGATGATAGATTATGAAGAGAATTTTTGGATGATGGAGGTATGGAAACATCTATGGATGATGTAGGAAGGTTGGATACTTCAATTGAAGGATCATTGTTTGAGGATGAAGTACAAACATTTGTAGTTGATGATAGGAAAACAGTGTCCTCAGATGATTGAGAAGATATGCAGGCAGTTCTTGGGGATAGAAGTGTTGAAACATTTTCAGATTGAGATATTGACGTATTATTGCACACAAGAGGTGTTGGGACATTGTCTGATATCCTTGACATTTTTGTTTGTAAGCTAACTTTTGGTTTAATATGTTCTCGTCTGGTCAACTGATTAGACGACTTATGATTTACACTTGGTCTGTCATATTTTGTCAAAGTTGCAAGACTTAGCATACCATTGTTGGAAATCCGCTCACTTATCTGATTAGAAACCAGTGGGCTAGAAACATGCAGAGGATTTGGTGCTATTTCATCTTTAATAAAAAAGAATAATGTTAACAACTTTATTTGCATCTGTATAGTTTAAGTTTAAAACTTTCAACATACCTTCATCAGCAAAGTCAGTTGAATTCTGATTGTTCAATGATGTATTATCTTCAACATGTGCATGAATTTCTTCCCTATGACTTGAAACTTTTGAATTCGAACCAGTTTGAGTTAAGTCAAAGCCTTCAGTGTTTTGAATATTTGACATGGTTGTCTTGGGAAAATGGTTTGATACTGTGTACATTGTTGATGAACTTGCATCATGTTGCTTGGCAACTGCCAATTGATTTGTGGGAGATCCAGCAGCAGAGTCCACAGATAGGCTGCCATGAGATATAGGTTGACTGTTGATTCCTGCCACTGTTTCACATACATCATCAATGTTTTTACAGAAATTATCTTTATCATGTTGTAGTTTTGTAGCTATATCACACAAAGGTTGTTGACCATTGCTACTTGGCACAACGGTAGAGGAAACGGATTTAGCAGCAGTTGAACTGTTTTCATGGGTTTCATTTTCCTTTTGATTTGATTGCAGAGATTTTCGTGAAGACTGACTAGTAACCTTTTGAGAAGATGAGAGTATTGCAACTTTTGGTTTGAAGCGAGCTCGCCTTCTTTCATTTGAAACAGTTTCAGTTTTGGAGTTGCCTAAAGAGAAAGGCATAAAGCTTCGTAATAACTGATGAGAAAGGCATTTACGAAAAAAGACTGCAATATTGATCGAGAAGTCTCGTATAAATGTACAAATAACAAAACAATGCAAACCTCGTTTATCGCAATACGACTCTACAAGCGCCGGTTTGAACCTTCTTCTCATTCTTATCAGAAATTATCATTATTCTACACGTCCTAGCAATTCAATTCATGAAATATTTCTCTAGTTGCAAACAAATCTAAGCAAATACAATCGGTTGCGTTCGGCCATGATGAATGTAAATATCGCCATATCTATTTTGTAACCAGGGGGGGGAATGGCTGCCATTGCTGTTGCTATAGAGGCTTTGCATGAACACGTGACTTACTGCGTTTGATTAGCAACCGTAACTATGCCGCCATGATAGGGGGCATGTAAAAAACAAACAAAATACGTTCGAGCCATGGGAAAGTTTTGCTGTGTTGTAGGCTGTGGAAAACGCTCTGAAAGGGACAAAAATATCAGATTTTTTAATTTACCAAAGGTTATTACACATCAGGGTGAAAAAACCAGACAGATTTCTCTTCAACGGCGTGGAAAATGGCTTTCAAACATTCGGCGGGACGCTGTGTTTAATGGCCAAATAAAAAATGTAACTGTTTGCTCGCTTCATTTCCATCAAGGTAAACTGTATCTGTGAAATAAGTCATTTCAAATACGCATCTTCAGCGTTGATTGTACGGTGTTGCTCTAGGTTTATTATTTTTATTCAGGGAAACCAGCTACAGTATATGAGACGACTCATCCTGACTGGGCTCCAACAATCGCCATGGGTCACTTATCTGGTTCAGTAAGTCAGCCATCAAAAACCTCCTCGCTTACAAGGCACCATAGAACTAGTCAAAGAGCCCTAAAAGGCGTCTTCAATTTGAGCAAACTGGAGAGAACAAAGAAAAGCAAGCTATAAGCACTCAACAAGTGGAAGCAACCTCGGAAGAAATGGTGGATAATGGTCCTCACTTTCGTCATCTAAATGATCCAAGATATCATCTAGAATGTAATTCTGGCATAAATAATGATATGGGAGAAGGTTTAGAAGCTGATAACCTAGATACAGAATCACAAGAAACACAGACCGAGTATATGAGCACACGAAGTATCGAAGTGCAAACCGATTTGCTATCAATCGATATCGATTTGCTTCAAGAAAAAACCACACGAAACTCTACTAATGATCCTTTGGCGCCCGAAAATCTAACTGATGATGAAAAGCTTAGATTCTACACTGGTCTACCAAATATGGCTGTGTTTATGGGAATTCTTGAGCTAATAAGTCCAGGTCTTGTAATGCGAAATTCCTTGACAAGATTTCAACAAATGTTATTGACTCTAATGCGATTACGGTTAAACTTACCTGTTCAAGATCTTGGCTACAGATTTGGCATTCATGCATCCACTGTATCAAGAGTGTTTCAAAGCTGCATAGATGTTATGTTTTCAAGCATGAAATTTCTGATTCATTGGCCAGATAGAGAACAATTAAGACTTACACTTCCAATGTGTTTTAGAGAAAGGTTTTCTTCTTGTGCTGTCATAATCGATTGCTTCGAAGTATTTATCGACCGCCCTTCCGATTTTTTAGCTAGAGCCCATACTTGGTCGTCTTATAAACATCATAACACTGCAAAGTTTCTGATAGGGATTACACCACAAGGTACAGTATCGTTTATATCAAAAGCATGGGGTGGTAGGGTCAGACAAATTTATTACTGAACACTCAGGCATATTAAACAAGCTGGTTCCTGGTGACTTAGTTCTAGCAGACAGAGGATTTAACATTGCAGACAGTGCCGGATTATACTGTGCAAGTATTAAGATTCCAGCTTTTACTAAAGGCAAGGCTCAACTGTCACCTGTAGAGATAGAAACAACAAGATCCATAGCTAATGTTCATACATGTGGAGCGAGTTATTGGCAGTGTTCGTCAGAAATACACAATTCTTGGTCATGGAATAGCTCCAATCGACTATTTGCAAGCAGATGATGGTGAACATTGCTTACTTGACAAGATAGCTACAGTATGTTGTGCTTTAGTTAATTGTTGTCCATCAGTAGTTTCTTTAGAGTAGTGCGACAACATTAAACATGAACAATTTATTCTAAAATATGTTGAAACAGATAAATAATAAATATTGCAAACATCATAACTTAGCATAATTGGCTCAGAAGTTGCTTCTGAAATAGTTGCTAGTGAACTATTTACATTTTCTCCCTTTCTACAAAAGTTTTCTACAGTCTACACAGAACCATGGTTTGTTTGCTGCCGGCTTTCGAGATAAACCACAGCACTTCATGTGAAACATTTTAAACAAACATTTATCATTACTACATTTTAAAACAAGTGTGTCATCTAGCTTAACTCTGCAATAGCAAAACAATAATGTGTCATTTGATGGAAGTGGTTTTGAAGTGTGAAACTTTGCAAGAAGCTCTGGTAAAATTGCAAAAATGTAGATTTCTTTTGCTTTTTCAATATTGACAGCAAGGAATTCGTCATCTCTCTGAATTCGTTCAATATAAATGTCATTTAGAGTCCAGACAACAAAATCTACAAACTTTAACTTTGTAGAGGCTAATTGCAGTTGGACTTGATAGTAATATTGGTGTTTCCTGTCCATCTGTAAGGTACCATTTGGTGTCTTAGTGAGACAAAAATTCTTTCCATCACTTATGCCATGCTGGATAGTCTTGTTTCTTAAACTGTATGGGCACTTAATCTCAACACATCCTTCACCATGGCAGTTGCAGTAACTGATTGCATCTGGACTTGCACCAAGAAAAGGGTACTTTGGATCAATTACAAATCCAGATTCTTTAACTGAGAAGATGCTATGATTTTCTTTCATTACCTAAATAAAATTAAGATATATATTTATGTATCTAATTATTTATTTTGATATATTGCACAGCAAAGCCCATGTGATTAAGAAAATTAAATTTTTGTGCCAAATGAGTACATGTTTGCTATTAGGTTTATGAGTGCATAAAAAAAATTTTTATGTGCAATCAATTTGCAGCAATAAACACTTAATTAACTGGATGAACAATTCATGAAATAACAATATGTCAATGCTGACTTGTGTATATTGATTTAGGGCTCTCTTCTCATTGACCAGGCTTAGTGATGGTGTTTCAGGATTTGTGCGACAAGCCCTGTGGAAGTTGCTGGCAGTTATTCTCCCCATTCGCATTTGATGCCAAATCTGAGACTTGCTTTGATTTCGTGTAGCTTTTTCTATCATATCAGCTTGTTGTTGATTGATTGTAATTGTCTCCATAACTTCTTTTGATTTTGAAATTAGCTCCTCATACTCAAGACAAGCAAATTGGTGGGAGTACAACTTATTCAAGGGGTCTGGAAGGTTAACAGCAGGTCTCTTTGGCACAAATTTTTCGTTAAATGGAGAAATCAGTGACAAGATTGCAGGATTACTTTTAGTGTCGCTTAGATGTTGATAAAACTTCTTTATTTGATTTTCAGACGGCTTGTACTTGTTTTGCAAACGAGGCTTGTCTGTTGTCATTGTCTGATCGGTAGTAGATGATGAACTAGAAGCTAATTCATTGATATGTTCATCCAGCTTTTGCTTTTTACGTTTGGAAGAAGTAAAATCAACGTCACAAAGTTCTTGATAAGTAATCTTTGATACTGTCTTAGGCATTAGCCACTGACAGGGAATAGACGTACAAGTCCTGTTCTTTACTATTCGTACACCAGTTTCAACAGCAAAGAGCAACGCTCCAGCATGTGAACAACATTCTCCCAGTCCAGCTTTACAGTTGCAATGTGCTGTTATAACAGACCCATTGTTATATACAGCAGCCCATGGTTTTAGAGGAGTGTCATTCAGGCTTTGCGAATGATTTACCTATGAATTAAACACCAAATTTTTTTCATACTGATTGTGACAATGATTGTAAAAACACGTTTTAAGTAATAATTATACTAACCTTTGCGATTAAAATCTTGATGTTATGAATAAAAAGGCTCGTTCTGTTGTTTACAACTAAAGCAAAATTTTGACGAAGCGACAACGACAACAAACTTCCTCGTGCCATTCCCTTACACGGTCAAATTTCGTACTCGTTCTCGTAGTCGTACTCTAGCTAAAACTCCCTATTATAAATTATAAAGCTACCTTCTTTATATTGCTCAGATTGGCTCAGATATTATGCCAGTAGATATGGGCGAAATTTTTGAATCTTACAGGGGGGGAGACATCTCTAATTGAAATCTGTTGAACCATTCTTTGAACTTTCAACCATACACATTCGTACCATCGATTCGGACAGTAAAGTGTAATTTTTGATTACCTAAACAATAACTGTCCACAAGGTTTGACAGGCTATGAATAATGCATAAAATATCCGTTCGGTGTGCTTCTTTGCTTTCAATTGCAATTGCCGTGAGTGTTGATGTGCTTGCGGCTATTAAGAGCGACGAAAAATCGCCACGTATTGCGATTATCGGAGGAGGAATAGCCGGATCTGCCTCTGCGTATTTTTTGCGTGAATTATTTGGAAAAACAGCACACATTGCTGTCTTCGAGAAGAGTGATCGCATCGGAGGTAGATTATCCACCCTGACTTGCTTCGGAGAGAGGTTTGAATCAGGGGGGAGCATCATTCATCCAGACAACTTGTACATGAGAAGATTTGCAGAATTGTTGGGTGAGTTCATTTTGATGCACTTCAAATAATATAAACGCAAACAACCAATTATATCTCATAACTGCAAAGCTATAACACTGTCAAAATTGACATTTTCATTAGACTATCAAAAATTGCTATGATTACTCTCTTCAATATTTTAGGTCTTGAGAAGAGAAGTGTTTCCGGAGGTCGCTTCTCACTTTTTGATGGCAAGAGCATTAGATTTTCAACATCTCCTACGGAATGGGAAACATCACTTCGATTATTTTGGCGTTATGGATGGAGCACTGTTCGAATGAGTTGGGCGACGGATGATTTACTTCACAAATTCAAGAATATATATTCCATACAAGGAAACAACAATGCCTTTCAAACAGTTGAAGATTTGCTGCAAGCTATAACTGGTGATAATACATTTTACAGACTCACACAGATTACCTTGCGGGAATATTTGGTTGAGCAGGGTCTCTCAAAGGATCTCATTGATGAATTGATAACAGCGGTGACAAGAATAAATTATGGTCAAAACACAGAGATTAGTGCTTTGGCAGGTATCTGTTTGGATATCTATGTATTTATACATTTTGTAGAAGTCTCACTCTTGGTGTGAAAAATATCTTGAAATATCTTCACTGGCCTTGCATAAACAAATTGTTTAGTCATAATTGATTCACATTTTGAAATCTTCTACAAAGTATAAAGTCATAAACATGAACTCATTTGACTAGCAAATGTGAAATCATAGGACAAATGTGAAGTCATTGGACTAGCAAATGTGAAATCATTGGACTAGCAAATGTGAAATCATAGGACTAGAAAATGTGAAATCATAGGACTAGCAAATGTGAAATCATAGGACTAGCAAATGTGAAATCATAGGACTAGCAAATGTGAAATCATAGGACTAGCAAATGTGAAATCATTGGACTAGCAAATGTGAAATCATAGGACTAGCAAATGTGAAATCATAGGACTAGCAAATGTGAAATCATTGGACTAGCAAATGTGAAATCATAGGACTAGCAAATGTGACACCATAGGACTAGCAAATGTGAAGTCATTGGACTAGCAAATGTGAAATCATTGGACTAGCAAATGTGAAACCTTTGGACTAGCAAATGTGAAATCATTGGACTAGCAAATGTGAAATCATAGGACTAGCAAATGTGAAATCATAGGACTAGCAAATGTGAAATCATTGGACTAGCAAATGTGAAATCATAGGACTAGCAAATGTGAAACCTTTAGACTAGCAAATGTGAAATCATAGGACTAGCAAATGTGAAACCATAGGACTAGCAAATGTGAAATCATTGGACTAGCAAATGTGAAATCATTGGACTAGCAAATGTGAAGTCATTGGACTAGCAAATGTTAAATCATTGGACTAGCAAATGTGAAATCATAGGACTAGCAAATGTGAAATCATAGGACTAGCAAATGTGAAATCATAGGACTAGCAAATGTGAAATCATAGGACTAGCAAATGTGAAATCATAGGACTAGCAAATGTGAAATCATTGGACGAGCAAATGTGAAATCATAGGACTAGCAAATGTGAAATCATAGGACTAGCAAATGTGAAATCATAGGACTAGCAAATGTGAAATCATAGGACTAGCAAATGTGAAACCTTTAGACTAGCAAATGTGAAATCATAGGACTAGCAAATGTGAAACCATAGGACTAGCAAATGTGAAATCATTGGACTAGCAAATGTGAAATCATTGGAGTAGCAAATGTGAAATCATAGGACTAGCAAATGTGAAATCATTGGGCAATCATGCCGTAAAGATCTACACACATAAAAATGTAACTGTCCGAAGATCTAACCATGTAAAGATTTTATCACTCATGTAACCAAATATCAACCACCTACTAACCACATAAAGATGCAACCTCCCATTCCAGTGACATAACCACATAAAGATGGAGACACCCATTCAAAAGACCTAATCACATGAAAATATTACCATCCATTTAAAAGACCTAACCACAAGAAAATGTTACCATCCATTTAAAAGACCTAACCACAAGAAAATGTTACCATCCATTAAAAAGACCTAACCACAAGACAATGTTACCATCCATTAAAAAGACCTAACCACAAGAAAATGTTACCATCCTTTAAAAAGACCTAAGCACAAGAAAATGTTACCATCCATTTAAAAGACCTAAGCACAAGAAAATGTTACCATCCATTTAAAAGACCTAAGCACAGGAAAATGTTACCATCCATTTAAAAGACCTAACATCAAGAAAATGTTACCATCCATTAAAAAGACCTAACCACAAGAAAATGTCAGCATCTATTAAAAAGACCTAACCACAAGAAAATGTTAGCATCCATTTAAAAGACCTAACCACAAGAAAATGTTACCATCCATTTCAAAGACCTAACCACAAGAAAATGTTACCATCCATTTAAAAGACATAACGACAAGAAAATGTTACCATCCATTAAAATTACCTAACATCAAGAAAATGTTACCATCCTTTAAAAAGACCTAACGACAAGAAAATGTTACCATCCATTAAAAAGACCTAACGACAAGAAATTGTTAGCATCCATTTAAAAGACCTAACCACATGAAAATGTTACCATCCATTAAAAAGACCTAACATTAAGAAAATGTTACCATCCATTAAAAAGACCTAACGACAAGAAAATGTTAGCATCCATTTAAAAGACCTAACCACATGAAAATGTTACCATCCATTAAAAAGACCTAACATTAAGAAAATGTTACCATCCATTTAAAAGACCTCAACACATGAAAATGTACAATCATGCTAAATGCCTATATAATGTACAAAACTACAAAACACAATTTTTTAAGGCTCCACTTGCATGTTAGTCAAAGAGACTATTGAAAATGACCATATTGTCTTATGGTTTAGGTATGATAGCCATTGCTGGTGTTGCATTCAAACTTTGGGCTGTCGAAGGTGGTAACTGGAAGGTGTGCGATGGTTTGCTCAATGTCACTCATGTTGTTGTTAACAAGAACGTGCAGATCATTGATATTATCAAAGAGCAGAACCCTGCTGACATTCAAAAACCTGTGTATTATCTGCGTAGTGTGAATGCTGTGATAGATGTCCCATTTGATGTCGTGATAATGGCATTTCCACTGGAGATTCGTGAAAATTACGTCACGTGCAACGAGTGCGAGAATTGGCCCGTGAGACGTGATTTGCCGACATTTCACGTGACTGTTGCAACGTTTGTTAATGGTACTCCAAGTACCGACGTTTTTCAAACTCCTTCAAATACGTATGGAACAATGGAAGAACCTGACATATTTTTCAAGTGAGTTGAACGTGATTATTCAACACTTCATCAAGCAAATATAAAACAAATTCCGAAGAAACAGAATGAGGATTCTGTCTGAGGATGACTTTGAAATAAAGTCGAAAATTTACAGTTTACTTCTCGTCTTGTTTTGATTCATATTTTGCAATCTCAAGATGTCTTGTTTCTTCGGAATTTGTTTTATATTATACTTCTTTAAATTGTCGGCTGGTCATGGTTTTTTTCATCAAGCAAATGAGTTCATATTTTGTATCGTCTAAAGACTTCTCCACTTCCCGAGTGTTCATTCTCAACTACATTTGCACTCTTATTCACATTTATTCTGACATATATAGTTTTCCACATCTTTTTATTTGTACCCTAAAACCTTCGCCTACAAGCCCTTTTTCATGGGCTTGTACTGGGCTATAGGATGTAGGCTTTTCTGTCAAACGAGAGGAGTGTCGTGTTCGTGGTGGTCTCAATCTGGAAAGGGACAATGAATGGGGGAGGAGGGGGGTTATAGACGGAGATTTACGGTATTGCATAAATTTAAGTAACTTTTTGTTTGCATTTTCTCTCAGTTCAATTGGCAAGCAGTCGTCTGTTGACAAAGAAAGAAAAGACATTAAAAGTGGAAACATCAGCGTATGGAAAATATTCAGTAGAACACCATTGACAGACGAGCAGAAACAATGGCTTTTTCATAATCATACAGAATGCAACGAAGTGCAATGGCTAGCTTATCCGCATTACACAGTGCCCCAAAAGTTTTTGTCTTTTATCCTTGACCATGGTGTGTTTTATGCGAATGCAATTGAATGGGCAGCAAGTGCAATGGAAATGTCTTGTTTGGCTGCGAAGAACGTCGCGTTATTGACTGAAAGATATCTCAACTTGACAAAACCACGTTCTCGCGAAGGAAATCAGCACGAGGAACTTTGATTGTCATAATCTAGTGATGTTTTACGAAAACATGCATGTATGTAAAGTAGCAATGGCGGAATTTCATTTCTGGAGGAGCGAGGGGAGCGCGTCGCAAATTTTAGACGATTTTTTTGAAACTCACGGACAAACGCCAAATGAAAAAAGATTTCACAAACACAACACACCATACGGTTAAAAAATAGGTTGCTTGGTCTGGTGTTGACTGATACATAGAAGTCAGTTATATGTTCAGTTCATGGTTGAATTTCGACGTATTTCTATAATCAATTGGGATTGATGGAGGATTTCCTGCCTTTTCTAGGGCAGCCGTTTAGACATATCCAGGACATGACAAGAAAACAGCTTGAAGATGTTCACGTTTGCGTATGAATTGCCGAGAGGAAGTGCCTTTAAGCAACAACATTTCGCGCGAATTTCGGTATATTCAATTGCTTTTACTATTTCGACTAAAAGGAAAATTTCCGACAAATCGCCGATTTTAAGGAATCCGAGCGTTGGGCGCAGCTGACGCACAACTTCACCGATATTTCCGCGGATGTAAAGTGGTACGAATAAGAATGTAGGATACTAGGAACGTGTACCAGTAAAAAAAGATAAGTCAGAAGTTTCGAGTTTTCAATGATAAAAAAGTTAAATAAATTCAATAACTGTATCACGCATTTGGACACATAAGGCTCGTATTAACTAAATCTATTGGTCATCCTCGGTAGCCTACCAATTTGCGTTAGTACGTCGTTGATGCGCGCAATCTTTTCATTTTTTTCATCAATTTCCTTTTGACACGACTCTTTACTCTTTAAGGTAGTCTTTAGTTCTGTTTGCAGTCTCGTAAATTCGTTTTTGTGGTGCTCCTTTAACAAATCTATGGCATGCTCCGTCTTTTTTTGTAAGACTTCAAACTCTGAACGCGTCTCGCTCTCCGTCTTCTCAGCAGCTGAAAAAGAAAACAATGTGATCTAATAGGAAGTATGAAACAATTACTTAATCCTTTACGTGATAGGATCGCTTGCTGATCTAAGCACGGGTATTGACCAATCAGAGCACGCGTTATCTAGATAGTGGAAAGTTACATCGGTGTAAAACATACAGTTGAAATTTAGTTTTAAAATGAAAAACATTTTATGAAATTGGTATCATGCCTTGTATAGCTATATGATTTTTCGGAAAGTAGCAGAAAAAAATTGCAGTTCAGAACAACAGCGGGAAACGGATTCGCGAAAAACAATTGCCCAACATAAAATTCTAAGAATAGCCCATTTTTAAGAGGTTATAACTAATTAAAAGTAGCGTTTCGTCTTTATACAAGACATCTTCACAATGAAAATTAAAAGGGTCAAGATGTGTGTTTATATGTAGCGCTTAATATGTAAATCTTTGTATATATATAAACGCACACCTCGACCATTTTAATGACTAGTCAGAGGATGTTTTGAGTAAAGACAAAACGTTATTTTCAACTTTCAATTATTAATCTCTGACAAAATTGCAGTTAACGGTTTAAAATCGTAGTGGGAACTAGCTGCGCTAATTCCTTAATCTTTTTTATTCCAACGCAACAGCTCAAACATCCTGGTCTGTAGATATTGCAAAATGTCGAGGGGGGGAGGGAGGAGGAATCTGGTACTTTTTAAGTGCGCTTAGATTCTTTTGACCACTGTTTGCAGTTAGCTTAGGATACTTGCAGGTAGCGCGGCTACATAAGATTTCAACATTTGAACTCATGCTAAATAGTTGTCTCAGTTCCAGTTGTTCTCCCGGTAATCATTTTTAATTTGGAGTTGCCTTTAAAATGAGAAACAAAAAACCTTATTTATTTACACGAGCTGGCTATAACGGTCATTCCGTGACGTTCGTTAAGCAGAGCATCGTATTGATTCCATCTTACAACAGGAAAAATATCAAACCATACACAAATGACGGATGCATAAAAATAGATAGAACCACCTTGCATTTTGTTTGTTAACTGGCGAACAGCATCGGTTTTTTCCTTCTTTTCTTTCAGTAAAAATTGTATAAGAGTGTTCTGTTCCGCACCAAGCCTCAATTCCGCAAAATTTTTCTCGCCTAAAAAAATGTTCGCGTTTTAATCGATCAATTTTCCCGAAATTTCGTCTTGATATTTGTACCTAAAATATAATTGAACAAATCTTCAACATTATCTGTTTTCGAAAGATCACGTGGGCCAGAGTTCTTGTTCTCAGATTTGTTGTAGTGAGCGGTGTTCGCCTCTTGTGCCGGAACTTGTGCATGCGCGTTAAATTCTTGATGTTGATGGATCGTTATCTGCGATTGGCCATAGGTGGGTGTGACGCTTATCTTTGTTTGAGGTAAATGAGTTGAACGCAAGGCTTCATCTGCAATAAATGAACACATGGTGCTTTTGTCAATGAACACGTTTATTTTGAATCTACGCTAAACGTCATAGAATTTGAAAGTTCTTCAAAACACTAAGCATACTTCAGCAAGAATACATCACGTGTGTTCTAGTGGGAAAACTAGATAGGACAGTGACGCGAGTGGGTTGTACAACGTGTTAAAGTGCATACATCACCCGCCCTCATACAAATAATCTATGTGAAAGTGGACGATTTTAAGAACATTTGCAAAATATTTTATCACACGAAAATTCGATCTTTCTTGAGTTTTTGGGCCTCAACATTGGTTTTTCGTGTTTGACCGTGAGGTGCTGTGACCGAAACTAGTTCACCAGACGTGACGTACATTGGAGAACTCGCTGCTTTTCAACGCCGTAGAAATATATTGTTAACTCAATAATAAAGTGCACGATTCAACACAAGTTTAATAAAAATAAAGTCCTTGACTTTGCAACAAATATCTCTATGTTTCTACAGCGGTGAAAACCAACGTGTTCTCCAGTGTACGTCACGTCCGATGAACTAGTCCCAGTTACAGCACCTCACGGACAAACACTAAGTAAGCCAACTTTGAGGCCGAAAAAGTCAACGAAGATCAAATTTTCGTCTTATAAAATAAATTGCAAATGTTCTTAAAATCGTCCACTTTATCTAAATAGATTATTTCCCTGAGGGTGGTATAGGCACTTTAATTGTGAATATTTCATCATAATTACATCATTTCCTACCTATAATCACAACGTTCTCATTGAAAGCTCTTCTCTCTGAGATGGGAACGTGATGCTCACTCGATTGATAGGTCGGTTTGAATAAAAGGTAATCATTGTTATTTCTTTGCGTCATGGCATCGGGCCTGAGTACCGGTAAACGTGGGACGCGTGCTCGAGTCGTATTCGATGATACTGCAGATAACGTGGCCGGTGAAACATTGAAGACAGTGTGACTAGCCCTGTCTTGTCGATGCGGAAAGGTGTTCACAGCTACCATAGTTTCAGCGGTTCTTACAGGCGCGGGTTGCCGATAAATCTGTGACTGCAAGCTCGATATGTTAGGTGCTGCCTGAACTGGAGCCCTTGGCTGAGTAAATTTTGGGTCAAACTGCTGAAATAAGGATGGCAGTGGAACACGAGTGAACGATACGGTTGAGTTTACAGTCGGAGAACAACTTTTGGTCGTAAACATTGGCCTTGTGGTAATACTTTGAGCAGTCGATGAAGTTCCAACCAACAAATGCTGAAGCTGTCTGGCATGCAGAACATTTGCAGGCACATCTTTACATTTATAGGAACGCCATGGCGATAGGTGCGAGGACGAGGTGGGTACGGTCGTCAAGTTTTGCTTGAAACTTCTATCAATTCCAGTTGAAGTACACGTTTGTACAGTGTTTTTAGAAGGTTGAGCAACAAACCTTAATGGAGCGAAAGTACGGCCTGTAACGCTCGCAGAAATTAATCCTTGGTTTGCGGAAATGTCCGCTCGATTTACGTCAACAGTTGCTTGTTGCGCATATCTGGTGCCCACATTAGGTGACACGATCTGGGGTGAATTATTCCCAAGTTGGTGGCCTACCAAAAACTGAACATATTGTCCGTAAGGTCCGATAACTATTGGATGATTTCCTATGTTGGTGTTTATAATGGGACGAGTGGATAAATTAGGAAGACTTTGGACAACTGATGTTTGCGACGATGACACACTGTTAGAGAAATGTTTTAACTGAGACGGAGCGGTAGACAAGACAGCACGGATCTGTTCGTTAAAGACGGAAGTCGTGAAGGCAGCATTTGATGGGATAGGTAAATGATTGTTGGTAATATTACTTGGGTCGGTTGATGTTGCAGACAAGCTAGATGCAATGTTTCTTGGCAGTGGTACGGAACTAGAAATTCTTTCTTGAAACTCTTTGCCAACGCCATATTGTGGTACATTAAAAATCCTCTTTTGTCCTTGGGAATCAACAGTGTTATTGCTACCGTCACATGGAGCGTAGAATGACTTCTCTAATACAGCTATGTGAGAGAGTTTCGTCGTTGGAATCGAAACTTCGCGACGCTCAGATTTAAGTAAGGTTGACAAGACTGTTCCAGGCATAGTGGACTTCTTATTCCCATCTTCAACAGCAGGAATAGCACGACTTGGTTCAAACAAAGAGGAGGATGACCTAACTATGTTTTCACGGAGAGTACCCGGAAATTCACAATTAAGTGGAGCGCTTACATTGTCATCCCTAAGACTTGTTTGTTTTATTAAGATTTCAGCAGCTTTGCGTAAACTTACTAGCGGCGACGACGAATTGTTTACACTGACGTTCGAAGTATTTTTGTACATAGTTTCTTCGTGTCCACGTGACGTACTTGGGTCATCCCTTTCGTCGACTAAAGACACTTCCCGAACGTTTAAGTTCGTTAAGGAAGTGCTTCTTGGACAAGTGTTAGGAAATACTTCACTAATTACAACACTTTCATTGTCATAATCGATACCACAACTTCTTTGCTTTTTTAAGAGTTCAGACTTTTTGTTTTGGTTTACTGACGGTGAAAATAACGTATTCACATTGCCGTCGGAAGAGTCCTTGTAATCAGGCTTATTTGAAATACACGAATCACCTTTTTCCTCTATTAAAGAGATTTCCTGAACGTTTGAGTTCGTCGCCGTTGTGTTTCTTGGACAAGTGTCCAGAAATTCTTCGCTGAATTTCCTTGAAAACATTTCTCTAGCGTTCAAGTTTGTTGTCGAAGTGTTTCGTGGACACGTGTCCAGAAACTCTTCACTAAATTGAACGTGTTCGTTGTCATCAGCAATAACACGATTTGTTTCCTTCGTCAAGAGTTCCGTAGTTTTGTCCGTGCTTGCTGAAGGTGTAGACAACATGTTTGCATCGACGTTCGAAGGTTTCTCTTGATCGCTTCTTTCATGCTCATTTGACCTTCTTGGATTATCTCCTTCATCTACTAAAGACATTTCCTGAACGTTTGAGTTTGTTGTTGTTCTTGTCGCCGTCGGCCTGGATTGCCGATTATCATCGTCTATTGTCTTACCATCAGTACACTGATTATTACTGCACTGGAAAATCTTTGAGGTACAAGAACTCTTTCCTGTCAAACTTACTTCTGGTAAACAATCGTTGACTCCTACAGCTGATGCGGCCGATTTATCTTCCTCGTCACGAGCAGCTGAATCCAAGCTGGATAAACAATCAGAGGGGTCTGAAGTCCGATTTGCTTTTTCCGCTCTTCTTCGAAGGTTTGCAACGACATTTTCAAGTTTTTTGTTGGATCTTTGTGTTTCCGAGCGATCCAAGCTCGAATTCTCGACTGATGAAAATGAACCAGGGGGGGGGATATATTCGCCTTCTTCCATGGCCAATAAAGATGATTCATTATTCGAGGGAGTAGTAACTGCTAGCTCTGTTTCTTTCTTCACAGTAATTAAATCTTCCTTGTCCGAGTCGCCGATTGTCTTTCTCTCGAGTGAATTGTGTTTTCCAGATGCAAACTTTGATGGTGAGGTGGTGGATGCCTTTTCAATAACAACCGTCAAGTTCATTTGCTTCGATTGCAAGAGATCCTCGTGCTTTCTTTCGTGTATTGTTACAGACCGTTCATCACACGATTGTGATGTGAATTTGGAAAGTTTACCAGGCGAACTACTCGTTCCCTCATCATACATTCTTGAAAAAGATGCATTTTCACTCGACGTTTCTTTATCAAGCACTGATGAGTTTGTCGTCAAAGTTCTTGATGATGAAATTAGCGAGGTGTCATTGCAGGAGGAATTTGAAATTGCACCAGAAACTACAGGAGCAATTTTTACCGTGGCGGAACTCTTCCTCGCTTGGTTTTTAACGGACGTACATTTCGTAATATTCAACGGAATTTCAAGTTTAGGATAGATTTTTCTTTCTTTTCCTTCATCCGTGAAAAATTTGACTTTCTTTTTGCAAGTCCCTTCATCTGTTGAAGACTTTCGTTTCGACTCCGAATTCATCTGCGCCTCCGTCTTTCCTTCGCACGATTTTTCATTTATTGCTGGCGAAGTCGTTTTAAGGGAAGGGGTTAACATCATATCCACTCTATTGTGATCATCCGTCATCGAAAACAAACTGTCATCAGACACGTCCTGGTTTGTTTTTTCAACGTTGCAATTGGAGTCGGTCAAGACTTCTTCCTCTAATAAAAAAATAGTGTCGATATTGGATTCAATTTTTGCTCTTTGCATAAGATTCTTTATTGAGTCGTAGTCCTTTTTATCATCGTCTTCATTACTTGATATAGAAATAAGGTCAACATCTCCGATGTCATCGGCATGTTCTTCCTCGTCCGTCAATAGCTCAAGAACATCTGCTGCATCCGCTTCTCTCGCTATGTCGATTGGTTTTTGTCCTTCGGCATTGATCAAAGTAAAGTCCGCATCCATCTGCCCAAGAACGTCAATTATCTCAGCACCTCTGTCGTGCTTTGCCAAAATATGCATGATGGTATCACCATCGACATTACGATAGTTCAACAACTCTTGGTCGACATCTGCAGTCATGTCCACAAGTATCTTCAACATCTCAGTGTATGTCATTTTGAAAAGTGGGTCATTCACCAATGGTCTCTCCACCAAGACCTTGGCAGCAACATGAATGGGCAAGTCTCGGTTGTCATTTTTCACCGACAAAAGGTCTTTCAAAATGTTTACTATTTTCTTGAATCTCTTAGGGATGTCGTGACATTTTTCCCTCAATGGGGTATACCCGCAAATCATCAAACGATGCAATGCTGTTTCACTTCTTCGTCCATGTTTCTTCATTAGGTCCACTCCATTCCTCACGCACCATTTGAGTACCTTGGTTTTACCAAGGACCGTTGCCCAGTGAATGAGAGGGTACCGGTACTCACAATTGATATCTTCTATTGGATCATCAACCTTCCAACCTTCTTTCAGGTATTGTTGAGCTCTTTTACAAAACTTTTTGAAGCCATGGTCATTATGACTATTCAAGATCGCAACCAGAAGTCTGTGATGATCTCCAGCATTGGGGCAGTTATTCTCACAAAATGGTGGACACCGTTCATATGCAATAAAATCCTTTGCAGATGTCATTTCCTAAAATATGTTCACTTCTTTGAAAAAAATTCAATCATTTTTCAACATTAATATCAATATTCACCATTAATACTTTAATATATATCTGTTTGATGCTATAACCAGCCCTGGGGATTCTTGAAATCAATATTCATATTTAGCATTTCCTGATTCAATTTAGAAGATATTTTTATCAAAACTTCATTGAAGTTTTAACAGATTTATGAGGAATGGGGAGCAAGTAGGGAATAATTTACTTTAAATATATATTACAAATAATTTGTTACAAGCAAAACTAACACCATGCCTCGAAATACAAAGAGTGAAGGTTATAAAACTGCAAATGAGTCATGGATGGCAACAAATAAACTAGATTTTAACAAAGGGAAGTCATGATTAATCCTCTGATACTCAACCATCCATTAAAAGTACATTTGTTGCTAATGAGATTATCATTCAAACCCAGAGTGCAAGTGATAAGGGGGTGTTATTGGATAATACTCAACCTGAAAATAAAACAGCAAATTTAGGCTATCTTATATCTGCTTTTTCTAAATCAGAATTGTTGCTAAAACCAAGAATTTTTCAACTGAATCTAAGTGAAATTTTCATTCATGCTTTCATGACAAATATCCTACATGCTGTAACTCTTTTCTTTATGATTTACTGACTAGTTGATTCAAAGACTTCCATATGAACAAAACTCAGCAGCTTTGACCAGATTTTGTAAATGTGATCATGTTATACACTTCAGACAGACCTTCATCAACTAGCACTCAATAAAATAATCGTAATTATGATGTGAATTAAATTGTGATGTGAATTCTTTTTGGTAGTTTACTGAAAGACATGCTACAGCTTTATAGTCTTTACATCCTCTGTTTACTCTCAAGCAAATTACTTTGTGTTCTCAAAATAGCTTCTGTTTTGTGAAAAAGCACATCTTATGACACCGGAAAATCTAAAACATTGAATATTTTTAAAATGCATTCAGCTGTGTGTTGGAGAGAGGGCTGGCAGGTCGCAGTATACCCTTGGTCAACATTCTAAGTAGTGGTAATCTAAGTAGTGGTAATATACATTAGAAGTACCCCATATTTCAAATTTTTATATATATAACATCAGCAGGCTTTATATATAGTTATCTTTTTTATAATGTATATTGCACTGAAGATGGCATTTTGTAAATGTCGAAAGATTTTTGCTATTAAAAAATCGTCGCTGTTATTAAATGTTTTTTAAATTTGTCGTTGCTCAGAAATTATGATATTAATGTCTAACGCAAGTACATAGCATACAAAGACAGTCTATTTCAAAGACTATTCATAGTATAATAGTTGGACTAGAGCATATATTTCAAATTTAACACCTTTCATGTCATAACTCAAGCGAGGGCAAAGCAAAATATATCACAAAACAGTTTGTCAGTACACTAATGTTTAAATGCTAACGTGAAAGTAAAGTTAACGTCAATCAAATATATAATTTCTCGGTGAGTGTGTGCGTGCGTAGTGTTCTATATAATGTAAAGCATGGTCATGGTGCAATTTCTTGGCTTAACAAAAGAGATAAGTTGTTTTGTGTAATCTTCGTGCGTCGCATTAATTTAAAAGTAAAACAGTATTTGTGTCATTGATTTCACGATGCAAAGACATTTCGCTGCGAGGAAGGAAAAATATTCAAACGAACACAATACTGTGCAATATAAAGATCAATAGATATTATATTACATTGCAATATATAAAATATAATGGAGCAAATATCACTAAAACCATCTAAACAAGCTGCTACGACTGCGACATTCCTCTGTACTTCGAAGTAGTCGAAATTATCGAGTATCGATTTAAGAGAAAGGGCCACTTTACTTGAAAGCCCGCCAACATCGTGAAAAAAATAACCGACCACCATGCATGTGTTGAACGGCTTTCGTAGCAAGAAGAAGTGCAGATTTAACCGAAGCAGGCACAAAGTAGTGGCTGAAATGTTAGATTGCGTGGGTTAAAGAGAAGTTCCAATATTTAACGGTCCAATAATCGAGCATCGTGCCTCGTGCAGCTCTAACATGTATAGTGGACAACACAAACTACACCATACCTGGTCAAAGAAATGCCCGATGTCAAAAATCCTGTGATAATTATACTGTTTATTTGAAAAGTGACGCAAATCGCGATATTGCTACGTCCAAAAATCAAAATATTCAAATTCATACAATGCCAAACACAGGAATGCGTACATGGAAGCACACGCGTGGCAGCCGCGCTCTGTGATGTGTGATATTAAATGAGTATGACGTCAGAAACAAGCGTGCCAACGCAGTTTGTCATTGACCTCCTCGACCTCAGTTTCGTAAAAAGTGTGCAGTTTTGCGTAAGTAGGTAAATCCGTTTTGTCTTCGATGATGAGCACATGTTTGCCATCGCATTGCAAAGCTATTCTGCTTTTGAAATTCTTTTGTTCCGATCATAGCAAAACATCGAATTAATTGAGGGTACTAATAAGAAATTATGAGTAAATCCTCAATGTGACAATTGGTGCCACAATCGCCATTCGCTGTGGTCACAAATTCTGCGGTGTGTAAAATAATTGTTACTACTTTAACAATCAACAAGAATCGGATTGCGATTTGCGAACCTGTCGTTTCGGAGGTTTATTGTCTTGGGTCGTTTGCACGAGGTCAAGGCGCTGGGTTATGGAGCAACATGAGAAGATAGAAGTTTGTAGTAGAAATGATGTATATTGTTACCTTGCAACCGACGTCTTGAGTGAGAAATCTTTGTCCCGTGTTTGGGGATGTAGATCGTCCAGGTTAGTAGAGTCCTGAGAAGGACTGTTGGTGTTGATATTGACTGACGTTTCAACAACCTTAGCGGTAGAAATCGCCGGAGTCAAGCCTAAATTCCTATTCCCTAACGGATGACTTGCAAGTCAGTAAATGATGAAGGAATTCACAGATTATCGTAACTAGTTTTTAGTCTCGCTTATGATCGCTTCATATCATAAAGAAACAACAGGGCTTATAATTAAGAGTTATCCCATCGATAAAGTTTGGATAAGTTTGTAAGAACGCTTTTGCTCAAGTCTCTCTACTGGCTGGCTTAAAAATCGCACGACACAAAAGACTTCAATTTGTTATCTCATCGTTATATTTGTTCATCAACTTATGCAACTTTATTGAGTTTGCATACATATACATATCAGGTTCAAACCAGGATTTACTCGTGCATCTTTGATCGACTTTCGCAATACGAAGCTTTCAAATCAGTCAAAACATCATAAAGTTCGCCTGTGTAATGCGTATACGATAATATTTTCTTTTCTTCCATTGTAAATTGTAAGTATCGTCAGGCTGTATTTTCTACCGTTGGAGAAAGTGGTTTGTCATTTATTTTAACTTCATACAATTCATGCTCTAGTGAAACATAAGTCGCTCATCCATTTCACGATAAAAAGAGATTTTGCCTCGAAGACGTTCTGAGTTCTGACCAGTCGAGCATGTTGCTTATGATCATGAAGCGCACGAACGCAAAATTGATTTTCGCAGCGATTAACGTTTTGAAAATTAATCAATCGAAATCATTTACCACCGGATAAGCATTTCTCGAATCTCGATTAAAATTTTTCGACCCGTACTTTGTAGTCTCAATGAATGAATGTTGTTATCACGCAACTTGATACGGATTCCCAATAAAGCCAGACAAAAATCACGCCATACTTGTTCGAATTTTATTCTATAAAGGTCAACATCACGAAAGCGGTTGATCATTAAAAATAGACAAATTTATTCCGTTGTTGTTGTTGTTGTTGTATACAAAGTAAATGAACACATCACACGTGCCGGCACTAGGCCGTACATGACGTAAATGATTGGAAAAGAATTCGCTGATGACGTCAAAAACTAGCATGCAGCCATATTGATCGTGTTTGCATGCTAATGCTACCTGAATGGCGTCACGAAACACAGTTGAAAATCGTTTGATGTGGTAAAGTCATGCGGTCATTGCGTCTTTTGCCAGACGTGTTTCGCGTTCTACGATGAACGCACGTGGCAGAAATTGCAGATCTATTTCCATCGTATTCTAGTTTTGTGTATTGCAGTTAATGGAGATTCGAAGTAAGTTTTCGGACTAAATGATTTCTTCGAAGTTCTAACGTTTGTATAGTGAACTGGACTGCTATAGTACATTGTACTATCCTCTTCGCAAATCGGTGCCTATCGCTTTGCAAATTTCTCTTTACATTTTTTTTTGACATTATCTGTCGACTTCTACTTTAGTTGCGGTCAGAAATGCAGGTGACTTCAACATAACATAGTTTGTCTAAGCTTAACGATGTGCTTTCTTTTGTTTCAGTTTCTGCTGAAAGTCGTGCATGGCTTAAGATGGTGTGATGGAGAAGAACTAGACAGTTGCTAGCTCCGATTATCGTTCTCGAGACAACTTTTCGCCGTCGAGTTTAAGGATGGGTAATGGTAAGAATTTTTACGGTTAGTGACGATCATCTGGGACGTCGATGCGTCGTTGAGGCTATGTGAGGTTTACGCGAGAGTTAGCTGCCAATATTATCAATATGAAATCAAGGTTGTGTCACGGAGTAATATGAAAAGGTAAAAATTTTCACTGTTAATGATGTGTATTCTTAACTTACAATCAACGTTATGATACCAAATAACGTCCCCCCTCCCCAAGACTTCCCCCGCGTTAGATGGTTGTCGGACAATCGTAGCGGATAAATTGCTAGTCAACTATCATTGCAGGTTATAGATATCTTCTCAAGTCCTCATTATTTATACTCGGAGCTGCAGCAGCCTGCTTACTGAACGAACCTGCTTTAAAGTAGTTTGCACTCGGCACCAATTTCTTATTCTTACTATTATTATTAGAGATGCACAAAATTTTGCTCTTTGTGAATTGAGATTATCGTGAATGTAAATGTATTGTTGTCGCAAATTTAACATCCAGTTATTCCATTCGAGTTCTATAATTAATTAGAACACGATGAACGTGAATATCCTTGGAAATTTTTTCTAAACTCCATTATTGTCTTATATAAAATCCATAATGGTTTTCAAATACCCATAATGATTTTTCGCAAATCAACATTCTCTGTCCATGAATGGATCACGGATCTTCTAAAAATTTTCCTGTGTATATTACGATGAGAAGGACTCGGCCGCATTCCCGTTGTGTTTATGCTTTCACTGCATTCGTGATTCGTATTTTCGTCAAAGCTCAATATTCACGGTATAAAATTTCAGATAAACGTCCACGTACAATTTAGACTTGTTTTGGTTAAACGTATGCCGTCGAAGCGCGCTCCGTTTTAAATTACAAACAATTGTCGCAAATGATCAACCTTCTGACAATGTACACGAGATGGCATATTTTTGGCGAACGATATCTAACACTTGGGAAAATTTTCCGTTTATCTTAAAAGAATACCATTATATTCGAACTGCGCAAGCAGCTAGCTTCATCTAATCTGCCCCTAAGCGCATGTTAAAATTTGAAATAAGGTGATGCTAGCAAGCGAGTCAAAGAAAAGTGAGAAGCCCAATGGACTAGCTTCCAAGTATACATCACACTGACTACCTAAGTTCAAAATGAGGGGCTTCATGCGTCAGAACATTCACATCTCAAAAACGATAGCAACGTACTATAGATTATTTCAACGCTGTAAACCGAACATCTACACCCATTCTATAATTCCTTTGTACATGTAATAACATGTTGTATTATTCCATTGGAAGTATTGTCAGGCTGTATTTTCTAAGGTTACTGTTACTGTTATTTTCTAATGTTATTTTGCCGTACCTTCAAGCGTTTCATGACCTCTTGAAACGTTTAAAAGTCAAGCAATATGTATTATCGATTTTCCGATGCAAACATCGAGATTTTGCCTCGAAAACGTTTCGATCTGCTGGTTCTATTTAAAACAGCACATATGCGTGAAATTTTCCGTTATAAGCGCGTCAAAAATCGATCAATCGAAGTTATTTACCACTTCGTGTGTACGTGTGCATTCTGATGATTCAACACGGGACAGCAGACAGAGCGCAGCGGTAGCTGTATTGCTTGACGTAAGTGATGAATAAGAAAGTTCCTTTATGACGTCAAAAACAAGCGTACAATTGACTTTCATGGCGTCAATAAACTCAATCAAACATCGTTTGATGTAAAAGTGTACGGTTATTGCGTCTATTCGTAAATGCGTTTTGCGTTCGACGACGAGCACACGTTGCAGGTCTATTTTTGATGTATTATTATTTATGTTGAAATTGAGGGAAATGCGATGCAAGTTTTGCATGAAATAAATATTTACCCACATATATATTATGAATAATATATTTTTGAATCATGTGCTTTGCAAATTATTGCTATTGACTGTCTTATGCTATTATGACAGTCAGAAATACAAGAACTGAATCCTAAAATTTTATGAAACATCTCTTTAGACAATTGCCAATGTGACAGGACGGTGGACGAGAAGCTGCGGACCGTCGATCAAGGAAGTGTAGCTAACGCAATGGGATAGAGAACCCATCGGTGTTCATGGTTTTTGGCGTTCGTCAAACCGTACAATAGCAACGCAAGCAACGTGTAGCAACATATGAAAACAAAGCTTTTTGATAGGAGAACAGTGAAAGGTAGGATTTGATCTTTCTGATTCTTAGGTAACGATTTTCAGTCGTTATATTTTCCTGAGTGATACGCACATCCTATCTCGTTGATAATGCTGCAGCACATGAGGCTCACTCGAAACCTTGAAACTATTGATCTATATCTTGTGTGGGCATCTTGATTTTTTTCAACGTCCGTGTACTAGAAACGAGTATTGAAATATTCCACTAGTTTACCATTTTTCAATTGTGATAACATGTCGATATACTTGATATGTAAACGGAAGCCGCATAATTTTTTTCATTAAAAAATTTCATTGAAGTGTGTTTTTGTGTTTCCTGCACAACTGTGTACCCTATTCCTCCCTCGTATACCATTGCGCTCCAGATAAAAGTGGTCGCCTGGTCAACTTCAATAACTGGTGAAAACTGCTTACCTAATATCAACGAGTTTTGCGGTTTCAGGTTTTTGATGGTCAATCCGACAAAGCGATGAACTCTTTAGATTTATAAATTATAACGTTTATAATGTACTTCATTGTACTTCAAACCAAACATAAACCCCAATCACGTTTAAGAAATAAAAAATATTTAGTTTTATTTACTGTGTTTGCACAGGCTTATGCAAATCAAGGAGACCTTTGGAGAACTGGATAGCAGATCTGATTGATTTGATTGGTTGAGCTCATAATGAGCTCCGATCCGTTTTGCACAGGCTAATGCAAACACAGCTATAGACCAATCAGCGCACGCGTTGTATTGTGTTTACTTCATAAAGATTGGTAAAGAGCATACTTAAAGTGTGCATGCATGTATTCGTAGTAGCTGTAAGTCGTAATAATAAATGAAAGTTAATTAAGGAAGCATTTTGATAAAACATTCACATATATATAACATGCCATATCCCACTTGTAGTTGAGCTAACTATTCTCCACTTGTTCTCAGTAGCTAAGTGATCTCAGCACGAGGTTAAAAAACGTCTGCACGTATGTAAAAATATTGAACAAAAAGGCTCATTAGCTCAATCATCATAAAAGGTTCTTTTAGTAGCTATTTCATTTTGATGAACAACGAAAACATAGAATATTGTTGACGTAGAAATGTAGCGGTTTTTTAAGTAAATGTTCAAACGACAGAAAAACAGCGAAAGTTATGTACATTTTTAAAAGTGGAATAAGCTTGGCTTCTATGAAAAGAAATTTTTCCTGTCATTAAATAATCTCATACAGTATTCTCGTAACACTTTCTCTCACAAGTTATTTGATTATCATACAAAAAGACGTTCTGGTTTTAAAACATTTTACTTTACCGAAGCTGTCGGATATCGAACGACAGTTAGAAGCTGGTAAATTAGTATATTTGAAAACCAGTAAACGTCCTTTCGATTCCAGTTGTTTGGTGTTTGCATTTTCACAAACAACATGTCTACTTTGCTATATCTATACATTCAATCATAATATGTCGGAAATGCTTTGCACACGCAGCTCTCTGTGTGCGTAAAATATTTTGATATTTGATATAAAATTATATTTAATAAGGTGTTACAAACAACTGTAGGGGTACACGACACCGCATCACCTCAACCACCTCAACCCCATCCCAGCCTTCCTCGTCCCTTCACTCTCAACAGTTGTAAAAATGCTTCAATCCTCGTGCAGTAAATGTTTGCGTGATGAAGATTTGTATAACATGACAAAAACACGCACAAGACATTACTGGGTTGTCACATAAATTGTGTGCAAGTCGAGTGTTATATTCGCGAATGATGATATAGGATCGTTATCACTTTCAGATTTGCCGAGAGAAGATTATTTGGCTCCTGATAAATCGACTTTTTAATGATTGTGATGTTGATGAAGCTAGCAAATAGTTGGGATTGTGACTTTGGAGTTTGGCAACTATCTTAAACTAAGAATTCTCAAGGGCTCGGGCTATCGTCCGCCAGTTACCTGCCACAAAGATAGATGATTGAAACACCATTGTAATTGGAAATATAATCGAACTGGGAAGAACAGTGAAACCATATCAGTTGTTGATCATGGATTTTTTCCCATCACTTGTTATTGGTGGAATGCTGTTATTGAGGTGAGCTTATGACCTGTTTCTAAACAGTTATAATTAGGGAATGACGTTGTATTTTTATAAGTAACAAGCAAGTAACAATTTTTTTTCATTGATCTTTAATATCACCTCTGTCATCTTAAAGACAATTTGCCATTGTTACTTATGAATTCAAATTGAAACCAAAATTTATTTACATCGCAGCTGCCCTACTTCGATCTTCTTACTTCAAAATCATCAATTGTATGATGTATTGTTTTTATTCTCCAAGTTTGCTCAGTTCACAAATCTAATTACCTAAGATTGACTAAGCTTTGAATGTGAATCTTCTTCGAATGTCTGGCAAGATGACTGGGATTATTGAAACCTCGCCCGCACGCCTTACATTTGTAAGGTTTTTCGCCAGTGTGCGTGAACATGTGACGACGAAGATTACCAGAGATGGAGAACTTTTTGTCGCAAATTTCACATGCGTAAGGTTTCTCCCCCGAATGCGTCCTCATATGAATGATTAAGGCGCTGGGTTTCTTGAATCTCGTGCCACATTCCTTGCATTGATGACGTTTCGCCTCTGCAGAAAAGATCGTGCCTTATTATTTGAAGAAGCTTTTAATAGAATGGTAGTTCAATACTGACAAAGTTAAAATTGTTTTAAAAAGAGCAAATACCATGGTGAAAGGTCAAAGTAATAAAGAAATATTTCTTAAAAGAACTGTTTAAAACCAGAACACGAACCCAACAATTCTAAAAGCTAAAAGACACAAGCTTTAAAAAAGTTCTTTATTTCTTTACCATTCACGATGGTATTTGCTCCATTTTTAACAATTTTTAATTGGCAGTTAAGCAAAATGCTGATTGAAAATATCTATGTAGAGTGTAGACCATATTCCATACTCACCGTGTGCCTTTTTGTCAAGATTCTTTCTGGGGATTTTGACTTCATTTGCTTTTGAATTACTGCTCAACTTTTTTGCCTCGTTTACTTTGTACCTTTCGATATCAAGTATAGCCTTCATCTCAGATATAGACTGTTTTACCACACCATTGTTCAATGTCGATCTTGTATCATCGTCACATGCTTGCTTACTATACATCAGATCATTTAAAGGACTCGCAGGTTCTCCTAGCTCGCCGCCATCAGTCGATTCACAGCACGATTCGCAGTCCACTTTTTCTAATCCCTCATTGCACATATGTACCCCTTCAAATGTTTCTCTCAAGTCATGATGATCGTGATGTCCCATGAGAATAGCAGAACGTTTTTCGCTGTTCAATCTTCGTTCTTCCAATCCGCATAGTTGCTCGTGAAAACTTTCCTTCTCGAAATTTCCGCGCTCTCTTGTCATCTCGTACACTTCATCATTCAAAGTCGCCGCCTTCGTACAAAATTTTGGCACAAATTTAATCACACTCGGCCGTTCGTAAGCGCTCCCATTTTCAATAAAACCTTTATTGCTTCTAGGATAAGTGTTCGCATGAGTTGCCGAAGAGTTGCGGTAACCATAATACACGACAGGGAACGTTAAAATGGTGTCCAAAGCTGGGAAGTATCTGCTCACATAGCTGGTTGTGGTGTACATGACCTAAAAAAAAGGCAACCAGACAATAAGAGCGTCTGAATGTTTCCGAACATGTATATGATGGGAGAGCGAGAAATACTTCGGACGTACATGGTCTTAACAGAGGCTCCGCCATGGGACAAAAATTCGCATGTTAAATGCGCGTCTCTGCATTTAGGTGAGAAAAAAACGTTGATGCACTTTTTACATCGATGAACTTATATCGCAGTCATATATTACATACGAATTTGTATAGTCTCTAAATGTCAATAGAAAGTACACTTACTTTGCTCTTGGATATCGCAAGGTTTTAAAGTTTTGTTTAGCTCGAATACTTCGCCGAATTCCAGCGAGTGAGACGGTCCTCGTCAAAAGTGTCTCATTCAAAGCGAAGACAATTCTCGCGGTTCTAAGTCTCAGCCTTGCTTCGGGAAACGTCGTCTGTGCGATATTATGACAATCTTCGATTTTGCTTAAGTGTTGCTCGAGTATACGCTTACTGCAAATGAGGTTTGTCATAATAAGCTCGGTTGATTTAAAAGTCCTCATTTACGTTTCCAAACGTCAGAATCTGATTAATGCGAGCGCTCGAAATCGTCATAGCATCACGTGGTCAGGTTCCAGTCGTACACAACGTGACCTGAGTGACGCGTTCACGACCGCAAGGCGCGTTAAATGATGGGAGATACAATATCCGACTACGTAATCACATTATTTACCATACGTTATCGCGTTGAGGGTCTCCTAACCTTATTGCGATGTAAATAAGCTTTGTGTTGTGTTTTTACGACAATACGTGTAAGGAACAGACGTTGTTTCATTGCACAGATATGTGATATGTTTCATGGCGAAGCATGCTTCTACTCCCGTCGCGAAATTCCCGCGACGTGAAATTTGAAGCGATCTAAGATGGTTTTTTAAACATGACTTCAAATTTCGGCCGCTGTTGCTTTGAGTTTGTGAAGGCTGGGCTTTGTGCGTTTAAAATTATTTGGGTTGCGGTATGGCTAAGAGGCTATCATGTTAGCAACTCTTTAACTTTGATTAAAGTCATGGCAAAGATCGTGGACCTGTATTTATATGTAACTCGGTTTTGTTCTCATGTGCAAGACCGCCTATCATATGTATCTCATTCAGCAGCGAAGATAGGAATGGCTTCGTAGTTAAGGGAAATCACTCTCATCATATTTGAAGTCTCCATTTCATAGAGTTTGTGTGTACGTTTCGATATCTTGCTGTATTAATCAAAATGTCGCCACATGTGTTTCTACTTTGGATGTGAACAGTACGTAATAAGACAGCTGCATGGACTATATATATCTGTGGAAAGTGCTGGATGCAAAATTGCCTATTTTCTTTGATTCCGACTCGTGTTCAAATTAACGCCATATTTCGATGTTCGACAAGCGCAAAGTTATACCATTATCAGGAGAATTTGAAGTGGCGACTCAAGTTTTTCGGGAGTATCGAATTGACCTGAGAGCGCAACATGATCGTAGATAGGTCTACAAGATTCGCAATCGTTCGGTAAATTTTTTTTCCAGCGTGCATGAACGATAATCAGTTATAAGTTCTTTGGTGTTCTTTGTATAGCCGTAGAGATTTTATGGGTCTCAGTGTCGTCCATGTCAATGCATCTCGCAATCTGTATTACATTTGGACGGCGGTGCTGGGGCTGGCCAGGGGATGGTATCATTGTGATGGAGTTATAGAGTTACATAGTTAAATATTTTGTGACGAGATATATTGTCAACGCATAAATAAGATCAACTTTTCGGAAAGTAAAAATTGCTCGTGTGCATCGCGGTCTTTACATAAAAGTGTTAGAATGAAATTTCTATTTTCCTTCGGGATAAATTGTCTCAAACAAAATCTAAGAACTTAATCCATCAAGGAATTCTTTCAAATACGAGACTAAAGCTAAATGCAAGTCTAATATTTCGATATCGTATAGACTCGTGGCTAAAAGCACCGTGTCTCCAAAAATCTATATAAAGTAAAATGATCTTTATTATCACGAAGGCAAAACCTGAAATGACACAAAATCCAATACGTCCGAATGTTTGAAAAGCAGGTTTCGTGTGAGCGTGCAATTCTCTACAACATAGCCTAAGTTGAATGTTCAAAACGACGCGTTTGTACACGTTTACGTACATACGACATAATTTGTCATTATATGTTCTTGTTGATATCCCATTTCAGTTTAATTGGATGTAATATTTAGTGTATGTTTTATTACTTTGCCATTTCAAAGTTCACAGAGTTTAACTCTTTAATTAGTAGGGCGTGGAACAATTGCCTTAGTATCTATGAGACATGTTGTTAAAAACTAACAGCATACTACATGTTTTCAGATAGCGTTATCGTATACGATACAATGAAAATCCCATATCTCGCGAGGTCTTAATATTATCTGTGCTTGAAGCAAGGAATAAAATCAGAATTACAGTGTAAACGTCGGGACGAGAGAATTGTTCGTATACTGTAGAAGATGCATCAAAAAATGGCGACTCGTCAAATCGTCTGTCATGCCATATCATCTCGAGGAAACAAGAAAAAGAGTTATTCATTTATACAATAAACTTTATTTGTACAGTATCATCTTATGAACATCCCATAAAAGCTCTTTTATTGACCCAATTTTACTACAAGACAAACCTTTAAGTTATTTGTCAGGGCCGTGCGGGAAGCAATGTCCGACTACGGGAGGTTGAAAATTCAAATATTTGACTAGGTTTTAAAAGAAAGGTCCCAGCAGTAGAGTGCTCATTAGAGGGCTGTACGGAGGTCTAACACCCTCCAGCTTCGGTGAAACGTGAACAAGTCGATCGATCCAGAAGCTTTTTTTAGGACCGAAAAAGTTGGTCTCGCTAAAACTGTGGGCTTTTCTATCAAATAAAGACACTGCATAACCCTGTCTCATCAATTCTGGGAATGCGCACCCCTACGAAAAGTAGTAAATTATTTGGGGTTGCAGACTGCATGCCCAGCTACCGCGGTCTACTAATTTATTGGACAGCTTTGTCAGATTACAGTTCTTTCGAAGAGAATCGGTTCGAACCTTCTTTTATCATCCTGTGTTGATTACAACGAGAGATGTGTATAGTTGTAGGTGATGTAATGCAGTTGATGTAGTTTTACTAGTAGTTGTTGGTGTCACTGATTTGCACTTTAAAGTCGAGTTTTAATTGATTATTCAAGCAAGAAAAACTTCAAATTGTCGGAGAATTGGTAGTAAAAATGGTTATTCCAATTTTATTGTGGAGTTTCGAGTGGCCTCCTCTATGAATTTCACCAAAGTTAACTTAAAATCGCTCTGTGTATGTCGTCTTTACACTTTACTTTCCTTGCTGGTTTTACTCAAAATTAAGTATGACATCCCAATGTTCCCCGATTATTGACTCATGGGCATGTAATTTCTGTCGTCAAGTGCGATTTGGGCGTCCTAAGATTTTTATTCTTGGTAAGAATGCATGTTGATATGTAAGTCCGATTATTAGGAAATGATCTTACAACCAAGCCCAGCATCAGCAGCTAAATCTTAATTCATGTCGTTTGTTGTTGCATAGTTAAACATTCGCATCCTAAATTCGACCAAAGTACGCCATCTCAAACGTTTCTAGCAGACCGCAGATATTTTATTACGTATGTCGGATGTGGTTTATTTATGCAATAGGTAAACTAGAAATGCGCTCGTTGGCTGCGGCCGCGTGACGATTTATGACGTAACGGCTCGGCTCGAACTTACACGCACATTCATGACGAAACATGTCATCCAATGATTACATTCTGACGTTAGGGAAATACAAGCGCGAGTCTTAAAAGCAACAACGCGCATTCAGACGATCTTCATTTCACATAAGCGTATCTCCACTTCTAAAGTCTGGCATCTGTAGACTTGGCGTGATTGCAAATTATACGCCGAAAGCATAGCAAATAGCATTAATTTGTTACCGAAGGCAGTATCATTTTGAACTTGAGGGATTGACTTGGGAGCGTTTGTGCACAACTGTGTAGTATATGAGACTTGGTGTTTGTATCTTGATGGGTGAAGATTTAAACGTTGTATTTTCTAAACTCAGGTAAGATACTATATAATTTCTATATTCCTTGCACAACACGAATTTTGTATGCGAATTTTTGTTGGAGACTATTCCCGCTGCACGCGAAGAGTTTCGCGAACAGGGCAAAAGTTACAATGTTGACACGCTAAAATTAACTTTGCACAGATTACTAAAGCACGATTATCTTTAAGGTTGCTCAACAAAAAGATTTTGTACAATAATTTTGACCTACATCATGAATCTTATATGCAACATAGCTTAATGATATTATTTTGTTGTCGTGAGATTTTCGACATCAACGATAGTCATACGTAGCTGTAACTGCGAGGTGAGACGTTATTGTACGGTTTAATGGCCGTAACTAAAGCTAATGTGCACTGCAAACAAAATATTTTATTTCAAAAACACATTAAAGCACAATGTACCAAGCTCTTCAATTTCTTAGACATTTAGTTCAGAGAATGTTTAGTTCGTAGCATTCGAGTGTTATTGTTGAAGGGGGCATTTTATATCCACATGTATAATTATATGTGGCACAATCCTAACCGAGTGTATTTTTACAACAAAGTTCATCTCCAAATAATCGGGCGAAACTATCATATGATAACTGCTGCGTTTTATGTTAATAAAATGAAACATTTATGTACATACAGAGAGTATATGATACAGCAAGAAATATTATTCTTTGCGTGACTAATGTCTACTTGTCCATTTGTACATGTTCAATTAACGTGGCTTTTTTTGCATACTGTATTGCTTTGAATGACAGCATATTTGTGTTCCAGTATATTTCCCGATGCTTTCCAGCTGCCGTAGGTATGTTCTACTTTGCTAGATTGCCAAATTTACTCAACTTTTTTGTCTGCATGTTATGTCTCTCTAATTCAAAACTATCATTTGTTTGAAGAATGGATTCTCACTCATTATGTCTCCCACAAATAATGAAAAAAATGCACTTAACATCTTCAATATCTGAAACTCTATGGCATTTTTGACTCACAAAAACATGCAGTTATAAAATTGTTCACCATATTTTCAAGTCAGTTAAACAATCATATAGATATTTATGAAGAATAGTTCCATAAGCTAAATATATGTCTAACAAAGTATAGCTTATATATGTATTGTTTCAAATATCTATTTTACTTTCTCACCCCAACACAATTCATCATGGAAAATATGTATGGCAACACACAAATTTTCAGTCAAGGATTCTCTTTTGGTGTAGTTGCTAAGCTAACTCATATGTAGGGAAATAAGAATCAGCAACCTTTTATTATTCTGGTTTGCTTATTGAAGCCTGCTCGTATGAAAAATTTCGTGTCTTGGGAATTTGCAAAGACGTGTTTGTTTGCTAGTACACCTTCGTGCTCCTGCATGGATTGTGTCAATATGTAAGACCCAATGGATAAACGAGTCATCTTTAAATTCAGTCGCCTCCAGTTGCATTTTTCTTACAGCACGTTAATACATCGAAGCGAAAATTAGGTTTTACATGCAATACATCGGTAAATTAAGACAAATATACTGATCATTCATCCCAGTAAGTGAATATGGAGGAAAAGTCCGCTTTGTATAAAAATCCCCAACTACTGAATAATGTTATTAAGTCGAGACACTGCTGGTCCATGCATCGTGTGCAAATGTATTTCAACTGGTTAATTGCTTATTTTCTCTCACAGGAATAAAATGAATGGTGAATTAATGAAGTATTTTGTGGCGCAAGAAGACTTATACGAAGGCTTCAGTTAAGAGAAAGGTATGTCTTTCCAAATATAAACATAAACAGGACTGCATCTACAAACTATTTCCACATAGTATTTTGCGCTTCATCGGCTATCTCTTCACCAGTTTCTCATGAAATATCGATGATTGAACACGGTTAGTTAATTCCTATGAACTATCGTCGTATTTTATGTTTTTATGTGCTATATCCTATCCTTGCCAGTTGCCGTGTTTCGTGCAGAATGTTATTCATGGATCAGTAGTAGCAGAGTATAGTGCTCATCACCTTGAATGACATTAGGACAACTATCCACAAATGCTTTTCCATAAACTGACGTGCTTTCATTTACTATAGCTAAGTATAAGTATATAAATATCTGTTATATTCAAAAAGGGGTGAGATCTTTCAAAGAAGTTCGTTTCAAGTCCTTGAATACTTTTGAGACCTTTTGCGACTTCTTCATGCACGCCGTACGTTTGAAGGCTGGTGTAATAGCTATAAGCCTCAGTTGTGACATTTAATGATCAGATTACCGACAGTGGCGAATCGTTCATTCCACCTCAGAGAATAGGACAGTTTTTTCAACATTCACGCCAGCAGTTAGCGCGATCCATTGACCGAAGAGTACTTGTCTATTTCTTTGTGCAACGAAACATTTCCGTTGAAGTCAATATATATCCGAGCAGTAAGCCCACGAAAAAAACACGCGTTGTTTACATTGCTAAGTACAATTCAAATTCAAACCGAAAGAAACCTTTGGGATTTTTCCCGAAATAACACTGTCGAGAGAGGACTGTTAGTTTTGATAGCATACATTCAAACGAGATAGACCTTTTTTTCTCAAATAAAGACAAGTTCTCTGTGCAATTGTCTTCCCATTTGATGGGATGTGTTGGGCTTTGCGATTGAGAAATTTCATTCGATTGCGGCTGTGCGCTGGCATTTGGCCACGATAAATGACTATTCGCACTTGTTCCAGTAAACCACAAATATGCTCTTTCATCAGAGATTGTGTGCAGTCAATTTAGAAAACCGCAGATATGTTCCTATCATATATATAAATAAAGCAATTTTCCTTTTTGTGCTTTCTTTTAATCATTCGCTAGAAATTTCAACAGCGTTTTGTTTCCATGGGTTAATCAACAATGGAAGTTGGCGTGCAGAGAACACCTTTTTTTTATAAAAACCAATTCACTCTTTAACCGCAAAACACTAAGAAATTATTCAAAATTAATAAATAGATCAAATATTTTTGGATTGAATGCTTGAGTCGATTTCTGTGTGGGTGAAGAATTTCTTGAATTTTTTGAGAAATGTTTGAAAGGAACATGTTTCCGATTCTTAAGTTGCACGCAAGATACGATTCAATGTATAACGGTGCTGCGAAGATAGTAAAAGTGTTTTCAGCTAAGTGTTTTTATAGCACTGTCTGAAGATAAAAACCACAGGAATTCATCTGTCAAGTGTACGTCAATTTGTTCGCATTATTCATAATAAACAAACCGCAAATTCTCTGCTTGTGCGTTTGCCGGCGATTCTGCGCTTTTACCGCCCGGCAATAATGTTGCGGTTTCCTCATCACACGATTCGGCTGTAAAATTTTGGTGTTTAGTTTCAATTCCCCACCTATTGCTCAATGAATCAACAATAAGACAGCTAAGCTTATTAGAATTTTCTTTACTGTGTTTGGCTTATGTGATCATTACATATAATTTTTACACAAGCCATATTTAATAAATACATTTAAGATATTCATATTTACAATTCTTTTTGGCACATCTGTAAATTATTTGAAGAGCAAATACCGGAACGGCTTTTGCTGTATCGCAACAGAGTTTCCATGCACCATGGCACGCTATTCTTTGATTATAACATTAAATCATCAATTTTATAAAGAGGCATCGAATATTTCAACATTCAAAGTACTTTTATGTATATATTTTTTATTTCGCTTAGTACTGAAGTCAACTTTTAGCTAAATCTTTACAAAACATTTACACAAACACGTCATTCGTGGTGACAATTGAGACGAATTTGTTTTTCATCTGGTGCAACAATTTTAAAGGGATTATTGTAAAATTGTAACCAATTTTAGGTAATCTTCTATCGAGGTTTATTCACCCCTTTCACATGAAATATCATTTATATAAAAATATTTCAGATCCAGTCTACGTAATCAGGAGATGTCAGCCCTTCTTTTTCCATATTCGTACGTCCATTTCAAAAAAATTGAATCGAACGCAAGTGCTTTGAGAAGCTGGTTCATCGCAGCACGGCCTAGATTGAAAATGATCACAGACGAAGAAGGAACAAGCACTTTTAGCGTGATCAATCAGAAAAGGCCAAGCGTTATTAAATTAGCTCCAAAAGTCAACGTTTCGGACGACAGAGAGGAGGATGAAGTAATCGACGTCGTGGGCTTAGATGGGATCGATGAAATTAACAAAACGATCCATTGTGGAATAAGAAATGATCCTAAATATTACATATATGACCAAGATTTTTGGCATAGTGACCAAGCCAACAATAACGAATTTGAACTCGGGCAAGATGAAGTAGAGATGTGCCGAAGTGGTTCAATAAACAAACGCAACTTTGCAACGGACAACTCTCCATCTGATTGTGATCAAAAGGTTTCGACGAACGCTGAAGATAGATCCGAGAGCAAATGTCGTCTACACGAAACACGAGATGAGTATCAACTCGATATGGACGAAAATAGCATTGAAAAGGTGTTGTTCTGTGATCAAAGTATTTCGACTAGGGATACGACAGGATATTTGTCTGTTGAGAATAGATTGAGCGAACGTCATGTGATCAGCGACAAGAGCGAAACCAATGACATTCATGGAACAGTGAGGTACGTCAGTAGTCGGCGAGGTTCGATGAAAGAAGAAGGGAGCGAAGACGATCTTCGAACTACACAAGACGGTTCCGAGTTCCAACATTTTGAAACTCTTAAGACGTCGGAACATTTCTCGTGTAACGCGAACCAAAGTCTGTCAACAGATAATCATGGATGTGAAAATACACCAGGTTGTTCACAAAGTCCAGATGACGATGGTGTAAACGAAAGAAGAAATTCAACATGCAAGAACAAGAGAAGGCATAATTCAACGTCTTCCGTCGGAAGGCAGTGGACAAAAAGTACCGAAACCAAGTCCGAAAGTAGCAGTGAGGAGGAATGGACGGCCTCAAGCAATCAAGGTAAACTGGTTGGAAAAATCAAACGATGTACGTTTCTGTAATTGTTTATGATATAATCTTTTCTTTAGGTAAAAAACGTTATGGATGCAAGGAATGCGGCACGAGATTTAAGAAACCCAGCGCCTTGATCATTCACATGAGGACGCATTCGGGGGAGAAACCGTTCGCGTGTGATATTTGCGGTAAAAAGTTTTCAATCTCCGGTAATCTTCGACGTCACATGTTCACGCACACTGGCGAAAAACCTTACAAATGTAAGGCGTGCGGGCGAGGTTTCAATAATCCCAGTCATCTTGCCAGACATTCGAAGAAGATCCATATTTGAAGATTTCTGGATACAAGGGACACGTCAATCGAAAGGAACGCTGCCTTATACGAACAAATTAAAATGAAAACTGTTATTTAACCGAAAGTGAAATTTGTCACGATAACCAAACGCAACAGCATAGCGCATAACTCTAATTCTGTGTTGGGGAGGCAATTCTGATGCTTTCGTTCGCTTCGTCGCGTCCAAATTATTTTGTAATAAAGTGAGCGGTTTGAGCCCGGGAGTGTTGTTAAATGTTTGTAGACTTAGATAATCCACGTTGGTAGAGTCCTTAGTAGCGTGGGGAAAAAGGTATTTTTGAGCATCATACATGGTTAGGGGAGAACAATTATACAAAGTTAATAGAATAAAAAAGTCTCAACTTTTACAACTGTATTATGTCAAACTGTATCAATCAAGGCAACATCACGACTTGTATGGCAATTATTTTACGTAGAACTGCCAAAGTACTTGAAATAATATATCAGGAGGGGGCAACCCCTACTTTTTTATTGGGCCTTCCCCCAGTTCATGGTGTCGGTGTAGACGTTTCGACATCCTTAGCGGTAGTAATCTTGATTTAGAGTACAACACCTACAAACATGTAACGATACTCCCTGGTACGCTATTGAGTTTCTCACTTCAGATAGATAAAGGTAAAGCGAAAAACTGCTGTCAATCAACGAGATGATTTTTATTATTATTATAGAATTCGAAATCGGGGCAAAACGATATTTTACGTTTGATGGAAGAGCACTGGAATTTGAGGCTGCGTTTACACCATACCGGATTCGCTCATCACGACATCTTCATTTGCTTTAAAGGTGTGACTGTTCGGAGTAAAAGCTATTAAGCTGATAGATTTATTCTATTTGAATGTGTTTCTGACGTTGAACAATTTCATTGCCTTTTAACACAAAGAATATTCAACCTGCTACTATAACAATCCGGTATAGGGTAAACGGGACCTGAGACTCGCATTTCTTCGCTCCTCCGTATTAACAAATTGCTTACTGCACGGACAAAAGTTACAGCAAATCATGCAGACCTGTGGTCGATCTAGCGTTAGTCGAAATAAACTACAGACGCTCGATTTTAAATTCAAAATATCCGCAGAACAAAACTATTGGGTTTGAACTTCTAACAAAGAAAAGTTTACCAATTAATTTGGCTCTATATTGGAGATTTAAATACATCAAAAAACTTGCTTCGTACGCCAATTTATTTTGACGTACCCTAGATCTGCCACAGATACAGAAGTTTTATTGCGTGGTTGATCGTATACAACGCGTGTAGGTTAATATCTCACGATGACGCTAGGTAAAACACGCAAATCAATTAAAACGTTAAATTAACATTTGTGTCTGTTTCATTTAATCGAGTAGTTTTTATCGATAATGCCGTCGTTATAGGAAAACGAGCGAGTTATTGTAAGCGAGCAATTGCGAGAATGTTTTAGGTAACATTCAAATACTTGTGGTGAACACGTTTATTGTTCATATCGTGAATGACGTCATTGGACAGCAATTACACTTGATATCTAGAACTCGCACCCGTTGTAATATTTCGAAGGCAAACTGGTAAAATTGCATATTACTAAACACGAAGACATTAAGTACCACCTTGAAAGTGTGTTCTAGTAGTATTGGCCTGCCTCCACTCTTATTCAGATTCAGTAGGTGTTTCAGTCCGGATGTATATTAATTGTTCAACAGTTTCGTTTGGATGATTCTGTTGCCAACGGATCTTCTCCGCCACCTCTTGATTACGTATACACTCGCGTAATATTTGCCCAAGATTATTTTCGTCTAGGTTCGTTCCCGTTTTACTCAATCCGACAACAACGCTGGTGCTGATTGGTTGCGAGGAATCACTCGTTCCAAGCTCGTTAGTTGTCGTTACCAGTAATTGTATTGCTGCGCTTTCGTCACTAACACAGACTTCGTCATCATGCCGGACTATATGAGCTTGTTTCACGATCAAACTATGGCCATTGTCGGCGGAAACATCAGGTAAGGCCACGGTCTCATGAGACATGACGTCACCATGACACATGTTATCATTGTTTGTGGTACGAACGACATCACTCTGCATGACATCATTATCGTTAGCGATGACAGCATCCGTCTGCGAAGGTTCGTTGTGCAGACGTTCATGACGTTTCATTGTGGATGAATCAATAAAAGCACGGTCACAGAAGTGACAATGAAACGGTCGTTCGCCGGAATGAGTACGCTCGTGTACCTTCAGATGGCTCGTCTGTCGGAACTGTCGTTCGCACGTGGTACATGCGTGCGGCTTTTCCCCTGTGTGAACACGTTGATGAAATTTTAGCGTCCATTTGGTACGAAATACCTTACCACATTCATTACATGTATAAGGATTCTCACCTTGTCCGTCACTCTCCTCTTGTATTCCTTGTTCTATATTGTTCTGTAGTGCATCGGCGTTTGATGACGCTACCCCAGATGACGTCACATCAAATGACATCACATCCGAAGGCGTAACGACGGTAGTGAGACCGGTAGCTAGGAGATGGGCGGCGGAAATCTCTTGCGGATCGCCGTTGACACAAATACTTTGTACTGCTGCCTCGCTGAACTGAAGTCCCTGCATCATGGCGTTTTCTTCGCTCGTCAGTGTTGGAGCTAGGGCGACTTTTCGTGCCGGACAAACGTTCATGTGATTTGTAAGAGAGCTTCGTCTTGATAACGACTTTCCGCAGTCAGTACAAGAAAACGGTTTCTCGTCCGAGTGACAGAGCTGATGTTCCCGAAGATTGTCTTTACGTCGAAAACACTTTGCACAGATCTCGCATTGAAAAGGCCGCTCGTTTGAATGGATCCGAAAATGTCGACGCTGAGTCGAAGGATCTTTAAACACTTTGTGGCAGACGGGACATTCCTTAGACTCTGGAGCTCCGGTAATTTTGACCTGTTCGCATGAAAAAGAAACAAAATTGATCAGTTAAGAAATAAAAGATGTTTACTGTATTTTCACAAGTTTATGCAAACCGAGGTGATGTTTGGGAGAACTCGAGAGCAGATCAGTGCATTCCCAAGACCGAAGGTTGCACCTGCTCGAGAGTTCTCACGAACGTCTCCGAGGTTTGCATAAGCCAGTGCAAACACGAAAAACATCTTTTATTTCTTTCATAAAATAACAATAAAGCAAAACAGAAAAATTAAAAACATACTTTTAATTTTTCCTCTAAAACGTATTCATGATTGATCAGCAAATTCTCTTAAAATGATTTATTTAAATGGTTCAGCTCAGATCAGTTTACACAGGCTAATGCAAACACAGCTATAGACCAATCAGCGCACGCGTTTTACTGCTTTTATTTTATAAATCACAGACGATGCACATTGAAAGTGCGGCGTGCACAAACCTCTTCAGTCGTAGATGATACTTTGGACGGTGATTCCTGTCGAATCTTACAGCACTTCACGTGAACAGTTAGTGCATATCGCGTGTTGAACGTTGCGTCACACGTCGTGCATTTGTGTGCAGTTATACCACTGTGGTGAGACGTTTCGTGGGATTTGAGATGATCGCGTCGACGGAACCTTTTCTCGCAATAATTACACTTATGCGGTCGCTCACCGCTGTGCACGAGGGCATGACGTTTCAGGGAGGTTGCATCACGAAACACTTTATTACAAACGTTACAACTTTGTTCGTTTCTATCGGAAACGTTCGATCTTTTCCGCTTCTTTTTTACAGTATTATTGGGTCCTTTTAAGTTATCGCATTCTGCCTCTGTTTCTACTTGTTCTGTTGAGATCTGCGAAGTTCCTTTGTCCACGGTCGTCTCATCTTGGCAACTTTTCGGATGCTCGACGAACGTATTATTTTCGTTCTCGCCGAAAGGAGCCGCAGCTGCACTCACTTCATCTGAAACGATAAAAGAATCAGAGTCGGCCGCTTTTACTTTTTGCGTTGATTCTGACAACTCAAAAGAGTTAACTACCAAATCTGCGGGGGGATGATTTGCCTCATCCAAAGTCGCCTCGACATGTTGTACTTGTGGCGTTATTATTTCCGGATCTTGCTGTGTGAAAGTTTCCACAACCAAATCATCACTGGCGATTACTTGGTCGGCCGTTTCAACTTCCGGATCTTTGGGCTCCACCGGGGTGATCACGTCGTTGTATCCTAGGAGATGAGACGTGCGGATCATGTGCGTCTTCAGGCCGTTTTTCCTTGAAAAGGACTTGCCACAGGTGCGGCACGAGAATGGTCGAACCATCTTGTGAACGACGACGTGCTCGTTTAGATGATCTTTGCGTCGAAACGCCTTGTCGCATTCTTGACACTTGTAAGGTCGATGGTCGGAATGCGTCAACATATGTCGTTTGAGCGTGGAAGCATCGCGGAATGTCTTGAAACATATTTGACAAGGTTCCGAGCTTTTCGTCACAACGTTCTGTTTTGCTTTAGGCGCTTGATCGTCGCCATTCCAATTTCCGACATCTTGCTGTGCATTTTGAGCATCTCGTCCACAATGCCTGGCCATGTGCACTTTGTGCGTGTATTTACGCGGGAAAACCTTACCACAACGATCGCATTTGTACAGATTCTCCTGCGTGTGAATGTTGCGGTGTTCGCGAAGGTTGTCTTTGCGTCGGAACGACTTCTCGCAGAACTCGCACTTGTACGGTTTAACATCAAAGTGAATCATGCGATGACGTCGCATCGAAGGGAGATCCGAGAAATCTTGTTTGCAGATATCACAAAGGACGCGACTCTTCTCGTTCTTGGAACCTTCATGATCTTGCTTACTGCCTCTGGATGTTTTTTTTGACGATACATTCGACGACTCGATGGTTTGGGGTGCCTGCGCCACACTTTTCCCAGTCAACTGTGGCACATTCGAGAAATGATTCGCAGGAATGTGAGCCTCCTCGTTTCCATCAACAGGCGGTTGTACCAAACTCAACTGGACGTTATTTGAAAGAGTGTGAGGTACAATTTCCATCAGACTGTTTATATTATTATCAACGGCAACAACAGTGAACACCATCTCGCCACCTTCACTGGATGTGCCTGCTTCAGCCATGGTAATATTTTGAATCGTTTCTTGGTCAATGGAAGCTCGAACTGTCATTAACTCCTGACTTCCATCTTGTGTAGTGGTAAAGATCATATCTCCTGTGCCTGATTGGCCGGCTTCACTGAACACAAGATTTGTTATCGCTTCTGTAATCAAAGTACTTGTCATTTTGACTCCATCATGGTTGTGCTGCAATTCTTCCATATTGTTTTGACCTGCATCAGGATCCGATAAATGTGCTCCATCAACATTACTTGTCTGAATGAGCTCTAAACTTGCATCGTGCTGAAAACCAGAATGAACAGAGATGGCATCTGCATCATTATCATTGGATTCAACAATGCCACATGGATCACGATGATGAGCTTGGGCAACCTGACCCTCTTCAATAGCTGTAGTGACTGCACCATCTTCATCAACAATCTCGACACGAACAGTACTTTCGCTCAATTTCTCTTCATTTATTTCATCATCGATATTTTCTTGTCTTTGATCGTCATTAATATGACGATTGCCTGATTCTGAACTTAAACCATCCATATTTAATAGTCCTAAAACACAATAAACAACTTATTTATTTTCCTTGAAAGCCTTTTCTAATATTGGGTAAAATATTTTCATCCTCTGCCTGAAATTGAATGTCACTAACATGGAGACTCTCGTTGAACTCCAATTAGAGAGTGTCTGATGGAGACGTTTGGTTGCAATTCATCAAGGATAGAACACAAGATTACGGCAGATAATTGCACGATTTTATGTTTATGAACATGATGCATTTTCGAGATAAATTGTGTAAGAGTTGAGCGCGAAATCGTGACCATTTTTCGGTTCGCGAGGCTTATTTCGCACCTACCTTTTCCCAGGAGGATAAATTGCAGGGATTTTGCCCGTCGGGTAGGTAAAATTTTCTTCCTGAACGAGAATTTTTGCCTTATTCTTGCCCGAATTTCAAAACACAGCCTTTCTTCTCGATAACCAGCGCATCGCAGCTCGCAATGCACGCTGGACCACTACGAGATAGGGCCTGGCTTAGATGGGACTAGAACCGTTTATATAAAAAAATCGCGATTGTTGCTCAGGAAGTATCATCAAATTAATTTTAACAAAAATATATTGATTTATTTTGCTTTTTTCTTGTAGTTTTATTTGGCAGTAAAATTGAAAAGGAAAACTACACGCCGATTCTGGCCGGAGCTCCGCACTTACCAAAGCTTTCTCGTTATTGAAATAACCTACCGGTAAAATTCCTCATGTCCACGCGTGGCGCGTGTAGTGACAAAACTAGAAAGCTAAAAATATACAATAGTGACACCGGTTTATAAACTTTTGAAAAGACAAATAAAATGAGTTGTCTCACCGGAGTTGAATACAGTTTTTTCTGAAAAATGGAGCTTGAAACTCAGTTGAAAACTGAAGACGATAGTCAAATTGGTGAAAGTGGTAAACACTCGGGAAATTCATCCATAAGGCACCGTATAAAATCCGATGAAGTTGACATCACTTCAGTTAAAGATGGTCACCTCAACCAGGTTATATACAAGCCTATTGTTCCCGACATAACTCTTTTCGACTACGAAGTGCAGCAGGGATACAGGATATTTCGGGAGCTGTTGTCCGATCAGTACAAATCTGTCACTTATCCGTTTTTGGAGCCAGTCGATGTCGAGGGTTTGAATTTGTATGATTATCATACGCGGATCGAGAAACCGATGAGCTTCAAACAAAGTAAGTAAATAAAATAATATAAAAAAGCGGACATTTATGTGAATAGCATGACTGAAAAAGGCGCGATTTGTTTAGAATTCATGTTCTGTGTCTACTATTTCTTTGTACTTGTTCTTTCATACACTTTTTTTCTCTTTCACTATTCATTCATTCATTTCAATTCACCAATGGTATGTTATGCATAGATTTTGCAGAAATCAAACTGATGATTGTGTGTTTTTCATTCGATATCTATTTGTTTCACGATGCTTTTGCAGTTGAAAGTCGTTTCAACAAGTATGATTACCAGAGCATAACAGCCATAGTATCGGACATGCGGCTTATTTTGGAAAACTGCTATCGATATAATGGCTCAGGACATTGGATATCAAAGCTTGCGCACAAGCTGGAAAAAATAATCGACCAAAAATTGGCATTGTTGAACAGGTTTGATCCAGTCACAATATACTTAGATGAATTTCTTTGATGTTTCTTCTCAATGTACCATTTTCCCTAGATCTCTTCGTGAAAAGGTCACTCTGAGAGCAACCATCGCATTTCGGAACAATGTGGTGTTGGCTGACAATTTTGACCAACATTTAGGTAAACATAATCTTCACTATGCCAAATTACACTTGATTGCTGTGGTAACTGTACTAAGAGTGAAATTGAGAGGGGTACTAGTCTCAGCAATATTTTTGAAAGATGAAATACCTTGCACCAAATACCACAAATTACATGTATAGCTTACAACATATTTATCTTGTTAAATAATGTCCATTTTACAGACACATCTCCCGCACATGTCTTATTAAGTGTCTGTCACTGCATGCTATAAAACTCAAAGGCTATTATTATACTATTTTATTACAATACTATTTTTGAAAAGTATTAAGATACATATTGGACTAGTTATTTTGTAGCTAATCATTTATGATTGTTTTTTAAAGCTACACTAGACCTCTGTCTTTAAGTTCCTCCATGCTCAACCTTCCTGTGTATAACCCCCCCCCCCATGATCGTAACACTCTACAAACTCTACATAATGTTAAAGGGGAGGGGTTCAGATACTATAGTTTAATATTGTATTTAACCCTGCCCTGCCCCACCTTCCATGTATAAGCCTATCTTACTAATTTACATTAGCCGATGACTTATAGACTGAGGTTTAGGGTATTTGCAAAGCAACTACTTGACATCAAAAAATCACAAATTCCAAATTTTTTTACGTTTTGATGAATGAACTGATAACCTATTATGTTTGAGTGGCATTTTTTTGCATGCAATATCATCTCTATTCACACTTTATGTCCAATTTTTTTGGTTAAAAATGTTATTGTTGATGTATTTTACATAGGTACACGCCCTCGAAGATCGGGGCGGTCCAGTCTTGGCTCAGGTGGAAATGAGGAAACGTCAAGCTTGATGTCTCATCTTCTCTTGGAGGAGCAAGAGAACCAACGGGAGATGAGACGAATCAAAGATCGAGAGAAACGCGAGGCTAACGAAGCATTAATGGCGAAGTTGTCCGAATGGGAAGTGGAAATGTTCCCTTTTGATGTTGTCAAGGAGTTAAGGTCAATATGGGAGGTACGTAATGCTGAAAGTATACAGTATATCAATACATAATTGATAGGATTCGAGAATTGAGTCCTTTTTTGGCTTTAATTTAGTTTCTAAGTTGCATTTTGAGTGGTAGTCCTTTATCAGAATATGAGTATTAGTGGGGGACACTAGGAGGAGGGGTGGGGCAAGAGCACCCCCAATAATTTTGAAATCTGGCACCCAATGCATTGGATTAAACACAATGAAAAAGTCATGTAACAACTCCACTTCATCTCATTTCAATGACATTCTCATTCTTTTAGTACTGAGATTTTTTGTAAGTGATAAGGTTTTCAAATTTCCAATAATGGAGTTTCTTATAAATATTTAATACAACTACGAGAGCAAACTGTCGCCACATACAGAATACTGTTTATACAAATGCATTGGGAAGATTCCTTGTCAAGTTTAGCATTTTCATAATGTTGCATGTGCATGTGTTACTGCTAGTTTCTAATACAGCCCACAATGATCAAAGTTGAAAAATATGTTTTTTATAGCAAACATGTTTTGCCGTACTTTATGCCGTCTTCATTGCTAAGTGAATAGGAAGGTTACATAGATATAAGACAGTATGCATAGTGTTATGTGATAAAAAAAAATTAAACCTAACCTGAACAAACAAACACAACACCTTGACACTATTGTCGACCTATAAGTAACATTAATTATTATTTTACATGTTTGTAGATGTAGATCGTCCAGGTTGGTATAGTCCTGAGAAGGACTGTTTTTTTTGTTGTTGACTACACTTCACACTAATCCACAATGACAATACGCAATTGACACCCACACATTTCCTGTACACACAATACAATGACGTAAGAACCAGATAACAAATACAGCTAACCTGGCCTTTACTCCTCATTTGACTCTGAAGATGACTGCCACTAAGGTTGTCGAAACGTCCCCATTTACTTAATTATTATTTTGTTAGTTATGAAATTTTTTATTGCTTTTTGAAATAACGCTTAACGCAAACATTAAAAACCTAACACCTCGTTCACTTGTAATTGACTTTGCATAACTAATCTATACACTATGTTCAAGTCATCTTGTATCTATGTTAAACTTCCTATTCACATCTCACTGAAGATGGCATAAAGTATGTCGAAACACGTTTGCTATAAAAAATTTGTCGTTTATTTGAAATGTCTAACGACTTTTGCGCTGCATGCTACGAAATTAGAGAAAATGAATTGTTGCGACTGTTCGTCACTATGACAACACAAGACAATTACGATTTGTAAAATTGCAATTTTTGTCGAAAATGTGTCGTGAAATATCTAACTTTGGCATCTTCATGCGCGTATTAATTTTTATTTATTTATTAAAGTTTTTTACGCCCAAATTGAATGTTTTTACGATGCGAAAAATTAATGTTCTTTGAAATGTTATTATGATGACAAATAAAGTTAAAGATCTCTAGAAAGAAGTAAAATAACACAAATCTATGCATGAAGTCATTTCAAATGTTTTATGCTGTACAATATAAAAAACTGCGTGGTAAAATTTCGTTTCATAAGTTCTTTAAGTATGAAAATTAAGTGCTCCCAATTAAATATTACTTAATTTGGAGAAACGATTTTCGTAAAAATGACTGTAGGTGTATTGCCCAAATTTTAGCTATGGACAACTATACATCTTTTAAAACTGGATAAAGACTTTTACCCTTGGGCTCCCTTCTGCGTAGGGAATTTAAATATTTATACAAAGTCCAACCTCTCGTATGCGGAGACACTTGGGACCTGGGACAGTTATGGACACTGCGGAGTACCGAAATAGTTCCGAAAGCCATGCCCGCTTCCAAGTGGTGTCCTTATGTAGAAGCTCGACTGTATTCTGTAATGTACACCTTCTTCGAAATTAGACTATGAAGCACATTGATTTATTTTTCCAAGTTGTCTTAAACTGTTTCTTGATCTGCCTGCAATCAGGGGCTTGTGAGGCTGTTGGTGTCCTACGACTTTTGGAGTAAAGGACACACTCAAATTTACCTTGATAATTGGAGTGCTGGATTTTTCAAGACCAAATTCTCAAATTATCGAACTTGCAGCAGAAACCGAGAAATTTTAAATGGTGTGAACATTAAATTATGAGAGTCATTTGTTAACGAAATGCAACAAGGATTTTGGAGAATTTTTGCAATGTTTGCCAGAAAAAGAAGTATCGATCGAAAATAACTAATAGGAAACAGTTTCGTTGTTATTCTAAGTTTCATGCGTGAATCATATCACATCGCGAACATGGAACACCAACAGCTTTTGAAAGCTTTCAAAACTCTTGTCTAGCTGAATGCACTTTCAATAAATGTTCTCCTTGTTTGTTTTAGATTCCCGCCGTAGGTGCTTTTTTATGGTTGCATCAATCAACTTTGAATTTGCCCGAACTTAACTACACAGAGTTTGAATACGGTCTCGTTCTACCTCATATATCGCTACAAATGTCGTGGATTTTAACGTCCCTTCTCGTCGCCCCAAGTCATCGCAAAAGGTAGCTACAATCTTTAAAAATCATCCGATCAATTTATATTAAACGATCAACTTGTATTGAACGATCAACTTGTATTAAATGATCAGCTTGTATTAAACGATCAACTTGTATTAAATGATCAACTTGTATTAAACGATCAACTTGTATTAAAAGATCAACTTGTATTAAATGATCAACTTGTATTAAATGATCAACTTGTATTAAATGATCAACTTGTATTAAACGATCAACTTGTATTAAATGATCAACTTGTATTAAATGATCAACTTGTATTAAACGATCAACTTGTATTAAACGATCAACTTGTATTAAATGATCAACTTGTATTAAATGATCAACTTGTACTAAATAATCAACTTGTATTAAACGATCAACTTGTACTAAATGATAAACATGTATTAAACGATCAACTTGTATTAAACGATCAACTTGTATTAAATGATCAACTTGTATTAAACGATCAACTTGTATTAAATGATCAACTTGTATTAAATGATCAACTTGTATTAAATGATCAACTTGTAATAAATGATCAACTTGTATTAAATGATCAACTTGTATTAAATGATCAACTTGTATTAAACGATCAACTTGTATTAAACGATCAACTTGTACTAAATAATCAACTTGTATTAAATGATCAACTTGTATTAAACGATCAACTTGTATTAAACGATCAACTTGTATTAAACGATCAACTTGTATTAAACGATCAACTTGTATTAAATGATCAACTTGTATTAAAAGATCAACTTGTATTAAATGATCAACTTGTATTAAATGATCAACTTGTATTAAATGATCAACTTGTATTAAACGATCAACTTGTATTAAACGATCAACTTGTATTAAATGATCAACTTGTATTAAACGATCAACTTGTATTAAATGATCAACTTGTATTAAATGATCAACTTGTATTAAATGATCAACTTGTATTAAACGATCAACTTGTATTAAACGATCAACTTGTATTAAATGATCAACTTGTATTAAATGATCAACTTGTATTAAATGATCAACTTGTATTAAACGATCAACTTGTATTAAACGATCAACTTGTATTAAATGATCAACTTGTATTAAACGATCAACTTGTATTAAATGATCAACTTGTATTAAATGATCAACTTGTATTAAATGATCAACTTGTACTAAATGATCAACTTGTATTAAACGATCAACTTGTATTAAATGATCAACTTGTATTAAACGATCAACTTGTATTAAACGATCAACTTGTATTAAATGATCAACTTGTATTAAACGATCAACTTGTATTAAATGATCAACTTGTATTAAATGATCAACTTGTATTAAATGATCAAATTGTACTAAATAATCAACTTGTATTAAACGATCAACTTGTACTAAATGATAAACATGTATTAAACGATCAACTTGTATTAAACGATCAACTTGTATTAAATGATCAACTTGTATTAAACGATCAACTTGTACTAAATGATCAACTTGTATTAAATGATCAACTTGTATTAAATGATCAACTTGTAATAAATGATCAACTTGTACTAAATGATCAACTTGTATTAAATGATCAACTTGTATTAAACGATCAACTTGTATTAAACGATCAACTTGTACTAAATAATCAACTTGTATTAAATGATCAACTTGTATTAAACGATCAACTTGTATTGAACGATCAACTTGTATTAAATGATCAGCTTGTATTAAACGATCAACTTGTATTAAATGATCAACTTGTATTAAAAGATCAACTTGTATTAAATGATCAACTTGTATTAAATGATCAACTTGTATTAAATGATCAACTTGTATTAAACGATCAACTTGTATTAAACGATCAACTTGTATTAAATGATCAACTTGTATTAAACGATCAACTTGTATTAAATGATCAACTTGTATTAAATGATCAACTTGTATTAAATGATCAACTTGTATTAAACGATCAACTTGTATTAAACAATCAACTTGTATTAAATGATCAACTTGTATTAAATGATCAACTTGTATTAAATGATCAACTTGTATTAAACGATCAACTTGTATTAAACGATCAACTTGTATTAAATGATCAACTTGTATTAAACGATCAACTTGTATTAAATGATCAACTTGTATTAAATGATCAACTTGTATTAAATGATCAACTTGTACTAAATGATCAACTTGTATTAAACGATCAACTTGTACTAAATGATAAACATGTATTAAACGATCAACTTGTATTAAACGATCAACTTGTATTAAATGATCAACTTGTATTAAACGATCAACTTGTACTAAATGATCAACTTGTATTAAATGATCAACTTGTATTAAATGATCAACTTGTAATAAATGATCAACTTGTACTAAATGATCAACTTGTATTAAATGATCAACTTGTATTAAACGATCAACTTGTATTAAATGATCAACTTGTATTAAATGATCAACTTGTATTAAATGATCAACTTGTACTAAATGATCAACTTGTATTAAACGATCAACTTGTACTAAATGATAAACATGTATTAAACGATCAACTTGTATTAAACGATCAACTTGTATTAAATGATCAACTTGTATTAAACGATCAACTTGTACTAAATGATCAACTTGTATTAAATGATCAACTTGTATTAAATGATCAACTTGTAATAAATGATCAACTTGTACTAAATGATCAACTTGTATTAAATGATCAACTTGTATTAAACGATCAACTTGTATTGAACGATCAACTTGTATTAAATGATCAGCTTGTATTAAACGATCAACTTGTATTAAATGATCAACTTGTATTAAACGATCAACTTGTATTAAATGATCAACTTGTATTAAAAGATCAACTTGTATTAAATGATCAACTTGTATTAAATGATCAACTTGTATTAAATGATCAACTTGTATTAAACGATCAACTTGTATTAAACGATCAACTTGTATTAAATGATCAACTTGTATTAAACGATCAACTTGTATTAAACGATCAACTTGTATTAAATGATCAACTTGTATTAAACGATCAACTTGTATTAAATGATCAACTTGTAATAAATGATCAACTTGTACTAAATGATCAACTTGTATTAAATGATCAACTTGTATTAAATGATCAACTTGTATTAAATGATCAACTTGTACTAAATGATCAACTTGTATTAAACGATCAACTTGTACTAAATGATAAACATGTATTAAACGATCAACTTGTATTAAATGATCAACTTGTATTAAACGATCAACTTGTACTAAATGATCAACTTGTATTAAATGATCAACTTGTATTAAATGATCAACTTGTAATAAATGATCAACTTGTACTAAATGATCAACTTGTATTAAATGATCAACTTGTATTAAACGATCAACTTGTATTAAACGATCAACTTGTATTAAACGATCAACTTGTATTAAATGATCAACTTGTATTAAACGATCAACTTGTATTAAACGATCAACTTGTATTAAATGATCAACTTGTATTAAATGATCAACTTGTATTAAACGATCAACTTGTATTAAATGATCAACTTGTATTAAATGATCAACTTGTATTAAACGATCAACTTGTATTAAACGATCAACTTGTACTAAATGATCAACTTGTATTAAATGATCAACTTGTATTAAATGATCAACTTGTATTAATGATCAACTTGTATTAAATGATCAACTTGTATTAAATGATCAACTTGTATTAAATGATCAACTTGTATTAAATGATCAACTTGTATTAAATGATCAACTTGTACTAAATGATCAACTTGTATTAAATGATCAACTTGTATTAAACGATCAACTTGTATTAAATGATCAACTTGTATTAAATGATCAACTTGTACTAAATGATCAACTTGTATTAAATGATCAACTTGTATTAAATGATCAAGTTGTATTAAATGATCAACTTGTATTAAACGATCAACTTGTACTAAATGATCAACTTGTATTAAATGATCAACTTGTATTAAATGATCAACTTGTAATAAATGATCAACTTGTATTAAATGATCAACTTGTACTAAATGATCAACTTGTATTGAATGATCAACTTGTATTAAACGATCAACTTGTATTAAATGATCAACTTGTATTAAATGATCATCTTGTATTAAACGATCAACTTGTATTAAATGATCAACTTGTATTAAACGATCAACTTGTATTAAACGATCAACTTGTATTAAATGATCAACTTGTATTAAACGATCAACTTGTATTAAATGATCAACTTGTATTAAACGATCAACTTGTATTAAAAGATCAACTTGTATTAAATGATCAACTTGTATTAAATGATCCACTTGTACTAAATGATCAACTTGTATTAAACGATCAACATGTATTAAACGATCAACTTGTATTAAACGATCAACTTGTATTAAACGATCAACTTGTATTAAACGATCAACTTGTATTAAATGATCAACTTGTATTAAACAATCAACTTGTACTAAATGATCAACTTGTATTAAACGATCAACTTGTATTAAACGATCAACTTGTACTAAATGATCAACTTGTATTAAATGATCAACTTCTATTAAACGATCAACTTGTATTAAACGATCAACTTGTATTAAACGATCAACTTGTATTAAACAATCAACTTGTATTAAACGATCAACTTGTATTAAACGATCAACTTGTATTAAACAATCAACTTGTATTAAACAATCAACTTGTATTAAACGATCAACTTGTATTAAATGATCAACTTGTATTAAACGATCCACTTGTAATAAATGATCAAAATATATTAAAAAGCACACCCTTAATGTTATAGCTTTAGAACAGAATGAAGTTTACAAAACCTCTACCAAAGATGTTTTCATTTCGTTGTCCGTGCAAATAATTGATTTAATTTCAAAATATTTCAGCTATCTCTCTCTAAACTTTAGCATTCATAAGAAATCTCCCATGAAATTCGAGTTTTGGCAGAAGAAACTTAAAGGACGAGTGGAAGAATGGTATTTAGCTAAAGAAAACATGGAATTTGAAACGGTAAGAATTGTTTTATTGGCTTAAAAGTCACGAGGTTGTAAACGTTGGAAGGGAGTAGCGTTAAAGAAATATCTATGGGCAAATGGGCTGTCTCAACAAGTTCGTCCGGAACAAGTGTAAACTTGAAGTCAAACAACATGCAATTTGCTCGCAGATGTATTTAAGAAATAAAAGGTATTTACTGTGTTTGCATAAGGCAGTGCTTTCAAGCAGGTGCAACCCTGGATCTTCGGTCTCGGGCTTGCACTGATCAGCTCTCGAGTTCTCCCAAAGGTCTCCTCGGCTTGCATAAGCCTGTACAAACACAGTAAACATCTTTTATTTCTTAATTATAAAATAACAATAATGCGAAACAGATAAATTAAAAGAAATGTTTTAATTTTCCTCTAAAATATGTTCATGATTGATTTGCAAATTCTCTTTGATCGATAGATTGATCGATAGATTGATTGAGCTCTGATCCGTTTTACACAGGCTAGTGCAAACACAGCTATAGACCAATCAGCGCACGCGTTTTATTGTGTTTGTTTTATCATTCAGAATAATGCAATTAACTTGAATACATCGGTGAACGATTTTTTGACTGCTATCTTTTGGCATTTTATTTGTAGCTTTTCTCAGCATTCATTATTACAATGAGCATTTTTATCTCATATCGTCTTTTAGGCTGCAAGACAGATTGGCATTGATCAGACATTTTTTCAAATAATAGGTAAGGAAAACATCTTCATTTTTTTTCGTAGGGTTGTGCGTCTTGATTTGATTTTCTGTTTTTTAAATCGTCCAAAGATGTTATTGGTCCAGCATCTTATATTGTCTGACAAGACATTATCTTCCAGCTATAATCTTACAAAACCTCACCATATTCCTAACAAAGCCTGGCTCATTCGCTCCTCCGTATATTTTTCAAAAGAACAGGGCTCATCCCTCTCTCCATATGTATATTATATGACTGGACAATGACAATGTTCTCCCTCTTTTGGCATCATCTGACAACGCAGGGTCCACCCTCTGCCTATTTATATACTCCTCAGTAAATTATTCGTTGTATGATACATGAATTTGAATAATTAGCTATTAGAGAGACGATATTTTGTCGCAGCGAATAGTGATAGATTTTGTGTTGACCGTTAAAACATTCGAACGTTTCTAATTTCAAAATAACAAAACTGTAAAAGAAGTGCACAATCTTTCCGCCAGAAATTTCACATGCTTTATAGCATGACTCTCTGCTCTTGGTCAGTGGTCGATATCTTGTGAACTTCATGTAAATATGTGTAATATGTTATGTTTGTTTCTTCAGGCGAAACCAATCCATTTAAAGAGAAATCATTCACGGACCTGACCCTACGTCAACGTGTTTTGATTTTGAAAGTTTTATGTGACGAATGTTTGGTAAGTAATCCACGTGACTTAGCACATATGAAAATGAATCGTTCAATATTCTACAAAATTAACCAAGACATGTGCATGTTGATTTTTAAATACGGTAGACAAAAAGCAGCCAATTTTGCTGTGAGATTTTATTTTGGTGGTGGCAGGCTAAATTCAACAGGGAGGGGAGTGTTTGGGTCCAATGAATATGCATTGATGACAATATTTGCAGGATTAAAGACCCCCGTTTCTCTACAATCGACGCTGGTTTGGCCCCACCATCCAATGAAGTCAGTCTCGCCCCTTAGAAAGTTAAACGGGGTGTGTGTGTGAGGGGGTATTCATATATTAAGTTGTGCCCTACACTGATTTCTTTTGAAAAGAAATCGACTTATCCCATAGGAGTTAAATAACATTGAATATTTGGTTGTATACTAGTGTAGCAGTGCAAACCTTGGTCAAAAAATATGTTCGCGAGGGAAATGCATAAAATTCAAATTTATCCCATAAAGAGGGAAGAGGGAGCAATTGGGTATGGATGAATACAATAATAAAAAATTAGCCCTCCTATTGTTTATACTATACGACTTAAGACCACGCACGGCTTACTGCAATTTTTTTTAGCTTCCTGCAAAAAATCTAATTCACAGGTATGATATATGAATATTTAACACCGCCCCACCCCATTTAACTTCCTAGGGACTGCTTTCGATGAACGAGAAATGTTGCGAAAGTTCAGAAAAGCGCGATGTATATACTAGTGTAAAATGGCAATTCCCATTTCAGGAGTACAGTCCTCAATTGCGCGATGCTCTGGGCAATGCAGACACCACTCCTTACTGTGAAACGTACCTCGGCTACGATGGGGAAAACTGTTCTTATCTCTATTTTCCTATCTTTGACGCAACTGACATCAGGGTATACAGACAAGCACCATTGCCTTCTCTCAACGAATGGTATAAACAATGGAGGACAAATGTAAGTCATTGCTCGCGTTACTACGATCTACTTGTGTGTATAGCGATAGGATTTTCTTCGTGCTCCGTAAACATTAAATTATAAGCCCTGGGGTTGTACGGTGTGTTCTTCGTAAAAAAGCGGAACCCGCACAAATAATTATGTATGCATTAAATGTGTTGAATGCTAGTGACATTATTTTGCATAATCATTTCGGTGAATTCATAATTATTTTATGCGGGTTCCATTTTTTTGGGGACACTCTGGACCAGTGAACTCAATATTTAAATAACTGGAATGATAACTGAAGCCAAAAATTTAAGCCAAGAAAATATTTGTCGTCATCGTTCGTCATCACTCGTGTTTCTCGCGTGTTTATAAACAATTTGTATTTTTTCGGATCCTAGATCTTTAGTTTGACCACAGTTGATTTCATTTTACTAGTCAGTTTTATCTTCACAAAGAAAGTCTTTTAAATGATATTTATTTCAATTCTACATTATCCTCAGTGCAAAAGTATTATTACGTTTTTCAAATATACTCAAAGTATTTGTTGGTATGAATTTTATTCGACAAAATTTACATATAGAATGAAAACATCTTTAGTAAAGCTACTATATATTTTTGTCATACACAGTCCATCTGCTCTTAAGCTGCAGTTTTCCTTTAAAACATATCAAAGTCTTTAAGGATACTCATTTATTGATATCGAGATGACAACCATTTAGTATATCAAGCACTATCAAAATCGATGAAAATGACAATCGCTCTGTAAAAAGTAAAAATGCGAGTTATAGACTCAATATTTTTTATGAAACTGGATATTCAAGTTTCTTTTTTCTTCGGAAAAATAGATCTTTAAATCCACTGAAATGACAAAAAAAAAAGACAAACACTGTCGGATACCGTTTGAAAATTTACCTTCCGATGTAAGAAAAATTTTTGCTTGAATATTTTCTCGTCTTATTTTCTTATTGTATTGTCTTTTTAGCATACAGTGTAATTTTCAGTTGGCTTTTCTCGTTAAAAGTTGTAAGTTACAACGAACTCACTGTAGTATAGTTCCAGCTGTAAAAAATAACCTTTTGCGAAGAGTTGGCCTCGTGTGTTTGCCTCGTTTGTCGTGATGTTGTTTATATGTTTATGCTTTTGCAATTTGTATTCAAATTTATATTGGCCGTGTACGTTTGGCAATCAGGGGAATGAAACTGATGTACAAACCGCGTGAATATTCGACTTTGAAGGACTGGAACTGACGTACAAACCGCGCAAGAGACTAGGACTTAGGCTTCAATTTTATATCTATAAAATGTATTGTCGTTATCATTCCAGATATATATATATATATATATATATATATATATATATATAAAAGATAATAGAGAATGATTTATTGAGCTTTCGACTAGTTGCTTCGAGCCTTCATCAGAATGAGTCGTTTGCAACGAGTCGAAAGCTCAATAAAAATCATTCAAAATCCGGAGAAACTTTTATCTTTTATGTATTCGATGCCTGGATTACAAATTTTCAAACTTATATATATATATATACAAAGTGTATATACAATGTGCCCTCCCGGCTATCACCACATTAAAATGGTGACTCCTGCACTTGGGACACGGGACGTACTGTTACACATTGTATGGATTGTATTATAGAGTCACCACAGTGCTCAAACCTATAAAGGTGAGCTTTGCATATCGCGAACACGGTGAACGTCTCCATATGAGATTCTCTACACAATCAAATATATATATATATGGAGTTCACTGCTCTGGACTTATGCATAAAGGAGGGGTGGACTTACAGACAAAGGTTTACGTTATATTGATCAATGCTTTTGCGTCGTTGTATATTATTAGTCGGTGCATGTTCTTTTAATTTGAAATCTTTCTCTTGTTTTTCACCCGCTGTATTTAATCAACTTTAACTTGTACGTTTTCCGTGAAAAACTGATCAAATAATTATGTTGCTGTATTGCTACCAATCGAATTTCGTTTTAACTTACTGTGATAAAAAAATCTGTCAAAGGTATCTGTACTGTTCGGCCATTTTTACAGCTGAACTGAGTTACATTACCTTTCAGTTGGTTAAATCGAATCACACAATAACAAGCAATAAAGCAAAGTCAAGACGAAGATCGTCCAACATTTCTAAAAAAGACAAATCGTCTTCATTGTCGTCCATTGAAGCTGGCTTTGAACTCGTCGCTCATGACATTGAGTCACTTCGTTTTTTATGTGAGACGTTTGCCGAGAAGCCGCCTCAAAAAAAGCCTGGAAGTCGTAAGGATACGCGCAAGCATTGTGAAAAAGTTCTCTATCAAGTTTTGAGTGAACTGCTGAATGATCTATCTCGTAACGAGACTAGATATTCCAGATCTCGAATTAAGGGAATGTTGAATTTGATGAAAGATTGTGAAACTGTGGACGTTAATAACGAATCATGTAAGTTGTAGGTTTCTGTTTATGTAAGTTGTAGGTTTCTGTTTATGTAAGTTGTAGGTTTCTGTTTATGTAAGTTGTAGGTTTCTGTTTATGTAAGTTGTAGGTTCATAAATTTTTCTTTTCAGGTGATTTTGAAGCGGAAGAAAAAGAACCCGAGTATGAAGATGATACAGCCGGTAACACAAACGCTCTTGATAAATGCTCGATTAGCATTCGCGACTTTAATGAAACTGTCGCAGATTCTGCTTCTTCGTTATTTAACATCGTTACTCGAAGCAGAAAGAGGAAATTTCGAGATTTCGATGAGTCAAAATCAAACAGCTCATCTGTGGTTTCCGAAGTTTCTAAGAACTTTGATCCTGCTGAGTGTCATTCAGATCGCGAATTTCGGATTGCTCCTGCCAAACTACAAAGTTACTGTGATCACGCTGTGAACGGCACACGTGATATTTGTGACGTAGTTGTACGAGGTGTTATGGATGAGGTAATTCGGGGCGTCGTTGATGTTGTCATGAATAACAAGTTGGACGACATTGTATCGAAAAGAGGATATTTGAATCAATCAGGAATTAAGCACATGGCTAATGTAAATACAAGTAGGCTTGACGATTTAAGCGGGACACATAGGAGTGATGAGGGTGAAAATGACGATTTAAGCGGGACACATAGGAATGGTGAGGGTGAAAATGATGAAAATGTAAGAGTAAACGGATTTGATGAAATAAGACAACATTGTACTACAGAATGTGCGGATGTGATCGACTTAAAAAATTCTCACCGTATGGGAAGGGATACTGCAGAATCATCGAGAATATTTGATGCTGTGCCATCAATTAATAAAGACATTGCTGGAAGAGAAGAGAGTGAATCTGCTGAATTTCAAGAACATTTCAAGGAAAACGATTGCAGCTCAAGAAAATCAAATGGCATTAATCAATTATCCGTCACATTTGGGGGAAATTTGGATTTTGTTAATGTAAATTACTCGGACACTAAGAAACTATCTTGTGAGAATGTAAATCCACAGGGGTTAAATAATATGGAGACTCTGGAAGAATCATGTGACAATGTAGATGCACAAGAGTTGAATAACTTGGAGACTCAGGAAGAATCATGTAATAATGTAAATCCACAGGATTTAAATAATGTGGAGACGCAGGAAGAATCTTATGAGAATGTAAATCCACAGGAGCTAAATAATATGGAGACGCATAAAGAATCATGTGAGAATGTAAATCCACTGGAGTTGATCAAATATAATGGAGACGAATGCAGTACAAATCAAGTCGTTTACAACGGCACCCATTTAAACCCCGACAAAAGTCATACCAAACTCCATTGGGTAAAAGATGCTGAACATGCGCCTATGAGAAATGGACATTCGGATGTGACAAAAAGTTGTCCCACGCGAGAAAATTCCCTCGCTGATTAATTATTCCTCAAGAGAAGTTAAAATTTGTTGAAATTTCAGTGTATTTATTTATCATTGGTTTAAAAATATTTCAAACGCTAATTATTAAAATTGTGTACACATTTGACGCTTGTCGTCCATATTTGTTCATTATAATTTTATCATTAAATAAAATATCTAGATTCTTCTAAAAAAAACCTGCATGGTTGACGCGTCGAAAGCATTTACAACTTCCATTTTCCACGGGAGGATTACTTTTGAAGCAGTACTTCGAACATTAGTATGGTTTGGAAGTTACTTGTAGTTAATTTTACATTATTTAAAGATATTCATTGTGGAAAATTCTCAAAATGATTCCTGAATGATAGAGTCATTTTTCTGTGGGGTCATTTTGCTCTTTCACCAGCTAGCGTTTATTTTTTTAAATGTTGGCAACCAGTTACCACGAGGCGTCGTAGATCGTTTTGAGTTCGAAAGCTTGCATAAATTTCTGGCCATATGTTGCGCTGCGTCGTCCTCGTTTTCATTATTCAACGATATTGTCTCACTTTTCATTCCTTTAACATTTGCTCCAATTTTGAATTCCTGAGAGTACACTTTGGCGCCGACTCCAAAAATCACAAAATGTGACCCGGCTTTTCGAAGTTCTTCAAAAGGTTTTTTGTACGAATCCATAGAACTTACATCGGTGACCAAAACAAAAGCCTTCGGCGCCATGATCCTTGTGCCTGCAATTTGTAACTCATTAGTTCGAATGTCATGTTATACATACATACTACCTATAGTTGCTGTTCTTATAGTTACCTTTAAAAAGCATATTTTGTCTTGCATATTCGAGTTCTTCAAATTGAATGCCAGAGGATGCTGGAAAGTGTATGTTGTCCAATTCGTAGATGATAGAATCCTCCGTATAGTGTTTATTCATAGGGAAAATGACAACATCAGCGTCACCTGAAATGAATTTCAGCTACGTCGATTCAAACTCAAATAATATTTCATGCAAAAACGAATTCACGGGGAAACGGGGGGCATGACGCTTTTTGAAATGTCTTCACCTATGAAAAAGGTAGACAGAAAGGTAGACGAAAAGGCAAACGAAAAGGTAGACATAACGGTAGACAAAGCGGTGGACACAAAGGTAGAAACAAAGGTAAACGCAGAAAGATAAACATAAAGATAGACCGAAAGACGGACATAAAGATTTACATAAAGATTTACACAAAGGTAGGCAAATAGATGGACACAAAGGTAGACGAAAAGATAGACATAAACTTAGACATAAACGTAGACATAAACGTAAACACAAAGGTAGACACAAAGGTAGACATAAAGATAGACATAAAGGTAGACATAAAGGTAGACATAAAGATATACATAAAGGTAGACACCAAGGTAGACAAAAGATAGATATAAAGGTAGACATAAAGGTAGACATAAATGTAGACACAAAGGTAAACACAAAGGTGACATAAAGGTAGACATATCGGAAGACATAATGGTAGACACAAAGGTAGTCACAAAGACAGACATAAAGGTAGACATAAAGGTAAACAAAGGTAGACACAAAGGTAAACATAAAGGTAGACATAAAGGTAGACACAAAGGTAGACACAAAGGTAGACATAAAGGTAAACATATAGGAAGACATAATGAGAAAGAACAAAGTAGTCACAAAGACACATAAAGGTAGACAGGTAGACAAAGGTAAACATGAAGGTAGACATAAAGGTAAAGGTAGACACAAAGGTAGACATAAAGGTAAACATAGGAAGACATAATTAGACACAAAGGAATGGAAGACAGAAGGAAACAAACATAAAGGACATAAAGACACAAAGTAGACACAAAGGTAAACATAAAGGAAACATTAAACATAATAAAGAAACAAGTCACAAAGACACACACAAAGGTAGACATAAAGATAGACATAAAGGTAGAAATAAAGATAGACATAAAGGTAGACACCAAGGTAGACAAAAAGATAGATATAAAGGTAGACATAAAGGTAGACATAAAGATAGACATAAAGGTAGACATAAAGATAGACATAAAGGTAGACATAAAGGTAGACATAAAGATAGACATAAAGGTAGACAAAAAGATAGATATAAAGGTAGACATAAAGGTAGACATAAAGGTAGACATAAAGGTAGACATAATTGTAGACACAAAGGTAGACACAAAGGTGACATAAAGGTAGACATATAGGAAGACATAATGGTAGACACAAAGGTAGTCACAAAGACAGACATAAAGGTAGACATAAAGGTAAACAAAGGTAGACACAAAGGTAAACATAAAGGTAGACATAAAGCAGACAAAGGTAGCACACAGGTGCATAAAGGTAAACATATAGGAAGACATAATGGTAGACACAAAGATAGTCACAAAGACAGACATAAAGGTAGACATAAAGGTAGACAAAGGTAGACACAAAGGTAAATATAAAGGTAAACATATAGGAAGACATAATGGTAGACACAAAGGTGGTCACAAAGACAGACACAAAGGTAGACATAAAGATAGACATAAAGGTAGACATAAAGGTAGACATAAAGATAGACATAAAGGTAGACACCAAGGTAGACAAAAAGATAGATATAAAGGTAGATACAATATGTAGACACAAAGGTAGACACAAAGGTGACATAAAGGTAGACATATAGGTAGACATAATGGTAGACACAAAGGTAGTCACAAAGACAGACATAAAGGTAGACATAAAGGTAAACAAAGGTAGACACAAAGGTAAACATAAAGGTAGACATAAAGGTAGACATATAGGAAGACATAATGGTAGACACAAAGGTAGTCACAAAGACAGACATAAAGGTAGACATAAAGGTAGACCTAAAGGTAGACACAAAGGTAGACACAAAGGTAGACACAAAGGTAGACATAAAGGTAAACATATAGGAAGACATAATGGTAGACACAAAGGTAGTCACAAAGACAGACACAAAGGTAGACATAAAGATAGACATAAAGGTAGACATAAAGGTAGACATAAAGATAGACATAAAGGTAGACAACAAGGTAGACAAAAAGATAGATATAAAGGTAGACATAAAGGTAGACATAAAGGTAGACATAAAGGTAGACACAAATGTGAACAGACAAAGGTGACATAAAGGTAGACATATAGGAAGACATAATGGTAGACACAAAGGTAGTCACAAAGACAGACATAGTAGACATTAGACAACAAAGACACAAAGGTAAACATAAAGGCAGACATAAAGGCAGACACAAGCAGACATCAAAGGTAGACATAAAGGAAGACATAAAGGTAGACATAAAGGTAGACACAGCTGCAGACACAGGTAGACATAAAGGTAAACATATAGGAAGACATAATGGTAGACACAAAGGTAGTCACAAAGACAGACATAAAGGTAGACATAAAGGTAGACAAAGGTAGACACAAAGGTAAACATAAAGTAGACAAAGGAACACAAAGGTGACATGGAAGACACAAAGCAGACACAAAGGTAGACAAAAGAAGACATAAAGCAGATGACAAGTAAACATAAAAGACATAAAGATAGACATAAAGGTAGACATAAAGGCAGACATAAAGGTAGACATAAGGTAGACATAAAGGAAGACATAGAGGTAGACATCACAGACATAAAGGTAGACATAAAGATAGACATAAAGGTAGACATAAAGGTAGACATAAAGGTAGACACAAAGGTAGACATAAAGGAAGACATAAAGGTAGACATATAGGAAGACATAATGGTAGACACAAAGGTAGTCACAAAGACAGACATAAAGGTAGACATAAAGGTAGACATTTAGGTAGACATGAAGATAGACATAAAGGTAGACATGAAGGTAGACATAAAGGTAGACATAAACGTAGACATAAACGTAGACATAAAGGTAGACATAAAGGTAGACACAAAGGTAGACACAAAGGTAGACATAAAGGAAGACATAAAGGTAGACATAATGGTAGACACAAAGGTAGTCACAAAGACAGACATAAAGGTAGACATAAAGGTAGACACAAAAGTAGACATAAAGGAAGACATAAAGGTAGACATAAAGGTAGAAATAAAGGTAGACATAAAGATAGACATAAAGGTAGACAAAAAGGTAAACATAAAGGTAGACATAAAGGTAGACATAAAGGTAGACATAAAGGTAGACATAAAGGTAGACACAAAGGTAGACACAAAGGTAGACATAAAGGAAGACATAAAGGTAGACATATAGGAAGACATAATGGTAGACACAAAGGTAGTCACAAAGACAGACATAAAGAAAGACATAAAGGTAGACATAAAGGTAGACATTTAGGTAGACATGAAGGTAGACATAAAGGTAGACATAAACGTAGACATAAACGTAGACATAAGTAGACATAGGTAGACATAAAGGTAGACACAAAGGTAGACATAAAGGAAGACATAAAGGTAGACATGTAGGAAGACATAATGAGTAGACACAAAGGAACACAAAGACAGACATAAAGGCAGACATAAAGGCAGACACAGGCAGACACAAAGGCAGACACCAAAGCAGACATAAAGGAAGACATAAAAGACATAAAGATAGACATAAAGGCAGACAGGTAGACATAAAGGTAGACACAAAGATAGACACAAAGGCAGACACAGGTAGACATAAAGGAAGATATAAAGGTAGACATAAAGATAGACATAAAGGTAGACATAAAGGTAGACATGAAGGTGGACATAAAGGTAGACAAAGGTAGACACAAAGGTAAGCATAAAGGTAGACATAAAGGTAGACATAAAGATAGACACAAAGGTAGACATAAAGGTAGACATAAAGATAGACATAAAGGTAGACATATAGGTAGACATGAAGCTAGACATAAAGGTAGACAAAAAGGTAAACATAAAGGTAGACATAAAGGTAGACACAAAGGTAGACACAAAGGTAGACATAAAGGAAGACATAAAGGTAGACATAAAGGTAGACACAAAGGTAGACACAAAGGTAGACATAAAGGTAAACATATAGGAAGACATAATGGTAGACACAAAGGTAGTCACAAAGACAGACATAAAGGTACACATAAAGGTAGACAAAGGTAGACACAAAGGTAAGCATAAAGGTAGACATAAAGGTAGACATAAAGATAGACACAAAGGTAGACATAAAGGTAGACATAAAGATAGACATAAAGGTAGACATATAGGTAGACATGAAGCTAGACATAAAGGTAGACAAAAAGGTAAACATAAAGGTAGACATAAACGTAGACACAAAGGTAGACATAAAGGTAGACATAAAGGTAGACACAAAGGTAGACACAAAGGTAGACATAAAGGAAGACATAAAGGTAGACAGAAACGTAGACATAAAGGTAGACATAAAGGTAGACATAAAGATAGACATAAAGGTAGACATAAAGGTAGAAATAAAGGTAGACACAAAGGTAAACATAAAGGTAGACATAAAAGTAGACACAAGGGTAGACACAAAGGTAGACATAAAGGAAGACATTAACGATAAAATTGCCTTTTCCGGACGTGTGGAGGATCTGATATTTTCAATATTGTCTTACAATTTTGGCCACCTCAATATTGAAAACGTTTTGAAGTCGAACACAGGTTACTACCTAACAATCCTACTCCAATATGAACGTCGTTTCGCGACAGCGGTAAATAATGGGTGGCTTTTTTGACAAAGTTCACTTCACGTTGGAAATTTCCCACTCCATTCCTCTCGACTTGTATCGAGCCATCCAATAGGAACACAACGTCCAGGATGCACTGATTGGAGCCTGCACTCTTTTGGAATGCGTTCATTTCCTCCAGAATGTTGGCGTACAAACTGCTTTTCGTGATCTGTAACACTAATAATGAAAGGTGATATTTTTAGTCTTAGTTGATAAAAAATCAATACCTTTTGAATGTTTTTATGTGTAATTTTGCGAAAAGCAAACTCTATCAACTTATGCGTGAAAGACTTTTGTTTCCTCTTGGAGTATTGTAATTCTCATCTAGACTCTTCAGCTGTGATTTTATTTTGATACTGATTATCTCTAGTCCTATACGATACATTCAAGTCCATTGTTAATCCAAACTATCTACTGTTGAAACGTTATTCCCTTTAAACTTCAGTCTTCATATAACAAGAGATCTCGTGTCAAAGTTCTGATTTTTCCCTAAACTAATATCTTGACTTTGTCAGGACGTAGAAATCGCGAAAACTGTAGAATATTACATTATCTTGCAGAATTACAGAGTGAAACATGATTTTTAAGCTTCGCGTTGATTGGACAAGAGGTGAGCGACATTTTGTTGTATGTATGCTGAGGAGAGAACATTGGGAGGGAATAACTGGTAGCATTCAGGTTTGCGAAAAATTTACGTAGTATTACTATGTGGTAATCGTCACTTCCGGCAAAATGGTGCGTTTTGATTGGCCCAGAAACATTTTTGCCGGTGATTTATTTTACCGTTATGGACCGTTGTCCAGTACACGTAATTTTACAGTTGAATGTAAACAAATTTCTTAAAGCGAAGAATTAAAGTTAAAGCAGTAAACGCAAAAGAAAAACGAAACAGAAAACCATGTACGAATGTGAGTCGAAGGAAAAACACTCGGAAAGTGAGTTCTATTACGTAGAAGACAAAATTTCAAGCGATTTATTTCTTATTGACGAAAACTAGAGAAGTGAATCTCAGTCCTTGCAAAACAGAGAGGACGAGAAAGAAAGCTTCGTTTCTGGTCAAATAATCGCTTTCTCGGTCTTTACTGAAAAATGTCGGACCTCTGTCATTTTGTGCAAGCCTCATCCTACGGGCTCGGTCTGGACAAAATAGACTTCGGTTCGATATTTGTCCGCGAAGACTTTGCGCTCGGTTAGTATAAGCATAGTTATGTACCTTCCTGTGCGTTGAAATGGCAAATTTTGTTTCTCACTTCTGTCACCGACGATTTTAAGTCATTGTAATTCTTTAATATAATATGTTCATTAGCTGGCGTGCTGACTATATCTCGCAGTTGTTTCATCGCGTAACCATCCCCCAAGCCGATGACGAAGATCTCCGCGTCATTGTCTCTCAACCACTTTGACGGTTTCTTGACGTCATCATTGGAGGGACCATCGGTCATCAGAATCATCGTATTTTTCCGACCTCGTGGAACCGCCACAAACATCTTGTTCCAAGCGTCTTTCATCGCTTTCCCCGTGAGAGATCCTTCCCCTGCATTGGTTTGACATTTTAGTAGAGGTACATCGCATTCAAAATTTCATAAATAAACCTTGTTAGTTATTTTCTGGAATTGTGTTAAAAATGGAAACGTTTTAAAAAATTACGAAATCGTGAATAGCACAACGTTCTGCGTTTTCATTTTTTTATCTATTAGTAACACGACAATTTCTCCACCCACCCCACCCCCATCTCGAGAACACGTGGTTTTGTAAAGTCACCGATGACCTGACAACGTTTTTTTAGTGTTTTCATTGTCTGCTTGACTTTTGAGTAGGTTATAGTTAAAAATTACGACTTGAACGACACTTCAAACTAGGCTTACAAAACGACCTGCGGCATTATTGTTTTCTTTGAAGTGTGAGTGCCAACCATCATGCATTGCGCGCGTTTATGGGAGTCTAACCATTGAGTTCTATAATAACTGGAGCGGCTATCTCAAGCGCGGCCTTAGATATTTGATGCATTGAGTTCTATAAGACCTGGAGGGGAAAAGGGGCCTGGACCCCGTGGTCAAAAACATGGCGGTAATGGCGGATTTTGGTTGTCAAAACTTCCACTTTGAGAAAAATTTTTAACATTCGCTCCCTCCCGAATCCGGATCTCTATTACTGCTTAAATTAATGACAACCAGCGAAAACAACCACGATACCGTAAGCATAAAATATTGAAAATAATGCTTCAGGTTTTTGTGAAATAGACACGCACATTTAAATGAGGTAAATCTACTGGAAAATAACGTATATTTTGTCAAGTAATGTTTAGCTATATTAGAAATAAATATCAAACGGCAGTCTTTTACACTGTCAATGTGTCGTTAAGCTTTTAATGCATAATCCCATGCACATTACTTGTGTTTTTGACTGTTTGTTAACAGCTTGGTGCAACTGTCTTTCTTAAATAGATGGGTAAATCTTAGTTAGAATGTCCAAAAAGGAGTTAGAAAAAGTTAGCTTACCCCTACGACGTAAGTCGATTGGAAGTATATTATAAGTGGGTATGTAATTTTTTTGAGTTTTTTTTTGGTAGGATTGATTCTGGGTGTCTTACAAGGTATTATGATATTCTGATAAATCTACTGAGAACTTATGAGGAAAATATCTTGAACTAGGAGAGCAAAAGAACGAAATTCAGAAATTCTATAATCATGTTGCTGGTTCTGTTTTGAGCCAAGATATTAGAAACTGGATTGTCATTGACAACCATGGATCTACTACTGAACAGAACTAACTACATTAATTTCCCATGGAAAATACTATTTCTTAAATTAAAGTGCATTGGTTTCTCTGACATAACACTTTTCTTATTGCTGCATGAAAGCAAACCCTTTTTAAATAATTATAATGTAGGTAAAGATATTTAGCATGCTGTATAATTGTTATTGTACAGACATTTATAATATTATGGCCTTGTGTAATGTATGTCAAGGACTTATTAATTCTCAAAAATGCTAACCTTCTTGCACTACTTTTCTCTTGTGTCCTTACAAATTACAGTTACCTATACTAATTTTTTCTAGGTTCAAACAACTTGACAAACTTTTGAATTTTACATTATGCCTTTGAATTTTTCTTTTTGTCTTTTGGTAAAAATATCAGTGAATGACTTAAAAATCAAGTTTATCTAGAATAGTATTTTGTACAAAGTAACTATACATAATTGGAAAAGTCTCATGTTGCAGACAGATGTCACTTCTCATACTACATTGCTACTCTTATTCTTTTAAATGATATCGTAATTCTTCAAAAGACATAAAAAGTTCTTTGCCATCAATTTTTGCTTCTTCCACATTCAACTTCATGCTCTAGTCTCTCGCGTGTTCATTTTAATTTTTTTTAATCATTTGTCCCTTGATAATGGTAGAGTTCGGATCTTGATCAGAGCGTAAAAATAACGAAATTTTTGGAATGAAAAGGTTCACGGAAAGTGAATCAAAGTGATAAATCGAGAAGCAAGGTGAGGTGAACTTGGTCGATCTGCTCTTACGCTGCCGTTTTCCTTAAAAACATATCAAAGTCTTTACGGTAAATGGTTTGAACCCGGGAGTATCGTTACATGTTTGTAAATGTAGATCGTCCAGGTTGGTATAGTCCTGAGAAGGACTGTTTTTGTTGTTGTTGACTGACGTTTCGACAATCTTAGCGATGACTACTTAGAGTCATTTTTTTGACTCTGAAGATGACTACCGCTAAGATTGTCCATTATATATATATATGTGGAGTTCACTGATCTGATGACGCCAAAAAAAATGGCGGATTTCGTCCTTTGCCGCTGAGATTTACCGAAATTGACCGCTTTTCCGAAAACTTCACAATTTCCCACTCCCTCCTGAGGAAAGAGTGCGGAAAATGTATGTGTGTATTTGGGATTCGGCAAGCAATTTTTTGATGAAAATCAAGCTAAAAACCTTAAATTCATAACAGCGAGTAAACTGTGGTTGTCAGTTATCTGCTCCTACGAGGATGCATTTATAACTATCGACGAAAGACCTTATGGTCGGCTACACATGTATGAATGCAGATGTGCGTCGTTTTCTTACCAGCGTCAAACTTGTTTGATCGATTAAACTCTTTAGTCTATACGAAAAAGTATATCATAGTTCATTTACGGTTCACGAGAGAGAAGTTAGCTTATTTGTTATCATTGTTATTTTGCTTCTTTTCATGCAATGGGCAATGGCTTTTTTCGCCACAATTGTAGGATTTTTACTTGTTTCTCTAAAAAAGTACACATAAAATCTCTGGATATTTACGGATTTTCTGTAATTGAGTTTCATATGAAATTTCAAAAAGACTCAAGTCTGCATAGGTTTGGTAAATGAAAACAAACAAATTGTATAGAAATTACTTTAAGTAACCTTTTTGTGATGTTCTGAAGTGCAACTGCATCAAATACTTGTAAAGTTGTAGCACATTTTGATTTTGTTGTATTGATATATGAATTGGGCAAAATGCAAATAATCATCAAAACACTTATGCTTCCAATGGTGTTTATAATTCATTTGTAGTTTTAATACTTCTACCTTTCTTTTTCACTTTGTTTTGTTTTTCCTATATTTGCAATAAAAGTGCACTATAATTTGAATGATTAACACAGTTTTCATCTCAATAATAAATTTCATAAGCAGTTGGTAGTGCATTTTGTTCTCTGAGTATCTACATCTGGTGTTTTGTTCATACAAGAATGATGAAGTGCAAGTAGATATGTCATAGCAAGGCAATAAAACCAAATGAATTACATTCCTATAGTGTACTTTTATGCTAGAAGCTTAAAAGCTTTTTAGAAATTAGAAAGTTATTGGATTATATTACCTCTATATCATCAATCTCATGGTAAGAAATAAGAAGCAAAAAATTTGTAGAAAAGCTTTGAAAAGTGAAAAACTTTTCTTTAAAAAAGCAGCAATAATGCATATGATAAATCTCCATTCTGTACTCTAATAGGTAAATAAGCTCAAATTTTTCTTAAAGAACTATAAGAAATATATAAGAAATATACAGTACAGTAACTTTAAAGGTTTCATCACTGAATCTTTAATGCTTCAGTATAGTGCATTAGATGTTAGTAACATTCTAACAACACTCAACTAAAATATTTTGATAAAGATATGACATGATTTAAACATTAAGTTACATAAAACCCAATCGCTTATACAGTTTGAAGCTTCACATCTGCATCAAGTCATCATCAATCTCAGTACAAATGTTTACATAGACACAAACTTTATGGCCTTCCATTTTACATGTTTGTGAATTGACATTTCATTAAGCATCAAAACACACACAACCTTGCCATCTTTGGATCATGAACTTTAACTTCAAAGCATTCAAGGCATCCTTAGTGAATCCATTGTCTCCATCAATAGAATTTGACCATGATCAAATTAAATAACTCTGGATAGGGCAGACAATAAATCAATTATCTTTACAGCATTATCATTTTTTAAGACTCTGCCTGGTCAATAACATCTTCCAGTCATCTTTACTCCTTGATCTTCCCTGCATGTTATCAGCAAACAGAACATAACAAGCTCTGCTCCAAATCATGGGTACCATTGGGGCTGATCATTTCTTTTTGATACTTACTCACAGAGCAAAATGTGTGCAGGGTCTTTTTTGCTTTAGGGAAACTATTTTGCAAATAAATGGGTAAATTTACGATTTCATGCATTAACAAATGACAGAAAAGTATGCAGAATTTTATAAACAAAAACAGGAAAACATCAGTATTGTAGGATCGAGATGCATAGAGCTTAGGTTATGCTAATTATTATGCTAATTATTATGAAAAACAAAAGGGACCCGTATAAAAGCATGGTTTTTGGGGTCTTTTGAGATTGAGCACAATTCATGTATAGTGGTGTATTTTTTGTACATGGATGTTTATATCTAGTGGCCAAATTACGAGGTAACGATGATTACGGCTCTAGGCCTCCTTGTCGGTTATGTTAATATCTATACTCTGTCGTTTAGAACCGTACGTTTGACGCATTGCATTGAAATAAAGACTTATCTGTATACCGGTCGTCGTTTTAATAGTAGTTTATGTACGAGTATCTTGCTGGTCACATAAGCCTGGAATTGTTGAAGCTTATAAGTATATTTGGCGTTCAAGTCAGTCTTAAAAAATACGATCTTTAATATATATTTTATGGCTTTTCAAGTGCATGTATAATTGCTTTTCAATCGTTGACGGACTAACAAAACAAACAACTACCTCACCTGTGAGAAGCGATATGTTCCTTTTTGTGGAAACTACGACATCCAACAATTGAGCGATGGAAGTGTTGGCATTATAAAAGAAACGCCAAAAAAGAATCGTCACAGAATATGGAACTACGATATCCATATTCTGTGATATCGTGTTTGTTTTTGAAAAATTCTTTATAATTTACTATAGACACCAGGGCACAGAATATATACTACACAGAAGGACCACTCTTGTCGGAGCCTTTGATGTTTTTGGGGCCGCGCATGCTGCTTCGCGCATCTCGGCCGCCATCTTCCTAGCCAGTCAATTTCTGACAAACAATATAAGGAAACATTGTAAAGAGAAGTACAAATATTTGCCTGTATCTCTTCAATAAGGTCGTAGATTTGTTCCTAGCGAGAGTTTGACAAAATTTGAGGTATATTCTATGTCTTTCTTTTTTTACAACGTAATTAAACGTGTTGTAAAGCTCGAAATCTTACATTTCGTTCTGTGACTGTGACCGCTCCTCAGCTTTGTAAACTGCAGTCAATAGAATTTTTCTTATTTTGCCTCGTTAATGACATTAAGTTTGAAATCTCTTGGAATTTTTTACTTACAGTGGTTTGGCACTTTGATGCAGTTTAGAAGTTCAGATGACCTGCATCATAATGTATTGAAAAAGCGTTGAATCTTGACGGTCACTTTCATTTGATTCATCCGAGGTGTATGCGGGTTCATTTATTTTCCTTCTAAAGGTGAGTCACTTTTACGTACTTGGCGGCTGATAGATTACGATTCGCAAACTTGATGGCATAGTAAATCCTCATTCTTAGAAAGAGTTTGAGGAGATAATCAATTGAAAAATGCGAGCACTGTTCAAATGGGATTGGAGCTTTTTGTAGCTGCTGAAGACTCTTTTTCAAAATACCTACACTTTTTGTATAAGTGGAGAATTCTGTGACAAATATGTCTTCAATTTTGTTTATATATTCATAAAATGCTACTTTTGGTGCAAGGAGACTGCCAAAGCTCTTGTCTGACTCATATGCCTTGAAGTAGCAAAGCAGATTTCTGCTATCATCAAGTTGGTCTGTGACCATAACTGACTCACATATGGAACACTTGTGCTTTTCAAAATATTTCTGGAGTAAGTACCCAGCTACATAAGCAATTGGATTCTCTTTCATTAAATTGTCACCAACCTCCTTTTCCTTGTAATCCCTTGTCTCAACATCGTTTTTGTGTTTTTAGATGGAGAAATCAAAACAGGAATGCTTGAGTCAGCTTTGCAGAATTGTGCCAGTAAGTCATCAAAGTCATCTTCACAGTTGCCTTGTGATGAATTTAAGAATGAACTAAAAAACAGCTTCCTGAAAGCACAGGTGAACTGGATGGAGGTCGGATTGTCGCTGTTGCCACCCTGCTGACGAATTGCTCCAAAAAAGTTCTCTATTGGGTCAGTATTTAATCTTCTTGTTAGAAGGAACTTAAGCCCATAATTTTGGTGAAGGTTATCCCAAATCTGACAAATCGCATTTATGGTAATTAGCCATCCATTGATGCACTTTACTCTGCCTGTTACATCTTGGCTGCCATGAAAAATCTTGAGATTAGATAGGAAGTGAATAGCTTGCTCATAAAAGTTGAGGTGTGGAGAGGTATTGGTCACTGCACATTTTAAAGACTTTTGTGAATGTACTGTTGAAACGTTCACAGAATCAAACAGAGAATCAAACTTCAAAAGGCATTCTGCAGTGCCCATAGCTGATGAAGGCAGACATCAAACAATTACATATGTGCATATGGATGCTGCTACTGTGTGGCTTAAGACTTGGGTAGCATATTTCACCTTCATCTTTGCAAAGTTGTTTGGTGCAATGTGCTTATCAGTCAGTTTAAGTGCTGCTCTTATTGACAACTTTTTATCTTTGTTGTAGAAATCCACAATATCCTGCCACTTGGCTGTGAACTGGTTGAACTTGAAAGTGTATTTCATCAAATTATTTCTAACACATTTGATCAGATGTGGTGGATCAAACATCAAATAAATCTTTCTTTGATTGTGCATAAACCAAGGACTCTCTGGACTGATGTTCAGGTGCTTAGCCAAACTTTGAAAATTGCTCCCCAAATCAGACATTACTACAACAAGATTCAATAATTTCGAGAGCATACGATAGGCTTTTCCACTAGCATGATACAAGGACACAGCAATGGACTTCATCTGTGGTGAGTATCGTCTCCCTTTCTTTTTTCTTTCACAAAGCTTAATTTGCATTTGCACAAAATGAACAAGGTTTTTAGGCAGCTTTTCCAATGCTTTTTCCAAATTTTTATGTGTTGATGGATTTTTGTTTGCATGCGTAAAACGACTTATTTTCCTTGCCTGGGCTTTTATTAACTTTTGTTGTTTTTCTTTTCTAGGTGTATTATTGGATAGTATAGCACTTGTTTGGCAAGAAAAATCTGAAGTTTGTCTTTCTGTATTAGGCCCACTTTCATCAACTTCGTGCAATGGTGAATGTGTATCTGGTGGCTCTAAACATAAACTTAAGGGTAATAACTAATTCAAAGTGGTGACCAAAAGCTTGAGATGGAAAATAAAATGCAAAATGAATAACTTTAGCTATAATTACATCTCACCAATACTAATGGTCAAGAATTAGAACTGAAATAGTTTCCCATGTATTTTTGGACTCAACAATGAAATCATACCATAGAACTTCTCATACCATCTTTCCTTTTTTCCTGATCTTTATCCATTTTAGATTTTTTGGCTGTAAAATAATTTGTTAAAATTTGTCTAATTTCATCTTGAAACTAGGTTTGGTGTTTACCTTGTATATGTGATTGGTCCACTCTTTTAATTGTTCTCCGTTTTGTGCCTACAGTGGGGGGTGCATTTGGAATGCTAAATAGAGTGGGTTTTGCATCAGTCTTTAATCGATTTTTCAAATCATTTGCAAACATCGTATCTTCAAAATGATCAGTACATAATCGACAATTTTTGTAAAGGTAGTTTGCATCCTTGTTCATAAGATCCTCTCTTCTGCTGAGAATCACCCATTCCTTTGATCTGGAAAGACAAATGACTAGGGTATGAAAAGGTTGTTTTATTTGATTTCTAACAGCAAAATTTGATTTGTGATTGAAATTTCACCTTTTGGGATCTCTTGGAAATCTGAAAAAACTTAGATGTGGATGTGAATGCTTGCTGTTTGAACAGTTAACAACAGAACAAAATGTTCGTCCTCCTCCTTTTCCTTTATATTTTTTTCCAGTATTTGACATTAATTAATGTTTGAAACCACAGCTGATGTTATGTAAAGTTTGCAAGAAGTACTTGTAAATTGTGTTTTCCATATACCACTTCCACTTTGAATTATCATATTTAATCATTTTTTATGTTTTATTGAATCTGTAGGAACAAACTACTATTACAGATAAAGCATATACAATCATTAATTGAGCAATGTTGAGTATTGTTTGAGTCTACAAGGAAAATAAAATATGAGCATAGGTTTTCAAGACAATTGACAAAATTAAAGATCATTGCTTTTAATTCTCAGGACAGTTCCGCCATACAGTTTATATTTATTTCTAGTAAAAAACTACAGCAGAAGGATTCTATTAAAATAAAATAAATAGTGGAAATTTGGTCTATGAGATTTACTGCAAGAATACATTACTCAACTACCAACTATTGCTACAACACACAGCATAGATGCCATTCGTCATGGTCAAAGTTGTTTTTTAGTCCAACTAAGATTTATTTGTATACCAAAGGTATGTAATAAATTATCTTATCATTTAATTAGCTCATGTCTGTCTTTGTAATTGACCAAAATTTAAACAACAGTACAAAACTTCAGTTCAGCCAGTGTGTATGCTCTTATGCAATTCACTATTTCTCAGATACATTATAATGGTATATGATCATTTACAAGATTAATATATCGTATATTTATCTACCTAACCACTGATAAAATGTTAATTACATGTTCAATAAAACTATAACTATATAGAATTTATAGTAATATATTGGTCTTAATGGTATCAGTGCAGCTTTAAATTGGCAGATATTCCTGGATGTTTTCTTCTTAAATAACACAGAAAAATATCCTGAAACACCAAATAAATGTTCTGTAGTTCAATCATCAAAGTTCAGTCGTATGGTGTCATAAAGATTCATAGTGTGATCGTTTGACCAAATCGAACATGCGATGACGATGAGTCGGCATAAAGTACGACTGAGATTCCTTAAAACTTTCAGAAAAGTTAAAACATACCTTGCTTTTGCTATTTTATAAATTACGCATCAGATTGAACAGCCTCAATTGAAAAAAATCGACGTTTTCCAGTCTCCACTTCGCATCTTACCATATAGTTTTATATACCGCTGCCAGCTATTGACTGGCCAGGAAGATGGCGGAATTTGAGCATGCGCATAAAAAATTAGCGACAAGTTAACTCAAGAGTGGTCCTTCTGTAAGTATATATTCTGTGACCAGGGGGAGGTCGAGAATATTATTTTTCTGCAAAGCGATCATTTCAGCGGAAATACGTCCGTTGGCCGCCATTTTTTTGGCGTCCTCGTCCCAGTAAAGTTAGCCGCTCCAGTTATTATAGAACTCAATGAGTCTAACGGCTCACCGCATTTCACGATGTGAAATGACAATTTATCATTTCTTCTCTTACAAAACTGTAGTATCACATACATCGAATGCAGGTACTTAATACAGTAGTAATTCAACGAAGATTGCCGATTGGAGCAATTACGAAGGATGAAATCTCAAATAATCTTGCCAGTTCATTTCGTGCTTCAAAAAATATGGTCGCAGTGAACGATGGCTGACATTCTTTAAAATTGTACTTTATCACGTTGCTGTAATTTTATCAGTGTGTATAAAAAGTAAGAAAATCTTAAGAAATAAGCTAATCGTTATTTTTTGTATTTAAGTTATCTTAAATCTCAAGGAGCAGAAGAGCTTTTGTGCTTATAACAAAAATGAGAGATCAATGAAAATCATTGGGACAAAACGAATATTAATTACATCAACTTATAAACATCAACATTTGTCGACAACAATAGCGATTTTTCAAATATACACTCAGTCAGAAAAAAGAATTGTTGTCATGAAGATAGAAATTGTCCAACGATTCATCTTTTTCGATGCATACATAATAATGCACGAAAACACATAAAAGCTGAAACAAAACAGATTAAATGTGAACAGAAACAACAAGAGCCATGGTAATGGAATGGCAAGATTGAGTTCGACAAAGGGACGAATAACTTGGGTAGAAACCGATTGTAACATCAAGAAGCACAGAAGAAAGATGGCGTGAAAGCGAAACCACGTCAACGTTAATGTCGAGGAAAATTAATGGTCGACCGGAGAGGATTTTCGATGAGGATTACACGTAAATGATAAAATATCAAAGCAAAATTACAACAATGTCCACCAGAATAACATGTGCTTGTAGCTACATTGAAGGGATCGTGTCTAAGTATTTGATAATCAAGCAGCTAATATCGAAGCAGCAAAGTTATGACATCGAGGGTCAGAGAAACGCAACAGACCAGATATTGCAGAACGCCATCACGACTCTACGCAATGGTTTCTTCTAAGAGCTAACCTTCTTTTCTCAATATCAAGAGACGATGCTGAGTCGTCAAATATATGGTCATAATGAAGAAATGTAAACATACGGTTGGTACGTTTTACATGTCCGCAAGATCTTTGTATCGCGTTCTTGAATCTTTTGGAAGAAGTTGACAGTTTGGCTAATGCACAAACTTGGATTTATAAATGTATCATCTTCATGTTTCATTACAGCATATGCCACTGGATTTCTAATATCAAAATATGCACACACCTCTATAGATCGTTTTCACCTAAAGTCATAGCCACCATGTTGATGTACCTAATGAAAATAATTTAAACGAAGTTCTTTTGTTTGGTACAGCAATATGGCGACTTCATCCATTGTTATGTTGATGCCAAAGGAATGAGTGAAAACGATCTACAACCGCACAACAAAGGAACACAAATCGGTTTCGGCATATTTCACCATTTCTTAAATTCGAAGCGAAAAAGAGCACTTTACCTTCTCATCTGTGGTGACAAATAATAAGTCAAACATACTGAACATTGTAAGTTTCTGAGCCTGAGGTGATGGAATGCAATAAATGCTGTTTTGTGCTAGTCACTTGACATGCTTTCTTTGGAAATGTATGTCTGTCGTCTGGCTGAGTGGTGTAGTTGTCAATGCCTTGCTCGGACCTTCCCAGGTTCAAATCCGCGTTGTTTTCTTTACTGAATGGAACACTTGTGATTGTCAGTATGGCAATTGCACCATCTCGGGTTCAATACTGATCTGACGATTGTTTTCTTTCACTTCAAAGTTCAAAAAAGTGAAGAAATACTACAAAAAACCCCGTATGTATTCGATGTTGAGCGTATAGCTTGACGGGCCATCGTTGACCTGTGCAGAAGATTCTTGGTTCGCCCCTCTGACAACACACCTTGGTGTAAGCGACAGGTGTGAGAACAAACAGTCGAACAGGGCATTGAATGTCATGTGGTAAGGAGGGAGATATAAGGGCGTTCTGTTTGCTCTTGATATTCCTGACAATTACATTTTAAAAAAAATAACTCCCTGATCGCAGGGAGTCGTAAAGAAATTTTATCAAATGACTTAGTTTTTTTAAGAGTGGCTTTTTACGTGAGAACCTATCTCTTTTTTTATTCGCTCTCCTCCTCCTTCATCCTTCTTATCGGAGAGCGTGTTTTTTTCTGATTTTATAGTAAGTGTCGCATTCCATTCTTTAAAAACTCAGTATAAATCGACGTTTGAACATCAGGTATTAGCCAAGTTCCAAAATGATAATTTTTCCAAAGGATTGAAGAAAGGACCTCAAGGAACTTGTAAACATCCAGAAGATATTAACCAATATGTTTATTTTTTTTTGTTTTGCCTTTCTCTGATCCTCGATGTGAAACTTTGCTGCTTCCATATAAACTGCATGATTATCAAATACTTAGTTACGGTCCGTTCAATGTAGCTACAAGCACATGGTTATTCTTCGTCGACATTAACGTTGACGTGTTTTTCTTTCCACGACATCTCTCATCTGAACTTCTTGATGTTACAATCGGTTTCCACCCAAGTTAATGGTCCCATTGTCGAATTCGATCTTGCCTTACCATGGCACTTCTCTTGTTGTTTCTGCTCATATTTAAAGGGTTTTGTTTCAGCTCCATACTTCTATGTGCTTTCATGCTTTATTATGTTACATAAACAAACATAGATGACTCCTACGGGCCCATTTTCTACCTTTATGACAACACTTTCTTATGACTGAGCATACCTTTGAATAATCTCTGCTGTTGTCGGCTTATAAGTTCATGCAATAAATATTTGCTTCATTGCAATGATTTTCAATCGATTGTACGCTTTTCAGCTATTTGCATAAATTATATATATTTCTTTTCTTCAAAAAGAAAAGATCACGGGGAACAAAACGATTATTTGTGGCGAAAAAGTGAACAGAGGAGTGGTTGCGAAGCCAGCCTAAGTTTTACTCCTAAACGATGAAAATTTTTTACCGAAATTATTGTTCGAAGAAAATTAATTACGTTCATATGTTGTTTCTCCAGTGGATGAACACAAAAATACATGCATTTTAAGAGTAAAAAACGGGCTGGCTTCGCAACTACATCGGAAATTTTCAACCATTATTGAGCTATCAGCTAGCTATATATCATAGTAGAACGATTAGGCAATTTGTCAGTTGTATCGTTGAAAACTTACAAAACTGGCACTACGATCGTGACTAAAACACCACACGAGTACATACGAGTACATACGAGTAACATACGAGTGCATACGAGTGACATACGAGTACATACGAGTAACATACAAGTACATACGAGTAACATACGAGTACATACGAGTGACATACGACTATTTTCTTGTCAACAAATGAGAAACAACACAATTTCTTCAATACATTGATATTTTCGTTTATTTTTCCTTGTATTTGTGTGGACTTTGGGGCCACAATTTGATGGATTCAAATGCTGAAAAGGTATTTTACTTCATACTACATTCATTTGTATGTTTTAGTTGAATTTGTTATAGATATGTTGTCGATGCTATTTGCCAGTATTTGAGCGCTTTTTGACACACTTTCACCTAGGAAATACATATTTATGAAAGCGATTATACATTCATTTTGGTTTTAAGATACTGATTTTGCAGTTAAAAGACTGAATTATATCAGCTAGAACTTTAAAAACATTAAAAGTAAGCTGAAATTGTACGCATAATATGATATATATACGTAAAACAGTGCAACTCTCATTTAATTCAAATATATATAATGTACATTTATTTCATATAGCACGTTTTGAAAGCATTATTTATACGTTGTTTATTTAATCGCTTTCATAAATATGTATTTCCTAGGTGAAAGTGTGTCAAAAAGCGCTCAAATACTGGCAAATCGCATCGACAAAATATCTATAACAAATTCAACTAAAACATACAAATGAATGTCGTATGAAAGTAAAACACCTTTTCAGCTTTTAAATCCATCAAATGGTTGCCCCAAAGTCCACACAAATACAAGGAAAAATAAACGAAAATATCAATGTATTGAAGAAATTGTGTTGTTTCTCATTTGTTGACCAGAAAATAGTCGTATGTCACTCGTATGTACTCGTATGTTACTCGTATGTACTTGTATGTTACTCGTATGTACTCGTATGTACTCGTATGTACTCGTGTGGTGTTTTAGTCACGATCCTGGCACTACACAAAGAGTTCGTAATTTCTTAATGCCGAGAACAGGGGCGCATCTAGGATTTTTCAAACATCAGTCATAAAACGTCGAAGGCGCTCCGCACCTGGGGGGGTCTGAGGCATTCTCCCCTGAGAAATTTTGAATTTCAGAGCCTTGAAAATGCCATTTTCAGCGTTTTAGAGCAATACAAAATGTATTTCTGGGCATCGTTTTTGCGTAAAAACAACACATTTTGCTTACGTATTTTCAAAAACTAAATGAAGTGAACAATACTTGAATGTTTTGCCAAATATTTAGGCTCATTATCATGCCAAATATATGGCTCATTAGCATGTCTAGGAACGTAAAATTTATTTTACAATAATGCTATTCAAAAACAGATATAGTCTTTAAAAATTTCTACCAAGTTGTCAGGCATAGACCCCCCTAGAGACCCCCATTCAAACCTCTATGTAATGAATTTAGTTAAGTTAGAAATTTGGTACTGCAAGTGACAGTTCATAGATATAGAAAAGCTCAGACTTCAAACCATGCAAGTTTATTGTAACCCTTTACCCATCTCCACATCAGTGCCAGCAAATTCACCTTTTGAGAAAAAACTCAAAATTTTTTTCTGCCAAAGGTTAAGCAAAAATTATCAGAGTGAAAATTTGCAGTTAAGGACAGCTTAATGTCATAAATGTTTATTAGGCATTTCACTAGAATATTATCTCCTGTAAGTATATGCAAGGTGTGCTATATAGCAATCACTAGTAGCATTGTATTTGCAAATACAAACAGAATGTAACCAACATGTCTTTAATTATATAATTACATGAATGTTAAAATTGGTTCATGTGTCATGCTTACTGGTTATGATAAATATCTTTTCATATGATCAAAGCTTGTTCAAATGTAAATCAGAAATAATTTAGTTTAGAAATTATAATGATCATCAGAAAAATTACCTAGTGATCATGAAAATACTTTGCTGTTTTGCCAAATTTCAAGGTTTATCTGCATACATAGAAAGACATTTTTACTTTATAGAAAATGCTTTTCATACATCAATAGCCCTTTGGAATTTATGGCAAACAATCTGGTATGAGCCGTAGATTAACACACCTTTACATCTCTACATGAGGTGTTCAGTTAGAAAAGGGGACAATATGTGACATGGGACAACATTCCATGTATGTGAAATACTCAGGTGAAATACTCAGGTTTAATACCATTCCAGTCAAATTATCAAAATAAAAAGCTTCATGGATCAGAAGACTCAAAATCACAGATTATAGTAAACAGCTTCTCATGTAATCAATGTTAGTTTTCTCAAATCTTAAACAATATGTAGTATAACTGTCCAATGATTGAATGATCAATGATCATAAACTGAAAAACCCCAAACATTTGTTTATGATAAGTAAATAATAGTATGGCGCCTTATGGCTACAGATTTTTTGTCCATTGAAATATATTTGCAGGAATGTAGGATTTCGCTGCCGTATAACGGTCACGATTCCCCAAGCACTAAAGAAATCATAGCTAAAAGTCCTTCGTCAACAACAATTTTAGAAGCATCGATCTGCTTACCATACGCCATATTGACATAAATCGCATCACACACTCGCATAATTGACTTTGATATATTACATTCATGCATACACTTAACTTGTCCTTTACTTACGATTTTGGATGTAAATTTCTGCTGATAAAACTCAAAACAATGTTGGCTTTCTTTTGAACATCAATGACTGAAATGTCGCTCGCGAGATCGTCTTTGCCAAGCATTTAAAATTTATCCATAAATTTTTCACCCTCTTGAAAAAATTCACAGTTTGGACAGCAGCATTCATGTCAATATATGAATTTGTAAAAGATTTCCATAAATTCCATCTGATTGTAGTTTAGTTTCTATCATGCTTATAAAAATTACTGTAAAACGATCAAACATTCAATTCAGACAGTGAGCTTGACTATGTTAGTTCAGTTGGCTATCAGTCGAAATCCGTCAAACCAATCACAATAAAGCAAAAATAAAGCAAAAATTCAAAAAGCAAAAATCCCTAATAAAGCAAAAATTCAAATGAACCAATTGTAAGATAGCAATTGGACTCCCTTATACGTCCGGCCACCCTTATTATCAGTCGAGACTATTCCAGACTGTCCACTGATCTGGCTATTGACCAATAAAATAAGCGTTTTTGACGTTCATAGACTCCTTTATCCGTCGAACCAGTCAAGCCACCCCGCTTATCAGTCGGTTATTCCAGGTCAATTAAAATTCAACTGATCTGGTTACCAACGAGATATTCATTGGATTAGTCATTAGTTTTCAATAATAAATAATGCGGGATTTTTATCACGAAGTAAATGCGATAAGAAAATAAGAATAATTAATGAATTTTTAATTAATATGAATAGGTAATTTTTGAATTTCAAACATCAGTCGCGCGACGGATTTGACATACTCTAGATCCGCCCCTGGCCGAGAACGTTAACAACTGGAGCGTGCCATTCTGACATGTGTCAAAATCAGAGCTCAAAATAGCTGCCGAAATGTGTTCGGTCATGATGACCGCGGTCAACGTCATTTTGACTCACTCAAAGTCAATTTTTCGCTATCTTTCACTAACGCACATAACTGGCAGAAAATAACGCGGAAAATTTCTCAAGACTAAGAATTCTCCTGTTCGACGTTAAATTGACGTTCTAAGCGTTGCCTGCCTTACCATGCATCGTCATACCATGCAGTTGTTTTGGGGAAGATGTTCAAATGTAGACGGTGAAAATGACTGGTAAGGTAAAAAGTTGGCCGGTCAAGAGGTATTTTTCGACCTGTCAATGTCCGTTAAACGGCCGTCATCTAAAGCCCTCATCAAAATTGTAACATGAATGAGCAAAAGACTGAGACGAACTTTTTATCATATGGAAATGTAAATGCGATTTAAAAACACAACGACAGTCCTAAGACCCGTTTCAAACGTCGCATCTTATATGCGCCGAATGCAATAAAGACAGAAGAAAATGAGACAAAAATTCCTTATTATCTTTTGTTTTAAATGCATTCGGCTCATTTAAAATGCGACGTTTGAAACAGGCCAAAGATGGAAGTTCAGCTCCAGTGCCGTGGCGAACTCGTTAATTTGGGCGGCACAAATTCACATATGCGTGTCCTAACCCAAAGTAAACAATGGATTATAAAGGAACTCAACCCTTTATTTTCCAGGTTTTTAGGTCGATTGAGTTTTGGATCTTTTCGTTGTCGTTGCAACATGGCGGGGGGGTCGATGGAATCATCGAGTTAGCTACGCCACAGTTCAGCTCACATATATTTCATGACGGTTTCATGATAGCCCAGCATAAAAGCACTCTTTAACGCATCTACCACAGGAAGTAAGCACAGACTCACCTGGATAATTAATGCTATCTAGCAATTCATCAACAACCCTTTCTGTTCCTGCTGTTCCAAACGACAGGATGACGTTTGTATTCGTGCTGTACACTAGTGTCCCTATGTGAACCTGTTGGGAGAGGACGACAAAGTGGTGTATCACGCCTTTGACAAAGTTGATCATTTTCAGAAAATGTCCTCTTCCGGTTCCTTCAACGCTCGCAGATCCGTCAACGACGAAACCCAGATTTATATTGCAGTCTAAACAACGGACTATACGTCAGTTCTGAACAATGACCTAGAACCCAATCTTCTAGATACCTCACTCCGCGAAAATTTTAGAGTTACAAGTGAGGCAAGCCGTAATCTATCTTGAAATGTGGCAGAACTGACAATATTTACGAATGAAATCTGCTTCCGCGTTGATATAAGTTGCAGATATGATAGTCTTGGTACACTTTTTTCAACATGTTTTCGATTGAAAGTTTTGATTTTTGCCACCTTTCAAGATAGCGTCCCTGCCTCAGCTTGACACGATTTTTAAATATCCAGGAGATTGGGCTTTTAATCATAGGTTCTGAAATGTAATTCTAAAAAAAGTTAAAGAAAATATTCTCTTATCAATTCAATGTTAACCAAAGGAATCTAAACCCAAATAAACTCTCTCTCCTTTTTCTACATAACATACAAGATGTCAATTCAAAATCAGTTTACTTATGCCGAAAATCTTTATCAAAACACTCTTCATCATCTCACCTGGTAAATTTGACTTAACAGGTGTGAACCGATTTGCCGTATTTTTTGCAGTTAAGCGACGTTCAAAGTTTGCAGCTTGACCTTGACCTTGACCTTGATCTTGACCTTGATCTTGACGTTGCCTGAAATCATCCCATCTCAGGGCACTGGACTTTGAAAATGGTTCATTCCACTTTTGCCTTTCCTGATTCCGTGCCAGTCCAACGAAAGTATTTCTTTCATGTTTTGTCGTGTTTTTTGTCGCCAAGGCAACGAAAAACGGTGGTACGTTCATGGACACTGTCCACTTATTTTTATGATTCCTCCCATCACTTGACGCCATGTTGACTGAGTTCGTGATTTGTGTGTTGTTTTTGGCTGCGCTTGTTTCATTGACATCGAAAGGCAACATGGGCATTACAATCGATGGTTGAGAATGAACATCGATCTTTAACGGTTCGCCCAAACCCTGCGTGTGTTGTGTCGAATCGAGAATGCTCTGTTGTATCTTTTCTGAAATCTTTTTAAACTTTTGCGCGCCTGCGTAATGAGCGCTCTTTGGTGGCTCGTAAGCTGAACTCGGCGCGTTAACGCCATTGATAGGTGTTGGACCAATCGCGTCGGCCTGATAGCGTTCTAATGGCTTGGCAAAGTGCACGACTTGACCTTTTCCTTTGATATGAAATACGGCCTCCTTACCGGGCTGTACGTTTTTTTCATCGACAATTCTCAACGTCAACGATGGTATTTTTAAATAAGTACTGTTTTTCGAAGGCAATTGAATCCCCGCAGTTTTCGGTAATTTTCTGCCAGGTGATACTCGATGAGTGGACGTTTTATTTTCTGTTTTGCGGTCAACTGTATTTCCGACTGATCCTCTTTGATTTTCATACCGTGCATCTGATTGGGTGGTAGGAACTCCGTCGGTCTGCTCGTGATTCAACCGCAACTCGTTCACCTGGGATTTTAACAATCCAATGGTTTTTAACAACCTTTGTATATGACCGCCCATATCTTTGCCGCCTTTCTTCAGTTTACCATTTTCATGAGCCTTGTTGATGTTTTCACCAAGTGTCGACAAAACTTTGGATATTGGCTGTAGATTGTCATTTACGCGCATGATTGTGTTCGCCGGTCTCCCGGATGTTGTTTCATGTGCCATATGCGAGACCTGATTATTGGGCTGGACCGCATCAGACCCGGAGGGTTTTGCGGGCGGCATGGATGGCGACGATATGCCTGTGAAGGGCGTGTTTTGATCGGATGACGCGGAGTATTGTGCCGGTGAAATAATTTCGGTCCCTGAAGGTTTCGCCATGTTATATAAAGTATCGCCATTGGCTACATTGCTAGTTTGAAACATCCCTGTTTGGTACTTTGTCATTGTCACCTCCTTGTTCGTTTCCACTTAAAATAAATCAGTAAACTTTTAAAGTCAACGACCGCATGATTTATACCAAAACATAACGCAATAGACAGGAAAAACGCATAAAAACACTCATTGAAAGATTCCACTCGTTCCAGAATCTTCCTCAGTAAAAAATCAGTTCCACTAAAGCTGCATGGCTAAAACGGAAATTTTGCAAATTAAATCATAGTTTCATCGAAAAGAACTCGTAAAATGGCTTTCGAAAACTCTTTAGTCATATCTCTTTTCGTTCTCAAGATATTGAAGTTTTGTGATGTCTGATTTCTACAGGAAGTGACGTCACATTGCATTATGAGTCGCTGCATATGTATGAATACCTTGAGTTGCCTGCAACTTTATATAACGACAGGAACTCTGTTATGTCGATGTGACATTTCAGTAAATATTCTTAATAATTCAAATTCTTACTATGAAATGTGACGTTGCTTTCTCCATAAATCGGACGTCGCAAAACTTCAATATCTGAAGAATAAAAAGAGATATGACTGAAATGAGTTTTCTTCAATGAAGATATAATTTAAATAGAAAAACTTTCGTTTTACGGGTCCTATAAACGAAACCTAATCGGTCGAATTTAGATAGAGAAATTTATGTCTCCTATAAATTTACAAACAGCTGGCTGTATATTCTCCATTAAAACATTGGCGTATCAAACAAAAGCCGCAAAAGATTGATACATGGGGAGGGGGAGGGGAGGAAAGGGAGGGGAGAAGTGTTGAATCATAATTGACTTCAACAGAATTTCAATAGAAATCAGTGCATATATGAATAAAGCCGGTCGGTCATACATCCGCGTAAATTTGGTCCAGCATGTTATGTCTATTATTGCAAAGCGCAACTGCCGTTGTGAATTGCTTGAAAGCAAAGAAAAACAAAGCAACCCAAGAGAAAACCGAAAAAAGCACAAAGGAAATCCAAGAGAAACCCAAGAGTTCTAAAAAGAACGGTTTAAGAATTAAAGCACTAAACCGAAAGTTCTGAAAAGAACTTTTTTAAAGATTTGACCCACCATGCATTTCGGCAGACAACTCACCAAGTGTCAACGTTTGATTTCGGAAGAACTTCCGGCTTCAGTGCTCTAATTCTAAAACAGTTTTTTCTCGTTTTTTTTTTGAGGGTCGCACGAGACAAAATTTACACCATACCAACATACATCTTCATCACAATGGCGCAGTCAATCGAGATCGAAACTTCCACTATCAAAACGAAAATTAGCAAACTTGATGTCTTACCAGGTTTTTCAGAAGCTGTAGTTTTCTTTATCGCTTTTGCCAAACATGGACATGGCATGATGTTCGGACCAGGTTTCCCCATAAGATCTGGAAGTACGAGTTGCAAAAAAAAGTTAATTTAGATGGGAATGATAGAGTCAGTAGGTCTGTAGAAAAGGTATTGCTCCCTTCAAAAGATTTGCTCATTTTTGCATAAGATGTGCAACACCATTTTTGATGTCGAGCCTTTCAGTTAACGACTACTTACATCGGCGTACAGTATATGGGGGCCGAGAGGCTCAATCTCTCCTCCTGAAATTTGATTTAGGGGCTTATCTCCCCCCGACATTTTGCACAACTTTTCATGCATTCACATATATGGGTCAGAAGTCACAAGTAACTTAAAGTGCATATGACTCGAAATTTTTACTATTTGAATTACATTTACATCGAACAGGACTTTTAAAATGACAATGCATTTTCTAGAACAGTTTATGCATATCTCTTTTCATTTTCAAGATATTGAAGTTTATGTAATGTTCGATTTCCACAACTTTCGACGTCATTTTGCATAACGAGGCAATGCAAAATGTCAAACATCCTTTAATTTCAAGGCAACTTTTGGATGAAATGATGAGACAATTGTTTATGCCATAAACACTTCACAATGAAGGGAACTCTACATGTTTGTGGATGTTGATCGTCCAGGTTACTAGACACCTGAGAAGGACTGTTGCTGTTGATGTTGACTGACGTTTCGACAACCTTAGCGGTAGTCATCTTCAGAGAAGGGAACTCTACATGTTTGTGGATGTTGATCGTCCAGGTTACTAGAGACCTGAGAAGGACTTTTGCTGTTGATGATGTTGACTGATGTTTCGACAACCTTAGCGGTAGTCATCTTCAGAGAAGGGAACTCTGCGCGCCTGAAGTAACATATCAGCAAATATACCTGCTATTTCAAATTCTCATTATGCAATATGACGTTACAAGTTGTGCAAAGCGTACGATACACAAACTACAATATCTTCAGACTAAAAAGTGACATGAATAAACTGTTTTAGAGGATACACTGTCATTTTCAAAGTTATGTTCAATGAAAATATAATCTGAATAGCACAGTTTTCGAGTCACAGGCCCTTTAAAACTACATCCTTTGCATAATCAAAATTCAAGACAGTTCTCTCACTATACTATAATCAGGGTAAATAATAAATTCATATAAAAAGGAAGAAACGCAATAGCCATATACAGTGATTTAGAAATACATCTGATTGGCTGCAAGTTAGTCGAAACCGTGAAGAAACCCCATGGCTGAAATAATAGTAAACTGTTTGTCAATCAATTATTGATGAACATCTTCAAATGCGGTTATGAAATCATGAAACGTTCGATGGTTAGTCCATCTAATCTTGTTTTTCTAAAAACCGTTCACATACATCCAACGAGTCGTAAAAAAACATTTCAGTATGCTTACCTGCCTTGCGTACAAAGTTGATGTAACAGACGAGGAAAGTTCTACACTTACCTGGTATTAAAATACATAATAAAAAAGAGCAACTGAGAAACAATGTATTTGAAAGTCACCCCTAACCCAAGAAACAAACACAACGCTACACTTACGAGTACTTACATTTTTTACAAACTGCATAAACAATGGCATTGACTATTGCATTTCCAGTTCCGGGGGGTACCATGAAAATATCGTCAGCTTGCGATGCGAGCTTTCCAATCTTGGCGCCAAGCCCCACGCCAATTACGACGATTTTTGTTCCCGCCGCCTTCATTTCTTTAATCGGCGCATGCACTTCAACATCGCTATAGGAACCGCTGACCAGCACAAAAAGAACGTCATTGAGTATTGGCGGAACCGGTAGCTTCTGTTTGACCAACATGTACGCTTCTGCCCGCTTATATGCCTTACTGTCAACCCCGGTTGCCGGGTCACTAGAGAAATGTTGCCTCGAAGATCGATACTGAGGCGTTTCTGGAATATTCGAGGTCGGTTTCCAATTTTCACGACTTTTTTCGAAGCTTTGGATCCAATCCCTTGCGTTCATCGTCGTTGTCGTAGATGCATCAACATCGGAACGCTTCATACCGTTGGCTATGATCCCCATAAGTACATCTTTGTACCTCGTCCTAAAACCAATAGCCAGTCCTTTGGCGAAAGCTTTCATTTCATTGAGATCATTGATGTCAGTCACGTTCGTGTTGTCAATGAACATTCCTGTGTCGGCGAGATGATTGCACGCTGAAATGAAAGGAAAATACGTCTCTTCAAAATGCTTATCGTGTCGTTAAAACATTTTCGCTTGCAGAATCATCGCTTCGTCAAATGATTTCATTGAGATGATACAGAAAGCTCTTTTACATAGGAAAGTGAATATCTCTTGTTGACGTTTTAAGCCGACGTTGTCACCTTTTATTTCATCGTTTAAAGTGCCCTTTTGAGCAAAAATTTTTATTTGTGATGTCAGAGTTGGGTGTGATTTCTAATCTGTCACTGGAAAAAGTTTTTAAGTTGGTCGAATCGTAGCATTTTTATCGCCGTTCAAAATTGGCAAAATGCTCCTTTTAATGAACCTTGTCCGTCGTCCAAAAAGTCTGGAACGACTTACTCTTGTGACGTAATGCAAGGGACTTCTCAATACAAGATATATGTATCAACAATCTTGGATGACGTCAGAACTCGGCTAGACCCAGGCTCCATGCCACGACGGACAAGGTCAATTGAAAGGCAACATAAAACCGCTATTACAAGATGAGGATTTGACCAAATTGAAAAAAAATTTCACGGATACGTTAGACATTACACCTAGTTTTGTTATCGCAAATAAAAGTTTTTGCTGATGGGGGCACTTTAAGTCGAAATGAAAATTTTGATTCCTTGTGTGATTTTAAGTCTCAGCGTTCCGGCCAGTGGAGAGCTTTCACATGAAGTGCGACTGCCACTTCGAGTGCGAATTTAGACCGTGTACGAGGGAATGGCACGAGTAAATTTGCAGTCGTATTGTTTCATGTAAAGTTTACCTTAGCCGTAAACAACTGCAAGCGAATACGAGTTTTATCCTAGCCTCGGCTAGAAGTGGTGGGGCTTGCATTTCACGATCTCTCAACTTGTTATTTTTCTTCTTTTTAATAGTTTCAATAATTTGAAGAGGAAGCTAGTTAATGGCAGACTAATACATAAGCATTTTATGCAAAGATAGAGTAATAAAATGATAGACACGAAATGCGCGCTTTTTCGCAACTATGTGGTATAATATTCTTAAATCAAGTATTTCGTAAGTCACTCACACACCACAGGACACACACATCCTTCCAAGAGTCTCTTATCTGCTCTTTCCTCGTCATTTTTTCCACCTCGTTTCTCCTCCTTAACATCAATATGTTTTAATCGGAATCCGTCATCAATTTTCTTGAGTGTGCGATTAATATCGGTTGCAATCCGAACACGGTCCCGAAAACGCGAATTCTTGTCTTTCTGTGATGGGGGAATGGGCATGAGCTCGCCACCATTTAACGATGTCTGCAGGTTCGAGCGATGTGAATCTTTTTTCTACAGTGGTGAAAGTATTCCGTACATTATAAGAACAATAGAAAACTAGAAATTCTCTTTTACGTTTTGCCTTAGTGGGTTGCCATGACAAACTCACGTCTATATTTCGTGTCTTCATGAACAAATACTACACAAAGTACTCACGGCTTCCATTTCACTTTTTGAAGCGTGGTCATCGTTTTTTCTGGAAATCGACTTAAAATATAAGGGTTCGATCATCTCATTGTCATCCGCCCTTTCTTCATTTACAGTGGGAAAGTCTCTAAAAGATTCAAGCGAAAAACCTTTTGGGAAATTTTTTGATAGTTTGTCTACATCGTAGTTGTTTTCATCACCCCGAACTCCATTATCATGTTTCTTAATGCTCCCATAACTTTCATTTTTGTTCTCCGCGTCAATCAAAAACTCTGCTCTTTCGGTTGTTTTAGAAAATTTCCCATCCTGTGTAGCATCGCGCAGTTCACCTGCATAGAAATGGCAGCACATTATTTGGGTAAAATCGAAAACACTGGCATCTGTCGACCATGCAGTTTGATAAAGTAACAACAATACGTCGCGTGCGCTGATTGGTCTAAGGTTGAGTTTGTATGAACCTGTGCGAACTAATCTGTGTTCAATCAATTAAATCAATCTAAGAGAATTTGCAAATCAATCATGAATACATGTTAGAGGAAAAATTAAAACGTTTGTCTTAAATTTGTCAGTTTTTGTATAGTTCTTAATTTATAAAAAAACAAAATATGTTTTTCGTGTTGGCAATTACTTATGGAAATCTCGGAGACGTTTGTGAAACTACACTGATGATCTGAAAGATGTTTGCAATTCTTCAATTGTCTTATGTTTTACTTGGTGCATAGAGTCATGGCTGTGTCTACGAACGAAGATTGATTGTTAAAAACCTGAAATGCTTGACATTAGCCTTTTTCATTCTCTTTTAGAGAGTGGCTCATCAAGCTTTCCGCATCAACTCCTGCTTTCATTTAGAAAATGTCAACTCTTTGTAGTTGGAAAGTTTTACTTATTCGAAAAAATGTTTCTTTATGAAGTAAAGGTTCAAGTTGATGATGCAAAACGCCCCAATAAGTCTCACTTTGTAACGATGCTATCATACACAACCTAACACAATTTTACCTAAACAATATGATTCGCATAGTTTTATTTCGATGTTCGGTCCCAGTCCATCGCAGTTTCGCGCACCACGCGCAGGGGATGGATTCATACACGTCCGATATCGTTTCTGTATCCCTTTCCCACACGTTTTACTACAAGACGTCCATTCGGACCATTTACTGTATCCACCATTGCGAAAATTTGTAAAGCTGTATAACACAAAGCAAACTTAAAATCGATCTTTTCTGAATATAGTAGCTGTATTTCATAAAATGATCTTTTTACTCTGTATTCATACCCGTAAACTTGCATGCCCCAGGGTCCTCCGTAACCGTCTTCTGAAACGAACAATGAAAGTCACGTGATAGCAATGACGTGACATGTCATGTGATAGTAATGAAGTGTCATGCCAAGTGATAGTAATGACGTGTTGTGTCTTGTGATGATGGCGTACCATGTCACGTGATAGTAATGACGTATCATTTCACGTTAGCAGCTTTTTGCCACCTAGTAGTTCACTAGCTAATATCATGGATAACAGCAGAGTATTTTTTCTCAGGACCCCCAAAACCAATCCTTCTTGCAAACAACATATCTCTTACATTGAAATAGTATTTTCATTACTTAAATGTCGACTGCGAACCTTAAGTAGTTGTAAAAAACCTGATTGAAAAAATCTCCGAAATGAACATTTAGAAAAGTAAAAACTATGGGAAATGGAAAGCAGGAAACTTGGCGTTTCCATTGAGCAACGTAAGCATGTTCATTGAACCTTATTCTTTCCGATGGAACTTTCGCAATCCCATCATGCTCACAATTACAAGACATCCGGGCAATGCCACCGGTTGGTGCGACTTTATTGCAATTTTTTGCTATTGTAATGCAAAGAACATATAAAAAAACTTTACAACCTCTTCAGTATAATTGACCTTTACATTTTTTTTGAAATATTTAACTTTTACTTTACGCAAATGACATCGTGTTGACATCACAGAACACAATAATGTTTTAAAGACCAAAATCTTTTTACGTTGTTAGTTAATGAAGCTAGAAGAGTGTTTGTGACAATGCAAAATTAGATATTTTAATATGCTAACTGTCCACATAAACTAGTTTTTCCTAATGCTAACTATGCAATTTGATGTCATAACGATGTGAATTGAATATGAAATAAAAAAATACAAATCTCCAAAAACAAATAAAATGATACAATTCTATTACAGAAGTTATTAAGTAAATTTAAATTGCCTTCGCAACGCAATCAAAAATGACTATGATAAAATTTGATGTTATAAACCTTTTAAGATCTCTAGGATAATGTACAGAAATTATACATTTCTTGTGATCTAATGGGAAATCTTCGATAACAATCCTCAATGAATCCTCTTACAAGTTTTATTGGAATATTTACCTTTGCAAGTTGTCGTTTTTCCATATTTTCGATAAGATAACGAAATTTCACTGTCACCAAGACACTGTCCGCCATTTTCGATTGCAAAGAGCTCCATCTTGTTGTCCAATGCAGCGATGGCACATTTTCTAAGCGGATCTTCGCGTAACTTGTAATTTACATCCATCAAAAGTCGATGGCGTCTCTCTAGCACTCGAAGTGCTCTTGCCCAAGTGTCCTTCCAACATCCGAGGCTGTGAAATCCTGTAAAAGGGGAAACGATGTCAGACGGGGTTTGAAAGTTTAAGTGCGACTTCTGATACCAATACAAATACGTAAACGTCACCTCCGTTTTCGTTTCTGTAGTGGGAAATTTTAAGTGTTAAGTTGTAGAGAAAAACACTAAAGCTATCAATAATAAAATGATGAAGTAAAAAATCTATGTTCTGTAAACCTTTGGAGTCAGACATGTTTTATCTGAGCAAATAAACGAATCTTTTACATCTCTAGCTGGAAAAACCATCCAAAAAAGGTTTCTAAGACTACATTTTACCTGACAAAACGTTCATATCCACTTCCAAAAACATGCTGACTTCGGTAGTGGTGACTGCCAAAGCACTACGCATGCGCCTCACGTCATTTGGTATTGGTATCGGAATAAGTCAAACTTAAACTCTGTATTATATAATTATCGACAAAATGAGGAATGAAAATACTTTGAACAATTTTTCCAAACCTTTCCCCTTAACTTTTCCAGTTCCACGATGAACGTTGAATTTAAAACCGTCGCTCTTCGCGATTAAATCACGATCAATGAGATAACCGTTTCCTAAAAAGTACATGAGTCGTTTTCGATTGATTACGCCCATGGAGTTTCTTCACAAATATTTGAAGCTCTACAGTACAGATTAATTAAGTCCTATACACACTGTCTTTGCTCACATTTATAGGCGCTTTAAAATTTGTGATGTATCGAAAATGTCGCGCTAAAGATCAAAAGCAATGTATTATGTAGCTAACAGAAAAATCTCCTCAGAAATTAGTCGGCGATTATTTCGAATTACCAAAAGCAAATTTCAGTTTTCCGTTTCATTTGCATTAAACTTCTCGTTTTCGTTATATTGTTTCCTTCGATTTCAAAAGCCATGGATGACTTTTTTTGTGAAAAAATAGTAGCTACATCTGTAAAGTGGTTTAATTCAGAGGAATTTTGGTAGGCACAATGCCACACATATCATACAAATTTGCTTTTATGGCTGAATGGTGCGTTTAGTCTCATCGTACCTTTAACTAGTTGCAGAGGATATTCCAAAAGGATAACGGAAAATAGACCAAGAAGATACGAAATTCTTCGCATTCTTGCGCTCTAGTTATTTAACAAGAAAAAATTTTCTTTGATAAATCACGGCAACGATGAACTTTGCATTTCCCCCAAAACTTTGAGCTTTACTGTGTATATTTTAGGCAACACAGTCACCAAACGCATCGTTGTTTGACGAGTTTCGACAGCAGATAATATAAACCAATGAAAAAGGACATACAGACTGTCATTCATCGCAAACTTCGAAAAATAATCTCCAATAAATGAGTTGCAACATGAAATGTGTTATATCTAGCTACTTTAAATTACCTTAAATGAACGCGTTTTGTCAGTCTACATTTCAAAACGATAATTCTTGATACAGTTATCATTTCATCTTGTCACTGGTCGAATAGACTACAATCAACGGAATATATTTGAGTACTTTAGTATTTTACAGTATTTTGTTGAAGACTAAAGTATTTTGTCGGCAGATGTCGATGCGGGATTTACCTGCGTATCAAGTCAAGCGTAAGGCACTCAACCTGTTTCAAGGATTAATATAGGAATAGCCACGAGCTAGAAACTATCATATTACTTGCTAAAAAAATACTTTGAAATCTTAACGCCGTCTAGCTCTATGATGACACTATGTGTCGCTTCGTAACTATCGTTTCAGGAGTCTCAATGCGCGGTCCGATGTTTACATTCATCTCGAAAACACTACTTGCTGTTGTGCTTTTATTCTTTGCATTATTTTTGTAACTCTTGAATTTGACACGATTGCAATTGTGCAAATCTTTGCTTGCTTTGGTTTACTTACAACAAATACATGACAACTGCCGCAATGTTTTCAAGAAACCTTGTTTGGATTTCACTTTTTTTCCAGCCAATCAGGTTAAGGGGTTCCCAATGAACTCTACAATAACTGGAAGGCTAACTTGGCCGCCATCTTCGAAGCCTGCATGATCGCCGCCATTAGGAAGCTTTAGCAAAGACTACGAGTACGACTACGAGTACGACTACGAGTACGACTACGAGTACGACAACGAGTACGATTTACGTCATTCTGGCGCGAAAACATTGTTGGGACAACAACAACACGTAGCCGTCATCAATCTGAGTACGATGTTTTGTAAAAAAATCGTAGTCGCGACTACGATGTCGTTTTAAACAAAGAAAGTATATATATTTCTTCATTCTGTAAGAAATTAGTTTACAGCACTATTTTCGATCATCCAGGTTTTAATTTAGAACCTTTTTTGAGACTACGTCAAACACGTCGCATGACGTGGTTGAAAAATTCATGTAATAGTAAATTTACTTTCCTTTTTCATAGATCCATCACGACCTGCAACTTCTAAATTTAATATTCTTTATCAATGACCCGTAATAAATCGCAATTTGTTAGACAAATCTAACAAGTTCGAAGTGTGTTATATTCAGGGGCGGATCCAGCAATTTTCGTGACTGATGCACCACTGCGAGCGCCAAAGGCGCTAGCTCTGTAGGGGGGTCTGGGAGGATGCCCCCGGAAAATTTTATGTTTTAGACCGTCGGAAATGCGATTTCCTGCGTTTTGACAACAGAATTTAAAAAAAACTTGGCTTTACTTAGTTTGTAAACTTTTCGCAAATTTCAATGATATAAAATCTAAAATTCCATTAACCTTTAAACATTTTCATTACTACTATTTGATTTATCAAGTTTCATACCTTCGCCAAAACTTACAATCAGGAAGGTATCATTCCAATCCACGAGTGATTTTGAAAAGGTAGAAGCTTGGCATATTTTTTGTCGTGAAACGCAAAGAAACCTTTTATATCTCACAAACGAAGCACAAGTTTTTGACCATTAATCACACTTGATACCACTCGTCCAACAACAGAAAAGATGCGTAGACATAGCAAAGAAATGTTCACGATGTAATCATCGTACCAAAGGCAGGCAACAAGTAATGATAAATCTTATTCTTCTTCTTTCGTTGATAATACCACTGGTCCAACAGCAGAAAACGATACGTAGACATAGCAAAGAAATGTTTACGATGTAATCATCGTACTTAAGGCAGGCAACAAGTAGTAATAAATGTTATTCTTCTTCTTTCGTTGATAATACCACTCCTCCAAGAGCAGAAAAAGATACGTAGATATAGCAAAGAAATGTTCACGATGTAATCATCGTACCAAAAGCAGGCAACAAGTAATGATAAATGTTATTCTCTTCTTTCATTGATAATATCACTCCTCCAAGAGCAGAAAAAGATACGTAGATATAGCAAAGAAATTTTCACGCAGTTACCATCACCTCTAGTTCTACACAAGCAATAAAAATTAGAAAGTCTATTGAATAAAATCACTATTGACTCTATGTTGATAAAGAAAAGCCTTTTAGGGGAACATTCATCAAGCCTTAAAGTGTAATTTTTTGGGTTGCCTTTAACAATCCATAAATATTTTTTTAGATAATTGAATCTAAGCATGGTAATGCCAGTGCTATACTTTCCCAACCAAATTCATGAGACCAGCTTTCAAGGGGAGTATAAGTACGTACCTAATAGCTAATACTATGTGCCTTCCTAGCTTTAATCAAATAGCAATGGTGAGGACTTCTATACATAAGGATCAGGATGCACATATGCACATATGCACATATGCAAAAATAAAATATGGTGGTGTAATATACAATGAAATATGTTAAAGAATTACAATATAGAACTGTTGCTCTAATATCTTTATGTATAGTGGGTAATTTTGAGATAATAATAATCATGTAAAGACAATACAGTAACATCATATCTGTGTAAATGAAATGCTTTGTTGTGTACCCACCCTTTTGTGATCATAATGTTTTATGGTAAATTTAGAAATTTGGCACACTGTGCATGATTGTAAATGAGAGCATACACTCAAAAAAAAACATCATCTTGTAAACTCAAGATTCCAGTTATAACAGCAACAGAGAAGATTCAAAGCAATATTTCAACTTCATATGAAAGTCATTATCAAGCTAGGTGTGGAAGAAATAATAAGGAATTGTTGTGGCTGAAATAATATGTAATTACAGTTTGCTTTGCTAAATTTCAGGGAATTGACAATATTAGGCATGCAATTTGAAAATGAAAAACTCTAATGAATAACATGGTTGGTCCAGCATAGCTCTTACATTCAACACATTGCATAGCTCAGAAAGTTAGTATTTATAAACAAGCAAAATGTATGAAAAATGTGCCCTCTCTGTCTGTCACATTGAGCACATATTACAACATATTACATGGAATATTTAAATATCTATGAAATATCCTGAAGTAATGTAATATTAAATTATTAGCTCTTATATTTTTATGTATATTAAGTAACTTTGAAATCACAATATCCATGTGAGCAGAATTACAGTGGTGATTTCTCCAGGAAGTACGTAGAGACTTCTACCAGTGACTTTAACCCAAAGAATATAAATGTGCAGGAATACCCAAGTATAAATATGCAGGAATACCCAAATTCAAACATATAGTTGTGACTAAAATGTTTTGTGATCTTATGTTATATGACACTTTATAAACTTGGCACAACAACATGCATAATTATGTGCACACTAGTTATGGCATAAATCCAAAGCATTGCATTATACTACTGGCTAAATTTCATTGAGCCAACAATATTGGACATGGAGTTTGAAAATTGACATTGTAAAATAGAATACAGTAAATTTCGATTTAATAGGTTAATGCAGGTCAGGATGCTTTGAAATTTAAATAAATTCAACAGGGAATAAACACCCCATGTGCCCCTTCCCATCATATTCCTGACATCAAAGAGAGTAAGCCATAAGCATTAAATAAATACAAGTATAGACCTATAGCTATGCATTACAATGTCAAGCATAGTAAGCAGTAAGCACTTCAAGCTACTTACTTTAAAGCCCGCCAATTATCTCCCATATGGTTAGGGATAATCAACTCTGCGTTAAGATCTCTCGCCAGCTTTCCTTTTCGAAACAGGTCTGTTTTAGTCGGAATGGCAGCAGAGACTTTTGCTTCATAATCCTTTCTTACAGAAGAAATCTCGCTGGTTTAACTGTCTTGAATCAATGAGCCAAAATCGTATATATGCCTACTTTCAGCCATGATGACTTCAAGATATAAATAAGCCAAATGCGATAGTCATGTAATTATAATTTTGAAGGTTTGAAGATTTATAACGCTGGCTCAAGTGCACAAGTCAGAATGAAATTTTGGTGTTCGTGGGCTTAAGCATTGAGTTCTATAATAACTGGAGGGGCTAACTTTACTGGGGCGAGATGCCAAAAAAATGGCGGCCAACGGACGTATTTCCGCTGAAATGATCGCTTTGCAGAAAAATAATATTCTCGACCTCCCCCTGGTGTCTATAGTAAATTATAAAGAATTTTTCAAAAACAAACACGATATCACAGAATATGGATATCGTTAGTTCCATATTCTGTTGCGATATCTTTTTTGGCATTTCTTTTATAATGCCAACACTTCAATCGTTCAATTGTTGGATGTCGTAGTTTCCACAAAAAGGAACATATCGCTTCTCACAGGTGAGATAGTTGTTTGTTTTGTTAGTCCGTCAACGATTGAATAGCAATTCTACATGCACTTGAAAAGCCATAAAATACATATTACAGATCGTATTTTGTAAGACTGACTTGAACGCCAAATATACTGATGTTTTCCTGTTTTTGTTTATAAAATTCTGCATACTTTTCTGTCATTTGTTAATGCATGAAATCGTAAATTTACCCATTTATTTGCAAAATAGTTTCCCTAAAGCAAAAACGACCCTGCACACATTTTGCTCTGTGAGTAAGTATCAAAAAGAAATGATCATCCCCAACGGTACCCATGATTTGAAGCAGAGCTTGTTATGTTCTATTTGCTGACAACATGCAGGGAAGATCAAGGAGTAAAGATGACTGGAAGATGTTATTGACCAGGCAGAGTCTTAAAAAATGATAATGCTGTAAAGATAATTGATTTATTGTCTGCTCTATCCAGAGTTATTTAATTTGATCATGGTTAAATTCTATGGATGGAGACAATGGATTCACTAAGGATGCCTTGAATGCTTTGAAGTTAAAGTTCATGATCCAAAGAAAGATGGCAAGGTTGTGTGTGTTTTGATGCTTAATGAAATGTCAATTCACAAACATGTAAAATAGAAGGCCATAAAGTTTGTGTCTATGTAAAAATTTGTACTGAGATTGATGATGACTCAATGCAGATGTGAAGCTTCAAACTGTATAAGCCATTGGGTTTTATGTAACTTAATGTTTAAATCATGTCGTATCTTTATCAAAATATTTTAGTTGAGTGTTGTTTGAATGTTACTAATATCTAATGCACTATACTGAAGCATTAAAGATTCAGTGATGAAACCTTTAAAGTTACTGTACTGTATATTTCTTATATATTTCTTATATTTTTTTAAGAAACAGTGTGAGCTTATTTACCTATTAGAGTACAGAATGGAGATTTATCATATGCATTATTGCTGCTTTTTTAAAGAAAAGTTTTTCACTTTTCAAAGCTTTTCTACAAATTTTTTGCTTCTTATTTCTTATCATGAGATTGATGATATAGAGGTAATATAATACAATAATATTCTAATTTCTAAAAAGCTTTTAAGCTTCTAGCATAAAAGTACACTATAGGTATGTAATTCATTTGGTTTTATTGCCTTGCTATGACATATCTACTTGCACTTCATCATTCTTGTATGAACAAAACACCAGATGTGGATACTCAGAGAACAAAATGCACTACCAACTGCTTATGACATTTATTATTGAGGTGAAAACTGTGTTAATCATTCAAATTATAGTGCACTTATATTGCAAATATAGGAAAAACAAAACAAAGTGAAAAAGAAAGGTAGGAGTATTAAAACTACAAATGAATTATAAACACCATTGGAAGCATAAGAGTTTTGATGATTATTTGCATTTTGCCCAATTCATATATCAATACAACAAAATCAAAATGTGCTACAACTTTACAAGTATTTGATGCAGTTGCACTTCAGAACATCACAAAAAGGTTACTTAAAGTAATTTCTATACAATATAGTTTGTTTTCATTTACCAAACCTATGCAGACTTGAGTCTTTTTGAAATTTCATATGAAACTCAATTACAGAAAATCCATAAATATCCAGAGATTTAATATTTACTTTTTTAAAGAAACAAGTAAAAATCCTACAATTGTGGCGAAAAAGCCATTACCCATTGCATGAAAAGAAGCAAAATAACAATGATGAAAAATAAGCTAACTTCTCTCTCGTGAACCGTGGAGATGAACTATGATATACTTTTTTGTATAGACTAAAGAGTTTAATCAATCAAACAAGTTTGACGCTGGTAAGAAAACGACGCATATCTGCATTCATACATGTGTAGCCGACATATAGGTCTTTCATCGATAGTTATAAATGCATCCTCGTAGGAGCAGATAACTGACAACCACAGTTGACTCGCTGTTATGAATTTAAGGTTTTTACCTTGATTTTCATCAAAAAATTGCTTGCCGAATCCCAAATACACACATACATTTTCCTCACTCTTTCCTCAGGAGGGAGTGGGAAATTGTGAAATTTTCGGAAAAGCGGTCAATTTCGGTAAATCTCAGCGGCAACGGTCGAAATCCGCCATTTTTTTTACAACATCCGATATCTAAGGCCGCGCTTGAGATAGCCGCTCCAGTTATTATAGAACTCAATGGCTTAAGTGCAACAGTCAGCAGCGATTTCCCACCGTGACGTAGGCTAAAAAACAATGAAATTCGTGACGTTTAGGTGGTTCACTCGGCCAAAGAGACTCGGGACTGTTGCACCAACTGGTGCACTTTTTCCCCACCGTGACGTAGTGATTCACTATCTAGCCCATTGAGTTCTATAATAACTGGAGGGGAAACGTCAACAAAATTAGTATAAATTATTAGCGCGCGGCCGCGTGGTCAAAAACATGGCGGATTTTGGTGGTCAAAGTCAGCGGAGAGACGCGGGCTCATGAAATAAAATTTTTGTCGCCCACCCTGATTTGACCACCACGATAGCGAGTATAGAAAATATCAAAACTATTTATTTTCCTAACATAAACACTTTTTTAAAACTTTATTTATTAAACTGCCAACTTTTGGTTTGCGGATGCTGAAATAGCGACAGAAAAGGGAACATTTCTTGACTCCGGTAAGTAGCACAGTATTAGTTTTACTATTTTGTTTTTAACACGATACTTGAAGAGTGTTTCTACTACTAAGTTTTAATTTAAAGTTATTTTGGTCCAGTCTTGTTTGTTCTTCACTTAATCGCTCGCCAGACGTGGCGAAGCTGTCAATTTTTCTCGAGTTTTGCATCCATCTTGTATCATGATCAAGGCATCAAGCTAAACTCTCCTGATTTGAATTGAGTTTACCTCCCAAAAATGGGGCATAATTTGTTCATGTTTTTTTTTGAAAAGATGAAGTGAAAGTTTACAACAGAGTTGTGTTGAAATTGAATGCAGTGCCATGCAAAATTAATGAGAACTATGGTATATGTTGTATAATAAAAATAACTATTAAACTGTTTGCCTGCTCAATTTGACTGACTGTTTTGTGTAGACAATTATAATGAGATTGGAAAGTTGGATTTATGCAAACAATTTTAAAGTACTACTTAGCGTTTCTGTAAATGAAGTATTTATTATTATAGTAAACAGGTTAATACTTCAAAACCAAGATGAAAGTAGTGTGTGTTGAACAATGTGCTAAGATTTGTTTCTACCTTGAAATTTTTGTTCAACAGTGGCTTATGATTATATCATTAATATGCATGAAAAATTAAACATATTATTGTTTCATCTCATTAAATCCATACTTGGTATGATTCCAGGTGATCCACAAATTCACATCAGATGCATTGGTTACAATGAAGTTGAATGTAGAAGAAGCAAAAATAGATGGCAAAGAAATTCTTTGTGTCTTATGAAGAATTAGTAGAAATCAATAAAAAAAATTCTCTAAACAAATTGTAAACAAATTTCAATTTGCTCATGGTCAAGCAACCTAGTCAAAGAAGGAAAGTCTGTCTTCAGCATGTGACCTTTCCAATTATTTAGTTTCTTTGTACAAAATACTATTTTCGAGAAACTTGATTTGTAAGTCTTTCATTAATATTTTTTTACCAAGAGATAAAAGGAACTAATTCAAAGGCTTGATATAAAATACAAAGATTTAACAAGTTATTTATCATTTAATTCCCAAATGTTAGTTTGTACATATAAATAATTAGTATTGGTAGCTGTAAGTTGTTTAAGCAAAACAGAAGAGTAGTAGTGCTCAAGGGGGTTAGCATTTTTGAAAAATTATATCTTGTTCATGACATATATTACACAATTACAAAAAACTGTAAGTAATGCACAATAATATCTATAGAACTTGATATTTCTTCACCTACACTGTCAAATAACTATTTTGCCTTCATGCAGCAATAGACAGTGTTTTGTCAGAGAAACCAATGCACTTTAGTTTCCAAGTTTGTAATTTCAATGGAAAATTAATGTAGTTCTGTTCAGTAATAGATCCAAGATTCTGCAAGCTGTTTACAAAATACAAATTACCAAGCAACAGTGTCATGGTGTTTTGAATTTTTTCTTTTGTAGCTCTTCTAGTTCAACATACTTTCTTTATGAGTTTTCATTAGATTTATCAGGTAATGACAATACACTTATGATACTTATCCATGGTAAATTTTCAGTTGACTTATGTCGTAGGACTGAAGCAAACATTTTCTCGCTTCCTTAGGAGCATTTTAACACAGATTTATCCATTTGAGCAAGAAAAATAGTTGCACCAAACTGTTTAGAAACAGTAAACACACAGAAGCATGAAATAATGTATACGTTTGATGAGATTGACAGGTCTACTAAAGAATGCCGTTTGATTTTCACTTTTAAAAGGTTAAAATGTCATAAAATAACTTAAATGTTACATCCAAAATATGCGTTTCTCTACCGTCGATTTTCTTTATTTTGATGTGTGTCTGTACTGTGTTTTTCACGCAATGCTGAAGCATTATTTTCACATGATATGCTGTCGGTATCGTAATTGTTTTTTTTTCTCACTTGTTTTCGTTCATACAAAGAGTATTAGAAATCAGGAGGGAGTGAATATTGAAAAAAATTTTTAAAGTGGAAGTTTTGACCACCAAAATCCGCCATTACCGCCATGTTTTTGACCACGGGGTCCAGGCCATTGAGTTCTATAATAACTGGAGCGGCTATCTCAAGCGCGGCCTTAGATATCTGATGACGCCAAAAAAATGGCGGATTTCGTCCTTTGCCGCTGAGATTTACCGAAATTAATCGCTTTTCCGAAAATTTCACAATTTCCCACTCCCTCCTGAGGAAAGAGCGAGGAAAATGTATGTGTGTATTTGGGATTCGGCAAGCAAATTTTTGATGAAAATCAAGATAAAAACCTTAAATTCATAACAGCGAGTCAACTGTGGTTGTCAGTAATGTGCTCCTACGAGGATGCATTTATAACTATCGACGAAAGACCTATATGTCGGCTACACATGTATGAATGCAGATGTGCGTCGTTTTCTTACCAGCGTCAAACTTGTTTGATCGATTAAACTCTTTAGTCTATACAAAAAAGTATATCACAGTTCATCTCCACGGTTCACGAGAGAGAAGTTAGCTTATTTGTTATCATTGCTATTTTGCTTCTTTTCATGATGCAATGGGCAATGGCTTTTTTCGCCACAATTGTTGGATTTTTACTTGTTTCTTTAAAAAAGTAAATATTAAATCTCTGGATATTTACGGATTTTCTGTAATTGAGTTTCATATTAAATTTCAAAAAGACTCAAGTCTGCATAGGTTTGGTAAATGAAAACAAACAATATTGTATAGAAATTACTTTAAGTAATCTTTTTGTGATGTTCTGAAGTGCAACTGCATCAAATACTTGTAAAGTTGTAGCACATTTTGATTTTGTTGTATTGATATATGAATTGGGCAAAATGCAAATAATCATCAAAACACTTATGTTTCCAATGGTGTTTATAATTCATTTGTAGTTTTAATATTTCTACCCTTCTTGTTCACTTTGTTTTGTTTTTCCTATATTTGCAAATAAGTACACAATTTGAATGATTAACACAGTTTTCACCTCAATAATAAATTTCATAAGCATTTGGTAGTGCATTTTGTTCTCTGAGTATCCACATCTGGTGTTTTGTTCATACAAGAATGATGAAGTGCAAGTAGATATGTCATAGCAAGGTAATATAACCAAATGAATCAAATACCTATAGTGTACTTTTATGCTAGAAGCTTAAAAGCTTTTTAGAAATTATAAAGTTACTGGATTATATTAACCATATATCATCAATCTCATGAAAAGAAATAAGAAGCAAAAAATTTGTAGGAAAGCTTTGAAAAGTGAAAAACTTTTCTTTGAAAAAGTAGCAATAATGCATATGAGAAATCTCCATTCTGTACTTTACTAGGTAAAGAAGCTCAAACTGTTTCTTAAAGCAAAAACTGTTATAATGAAGAAATATACAGTGCAGTAACTTTAAAAGTTTCATCACTGAATCTTTAATGCTTCAGTGTAGTGCATTAGATATTAGTAACATTTATACAACACTCAACTAAAATATTTTGATAAAGATATGACATGATTTAAACATTAAGTTATATAAAACCCAATGGCTTATACAGTTTGATGTTTCACATCTGTATCAAGTCATCAATCTCAGTACAAATGTTTATATAGGCACAAACTTTATGGCTTTCCCATTTTATATCTTTGTGAATTGACAATTCATTAAGACACACACACACACAACCTTGCCATCTTTCTTTGGTTCATGAACTTTAACTTCAAAGCATTCAAGGCATCCTTAGTGAATCCATTGTCTCCATCCATAGAATTTGACCATGATCAAATTAAATAACTCTGGATAGGGCAGACAATAAATCAATTATCTTTACAGCATTATCATTTTTTTCAGACTCTGCCTGGTCAATAACATCTTCCAGTCATCTTTACTCCTTGGTTTTCCCTGCATGTTGTCAGCAAATAGAACATAACAAGCTCTGCTCCAAATCATGGGTACTCTTGGGGCTGATCATTTCGTTTTGATACTTTTTTGCTTTAGGGAAACTATTTTGCAAATAGATGGGTAAATTTACGACTTCATGCATTAACAAATGACAGAAAAGTATGCAGAATTTTATAAACAAAAACAGGAAAACATCAGTATATTTGGCGTTCAAGTCAGTCTTAAAAAAACGATCTTTAATATGTATTTTAATGGCTTTTCAAGTGCATGTATAATTGCTTTTCAGTTTTCAATCGTCGACGGACTAAAAAACCAAGCAACTATCTCACCTGTGAGAAGCGATATGTTCCTTTTTGTGGAAACTACGACATCCAACAATTGAACGATTGAAGTGTTGGCATTATAAAAGAAAGGCCAAAAAAGATATCGTCACAGAATATGGAACTAACGATATCCATATTCTGTGATATCGTGTTGGTTTTTGAAAAATTCTTTATAATTTACTACAGACACCAGGGGGAGGTCGAGAATATTATTTTTCTGCAAAGCGATCATTTCAGCGGAAATACGTCCTTTGGCCGCCATTTTTTTGGCGACCTCGCCCCAGTAAAGTTAGCCGCTCCAGTTATTATAGAACTCAATGGTCCAGGCCCAATGATCTAGTACCCATTCTACTAGATACCTGACTCAGCCAAATTTGTATAGTAATGAGTGAGGCAAATTTCTACGCGGCCGCCATTTGCAAAGGTGGCAAAAGCCCAATGGCGGCATATAAAAAGATTAAGTCTGTGCTGAGAGAAATCGACTTTGAGAGCGTTTTTATGATGCTGTTCTACTGAAGTTGCATTAAAAATGGTGAGTAATTTCTTTAATATTGTTAAAATGTGTAAAATTTTTAAATACTTGAGATAGAGCGGTCTTAACGTGTATTTTGCGACCATAAACTAAAGGCTGAGAGTTACATAAGTATGAACTACTAATCGTGAGTATTTATTAATTTACTTCTTCTTTGCTGTTCTCTATGCTTTTATCGTAAACCAAAACATATTTACAGAAAAAGCGACAAAATCGCATAACAGCTATCCAGAACTTTGATTTGAACACAACGTTTACGGTTTATATGAATTATTTTACCTGAACAACATAATTTTAGATCTATTAACAATATGACTGCATCGTTGTAAAATGCGCTTATTTTCACTATTTACAATAAACCACTATTAATTATTTTTTAGGATTTACATTTCCTTGGTTGTGGTGTGGATGTTCATCGAAGTCGACTAGATTCCTTGAAATAAAACAAGCTTCGTAGATTGCTGGCGAACACCAATTTTGTTTTGTGGAGGATATCTTTATTATATTGCTTACCATAGGTCGAAAGTCGTAAATTGATGTATTTTTCAATGATCTGTTTGATAAGCTGTGATGAATGTAGATCTTCAGTTATTGCTTCGTGATCAACATCATGCTCGTTGAGTTCAGGAAACAAGCTCTTTTCTGCAAGCTCTTGGTTAATAAGATGAACCATTATAGTCTTCAAGTTTCTCCTGCTGGAAATTTTTTGTTTTTTTGAACGAGTTTCATGAATGAGGACTTGAAAAGCTCTTTCAGATGCAAATATTATTTTGGTCACACCATTAGAAGGGAGAACAAGACCACCACGATTCTTCAAACTGATTAAAGATAAAGATGTAGTAGTTTGGAAGTGTGAATAATTATGATCATGAACTGATGATGATTTTTTTGAGTTGAGCAAAAGAGCTCTTGCACATTCAGTACAGATGATTCTATTGATTATCTTTTTTCAAGAAACCCAGCAATATATCCAAGTATTGCTTCTTTGTATGATGACAGTGAACATGATTCTAATCCAGAAACTAAACTACTGACATATTGTGTGTCCTTTGGTGTCATCTCTTCTACTTCAAAGGCTGGAGCATTTCTTTTATTCCATTTTAATGAAAAAATAGAACCAGCAGATTCATTTTCGAAAGTCAAACAGTTTGCATGCTTGGAACCAATGATGGAATTTCTTAAAAGAATTTTTCGTAGACTGTACTTAAATTGTACAATATCTGGATTATTGTTGAAGCCATTCTTCCCATGTATGCATGCAAACAGCAGCTCAAGGTGGTCTTGGGACATTTTGTATGTCAGAATGTATTTGAAAGGATCATGTTCCCTTGTAAGGAGAATGTGAGCCAACTCTTTAATGCTCGATGCTGCTACTACAAAACCGAGAACAAATGTTTTTCTTCTATGTTTGATCAGAGGAACACCAGAGTTTGTTTTAAGGGAAAAAAGGTATTCAATTGACTTTTCCAAAGTTTTTTTCCATGTGTTGTGATCACATAAAAAAAGTGGTTTTTTAAAACATTTGCCAAATGGACTTCGTATGTTTAATATGTCAAAAAGTTGATCAACAATCCTTATGAATTCTATTGTTGCACTCGCATCACTAAGAGCTGGATGACCAGAAAGCATCAGGTATTCAATGGCATCTGCAACTGAACTGCTGAATGTTTCTGCTGCAACTTTCACATTCATCTTGTGCCTATGGAACTCAATGTGTCCCGTGGACAGCTTATTTGCAAATTTTAACCCTTCTCCCTCTTGAACTTTATGCAGCACTTCAATATGCTCCCATTTGATCAAACTACCTTCACTCGAAACCAGTACTTTAAGATCGGACAATGCATTTCTTGCCAGTTTTAGCATGTGACAAGCATCAGGAACAAAAAACAGTGGGTGTTCATATGACTCATAGTTAAAAGAGTATTTAATGTCAGACAAATTTGATCCAAACTCACAACCAAGGGCTTTCATGCAATCAAAATTGGTGGCAGTACCGTCACAAGTCACACTGTAAATATTTAGCCCATGTGAAGATGCTAAGCGAAACGATTTGCTAACCAGTGCACTCAAATTTGAAGAATTTATTCCACTACATAACACGTAACCAATAGGACATTTCCAATGTCCTCTTAAACCAACTAACATAAACACAAGAGCTTCAGTAGCAACCTTGTCTGGATCAAAAGCAACAACATCCGCACCAAAATTGACAAACCCTTCATAATTTCCTTTACTTCTGTTGTAAACAACCCCTGACTTAATGTACATACCATCAAAAAGAAGAGCGCAGTCCCTATACTCCGGATTATTTCTTGCTTTTTCTTGTAGAAATGAAAACACATCATCAAAAAACCCTGGTTCACAGTTTACACTGGAAGTCCAGTTTGAGATAGCGCTTGGACATGGCAATGTAAAAATCGTGCGTACAAAATTGTACGCTCGTGGAGAGTAAAAATTAAGTGTTAACGCAAACTTTTTAACTTCGTCTGAGTATCGACGGCCTGTAGCAGCACGATTTTTGTTCTTTAGGTCTGATTTTAAAATTTCCCCACCTACTCCTGAAAAGTTGTTATCGAGAATTGAAGCTGCGTCTGATGAAATAAATTTCTCTTTTTCAAGCTTTTTCACCAAACTACTTAGCGACTGAATTTTCGTTTCCTTACGTCGTAACTTTTGCTTAAGAGTTTTTATTTTTCTTCGCAATTTTTTTTCCTGGGACTACTTGCTACAGCATTTTGCGTTGGTATTGTCTCTTCTATTAGACTTTCCTCGAGCAAATCTATTTTAGCTTTTTTAGCGCTTGGTGATGATGTTTCTGTCTCTCTTCCAGCAGGAGGCTTTCTTTTTGACTTTTTACATAGTAGTCTCTCCGGAAAAGCGAACACTGAAGGTATCGCGTCTAACTTTAACTTGCGTTTATAGGCATTTTCAGTGTTATAATCATCGTGCAAAAAATGATCGCTGCAAAGAAAACTGCTTGCGTTTGGGGTAAAGTTTTTTCTTTTCATAGCAATGACCCATCTTTTACAGAGGTCCTTATTTTCAATGGGAAATTTGTGAAAAGCTATGTTACTCTCTTTCGAAAAGCGATTTGTACATCCATACGCGGCGCACGATTTGACCATGAAAAATCGAAAATTACGCGCTTTGCAGCTAAAATGTACTTCTTGAACGTTGTTTTAGAGTTGAGGATGTTATACCTGTGTTTGTTTTTAAGATTGATTGCTTTCAACGTTTTTCAACCATATATTTGAGTCAGTTTGACATGTAAACTATACTACCGTATATTGCGTGTTATGTTTTTTGCCACCTTTCAAGATGGCGCCCGCGAATAAAATTTGCCTCACCGTGACAACGGCAGTTAGATATCTAGAGGATTGGGTATAAGTCATTGTCCAGGCCCCTTTGCCCCTCCAGGTTTTATAGAGCTCAATGAGTAAATCCCATTCGAGTGCGGTGATTATTCGAGGTTACTTTCGAAAACACGGAGTTTCGGAGTTGTATCCCTGACTGATGTTGACACTGGATGACTGGATGTTGATACTTCGCAATGTGACATTGTCAATGGCGATTTCTTTGAGCTGTTCCTGAAATATTTCTGAGCATTGTATCGAGAATGAGGTAAGCATGTGCCGACTGATTTTCGATTTTGATTCTGCGTGGGGTTTAACATTCATGCTCGCCAACCCCACGTGATAAAATCATATTCTCATTGTCGAAAAATACCCATTTTTTTGCCGTTATGTCGCATGAGTTTATTCGGATTACTTTTTGCTCATTCATTGATTGAGTGGTAATAATATTGTGGCTAAATTTAGTAACATTTAGATCACTTATAGTACATGCAAAATTACTTTACTGTGGTAAGACAAGCAGTCAAATATTGTAATTTGTTTGCACTTTTAGGAGTAGAGGTGGCCGACGTGGACGAGGGGGCTACGTTCAGCAGGCATTTTATCGACCCGTACTTGGTCAGAGATTTGTTGTAACACACACACCGTTTGACCTTGTTAAGGTCGTATTCACTCAGTTTTCAAGATTTCATTCCCACATTTTTACTTTTTTGATAAACAGCGGACATACTCAAAATTCATTCGTCAATTTTTCAGGCATCAATCTCATTTCAAAGAGCTGCTCCAAAAGCTGATGAGAATGCGCTTACACAGGTTTTAAAACATGAGCTGATCTTGTGATAATTTGAATGCAGCAAAACTATGTGATTATGTTTTCAATGCCTAGGCTATTTTGAAACGAAATCAAGAGCTCACACCTCCATCTCATGAGCAGGTACAAAGCTAAGAATATACAGAACAAATGTTTAACAATTATTGGATGAGGTTGTGCATGGTATCAAAAATTATTCAGACCCAGGTCAATTTTTTTTGCTAAATATTAGAGGTAGATATTGGTCTGATTCTTGATATCATGCGAAAGCAGAATTCAGTACTTGTTTTATTATACAATTTTAAAAGCGAATGCTTTCAAAATATTTTGTATGGAAACCATAAAGTTATTTCTGCTTCCACATATTTGAATTTGAGCGAAAACTATTTGTAAAAGCACTTGCAAATCTTAAGCAAGATTCTGCCATTATATTTTTTGTGTTGTCAGTTGGTACATTAGGAATTATACCACCTACTGACAATTTCCAAAGTTTTATAGGTGGCAAGACATTAAGAATTATCTTTTCGCTCTTAGCTGATCGCAATTGAGATGCATGAACTTTGTGTATTAAATTTTTTCATTTACTAAAGCAAACATCTGCCTTTCTCTTCAATGTAGGCAGCAGTTTTGAACTTGGTCACAAAAATCACTGATATTATCGATACACTGATAGTTTGCCCCAATGCAGCTGATCTTGTAAGTAGTAGTGTACATTTTGTATGCCCAAAATTTGTGAAGTTCAGTTTTAGTTATTGAATTGGTTTCATCAATAAGCTTGGTTCCTAGCAGTAGCTGCAGCTTGGTTTTCAAAACAACTTTAACTTTGTTTTGTAAGCGTTTTTGCCATTTACATGTGTCAAGTAATTTGAAAGTTTACTGTACATCACTGTATGTAAATAGCAATTATGGATTGGGGGGTTGGGACTTTTCTATCTAATATGGACATTTACAAAAAAGTTGGTCCCATAATGTAGAACACCTCCAAATTTTTTGGGGAGGAGGTGTGTGCCTTTGGCACCAATGCTTTGTGTGGAAACTGCAATGTGTTTAACAAGGGCAGAACTATGCCCATCTGACAGTGTGCTGAATTTTCCTAGGGCTTCATTAGTGTGCTAGCAATAGAATGCCTAGGACCTGTGGCTATTGTTATTTTTGTACATTGTGATAACAATGTTTTATTTTTACTGAGTCTCTCTGAACAACTTTCTTGCCTCAAGTAATATTATTGTAAGTTTTCAAATTTTTTCAGTAGTGCCAAACAATTTTTGGGTGCAATGCCCTTTATAAACTTGAACCCTGTATTTAAGAAAAAGCTTGAAACTCTATGTTGAGGAAGGAAGTTAAATTGCATACATATTTTTTAAAATATTTTAGGCAATCGAAGAAATTCGACCAGTTGGTTCATACAAAAAGGGAACAATGATAGCAGGTCGTCCTGTAGCTGATCTCACTGTAATTTTGAAAAAGCTACCAACAAGTACGTATGGACATTTTTGAACTTGATTGTTGTTGTTTGCATATTGTAATCAGGCTTTGTGTTTTTTTTAATCTGAATTGTAATTTCCCTATCACATTCAACGTTTGTTTTTTTTAAGCTGATCACATCCAGGTAGTTGCCAATGAAATCCATGGCAAGTTGAAAGAACCAGATCTAGGATTAGAAGGTATGATTATGAAGTAGAACGTCTTTTATTCAAAGAAGAAACTCTCAATGACAATTAGATCATGATTAATTTCCATTTAAGTACACCTTACACTACCGCTCGCGTATTTGTTAACATAATTTTGCGTATGATACGATGAACAAGTTCTATCAATTATCACAGCGTTTCATCCTTGTATCATACGTACGCTTATCGTTCACGCATTATACGCGTATCGTTCTCGTATCATACGCGTATCGTTCTCGTATCCTACGCGTATCGTTCTCGTATCATACGCGTATCGTTCTCGTATCACACGTGTATCGTTCTCGTATCATACGCGTATGTTTTTCGTATGATACGCGTATGATTTTCGTATGATACGCGTATGATTTTCGTATGATACGCGTATCATACGCGTAGCGTATGTTAACAAATACGCGAGCGGTACTGTATGTAAAGTAAATGGTTTGAACCCGGGAGTATCGTTACATGTTTGTAAATGTAGATCGTCCATGTTGGTATAGTCCTGAGAAGGACTGTTTTTGTTGTTGTTGACTGATGTTTCAACAACCTTAGCAAAATTTTCGACAAAATTTTGACTCTGAAGATGACTACCGCTAAGGTTGTCGAAACGTCAGTCAACAACAACAAAAACAGTCCTTCTCAGGACTATACCAACCTGGACGATCTACATTTACAAAAACATACGCCTTATGTATTTACAATTTAGATGTATCTCTGCAAGTGACTGAAGGAGGTACGGTAACTATTGTTGTGTGAGGACAGTTGGTTTTCCTCAATATTAACCTGCTACTCTTTTCAGGATTTACATATGGACATAATGGTATTGTTGTTCGGATTTTGATTACAACCTTACCGAGAAATCTTCATGCAGCACGTGGAGATTCTCAAGGTAAGTGATTGGTGGGAAAAAAATTTGAAAACTCTTCTTTTTTGCAGACCAAAAATAAACCTGTCTGTATGCTTTGCAGTTGATTTAAAGCTTCTTGAAGGTGGCCTAGCAACAATTCGCCACTCTCGATGGTTTGAGGAGAATGCTTTTCATACAACGTATGTCCATATTGTAAATTATAATAAACTACCCAGAACATACTCATTTTCAAGAATGTTTTTGTTAAAAAATTTAGCATTCGTATCCTTGTTCGTATTCTTAAAGACTTGAAGAACAGATTCAATACTAGTGGTCTGCAAAATTTAACACCCTGGCTTATTGACCTTTTGGTAATGGAACACCTCATGATTTGAGTTTTTAGACTTTGTTCATTTGAATGACTTTTTGCAAGTTTTGCATAGTAATATTTCAAACAAAATTTGTGTCTTAGGCTCATCGTGCAACCATGGCAAACGAACCAGTAACAATAAATGTTGCTTTCAGGTAAAAAGCATTGGGATTTTATGGTTTAGTATTATCCATAATTGTTTTTTCTTTGTTGTATTGTTTGTCGTTTTCAAAGCTCATTTCTGAACTTTTTGTGTAGGCGAGCTTTACAGCTTTTAGCTTCTGGTCTGTTTCTACCAGGGTCGCTTGGCATAATTGATCCTTGTGAGGTACTGCATGATGTGCACCATCGAAATTTCATTGTACCTGTTTCTGGATAGCCAAAATTATATGGCATAACCTATTTTTGAAGAAGTCATTGTTTGAAGAGATATGATCTGAATTTTTTAGTCTGGAAACGTTCGAGCTCAAAGTGTTTTGAGTCTAGATGACCAAGTATGTTGTCATCTTTATTTGAATTTTCAAGCAGAGTCAGTCACTAGGTGGAGGGAAAAGGGACCCCCCCCTCCTAACAGATTATTGATTTTTTGGTAAAACCTGTGTCAGTTTGTGTGATTTTTTAAGGTAGCCAATAACTTAACATTCATTAAGGTTTGGATTCTGGTACATGTACTGGATAGTACATGTTCATATTAAATTAAGTTAAATTTAGTCATTTAGATTTGAGTTATTTAAATAGATTGTCCTTTCAACTCCACTGTCCAAAATCTCAATTTGTCATTCTTCTCGTTTTTCAGGGTACCTCCCCACCCCTCCAGATATTTGTTAAGTGTCTTCCTTGTTTTTGTTCATAAAAACATCAAATGAAACATCTTGCTCCTTTTACAGGATGACATCACTACAGCAGCACAGACGCTACTAAGATGCCTGTCTCATGGTGCTGTGAATGAAATTCTTGGTTTGGTATGTACTGTATATATGTACTGTGTATTTGAATAGATAAACTACTTAAGTTCTGTTGAACATTGGCTTGTTTAGTAGTTTGTTGCTCTTCCTTTTTACTTAGAAATACATAACAATTATTTGCATGGAAATCTTTCACTTCGTTTGTGTTTAATTCCAGGTACCTGAAGCAATACCAGCTGTTGGTAAGTAATTCATAGCATGAATTGAACTTTTCTCATACACAAAGGCAGATCTAGCTATATGCTAAATAAATTACTTCGACCCATTGATTGGTTCATTTTTATTCTTAAGATATATATAACCAATAACTTTGTTTTTAAAGAATTTATTTTAAATTTAAAATTTGTGGTTCTGCTACTGCTTGCACCCTGTAAACCCATAAGCCCTCTCCAACATGTAAGCCCTTCCCCGCTCTCAATGCATAAGCCCTACCGTGAATGAACCCATCACTAACACTCAACTCATTCAACAGAAAAGACAATTAAGTTATAAGTCTATTAACATATTAACATGTACTTAATGTGACATATCATGCATGTGTGGATATGAGCCCTTATTAATCTTCCTATGCTCATGTTCTGTAAGCATAACTTCTATCTTCAAATAATAGGTTCTACAATTGTAAGCAATTGAAGTAACTGCCCGACAAGGTCACATTAGCTGAAGTTTTGAAATTGTTTTGCATGGAAATGTGTTGTTTCTCTGCCAACTTGAATATCATACTCAACCTTATGCAGTAATTCCTTGACATTTAGTGGTGTAATGTTGAGAGGCCGGTGCAGTATAATATAGCCCCCCTTCCTAGCTTCCAGCATATAGGTCGTCTTATGTTTAAACTCATAAAAAGGAGCTAACAGGGATGGTGGTTGATTTCCTGATCAAACATATCAATTTCACATAATCTTTAATGGGTAAACACTTTCAGCAGTTGACTCAGAAATCACAAGTTGGGGTGGCGTAATTGTTACACCCGGTTCCAAGGCATACAAGAAAGAAGAAGAAAAGCCAGATGGAGAAGAGAATATGGAAAGTGATGAAGCCCTTGGAGATGACACAGGAAGATCCGCTTCAGATAGGATGTCCTTGGAAAATTCTCAACCTGCAGAAGGCAGTTTGGAAGAAAATATGGAAACGACAACATGATGTAAAAATCATGATTGGACACTACCTTTGCGGTATTCTGATATATACAGGATAGAGACCCTGGTTTCCATTTGTCTTTTGTTCTTTTTACAATAAAGTATTCTTTAGACATCATTCAGTGCATCTCTTTTTTTTATTGCACAACCTGCTAATAGCACAATGATCATAAAATTTATCATATTTCTTGTCAGAATAGTTTCACAATTCATACTAGCTGAAAATTCTCTGTCGAAAATTCTCAGTCTAATTTTCCATTTCATAATTTATTATCCTACGTTTTATCGTCATTATTTAGTTCAAATTGATATGGTTGAAAAACAACTGGTCGTACAAACAATCGTTGTCTTTCAAAGCCAGCCTTCATCTCCAACATATCTTTGCCAATATTCACAATTCGACCCGTCAGTTCCATACTTCGCTTCTGTGCAATGGCTTCGATAAGTTTTGTTGATCGAAATGGCACTTTCGTTATCATGGAAAGAGAATGAACTTTCCCCTTGACACTGCGGAGCGAAAATATCAGAAACAACTTGGACATTTTGGCTTTGTCTCCACCATAAGCCGAATTCGTTGTGGCATTCAGATCGACGATCTCCTTTGGCTTAATCTGAAGAGTGATCCTTGGTGCGATGAACGACAATGAATAAAGAGATCTGCTGATCTGCTTCACACAAGATTCTCCGCAATCTTGTAGGATTTCCTCCGCAGTTGCCCCCAACTTGAATTTTGTACCAAAGTCTTTGTTTACCAAAAGAACGGGCGAACACAAATATACTTTGAAAGTCGGAAAGAGCAGAAACGGTAGAAATATAAGGATGATGAATTTATATGAATGTCTCAGATAATCACGGAAATAAAGACAAATCGCCGCGGTGAGGAAAACCGTCGCCAACAAGAACAAGTATGACAGTTGAAAGTTCTTAGTGAAAATCGATAAGCCTTCAGCAGCATACATCATGCCAGGAAATGCGAATAACGCGGTAAATGCCAAATATTTCCAACGCGAAGGCTCATCACTAGTGCGTTTTGACTCGCTATACTGTTCTGTCTTGTTTACTTTCTTTCGCCTCATCTTTCCACACCAATAATTCTTTTAGATTTGTTCTTTTGGTTTTAATCAAGTGAACACTCCATTTTCCAGAGAAGAGGCCACAACGCGTCACGCGTGTTTCATTCATTGTCATTTTATTTCAGATTTATTTGGATTTATTTAAGGATTTATTTCGTTCATCTTACGTCGGTAATCGACAGCTTTACGGTAACTTCCGATGTCTTGAGTTGATGTTTGAGAAGCTTTAAACTTTAAAATTGCTAAAATTATTTTTTTCCAATAACATAAGGCAAATTTCATATTATACATATAAACAGCACGATTCAAATGCATAAGAAGATTGATGTTGATTGATTAAATAAAACTGCCTTAAAAAAGTCATTTGTACACTGTAAATGATCCAATAATTACCCCTTCCCCATCAAAGAAACCCCTCCTATCCCTACAAAAACGCATACAGACATACCCCTTCTTAAAGCGTTTGCTTTTATTTGACACCTCGCTGCAATAAATGCCCTCTCCCTAGCTAAAACCCCTCCCCCCCCCGCATGGGAAAAGAAATCGAATTTTTCGTCTTTGTTTTATTTTTGTTTGTTAAAGAAAGGAAATAAAGCTCCTCTTTATGAAATGCCTCGGATAGTCGCATCTACCAACCACTCCATCCTCATCCCCTCTCCAAGATGCGTTAGCTTCGGCTAGGACAGAAATAATCGATTTTTTACATAAAAAGTGGCAGCACTGAATTTTCATTTCAATTTTTCGCGGGCAGATGGAAATTTGGCGGGAAAATCTCTTCAAGTTGTTTGTTCACGAGATTGTTGACATTGTGCAGGTGGATGCACTTTTGTGAAATCATTTTTAGAAAATGCGTCTTGCGACTCACGAGATTTCATGGCATGGAAAGTTTCGTGTACTCAGTGTAGATTTTGCGTCGAACGACAAATTAGTGCGTTTGGCCACTAGTGGAGATGATTCGAATATCCGGGTATGGTATGGATTTTAGCTCGGATTCTAGGATGTATACACAACCATGAGTATCATCGACTATATACTAAAATTTAAAACTTTCTTTAATCGATAAGCAAGTCGACAATATTATACGTTACTACCATTGTGTTAATGAAGTGTTGCATTAAAAATCTTTATAAGTTGTGCTGATGAGAAGAGATGAACCATTATAATAATGGCTTGATTTGACAAAACAATTGCTTTGTTCATCATGTATACCACATATGGCATTATACTTTGATGAATGAACGTCGGTACTATCGATCTGTGTTCTTTGGAGCTCAAGATCCTCACCTCGTTGATGATTGTAATCTTCATGAGAACCTATGGGACTTCAAGGAAGCGAAATTCTCAAAGCCATGACCCCAGTCACTTTCAGAATCAGCAACACATGTATTAAGGGGAGGGGGGATGCAGTGGTGTAGCCGGCTCACTGGATTTAGTCTTTCTATGTAGATTCAGAGCATTGTCATTATTCAATTCTTTACAAATTTGCTGTTTTTACACTCAGCAAACACCAAAGCATATGACAGTGATGTAGTACTTTTGGTATTTTTTGTAGATCTGGTCGGTTCTTTCTCATAATGAGACCGATTCAAAGGTGGAGTTCTTATCTAATCTCTCTCGTCACACAAAGGCTGTAAACATTGTAAGATTTGCACCTGAAGGGAACATACTTGCATCTGGAGGAGATGGTAACATGAATTGTTTGTTTTTACTGATGTTCTTTAAAGCATTTATCATATTCACGTGAAAACTGTATCCTTTAGATTGCTATGTCATCCTTTGGATGCTAAGTGAGAAAGAATCAGAGCTGTGCAACAACAGCATGAACAATGAAGACATGGATAACAAAGAATTCTGGCGTGCTACGAAAATCCTTCGGTATTTGATTTGTCTCGTTTCACTTTGCATTTCTTGGTTCTAAAGTGCCTATGAAACAAAAGTTATATCATCTTAAACAAGTTTCGTAAAGCGTAATGGATTTTCTTTTCAACATCAATCTTTACATATGCCTACTTCAGGAATTATTAACAATTTTGAGACATTTACATTGGAGAACTCATGTTCTGTCATTTCCTCATCTATGTGTCTTAAAACATGTTTTGTTTTGTTGTTCTGCTGCAAATTTTCTTGTCTTTTTTCGAAGAGTGATGTGTGATGTGAACTGATCACCTACCTAATTAAAGCAAATTTGTTTAATTTTGGCTAAAGTAAAGGCAAATAACGAACGTGCTGAATTGTTAACTTGGAAACGACTGAACATATATTTTCTAATATCACAATCTTTCTAACTTCCAGAAATCTAAAGCTAGGCACGCAAACAATAATGTTAAAAAGAAAGTCCATTGCAGTTTTTGGGCATTTTTAAAATAAGACTATAAAAAATTTTGTGTCATGTACACTTAAGAGTTCAGTTTTTCCAAAAGTTTTGCAACTTTATTTATATGGTCATGAAGCAACATTTCTGTCATCAAAGTGAAATGTGTGTTGTCATCGCGAAATCCTTGCCATCTGCAGAATCCAAACATCTGTCACAATTCAGGATGTTCAACAATTTCAAGAACACTTTACTTCGCTTGTTTCGCAGGGGTCATATAGAAGATGTGTTGGACATAGCCTGGTCTCCGAATGCCTCTCAATTGATTTCTGGCTCTGTTGATAACAGTGTCATAATATGGGACGTCATCAAAGGTGATTGTAAGAACGTCGTAGTGACGTTTACAGAGATGGACTCTTTACTAACACTCTGTATGTAGCTAACACTGTAACACTACGCTTCTTTTGTATCACAAGGAGAAAAAATGCGAATGTTGACCGATCATCGTCAGTACGTGCAGGGAGTATGTTGGGATCCCTGTGGATCTTATATAGCCTCGTGTTCCAGCGATCGAACTTGTCGCATATACAGCACGTCGAACTATCGGCGATGTTACACTATCAGTCAAGTAAATTTACCAAATAACTCTCAAGATGGCACCCAGGTAAAATAAGGACTCTTTGTTTGATTGTTTCATCTTCACTCGACTATGAAGGTTTTGTTTGTTTCTTTCATTGACGCTGGCTTAATGGATTACCCTCAAGATCCCTATGGATACACACAATTCTCTTAAAGTCGTCGCTTTCTTTCTCAATGTTTTTTCAGACGACGAGGCAAATGAAAATATTCCACGATGAAACGATTCTTCAATCTTTCTTCCGTCGACTGACGTTTTCGCCCGAAGGATCGCTCCTATTTGTACCAGGTAAAGAAATTGTAGCTATTTGCGTTTTCCCACGAAATATTGTACCAAGCAATTGGCCAAAAGCAATTTTGATTTGTCCTTAATGTAAAGTGAGGGGCATTGTCTCTCTTTCAGGGCTCTCTCTCGTGGGCCCTGTCTACGCCTCTGATCCATAATATGACTAAAAATCAATGCCTTGTCGCAGCAGATGCTGCCTGGCTTGTTATTAAGAAAGTTTATTACGTATGTCGTCTACAACCAATTTCCTAATAAAGTGACTCCATGTTTGAACCCGGGATTGCTGTTACATGTTTGTAATGACAATATCGCTAAAGATGTCAAAACGTCAGTCAACATCAACATCAACAATCTTTCTCGAGACTCTACTAACCTGAACGATCTTCATCTACGAATACGTAACCAATTTCTTAGTTGTTGCTACAAAACGTAATACAATGATTATTGAAAACGTAAAACTTAAGAATCATCTGAAAGAGGAAAGATATGTGCAACGAAATATATATTATCTTGCAAAAGATGTGTGTAACCATCAAAGGATAAATAAACTCCACATATGGAACTCGATCATCGAAATATTGACGTACATTATATAATTTCTATTAAAATTTCTATAATTTTTCCTGCTGAAACGAAAGTGCTAAACACTAGTAAACGTTAGTAGAGTGAAATGATTTTTTAAGTCTTAAAATGTAATTTTCATTGCTACTCAATGTTTCGCAATCCATTCGGAACCATCGTCAAGCGATTCACCACCGATTTTAGAGAAGTATAAAGTCAATTTATACAAATTTTTCAAAAACAGTTTCTATATGTACAAATTGTTGGAGTATAAAGTCTGCATGTATAAATTACAAAATTATAAAGACGAGTCAAATCTCTTTTGAACTGCGTATGGACGAGATTCTCGCCACGATAACAGTTTTCCTGGATGGCACCGTCTTTCGGCTTTATTCCAAAGCCATCATTAGAGAATATACATGATATTAATCCTGACACGATTTTATATGCACGTGAAAAACATGTGACTTGCAAATCTAAATTAGATTTCCTGAGCGAAATCTGATCCAAATTAAAGCACTACCCCTCCTAGAAAAATTCATGCTGGACGCCATCGCGGGCTGATACAAATTTATGAATCGGCTTTTTGTTGTAGCTGGACGGTTCGAGGCGAATGAAAAAGTTGTGAATGCTACTTATGTCTTTACGAAGGCATCTTTGAACAAGTACGTGTCAATATATTTAAACACAAACGTACATGTCGAAAAAACTGATAAAGGAAAATGTCGTTTTTGTTTTTAGGCCTGTCATGTATTTTCCCGCGTTGAAGAAGCCGACGATTGCCGTTCGATGTTGTCCAACGCTTTTCCAGCTGAGAAATTCAGGTTTGAAACGTTTTAACAAAAAAAATATCAACACGGACTTTTTTATAGTAATGCTCATCTTTGTGTAGAAGGTAAAGGCGAAAAAAACGGCGTGAAAACAGTTTTTAAGTAAGTGGATTTTCATTTCTCTTGATTTATATGACTGAAACGGAGCCGGTCATGCTGATGTCTTGCCGGCTTAATGTTAATGTGTTCTTAAGGGAACTTTCGGGAAACTAGACTGGTTTGTAGTATCTGGAAGATTCAACATATCAATTATATGCCTTGTGTAACCTAACTATTCTCCATTGATTTCTCTCCCATCGTGCCGTCTAAATTAAGTTACATGGCCGTGTCTCGTTCATTAATTTCACTGAAAATTTTGTGAAATATCGTTTCTACAAACTACATAACTCTTTTACTTTCTTTTTAACGTAACCAAAGTTTTTCAGATTTTCATTTTTACTTTCGTATATTAATGTTTTATTTACATTGCACTCCTAATTGGCGAGGTCTTCTAAAATGGCGAACTAAGCGCTAAAGCATGACCCTTGGCATGACTCCGATACTCGTTCTTTGATAAAATTAATCCTTTTGTTTCAATTTCGTCAGGTTACCCTATCGTATTGTGATTGCTGTGGCGTCTTTGGACAGCGTTGCTCTTTACGACACTCAGCGGTTGCTGCCATTTGCATTTCTTACCAACATGCATTATGAAAATCTAACGGACATTGCATGGTAGGTTGACGGATCCTTGCATAGAAATCGCTCTCGATTTTCAATCCATTTGTGGGTTGTGCAGGGGGCGGACATTGGGCCCTCCCTCAGATGATTTCGAAAGACAAAATGTTGCACCAAATACCACATATCTCACCTATTTTATAAAGTGACTTTCATGTTAAATAATGACTATTTCATATAGACATCTGTTGATTAAACGTACAAGCCGCAGTAAAGGAAATACGCATTAGGTCCCCTTTGCTGTGCAAATATTTGATGTATATTTTATTAGATTACTGGCCGCCGTTAGCCATTTCATCGCTCCTATTACTCAAAAAAAGCAGTTGACTGTCTGCCACTATGGTAATCACGTGCGTATAAGATATGCGTGTCACGAAAAATTTCAATGGAGTTGCCCTACTGTATGTTCAATATACTGTGCCACAGCATTCGAAGTTGGACCTTGACTTTTTGTTCTGGGTAGCATGCTCTGGGAAATCATGTGCCTCGGAGACGACCCCCCTTCAATATTTCATAAAGTGCCCCCCACTATTATGGAGATATTTTTCCAACTGTAAGTAATCATCGCCGGATTTATTCAGGTCGAACAGCGGTAAATTTTTGGCCATATCGTCGAGCGATGGTTACTGTTCGTTGGTAACTTTCCACGAGAAAGAGCTGGGAGAACCTTACTTGAAGACGGCAAGAGAAACGATCGAGAATGCTAAAGTTTTGGCGGGAAATGCTCCAGTTGGTAAGAACATACCTCATGCACAAACGTCAAAGACGTCAGGTAGGCTTCATGGGATGTTTTTTTTATTTGCGATTTACCTACTAGTATTTTGATTATGGCTGTGATTTCTTACAGTTTTCGAGGTGTACATCGTAAAATATTTTTGTACACTGTCAAAAAAAGTCAGTGTTTTTTTGCTACTATTACATTTGCTGTTATTGGCCATATTTTTGGCTGCTTTCACATACAGTAAAGAACGAGTATTGCAGTCGTGCTTTGCGCTCTTGGTTGGCCATTTAGGGCACCGCGAAGACGGCGGCCTTCGTAAAATACGAGAAACGTGAATATCGAAGGAAAGGTATGTCTTCAATCTTAAAAACTTTGGCCACATTAAGAAGAAAGTGAATTATAGCTACCAGCCGTAAATATGCAGTGTTGCTATAGTTTGGAAGACGATATTTCACAAAATGTTCAGTTTATTTTGTTGTTGTTTTTTTTGCTTTGTTGTGACACTGTAAATCTTCAGTTATAAAAATCAATAAAAAAACATTATAAAACCAACTACATAGTGACTGAACTAGTGAGAGTCGATTAACTTAATTTAGGCTGCACGGTGGAAGTAAAATCATTGAAGAATACGTTACACAAGACTTTGAATTGATGTGTCGAATCGTCCAGATGCAACAAACCAGTCTAATTTTGATAAGACATTCTTCAAACGAAATTTCCGCTATGAAAACGTAACATCAGGCGCGCAAAGCATGACCCTGCTACTCATTATTTCATAGTTTTTGCTTCACTCACTTGTGTCTATGCTTTCGGCTGCAGTCACGATTGTTAATGCGTATTTTCAGCGTTAACCAGAGAGGAGAACGTAGTTTCGCCAAAGATTGAAAAAGTGTCCATTAAGAACTTTATGACTGTCAAGCCCTCACGGATGAAAAACAACTGTGCTGGCGATGATTTTAGTTCTGTTTGTGAAAAGAATGAGGAAAATGTTAGACAAGAAGCGGGGCGAACAGCACCACTATCCGGTAATGGTAGTTTAAATATGATAAAGCCGATTCATAACCTTTCGTGTAAGAAGGACGAAGCGGTTTCAACGCTTGTCACAAAGCCTTTGCAAGACACAAGCCCTACCACACATTGTTCAACAACTGCAAGAAAACGACCTCGCAGAGTGAACTTTGTCACTTTGCAGCCTTCTCCGGCGCTAAAGGAAATGTCTACAGAGGTATGGCCCGTATCAACAAAAACGGAAAGTACAGAAGATCTCACCGGTGATTCTCGTGTAGAGCATATGAATATCGAAATGACAAACGTTGATCCGAAAACGACCGAGAATAACTGTGAAAACGTCTCTTTGACAACCACCAATTTATCAGCGGAGGAGACCAAAATGGACGGCATATGCTCAACTTCTCTTCTAACACCGCAGCCTGTGACAATAAAGACTGTTGGGAATTCAGATGAACAACATCACAGTCAAGACTCGAAACCGTCAACATCAATTCAAACGACAATAAGCCCGGAGCGTCCATCTCCAATACAACCCAAACCTCGTCGTGTTAGTTTTATTACTTTGAAATCTACGCCAAATTCATCTCCACCCAACAACCAAAATGTCAATGGTCATCCCTTTACCTCTTCTCCGATGCCTCACTGTAATTGTGCTGATGTAAATGACGTCAGCAAAGAGACGACTCCACCTCAGGTTGTAGCGACGGTCGACGAAAGTTCCACTTTCAAAGAAAGGAATTATTCAAGTAGACCTGGCAAACACCCAGTGCCTTTGGAACCAGAAGTGATTATTTTGAATTAGTCAATGGACAAGAATTATGTACATGTAAACTTTGTTTGATAGAGAACCACTATTGTTGCTTAGGATGTTTTTGTTTTCTGAAATGATATAGTTTTGTACAAGGTACAGCAGTGATAGTTTTTACTTTTCGAGATTTATTTATTATTCTGCGTTTAATAATATACTTTGAGATGTTTTTCTCAACTGTGACTGGTTGGTTGGAGTGCAGTTTATCTGGAATTGCACCGTAAAAATGTGTAATTGCACTGTAGAAAATTGTAATTGCAATGAACAAACGAGAAACGAGACGATATTAGGGCCCTCACACACAGCGGTAACTTCTTAAAGCGCTATGTCAGCGTCATGTAATATTGACAAAAACGTTTTTTTGTTATAAAAAAATGGCTTCTTTTGAAGCTTTAAAGCACAAAAAATCTGTTGCTAGGACGTTACTAAGGCGACAGTTTAAAAATTCAAAAATTTCAAATTTTAATGTCAAATTTTTGTTGTGGACCCCCCAGTGAACTCTACAACAACTGGAGGCTAACTCACAATATACATGCCTAGACTATTGAGTTCTATAATAACTGGAGCGGCTATCTCAAGCGCGGCCTTAGATATCTGATGACGCCAAAAAATTGGCGGATTTCGTCCGTTGCCGCTGAGATTTACCGAAATTGACCGCTTTTCCGAAAATTTCACAATTTCCCACTCCCTCCTGAGGAAAAAGTGAGGAAAATGTATGTGTATTGGGATTCGGCAAGCAATTTTTTGATGAAAATCAAGGTAAAAACCTGCAATTCGTAACAGCGAGTCAACGGTGGTTGCCAGTTGTCGGCTTCTACGACGGACGCCTTTTTTAACTATTGACGAACGAGCTATTTGTTGGCCACATGAATGCAGATGTGCGCGTCGTAACTGTCGTTTAATGATTTGCTTGATCAAAGTTTGTAGTCTGCGCGAAACAAGATATATTTTATCTCAACGGATCACGAGAGAAATGTTAGCTCATTTATTGTCATTAGTTTTTTGCTGTCTTTCATGTGACGGCCTTTTTCGCAACAACTGTAGGATATTTGTGCATGCAATCTCGCGTTTCGTAAATGAATAATGAAAAAAATATAGTATACAAATCACGAGAACCTTTGAGATTTTTGTGGTCTGAACAAGAACTGCATGAAATACTTGTCAAGTTGTAGCATATTTGTTTCGTAATGATTGTGATGATAGCTTCCATTGAGTTCTATAATAACTGGAGCGGCTAACTTTACTGGGGCGAGGTCACCAAAAAAATGGCGGCCAACGGACGTATTTCCGCTGAAATGATCGCTTTGCAGAAAAATAATATTCTCGACCTCCCCCTGGTGTCTGTAGTAAATTATAAAGAATTCTTCAAAAACAAACACGATATCACAGAATATGGATATCGTTAGTTCCATATTCTGTGACGATTCTATTTTGGCATTTCTTTTATAATGCCAACACTTCAATCGTTCAATTGTTGGATGTCGTAGTTTCCACAAAAAGGAACATATCGCTTCTCACAGGTGAGGTAGTTGTTTGTTTTGTTAGTCCGTCAACGATTGAAAAGCAATTATACATGCACTTGAAAAGCCATAAAATACATATTAAAGATCGTATTTTTTAAGACTGACTTGAACGCCAAATATACTGATGTTTTCCTGTTTTTGTCTATAAAATTCTGCATACTTTTCTGTCATTTGTTAATGCATGAAATCGTAAATTTACCTATCTATTTGCAAAAGTTTCCCTAAAGCAAAAAATACCCTGCACACATTTTGCTCTGTGAAAAGTATCAAAAGGAAATGATCAGCCCCAACAGTACCCATGATTTGGAGCAGAGCTTGTTATGTTCTATTTGCTGACAACATGCAGGGAAGACCAAGGAGTAAAGATGACTGGAAGATGTTATTGACCAGGCAGAGTCTTAAAAAATGATAATGCTGTAAAGATAATTGATTTATTGTCTGCCTTATCCAGAGTTATTTAATTTGATCATGTTCAAATTCTATGGATGGAGACAATGGATTCACTAATGATGCCTTGAATGCTTTGAAGTTAAAGTTCATGAACCAAAAAAAGATGGCAAGAAGGTTGTGTGTGTTTTGATGCTTAATTAAATGTCAATTCACAACATATAAAATGGAAAGGCCATAAAGTTTGTGTCTATGTAAACATTTGTACTGAGATTGATGATGACTTGATGCAGATGTGAAGCATCAAACTGTATAAGCCATTGGGTTTTATATAACTTAATGTTTAAATCATGTCATATCTTTATCAAAATATTTTAGTTGAGTGTTGTTTAAATGTTACTAATATCTAATGCACTATACTGAAGCATTAAAGATTCAGTGATGAAACCTTTAAAATTACTGTACTGTATATTTCTTATATATTTCTTATATTTCTTTAAGAAAAATTTGAGCTTATTTACCTATTAGAGTACAGAATGGAGATTTATCATATGCATTATTGCTGCTTTTTTAAAGAAAGGTTTTTCACTTTTCAAAGCTTTTCTACAAATTTTTTGCTTCTTATTTCTTATCATGAGATTGATGATATAGAGGTAATATAATCCAATAACTTTCTAATTTCTAAAAAGCTTTTAAGCTTCTAGCATAAAAGTACACTATAGGTATGTAATTCATTTGGTTTTATTGCCTTGCTATGACATATCTAGTTGCACTTCATCATTCTTGTATGAACAAAACACCAGATGTGGATACTCAGAGAACAAAATGCACTACCAACTGCTTATGAAATTTATTATTAAGGTTAATCATTCAAATTATAGTGCACTTTTATTGCAAATATAGGAAAAACAAAACAAAGTGAAAAAGAAAGGTAGAAGTATTAAAACTACAATTGAATTATAAACACCATTGGAAGCATAACTGTTTTGATGATTATTTGCATTTTGCCCAATTCATATATCAATACAACAAAATCAAAATGTGCTAAAACTTTACAAGTATTTGATGCAGTTGCACTTCAGAACATCACAAAAAGGTTACTTAAAGTAATTTCTACACAATATTGTTTGTTTTCATTTACCAAACCTATGCAGAAACTGAATTACAGAAAATCCGTAAATATCCAGAGATTTAATATTTACTTTTTTAAAGAAACAAGTAAAAATTCTACAATTGTGGCGAAAAAAGCCATTGCCCGTTGCATGAAAAGAAGCAAAATAGCAATGATAACAAATAAGCTAACTTCTCTCTCGTGAACCGTAAATGAACTATGATATACTTTTTCGTATAGACTAAAGAGTTTAATCGATCAAACAAGTTTGACGCTGGTAAAAGAACGACCCACATCTGCATTCATTCATGTGTAGCCGACATATATTATAGCTCTTTCGTCGATAGTTATAAATGCATCCTCGTAAGAGCAGATAACTGACAACCACAGTTGACTCGCTGTTATGAATTTAAGGTTTTTAGCTTGATTTTCATCAAAAAATTGCTTGCCGAATCCCAAATACACACATACATTTTCCGCACTCTTGCCTCAGGAGGGAGTGGGAAATTGTGAAATTTTCGGAAAAGCGGTCAATTTCGGTAAATCTCAGCGGCAACGGACGTAATCCGCCCCTTTTTTGGCGTAATCAGATATCTAAGGCCGCGCTTGAGATAGCCGCTTCAGTTATTACAGAACCATAGATATAGTAGACATATCTATGTACAGAACTCAATGATAGCTTCGGCTTTCGGCTTAATGAAATACTTCATGTAATTTACTTATAGAAATATCAATATGGCGGAGACAAGCAATTTGTGCGATAAATATAACCAGGGGCGGATCCAGGCTGGTGCAACTGATGCGAGTGCATCAGTCATAAAATTGAATAGTTAATCTTTCACAACATATTATAACTTACAATCAATACGAGCAAAATACAAGAAATATATCAGATTGGAACGTTTATAGTTTCTAAATGCTTTAAATACCTTAACACTGACAGTATATTGACAACAAATGTACATTGATGATTGAGAAATATTGTTAAAAACCTTCGTCGATTGTTTACATGTGAGTATCATTTTGATTACAGCCGCATTATTAAAAAATGCGTCGCTAAATATGGCGTTTTTATGTGTCGAAATTTTTAGCGAAAATTTGTTTCATCATCCAGCTACACCATTGAGTTCTATAATAACTGGAGCGGCTATCTCAAGCGCGGCCTTAGATATCTGATGACGCCAAAAAAATGGCGGATTTCGTCCGTTGCCGCTGAGATTTACCGAAATTGACCGCTTTTCCGAAATTACAATTTCCCACTCCCTCCTGAGGAAAGAGTGAGGAAATGTATATGCGTATTTGGGATTCGGCAAGCAATTTTTGATGAAAATCAAGGTAAAACCTTAAATTCATAACAGCGAGTCAACTGTGGTTGTTGCCATCTGCTCCTACGAGGATGCATTTATAACTATGGACGAAAGACTCTATATGTCGGCTACACATGTATGAATGCAGATGTCCGTCGTTTTCTTACCAGCGTCAAATTTGTTTGATCGATTAAACTCTTTAGTCTATACAAAAAAGTATATCATAGTTCATCTCCACGGTTCACGAGAGAGAAGTTAGCTTATTTGTTATCATTGCTATTTTGCTGCTTTTCATGCAATGGGCAATGGCTTTTTTCGCCACAGTTGTAGGATTTTTATTTGTTTCTTTAAAAAAGTACATATTAAATCTCTGGACATTTACGGATTTTCTGTAATTGAGTTTCCTATTAAATTTCAAAAAGACTCAAGTCAGCATAGGTTTGGTAAATGAAAACAAACAATATAGTATAGAAATTACTTTAAGTAACCTTTTTGTGATGTTTTGAAGTGCAACTGCATCAAATACTTGTAAAGTTGTAGCACATTTTGATTTTGTTGTATTGATATATGAATTGGGCAAAATGCAAATAATCATCAAAACACTTATGCTTCCAATGGTGTTCATAATTCATTTGTAGTTTTAATACTTCTACCCTTCTTTTTCACTTTGTTTTGTTTTTCCTATATTTGCATTATAAGTACAAAATTTGAATGATTAACCCAGTTTTCACCTCAATAATAAATTTCATAAGAGTTGGTAGTGCATTTTGTTCTGAGTATCCACATCTGATGTTTTGTTCATACAAGAATGATGAAGTGCAAATAGATATGTCATAGCAAGGCAATATA